TTCACAGCTCAGTCCAACTATGTCCAGGAACTTCTGGCCATTCTTTACCCTGCTGTTGTAGGGTCAGATGCCGTCAGCCCCAACACTGAGATGAACTCTCGGTATAGCGGGCTTAGCTTTGACGAGAGCAACCTAGTTTTACGACCACGTTCCAGTACTGCCAATATCCAGGCAAACCTGCAAACCTCCACCGTCGAGTTCTCAAGCAGTCCTCCCGATGAGAGTACTGATAACCTGCGTCGCGGATCGTTCATTCTTGTCTCTTCCGATAAAAAACACCAGCCCTCCTGCGCGCGCATCCACCGTGTAATTGATCCCCAATTCACTGCAAATGGCGCTGTACCAGAGCATCCGCTTGTCAAGGCCATCTTCGGACTGGTTCTCGCCGTTTTTGAGGATCAATTGCTGGAGCGGAAAGACTTTTCCGGGCTCGGGCTGTATCACAAAACGCCGCCAGGATTCATTGAACAACAAGCGTATTTTAATTCGTGGATTTTCAAATGCCTGCTGTCGACTTTGAAGGAGTTGCCCTCATCTAAACCCCGTCTTCTCCAAGAACCTCGAACTCTGACAAATCTTGGCCGCTTTGCTACCCACCTGGCTGAGGCGGTCTATGAGGGTTGGTTCATGGATGGGGCGGCAGTCACACTGGAAGGTGTTGGGTCCATTCTTGAGTATCTTCAACGACCAGATATCTCACCTCTGAAGAGCATTCGGCTTTGTAGCCAGGCAGTTGCGACTTTGCAGTCAACTCTCTATAGAGTTGTTCTGTTCCAATTATCAGATGCGGAAGATGGAGAAGCCCTCTCTGTATTGAAGCGTCTGAACTACTGGCAGGTGGTTCTTCTCTCGGCATCTGAGACCCAGTCAAAATACCTCCACCTGTTTTGCTATTTACTTTACACCAAGCTGGTAAGCAATGACCATGACGTCCGTCTGGCGGCAGCAAGTCTCTGGAGAGTGATCCTCGTGCAACGGCCGGACGAGATGACTGTCATTTTGAGCAATGGACCTGTCTCGCTCCAGCGTAGACTCGCGGAAGGCTTTGATTCTCTCGTAGGATTGGAAGATGAGTCATTCTTAAACTGGATTGACGACCAGCGAAGTGATCTTGATACTTTGTTCTTCGGCATCATGTCTCGATCCTGGGATGCATTCGTTCTGGAGGAGAACGCAAAGAGTGAGGATTCTGCCAAGAACCGCATCTCGAAACGCAAAGACAGGCTCAAGCAATGGATTCATCTGGAGAAGTTTGATGAAGAAGTGATTCGTAAGCATGATGCCACTTTGCCCCATTGGATTTCGAACATCTCGGCATCTGAGTTCTTGAAGTCGCAGAGATCACAGCAGGATTCGCAGGACAACTCTGCCTTCATGTGGTCCGCATTCTCGACGCTTTTGCTGGATCTGCGACGACCGGGTGGTCTCCTTGCAGATGACAAGGAGAGAAAATGGAGACTTGATCAAACTGAGGGTCGCAGTCGTATGCGACTGCGTGTGGTGCCTGATGAGTCTGGTGAACGACAAGAGTATCGGCCAAAACGCAAGGCTTCTGAGCCACCTGCAGTCAAGATTGACACTCGCATGCGCGCCTTGTCGGAAGGAGAGGCACCATCAACACCGACTCGCTTGACAGCCGAACCCGATTCCGTGGGAGATCTTGAACAACAAGATGGTCAAGATGGCGACGCCGACGCTGATACCCGTAGCATGCTCGAAGAGAATTTCGAGATGATCGATGATCCGAAGTTCGAGCTTGAAGACTACGAAGACAAGAACCGGAAGGTGATGAGGTCTCTGCAACGAGGTGACCAAGTTCAAAATGTTTGCAACTTGTCTCGAATCATCGGTCTCGAGGCTGTGGAAGGCCTTTTGATTATCGGGAAAGACTGCATCTACATTTTGGACGGCTTTTTCCAACGGGCAGATGGCGAGATTGTTAACGTCTGGCAAGCTCCATCCGAGGAACGAGATCCGTATGTGCGAATGATTGCGGGCCGGGAGTCCAACGACCGCCGCTCCCAAGAGCATGAGACAAGAAGCTGGAAGTGGTCCGATTTAGTCAGCGTCTCTAAACGTCGTTTCCTCTTCCGAGATGTGGCATTGGAAATCTTCTTCACGGATGGTACAAGCTATCTCTTGACCTTCTTCTCTCCACGGGTCCGAGACGACCTTAGTAACCAGCTTGGTGCCAAAGCACCGCAAGTCACAGGAAGTGCAGGACACTCGCGGCCGGAGGACATCTGGCGCTACGAGACCCTACGCAGCCAAGAAGATGCGCCACAGTCTCTCGGCTCGAAGTTTGCTAGCGTCTTTGGTCACCAGGCATCAAACCCGGCGACACGCAAATGGCTTCGGGGTGAGATCTCCAACTTCCACTATCTCATGTTGATTAACACGCTTGCTGGACGAACTTTCAACGACTTGACCCAGTACCCTGTCTTCCCATGGGTTCTGGCCGATTACACCAGCGAAGAGCTCGATTTGACCAACCCGAAGACATTCCGTGATCTGTCGAAGCCCATGGGTTGTCAGACACCGGATCGTGAGGCTGGGTTCCGAGAGCGATACAATGCATTTGCAGAGATGGGTGATGACAATGCTCCGCCCTTCCACTATGGAACTCATTACTCCTCGGCCATGATCGTCAGTTCGTACCTCATTCGGCTGCAGCCATTCGTCAAGTCATATCTTCTTCTCCAGGGCGGCACTTTCGACCACGCCGACAGACTTTTCTACTCCATCCGCAAAGCATGGGAGTCTGCATCGCGAAGCAACATGTCCGATGTGAGAGAATTGATTCCTGAATTCTTCTACCTTCCCGAGTTCCTAGTGAACTCCAACAAATACGACTTCGGTCTTCTCCAGAACATGACAACAACCATCGACTCGGTTGAGCTACCGCCTTGGGCTAAGGGTGACCCGAAGATCTTCACTGAAAAGCACCGCGAGGCACTGGAGAGTCCGTACGTGTCCGAAAACCTTCATCACTGGATTGATCTTGTTTTCGGCAGCAAGCAGAAAGGTGAGGCTGCTGTTGAAGCTGTCAATGTCTTCCACCATCTGTCCTACAAGGGTGCCAAAGACTTGGATGCTATCGACGACCCAGTGGATAAGTTGGCTACGATTGGTATCATCCACAACTTCGGACAAACGCCTCATCAAATTTTCCAGCGGACCCATGCTCAGCGTGAAGATCAGCGGTACCGCACACCCCGACTGGATACACTTGCGGAGTCCCTGACCCAGATGCCACTCTCACTTCTTGATATCGAGGAGCGAGTGTCGACTCTCTCGATGAAGCAAGATCGTCTACTTTGCACCGCTGCTTTGAGACTCAACGTCCCACCAACCTTCGACCACTACATGGAATGGGGCTTCTTTGATGGCAGTGTACGCTTCTATGCCACGGATAGTCGCAAGTTACTTGGTCACTTCGAACACCTCCATATCGGACAGCTCTCCCATGCTAGCTTTGCCGATTCACGTACACTCATCACCTGTGGAACAGACTGTACAATCTCCCTTTGGACGGTCACAGCAGGCTCTAGGTCTGTTGACCTCCAGCCCATTGGATCGCTCTTTGGTCACCGTGCTCCGGTCACCACACTTGCAGTCTCGCGCTCATTCAGTGCCTTACTTTCCGCATCCAGCGATGGCCAGATCATGCTATGGGATCTGAACAGACGATGCTTCGTGCGAGCGCTTCCCGCTAATGGGATCGTCGACTGTGCCCGAATCAACGACGTTACTGGCGACGTCATTGTCTGTCGAGGCAAACGAATCACCATGTATACACTTAACGGAGAGCTTCTTGTTGACCAACCAGTGTGCGATTCAGCTGATGACTACGTTCTATCATGTGTCTTCTACGAAGGCGTTCAAAATGAATGGTTGGAACGCGAGCTCGTCCTTACTGGCCACAGCCGCGGTGTCGTGAACATCTGGAGCAAGGCCATACGTGGAGGACGGTTCGAATTGGAACTCATCCGACAACTACATCATACAGACAGCAGCCGCGACAATGGAGCTAATATCTCCGTCGGGATCAGCTGCATTTTAGCCCTTCCCCAGGTGGTTTATACCGGGGATGAGGCAGGCCGAGTGGTTAGTATTTCCCAAATCGTTGATGCCCTATTTTGAGGACAAGACACAGCGCTAATTCCGGTCTTTAGTATGAGTGGAACTGTATTCAACGGCGCTGATCCCTGATCCCGCAATTCCAATTCCCGCGCGGGCCGGCTACTGAACAGACGACGCAACGTGGAATTCGACTTCCTCACCGCAAAACCTAGACAAGTGGGAAGAGCATGGCGTTCTCTTCTCTTCATGGGGGACTTTGGGGTTTGTCCCCTCCGCATTCTTTCCCCCACTTTTATTTGAACCTCAGCATAAATAGCGCAATATTATGGCATCAATTAGCATGGGTACGGATGGCACGGGTCACCCTCACAAGACGGAGTAGATCGAGATTTAACCGGGCCCCGGTGAGCAGGATGCAGCCCCGTACTACAGTGGGCCGTTGGCCGGTCGACCATACTCCGGTTGGCGTGTTTTCGGAGCACACTGCGCCGCGATTGAGAGTTGGGAATCGTCTGGTTTCGAATGAAGTCATATTCAGAAGACGGGATATTCCATGGCAGATGCTTCTACGTAGTTCGACAAAAGATTCGAAGTGGTTGCAGGGAAGGGGGAGCCATTCGGAAGGTGGTGGAATTGGCGTTCCTTGACACGGAAACAGGCAAATTTGGAGGGGTCGTGACTCCGGTGATTTCATTGTGCAGCGTCATTGGGCCCCACTCGGCATCCCACCTTCTGGTACTTGTGTTCACTATGGGGTCGCCATACGGAACGCATGTACTCTTAGCTCAGCGTTTCCAGTCCATGGCTCCCCGCCTCTAAATACCTTCGTGCCGCCACTTTCCTCCTTTTCCCGTTCTCTTTCTTGACCATATCCTATCCCATCCATCCATCTTTTCTCTTAAAATCATCTTCACACAATGTCTTCCTCTCTCGAACAGCTCAAGGCCACCGGCACCGTCGTGGTCTGCGACTCTGGTAAGTTTCACCGATCACCGATCAACCTGCATGCATCGAGCTCCCCACTAACACGCGCAATGTAGGTGACTTCGCCAGTATGTTCTATCGAATCCCGCTACGAGTGGCGATAGGTTGAAGATTGCTAACGTGCCATAGCTATCGGCAAGTACAAGCCCCAGGATGCTACCACCAACCCCTCCCTGATCTTGGCTGCTTCCAAGAAGCCTGAGTATGCCGCTCTCATCGATGCCGCCGTTGCCTACGGCAAGCAGAAGGGTGGCTCCATCGACGACCAGGTTGACGCCACCCTGGACCGTCTCCTCGTCGAGTTCGGCAAGAAGATCCTCGAGATCATCCCCGGCAAGGTCTCCACTGAGGTCGACGCCAAGCTGTCCTTCAGCACCGAGCTCTCCGTTAACAAGGCCCTCGAGATCATCAAGGTACGTGGAACTCGCTGGGGGTGGTAATTGTATCTTCGCCTGCTAACCCCATCTTCCAATAGCTCTACGAGGAGGTCGGCATCAAGAAGGACCGCATCCTCATCAAGATCGCCTCCACTTACGAGGGTATTAAGGCCGCCCACATCCTCCAGTCCAAGCACGGCATCAACTGCAACCTGACCCTGATGTTCTCCCTGGTCCAGGCCATCGCTGCCGCTGAGGCTGGTGCCTTCCTGATCTCTCCCTTCGTCGGCCGTATCCTCGACTGGTACAAGGCCGCCCACAAGCGCGACTACACCGCCGAGGAGGACCCCGGTGTCAAGTCCGTCCAGGAAATCTTCAACTACTACAAGAAGCACAACTACAAGACCATTGTCATGGGTGCTTCCTTCCGTAACACTGGCGAGATCACCGAGCTTGCCGGCTGCGACTACCTGACCATCTCCCCCAACCTTCTGGAGGACCTCTTCAACTCCACCGAGGCCGTCCCCCAGAAGCTCGACGCTAAGGACGCCCACTCTCTCAACATTCCCAAGCGCGAGTACCTCCACAAGGAGGCTGACTTCCGCTTCGACTTCAACGAGGAGACTATGGCCGTTGAGAAGCTCCGTGAGGGTATCTCCAAGTTCGCTGCTGATGCCGTCACCCTTAAGGATCTCCTCAAGGCTAAGATCCAGGCTTAAGTGATCGGGCTTGAGGCTTATTAATTTCTTCCTGTTTCTTGCTTTTTCTTTTGTTTTACAGACTTTCTTTGTAAATTGGCGATCTCCAAAATGTCTGTGGAATGGGTAGATACGAATTGATGAATCTTTCATGATTTAAATTAAAATCTTTGAACCCTTTGAACCCTTTGAACCCTAGGAAACTCGAGTTATAGCTAGGTTTGAAGCTCCGTGCAAATTTCCGGTGGCGGGCAGGAAAAAGGCCGAAGGTTCCGAGACCCTGTGATTGCGCGAGGATCTGGGCTGGTCGGCTTATTCACCAGGACGGACTAGGAACGAAAGATGAACCCCGCAGGGCCTCCGTTGGGGACACGGTGTGACGGCGTGTGACAGCCGAGGGTGCACCCGTGGACCGACGTGGATAGAAGGATGTACCCAGGGAAGCAAAAGAGGCATTGAATGGGAGGAATGATCGACTAGGATTGATAAGTCCGGCAATTCTCGATACAGTTGCTATCATGGTTACGTTCGCAGAGGTTCTCAGCGGCATTATGTCATTTCCCCTCGTTCGAAAAGCTGCCCGCTTAGGAAGGTGGGGGATGTTTCGGCGCGGTAATCATGTATCGGTACTTATTTTTACACGTAAATTATAGGTCAAATCAGGTACCGATACATGAGCTAAGTGTTTCCCGGTAATGGGTCACGTCAACATCATCCGCTTTATTATCTTTGCATCGCCCGCCTCCTGTGCTTTTCTCCTTCTTCTCCTCAGATACTTGTACTCGAAATTTTTTTAAAAAATTTAAGAACTCATCAATCCCATCATCATGGTTAAGGCTGGTAAGTGCAATATACCAATACCCAACCATACTTCAATACCTCGATACCCGGCAAGGACCTTGGGATGAGCACATTCGAGCACTTTGGGATCCTTTGCGGACCTATCGGCTGCTTTCCTCCTCTCCACTGTTCTGTCCATCAGGGTACTCAGCTTCAGCTTCAGCTTCATATGTTCAAGCTCATTTGCTGTTGAATCCCCAGGCTTGGGTTCAGATCATCTCGGGCATGCGGGCCACCCCTGCTACCCGCCTTCCGGAAGCATAGACCCCATAGCGTGGACTATGGACGATGGACGATGAGTAATGAACTATAAACTAACCCGACCCAGTTGCTGTCCTCCGCGGAGACGCGAAGATCGCTGGTACCGTCACCTTCGAGCAGGCCGACGAGAACTCCCCCACCACCGTCTCCTGGAACATCACCGGCCACGACGCCAACGCCGAGCGCGCCTTCCACGTCCACCAGTTTGGTGACAACACCAACGGCTGCACCTCCGCTGGCCCCCACTGTACGTCCTGCAGGTCTAGCAATGTGCAGAGTGATCAGCTAATATGCCATAGTCAACCCCTTCGGCAAGACCCACGGTGCTCCCACCGACTCCGAGCGCCACGTCGGTGACCTTGGCAACTTCAAGACCGATGCCGAGGGCAACGCTACCGGCTCCATGCAGGACAAGCTTGTCAAGCTGATCGGTGCCGAGAGCGTTCTCGGTCGTACTCTGGTCGTCCACGCCGGTACCGATGATCTCGGCAGGGGTGGCACCGAGGAGTCCAAGAAGACCGGTAGCGCTGGTCTCCGTCCCGCCTGCGGTGAGTTGATTGGTTTATCATTTGGATAAGTTCTACAGAAACTAACGTTTCACAGGTGTCATTGGTATTGCTGCTTAATGGTCCAATTTACGCCTGTAGTTGGGTCTTGTTATCCCCCATCTGTTGAGATGAAAAGTTCAGGATAATACCTGGCTAGGATGAATGAATGTCAATTGCAATTTATGCCCCCTTCACTTCCACTTCGTACTTTGTACTTCCTCCTTGATCCGCCGTAGAGCTCACCGGCGTCCAATGTGCTACACGCTGGTGTGGCCCCGTAGCGCCCAGACCGCTTTCCCCACAAACACCGGCCACGTTTCGACTCCGAACCCCTTCTTATCGCCGTCCCTTCTTCCCCTTTCTATTCTTTCTTTCTTCATCATTGTCATCTGTGCTACCACCGGTGGCCAGTGCCTGTTTTCCCTCAATGCCTTTCGAAGCCCGCGTCAAGTCCGTCCTGTCGGGCGACACGGTTGTGCTGTCGCATGTCACTAATCCCTCACAAGAACGCATCTTGAGTCTGGCCTATGTGTCCGCACCGAGATTAAGGAGAGAGGGTGATGAGGTAGGTACTTGTTTCTTTCCAATTGGCTCCTTCGGCAGATATTCCACAGGGTTGCTTTGAACTTTGGGTGCACCGTGGAGCTGTTGAGCTGTTGAGCTAGCTCGGAGGAAATGCAGGTAAACTAATTCAGACCAATTATAGGCCTACGGCTTCCACTCCCGTGAATTCCTCCGTGAGCTCCTTGTCGGCAAGGTCGTTCAGTTCCACGTCGTCTATACCATTCCCACCGGCGCCAAGCGCGAGTACGGTATCATCAAGCTGCCCGGGTTCGACGCCCAGCTTCCTGATATCAGTGTTCAGGAGGGATGGACCCGTGTTCGAGAGGAGGCGGGCAAGCGCTCTGATGATTCGGAGGAGACTTTGGCTTTGTTGGAGCGATTGCGGGCTCTTGAGTCGCTCGCTCAGAATGAGGGCAAGGGTGTTTGGTCCAGCAAGGACAATGGTCAGATTGAGACCTCTTATGAATTGTCCAACGGCCAGGCTTTGGTGAATCGGTACCGCAACAATGAATTGGAGGGTATTGTTGAGAAAGTCCTGAATGGTGATCGTGTCATCTTGCGCCTTCTGCTTTCCCCACAGGAGCACCTGCAGACTTTGGTTGCTTTGGCTGGTGTGAGAGCGCCCTCGACGAAGCGCACAACTGCGGAGGGTAAGGAGCAGGCTGGTGAGCCTTTCGGCGAAGAGGCTCTTCAGTTTGTTGAGTCTCGTCTGCAGCAGCGCAAGGTCAAAATTTGCTTGGTTGGTGTTACTCCTCAGGGCCAGCTGGTCGCTACTCTGCTGCACCCCATGGGCAACATTTCTCGATTCCTTCTTGATGCTGGTCTGGCTCGCTGTCAGGATCACCACTCTACCATGCTTGGTGGTGACATGGCCTCTCTCCGCCAAGCTGAGCTCGGCGCAAAGGCTGCCCGCAAGGGTGTCTTTACCGGACACGTTGCTCCCAAGAGCAGTGGTGCTGCCGCTCTTGACTACACTGTCACCCGTGTGTTGAACGCCGATACCATTTTCATCCGCAACAAGGCCGGCCAGGAGAAGAAGATCAGCCTTACCAGCATCCGTCAGCCCAAGCCCTCTGACCCCAAGCAGGCTCCCTTCGCCGCAGAGGCCAAGGAGTTCCTCCGCAAGCGTGTCATTGCCAAGGCTGTTAAGGTTACCGTTGATGGTAAGAAGCCCGCCAACGAGGGTTTCGAGGAGCGTGAGGTTGCTACTGTCATGCAGGGCAACGTCAATGTTGGTTTGGCCCTGGTTGAGGCCGGATATGCGTCCGTGATCCGTCACCGTATGGACGACAACGACCGTGCTCCCTACTACGATGAGTTGTTGGCCGCTGAGGCCGAGGCACAGAAGGAGACCAAGGGCATGTGGTCCCCCAAGGCTCCCAAGGCCAAGCAGATTGTGGATTACTCCGAGAGTGTCCAGAAGGCGAAGCTGGAAGTTGGTATCCTGCAGCGCTCCAAGCGCATCCCCGCAGTTGTCGACTTTGTCAAGTCTGGTTCTCGTTTCACCGTTATTGTTCCCCGCGAGAACGCCAAGTTGACTCTCGTGCTTTCGGGCATTCGTGCCCCTCGATCTGCCCGCGGGCCGGGTGAGGCTGGCGAGCCGTTTGGTCAAGAGGCCCACGACTTGGCTAACCGTCGCTGCATGCAGCGCGACGTTGAGATCGATGTTGAGACTATCGACAAGGTTGGTGGTTTCATTGGAACCCTGTACATCAACAAGGAGAACTTCACCAAGGTCCTTTTGGAGGAGGGCTTTGCTACCGTGCACGCATACTCGGCTGAGCAGTCTGGCCACGCCAACGAGTACGTCGCTGCCGAGCAACGGGCGAAGGATGCTCGCAAGGGTCTCTGGCACGATTGGGATCCTAGCAAGGAGGCTGCTGAGGCCGAGGAGTCGGAGGCTGCTAACGGCGGCGACGAGAGTGAAGCCGCTGCCGGTCAGCGCCGCAAGGACTACCGCGACGTGACCGTCACCTATGTTGACCCGGCCTCTGGAAAGTTGAAGCTGCAGCAGATCGGCTCCGGTACAAGCGCCCTCACCGAGCTGATGAGCGCGTTCCGTTCCTTCCACCTGAACAAGGCCAACGACACCCCTCTGCCCGGTCCTCCCAAGGCCGGCGAGTGGGTTGCGGCTCAATTCAGCGAAGACGGTGACTGGTACCGCGCCAAGGTTCGCCGCAACGATCGCGAGAAGGAGCAGGCTGAGGTTGTTTACATCGACTTCGGTAACTCCGAGATTCTGCCCTGGAGCAGCCTGCGTCCTCTCACCCAGCCCCAATTCACAAGCCAGGCTCTGCGCCCCCAGGCCGTCGATGCCGCTCTCTCCTTCCTGCAGTTCCCTACCTCTCCCGACTACCTCGAAGACGCTGTTGCTTTCGTGACCGACCACACCTGCGACCGTCAGCTCGTGGCCAACGTCGACTACGTTGATCCCGAGGGCACTCTGCATGTCACTCTCCTCGACCCCGCCAACTCCAAGAGCCTCGACCAGAGCATTAACGCCGACATTGTCTCCGAGGGCATGGCGATGGTTCCCCGCAAGCTGAAGGCATGGGAGCGTGCTTCCATTGATACCCTGAACACCTTGCGTGAGCTCGAGGATGATGCCAAGGCCGAGCGCCTCGGTATGTGGGAGTATGGTGATCTGACCGAAGACTAAATCTGAAGCTGAGAATTTATCTGTATCTATTTTGAAAAGTATGGGATGAGGTGGCACCATTCTGTACAATATTTGGGATCGGCTTTGAGACGAAAATATCATGTGCTACGGCACTAAGCACAATGCCATTTTAATATGCTATTATCTATCTTCCACTACCCTCTAATCTCTAGGATCCACGCATAGTTCTTCCTAAGTGGGTTTGCCCCTGCAGTTCGTGAGCGTCGTCGATCGCCAACACTCCCCACCGATTAACTTTAGTTCGATCAGATTAAGATATGAATGTAGCAGACCCCATCTAACAATATACCTGTCTTTCAACAAGTAACATTTTCTAAAATAGTAATCGAGTATCCTTGATAATCGATAGTCCAAGTCGACCCGTTGTCTCGGACTCCCGAAATCTGGTTGCCGCAGGGTCTTTAAGGGACCCAAAGATTTCAGCTGACCGCCCTTCCTCCCCGACATCTCCACCATCGTCGATTTCTCTGGGGCAGCGATCCCATACATATCCCGACCAGAAAAAAAAATGCTCTGGCGTACAAAATCCCACCACAGCCAGGCGTCCGAAGCGGACGCCTCGGTTGCGCGTACCGCGTCCGCCTCCCAGAATGATCCGTCCGCTTCCGCCGACCAGGCCGCGGGTACTGCCTGGCTCGCTGGACATTTACACCACCTTACGCCGGAGCAGGAGGAGAAGCTCGTCGAGTTCAAGGCTGTCTGCGCTGAGCGCGAGTACTATACACCTAGTGTGGAACAGGATGGCGAGACTAAGCCGCCTAGCCATGATGATGCGACCATGCTGTATGTTACTCGGCCCGGTGTTCAAATGTTGTATAGGTCTGGTTTGGGACCGGGCTAACATTGAAACGTTGATATAGACGCTTCCTGAGAGCTCGCAGATTCGATGTCGAGGGTGCCTGGGGTCAGTTTAAGGACACAGAGGAATGGCGGAAGGAGAACAAGATCGAAGACCTCTATGCGAATATCGGTGTGGATTCGTACGAGGCTGCTCGTCGCATGGTAAGTGTTCCGCTTAGAGCTGGATGAAAGGAGAATTGTAGCCTGACTCTCTGCTACAGTATCCCCAGTGGACTGGCCGTCGCGATCGCCGCGGTATCCCCGTCTACGTCTTCGAGATCCGCCACCTCGACAACAAGGCTGTGGCTGCTTTCAATACTACTGCGACCACCGGTATTCCCGAGACTCACAAGTCGTCTTCCGTCCCGGCTCGTCTGCTGAACTTGTTCGCCTTGTATGAGAACCTTCTCAACTTCGTTATGCCGCTGTGCTCGACACTGTCGCGACCTAACCCAGAGACGCCCATCGTCACCTCGACCAACATTGTCGATGTGAGCGGCGTTGGACTGAAGCAGTTCTGGAACCTTAAGAGCCACATGCAGGATGCCAGTGTGTTGGCGACGGCTCACTACCCCGAGACGTTGGATCGTATTTTCGTATGTGGCCCGGTATATTCCTTGATAGCATATCCTAACTCGCCTTAGATCATCGGAGCTCCAGGATTCTTCCCTACCGTCTGGAGCTGGATCAAGCGCTGGTTTGACCCAGGCACCACCTCGAAGATCTTTATCCTGTCCGCCGCCGAGGTGAAGCCGACTCTGACCTCCTTCATGGAGCCCTCCAGCATCCCCACGCAATACGGTGGCGAACTCGAGTGGCAATGGGGCGACATGCCCAACCTGGACGAGCCAGCCAAGGCGAAGCTCCAGGGCATCGAGCAGACCTCAGCCGAGGGCAAGAAGGAACTGATGAAGGGTCCCATGCTGTTCAAGGGCGAGCACATCGAGGTGCTGGGCAGCCAAAACGGCAAGGATAGACGGGAGACCATCCCTGTGCCCCAGACCGAGACTACTGCTGAGTCCGAGAAGGCTGCCGGTGACGTCGCCGTGCCTCCCCATTCCACTCAGAACGAGAAGACGGGCATCGATGCGGTGAACGTTAACCAGGTCGAGACTCAGGTCGCGACCGCTGCCGTCTAGACGCGCATAGAATACCGCAACGGGCGTGGCGTGGAGGGGGGAGTGCAGATGCCTCAGCCGAGGCATCATCGCATCTGATAAGAAACGAATGCGTCTGCCTGGTCGTTCTTGTCGAGTGTCGTAATTAGTTTGATTCCTTTTTTGGCGGGCATTGCATGTGCATGTGCATAGATGGAGGCCTTGTGTGCCCCAACAGTTGGTTTTTTTTTTTTTTTCGGGTTTTGGACTGGTTTTGTTTGGTTATTCCCATTTTCGGGGGTTCGGCTCCGGCCATTTGATGTCTTCTCTTCTCTTCTTTTTCTTCATTCTTTGTTCTGTTTCTTTCTTTTTCTTCTTCTTCTTCTTCGTCTTCGTCTTCGTCTTCGTCTTCTATATAGTGATGCCATGACTCATGAATCTTGGGCTTTTCACTCATCTGGTTGGTGGATTTGGGGGCTCGTTTATTCCCTGGGTGGGATTTGATCCATAGAGTATATACATATGAAAACACTGGGTTTCACTTCGGACTTTGTCTACGGTTGTCTGGCCAAATTCTCCGATCCTAGTCGATGATCTCTCCGATCATGATCGCGGTGACTCGTTCGTGCCCTGCGTCCTCTCTCGATTGTATCATTTTGATTATCGATCATGCTTTCCTCACATGGGCCCGGCTCAGTATGTGTACCCGCCGCTACCGCAAATATTGGGCAGATCCACTTCCCCCGCGGATTCCACTCGGCATTTGGTGTTTCCCCTCCTGGTCCACAAACCGTACTGTCAGTGATGTGAACTCTACAAAGGACAAGTCACCTTGTAGAGCGGACTTGACCTGGACTCCACCTCCGATCAGGGCCGTGGAGCCATGCAGCGAGGGGTGTCACATGACCCATTCAGGGGCACATGGGGGAACCCGGACATTTGTTCCACGAGGCATACGGCATCCTCATACTTGTACTTTGTACTTTATATTTTGTCTTCCCATGCGGCCACGTAGATCCTTGTTAGTTGGCGTCGTTCTCGACCATGGTCCGGGGTAGCATGTGCGGCTAAGTTCAATCATCGTATCATAGGTCAGGCCCGAGTGTCTCCGACTAGGTCTCATCCAGCCCAGGAACCATCCAGGGACCAGCCACAGGCAACCGAGTGACATCTGAGCGGGCGCTAGTGGAAGCGGTTTGCGAAACTGTTGGGGCATCAGATGCGATCGACGTCATGTCGACTGTCCGAAAGAGGGCAAATGGCTCCGAGGTCTCAAATTTGCGGAGGCTGTGGGTTCACATGCGACTCGGTGCCGAACTGGGGCCAAAGTGATCGACAGCACCCTAAGCATTTAAACCCATCTGGACCCCAGGACCCCGGACGTGTCTTGGCCCAGAATTCTGACTCTTCATCATGGCGGACCGCAATCCGAAGGACTCGATGAAGTCCACCTGGCGCCAGCAAGCGCGCTCCGAGTGGACCCTCTTCCACTGGTTCTATGAACTACTGGGCATCCACCCCGAACATCTCGACCAGCAGGTGCCCACCCACCTGAAAGAAGACGCCGTCCCCTATGTGCCGGACTGGTCCATGCATCGCTGGGTACTCACGCACGCGGTGATCCCTCTTCTGCTACACCACGCCTACGTCCAATATACCGGCCACAACCTCGGCCGCCTAGGCGCTTTCATCCTATACAGCATGGCCTTTAAAGGAATCGCCATCCACGAACTTCATGTCCTCCGACGCCTAGGCCACACCCACGGCTTCCTAGACGGAGACAAGCACGCCCGCGACGGCGTCCCCGACATTGGCGTGAGCAAGGTCGTCCGCTCCCTAATGTCAACCTCAACCTTCCGCCCCATGTTCACCGTCCTACTCGCCTACCGCGTATCCGAGGCCCCAGCATCAATGAGTTTCGCCTGGCTCCCGCTTGAAATCGGTCTCTACGGAATCATCCTCGACTTCTGGTTCTACTGGTACCACCGTCTGATGCACGACGTCGACGGTCTCTGGAAATACCACCGCACCCATCACCTCACCAAGCATCCGAACCCGCTCCTGACCCTATACGCCGACACGGAGCAGGAGTTCTTCGATATCGCAGGAATCCCGCTGATGACCTGGTTCACGATGCGCTTCATGGGTATGCCCATGGGCTTTTACGAATGGTGGATCTGCCACCAGTATGTCGTGTTCGCAGAGCTGGCTGGACACAGTGGTCTGCGTGTGCACGCCACCCCGCCGTCCACACTTAGCTTTGTGCTGCGCTGGTTCAAGGCGGAGCTCGTTATCGAGGATCATGATCTGCACCATCGGAAGGGCTGGAAGAAGAGCCATAACTATGGCAAGCAGACTCGTCTTTGGGATCGGGTTTTCGGCACTTGCTGTGATCGCATTGAGTCGGTGGATAATAATGTGGATTATGCGAATCAGTCGCCTATGCCTCTTTATTGAGCAGAGCTGGATGTGCGACAAATATGAAGATTTGGGAGATAAAATGGGGCGTGTGATTTGGATTCGCTCTTTATATGACTTTTGATACCATGTTAGATCTTTTTTTTTCTTTGCTATATGTAAATACCCATGATTGAACGAGTCTGAAAATTATGTTTCGGTTCTGTATGTCCTGTGCGTCGATAATCGAACTGTCCCGTACTGTGGATTTTAGCGTGGGCTCGATGATCGCACGCAATACAACCCTGGTCAAGACGACTTAAGGTCGGTGGAGGAGATCGAACATCTTCCAAACGAACATAGCCAGTTGTAGTCCGCCAGAACTGGTATAGTGTACGGATATGCTGCGATCCGACAGTATCTTCTTGATCGGGGCTGTACTCGTGGACACACGATTCGATTTGCATCCAATGAACCAACAACTCTCCCAATCTGATTTTTCTTTGAGCTATGTAACTATATTCCGGGCGAATATGATGACATACAAGCTGTTTGATAAACTAACGATCACCACATGAACACATATTTCTAGTGAGAAGGACCAGGTGCCCCCGTCTGCTGTTGTTCAACAAGACTCTCCAAGCGAGTAACCGAATCCTGAACCTCCTTCTCACTAGGCAAGTTTACAATCAGGAGATACAGAACATCCTGCTGCATGACTTTCTTGATGATACCCTGCCGCCGGGGCCTATTCCGTTTGTCCAATCTTGGACCCCGGGGAAGTCGACCCCGAGCAACACGTCTAGCATCTCGGTTCTCACGCTTCATACCCCGTCTTTCTTGCATCCGGGCCTGCTTGGCCTGGCGCCGGGGTGTTGGGTTTATTTTCCCCCCAGTGATTAGTGAAATTAGAGAGCCGTTGTTGACGGCGTGATTAGGGTCACTGTATCGAGATTGCATGGCCTCCCTTTGGTTGGCGGGGACGACAAGAGATGAGCCTGGATTTTCTTTTTCCTGCAAACACGTTAGAAGAGAATAAGGGGAAAAAAAAGGGGGGATTGAGCTTACGTAGAAAGCGTGGGCTCTTCGGTCCATGTAATCTTGAACCCAGACACCGGCGTCCTTGAATTTCTCACGGACTCCTGAGTTCTCAGGTCTCTTCTCATTTGACTTCATTCCGAGCTCTTGAGCAGCAACGCGATCGAGATCAGGGAATACAAGCTCTGCAGACTCGGGAAGCTCGACTTGACCATAAGTCTTGCCGTTCGTCAGGCGAATATTCTTCAACTGCTTGTTCATGCTTGACATATTCGGATCTGGATTGCTATATTTGGCAATCGTCTCATTGAGATCAAGCTTTTTGCTCTCAAAGAGAGTCGTTCCTAGACGATTAGAAAGTTTCGCCAGAAGACCCCTTTGCTGGCCAGGTATTTGGTCTTTGAAGCACATCACCATGGCGTAGAGACCGCGTGGCATAAATAGCTCCTGGTTGACTTTATCGAGGAATGTGTTCCCACGATGACGGGACTGGAGTTCACGAGCAGTGCCAGCCACGACCTGGACAACTGTGCCGACCACCTGGGCAGCCACTGCAGGAACAAAGCCGACAATACCGGCAGCAACGAAAACCACATCGATCCAAGGATCCGCCTGAATAGTGTTAGAAGACTTGACTACTCGCCCGCCTGGTGATATGTATTGAAAGTCACGAACCTTGCTGGATTTCTCCCAATCGGCCAAGAACCGCAAGAACACATCTTGACTAATACCGCAATCTTCAAGGACAGGAGCATACGCTCTCACAAACCCACGATCCTTCCGTCGAGGCCGGCGCTGCGGAAGAACAACAGGACATGGTATCTGTCCAACAGGCTGAGGCACGGGACCGGCCATCCCAACCATGCGGCGAATCATTTCATCCTCCTTATCCTTGACATCAGATTCGGTAGATGGCGCCATGGCCTCTTCGTATGAAGGCGGCATCACACGTTCGGCCATATCATCGAGCTCCCAAGCTGCTTCATCTTGGTTGGTGATGAGCTCATCTTCCGAGTCACTATCCGAATCAGGATTGACCTTGCGCACCCGCAGTACTTCCTTTCCATCTATGACTACCCGTTCGGCTTCGCCGCAGTTGACGAGCTTCTCCGCTTCGAGTTTGTCGATGTTTTCGAGATACTCGTACTCATCTTCTAGATTTTCGGCTGCAGGGGCTTCTCTAGTCACAGCAGAAGAAGAAGAAGCTTCGCCGGATTGACTGGATCCTGACCGTACGCGGTGGATCGCCTCCGAGCCAGCCCCGATGCCTGCACTTAGCAGTTTGCCAATGATGCCCTGTCGTCCGCGAGGCATTCTGAATTGCTTGATAGGGAGTTTGGAAGAGGGGGCAAACTCCCGGACTTAAAGAAAAGAGGGGCTGTCAGATCCAAGGTATTCTAAGCTTCGGCACAGCCTCACTTGAGCTCAAGTGCTTACTGCACCGCCTCCAAACTAGAGCTTGAGCCACTTTTCGGTCCTTCGGGTACAAGACTAACAAGGAGCTTCAGTCTTACCATAAATATCGCTACGGCGGTGAGAATCGACTTCAAATCATTGCCAACTATAGATTACACTCTTGTCTTAAAACTAGCAAAGGTATATGCAGCGCCCTCTAAGCTTACGCCTTCCACAACATGTTGACTTGCTTCTTGCGAACCTAGGAATAGAGTTAGTAAATGCAGAACAGACAACATGGGATGGGAATCTAGCTTACCATTGGCGCCAAGAATGAGACTCCGACGGCCAATGCCACCACGGTCAACAGAAGCTGCAACTTGGAAAAGCTCTTGCCAAGAATGTCGAATGCCTGGCTAGGAGTGGCACGAGTGCCGAAGATATCGCCGCCAAAGGCGAAGATGAGACTGGTACTCTCCAAAAGTGTGGGCTGAGAAAGAACAGTCTTGATACCTGCGACATCACGGGCGTGCGTGAGGTACCACTTGCCATCGAAGTCGAGGAACGGCGCGTAGCGGAACAGACCTTCCTCGGCCTCGGAAGACGTGGCGTCACGGCCGACGGGACGACGGGGGTCCAGAACCGGACGAGGGATACCGACGATGGAGTTGGAGAATGGGAGGGTGCAAAGGAGCTGCTGAGTGGTGATTCCCTGACGGGTTTGGGTGACAGCCATGTGGGAGATGGGTTCGGGGATCACGAAGGACTGCGAGACCACGTGGGGGAGCGGAAGGCTGTCGCCGTGGATGCTAGAGTAGTTTCCAGCGGCGTCAAGAGGGCCACGATCGTTGGGAATATCAGACTCGTAGAGTTCGGAAATCACAAGCTGGTAGCCCTTGGCGGAGGATTCGTCGGTGGCGTCGCCGTAGAACGAGTAAGCGAACCAGTTCTCGGAGATGGTGGACGAAATGGGTTGGTTGGCATCCACGCCAACTTGAATAGCTTCGTGCAAGACCTTGCCCGAAACAGCATCCAGAAGATAGAAGCCGGCAGTATGGCCCTTGGTATCCACCGCAGAGACCAAAACCAAGTTGGGGTTGAGGTACTTGTACAGAACAGAACGATCTCCGAGAACCTTTCCGATCGACGCAACCGGGTCATGGGCAGGACGAGCCGTAGCCTGAAGGACCGTTTGACCCGCAGGAGGAACAAACTCCCAAACGGGAATCTTGTTGTCACTGTTGGCCCAGCCGAGAACGCGGCCGTCTGCACTGGTAGTCACCAGGTATCCAGTGCTCTCGTCAAACGAGGAAGCGGGAGTCCCATCCTCCTGGATACCCAAAACCTTGTTCTCAATGGTGGCAATCGACTGGAACTTAACATCCTTCGGCGAAGAGCGCGACGTGATAGCACCGGTGGAGACATCGAGTGTGATTGAGCTGCCATCACTGGGGTAGATGGTCGCCTCGCCAGATTCGATCACAATAGCCTTGACATCCCAGGAGGAAGTTTCAACAGCCTGGATGGACCAGGTAACCGCACCATGCTTACCAGTATCCAAGGCATAGACACGTCCCTTCTGAGTAGCGACGATCACAGATTTTGCAACTCCAAAGCTGTCCAGATTTGTCACCTCGTCGCCGAGAATGCTGCCAAGAATACGGCTAGGAAGCTCCGTGAGCCAGGCGGGAAGGTGTTCGAGGTCCCGCACATGGCGCTTCACGCGATGGATATATGCTCCGTGCAATGTTTCGTGGCCCTCAACCTCCAGCTCGTGGACCAGGTCTTCCTGTACATCGTTATCCACCCAAGCGGCTGCCACGGCGTCAATCAAAGCCTCGGGGCGATTCCACTCGATTTGACCGTTTCGGATGAGCTGCCAATCGCCAGAGTCGCGCAGGATAGCAGCACGTACAGCGACGGCAGAGCCCTTCGCAACAACCTCTGCAGCGGCATTTGAAGCACGCTCAGAAGATTTCAACTCGAGATCCCAACGTCCCAAAACGCCATGGGATGCAGAAGAAACCACAACAGTCTCCGAATCAGTAATGCGAGTAAAGTACACATTGGCATCGATGCTGCTGGTTGCGACCACGGAAGGTCCTGACACGAAGGGCAGCTGGTAAGCCTTTGATACCTTAGCAGCCTTCAAGTCCACATGGTAGACCTCGGCCCACGATCCAGAACTTGTGCGGTAGAGAACCAAGAAATGGGGAAGAGCGTTGAGTTTATGAGCGGCGTGCACAGTGATCTGCTCGATCTCCTGGCCCGAGACGTTGTCGATGGCAACCGTGTTGACCTGTTTAGAGCCAATGACATTGACCTTGAGTGACTTCAATGACTTGTCTGTCCATACAATCAAAGGCGATGCGGAGTTGGCGCCCACAAACAGAACGGATTCCGGGCCGGTGACATCGGCATCCGAGCTCAAGGTATGATGGCTAGTCTGACGACCAGTCAAAGAATCCAGAGAGGTGACCTTGATCTTGTAGCCTTTTAAAATTGAGGACTGGAGGGAGATGTAGAAGACATTAGTGGAGGAAGATGACACCTGGAACGGGGTATCGCCGCTGGAACCATCAGTTAGCACTGCCGCAGCCACTACCAGCATAGAGCTTACCTGTCGTCCTTGTATTCCCACTTGGTCTTTCCAGAGTCACCGTCCAGCCGCCTCACAACACCGGCGCCGCCATTGCTGACGAGCGCAAGCGTATCGCGGACGCTGGATGTCGCACTGGCATCCTCCAACTCCAGGAGCTCAAGATCCGCGATTGATTCATCGGCGAGCTTGTTTTCCCAGACCAGCTTTCCATCCTGAGCACTCCATGACGAAATGTAGTCGCCGGCCGCGCCGACAACAGCGTTGTTCCCATCGAGGCCACGCAGAATACCAGCTCCGCCAGTCAGCTCAGAGGCCGACCGTGAGAGGTCCTGTCGCCAGACTAATGAGCCATCTCGGGGGTTGACAGCACCGAGGATCGACTTTTCGGAGATGGTGTAGAGGAGGGATGCATTGGAGGAGGTAGAGGGCCTGAGGAAGAAGGTCGAATCGGGGGAGGGGGCACCGAGCAGCGCGTGGTGGAAGTCAATGTGATTGACTTCGTCGGTGTAGATGGCCGCTGCGGGCGACACGCACGCAGCTACAAAAAGCGCCGCTTGAAGCCGCATTGTACTATGTGATGAGCATTGACTGAAGAGGTGTTGTTAGCTTGGTTCTTGGATCTCAGGACGTCGGGTCCGCGGGCGGTGATGGAGATCTCCCCGGACCCTCGCACTTTGACACTTCCCTTCTACACTTCTACACTTTTACATTTCTCTTAATATTCTCATGTTTTTTCCTGCATTGAACTGCGCTGCCAGGTACTATAAAGCTGGAGTGACCTCGTACAAAAATATACATAATTTTGACAATAATCTAGAGGCCACTTGACAATTTGAACGCCTTCTTGAACGGTCTTTTGACCGTCTTGACTTATAAACATCTTTTACTCTGCGATTGCATCTACTTCAATCTCAACAAGCATATCGTCATCAACAAATCCATTGCTGACCACAATCATTGTCGCAGCTGCCCCAATTTGGTCTCCATTCTCTTTGCCCAACACATCCCTGAATCCTTCCCCCACAGCATTGCAGTCCTCTTTCCTGCTCACGAACATCTTACATCGCACTATGCTCTCGGCACCTTGACCACCAACAGCTTGAATAGCCTGGATGATCTCCTCCAGAATCACACGTGTCTGTTGGCGAGCATCTCCGGGGAATCGAACTCGCGGGGCTTGCGGAGGAGAGTTCGGGTCTGCTGCAGTCGATCCGGCCACGTAGATTAGGTGGCCACGACGCACTGCTCGATAGTATCCGATTCGAGCTTCCCAAGGAGAAGAAGTGCTGAAGAATTGCTTTTTGGTAGTCATGCCTCTAAGGAATCTTTAGTCGGTTTTTCCTTCTTGCCACCGGTAACTCAGTCGGTCTACCTTAGATGAACGCCGGGTATGCAGAAACAAATGAGTTATAAAATCGCCGCCGAGCTTTTGGAAATGCAACTTAATTTGTGCATCGAAGTCGTTTCCCGCTTTATATCCTCGTGTTGGTCCCGCTATGTACCTAGATAGCTTTGTGGCTGGAGTTTCCGCAATGAGTCAAAGCAAAGTTGACTCATCGTTCTGTAAATCATAGTAGCAACTCGTTTCTAGCTTTATTCAAGTACAAAATTGGAACAGATTTTTGGAATATATAGATTGGCTCCTACGTATGCCACACATGGTCTATCGAAATTCTTGTAGCTCGGTATCTTCCACTTCTGCGGGGACACGCTGATAAGAATGCTTGAAAGGCCTCAACCGATTTGTGGCAAACCAAAAGACTACAACCAAGATTGCAATTGACGCAACAAAGACAGGTAGGAGAACTGGGAAGGCAAGTGACTTTTTCAAAGATTCAGGAGTCGCAGTCTCAGAGACCTCTGTTCCTTCCCAGTGAGAAGGAGTTGCAATGTGATGCACTTTACTTCTCCCTAAAACATGGCCCTTGTGATCAATAGCCTCCGCAGAGATCCAGCCGAAATGACCTTTGACTTCAAATTTGGTCTCGAATCCTGTCTTCTCGGAAGTGCCAAGAAGAAAGCGTTCATAGTCTTCTCCTCCCTGGGCGTAAAAGTCCCACGATGCAATGTCTGTTGCACCATTCCAGCTAGCATAGATCGTGGTGAGGAATCCTTGTTCTAGAGACTCAGTGACTGAAGCTATGAGAGCTGGCGGCGTATTTGGTCGGCCGATGAACTCAGACTTATATGCCCGATAAGTTGCGAATTCGTAGTTCATGAGAAACCTTGCCTCCATTAAAACCTCTCCGTCGGATGAGAATTCGGAATGATATCCATGGTCACTCCAGCCCACAAAGACATTGCCGTTGGGAAGTTGTTGAATATTGCCTCGAAGCCGAGTCAACTGATTGTCGGGTCGATTGTAACGACTGATGACTCTTGCTCTCTTTGGTGAAACATTTGTCTCCAGTCCAACAATCAAGGCTGAAGATAGGGGTTCTTCATTCTTCTCGTCATCAGAAGCATTGTTCAGAAAAGAAATGACATGGTGGGTTCCATTTGACTCCAAAAATCTGGCGTCGTGCTGTTTCGAGAAAACGAAGTCTTGATCAAAGTCGGTTTCACTTCCGCCTAATCGCCAAAGAATTTTGCCATCAATACCGGATATCAGATATATCGTATTAGTGAAACGCATGGATACTAGGTAGTGGCCGTCGGCTTGCTTGTCAACCGAGTTGATATGCAAATAGTCGTAGCCTGGGGCTTCTTGCGGCGATGAATCATTTCCAAGCTGAACAGATTCATGAATCGCAATATTTCCTGGCGCTGAAGAATCCCACTGAGTCAAAATATCACCGGTGAACATATCAACCTCATAGAATCCAGCGGAAATGAAGGACGACTTTTCATCAGAGCGGCCAAAGTCGGCCAAGCTCATTTCTTTCGTCCAATGCACACAGGCTAAGGCCGATTTGCCCCCGGAAAGTACATTGAATTCGTGAAAGTCGAATTCTTCGACTCCATCCGGTCCACTGGTCTCAAACTCGACCTCATAGTTCTGGTTCAGCACGATCGCGCGTCCTCGAATAGCAGTTCTATTTCTTGCTACTATGAAGGACAGCCGAATTTGTCCGTCGGTCTCACGAATGGTCTTGAAATCATAAGTTCTGAGATTTTCGACCATCTGAGAGCCGGTCCAGATTAGAGTCTATTTGTGATACTGTCTTAGTTCAGATTTCCCAATTCAGGCAACAATAAACAATTCGGAGGGAAACGACCTACTCCATTTTGGTCGTAAATATGAGGCCCGACATGGAATGGTCGTCGACCCGTTATCGGGTTTTTGGGGATCATCTTGCCATACGGGGCAACAAACCAATACCCCGGGCCCACGCGGTTGCGGTCATGATATTGAATCTCAAATCTTGGCGCATACACCTCGGGGAGCTATATGATTGTTAGTAGATGGCTCTCGCCTCATTTTTGAGATTGCCTGACGGTAACAAAGGACATGAATTCGTCATCAAGGCTATGGGCGATAGCACTGGCGCTAAGCCATGCTAGGACCCAAGCCAATATGATCATCCTGAATTGATGGCGGGGTGTGTGGCGCCATCACTGCTGTAACATTGTGGAGAAGAACGAGGGATTTTTCAAATGATGTGATGTTTGAGAAGAAAAAGAGGGATACGAGGGGAAATGGGGCTAAAAAAAGATGAGATCTGACTCGGATTTGGGCCGCCAAGACCGAAATAAAACAAGGGTCCGAAGGGTCCGACACAGAGCCCCAACTAGACCTATCGTTCTGTACTCATGAACTACACGGGGTTCTCTTGGTAAACGAATATTTTATGTTCGATTCGAAGTTCCTAATAGGCGATGGCATATAGATAAGTAATTATCTAGTAAAGAGGAAGTGATTGCTGATCTAACACAAAGGAAGGAGTTCGCGCCAGAAGTGGTCGATCCAATTCGCGAAAGATCATATCAACCGACTTTTCCAATCTGCAAAGGCAATGATGAATCTTGGACTATTTAGATCTCAACTTTTGGACATTCTTCACAAGACGCATGATGCAAACGAGATGTCAAATGAGCCACATGTCCATATTTGACTAGTTGTAAGCTGAGGCTTAAAGTCGACACCTTGTCAAAAACTTTCGGTGAACATCGGCCTTCCATTGATTGTGATCATCCCAGGGACCAAGACTACAGATCCAGGCGTCAAGTCGCAGGGATTAAAGCTAATCACATCACACACCCGTTGAGGACCCCCTAATGTCAAAGACGAGATGTGGAACCACATCTCCAAGGTAACAGGTGTACAAGCGTGAATCGGTGCGAATGTCACCAGTGCCGATGAATTATTGATGTTGGATCTAAATGGGTTCGTCCAGACGTGCAACTCGACCAACTTCTTCATTGTTCGTGACGGCGAGGTATGGGCTCCAACAAAGAATAATCAGATGCAGGGAATCACGCGCCAGAAATCAAGTGATGTTTGTCGTGCCAATGGGATCCCTGTTCGAGAGCTCGATTTTACACTCACCGAGGCACATGGTGCTGATGAGGCCTTCTGTACTGGAACTTTTCCTTCGCAGATCCATGTGCGAGAAATTGATGGACGGCAAATTGGATGTGGAAAGCGCGGGCCAATTACGAAGCGTATTCAGCATGTATATATGGAGGCAGTGGCAAGGGATACGGAGAGAACCCGGATGGATATTCAGCAGGATCTAGAAGCAGGTAGATTATCCAAATTGTAGGGTGCCTACATGTGTACATCTGAGAAGGCTTGATTGAATAAAATGATGCTTATTTTGTGCAATGATTGTATATGTACATCAATATTGAAATAGATCCAGCTCCTGCCAAATGACAACACTAATGCATTCTCTTACTCTCCAAAGCATGCCTTGTTGGCCGAACGCACAGCCTCCTTCTCACCCTCGCTCATGGCATCGGTAATCTCCCAGGGCTTGTTGCCGAGACCCATAGCACGCTGTCCGTCGGGGTTCAATGAAGACCAGTCTACTTGACCCTTGAATCCCTTCTCGCCGGGGCCACCAGCACCAGGGAAATCCCACGGAGGCGAGTAGGAGAGAGCAGCCTGGCGCTGCTTCAGGAGATAATCGACGTTCATGTCGCACATCGGCGTAGCAGGGACGTACAACACACTGGAGTCGCCCTTGCCATGGTGCTCCTTGTCAACTGAGTGCAAAGAGTCACAGTGCCAGGCGACAAAGTCACCGGGCTCAACCCTGGGCACGGAGACCATGGTAGTCTCCAGATCCATGTGGGGGTGGGTGACAGGGTTGAATTCTTGGCAAGCACCTCCAACGGACCCGGGGAAAGTGGAGTCCAGGTTGGGCTTGAGGGTCTTCGCATCGAAGAAAGGTCGTAGAAGGGTGTACGCCGTGCTATGGATGAGCATGGGGCACACATGGAGTGTACCCTCGCCGGGTGCAGTGTCGGACATGGAAAGCCAGCCCTGAAAGAAGCGCAGCATGGAGCAAGCGCCTGCACCATTATACATGTCCATCTTGGCATTCAGACGGTGTCGGACATCCCACGGATCATACTGCTCCCAGTTGCCTTCCAAAATCTTGGTGTAGACACTGGAGTACTCGGGGTCTTCCCAGCGCTCGAGTGAGCCGCCATCAACGTGCGGGCCAAGAGTGAACTTGGAATCACCAGGGTCTCTAATGCGCAGACGGTCCGCGTATGTCAGCGGGTTGGAAGTGGAGATCCTCGACTTGGGGTCTGATGAGTGCCACAGACGCTGCAGGAAACGCTGGGTCTCGAGCATGTTGGGATGGGCGCGGGCTTCCGCTTGAGACGGAGTCCAATACAGCTCATAAACAGCGGGCGAGTCTGCGGGGAATGCCGTCACACGCCCTTTGTTGGCAGCGACATAATCACGGATGCGTTGCTTATAGTCCAAGGCCCGGTCCCGAGGGATGACATTGCGAATTACCACTGTGCCTCGGTGGCGGATCTCTTTCAGGTCTTCCTCGGAGATCTTCCCTGACACCACATCGGCGTATTCCACCGAAGGAATAATCTAGTTCATGTCAGTCACTACCCTGGCAAGATGAGCGTCAGAAATGATCAGATATCACCTACATCACTACCTTTAGACTTGATTGTTTCCACTTCCTCTTCCATGCTAGGCAGGAGCCGTTTCCAGCTCTCTGTCAAGGCTTTTTCATTCTTCTCCCAGAACTTCAACTTGAGCTCTCTAAAACGCGAAGGAAGAGGCTCCGGCTTGTAGTCCGGTCTCAAACTGGGGAAAACCGAAGAGATGTCACCGGCGGCTTTAGTTGTCTGCGCCGCAGTGGAGGTTGATGCCGCACGAGCGGCTCTTTTTGAGAGAATCCTGGACATCGACATAATTGATGATTGGGCTTTTCATTGACCGGAGACCGTTTGGGGGAATAGACTCGACTTTTATACTCTAGTGGCCATCGCGGGGTGTAAACTTCTGGATTGTCGGGAGTCTACTATTTTCGGTAAGACAGCCGCCCGACGGCGGTAAGATCTCCGTTTTGGGTCAACTTGGTCCGACATTGACGCCTGATTCGCGAGCCTGCCCAAGTACGTCATGGAGATTTATAGTATACTACGTATGCATCTGTTGTTGTGCACTGTGATGCAGATACTAGGAAAAGATTATTCCGGTAACTTGGGGAAATTATGAGAAACAACCTCATCCGCATGTATTCAATCGCCAGGTAATTCCACCAGACACTCAATCGAGGTGCCCTCATCAGTATCAAATATGTTTAACTACCTACCTTTGACACCTTCTAGACCACCTATCCACAGCCAAGCCTGTCCGTGAGCCCCATAAAGCAGCAATAGTCATACGAATCTTGTTTTAGGTCATCCATCATATCCTGGACAATGGTTTGCGGAGCTACGATTCCCCTTCATTATCACGATAGATCGATGAGGCTCGTGAACGACAAACTGCTCCACTAGCCTCCAACAATCTCAACCATGAAGTGATTTTAAATGTGGGAGCTTCAATTGGGTTTCTGGCATCTTTCGACTTCTGGCGTGCTACCTGCGGGTTTGATCCAGGTGGACTGGACTATCCGTACTTGCTCGGGACTCTCATCTCTAGTTGAAATTTCCCCCATTTCATACTTATACTGAGCCTCTACTTTTTTTCAATTCTCATTTTAGCTCAAAGAGAGATGATCGAGAGGCCTTATCTGTCAGCGGTCCATATATCATTGCCCTGTGTACTTACATAAACAGAGCAAATACACACAGCAGCTGCTTCTCTCTCGATTGGTACATTGAATACAGCTTGTGTCAAAACTGGGATGCAGTCAGGTAGAGTTCATAGAGGGGAAAAAGCTTTGCAGTCGGGACTTTTACTGAAAACATCGTTGGCCACTTGGTCTGCATCTTGCTGGAGGGCGATATCCACTGCCTATTTGGGAAATCTATCCGCCACGACGGAGAACTGCGGAGGATGAGATTATGCTAATCCACAACTCAGGGTAGAATTCGGCTATAATATACCGACTCGGTTCACGCGGCAAGTTCTTATTTTCTCCTAGGGTCAAAATAGATCAAAGAAAGCACTAGAAGCTCGCTAGAAGAGCATGGTTCACGTAAGATCAAATACATCGCGCATGGAGAGCGACAGAGTCGACGGAAATGGTAATTTTGGCGAGGAACTTTGATTCTCCACCGGAACACCGCTGAACTGACTCAATGGAAAGAAAAGAATGGAAATTCTTCTAATTTGAACCTGTCAGATGACTCTAGGCCAAGGGTCCCGACCTAGGATTGTGCTGGCAATGAACTCGGTGATCCAGCCGGGCTCGGGCCACTTTCCTACGCTGAGGACCGGTTAAATTCCCCCACGCGGGGTCCCCCTCTTTTTTAAAACGGATATGGTACGCGCTGCAATTGACACCGAAGTTCCACACGTAGACATAAAAGATCGTAGAATTCTCGGTATGGTTCCTCGAACCATTCGACCTTTGTCTACGCACAATATGGCTCTCTCAGTCAACGGACGGACGGCTATCGTCACTGGAGCTGGCTCTGGTATGTTGCCTTGTACCATAGTTAAGACCTAAGCAAGATGCTCACATTTAGCTAGGAATCAACTTTGCCTTTGCGAAACTGTTAGTGGATAATGGGTGCAATGTTTTGATCGCAGACTTGGCCCTGCGCCCCGAGGCTAAGGTGCTTGTCGACAAGCACTCGACTGGTGCTGCCCGGGTAGTATTCCAAGAGACCGATGTCAGAGACTGGCTGCAACTGGAACGAATGTTTGAAGTTGCAGAGGGAGAGTTCGGCGAGATCGACATCGTTTGCCCGGGTGCCGGAGTCTACGAACCGGTAGGTGTCTACACGGTGGGACTCGTTACGAGGATTACATGCTGACAGTGCATACAAATAGCACTGGAGTAACTTTGGCGCCCGCCGAGATCCACAGCCAGCAAAGATTCCCCCGATGGAGGTCGGTATGCGCTGGTGGACATCAACGTCACACACCCCATTCGCACGACACAACTAGCCATTGCGCATTTCCTGCGTCATAAGGAAAACGGTCGTCCGAAACACATTGTTCACATTTCCAGCATTGCGGGACAGAACGCGACATTCGCGGCGCCTATCTACGTCGCGACGAAGCACGCCATCAATGGCTTGGTTCGGTCACTGGCCAAGCTTGAGACACTTGGCATTCGAGTAACAGCCGTGGCTCCGGGTGTCATCAAGACTCCGCTCTGGACTGATCATCCGGAGAAGTTGAAAATGGTAGACGACAGTGTCGACGAGTGGGTGACGCCGGAAGAAGTAGCTACTGTGATGTTGGCACTTGTGCAGCAAGACGTGGTGGGTGAGACTATTGGAGACAGGTCTGGTCGGGGTCCACAATTCCCAGTGAGCGGGGGCACAATTCTGGAGGTATCTAAGACCGTGCGGGCAGTTGGCCAGTTCGATGATCCAGGCCCAGGGGACCGGCCCGGTAACACTGCCACCGACCATGCAGCTGTGGAGGAGGAGAGTTTCGGTTTGTTGGCAACAAAGGGATGGGGACAGTCCAAGCTGTAATTAGGTGTCGCTGAATCATTAATGAAGAACATGTTATAGTGAAACCCTTGTAGTAGTTAAGTGAAATAGTGATGTAGGGTGGTAAGCACGTCAAAAGTGCGGAGCGGGCAAGTCAGGTGCTGGGGCCTATCGGGGCGCTTTGATAAGAGGCCACGGCTCCATTTCTTCTCCTCCATCATTCATCTCCCAGCTATGCTGGTCGTCGCTATGCTCGCCATTTGATTCAATTTACTGCATAGACTCGGGACTCCTACATTAATATTCACACCATGGACGAGGCAGCTGTAGGGGCAGGCCCTGCGAGGGCCCAACCCGGACTGCGACGGTTCGTCTTCGGACCTTTCCCCCATTCAGCCCACGTGCTAATAGGACCTGGTGTTACAGACGAGCAGGACGGTCTAAACATGTTACGGGTGTCTCTGGGGAGGCTAGCTGGACAAGCAGTGTGATCAATCTGGTCAATACGAGTGAGTGTGAATGTTGCCCGCCAAGGACACCCTCTAACGCGATGTCTCACACCAGTTATCGGCGCCGGAGTTCTAGCGATGCCGCTCGCGGTTTCGCACATGGGGATCGTTCTGGGAACGTGTGTGATCTTATGGTCCGGGGTCACGGCGGGATTCGGCCTCTATCTACAATCACGATGCGCTCAATACCTCGATCGAGGAAGCGCTTCCTTCTTCGCGCTATCGCAATTGACATACCCTAACGCCGCCGTGGTCTTTGATGCCGCCATTGCGATTAAATGCTTTGGGGTCGGCGTGAGCTACCTCATCATTATCGGTGATCTCATGCCTGGGGTGGTTCAGGGCTTTGTTGGAGGCCAGCCAGTTTATGACTTCCTCATCGACCGTCATTTCTGGGTCACTGCCTTTATGTGAGTTGGTATAGCTGGTATATCTGTGGTCTAGCGGCTAATTACCTTGTGTTGCAGGTTAATTGTGATACCTCTTTCGTACCTGCGCCGCCTAGACTCGCTGAAGTACACCAGTATTGCGGCTCTCGTATCCATGGCCTACCTGGTTGTCTTGGTTGTATATCATTTTGTCAAAGGAGATACGATTGCGGATCGTGGACCAGTTCGCGTGATTCACTGGGCTGGCCCGGTTTCGACCCTGGGCAGCCTTCCGGTCATCGTCTTTGCATTCACATGCCATCAGAACGTACGTTCCTTTTGATTATGTCTCTATTGAACATCAACTAACATGCATCGCTAGATGTTTTCCATCCTCAACGAAATCAAGAACAACAGCCACTTCCGGACGACAAGCGTCGTTTTTGCCAGCATCGGCAGTGCAGCTTCCACCTACATTCTGGTTGCCATCACTGGATATCTCTCATTCGGTGATCGTGTGGCCGGAAACATCGTCGGCATGTACCCTCCAGGTCTCTATGCGACGATCGGGCGAGCTGCGATTGTTATGCTAGTTATTTTCTCCTATCCTCTCCAATGCCACCCTTGCCGAGCCTCTGTCGACGCTGTGTTGAAATGGCGTCCTGCGGCCCAAGCCCCTGGCACCGACAACTCCCCACACAGACATCCGCTGTTGGGCCCGCGTGGCAACCGCACACCGGAGACTATGAGCGACCTTCGTTTCTCGATCATCACCACAACCATTCTAATCCTGAGCTATTTGGTAGCCATGACCGTGTCTTCCCTCGAAGCAGTGCTTGCGTACGTGGGTAGTACGGGCAGTACCAGCATAAGTTTCATCTTACCAGGCTTGTTCTACTACAAGATCTCATCCCCTGACTCTGCCGCCCACCGTGGTTTGATGAAGGAAGACGATGAGGCCATGGAAGATATCTCTGATGAAGAAGACGAAGACGAAGATGAAGGCGAAGGTTCCCTTGCTCGTTCGTTGACCGAGAGTGGCCTCTTGCTCCGCGGAGTTCGTCACTGGCACAAGGCTCTGCTCCGCCGTCTGAGTTTGGCTCTGGCCATATACGGCCTTGTTGTCATGGTCGTTTGTCTGATCACGAACACCTTCTTCGTCACTTCGCATTGATCAATGCGCCCGCTACTAAGTACCTGGAGCTTTTCCTTAATTTGTTTCCAGGGTCTATCTTTTCTTACGCTCGATGGTATACCGGAAAAGCGGTTCTGTCTGTTATTTTACCAATTTCTAGAAGCTCTTTTCTGTATATGGGGTTCTTTTTCACCATTCACTTGCATAGCTCTTGCTTTTTTTTGACCTTTGTTTGTTTGTGATTGATGTTGGGCGTTTGTGGTGCTAAACTTCACTTTCTTGTCATTTGTCTACTTTGTGAGTTTATTAACTCTTGGCCATACTTTACATCAATGACTACACCTGATGATAGAAACGGTAGCCTTGACGCCAGTTTAGCGTCCGAAAGTATTTCCACTTTTACCATAAGCTCACTAGCACTCATCAGTATTCCATTGTCTCTGAGCTTACAGCTCGAGTTCCATCCCTTGCTATTCAATGATCATTTCATTACCACTTAGAGTCCTTGGGCATCCTAGGGATTATTTGCCTGTTTAGGATTAGCGTCATTGGTATAGGTACCACCAGGCAGCACCAGGCATACCAAAGAAGGGATGGTACAAATCTCCTTGATCCGGGCAGCTCATATTCATTACCTTCTCTGGATACCTTTCCCCAATTGATCCTTCCTAGAGAGTGTTATTCCACACAATTATTTGTTGTCCTTCAACACAAAAACAACTCCCTGCCTATATAGCATCCATGGCCAGCATCGGAGACCTCCCCTATCTACGAGACAAGATCTTGGAAGACAACACCACAAAAAGAATCCTCATCAAACTGAAATCCAAAACCTTAGACTCAGAAGACTATCGCGTCTCCGCAAACGAAATTGTCAAAGAAATATTCCCGAACTGGGAAAACGATCGCCGAATTCTCTATCTCGCCATTGACATATGGAAGGAGCGCACCTTCATCGTTATCGATATCAACAATCACGATTATGACTTTGAAACGGCACACGAAAGCAAGAAGGTTCTTCCAGTCTATGTGCTTCGACAATATAGGAAAAGGCAGGGTTGGGCCCTAGTGCGATTTCATCCTGTGGATGAGCGTCTCATGATTCAACTGGCGGAGCTTCATGAGCATCAGGGGTGGAATTCTACGACTCCTTTTCTAGCGGATCATACTACAATGCTTTGTTATCGCAACCCTCGGGGGTTGCGGCCACGAAGTACTTCTATTTAGTTGGTCGATCTCGCGATTTGGAATGCCTTGCTTTAGCTGGTAGATCAAGTGCTTGAGGCGGCACTTCCAATTGAAGGCGCTCTAGTCGTGCAGTGTATTCGGAATAGGATCGGGTAAATGGGGCCTGTTCTTGCATTACTACTACAGCTTAAAATACTAATTTGAAGTCATGATCTGAAATTCTTGCTATCAAAACAGCAAAGACGGTCGAAATCTCGATAGGATACTGAATCACGAGCAGGAGTGCATATAGACAGTAAATGAAAGCAGTTGTTGAAGCAAAAAAGACGCACATGCGTCAAACTGGCTTGCCTATCCAATCTTATCCATCACCAGACGAGCAACCACACAACCAAAAGCTGAGTATAATACCCACTTAGTTGTTCTGTTGGCTGTTCAGGATGCGCAGAATAGACAAGAAGAGGTTGATAACATCCAGGTACAGAGAGATGGAAGCCTGGATCTCATCGTCAAGATGATAGTGGCGCATAACCATCTGCGTGTCCACGAGGATATACCCCGAGAATATCAGGGTCCCCATGACACCATAAATAAGCTCGGCGGTGCTGCCGAATGGAATGAACATGGCTACGAATCCGAAGAGGACCATGAACCACAGTGCGCCAAAGAGGTAGGGCATCCAGTCGGTGAAGTCGTACTTAGTTTGGCATGCGAAGAGCGTTAGGGCCACGAAGATACCCAACGTCAGGGCTAGGGCCTGCACGACAACTCGCACGTCATAGAAAGATGTCACCACGCTGATTGAGTAGCCTTCAAGTAGGGTGAAGCCAGTCAGGAAGATCAGATTTGTGGGGTATGACTTTGCCTTCCACCAGGTAGCTAGCATGAAGCCGAGGGCACCGAATATGGAGAGGATTACCAGCCATGGACTGCCTCTGATAAATTCGCGGTAGGAATCGCTGAAGAAGGAAATGGAGCAGAGGCCGGTTGTGACGAGAAGTTGGACGGTCCTGGAGTGGTTCTTGTGTTAGCTGTATGCTCTGCCTTGAAATACATTTTCCACGTGAGATTCGGAGGGAGATAGATTGTTAGACTAACAGGATAGAGTAGACCTTGCGCACGAACTGCATCCGGATGTCGATGGTGCCTTCCGACACGCAGCCGCCGAACTAAAAGCGACAGTCAGCGTCTCTGTAGCTTGCAGTGAGCATTTGGGTATAATACGTACCTTGAAATCATCGGGCAGGTTGTCATCCTCGGTGCGCGGAGCTGGGTCAGCTGTAGCCTGATATGAAGGCGGAGCCTGGGTGAACTGCTGATCCTCGAAGGAATCCCGCTGCGGGGCAGGCTCGTAACGAGCGTTGGCAGCCATGTTGAAGTAAGGAAGTTTTCGCTATCGATCAAAGTTTCGATGACAGCGGCGATGGATGTGAGAGAAAACTAAGAGGCGAGACGTTGATGACTTGAGGGGCGCAGCCATGTGACGTTAGATCACGTGCATCCATATCTCAACTACGCGATAAGAGATCAGATGAGAATTACTTTGACAGAGAATTTGAAGTAATGAAACGATCGAGACTCTTTTTAAATTTGCTGTATGGGATGGTAAGGAATCGACAAGCCGATTAAACGAACAAGTGATCTTGAGAAGGGAGAAAAAAGAAGAAATGAGAAGAAAAAAAGCCAAGGAATCACCCGTTAGACTGACCTCGACTTGTTCACAAACTTCATTCTTGCTTATCTCCATAGCATGCATGGACGCACTTCATCTTAAGAGATTGGGTAGAGTTGTGATTTACTTACTCATCCTGGTGAAAGGAGAGCCATCTACTAAATGCATGAAGACGACACGGTAGGCAGGATTATATATGTGCATTTCATCATAAGATGACTTTAGCTAGTCCGAAATCATAATTATAAGTTCCAAAAAGTTGATGTTCTCGTCTATTCGACGATTCGGTCGATGTGCGAGCGAGGGCGAGAGGTTTGCTGGGTGTCCTCATACGAGTTCTCAACAGTCGACCCCGAGTCTTCATCGGTGTCCATCACACCTTCATCATCATCATCATCATCATCATCATCATCACTTGAGTCACCAACGGCATGGACTATATCCTGACTCACGGTCGCGCTGGACATTTCAGTTGCGAGGCGTCTTCTCTGGAAGTCCTGTGCGTGTGCCGTAGACATGGCATTGCCGACCGCTTTCGCGAAACTGGGATGGCGGTTCCGAGCGCGCAGGGTCGAAATGGATGGTGTTCCGGTCTCAACATCTCCCGGTGCCATAAAGGGTGTTGTTGGAGCAGGCTGTTCTTGCAGCTGCATATCACCCGGCTGTGCGCCATCAAGGCCTGGGATCTGGACGGCAGGCACAGGCACAGGCACGTCGTATGGAAGGGGCACGTCTCTCGAGGCTCGGAACAAAAGCACGTTTGTGCAATGTTCATTCTCGACACGGAAGATAGACCACATTCCACGACGGAAAACCTCGGACAGGGAAATGACGAAGCTGAGAGCAGCCGAGTGCTGGAGGTCGTGAACGAAAATCGCGTAGAAAATCCAGTTGAATCGGATGATGACGTCCAAGGCCATTGCAACATAGTAAACCCATACGCGACGAAAGGCGAGCACTTCACGAAGGAGTTTGTGTTTGGCATATGGGTTGCCCAAACTCCAATCCATGATCAGATCCCAGACAGATACGTAGACAGCATTTAGAAGACCAAAGGTGATGAACGCTGCCTGGAAACGAGTGTGTCGATCAATGCGGTACATGCTCAAGGTTGCGTAGTAGAGGATACTGAAGACATACTTTCCCAAATTCAGAAGATGAGGGAAGGCATTCCTAGTATCCGCGTAACGACGAATGCATTGGAAGGCTCGCCATATCGCCGGCAGAGTGGTGAAGAATCCCAAGAGTCGGGAGTGAGAAGAGTTACACTTCACTGGATTGGACCAGTGGGAAGCGTATAGACAAAAGAACAACTCGATGTTCTAGACAATAGGTTAGCGGAGCTCAAAGCAAGGGCGTCCCGTTCTACTTACCCCCATGGCATATACTTGAGAGCAGTACATGTCGCCCAGGAAGAAATCACGGAATTCAACAGGGTATATTCCAGCAAGCAGTAGTCGCCACTATTTCCGTCAGCAATGGTTGAGACAACGATGATGGTCAAAACTCACGTTAGAGAAGGCCCACCACTTGCGGCTGCGATGGTACAGAACACGGACAGGCAGGAAGATGATGATGAGCGTCAAGCCAATCAGCACAACAGGCCAGTATATGTACATGGCATTAATCCACGAAAAGTTAAGCCACATGAAAAGACCCATAAGAAAGATGAAACAAGATGGAATCTGGATAACTGTAAGCATGTATCGCGGTCTGTGCTCAGCCCAACACATACCTCGAGCAATTGGCGCCACTCTAAGGTGTGCCTGGTGTCGTATTCGAAAACAAATGCATAGTTAATCTTCGACTTGGTCCAGACCATACAGTCCAAGGAAAAAAGTAAGACATGGAACGCGATTAGGAAATACCCGCCATAAATCTATGAAAATCAGACATGAATGTCACACGTGGGTGGGGAAGTAAGGGAGCACAAACCTGAAGTAGATAACTAGTCCACACCTGTACTTGAACATCATCATCTCGTAAGTGCCGTGAAGCATAGACCAGAGCCTGAATAGCAAACAGGGTACCGGCCGTAAGCAGAAGACCTGAGCGGAATGTACTGGGAGAATAATCGCCCGACTTCTTCATTGTGTGACGAAGCTTGGAGGCAGCAATCTTGCGGTTACCACGCTCGAAATATCGAGCGTACAAATCTTCCACCGCCGACATCAATGTCTCCAGCACATCACTTTGCACAAACGAGGCATTGTTGACCTTTTCGGTCATATATCGCAGCGGTGGCTGGGCGTTAACAGCTTTATCATACTTCTTGTTGATCTTGCGGAAGGCGGTTCGGTTGAGATAGGCATAGCCTTTCAGCAACTCGATTCCACGATAGAACTCCTGCAAAGCATGCTTGAGCTTGCGCTTGGCAGATCGATAGGAGACATCATTATTCGGCGGTTCCTGCCGCCGCATGAAATCTCGTCGATTTGAAATAAATTCCCGGTCGCGAGCTGGCATCCTTGGTGTGGCCATCTGGGCCAGTGCCTGTGAATTCTTGCCGAAATGAACCTTACCCGTCAAAGTATCCTTCAGCCGGGAGCTGTTCAATGCCCTTAGTCCACTTTGTCCGTTTTGAGAGTCCACGTTGCGTCGTTTGTTCGCCCGTTTGGCTTCATATACTTCCTGGATGCGCTGATCCCGCATGATGTGCAGCTGTTGGCGAAGAACTTGCAATCTTGCAGCGGCCTCCCGCTCCTTCATTTGGTAAAAATCATCGATCTTCTTTAGCTCCTCATCCAGGTACGCCATGAATACGTCTTCCTGCTTTTTGACTTCTGATCTCGTGTCAGCCGGTGATCCTTTACCAAGTGTGTTCACCTCTGATTGAGAGAAGACACGCCGCATGAGCTGCGATGTACGATTCATCGAAGTTGACTTGGTCAAAGGTTTGCCTTGTTGTGGGCTTTGGGCAGTTGGCTGACGTGCTAGAGGCGGCTGCTCGGGCGAGCCGTCCACGGCATGCGCTGGTAGATCACGAAATGCAGCATTTCGAGTCGCCACAGGGGACGGCGTTCTGACTCCCTGGCGAGCTTGCTGATCCTGTGGTGGCATGTACTCCTCATCTGGATCCAGTGCAGGGTCAGGAAGCTCGAAGGAAGCAGCATCCGAGGCGTGACCGTGCTGCTGTGGCGGTGTTGCCAGTATACTGCCATAGCTACCAGCGGTTTCTGAGAATCGTGATCCTGGTGTTCGAAGCGGCTGGCGCTCTGTTCTTGGGGAGGGTATGTTGCGGGTCTTCGAGGACGAATTGGCGCCAGTTCCCTGAAGGGTCGTCGCATCGATGAGCTCTCCAGCGTCGAGCTGCTTGTCGGTGTTTGATGGTGTTAATGTCGCACCATGGGAGAACGTAGTACTTTGACGAAAGGACGGTGTTCGAGGGCTCCGGTGTGCCTGCTTGAGGGCACGACTGATTGCCTTGATCTTCTTCTTGCCGCCCTATAGCATGATAGGTTAGTAATGACTCCAGTCGGCGGACAGAGTGGTCATACCTTGTAGTCGAGATACTTCGCTCGCCATTCAGGAACCAACTCCTGCTCCAGCTCTCTGTGCGAGACTAATGTCAGCCACTGGAATGCCGCATAATGGGATATCACAGGATCGAACTCACTTGGCAAACTTCATCCTGAGCGAGCCTCCGTCATCGCATGCCTACTGGTGGCGGAAAGAAAAACTGGATGGGAATTGACAGAGGTTGTAGGCGAATGATGAAGTCGGGATCGAGGTATCTGCCCAAATTTTCCCCGGCGTGCACGACCGATAAGGCGAAAAAGCAAGCTAGGCGACCTGGGGCTCTTCGTGATAAGGAAGTATTCAGGGAAATAGAAAAAAATTCCCGGGTATCCACAGAAGATCGACTGCGCAAGGTACCGACAGGGATAAGGTAGTGTATCGAATACCCCGAATATCTGGGCGTGCGCCATAATCAAATCGAGTAGCAACGACCTTGGGTACGAATCGCGACAATCAAAGAGCCCTACACGGGCACGTGCTCCACCCACGATGAGCTCATTGCCCACTTTGATGCCCTGGATTTCAGGCAGAAATAACCATTTAGGTCAGCATCGTCCATGATTGGTCAATAGGTCGGCCTGAGCTAAGCTGTTTGTGGACGGCTCCACAAAGCGGGATTCCGAACCTCCAAACTGGACTGGTATCCGATATCCGATCAATGATCATTGGTATCTTTGATGCTCGACAGGCACCTGCATCACGCATAGTATTCACCACATGCTCTTGCCCCTCGTCATCTCACTACAGTTTATGCTGCGTCATCGGGGAAATGTAGCCCTCATGATTGGAGTCTTGATCGGAGCCCAGGATCTACATTTGGGTTGGAATGTAAATCGTTCCGGAATGCGTTCGGCGTGTTTTCTCCATAGTGACTGGCTAGGAGATATCTGTCTCTGTAACCCTATGTACGCGGCTTATGTATTCGGGACATTCTCGGTATCGGCTCATTAGTTCATAGCAGATGATTCACGCATTGGGCACGCCTACATGCCTGCAAGGGAGTGATGACTACTTCGCTGCATATCGTTAGAATCTGCACCGGGTTCTTCTGTGCTTCTCGAAGACAAGGCTACTTGGATGATAAATTGTCATGTCGTGTGTTTGTATTTCGAACTTGGATATATCTACTTGGTACTATAGCCAGGTTATCCAATAAAGTAAAACGCATACCTTCGTCCATGCGCAGGTAACCAGGAACATGCAATACCAGATTGCATGGTCTCAGGTCTCAGCCGGATACCTAGAACTTAATTTCCTTTCTACCGACTGGATTTACCAGCGGCCGTAGCTCTCGTGGGGTCCGTAGCGGCCGGGGTCATAATGCTCAGCGCCGTGGCCTTGGACGTAATGCTCGTCGTACATTCTGTGGGCATTCTCCTTAGCTTGGTGCTTAGCCTTAATCTTGTCGACTTCGTCCATGCCCTTGGTTTCGGCAAGCTTATCGACTTCAGCACCGACAAGGGCGGCAATGGCCTCCTTGGCGAAGGCGTGGCTGACAGTCTTGCCTGTGGGTTTGTTAGAAAGAACATTACGCATGTTGATTCATCGTAACTTACCCTCCTTACGCTGGTGGTCCTCGTATGCCTTCATGCCGGCAAAGGAAGCGGCACCAGCGGCAAGCTCGTGAGTCCACTGACTTTGGTGCTCCTCACCGCCGTAGACTCTGCGGTGAGCATCTTGAGATTCGCCTGAAACTTAGTCAGTACACAGTCTTTATAAGGCTGTGCGGTGCAAGAGCGAAAGCAGACAAAGCAGACAAAGTACTCGGGAGATAGCCTCTTGTCTGCACGTGTGGACATGCACACACCGCATGTGCCCCAGGTGTGGTAACTCACCCCAGCCGAAAGCCATTGTGATTATAGTACTTGGTGGTAAAGAAAAAGGTTTAAAGAGCAAAGTAATTTCGAGAGTATTGGTAGGAAGAAAGTCTTTTTGTGGGACAGATGAGGGGGTTATATACCTGGGCAAGCATGAATGAATGCTTCAGAAAGGCTATACCGATTCGGCTCACGATATTCAGGAGCTTGCCCCTCGTCCAATCTCAGCTCTGGTTGCCCCACCGTTGTTGTGGACAGAGTGTTTGGAAAAGGATTTTACCGAGATAGTCGTAGGCAGATGGAGTAAGGCCCCTCCGAAACATGGCTCGACGACGGGTGGAGATGATAATCAGAGTCGTCGTCCCCTCCATGGGGCGGTGGAGCTGGCATATCACACAGCCTTCTCAGCTCCTGTTGACATATTCGGAGTGTTAAAGGAGAGGCGATGGGGACCGATCTACAGAGATCACCGACTGTACTCTATGATAGCCGAGCTCGCCCTGAAAGGTCAGACAGCGTCATTAGCCCTGTGGAAGGTTGCCGGAGTGTGTATCACGATTCCCGACAAACACCTTCCCAGGGGAGCCTCGTCATTTGCGGGCTCTATTCGTACCAGCTGAGAGGCTCCAATGAATATTCAGCTGTCCCTGGGACCGGTACAGGGATAGGATATGACTCTATGTGATGCTGAAGCTGTGCACACCACAAATACACCATGCAATCATTCCACTCTTTACCTTAGCTATGACGAGAGCCAAGGCATGCTATGCTGACTTTTAACAATGAGATCTCTGAAATTGAAGTGATACGCTACTTCAAGGGTACGAGTACGTGTCCGATTGGACCCAATGAGATAGTGGAGTGCTGATCGAAGGGACCGAAATGGACTCAAGTGGACCCATTTGGGTCCATTCAGCCCTACTCCGCCGGCAGATTAACAAATTAAAGGACGATTCGGGTGAAACGGAGTTATATTTTCAACCTACAGTAGCGGTACAAAACCCGCTCTTCGGGATACACGGAACGAATGACCCCCAGCAATGACCGCTGCAGGAGAAGAGCGGGCCAAGCTTCTCATGTCTGAGGCCTGACCGCGCCCTACAAGGCATCCGGCTTGGCATTACGAGCCTCCTTCTATACACAAGTGGCGGTGAAATTGAGACGCAATCTGGTTCGAAGGTGGATGATTGGAAAGTGTCTAAAGAGGCTGGATTCTATCACTGGCTGTATTTTGTATCTCTCGTGATCTCATTACGTAGACCATCCATCCGTGGCGCACACATCCACATCCATCCTACGAAACTTGATGTTCGGACAGAACCACCTATAGTCTAAATTATGTCAATTAAGCTCCTTGCTATTTTCATAAATTCAATCGTAATAATAATCGAGATCAAAATTAGCTAGACTTTAATAACCAAACGATCAAAGATCATTCTAGTTGACATATAGTGTCCGAGAATAGCACAACAGCCTCCTACATAATTTTCTTTCGGCCCTGGGCGAACACAGTGCCACTGCCAAGAAAGCCGATTCAATATGGCCTCATGAGAGGTTCTATGCAAGCATTACCGTGTTTAAAAGATGCGGATCGGCAGGCAGCAGAGATACGCTTATGATACAATACAGCCGCCCCGCAGCGAGCTCCGGTCTTGGCAAACCCTTTTGTGACAAAACACCCATTTTCGTGATAGCACGTTGATCACAACCCCTTCAGCCACACTTTACGCAGAAAAACATCGGCTCCAAAGTCCCCTTGCGCGGGATAAGAATAGCGCAGCCACAAGGGTCCCTGTCCCTCCTTGGCGTGAAGCTGAACAGCTTGGAGAAGCCGAATTAGTGGACGGGATCACGAGCAGAGCTTAGCTCCCCTGCTGTATAGCTAGAACGGGCCTCGCTATTCATTATGCCGACCAAAAACCCCGCCCAATCCGACTTTCCCTCCAAACTCACCCTCACCGTCACCCTTCCACCTTCCGGATCCTCCCCAGCCCCCAATGTCCTACTGTTACTTCACGGACTGGGCGATTCTGCTGCAGGCTTCACCGCCTTCGCGCGAGCCCTCCAGCTTCCAGAGACCGCAATCGTAACAGTACAAGGGCCTGCACCCCTCCCCCTTGACCTAGGCGGATTCCATTGGGGTGACGATGTGGCCTTCGATACCTCAAGCGGTGGGTTGGACATGGACGCTGGTCTGACGCGAAGCACAGCAGTACTGGCCAACGATGTAGTGCGCGACACACTGATCAAGAAATGCGGCTACCTTCTACGCGAGATTATGATTTTCGGATTCGGACAAGGTGGCATGGCTGCGTTGACCGCAGCTCGGGAGCTGGGACAAGGTGACAATGGCGGACCTCTGTCTGGAGTCATCTCCGTTGGAGCACCGTACCCGCTCTCCGGGCAGAAATGGGGGCCCAAGAACCGTACCCCAGTGCTATTGGTGGCTGGACGGGACTCCCTCGTGGTCTCCGATGCGGCTGTTCGTAGGACGAAAGAGGTCTTTGAGTTTGTTGAGCTCAGCCGGTACCCAAGAAAGGGTGACAGTATGCCGTCAAATCGGAATGAGATGATGCCTGTCATGCAGTTCTTTGCACGGCGATTGCGTAGCCGGCAGGGTGTGCCCGAGGGCAGCGTGGAGATTGGCTGATATGTCTGCCACCAAGCTGGCCCATCCGTGGGATGTATGAATATTCACGATGTCATGTCAAAACAATCTTGGGAACAAAAACTGCATTACTCATCTACACCAAAACATATACAAATTTATCAGAACACTATGCTACTTCGGCCTCAATGATTCCTTGTCCCTGGCGTGGTGGAAACCAGAACTTCACCATTTGAAACCCGGCCGATGTCAAGAGCTTCTCCCAGTGATCCCGAGTACGCTCCATGCTGCTGCAAAAGACCATCATCTGCCAATCCAACATGGTCTGTGCCAGTGGAGCGCCCTTGTCAGGTAAAATAAACTCCTCGATGATGAGTTTTGAGTAGCCTTTCTTCATGGCAGCACGCAAGTGCTGTAAAATTTCGTGGCATTGTGCATCTGCCCAGTCGTGCAGAATGAACTTCATGTAATAGATTCGAGCGTCTGTAATCAACTTTGAATTAGTTCCTTATCCCCATTATTCGAAAATTTTCCTCACCTTGAATGGGCTGTGGCTTGAAGAGATCAAATGACAGGCTCTCGATCTTTCTACCGGAATCATTTCCCGGTAACACGCCTGGCTGATCCTCGAGAATCAAGCGACCAAGTGCATTTGGAAACTTCGCTTGGAAAGCGGCCAGCTCATGTCCTCTTCCGCCTGCCACATCCACAAGCAGCACATCCCCCTCACTGGCTTCATATCCATCAATCAGGCGCTCCTGGACCGGAAACCAGTCAACCCAATTAAGGTTGTCTCCACGGTTGCCTTCCATGTATGTATCGAAATCTTTCCCGGATTCAGGGCACTGCGCAAACCATTCCCAGAGGGACTTTTCTGTTTTCTCGCCGTATTGGAAAGGGCCGTTATTTGTTTCTGCGGGGCTTTGAAAACTCGCTTGGCGGAAGTATTCTGGAGTTTTGGCCAAGCTAGGCATGCCGACATCGAATCTGCATTACATTGTGTTAAGCAGTGTTAAGACATGGAGGAAATGGACGTACAAGAACTTGACCGTCGCATCACTTTCGCGGGTACTCATTTGTCGAGTCATCGTGTTTGCGGCGTATATTCTGATATCGTGCTCAACGACGTATCCAATTCCAGCAAGCACACGCAACACTCGTTCTGCAGTTGTGAGCCCTGAGATACTCAAAGTGACCATGAGAATAGGGGTTTACCTGTCAACATCAAATCTGCGTTCTTGACAGCAGCAAGCTCTTCTATTGCCAAAGGTACATTCCTATTCGTGAGGGTTGTGAAGACATCTAGGTCAATGCCAATCCTCACGCAGAGGATTTGAGTGGGCTGCAGATAAAGCCGTCAATCTTTGGTCCCGTCCTTACAAAGTTTGAACACAGGCCCATGCAACTGTTGCCCGGAATACTCACAGAGTAGCTGAGTTGAATAACTGCGTCTCGGGGCTTTTGTAGTGCTCCGACTAGATCCTGGGCGGCCTTGAGAGCTATGACCCTATCTTTTTCACTTTTGTCGTGTTTGAAGCCATCCGCCGCTTGACGGAGGGTATCTATCAAGCGATCAATGTGTTGTGTGTCGCTAACATAAGTGATCATATTGGGAGATTCAAGTAGAAAAGTCGAAAGTCAGAGCCAGGATAACCTTCCAACTTTCAAGGCTGGAACATAATGGAGGCTTTAACACATGGAGGGTACTCGACCAATTTATAAACAAGATAATCTCCTCCATATAGGAACCTGTTCCCTCGGATGTTCTCCGGCGAGAGAGAATCTACATGGATCACCCTGGATTAAACAAACCTAAATCCGCCTCAGATACAAACCCAACGCATCAGGATACCTATCAACACCTCAACCAACTTTTCGCGCCAAAAAATGTGTCCGCGTGGACAAAGTATGTGGATCCTGCAGATAGTGGGCACCATACAAGTAGTCCAATAATCCTTCTAGTAATTCGATTGGGACAGAAACTAATCAATATAAGCAGATCGATTCCATTCTCAGATCTTTTACGCGGGATCGACCAGGGATTGGCCCATTAGAGCCCAATCAGGTATGAGAAAAGTGCCCGATGCAGCTACGATCACACACGTGATATCAATCTGCGAGGTTTACACCTCATGTTTTGCAATTTCTAGAGATGTGACGGATCTTAGTGTATCCAATCAATATGTTTTATAGGTACGGAGGACACCCCGAAAGAAGAGTTCATGATTGGCAAGTGTTTTAATATGGGGCTACGTGTGCGCTGTTATTTGTTTATTTCTGACCGCGTCGTTATTTGCTTATTCTTAGGCTGCGAACATGTCCAAAGTCGCCGGATCGAAGCCGGATCGAAGCCTCGCCTTGCTTACGGGGGATACGGTGAGCGCTTGCGCTTCGATGTGTCTGGTGCAATTTGTCTAGTGTGATAATCTGCTTTGATTATTCTGGAAGGTGGCGTCCTTGTATTTATCGCTTCTTGGTATAGGTCAAACTTCTGGGGCCAGAGCCTGAGGACCGAAATCGTCCAGTGAGCTGATCATCTGAATGTATCTGTCCATGATATGAGAAGGTTTCGGATTATTTTCGAAGATGGTTGGGGGACAAGGACAAAGAAGCGAGAGGTGCACCTAGGGACTTGAGATTGGGGCAAATTGCCCAACCTTTAAGTCATTTTGGACTAGAGCGGGGTACGTGGCCTGCCCAATTAGCCGGGGCTTGTGGATCCTGCCATACATGGCCTCGCGAGGTGCCTGAAGGGACCGGAAATTGTGATGCGGCATCTGTCTCGAGCTTTTTACCCTTTTTTTTAAGATGTTTAGACATCCTTCGATCACCAATCGTGGTGGTAAACTTTTGATGGTTTATGTAGGACCGTTTGTTGTGGCTGCTGGTTAAATAAAGGTCGGGGTATCAACTTCTATAACGACGTGTCTCGTGATCACTAACGGTGTTTCATTAGGGAATCCTCGACCATCTGAGACGATGAGCGAAACTATCAGCAACTCTTATACCTATCAATAAAGCTGCGTTTACGAGCATTTCACTTCAAATACCGATGGGTGTCAGCGGATCATCTCGTCCACATAGAGCTGCCTCGACTCACTTCTTCACCAAATCCAATGTGTAAGCCTCATGCCGTCGGGTATCTTGCGTGAGCTTCTTGAGTAGGCCGGGAAAAAGAGTGAGGAAGCACTTGGCGGCCCAGGGAGATCGCTTGAAACAGTCTGCTAGTGCTCCAAGACCCAGACTCCTCACCACAATTAAAACCCAGAAATGATGTGTTCCAGACTTGACACCACCAAAGTCCTGGCCGATCGCAAGGCTCCCAATAATATCAAAAGTGATAAGATTGAACCAAAATACGAGATCCAGCCCGTCTTTGCCTTTGATTGCATTTTGTTCAATAAATTCGTCCACAACGGCTGCGATCAATGACTCCTGTGCTTTCAAAGACCGATCTTCGGAGCCCATCTTCATTCGGTTGCATATCAAGATTCTCCCCAGCGTCTCTGGCAGGCATTTCTTGGTGAGAGACATATCTTGGTGACATCATGGGCCCAGACCCCGGTGTACTCCGTCGATTTCGGGACTGGCTCGGTGCCTCGCTATGTCGAAGCCATAATTCCCGATATGGACGGCAATGTACAGGTTAAACAAGGGCCCAGGCCAGCTGTGGGTGCTGTGCCAGGTCCTGTGTCAGCCGAGTCTCAGTCCTGGTACAACAACGGGGTTGATATCTCGGTGCATCTACGATCGAGCGCAATGGAGAAGCTATTGAAGGATGAGCATCTATTCCCTCGGAGTATTTGAAATAACTACAGCATCTTTATAGATGAAATAATTTTAAACAAATGCAAACGAACGAGAAACCACATGAATTCAGCGCATCGAAGCCCATACAATCTCTCATCCCCAATAACAATGCTCCCTTGCGGACGAGCTCAACCATCCAACGCCACTTTCCACCACGCGCATCTTCTCGCTGACGCCAGATCTTTCATAGGACCAAAGTCTGTTGAGTTGAAATCTTGCACGGTCTAGTCAGCATCCGTTGGAAAAGCTGGCAGGCCTGGCCCGTCAGGCAAACCCGTAGTAGAGAATTCAGTCGCGCATTACAGACAATTGTCGTCTCTGTTAGTGTCAGGCTAACACGATCAAACTGGTTCGTATACCCGAGTGAGCCATCGAATTGAGCCGGATAGAGCTGCTCGCTCACTGTGCAAATGTGCGCGGGTGAAAGTTGTTGAAAGAGAGCTTTGACGTAACTCTCATAGCTGTGGTTTGTCTTGATCTAAGGGGAAGCGAAGAGAACTCCCTCGTCGGAGTTATGGCCGGTCATAATTTTCACAGCAATAGTGAATTTCCCATCTGCCAATAATCTAGACGGTAAGTCGATAACAAATGAGCCATCAACCGCCAGGCCTTATTGTCGAAGTTAGCTGGATATTCGCACTATGCGGAAAGAACATATACCGAAGGTAGAGGTCCCGTAAGGTCGAGCGTTACCGACCCATAGAATACGTATATAGGTAGCTTCACGTCTTTATCGTGTTATAAGCTTCCTTCGGCCTTGGTGGCTTGGTGAAGCGTTGATAAGGCTAGTAAGCTTTTGGCTTCCTCTTTCGATACTCTTTGTAGTTCTTGGATATTCTATTATTAGTGATAATGGTGCTTGGTGTGGTGGTGCCAATGGTGGGTCGTCGAATATTTGAAGCGTTAGAATACCTTTCTCGTTTGCTTGAAGGGGTAAAATGACGATAGATGGGCTAAATGGATATGTCTCTCCTTTGAAAAACGAATTACGGATAATTCGTTAAGTGAATGCGTCTATACGCACTTTGGCTATATCGCGAAAGAATGCACGCTTTATGCTAACTTTACCACTAAATGTGATGATTTTGTTATTATCCCATTATAGTGGTTAAGAATTGGTTTTCGTCCGGTATAGTACAGTGGCGTATCATTAGTATTTGCACCCTGTTACATTGCATCCTGACCGCCCTTGATACACCGCCTACCTATTATAGCCACCCACAACCCCTATTATTGTCTGCCTATGATCCTCTTCCTATGATCCTCTTCCTATGATCCTCTAAACCATGCCTCGCGGTCCTGAGCTTGAACCATATATACGCGAGCGTATATGTGAATTAAAACGATCAGCAAAATGGGGTGCAAAACGTATCCAGAAGAATGCGTTCCCTGATATTCCTCTATCCACTATCCACTATACCCTCCGGCAAGATCTAAAGCGTTTAAAGGGTGTTTCCCTACCTCGCTCTGGCGCACCTCGCAAGCTTACTGCGGAGGACCGAGACCGTGTGTATGATGCTATTCAAAACCGTCCTGATATTACCCGCGAGGATCTGCTTGCTGAGGTTAATTATAAGGTTAAAGCGATGTCAATCTGGCGTTTAACGCATAATATGGGCCTCCGGAAGTGGCGAAAGATGAACCGACCTTACCTTACACCTATTCACGCTACGAAACGTCTTACTTGGGCTTTAACCTATCGCCACTTTACACCAGAGGACTGGAAAAGGGGTTTTTAGTCGGATAAAACGACTATTAAACGCGGACAAGGTGCTCGGAAGGAGTGGACATTTATTCCTCCTAAAAATCAGCTTCAAGAGCGCGAGTCTGGTATCCAAATGACTCTATCGAAAGGGAAACAGACAAAGCAAATGTTCTGGGCTTATTTCTCAGGCGCTCCGCGAAAGACTGGCTTAATTCCTTTATTCGGAGATCCTACTGCGGATCGTAAGAGTATCACAAAAGAGGTTATTCATAATCTTTATCGTGGTATCCTACCTACCTTACTTACGAACGAGGATGCTCTCTTTCAACATGATAATGCACCGACGCATACTGCATATATCGTCCAAGCCCTTCTCCGTGAGTTAAATATCACTATAATGGATTGGCCGCCTTATTCGCCAGATTTAAACCCAATTGAGAACCTCTGGGGCTTATTAAAGGCTGATATATTAAAGCTACGGCCATGGCTTCGCGAGATGCCTAATAATAATACTACTTGGGCAGAGCTAGTAGATACAGCGCAGGCTGCGTGGGAACAGCTTACAATTAGGCACTTTATCAATCTAGCTGAGACTATGCCTCATCGTGTAGAGGAAGTGATTCGGTATGAAGGGTGGCATACCAGTTATTAGAAATAGAACTCTATTCTACCGGCAGAATATATGTGGGTCGAAGTACTAGGGTGCAAATACTAATGATACGTGACTGTAAGTTGATCGATAAACTACTCTTCTAGTATTAGTTGACACGGTGAGCGGGGCGCTGTTTCTGGCTCCCATTGCACCGCCCCTCTGCCACCTCCGACCGCCTGCCGCTCTCTGCCTTCCCCCTGCCTCTTCTGGTATGGCGCCCTCCGGGCCCCGCTTGAGGGTTAGTGCCGGCTCTGGCCGCTTTTACCACTTGACCCTACGAAAGGTTATCCCCTTCGCGCGATCGCTCAACGTTGAATAGGGTATACCATATAGTTTTGCAGCCGCGTGTAATGATCAATATTGCCCACTTTGAAGGCCTTGAATGGCTAGTGAGATCTTGCCCTCTTGTTCGATAGAGATTCGCGAGGATTGGGTGCGTTTTGGTGGCATAGTGGGTAGTTGAAGAAGATGGGTATGCGGGGGAACGCGTCCTCGGGTGGAATTCACGGTTCGCTTGTGTTCACGGCTGACTTGTGGATTACGTTACTCCATAGTTAAGTTAGTTAGTTAGTTAGTTAGTTAGTTAGTTAGTTAACTAAGTTAGTTAAATACCTTGGGGTGACCTGACTAAGTCACGGGATTAGATTGATCGTACTTTGCGACAGACTGACAACGATTTCATGGCACGTGATCCAGGGATCCGACTAATCCTAAAACAGCAACTGATTGAATGACTTATTGACGTAGGGTCGCAGATCGGCACACTTCGCGATAACCCAATTTCCGTATCTCACCCCATGAATGCCAAACTTTTTAAGAGTCTTCTCATTTCGAGTTCATTGATTTTCGGTGGTTGAAAGATGGCACTACCGCTACAGGAACTGATCTCACCGCCCCAGGAAGAGACCCCAACAGCGCAGGAGGATATATCACCGCCGCAGAACGAGACATCACTACCGCAGGACGAGATATCACTACCTCACCGGGAAGAAACATCACTAAGCAAAGAAGAGACATCGCCACCCGAGGAAGAGACATTGTCGAGACAGCATCATGCGCCCATCGTGAGCGTAGCTGCGAAAGCTCTGGCCGAGAAGAATATCCCCGTCGTGGAGTATGGGGAGCAGATACAGTGGCGCTACGGAGACCCTGTGGTCCTTCTGGTAAGCATCAAAGAGCTTTTGTGGCATTGATCAGTCGACTCGTTGGGCATTTCTAACGTCTTGAATTCCAGCGCGTGGAGTGGGCAGTCCCCGATGAACTGCTCTCGCTTGCGTCAGAAATTCTATCAGACCAGGGTTTCCCTCCTGTGTCCCTATCCACAGGAGCTGCTGCTTACTACGGAGAATGGGATCGAGCTTGCACTATCCATAGGTTAGGTGAGAGGTGTCCGGTATATCTCTACCCGCTGTCATTTGTCGGCCTTGAGCTTCAGGACACCTGCAAAGTCAAATCCACCTTTGACCGCACGCTCAAGATCTTGACGCCCAAACCCAACAAATACATGGTGTCTTTGCTTCGTCATCTCCTCAACCACCCGCTTAACGATAGTTTCAGACTTCGAGTAAAAGATGATCTACTGTCTTTTATATGCTTTTTTATTTTACGTGAAAAGCCGCTGAATACGAAGGATGGGGAATGCGACGACGATGAGAACGAAGAAGATTACCAAAATAGAGTCGGAGAAGCATTGAGGGAAATGGAGACTTGGGATTGGGGCGCTGGTGGAAAGGACTATCTGAGTATTTCTGAATCTGTAATCCGAGACTGTCGGGCTATTGACCAGTTAACTAGTTGCTGATGAGAAAAGACCATCTCCGTATGTCTGAATCTGTTCTCCGAGACTGTCGATCTATTGACCGGCTCTGAGGATTTAGGTACGTGCTGAAAGAATATCAATAAACGTAGTAAGTTAATGGGATATTGGTACCTTTATTGACCAGGTATTGAATCCGTCATGGCTAGAGCTAAGTCCATCGCATGATATCTCCATCAAAGGGAAACCTCCCACGATTCCCTGAAGTTTATTGTAATTCCACTCTATTATCACCTCCGCTCTCCTCTCTGTTACGCCCCTAACTCCTTCACTCCTCCAGAATTTGACGAAATAACTCAGCCGGAGAGAAGGATAGGAGGATGCAGAAACGAGAAGAACTGGATGAACGCGAATGCCTATGATGCTCGAGGTATCAAGGCAACAAGGAGATACCGGTGACTCGCCACACCAGCTTTCTAATTGCTGATGAGCGCCAAATCCTCCGCACTCAAGGTGGCTGCAAGCAAAGGGCGAGTTGTTGTATGCATCTGGTACAGCTTGCGAACCAAGGCGAGTAACTCGTGCTTGGGCTTCTCCGGATATCCCTCAAAATCGATAAGACCGCCATCGTTAACCAGCCAGGTCAGGATTACCTGAATATCTTTGACGTCCCTCACTGCTTTTCTGGTACTTGCGGGACGGGTGGAGTCGGCGATAAATGCCCATCTCTTGAGCTTGGTGAGGACGAGGACGGAGGGTGCAATGATGGGGACTTAAGCGCCATGATTGATTAGCGAAAGCTGGCTCTAGTAGAATACACAGGTACTCACTTGGGGTCTCCTCAACACGTCCCGGCAGGTCATTGGCAGTGATGGAGCGAAGAGAAACAACATTTGCGTCAGGTAACTTCAACTGTCTACCTTCTCCTCCACGAAGAAGCTTAACTGTGATAGGCTTATCATCCCCTCCCGAAAACACAAGTTTGCTGCTGGGGGTCATTGTGAAGCGGGCGTTGGCCTGGAGAAGCTTGTTGCGGGCCTCGCTTGGGTCCGAATCCACGATTACATCAATGTCCTGAGTCAGATTAGCTCATAAATCATGTTGAGACGATATAGGGAATATGAACCTCAGTAATTCTCGATCCGCCAATGAGAGACGTCGTATATCCGCCTATGAACCCATGGCGAATGTTGGCGCGAGTGAGAGCGACTGTTGTTTCCTTGGCAGCTGCATCGATAAAGCGGAAAGGTTCGTCTTCCTGGACTGGATCTATAGCTCGAGTAATTCAACTGAGAGAATTGAGAGAAGAGAAGCGTCGAAGAGTATTTCTTGGGGTCATTAAGGAGACGAAAAGAGGATGAAAGAGAGATAGGAGGTTACAAAGATAGGCAGAGTAAACAAGTAACCACGGTATAGTCGGGAAAGTAACTACTAAGGGACGATAATAGATGGAAGGTACGCCTACATGGAAGGAAGTATTGAAGGAAGGTTGACTCAGTTAATGAGACTTGTTGGCTGCGCACATACTACAAGCCGTCGTCGGATGACCGTTGGTCTACCATGGGGGATTTTATTGAATCAAATTCATATGATACCCCAGCTATCTGCAATGATGCATCTTCCTACAATTTTGGTTCCAACTGGGAGAAAATATTTATTCGTCTGCCCCGGCTTATAGAATCTCAACTAAGCCTTGGAAATATTGAACATCTCGAAAAAAGCCCAATATCTTTTACAAGGCGTACTCATCGCTGAGGCTGCTCACCTAGGGAATGTGGAAGAACTGTGCTATGACCCAGAAGAGGACGCAAGTCCGTGGCAGTGGTTTTTCGACTGATACCACATCTATATAGTCATTTTTCTCAATACGCATCTTTTTGTACTCGACCAACAGCTCATGTGAATAGTAGATTATCCTCTTATCAATTATACACAGTAAAGCCAAACTGTCTGCGCTCCTAAGTGCCCGAAATACAACCCGACAAAGGGGGCAATTTGTCGCACGGCGGATGTCTCCGAACATTCGAGAAGCAAATATGCACTATGGTCCCACACTTTTACTTTTATCTTACAGTGGGATGGTGTCCCAGAACTCGGTGTTATTTAAAATTTATTGACAAATTCCCTGATAGGGTTTCTGCTTTTCATGTGAAATATCAGATAGAATGGGAGCTATCTGGTATACTATCTTGCTCAAAAAACCCAAAAAAAAACATGAATTCCATAGAGAAAATTTATGAAGGAAATTGCGCGGTCGCTAGGGTGGAATTGTGATGAAGGAGAATGTGAAGCTATAGGATTACTTCGTACCTGACAAGGTGTAGCACACCTACGCTAGTTTGCCTTACTGCTGCCTTTACATATTCTATGTATACCTCCCTCCGCTCTCTGCAGTAGGCATTATCATTAATGACTTTGTAAGAGCTGTTAGGTAGTGGCATAAGGCGATGCTCGCTAATAATGGTTAACACGGCTGTGATAGCATAAGAGACCTATCCTGTTTATGGTCCCAAGCCAAGTCAGCTTTGCTAAACAGGACTCGGATGTGACCAAAAGAAAATACGAAACATAGGTGGCAGTAAACGGGGTTGGCGGTGGGCTTTGGCATACGTGACGCTAAGACCGCCCATGGTGATCAGGCGGCTTAAAACGGCGTCAAGGGCAGCCCTTTCTGGCCTCCTATTCACCGTGTGATCGTTATTTATAGTAATTTCTCGCCTTTGATAATAGAGATAGGGGTAAAATAAAACTATCACGGGCTATACACTCGATACTAGAGACAGCTTAATGCTTATCATCTATAGTAAGACGTGAGCGCGTATTTAGGTGTACTATAACTCCTTTTTCGGCTTTCCCTTGATCGATTTGAAGCCTAGTTTCGTCGAAATTGTGGATATTAGATATGGGTTTTTGATAGATGAATGGTTCAATCCGATCGAAAAAGTTTGGATAGAACTAATATTCTCGGCTAGAATGAGTTCCTTTTCGATAGGATTTTGCTTAGTGAATGATAGGCCTTTCGGTAGGTGCTGTAAAAAGCGCTAAACCCAATTTTTATCTACCGGATCTTTTGTCCATGGACGGCCCATGTCAATGTCTATCCCCGTCCATACTGTGCAAGCCATTTCGTCACTTTAAGAATTGATTTCTTGATAAAGTATCCATGATCGAGTCGATAAAGCCTAAATTACGAAAAAATAAGACTACTACATAATCAAAGCCCCTTCAAAGCCTCTTCCGTCCAGTTCCATAACGCCCTCGCCAGTCGACCATCCTCATCCCTAGCTGTCTCGTCCAACTTCTCAACTCCCAATCTTCCAACCGGCTCGTAATAAGCTCCATTCATAAGCGTCTGTCTGGGCGCAGTCGCAGCCCAGATCTGGTTATATGAACCCTCGTGTGGTTGAATAAGCACCCACCAAAACAGCGCCAATGTAATCAGTCTCTCCTTCCAACTCATATTATTCACCAATCCGGTTGCAACATAGCCAGGATGTACTGCCACGACTGTCAGATGGGGATATCGACCAGCCATCTCGCGTGCATAGAGCAGATTTGCCAGTTTGCTTTGCCCGTATCTCTGCCACGGTCCACCGATCCAAAACTCCTGAGTACTTTCTAGGCTATCAAAAAGGATACCGCCTCTGGGGTGGAGGGCGTAGCCCGATGACGATAGAATTATAATGCGTGCGTCTCGACCTTCGCGAGCTGTGCGATCCAAAAGCGGGAGAAGCTTGCGAATGAGTAGAGCGTGACCCAGATGGTTTGTCCCAAATTGGACCTCATAGCCATCGGCTGTCAGGCCCGCTGGGCGGGACATGATCCCCGCATTGCACATGAGGATGTCAAGCTCTGGTATTGGTGTCTGGGACAGTAGACGCTCTGCTGCTCCCTTGACAGAGGATAGAGAAGAGAGGTCGCATTCTATAAATACTACCTCTGTATTGGAGCCACTGTCCCGAATTTGGCCGGATATGCTTTCTGCATTCTTTGCGTTGCGACCACTGATGTAGATTCGGGCCGCGTTATGTTTGGCAAAGTGCAGTGCTGAGGCTGCGCCTAGGCCGCTAGTTCCTATCATACCTCTGGATTAGATGAAATTTGGGAGAATCGGAGAGTGCTTACCTCCTGTGATGAAGATAGACCTCCCCTCTAGGCTTGGAATATCTGTGTTGGGGTTGTAGTCGAAAGACATTGTTGATAGATGATCAAATTAAGGGTATTCGGTATGAAATATATTAAGCAAAGGAGAAGCAGTTATCCCGTTTCCGAACAAGCGGAGGTATGCCGCCGGACCGATGTATAGAAACTAATAAAAAAAAATTGAATTTATGTCCGGAATCCCTTCGGCTTAGTTATCTCTTGCGAAACAGGGGAAGCTTGGTCCAGCCTCAACGCTTTACATGGTATGAAGTACCGACCTATGTAGTCCCCAGCTCGACGTCAGGCCTGAGGATAGTTTCGCGCATTCAGACCTTTCTTCTGATCCACATCAACAGACGATCTCAAGGGCCAAATCCAACTCATGTAGTCTCTCAATTTCTCCCGAGAGCTTTGTCACTCACCGGACAATCGTCTGTGGGTCAGCTAAATTCCTGCTTACCTCCACACTCCCTTTGTTACACCTTGACCCGACGGCATACCTCCGCTCGTTCGGAGGAACCCGTGACCGACCTGCGGCTACACCGCCTTTCGTTACGCATTAGCCCGACGGAATACCCCCGCTCGATGGGAATCGGGAGAAACCATGAAGTTCACCCGTCGGTCTTACTGTATTCGGCACTGGTCTAGCAGGGAACCAATTATAAATGCCCCTTACCAGCAGTCAAAAATCATTCAGAGAGTGCCTATTGGGTGCTCCAACCCCCTTGGTTGACGGATAAGGGTGCATCCCGTTATATAAATGAGGAAATTCCGAATTATTAGTTAGCCACGAATATGTGTGACTAGCCTTACCACAAAAGAAACGTGCGCGAAACACAAAATCTTCAGATTGCCTGGCAACACAGCCAACAACCGGTCAATCCGCCAGCGTTTGGACTTTGAAAACCATGTCACACTTTTTCCCAAGGGCCGAGTATGCAGAAGATCAACCTCTGGCCCGAACTATTCTCGCCACCCATGTCCTCAGTCGTGGCTTCCAGGTTGGCACGGCAGTTGGCCTACTGAAAAGCGGTGCTGCAGCTCTATTCAAAAATCGACCAATTACTACACTCAGCCTTCTCCGCTCGGCAAGTGCTGGGGGAGCCGTCGGGACCGGCGTCGTCGGAGTCGGCCTCATCATTCAGATGTGGGGCCGAGAGAAGATCGAGTGGCAAGACCGCAGTTGGCGGTTACGGTACAACCCAGGCCAGTTAGGTATCGACAACTGGAGTGAGCCGGTGGCAGCTCTTGGAGCACTTGCAGTGGCTTTTCGGAGGCCATTGGAACCTACAATTGGGGTTTGGCGTGGGGTTGTTGGTGGGATGGGCATTGGATCGTTGGTTGGAATTGTTGGGTGTCTGTGTGCCACACATATCTTATTACCACGAAAGGAATAACGGGGGGGGAAGCTATTGTATACTTCGGCAGCCTGTAATAGGATTCGAGGGCTTGTTGATGCCTCTTAAAGTAATACCTGAGATATCCTTAGATACCTTCATTTTCTTTGGGAATCAAAATAACAAATAACGGCATTACTGCCTTAGCAGGGCCTTTTACCTATTGCATCATATTGTATTTCGCTATACTTCGCAACCGTTGGGAAGCTGCCCGTAGATTTGGTCTGCGATGTGATGAAACCAGGACGCGGAGTCAGCTACGACCAGCATCTAGCGACTCAGTGTCTTGGAATATGCGAGATAACTGAGGGAATTATCCAGGTGAGTCGTTTGAAATTCCATCTATTCAAGGACTTCCAGCCCTGTTCAAGTAGCCTGTTGGTGTGGGTATGACTGGGGAACAGCCAAGTCAAGATGGCGACCCCCGGTGAACGATTTCAATCTACATCTACAAAAGCCCTTCGTGATAGACAAGTGGTTCCAGCGAGTATGGCCGATCTTCCAGTAAGAGGCCCTTGGTCTCTTAAATTCGGCTTCCTAATCACCATGTTCTTTGCGTCGACGATCATTCAATGGTACATGATTCTACAAGGGCACCACGAAATGTCAGCGAGAGACAAAGTTACAATCGTGATCTTGACAGTGATTAAGCGGATAAATTGGTGATACTTGTACTGCCTCGTTTATTGACCTCAGCTAACGAGAAACAGGTAGCTGCAAGACTCCAAATGCGATTTCAAAAGGTGCACGATTAGTTACACATAGCACACATCCTATCAGTCAAAACGTACAAATCTAATTCTCTATTTCCATGATAAATGCACCACTCCTCTATTTGTATTTTTTGGCAATCCAGCCATAACTCTCCAAAGCAGCTTGATCGAAGCGGCTGGTAAATGCAGTTCGTTTGAAAGTCATATCACATCAGTAATTCCAATCATCACTTCTTAAGTCCAATAACAGCCAAGTTCCGTGGACTCAAACTGTAGTCGAATACAGGCTCAACCCAGCATTCCTTGACATTGTCATGCTCGCGCAAGAATTGCCATCGGTCAACAACGATAATGGCCTCGACCACCTGTGCGCTGAATGCCATCAAGCTCCATACGACACTGAGGTTCTTTCTTCCTTGTAGAAACTTGGTCTCGTAATCATCGATTTCCTCGTCTGTCATCGATGCGACTCGCTCTTGAATCTTTGTACCGTGAACTGGGTCACGACTGGTTTTCACTGTTGCGGTGCGGACATAGGAGTTGAAAGATGTGAATGCAGCTTTGCGCAAGGATCCGATGATTACAGGCGTTGTGCCCTTTGATTCACCAGTCAGATCCTTCACGAGACCGGGTTTAGGTACAACATCGCGGTCAACAAGGATGCGCTGGTATAGAGCGCGGAAGAAGTGGCGGGTGAAGAAGCCCTCGCTATCCGCATAGCCCCAGTTATATGGCGCCTGGACAGCCATTGAGCGGGCGGTAATATTGAGTTTCATTCCCTTTACGCCGGAGCTCTCATAGTCTTCGAACATCTTGGACATTGGGAAACCGTGCGGATCGTATGCGCATCCAGTTTCGGTCAAGCGTGGATGAAGGGAACGGAGGATGGGAAGTTTGTATGTCGCGGGACCGAGACGTTCGGTCAGTAGATTGTAACAGCAGCCGATCATGGCCACGGCCACGACGGATGGATTGAGGATCAGCGAGCGCACGCCGTGATGAACGAGGTTTCCACAGGAGTGCAGGGATACAACCATCACACGGGGATCCTGCGTCTTCGAGTCTGCTTGTGCTGTGATGACCGTCTCTTGTTTATCTTCTGACACCTCTCCATTGGTGGCTTCAGGAGAAGGGTCGACAACATGGTCGATGATGGGCTCAAGGTAACCGTCCTGAATTTCATGCTCAATGTAGCTGATAGTTCCTCGAGTGTCGATCTCAGGCTGCTCCTTCCTTACGTGCGTGTTTTTCGCGACAGGGCCGAGAAGCTCGTCAGCTTCGAGAGTGATCTCACCCAGCATTTTGAACGCGGTAACATCCTCAATTGTCTCATTGAGTTCTTGGGGTGGAACATCTTCAGATAAGGACTGACGCACTCCCGTCTCTTGTGAAGGATTATCCTTAATTTCAGGAGCTGCAAGCTCGGGGTTCCCGTCACAATCAGTACATGACTTCTTGCGATTTTGGACGTAGATAGTCGTTTCTTCCTTCTTGGCTAACCTAGCTTGAACATCCATATCCCGCGCACCGCTGATATACTGATGCTTCCGCTCAATGGCGATGATATGTTTGTGGTAGGGCGAGCTTGCTAACGTGCGTCCAAGGTAATTCTGACCAGATCCAAAATCCACGATGTGAGAGACAGGCTCACCTCGACGCTCGTTGACAGTATCAGATAGGGATGCGACGTATTTTGAAAAATGCTCGACCTCGTGAACCTTCTTCTTGTTCATGCCCACCGCAACGTGTCTTGGCAGGGTGCTCTTGGTCGATTTTGATAACGGAGAGGTGAAGTCTCGACCGAGACTCAACCGGCGTACATTGTGGATATATTCTAAAAGGTCCTGCGGAGGAAATGCGCCTCCATTCCATGTACGGCCATCGTCTTGGGCGTCACCGTTCGTATCAGCCTGTCGCAAAGGCTCGATATCTTCCCGAAGAAGTAGACGGATGATGTCGTGTACGTCGTGCTGGTCGAAGAATGTTCTCCAGCTCTTGGATAGCAAAGCCGTATAGATATCGGGTTCGCGCGTCAGGAAATCGAGGATATGCACACCACCACACAGGTTCATGAACAGCAAGTTCTCACTCGCGAAGGAAAGAAGCGCACTGACATAGGTGTCAACGTCCTCCCATTCTTCGGCGAGTGGGAGGGGGCGATCGCGAGTCATCTCGAAGAATTGGATGTGTCTTGTCCCTCAGAAAAAGCCATCGAGATAATCGTGGGGAAATTGTTATCTTTTTTTTATCGTTGCGACCCGCTGAGTCATCTCCAAGTTGGAGTATGAAATCGGCTTGAACTGCAAACATCAGCCATTGAATAAAATAAATGTTCAAATTTTTGCAAATTTGGACTCTGTGGTGACCATAATATCAAATGAAAGAACACGAAATCATCTCCTTGCAAGATTGGAGTGAAATGACATCACAAGTTCCTCGACTCTGTCCCCTTGAACACGTGATTGCCGGCGAGCTGGCAGCTTCCCCGTCTCAGCGCAACCACCATTCACCTTGGACAACCATAATACACCGCAGCCATGGAGCACGCAGACCCATTCCTCCAAGTCCAGGCGTAAGTCATCCCCCTTCACCCGTCCCGATCCGCCTCCCAACAAATAAACTAACCAACTGAATAGGGACGTCCTGTCAACACTACAATCCAGCCGTCCCCTCTTCTCCTCATATCTCCGCATCCGCTCCCTCACCAAGAACCCGTCAAACCCAGAGCTGAATCAATCGCGCTCGGAGCTCGAAAGCACAATATCCGAGCTCAGCGCCGACCTAGATGATCTTGTCGAGAGCGTCCGCGCCATCGAACAAGATCCATACCGCTTCGGTCTGGAGCTGGAAGAGGTGCAACGGCGGCGCAAACTTGTAGACGATGTCGGTGCTGAAGTTGAGAAGATGCGTGAAGAGCTTCAGGCTGCAATTTCTCATGCGCCGGGACCGGATCTGCCTAATCCTACGGAGTTCGATGCTGCGCTCGATGAGGAGGAGGGCCGGGGTGGAGAAGATTACTATGCTTCTATGGAGCAGCAGCGGCAGACGGAGCTCATGCATGAGCAGGATGAGCAGCTAGATGGTGTTTTCCATACAGTGGGGAACTTGAGGCAGCAGGCTAATGATATGGGGCGCGAGTTGGAGGATCAGGCGATTATGATTGATGAGGTTGATACGTTGGCAGACCGTGTGGGTGGGAAATTGACCAACGGCATGGCGCGCATTCGACATGTTGTGCGTGCGAATGAGGGTGAGTGAGCTTCTTTCTACGTCTGGATCCACGGCTGGATCCGCGGCTGGAACTACGACTGGGCACAGTGGTATCTGGATATGGGAATCATAAATTTCAAAAGGCTAACTTTTTTTTCTCCGTTAGATACATGGTCCTCCTTTTGCATAGCGGCGCTAATCTTTGCGCTCGTCCTATTATTAATACTCGTTATCGTCCTTTGATAATACATCATTAAGGACGCCGGAAGACACCAGCGTCACGAGGCATGGCGTTTCATAGCGGGCATTTCAGAGATATTTAGTTGCGGGCCTTCTTGCGCGGGCGCGAAGCCTCATCGCCCTCGTTGTCATCATCCTCATCCATCTCGTCGGCGTCAATCTCGCTGACGTCGAGGTCATCGAGGTCGTCGCCCATCTCATACGATTCCACTGTGTTCAAAGTCAGTTCAATTTCTCGTTAAGGTTACTGTTATCGGTCACGTACCGTAATACTTCATGGCATCAGTCCAGAGGTCCTCGGCAATGGCGATGGCAAGCTCCTCGCCATCGGGGAAGATCTCGGCGTCCTCGAGGTCGTCAATGAGCTCATCATCCTCATCATCCTCATCCTCGTCATCAACCTGCTCGCCCTTGAGGATCTTGGCATAGCGCTCGTCGTCGAGCTTGCAAGCCTCCTTGTTCTGCTCAGCAGAGACATCACGGCCACGGTAACCGAAGAAGGCGAAGAAGCTGGTGCCGGCAGGGCTCTCAATGCCCTCCTCATCGTCCTCGTCATCCTCGTCATCGTTCATGGCCTCAGCCTCAGCAATCTCGAGCTTCTTGACGAGAGCCTCGTACTCAGGGAGCTTGGTGCGATCGCCACCCTTCTTCTTCTTCTCGGCCTCAGCGAGGTCACAGGCGGCATTGAGCAGACCTTTGGTGAGATCCATATCCTTCTTCCAGTTGATGCGGACGGGCTCAGAAACAAGACCCTCCCAGGTGCGGACCTTGCCGCTGGAGGTCTTGATGCTCTGCTTGCGCCAGTAGAACTCCTTAACGAGCTGAGAGTTGGTGAAGAAGGGGTTCTCCTCCTCGCTAGTGTGGAAGTCAAAGGTGAAGCGCAAGCTGCGGGGCTCGCCGTTGCCCTGAGCATCAACCTCGAAGCGCTCAACCTTCATGTTCTTGAGGCTGGAGCCGATAACAGCAGCATCGGTGGGCAGAATGTACTCGTCAATCTCAGCAGGGGCACTGGCAAACACGCGGATCCAGAAGTCGTTCTGGATCTCGGGAGAGGAGATGATCTCATTGCGCTTCTCGAAGAGGGGGTTCAAGAGAGGAACCGACTTGCGGACTGGGGCAGAATTAGCATTGATCTTTGTAAATAGAACAGAGCAATCGCATCATCATGCTGACTGGAGAAGTCACATGAAAATACTGCACGGACACCCGCTCACAAGAAAAAAAAAATTCTCTGACCGGTGCCGCCATCGCGCGAAACAAATGGATTGGGGTAACTTACGCTGCTCGACTTCAGCGCGAATAAACTGCTCCTGCAGGTGGGAGATCTTCTGAGCAGCCTCCTTGGGGATGGAGGGGATCTCGACACGCTCGAGGAGAGACTGGTCTTCGGCAGACATTGTGATGAGGATATGGGGGGTGGTATTGGGTATTGGGTATTGGGTATTGGTGGGGGGTATAAAGAAGTAAGAAAGCTCGGAGCTCGTAATGTGAAATGAATCAAAAAACAATCAAGAAGACTTGACAGTAGGGGAATCAAGGGGGGTATAAGGGAGAGAGATGGAAGAGGGAAAGAAGTGGAAGGTCAGAGAGGGGAGCTAAGAAAAAAAAATTCAGTGGCCGATCAGCAGCTGTCGATGCGCGCATCAAAAAAAAAACCTTGGAGAGCTTAGACCTACTCGGAGATACAGTCAGGTACTTCCGTTTGCGGGAAATAATAGTGGTGGGCTAAGTCACTTTGTGTACACTAAAGTACCCGCAGGCGGTGCACCCAGCAACGGGATGGATTGGATAGTGGGGGGGGTGGTACGGCCTGAGGTGTCGGAGGAAATTTCGTGCGGCTTCTTTTCCAATTTTTCATTGACAATTGCATCATGACGTTCCATTGTAGTCCATATATTTTTAGCTCTTAAATTACTCTCCGAGTTTGCTAGGATATGGCTCAGGACTGCCCCTCTTTGAGAAAAAGCAATATTCCCTCGTTCAATGTTTCTTTGATGATTCCTACGGAACAAGGAAGTATATCCGGATCCAGATCGTGACCTAGCAATGTGATTAAATCTCCGCTCGCGATTCGTCAATGGCCCAATTCACCAAAAGTTCAGACTTCGCCTTGCAACAACCCTGGAATCGTAGTCAGCAGCCCGGGCCAATTTAATGTGATTGGGATAGCCGAGCCTTCATTGCTTTTTCCGATTTGCGCCTTAGCCTTAGGGCGGGGAACTAGAGGAAAGTGATCAATTCACTTTATTCCAACTGCACCTCTATGCTCCGATCTGTCAAGATCTCCAATTACACATTCCTTTCAAGTGGTTATCTCAATCTTTGCGCCTTTTCTATTTAGTTCGTGCTCTTCATTGGGCCGGCGATTGCGATAAAGGAGCGGTCTGGCTTTTGCGGTCATTGGTGGATAGTGATGCTGCGAATTATTCCTACTCGCTGCTATTTCTTGGGCTTTGATGCAATGTGCTGCAAGCTGCAGTTTTGCTGTTAAAAAATGGTGAGTCAAAAGGACATCTGCATGCCAGGAATGGAAAAAGGTCAGATCAAAGCAAGCAAGGAAAATCGTGATTATCTCATTCGATGTAGAATTTTGGGATGACCCTGTCCTGGCTATCAAAGAGGATGGTCTGGAAGCAACAAATAACTTTTTATGGTCAGAAAGAGAGAGAGAGAGAGAGAGAGAGAGAGAGAGAGAGAGAGACAGAACGCGTCCCCCAATGCCTGGTTCCAAACATCGTTCCGATTAAGAACAGTAACAAAGAAAGAAAACAAAAAACAGTCATATCCCATATAATTCCTATGCCCATTCGCCAATGATGCAATGATTAGAGCAAAAAACAAAACAAGGCAGGTTCAACATGCACAGGCATCATCACCATGCACGTCTGCCGGGGATCGAACAGTCGTAAAGAAGAACAGGCGCCGATAATCATCAGCGACGCCTAGACACGCGCGAGAACAAAGAGTGTAAGTGCAAAGGACGAGTGCTCATAGCATCCAGTCCAGTCCGTTCGCCTCTTCTTCCACGGGGAACACCTCGCGAGCATATTCCTCCATGTCGCGCCAGCCCTGCCACAGATGCCGGGATTCGTCCGTCACTCGCAGCGACACGACACCGCCTGGCCCCTGCATCATACCGGCGCCGGCGCCCTTTCCACCGGCCGGGCCCAGACCCTTGGGCGAGCCGGCTGCCGGCTGCGAGAATTCGGGCTGTGGGAAATAGGGTGCGTTGAACTCGCCAAACAGGACCTCGAGCATCTCCAGCTGTTCCCTGTATCCCGGCGGGATGTTGACTTTGATTTCGATCCGAGGCACGCGCACGTAGTTACAGGGGCGGCCCAGAGCGCGCTCGAAGGCGGCGCACACTTGGTTGGGTGAGAGGGTTTCGAAGGTGAGCGCGATCCTAGAGATTGAGCGGTTAGTACTTTTGTTCCATTTTCTATTTTCTTTGATTTCCTTCCTCGGAGGAGCTCGGGAAGGGGGGATCCTGGTAGATCTGGAAATGTTCCGGAACTCACCGATGACCGTGCCACTTCTTTGGGCCGTCTTTAAAGATTTGCAGCAGTGCTGGTCCCACGTCGTGCTCGGCGTCAAGCCAAGGGAGCGGGGTCTCCGCGTCAAAGGGCGCGTGCCACTCGAAGCTGCCGTCGGGCATGAGTTCCATCTGGAAGAGCGGATAGGGAAGGCTGGTGAAGTTGTTGTTGTAGATACCGGCGTAGACGAAAGTCGACGGGAGAGACAGCTGGCGCACGTAGTTCTCGACGGTAAACTTGGGCGCCCACTGCGGGACGGCAGGCCAAGGGCCGTGGACGGAATGATCCGGCATACTGCTGTAGATGTAATGGGTGATGGAACCGGCACGTTTGGCGGCGTCTGCCAAAGCGCGGCCGATAGCAACCTCGTCGCCGGCCTGGGAGGTGGTGTTGATGAAAGCGAAAGAGGCGCCCTTGAAGAGCTCGTCCATCAGTCGGGTATTGCCGAGCAGCGGGCCCTGCAGGAGCGTGACATTGGGCAAGGCCTGTAATTCATCGGCGACAAGGCCCTTGAGAGAATGGATTTGCGCGCGCACGGAATAGCCCACGGCGGACGCGACTCTGATCAGCGAGGCGGCCTGTCGCCCGGCCGCGTTCACCACGGCAATCGTCTTCTGCGGTTGTGTCATTCGGGACAGGCTCGCAGCCAAGTTGGAGATAGGGTAAAGAAGAAAAAGGTTGGGTATAAAGTGGATCCGAAAGACAAGAAAAAAGGGAAAAGGGCGAGATAAAAAGAAAATCCGGAGTAAAAGGCCTTGGCGAGAAAAATGGAGGTGAGGGCTGCGATAGTGGGGTACCTTGGGAGGGGAGCAAAAGTTGTATGTAACAAGAATCGCGATCAGACGGCGGGGGGGTGATCCAGCTCCACCAAGACTTTGAGGTAATTATGCGATGGAAACAGTCATCACGGGCGAAGAGGATCTGCGAAAGAGATTTCACCCTTGGTGGGTTGACCTGGTTTTTTTTGGTTCCGAAACCCAAAGGCGGAGGAGGATAAGATAAAGAGGAATATAGGGTTATCTATACGACGCGCCCATACAGTAGACGGTGTTACCTTGTAGGGGCTCTACCGCTCTGGTCTTCACTATAATCCCATGAGTTATAAGTTCCTCGTTTCCTGCCCCTATGACACCATAGAGTCTAGACTAGGCTGTCCTCCTTTTTCTTTACGTAAATCGGCACGCAGTCGGCTCCAGCAGTTGGACGGGAAGATCCTAAACCGGCCACGCATCGGGACCCAGGCTCGGGCTCCGTTGGTTTTTTTTGACATCATTCTGATGGTGCTAGAATCATTTCAGATCCTCTTTAGGAAGGCAGGCGGTGTCAGTTAAGCTAATGCTAAGCCGTGCTCGCCCGGCTGGTTGTCGCTGTTCCAGATGGCGCAGTTAAATGGCGCAGAATGAGTTCGTCCAACAACCTGCCAGGGGCGGTCTCACGTGGTACTAGGATGTGGGTTCCTTTGGCTCCAATTGGCACACATGGACTAATTATATTACTAGGAGATCACCTGGACAGACAACGCATGGGTCCGTCCCAGAAGGGCAGTTGTATACAGAAGGAGATAGCGATTCCGCCTCGCAAGGTACCAGGGATCAGGTACTAAATCCTATGGCAGGTCCAAGGCGCTATCGAGCTGTGTGTTCGGATGATGTACCTAGCTAGCTACTCGCAGACGTGCTAACCCCGCAAATTCTATCGGACATCTCCCCCTGCTGCAGGAGGGGCGCCGAATTTTCAGCGGCACCGACCGAAGGCAAGATCGGCCTATTCCACGGTGGAGCAGAATGATCATAGATCCATCTATCTGATAAATTCCCACACTAAACTACCTGATATAGCACTCTATAGCATCTTAGGATGATCATCCGAATCTAAGTCTAAGTCTAAAAGTCAACCCCTAGGATAGAAATTTAAAAAATAAAAAAATAAAAAAAAAATAAAAGTACTGTGAGGCCCTACCACCTGTTCCCCACTTGGTGGCCTTTGACCCCCCAACGGTAAGGCCCGATCTCCGCGGAAGCACTTGGACCCAATGGTTCTATGTTGTTCTGGCGTGATCGTTGCGCGTATGGCTTTTTGTACTACCGTGCGATGATGTGACTGTGATACCCTATAGTCGGCATGTGAGTTGTTCTTCATGGTGCAGAGCCGGCCAGCGTCCGTCCCCGCTCATCTTCTAGCTCATGAGTATTTTCGCCGGGGTCAATGCCCGCCAGTCCCCAGACCCCGGGCCGTCGACGAGCCAGTAATTCTGCTGCCGGTCGCTCATCCGAATGCAGGTGAGCACCCGACTTGCGTAGAAGGCGCACGTGCTCTGAAAGCCCGGCATTAGCCGCAAGGAACAGCGGGGTACGGCCATTGCGGTTACGAAGGTGAACGGAACCACCCTGCAACAGCAGGTAGTGGAGGGTCGCGATGGCAGGGGAGGTAGCTGCCAAGTGCTAGAAGACGAAGGGGCGTAGTCAGCATCAGATTTGGCGTAAAATGTGCAACAAGATTCGCTTACGATTGGTGTGTTCCCCGAATAGTCGGCGTCATTCAGCAGCCAGTGGTGTTCAGTCTTCATGATGGTTTTGACCCGCTCTAGGTCTCCATGCGCGATGGCGTAGCCCATTGCCGTGAGGGTCTGTACGCGACCGGGAAGGGCTCCGTCGGGGTGTCGGAACATCGGAAGAGAAGACTCGGTAAGCTCCCCGCGAAGCGAGACGGACATCTCCCTTGAAACTGTGTCTGGTGTAGCACCAGGAAGCGCGAGTAAATACGCCAGCTTTGTCAGTGCACCTTCGGTAGTCATGTCGAGACCAGCAACAACGCCTGCCCGAGACAGACTCATGCCGGGGGCATAGACTGGACTGACACTTCCGGTTAGACCTATAGTAGAAGGCCCCTGTTAGCGAATATCATTTTTAAGTTCGCGGGGGCCAATCGAGTTACATTGAGTTACATTGACAATCACAATGCCTCTCTTGATGGCGTTGGCCAATACATTGATCATGGCGTTATCTTGACCAGACGGAGCGTTTCCAGCTCCAAATGTCTCCAAAATGAGGCCACGGAGACCGTCCAGTCTCAGAACAGCGTCGACCATCTCGGGCTTAATACCCGGGAAAATACGAAGGCACGCGACATGGGTCGTGTCAAGATTCGTTTGGATCCGGAAGTGCTCCAAACTGGTGGGCCTGTGCACCATATTCCAGTTGACATTCGTGCGCATCGAAGTCGTGATTGCCAATGGTGGACAGTTCGGGGCATCAAAGGCCGCGAAGTCGCTCGCCGCCACCTTGGTGGACCGGTTCCCACGGAAAAGCTTGTTATTAAAGTACAGGCACACTTCGGGGATCATGAAGTGACCCGCCACTACAAGCGATCCGAGCAGGTTGTCAGTTGCGTCATTTTGGAGTTCGAGCATGGGTGCCTGGGACCCTGTGAGCACGACAGGCTTGCCGAGGTTCTGGAGCATGAAACTCAAGGCTGAGCAGGAGTACGCCAGACTGTCGGTACCGTGAAGAACCACGAAGCCGTCGTAAAGCGTGTAGTTCTGGAAAATGGTCTGCGCAATCTGCGTCCAGCCCTTGGCGTCGATCGAGCTGCTGTCCAGAAGCTCTTCGAACTCGAAGACGGTATACCGCACCTGCTTTCCGTAGGCGGTGATCGGAGTGCGCAGACTGGGATGACCCTTCACATCTCCTGCGGCATTTGTCACCACGTCCATGTGGAATGACGGCGAGCCATCGTTGAAGCACGGCACTCGTGCCATGCACTTATCCTGGAATCCCCTGGCAGGCACGAACCCGGCTGGAGACGGCTGCATGCAAATCGTGCCTCCGGTCATGATGATCAGCACCCTGGATTCCAGGACATTCTCCTCCAGCCTCGCACCCACGACGGGGATCGACACCTCTTCAGCGCCCATTATGATGTTCGAACTGGCGAATCACTGCTGTCTGCTGTTGCAAGGGCTGAAACCAGATCCCGACGTTGAATCCGACGGTCGAGATTAGAAGCAAGCTCAATTCCCCAGACTTTGGCGGCTACCTGGATCAACGCGATAACCTGCCCCCTCAGTAAGGACCGAGATCGTCGACTCGGCGGATTGCGGGGGGATGACGTTGGATGAGAAATTTTCTCGTTCTCTCGCGTAAAACCTTTAGTCAAACAAGCATGCGCAAGTAGAATTTTTCTCGGCCTCGAAAATAGAAATCCCTCGAGGCAGATCGTGATTGATTCTTTTGGCCGAACGGGACTCCAAAAGGACCAGCGTATTACGTACGGACATTTTATTGGAGAAGGATTTTCACCGGTTGGCTTAACTTTAAAACGCGGCTCCACTCAGCGGAGTCGTCTGTCTTCTCCGACTTGTTCTCTCCGACAATTCCGGATTCGTGTAGTAAAGGAGTAGCGGATAGATAGAAAATAAGATTGACCTGATCATCTGTATGGGGGTATTCTATGCTCTTTTAACACCAATGCAATGCACTTTGCGATAACAATAACTACGGTAGAATGGCCAGTATCCACGTTTTTTTTTTTTTTTTTTTTTCTTTTTGTTTTTGAAACCCATCTACTGCAAAGAGTCATCCAACACTTCAATCTTAGTCTCGGAATACTCAGCACTTTTGAAAGAATGGCGTCCGCGAGCAAACCAGTCAATGGCGATGATGAAGACAACGACACCGTAGACGGCAGAAACATAGTTCATGTCTAGACCACGTCAGTTTTCTTTCTCGTTTTGAATTAGGAGATATAGACGACTTACTGCTTGTAGTCATGGGCATGTTCGCCGGGAACGAGTACATCACGAGCGAAAAGATTGTCCAGAGGATGGTCAGAATGTTGGCAGCCAGACCGAGCTTACCCAGCCAGAATGGACCATGCTGGATATTGTCGCGTCCCTTGTACCAAAGACAAAGAACAGGGATCGAATAGGACATGTAGAGAAGAGAGATGCAGGCTGTCATCATGCTGTTGAATGCAGTGGAAGAGCCGAGGTAGAGGAGACCCAGAAGACCGACGATGAAGCAGCTCACCGAGTGGGCAACGAGCGGCACGTCAAGAGTCTTGTTCACCTTGGCCAGCCACTGGTGACCAGAAAGGCCACCGTCACGAGCGAAGGCCCAAGCCAGACGAGATTGCCAGGTGTGGCAGGCGATCTGGCAGCCCATACCGGTAACAATTAGAAGAGTCTCCAACACAATGGCGCCAGCCTTGTTCTCCAGAGCCTGGTAGTATAGAGCCAAAATTGGGACTCCGGTGGGAGAGTTGATCAGACTCGAAAGATCTTGGATGCCGAAGAACATCGGAATACAGTAGGTCCACGAAGTCACAAAGCCAATGCCCACGGTAGCCATAATGGCGATCGGAATGTTCTTCTCGGGAGCCGGAACCTCCTCAGCAAGATGAGTAGCAGAGTCCAAACAAGCAAAGATCCAGTTCGGGTTGATCAACCCGACAATAAACGCCATGCCATCTGACTTCCAGCCCGTTGTGTTAGAGAAGTGACCAAAGACAAACTCTGCGCTGGCACGAGGATTGGCGCAGGCTGGGACGGTAACCAGGATAATCAAGTAGGAAACCAGGGAGATATAAAGGGTAGCCTTCGCAACCGCGGGCAACAATTTACCGACGCAGTTGAACAGAAAGCAGAAGAAATTGATCAGCTGGTAAGCCACGACAACGTGCCACGGCTTGACCTCGCTGAAGTAAATTGCATTAGCATTACAAACAAGTTGAGGGAGGACTGGATTCGTACAATTCGGGGTGACCCAGCTGCCACATGCCCACTACACCCTCTCCCAGACCGAGAACGACACTGGAACACGCAAAGATGGCACCTGCGTAGCCAAGCCACCCGGTTAGGTAAGAGGCAAAGCGGGCATACTTCCGCGGCGCCAGCTCATGGGCCCAGAAGTATTGACCACCGGCATTGGGCATAGCACTAGCAAGCTCAGCGAGTGAAGATCCCACACCAAGTGAAATTAAAGTAATCCACAACAGACCGTAGATGATCAGCGGTGTGCCACCGGAGCTAATACCAGTAATCATAGAGGCAGAGATACCAAACCACGAGTTGGACATGCAGAACGCAATCCCGACCAACGAAAGGATGGAGAAATTGCGGTTCAAGTCCTGGGTGTAACCCATCTCGGCCAATTTGGTGGCATCAGAATCAACAATGCCGGAGCCGGAGCCATCGCTCGAAGCCGGTTTGGCGCTGGCTGTTTTTTCGAGGTCAAAACTTCCTTTGTTGTTGGAATGGTGCATGATAGGGGATTCGGCACAGAGTTTTATATTATAGCACTAGAAAACACGGTATAAATCGCTTAGGCTGCTTGTTGCATGGGAATCGAATGATCAACGTAGGATTGGCGCTGCGGGTCTATAAAGATGCTGCTGCTGGCTTGTCGAGGAGCAGTGGGAGTCGAGTATATCGCTTGGGAAGGTAGATTGCTGCAAAGGGGTCGAAGAATGAACGGCTCCAAACACGATACAAGCAACAATGAGTTACAGAAGGCGATCTGTATAATTGGTTTCACTCTTTGTGTTTCGAATTATCAACATAAGCGAATGAGTATCGAGATTCCAGTCAGCTCGGTGCACCCCAGGTGTGTCAAGAGAAATGCGATTGTCAAAGGCGGTTCGATTGAATTCTCGAAGAGAGTTGGGTTTAGATATAAAATAAGCCGCCAACTACAACTGATCATCGACCTGTTCTCCCTAAAACCATCTCCACTCCGCTACCCATTGACTAACACATTTCCAATCTAGCAGGCACCAGGACCGGCAATATCGCACATGGGGCTCATACCGCGCGGTGGATGTTCGGGATTGAGTACCGTCACTGGGCGGGTCAGGTCTTTCTATCGGACGCCATGCCGCAGTTGATTGATCAGGCACCTTTTTTACTTTCGGAAACCACTCGATTCTGGCCTCGCGTATGATCCTTTGGTACACGACTCGTTCCACGTACTAAGAAGGGGCAGAAGAGTTGCCTCCACTTGGCGTGTGTCGGTGCCGTTGAAAAAGTGCGTTATTTTGTGCCTCAAACGTCATAGTGCGGGAAGGCCGGTTGAGTTCGGGTTTCTCTGCTGGTTTTCATAACTCTGCTTCTTCTGAAAACATAGAATTAATTTTATTCAAAGAATATTAGCACCTCTGTGCATCCTGTGACTGTGTCTCCTGCCAACGTGGGCTGAAAAATCGGCAACGTTTGCGAGTCCCTTGAACAGTGCAGAGTGGAACTCTGATTTTTCACGACCAACATCCAAATATGGGCTCCAAAACACCCACTCAATGACTTCACATGTCGAAGATGAAAGCAAGAATCTCTGGTACCGATTCCGTCAAGACCGAGATCCATTCTCTCGCGCAGAAACGATTCCCAGTCCGTAATCACCATTTTATAATCTGGTAGCAACACTACAATTGGGATCTGCAAGCCACCAGCCCTATGATAGCACGCGATGGCCTTCTCATCTTCCGCATGAGATAAGTTGCGTCGGCCTAGCGCCCCAGCGGGCAACATAGTAAAATACCTTCTCTTTGGAGTAAGGCTTCATGTAGAGTTCACCGAGAGAAGCCGGAGAGTGTCCGTTGCCCCGCGGTCGATATTTGTGATGATCTTGCGCCTGCTGGGCAGGTACTTATCGGGATTGTCGAGAGGATTCTATGCCTTTTATGTTGTCATTTATTTCTACTAATTGTCTCGATTTCTCGATCTATTCTTTCTTGAAATGAGTGAAGTATTTTCTACTTTGTCATAGTCCAATATCTACAATGAGGAGGATGGGAGAGTCCTTCCTTTCAGGTCCATGCTCGAATCGTTGGCCGATCTTCTATAACCCATTCGGATTGAACTTGAACACATCCTCCTCCAGCAAGTCCATCATGTACTGATTCCCCGAGTACCAATTGCTCAACTGCGCAGCCTGTGACATCTCTGCCGCAGACACATCCTGGTTCTGTGAAGGAGCCACGGGAGCAGGGAATCCAAAAGCCTGCGAAGAGGATTGCGGGAAGCTAGTTGACATAGACGGGACATCTGTCTGATAATATCCCTGAGCATTTGGCATGGAATTTCCGGGCGCGAGGCCTAGCGCACTGAGATAGACATCGAACTCTTGTCCAACAGAAGCGAGTGTCTGATCTTCACCTGCTTGGCTTCGGCTTTTGGCTTCTACGTAGAGACGGGCGACGGTACCGAGGACGGAGGTGAGGTTATGCAGTCGATCGATCGATTGAGAGAATGCGCAAAGAGGGCGGAGGGAAGCGATGAAGTCTTCCAGCCGAGTTAAATCCTCGCTATCCGATGTTGCGATAACGTTGCAAAATATGACGATGAATGGGACGAAGGGAGAGAAGAAGATTGCCCTGTTATTTGCTATTAGGTTTAGAAGGCATGGGTATGTGACCAGGTACTCACCAATGCATGTAAGAGCATCTGATCATCTCGCTTGCCTCTTGTAACTCACTCACACACGTCTGGTGGTGCTCCAGGGATGCGCGTGCCATTTCAATACACTCGGGTATGAAGTTGGTAGACGAGCCTGACTCGGGCGATGCGGGGATGGCGCGGTAAATCAAAGTCAGAATTGCCAAGCGGCTGACCTTGTCGGAGCGGAGATAAATGAAATCCACGGCGTTCATATTTGAGATTAGATTAGAGGCCATGATTTGCTAATGAAATAAGTTAAAACTGCCTTCAATAATCGTGAGTGGTCGCGACATACCTCAAATGGCTCCAATACGCTCTCCTGCAATTCGGTAGCTAGGTGACGGGCATGAGCCACTCGCTCATGCTCGGGTTGATTCAATGCCGCGGGGCTGTATAGTAGAGCGTATACCTTGCCCTCGATCAGGGATTGCTTGGTCCACAGAGCGCAAACGGTGCTCCATACATCTTTGCCCGTACAGATATCGAGTGGAGATGGCACTCCGATGTCATAGTCTGGGACCGGCGAAGCCCGACCAAGGCGCAAGGAGAGAAAATTGAGGATGGTAAACACGGACCAGAATATAGTCTGCTTTTTCTCCTGCACATCTTGCGAATCTTGTTCCATGGATGAAAGACGGTGATATCCCAATGTCTGACACATTTGAATCGCCATAGAAGCAAGTGTCCAGCTGACCGAGGGCTTTGAGATCTCGATCCCATGCATTGCCTGTACCGATATGTGTTAAAACGATTATAATAAATCCATAGCAAAAACTTACTCCAACCGTCAGAGCGACAATAGAATCGAAATTTGCGGGCATCAGTATATTCAAATTCGCTAATGCTGCCTCCAAATTGAACTTGCAAAGTCTTAAATAGTGCTGATACTTTTCCTTTTCATCAAAATCCTTCTCAAGAAATCCGAGCTCGGCGAAGACGTTGTAGAGCCCAGCATTTGCTGTAATAAAGGTTGCGTCCGAGTAATCATCAGTGCAGAAATAAACTTCTCGACATCTATCGATGAAGTAGTCGACCGTAAAGAACGGTATGTAGCCACCAAAGGAAGCTGGGGGCGTTTCTACATATTTTGGTGAGACTAAAGCTAGGGGTACCAGATTGGAAAGACATCATGTCATACCTTTGACGATCTTCAAGACATCCAGAACCATGGGCAGAGGCGGCATCTCCAAATCGCGGATATCGCAGCGGGCACCTTGCCGGTCGCTCTGGCTAGGGAATTGCCCTCTTCGGGTATTCTTGCCGCGCCATTTGTCTTGCATCTCAACGATTTGCTTCAGGGACGATAATGCCTCGCTGATCTTTGGGCTGGAAAACAGCTCAGGTGTGCTGTGAGAGACTGCAGATTCGAGAAACTCCCTCGCATAGACTGAGTGAGTAACCAGGGAAGAACTACCCTCAAAGTCCACCCCTGGGTCATGTTGCTCGATAGCTGCGTTAGACGTATACCCGGGCCCTTTCGTACCTTCGTGCTCTTGCGCTGTAGCTGGGGACTGTCTTCGAACATTGCTTTGAGGCGACGACTGAGATGATGACTGCACTTTGATCGCGGAGGAACCATTGGAATTAGATGAGACCACCAGCTGCCGAAGAGCTTGTTCAATACCCCCAAGACGATCTTCGATCATGTCAATCTTTTTCTCACTGTATAATCGAGTCAACCAAGATATTCCCAACCGTGCCACCTTAGGCATGCCAAGTAGCCAGGTTGAAAAGTGCAGGTATTAGAATTACATACTACTGGCTTGAAATTAACACACGGCGCCTCGGCTCGTGCGGTCTTTGGCCTTCGCCAATGGAGCGACACGCAATGTTCGCGCTGCGGCAATTGGAACATGGCGTGCGTTTATCGCACCGGATCTGTGTAAGCGTTAATAAAACCAGTCTAAGCGGACGAGAGAGAATATACTTTTCGAGAGCGGCACTGGTCGCACTAAACACATTGTAAGTCATGGTAAGTGATCGCGGAATGACTCGGTCCACTGGACGTAGAAGTGGAGTACATACTGCACGTCGGGCCAAAGCACTGGACCCCTCACTACGGTCGGAGCCCTCGGGTTCCATGACTGGGGAATTGGCGTATGATTCCGGTCGGGGTCCTAAGAGTTCCAATGGTTGTACCGCTAGGGTTACGAAGGGCTGTACAGTTGCCTCCAATCTACGAAACGGATCCGGTGCTGCCTTGGTGGGATCACGTGGCCTGTAGCCTGCGGGTGAAAAATAGAGCTACGACTAGAGGCGTCGGTTAAATTGAACTTGAAAGCAGTATCAACATTCGTGAGATCTTCATTCGGCATATCGCGTCATCAGAGAGTTTTGTCCAGCACGCGCGATGACTTAAATGTAGGCAGAGCGCGTCCAGCACACAAATCCCACCAGTGTATAATATTCTATCCAGCAGAAAGAGAGAGAAAGGGAAACAGAGATCACAAAATACAATGCATAGGTAAGCCATAGCCAAGCTATTTCGAACGGGATGGCGATTTCCATGATCCATCACTGCGCCAGACTGCAGCGGGTCCGTACCGGCCAGCCTCGGAGCCCCGCAAGAATGCAAATCGGAAGAAGAGATCCTCAGGTTCATCCGAAGGATTACTATCGATCAGTAGGACTGATTGAGTATCGAATGTAGTCTCCAGAAGGTCCCGACGATCAAGGAGAGGCTCGTCATGAGGTAGCTCCAAGCCCTCATGGCCACGGCGGTGCCAAGTGAATTCACCTAGCTTATCCTCATCCAAATAGCCACGCCAGCGCTCCACATCGTTGAGCAAGACCGAAACACCATCCACGGCAAGTTTTGTCATGCGCTCGTGTTCCCAGAGGGTAAAAGTGATATTACCATTGCCGTGATGAGTCTCCTTCGATCCTGAACCGGGTAGCGAAATCTCCACGGAGGAATCGGTGATGTTTGGATATGAAGCACCCCACCATCCGCTACTTCCACTACGGCCCGGCGCTAGCTCTCCCAGGGCAGCGGGGGTCTCGATAATGGAAGCAAAGCCCCACCGAGCAACACCGTTGATAAATAGGCCAAGGAGCAGTCCTTGGTAGATCAATGAAGGGCGCGTGGGGAAAGCAGTTCCTGGCATAAGCAGGATCGCCAGAATGTAATGATGGATGCGCAGTCGTAGACCAGGGAGCGGGGCCAGAATCAAGATGAACAGAAGCATGGTGCAATAGATCTTGAGGTAGCGAGGAAGCAATCCACCCTGGCGGATCTGCCATGCTTGGGTAAGAACAATCGTGAGCACGGTTGGGATGACAATGGCGAGCGCCAACTTCGCGCCAGGCTGCTGCTGAATGTCCATGGGCGTCAGGCGCTGGAGGGGGATCAATCGCGCAAAAGTATAGTTGTTCAAAGCTCCAATGAAAAGCGGTGGGAGGAACAGGAACAACTTCGAGAACTGATAGATTGGCGATGAGATGGGTTGAAGAAGCGGGTTCGCGCAGAACTTGAAGAGCACATAGACCACGAACGATGCGGGGAGCAGTCGAGACAATAGAGTGGAAACGAGGTCGCTCAGGTAAGGATATGATGGCGGGTCTGCGACCAGTCCAGTGTGGCAGAATACCATGAAGAATGTACTGAAGAACAAAACAGGCGGGGAGGTGCAGAACAGCCAAAGGAGCCCGACAGCGGCTGCGGTTACGCCCAGGAGCGACCAGCGCGGATCAGCTGGGCAGTTAGCCTGCGACGAGAGCGACTGAATGAAACTGAAGGCCTTGGGGAAAGTGGACGGGAAAGCCTCAGACTGGATGCCATTCTGCTTGACCGACGGAAATGAATGCGCCGCGCCTTCGAGCTTCACAACGCCGCAACCACCATTGTTGGAGATGGCACCGGCATGAATCGCTGCCTGACAAACAAAACTGTCGGCGCGATAGATAGCGGGCTCAGACGAATGGGGTTGCGGGCCTCCAATCACAAGACCCTGGTAATTGAATGTTCGGTTCCCAACAACATGAGGCTCTAGGAGCTTCTCGTCGATACAGTTCGCAGGGCACCTAAAAGCGACGGTCGAGGAAGAAAAGGGACGGCATCCGTTGCCATTGAGGCCACATCCGTTATCGAGTTCCCTAGATCAAGATTAGCCGATTGTATTATAGTACGCGCTCTGTTTGTACGAACCAAAGATTGGTTCCACATGAAAGTGTCTGTAGCTGACCGTAGCCTTCGATGTAGCCGGAGGAGCGCGAGTGCACAAGTACCAGGAACCAGGGTAGGAACCAGGATGCATATAGCAGAATGAGAAGTGAGATCTTGTGCTTGCGCTTAGGAAAAAAGCGGTCTAGGTACTGGACCGGCAGTTCCTGTATGCGAGGGAAGAGCGGTTTCAACAAAAGCATATGGGGAGGATTGGGACCCTTGATCCAGTGCGCGGTCGCGCGGCCGGCTTTTCTCAAAGGCAGTGGTACCCAGCTCCAGCGAAAGGACTTGGATGACTCCTGCAGCCAGACGGGCAGGGCGCTTCCACCCGCTTCAACATCGGGCGGCGGGAGATCTTCGGAAGTGTCGGGATTGACAATGCGCTCGTCGTCGTCATCCTCGAGTAGTGGGGGAACGTAGAGGCGAGCTGCCTCCTCGCGACCCTCTCCAAACATGGCTGAGGGTTCAAGGGAAAGAGATGACCTCGAAAGTCGTGAGGCGACGAAACGAACGGCAGGGTATGATGTCGGTGTCGGAGCGGTCGGCAACGCTAAGCTTAGAGTGGGGATTTCCCCAGTAGGTTCACTAGGATGATCACCAGGAACACCCTGTCCCTAATTAATCGGGATGCAAGCACGTAAGGCAGCCTCTCGGGGGGTATAGAGGGGTATAAGGGAGTGGATGAAGATATTGTCGACAGTGAATAAGACAAGTTGAGACTGGAGAGGCAGAACAGACTCTGACCGTCAGGCAACCAATCACAGGGCCTCCTGCGGCCAGTGGCGACGCTTTTCGTCGCAAGAGGCCACAGGGGCATTCTTACAGCATTCATATCCAGTGCCTTCATTGGAGACGTCCAGGGGCTCAAAATCTTATCCGAGTCAAGGCCTTTCCAGGTTCACCCTAGTGCAGGATAGTGCGATATTGCTTCCCCGCAAGGGCCCTGGCTTGAGTGGTGGGCACTTTCTGCTTGTCGTGCTAAGTTAGCCATATTAGTTAGACATACTTCACTAGAAATTTACCAGAATCTCTAAGAAAAAGTTCCAGAAGACATGGCGAAAGAAGCTCAAGAGAGTATGGAAGGCGTTCATCCGAGCACGTGAACTGTCCTCGCGCAGGTGGATACATATATAGACATCTGGAGGTATTTGTAACGGGAGAAGTCGAGACCAATAAACAATCTAGATAGAACAAATACAACTCGTCTTCAAGATATGCTGACCGTGTTAGGTATCGAAAGCTACTCTGATCGATGATAAGCTTTCGTGGGTCCTTTCCTTGAGTGTTATTCCCCCCCAGAGTCCGTCATCGCCCTGAGCATGTTGAGCATCGAGACATTCAGTAGCGGGGTATCAATGACCCCAGGCTCTCTTGATAGTCTAGATGCCGCTCATAGGTACTAAACAATCCTTATCTCCTCTCCAATCCTGAACAGTCCCGACCGGATGAACCGGAGGACACGGCCACTGGGGTGCTCCCGATGCTTATCAAGCACGCGTTGGAACCAACATTTTCTAGGAAGGACTGTGCGGGGGTGGATCAGTAGAGATTAGACATAAAATCCCCGTCTCTTAATTTCCTGAATGCAGTGGGACTGAACTTTTGCCTCATTCAGACTTCCTCCTGAAGCATATCTGCAAGACCGTTGAGAACGTGCAGCGATCATCAACATGACAGCCGTTACTCCGCCCGCCGACCTATCGCATCTCTACAGCTACACTGCGACTAATCGTCTGCCGAGCAGCGTCAAACAATTCTACAAATACTTCTTAATTCCAGGCCTGGCCAATTTCGCTGGCGGTAAGAATTTCATTTAATCTTCAATGCAAGCCACCCTACTAATCCTTCTCCCTCTCTGCCTCTCAGGTTTACCACACGCCTCATACTTCCCCTACGATACCCTCGAAGCCACGGTCGCCCGCCCGCAGCGACTGCAGCCCACCAGCGACAAGGATGCCATCCCAGACCGAGTCGTCGTCCCTAAACAAAGCGAAATCACCGACCCTCGACTCCGCATCGATTTGACAACCGCCCTTCAATACGGTACCGCCGAGGGTTACCCTGCTTTGCTCTCGTTTCTGCGACAGTTCACCCGGGACCATCTTCATCCGAACGTCCCCTACACCGGAGGACCCGAGGTTGTGCTTACTTGCGGAAACACTGATGGCTTATCCAAGGCTGTCGACCTCTTTACCAATGTCTGGAATCCCGGTCGTGACTGGATCCAGCAGCGGGAAGGTATCCTGTGCGAAGAGTTCGCTTACATGAACGCTATCCAGACCGTCAAACCGCGGGGTTTGAATGTGATTAGTGTCGCAATGGACGGACAGGGTATGTGTGCTTCCGGGAAGGGTGGCTTGGCCGACGTGCTAGAGAATTGGGATTTCCGGCGCGGTCGCCGGCCACATTTAATGTATACCGTGACGTGAGTATTATGAACGGCTCTGGATTTGGTCGCATGCTAATCTATGTTCAGCATTGGTCAAAATCCTACTGGTGGTACGCTATCAGTTGAGCGTAGGAAGGAAATCTACGCTCTCTGCCAGAAGTATGACGTGATCATTGTCGAGGATGAACCATACTGGAATTTGCAATTCCCCTCGGCATATGAGAAAGAAGCTCGTCATCGTGGCTCATCTCATGAACCCGGTCCTGGCGTTCGGAACTACAATGAAAACGGCAGGTCCTCGGGCTATGAGTTCTTGGATTCATTGGTTCCCTCGTATCTATCCATAGATACCGAGGGCCGTGTAGTGAGACTAGACACTTTCTCCAAAACTGTCGCCCCGGGTAGTCGTCTTGGTTGGATGACCGCACAGCCGGCTGTCATCGAGCGAATCACTCGAATTACTGAGACCTCAACCCAACAACCATCAGGCTTTGTCCAAGCACTGGTTGCCGAAATGATCATGGGAAAGCAAGACGGCCCCAACGGAGCCCGCGTCTCCAAAAAGAAGACGGCCAAGGCTGGCACATGGACGGCTGGGTGCGTTGGCTAGAAGGCCTACGCGGAGGCTACGAAAGACGCATGGTCGCTATGTGCGATATCCTCGAAGAACACAAATATCTTCTCTCCCAGGAATCCGAAGTCTCTCAGCCCACGAGCAACCATGTTGATGACTGGGAAGTCGTGGATCGAGTCCATATGTTTGACTTTGTCTGGCCCAAGGCTGGTATGTTTGTCTGGATTGAAGTTCTCTTTGATAAGCACCCCCTGCGATCTCAGTACAGCTCTGAGAGGCTTTCCCACGCGTTCTGGGTTCACCTCACCAAGAAGCCACACCTGTGTCTGCTCGGACCTGGTAGTATGTTTGCCGCAACTGAGAAGTCTGCTGCGGACGCTCACAAGTACTTCCGCATTGCCTTTGCGCCTATGGATGCGGAGGATGTGGTGCCCTTCACTCGTAGGCTAATGGAGGGCTTTAGAGCGTTTTGGCAGCGAAAGGATTTGGATGGGCTTGAAGATGATGATGATAATGCGGTTATGGCGATGCATAGTTCAAAACCGAGATATGGGGCTAATTTCTTGGGATCTGGTTATTAACATCAGTAGATGGGATGGGATACACAGTTTGGTGTCAAAGAGTATATACATATTCCTTTATTATTTCAAATTGACAAGATCTTCCCCTAATGCTAGATTCGCAATTCTGCGAGATAAATAACTCTTTGGATAGTACAATGTTTATGGTTCAAAGCGAGAGACAAAAAGAGGTTGATGCCTTGCTGCCTGAAGATAACCATGTGGGGAAAGTCAAGTTCTCCGCGGCGCGAGAAGTCGCATTCTTCACCTCGCGGGGCCCTGCCCGAACAATGTCGCAGCTGGACGAGCTACAAAACCAAGACCTTGCCGAGGAAATTGAAGCCATCAATGCCATATACGAGCCCGATACCGTCACGGTGACCCAGCCGGCCGCCGGTCACTCTAACAACACACTCGACTTGGGCTCCTCCGGTACCTCAAACGACAATGCGCAAACAACAGTGACACTTCAGATCCCTGGTCAACCACATTTATCTTTTCGGCTTGGATTTGGCGTCACATACCCAGAAACACGACCTACGGTGCTCGGGACTGCGTCGACTGCCGCGCGCGGGGAAGGAAAGATTGCTGTCGATGTGTTGGAAGACATTGTACAACGGACGTGGCAGGCTGGTGCCGTCTGTCTTTTTGATGTGATCAGTGAAGCTGTGGAGGTATTCCCCGAGCTGAATATCGGTGGAAATAAAGATAGCGATGAAGCCGGGCAAGCCGAGCAAAGTGCCACAGGGCAAACCTCAAGCAAAGCCGACGAGCCCACAATATCAGGAGAGAAATTTGCTGCTCTTTCACTTCGTGATGCATTTGGACTCGATAATCCCCCCGAATGGATCCTTTCCGACGTCATTTCAGAAAAGAAATCGACCTTCCTAGCCCGAGCGGTGCAGGTCACCAGCTTAGCACAAGCACAAGCCTATTTAGATCATTTGACGGCTACGGATAAGAAAGTCGCTGTGGCGACACATAACATCAGTGCCTGGCGCATCAAACAAAAGAAAGACGGCGGGTCTAACTCTGATCCTGACGCAGCGGAGACAGTGGTTCAGGATTACGACGACGATGGCGAGACCGCTGCTGGGGGCCGCTTACTACACGTGATGCAATTAATGGATGTATGGAATGTGTTGGTTGTCGTCTCAAGGTGGTTCGGGGGTATCCATCTGGGCCCTGCACGGTTCCGGCTCATCAATGATGCCGGGCGTGACGCTTTAGTCAAGGGTGGTTTTGACAAAAAGCAGAGCACAACTGCCCCTGAGAAGGGTAAGAAGAAAGGGAAGAAATGAACTGGCCTGCTCAATTCCCTTCGATACTCTATCTTATTGGTCGTTCAACTCCGTAAAAGTTGAAAAAATCACTGAACGGAGAAATAACTTGCTGCTCTATCCTATTCATTTCACCGCCGAGTGCAAGGCTCTAACCTGGCGCCAGCGCTTTGTCGGCAAAACCACGAGCCAGCACACCATGTTGAAATCAATTTTTCAACTGTGGCACTATGGCGAACAACCTAGCTACATGAAGGCGATCGGCCACAGTTGGCGCATAGACATTAGAAATGATCTATCGGATATTTCAAGCCCCCGAGATCATCAAAATAAATTCGAAACAATAAGAAGCAATGGAAGAAACCTATCTTCGGCCATAATCGTAGTTCCCGAAGGATTGGGGCGGCCCCCACGCGTTTAAACACGCTACATACTTCATTCGCCTCAATCGAGGTCTGCAGATGCAGGGAATTGTGTACTTCCCCCATACATCTAAGTAGTATGATAAGCTTGTTCACGATGTCCTTCAGGCTGACTGTGCCCATAGCCTTGGCCCGAAGTGGCTCATAACCTTCGGATAGATCTATTTCCTAGCGTAAGTCGAGCTTCGCACCATCCTTCCATGTTTGTCCTCTTATGAAAGTGCGCAGGTGAATGTTGAGAGCAATCCCGATCCAAGTAATGCGATCAAGAAGAGTCTGAAGTTCATCAGACACCAGTCCATAATCTATCAATGGATAATCTCGCAGTCAAGACATCAATAGAGAGACTACCTACAAATTGGTCAACTTTACAACGCTATTCAAGATGAAACACGCCCTCCTGTCAGCAAAACCATGAGTACATACTTTGGCTACATCCATGTGGGCCCAAACACTCATCAAAGGATTCATCCTTCAGATCATCAACTAGATAGAAAGGTTCCTAGGTTTCAACTCACCGCAAGGGGTTAGGGCGACTTGACATTGTTCGGGAGAATCCTCAACATTCGGCTCACTGACGACAAAATCAGGGGGCCGTAAGATCTTGATTATGGATTGCAATGCCCCTCGTAGAGGATTTGATTTAAGTTCAGGTCTCTGGCCCATTCGCTACTTGAGAAGGCTTTACTACAGCAAGATTTCCCACTTCTTGGGAAGTAGCACTTGCTTCCGCCACCATGCAATTTCACAGATTTACTCCTCTTCTTCTTCTCTTACTTTCATTCCTCTATGCTGCCAAAGCAGACCCCTCAATCGACTATTTATCGACTGCCCTAGAAATCCGAGCCCCGGGTGACCTTGATCTCTTCGTCGATGGTCGATCCAACGCTCTGGGAGCCCGAGCAAACGCAGCCCAGATGCTCGCCGCACCCCTGACAGCTATAGGAGCCTCTGCCCTTGCCACATGTCGGTATCTCCATGAAATAGCATGCTACGTCCACTTGTCCATCGTGCTCTCCGCATCTATGACGTACTTCGGCTACGTCTTCTACGACATTATCAAGCGCGATGCAATCCGCACGGCCAATGAGATGCAGCAGCTATCTAATAGCGTAGCGCTAAGTAACCAAGACGTGGATGCCTCTTCCCGACGCCTGGAACACGAAAAGACTACACAGTCCTACGAGCGGTGGAAGGATAAGCAGGAGATGAGAAAACGCAGTTGGAGAGATACCTGGCAGCCTAGCTACAACGCGTACAAAAAACTGGCCAAGAGCAACACAGCCCTAAAGCCAAAAGTGGAGGAAGCAGAGAAACTGATGGAGCAGACCCTCAAAGCCGAAGACGCCTTCATCAAAGCGGAAGCCGACTCCATATCCCTGGAGGATGTCCTAGAAGGCAACGAAGGCACCTTGTCCATCGCCGAGCTCCGCGCACTAGAAGAAAAAGCCGAAGAAGCAATCAAAGCGCTCCAATCTGGTCTCGAAGAAATCATCAACCGCGAAGAATCGAGTTTGGAAACGATGAACGAAATGGCCTTTGGAAATAAAGACTACAACCCCCTGCTGGAGGGACACATGACACGCCGGATGCTCGAGAGCCAGTTACCGCAGCTCATTATGGAGCGGAATGAGGACTGTGATACTGAAGTCTGCCTTAGACTGTGGTACTCCAAGACTCTGCCGGACCCAAGTATCAAGCGCGATCTTTCCTCGGCGGACATCATCCACAATATCTACTCGACGCCTCCGGATTACGAATTCGGGGAAAAGCACAAGCTGACGCGTCGCACGGACAACTATATGATCATGGACGAGTTTATGGAATGTGAGGTCGAGGAGCATGTGGAGATGGGCAACGAGGGTGTTCTTTTCCGGATGGCTGCCATGCCGGGCGAGGATACGGATAGTCTTTTTGCGATTGATGCGATGAACAAGGCGCAGCAGGCACAGTACCGGTCTTCGCTCATGTCGGGCAACATGACTATTTGGGAGAGTGGAGAGTGGAATTGTGTGAATGCTGATACGGATGGGGGTGAGCCGGCTATCAGGGCGGTTGCTATTTTCACTAATGACATCGCGAAGCTGAATGAAGATGTCACGGATAAGTTTAGTCTTTGTGAGAGTGCTCTTTCTTCGTCAACCTAAGGCCAAGGGAGGGTCTTGTTGAGTTGGTCTGCTTGCGAATGACGGGTGGTTTTGGCAACCGAAAGGGGTGTGTTGAAATATGTCAATATAACTTCCTTTCTTTGTTAGATGTTTGAGCATTGGTATTTCTGCAATGAACTGGAATGGGTGTGTTTGAATCCGAGAGGAGAGATGGTAGACGATGGCATATGTGCAAATGATAGTAGGCTTGACTGACAGGAGAAAAATCGTTCCCAGTAAAATTTCTTTCAGCGGGCATCCCTGGGTATCCGGATGGTTCATGCCGTGAAACAACGGGGTCTTCACCTCAGAGTGTTCCAGCCACATTGGACCTATCATCTTGGCAGTCGACACCAAAAGCAACCCTTCCAATGCAATTTGAAGACGATACTACGTTGGGGCCACGAAGAACCCATTTGAGGAACTGCGCAATTTCTCAGACCTGGTTCAATATATTGTCAGAGATCAAAGGATCATGAGACCCTCGTACGAGTTTAGTTGCACCAGGCTACCAAGTGCACTATCCTCTGCACCGAGCATCTCCGGGCGTGGGCATCCATGGGGCTTGACTGCTCACTTTTGAAGCTATACCCACTCCAGACACTTGCGCCAAAAGGTCATGCCCATGCGAAGCGACACAGTCTAGAGCGGACATAGAAGAGGTAGTTTAATTGCGATGATCATCAATAAAATTTGCATTCCAAGTGCCAGGAAGGCGGATGAGTGCGGACATGAGATAACTGGGAATTTATCCGGATTTCCAAGAGGTTAACACTTCTAGTTTAATTTGCAGGTCGAGCGAGCCATCAGCGTACCATGGAACGAGGGTATCGATCAGCGAGTCGGAATTGTTTCTTGAAAGCTTCACGATCGGGTTCGTTAGGTCAGGCTCGCACGAACTCAGCAGCATCCACATCAAGGTGTTGGGAAAACCGAGATTGCGGACGGAGTCAGTCCACCCAGGCACGAGATTGCAGGGAGTGTAAAGCCAAGAACTGACATTCGATGTGGGTGCGATAGAAAGTTTCGAGATGGGGTCTTTATATCAACCTGAAACCACTAACAGATACGTTCGCTAGGCGTGAGGCTAAGTGATCGATGGTTCGGGTGTGGAGAACCGAAGCCATGGAATGTCGGCTGCCACGGAATATCGGAGTTGGTATCCACAGACACTAAGCTCTGGGCCACTACACGCGGTGGTTTCTTTTTTTTCTTTTTTCAGGCTCTAGTACAGGTCAGCGGAGTCTCATTTCCGGACGTGAACTGTGTCTAGGGAACTGCTCATATGCTGTCTGTGCGAACATGTCCTTGACAAGGATCAAGGACTGGACCCTGAAACCGACAGAGTTCGGTTGACACCTTCCATTCCTCACCGATGCGGGATACCCACTGGAGATCTTCGCACGCTAAGCCGCACCAAATCGGCCGTCATAATTTATGTTCCGAGTGGAGGGCTAGTATGACCAGGATTTGAAGCAATACCCTTTGCCGAGCATTCATGATTCTCACTGTGGTTGGAAAGCCGGTGTCGAGCCGCTGGGTGCTTCGTATTCTGCGACAAGGTTAAGCACAAAGCCTACGCGGCGTGGGGCACAATAGCTTCATGAAGCAAAGAGAGAGACCCCCGCTGCAGTAATCTCAGATGGTGCGTCATACGGTCGGATCAGAGTTTTTTACAGGTCGCAAGGGCGTGGATGGATGGACATGCCATGCCAATCGTACGGGCAAGGGAAGAGTGGAGCTGTCACGTCTGATGAAACTGGCCCTTTCACGAGTGCAACCTCCAGTTTCGAGCTCTCTAACACCAGAGGGCATAGAGAATGGGATTTCGTGGATGATGATTCGCAGGCCACCCGCTAGGAGAAAGGGGGGCGCTAACAATCTAAGTCAACCAGTCTGGGCGGTCGGCCCTGGCACACGGGCACACAGGCACACAGGCACACAGGTACACAGGCGCAGCGGTTGGAAGGCCAGTTCAATGGTGCGACAGTTCATGCCCCTTGGCCGATGGTGGATCACACCTTGCACCCGTATACCCCACTGGTGGTTGGCTCGTTACCAGCCGCCGAGCCCTGCGCTGCGAAGTAGATCGCCGTTCTACTGTCGGGATTGGTTGGGGACGGCTTGGCTTCAGCACCACTCACATCCGAAATCTCTATACTCTGTCGGTGGAGGCACAACATGAAACATCCCATCTGTTCTCGAATGCCTTCCCCACTCCTGCACTCGGCTCGGCAAGATGTGATCATCGTCCATTTCTTTGGTGGCGTGTGGGGAGTCAAACGTTGAGGGTGTCCGATTGATTGTCCCTGGTCCCTCTAGACCTGACCCCGTCACTGGTGCCAGGCAGCGTCAACTCCCAGCTGAGTATATAAAACCCCCCAGGCGCCAATGCTGCATACCTCTTTCTTTTCTTCTCCCGAGCACTTTCGTCCTTTCCCTTCCTTTCTCGGTTCGACACAACAGGCCAGTCCTGTATTAATTTCTCTTTGCTTTGCTTGGTAGTTCTCGCCTGTGGCAGACTCCGACATTCCTTTCAGCTTTGACAGCTTCGACCCATCCGCATCAAGAAATATCTCCGATTCTTTGATTCCTCATCAGGACAGCCAAGACTCGGTCTTTGATACTCGGACAATATAGCAGGGCTTGATTAAAAAAGCATTTTCCTGCTCTTTCATACAAAGGTATTGTAGCCCTATTTTCGCCTCATGTCTCTTGTTGTTTCGTTGTGTGCCTTGGATCCGCCTTTGTCAACGACACTGGTGATCATATCCCATGTTTCAGCCTACCGTCACAATGCCTTTTGAGCCTGTCTTTAGGTCGTGGGGAGTACTGCATCTTTATATAGCTCCCACGTTTCTAGCCAAGACAACCATCGCCCTGCTCTTATTGAATAGCACATATCATATTGTCTGCTCCATACATTCTTGCTAACATTCCACTGGCAGCAAGCCTCTCTTTTCGCACTCGCGACTACCAACATCCATCCTTTTTGTTTTGATTCTATTCGTCTGGTACGGATCGGATCTACAATTGTCACTCTTCAGTCGAACCAACAAAAAGTCCATTTCCAAAATGTTCGCCAAGTCGATGCTTGTAGCCGCTTTGGGCGCCTCTGTGGTCAACGCTCATATGATCATGAGCAACCCAGTCCCCTACGGCAAGAGCACTCTTAACAACTCCCCGCTGGCAGCGGATGGCAGCGATTTCCCCTGCAAGTTGCGCAGTGGTACCTATGATATTACCACTGAGAACACTATCGCTATTGGCGAGTCCCACGCTCTCACCTTCGAAGGCAGTGCCACCCACGGCGGCGGCTCGTGCCAGATCAGTATGACCACCGACCGCGCTCCCACCAAGGATACTGAGTGGAAGGTTATCAAGTCCTTTGAGGGTGGCTGCCCTGCCAATGTCGATGGTAACCTCCCCAACGGTGCCAGTGCGGCCGATCCCTACGCATTCAACTTCACCATCCCCGAAGGCATCGAAGCCGGCAAGTACACTCTTGCCTGGACCTGGTTCAACCGTATCGGCAATCGTGAGATGTATATGAACTGTGCACCTGTTACCGTCACCAGTGGTTCTTCCAAGCGCTCTGTTTCGGAGCGAACCCCCACTGTCGAGAAGCGCTCGGCTAATTTCCCTCCCATGTTTGTTGCCAACGTTAACGGCTGCACTACCAAGGAGGGTGTCGACATTCGCTTCCCCCAGCCCGGTGATGTTGTTGAGTACGATGGTGAGCCCGCCAACCTCGCCGCTGAGGGTTCCGCGGCTTGCACTGGTACTGCCACATTCGGTGGTTCGGGCGACACCGCATCTGGTTCATCGGGCTCTTCCGGCTCTAGCTCCAGCTCCTCCGGCTCTGAGTCATCAGCTGCTGCTAGCAGTGCTCCAACTGAGACTTCCTCTGCTACTGCGGCCCCGGCCACTTCTTCGGCCCCAACTGAGACAAGTGTGCCTACCGTGCCCGAGACTGCTTCAACGTCCACTGAGGCCGTCCCCGCCACTAGCAGCACCAGCTCTAGCGGTAACTCCGGCACTCAAAGCGGTGCCTGCAGTACCGAGGGAGAATGGAACTGCATCGCCGGTACCTCCTTCCAGCGCTGCGCCAATGGCCAGTGGTCCACCGCCCAACAGATGGCTTCCGGCACCGTCTGCACTGCCGGCGTGAGCTCTGATATAACCATCTCGGCCTCCAAGATGGCCCGCCATGTCTCTGAGATGCGTTTCCGCAAGCGCACCATCCATGGCCACCACGCTTAAGTAGCTCCTAGCGTACGCTCGCGACATCTGCTGGTTTCGGATTTCGCTTTCTTCTTCTCTTCTTTATCTGCATTCTTTGCATCAATTTTTTTTCTCTTTCGTTTCCGATCCTGGATATAAGGCGCCCCGGGACGGACCCTCTTTCTTTCGGTGCATCTCTTGTCGCCTTTCATCGTGTACATTTTAGATATGGAACGTGGGAGTGGGACATCTGCGAATCTGTGCAATCAATCCTTTTTTAAATTTTCATCAGTGGTGGTTTTGTAAACTGTAATTATGTAGGCCAGTAGAGTAAGCTCCATTTCAGGAAGCTATGCAAGACGTCCCGTGAAGTCCACAGATCTGCGTCCAAGCATGGAGGTGGTATTCGAAGGCACCAGCTCAGCTGTGTTCGACAGTAAGCAATACTCATAAATGAATCAATTGGTAAAGACAGCTTTAGAGCTTCAGATCTTCATGTATGTGACAGTGGTGGTGGCAGCTCCACAACGTTGGTGTACTGCGAGATGTCAACAAAGATCGATGCAAGAGTGGGGCATTGCGCCTCAGGTGTCAGTACCTCTTATGTCATCATGCGCTAACACTGTGGGGTGGTCGCACTAGTCCCATTACGGTAATAAGGGCTAGGGCTAGTGTTCCCACGACCCGCAACTCTCAGTAAGCGAAAAAATCCACAGGTGAGGCTTGACAGCAAAGTTGGATCTTCAACCTCACCATCGACAAATCGACCACAATGGCCTCTCGCCCTACCGTCTCCATTGCCACGGCTGAGGGCAAGCCCTCCGGGGCTTCCCAGCCCCTGCCCGCTGTCTTCGGCGCCCCCATCCGTTCGGACATTGTCCAGTACGTCAAAATCGATCTCGAAAAATGTGATACTTGGAGGGGAGATACTAACGCCTCGTCTACAGGCAGGTGCACGCCGGTATGGCCAAGAACAAGCGTCAGCCCTACGCCGTGAGCGAGAAGGCCGGCGAGCAGACCTCTGCTGAGTCCTGGGGTACTGGTATGTGAAGAATCAAATTTTCGAGATTGGAGTGGAGCACGGCGGAAAAAAACTCGAATCGAGTCCGCTGCAAGGAATTGGTCTCAACAGAAACTGACGAGATGATTGCTATTAAACAGGCCGTGCTGTCGCCCGTATTCCCCGTGTCTCTGGTGGTGGTACTCACCGTGCCGGTCAGGCTGCCTTCGGTAACATGTGCCGTTCCGGTCGTATGTTCGCCCCTACCAAGGTCTGGCGCAAGTGGCACCAGAAGATCAACCTGAACCAGAAGCGTTTCGCTACCGCCTCTGCTCTGGCTGCCTCTTCCGTCCCCGCCCTCCTGTTCGCCCGTGGCCACCGTGTCGCCAAGGTCCCCGAGGTTCCCCTCGTTATCGAGTCCAAGACCTTCGGCTCCACTTTCACCAAGACCAAGGCCGCCATTGCCCTCCTCCAGGCCGTCGGTGCCGGTGAGGACCTCGTCAAGGTCCAGAAGTCCAAGAAGCTCCGCGCTGGTAAGGGTAAGCTCCGTAACCGCCGCTTCCGCCAGCGCCGCGGTCCCCTGGTTGTCTACAACCCCGAGACCGATGGCAAGGACCTTGTCAAGGCTTTCCGCAACGTTCCCGGTGTTGAGACCTCCTCCGTCTTCTCCCTGAACCTCCTTCAGCTCGCCCCCGGTGGTCACCTCGGTCGCTTCGTTGTCTGGACCTCCTCCGCCTTCGAGGCCCTCGACCAGGTCTACGGCACCACCACCACCCCCTCGGCTCTCAAGAAGGACTTCCTCCTGCCCTCCAACTCTGTCTCCAACGCCGACATCACCCGCCTCATCAACTCTTCTGAAATCCAGTCCGTCCTCCGCGCCCCCAAGGGTGAGGCCAAGACCAAGCGTGTCAACGTCCAGAAGAAGAACCCCCTGCGCAACAAGCAGGTTATGCTGCGTCTCAACCCCTACGCCGCTGCCTACTCCAAGCAGAAGCTCGGTCAGCAGAAGGTCGAGGCTGGCAAGCCTACTCGCGCCGCTGCTACTTTCGAGCAGGTCCTCAAGGAGGAGTAAACGTGTTTTTCTCTGTCTTTTGGATATGGTGAATGGTTGAAAAAACGGTAGACTCAGAGCAAAAATGAATCAATGCCTTTTTTGCAATACCCCTTGGGTTCATTTGGAGTAATAATATGATCTTGATCGATGCTATTCTCGTTATGTTCCCCTCCCCCATCTAAGAGGGTAAGTAAGATTGTTGTAGATGTAAGCTATGGAGTATTATCTTGATTCGCTGGTAACAGGGGCTGCGAGGTCCAAGGTTCTATCATGATGTGTGTCGGTGTGTTGCTACCTATCCTGGTGTCATGTCTTGCTCTGTAGAGAACCCAGTATCCAGCTCTTGGACAATTTGGAAAAATTCTCCATCGATTTCTTTGGTAACTGTTGATATCTGGAGATATGCAATTCGGCTATCTTATTGGTTCTTGACGGGTGCTGTGAATACAACTTGCAAAGTCAGCATCCCGCGCCAGTTAATCGCACTGGAATCTATGAGCCTGCCCAGGTGGTGCCTAATCGTACGTTCTTCCGTGGACTGGTGTTTTGCGAAATGGGTAATTTGCAACTTCAATGTCATCAAACATTTGAACTCTTGTTCAGTTTTGAATATTGCGTAAGGGCATCTCGCACTGCGGTATTTGGAATATTATGTTCAGCCACGCCATCGGCCGAGCAGATATATAGATCACATGCTCGTGGCCCTGGAGCCCACACAAAAACACTTAATGCCCGTGATTGCGATTGCTGGAAAATTCAGATGACAGCAGTATAAGCGCTTGCGCAGAATCTCTGTAGAGTTTAACCATTGAGCAAACTTGGAACGCTAGGCAATTTGGAAGCATTCATCTTGGCTTAGAAATTAATTACTCCGGGACTAGATTGTCAGACTGGCCAGCGCTAACTACATCGAGCCAGACCACCTTGAAGCACGAGCCTATGGATAGCATATCGAGACATCCCCAATTAGACCATTCGACGCCATTGGCAACGTGTTCATGCGAGTCACCGTCTTTTCAGTCCGTCATACCCAGGTACAGGCCAATACCAACGGTCATTACAGTTACAATAGTATTCACTATCACATGTTTGACCAGAAGCTACCTAGGTCCAGAGAACAATTAATACAAGCACAAGTCTCGTATAAACAAGCAGCGAGAACATAAAAGAGGCTGTGCCATGGGTAAAATAGATTAAGATGAAACATACATCACTAAACCACGAACTAGTTGAGTTTGCCCCATTCGGTTCCTCCCAAATACGACCCGTCAAGCCGATGATCCCAATTGAGCTTGGCGATCATAACCGAACGTTGAGGCTGAAGCCAAATTCTGCCGGAGTCCGAAGCATGACACTACGGTTAGTTGAAATGTGGAGCGGAGCATACACAAACCCAGGCAACACTCGTGATAACTCAATTGCTTCACGTGCGAATTGTTCTAGAAGCCCAATTAATTAGACTTTTGTCGTTCGGCGCCCGCCGGTTCTCTGTCCCTTGGAATATGGATCCGCAGAAGAGGGGAAGATAACTGCCTATCGGGTTGCTGGATTTGTTGAATCTTACGAGATCAATACTGTATACGTAGCCCCTCCTTCTACGGCATAAAAATAACATCTTGTCAAACTCGTCAGGAAAAGGCACGGACACGGACGAGCGCTGATATTTCGGCAATTCAGACAACGACGCGTTCGAGTGGAACACAATGGGATGAAGATCAAGGACGTACCCCGTGTGCGACCTGGGCCCAGGACGCCAAGGCCACAGGGTCCGGGTGATTGTCGCTAAATTGAATTTCCAGTATCCCGCAGAGTGGAGATGATTTACGTCAGGTCCCGAACCGGACTTTCCCTTAAGGTCCATTCTTGTCGTCTCGATGCTGCCTTGGGACAATTACCGTGTTATAGTTTGGTAGTGCCAAAAAGCGTGCCAGGTTGACGGTAGCGAGGCCAGCTGATTCATAAATTGAGTTTTTGGCCCTACGGGATCGTGTTGACGGGTGGCTTGGATCTCGGTGTGACACTGCTTCGAAAGCTTCACGGCAAATTGGAACGGGCCCGCTAGCGAGCGGGTGAGTTTAATTGCACGGAAGATGCAACATGGAGAACTACTCAGTAACCGAGACCCAAGTGTTGGATCGGAGAATTTTCCGCCTCCGATCCTTGGACCTAAGACCACAGAGTACAGTAAGCATAAATGCGGTCGGACTTGGAAGATCGAGAGTTGAGCCCAGCATTGACCTCCAGATCCGTGATCATCGATCTGAAGAGCTCGAAGGATCGATGGCATGCCGGAATCACAATTGTGTTGTTTCTCGGAGACCCTTTTGTAGATCCGTGATGGGTAGAGAGGTTGGCCAAGGGGTCCTTCCAAGGTTGGTCCCTGGAGTTTTGGCGCATGTCTCACCCAAACACGAATCGGTTCAGGGGGGGGGGGGGGCACGGCACAGAGTGCGCGTTGCGCTACCGGGACTTGTCCCCGACGCTACTCCGCAGAGTTTTAGAGCACGGGCGATGCAAAACATGTCTCTTCGCAGTAGTAGAGTCGCAGTACAGTAGTGCGGCCAGGAACCGGGCGTTATTCTCTCACCGATCCACCGATCGGTGTCAAGGCTATGCACCTGTCCATTTTGCTAGCTGTGAAGGATCTAGATGCAGATTTGGCGCAAAGTGAGTACAGTAGACCAGTGGCAGGGATTGTGATTGTCCTTGGGTAGCTCAGTGAAAAGTGAAGGTTCCTTACTCTTATCCTCTTCCCCCCAGGCTATACGGGACTAGCAACCACCAACATCATGAAACCAGGAATACTATATCCACAACGGATTCATACTCCCGCAAGACAACGTCGCAGTCGGTATTTGTTCGGAGCAAAATTGGGTCCGTGTGTGAGCTGGCCAATGGCGTGATAATACCCTAACCTCGTCGAGAGCGCGCGAGCGACTATTCTCGGGTGGGAATGCCAGATGGGTTTTGGCGAATTTCTAATTGCCGTACTCTTATGTTTCATATTTGTCTATTTTCTGCCCGTGACTTGGAGTTGAAGGAACACGTCGATGTCATACGTGGGTACCTAAGATAATTTCCTCTCGCTTCTTCTTAGACTTTGGGTGTAACCCAGAACAGAAAAAGCAGGGGCTGAGACGGCGATCCCGAATGACGGCTTGCAGATCGGATCGCCATGCCCTTGAGACATCGCTACGTGGTCGAGTGCATCACCGTTGGCGTAGCAGGTTCAGGTGGAGTGGTGGCTGGAGAGCTGACCCATCGCAGCCTGCTAAGAAATCCTTTTGGCAGCAGGATTTTACATGGATCTCGACCCCGTAAGCTTGCTGATCAGGTGAAAATAGGAGAGCCGATGTATCATATCGTGATGTGCAGGCGCCAAAGGCCATGATGGTTGGAAAAATTCGGTGTTTCTCCGGAAGTATATTGCAGTGGGCAGAAGAATCTGCACATGCCAACCTAGGCATCAAGCTCCGAAAAGCAGCCACCAGGACCAGGGCCACCCACCTGAGGCCGAATATTCAGCATCCATTAAACCTCAGCCAAGGAGAGTCTCGGCTTTGATTCTCAGAACAGTTTAAATCCCACTCGGAGTTAAAAGACTGGAGAGGCACCCGAACCACTCCCAACCGAGGGTCTTGAATTTGGGAATCCATCCGAGTCCACCCAGCCAAGTCCACCCAGCCCACGCGATCCAGCGATCTTCGCGAAGGCTTTTGGCCAGATAAGCCTGCGGCCCCAACGCTGGATCCAGGAGGATTTGCCCGACTAGGCAGCTAGTCACCCGCGCCACCGTGCCCAAGACCTTGACCCACCATGAGGGTATTCGCGGCCATCATTTCGGTCGATTCACTCGGCTTTTCCTCCTCCCTGTTTCTTTAGCCGCGCTCAATTCTTCACGACGATCCCGTAACCGCGCTTCGACCTGTGTCTTTTCTTTTTGGGGGTCCGCATGAAGTATCCTATGCAGGAGTACCCCATGTCGTGGCAAATAAGATAAAATCATAAGACAAATCCCGAATGCGCCTGATCCGTACTCATTGGATGTCGTGTCTCCTATTACATGAGACTCGTCATGAGGTAGGTCATGCATCGCATGTACACCTACATCATGGGTCCATGTCAACGTGCAAGTCGATCTCACCGGAGGTCCGAGGGCCTAACGCTTCCAATACATAAAATGATCCCTCCATGCTTGAACCCAGAGGATTCGTGATTTAATATAGAGATGCAGTGAGAGACCGCCCCCCTCTCGGCTCATCCGAGACCCGTGGAAACCTGGTGTCCACCCTTCCCTCTCTCCGACTTCCGAAGCAATTGGAGTCATCTTAGTCTCGGACATTAGAACCTTCTCCACCGACCAGTGTCCAACGGCAATGGGAATCAATTGCCGTCCAAAGAGATCCAAGATTACGCCAGCTATCCCCGGGAGTCAGGGCACTGACGGCCGAATGCCGAAACTCCTCGGACCTTGTATTTGAATGGTGCTGGGCGTAGTCTCCACCTGGGATGGGCCTCTATATTGATCTCAATTTTTCGATCAGCGAGGAAAACCGAGCTTGACCAGCTTTGCTCTAGAGGCGCTTGGAGAGCCGCTTGGCTTGCAGGACCGATAAACAGGGCCTGAAGAGCTAGGTGGGAATTGTCTCATAAATTCTAGATTTTCCCTTCTTTTTTTTTTTTTTTTTTTTTTCCCCTTCTTCTCGTGTCTTGGGTCGACCTTCGAGAAACATGTGCGGACGGGGGCATCCAAGAAGAGTATAGATCGATCCCGTCGATCGTATGGTTTGAGTGGTGTAGCTAAATTAAAATTCATTGTACTTTTGAACCTGTAATTATCACGTACCCAGAATACATACTGTAACTCTGGCCCTTTTCTGAAGCTTCGTTGAACCCCTCCGCCACCTTCTTCGTTTCGGCTTGTTCTTTTTTTGCCCTTTCTGGGCCCTTCTTCAGTTCTTCTTGGTTCTGTTCCTTCTGGTTATTAAATTACGTCCACCCTTTGCACTCTCCAATAATTCTGTTACGGTCTAGTGTTGGGCCTTTTGAATCCACTAGGGGAGTGAAAGCGCTCGGGGCAAACCGCTGTCTTTTCCCTCTAGTTTATTTCAATTTACCGCGGGGGCGCTACATTAGCTCTGGCTCTAGGATCCCCTTGCAACGGACCACTGGCGAGCAACCTCTGCGACCAGGCTAATTTTCCCTGTATAGTCAAGGCGTGTGCCACCATCGGCTCCTGGATCCTTCATTCCGACTTCAACGTCGTCGTGATCATCAGGGCAAAGCACTTCGAATCTTTTCAAGATTTGATCTGTTCCATTCATTTGCCTGTTTGACGCACCCTTTGCCTCTTGACAGTCCGCGCCAACACTGGTCGTTCCGGCGCTCTGTGGGGTTGTCATCGCTGTCACTACCATTCTTCTGTGATTTGAGTCGGATTCTCATAACTCTGTCTGATTACCTAGTCCGCGGTATCGGCCCGTCTTCCACGACCCGTTGGGTTATTTGATGCTTGCAAGTTCCCCGACTATCGTCGCATTCTTGGGCGCCTCTGCGAAGCTTATGCACATCGCTGGGATCCTGCAGCCGCCCCTGGTATATGAACATGCACCCAAGACCATGACTGTCCGAATTGTTTGTGACGCATTGATCTAATTTCGTTCGATTTAATCTCATTTTCATTGGAAGTATTTGAGCCCTGCGGAATCGCGACTAGGAACTACATCACCATTGTGAGGGTTGGCTTTTTGATCTATACCGCTTTACTGTTAATAGCACATCAACTGCCGTGCTAGGCCTCGTGCAAGTTGAATTGGTATGTCTGATCTTAAGGGGAGTATTGCTTTAACTGCTAAACTTTTTTCACTGACTAGATCTTTTGCCTGCTTTCTTGTGCTCATTCATCGGCGCTCCGATCAACTGGACATTTTGCTTTTCAATCATCACATAGACTTGCTTCCTACGCTTCCTACGACAGTGTTGTTGAAACTACAAAACATTGAATACTAGAGGCTACCTGTGAATTGGTTCTTTGGCTGCCATGTGAATGGTCTTTCGCTGAAAGATCCACGATAATCGACACTTTAATCCAAACGCCTGTCATGTCAGGCTATTACGTCGGACCCTTCGGTCGTATGTTACCATCCAGAGACGGCCAATTGTCGGAACAGTCCTCGGAGCGTCCAGCTAATCGATCAGAAACCGGGGATAACCCATACCAGCTTCCACCCCCTCGGACACCCGCGAACTTGCAATTTGGATCAGACCCATTCTTACGACACCGTCAGAGCGACAATTCCGAGTCAGGAAGAGGGCCCACATCAGCAGAGTCTGTATCCCAACGGCAACAGACCGAGCAACTTCCTTCCGTCAGGCAATTGTTGACGCCATCCAACGACCCGAGCTCTTCACCTTCCTATCCTCGAACATTCGCGGCACTTGGGCCCCATATTGACCACCGCGAGCATTCTTATCCCTATCGCCATCATGAACCGAGCTTGCCATCACAGATTACCCCGGTCGGGGTACAAGACAGTACCAAATCACGCTCAGAATCACTCCCACGGCCCCAAAATGGCCTTCCACCATTATCCCAAGTGGCTATGCATAGTCCAAGAGACATAAAACATCACACAGCAACCCGAAGTGATCCGATGGCAACCTCTATTCCACACAGCCAGATACCTGTCCACGGTACTTCCTATCAAGAAAAGGCCCTGAGCAGTGGCCTTTCATCGCCAGAGAGCGGCAGTCGGACAAAAGGATCCACTACGCTTCCCCACGTGGTGGATGAGCGATACATCGATGGTGAAGGGATCTGCTACATCTATGCAGATGGGTCACACTGTCCCAAAGCCATCGAGGGAATCCCCGTCAACGCAAATTGGGGTGTTACCAAGGCCGGGAAGCCGAGAAAGCGACTCGCACAAGCGTGCCTGACCTGCCGGGAGAAGAAGATCAAATGCCAACCGAACCTACCTAAATGCGACCAGTGCCAGAAGTCTGGACGTGAATGCAGGTTCGAGAGTGCGTAAGTATTCGGTCTACACTCGTCTCTGCAAAATAGTAATACTAACGCTCTTCAAGCCCACGTGGAAACCGTTCATCTATGAGAGGTCCTCACTCTGCAGGCCCTTCTAGCAAATACGATGGAAAGGAAGGCTTTTCACCTAGTCTTGCGAATTCGGACGTTTCCTCTCTATACAATATGCCAAGAGCCTCGAACAGCGCAACTTCTTTGCCGGGGACCAGTGGACACTCGCCGATTTCCGAGGGGACCAGGCTCACCCCATCAGGAACAGAAGGCACCTACGAGACAATGGCCGAAGCAGACAGAGCATACCGATCACGGATGTACAGAATCCCACAACCCTTCGCTGGCGATGATTCGATTGCACGAGCACCGGAGCATATTGAAGCCAGTCGACTTCCCGAGTACACCGAGATCCTCGGCGAACTCAGGGATATCAACCCAGATGACCCGCTTGCAGGCTCCTGGAACATCGACCCATACGAAAGTGACCCCGATGTTACCATGCATTATATCGAATCTTACTTCTCAAACGTGAACGATGGTTTGTATCATATCTTCCCGCATGCACGATTCATACTGTGGTTGAAATCGAGCCAGATGAAATCTGCAGAGGATAAGATGCTACTTTACTCGATGATGGCTCTTGGATCGATTTTCTCTGACCGGCCCGGTAAGGTCGTCGCGTTGAGGAGATACTCTCGTATTGCGCGCTTCGCCGTTCAAAAGAGCCAGCATACGTTGTCTTTGCAGCTTGCTCAGAGCCACCTCATTTTAAGTCTCTGGTACTATGCTACTGGGTCTTTGGTGGGATGCTGGGACTCAATCGGCGCGGCAGGACGGGCAGTCTCTGGCTTGCGATATAACATGGAATCTGGGGGTGTTGTTGTGGACCATAGCCAGGTTTGCGATTATGGACTGCACCCACAGGCGTTGATTGAGTGTCGCCGCCGAACATTCTGGGTTGCCTTTATTCTGGATGTAAGAAGCTCAATTTTCTATCACGGGCGTAGAGTAACTCGCTAACATCATACAGAGAGTATCAAACTTCTTCTCTGCACCCTCGTCATTCATCTCATCGGAATCGGCATTGATCCGACTACCATGCCGGGAAGAAATATATGAGGCACAACAATACACAACAGCACCATATTTCCAATCCGTCCTCAATCAACATTCCGCACCGGAAGATGACCGATCAGCCCTGAGCCCCATGGCATTTTTGATCCAAATCCTCTCAATCTGGGGAGACGTCTCGCTCCATATTCTCCGCCTATCACACATCCCACCAGAAGGGTATGTACGTCTCGCCGAAGAGTTTCACATCAACATTGTCCGCCGAACCGAAGACTGGCTTCGTCAGATTCCCGAACACCTGGCATTCTCAGCCATCAATATGGAGCGAGCCAGCCAGGCCAAGAAAGCGGACACTTTCATTTCAATCCACATGTTTTACCACGCTACATTGATGAAGCTCTACCGGCACGCACGATACCAAGGCCTCCGTTCCGAGCTTTTGACCCAGTACATTCACCGAGCTCGCTACCACGCAGTAGAGACCCTCCGGATCGCACTCGCGGTTACTCAATACGCAAACGAGATGCATTCCGCCCAGTCTCCCCCGGAAACTCCATCACCCAAAGTGACACTTCTGAGCCCATTCTTAGGCTATGCAGTCTTATCAGCCGTTGACGTGCTTAGCGCGGCTGGTCTAGTCGCAGAACTACCTGACTGCATCTCCTTCATCAGAGGAGCGCTCGGCATGATCCAGCTTCTCGGACGCCACTGGGACAGTTCTCTAGAAGTGACGAATATAATCCAGAAGCGACTGGACTCGATGATTGACTGTCTCCATGACCGCATCCGATCGCAGGATAAAATGGGCTTCGCAGTGGATGGTCCCTCTCTCGAAACGAAGATCCACGCTTATACCTCACCTTCTCATCTGCCCGGCGCCCTCGAAGAGGATCTGTTTTACGGATCTCTACCGCGAGAAGTCCTTCTACACTCGATGCGAACCGACGGCACTGCATTCTCAGAGCCTAGCATTGTCTGGTTGAGGGATCACTGATTTCGTTCATGCATAATTGCAGATGCAATTTCCTTTTGACTAAAAGCGACATATTTATCCAAGCTTTCTTGGGTTTTTAACGACGTGATGATATTTGTTTCAGTATGTCTACATAAGCGTTGACTACTTCTACAAGATCAAATCCTCTGGACGGGAAGTTCCAAGATTCTCAAGTCCCTGTATTATACTACTACATAGCCATGTTTTCGTCATTTTTCGTCATCTTACGAGCGTCTGCTGTACATGCATGTATTATACTACCTACGATGGAATCATTGATGCGATATTGATAATTAGTTTTCGACTTTCATGCCTTCCGCTGAGTGTCAAGTTAATTACACGGATCGTAATGTGAGTACCCGAAAGCTCAGTTTTAGGTGGATGTGTCAGGCATTTGAGTGGATCAACCCTTCCACTCACTTGGATCATATCGCTTCACCCAGACAACTCTTCCTTCAGATGGGTCCATGATAGTAGCGTAATGAGTTTCTTCATTCAGAACTGGGTAAGTCGTGAGCCACGATATTGCTTCTGTTTGCGTGATGGCCAAGTCATTCTCATCAGAATGGGACATAGAACCCCGTTTTTGCTCCATTTCGGCTTCCTCTTCCTGTTTCAGTCTCAGGCGCAGCGATGATCTTGTTCCTTGTGGCTGATGCGCCTGATTCTGCTCTGCTTTCTGCCTTTCAGCCCTTTCTCGGACTTGCACATGCTTCTTCATTTTCTTGTCCCATTTCGATTGTATGCAGTCACGTCTCTCATTGCTGTCTTCAATCAGGTCCGCCATGGCCTCAATGCCACCTGAGACCAATGTTAGACCTGCATGGTTCTGTCTTTTGTCTTCGGCAATAGCTTTGAGAGAAGCTTCAGACTGCTGGTCGTGATTTGTAGTTACGATGAATGATGACGAGGAGCGCACGATTGCTTTGCGGTAATCTTTCTCCATCGTCACTGTGGTTGTCCCATTGCTGAAGATAAAGTACGCGGCCGTGGTGGGCATACCGGGAACATTTGCAACGATGCTTTCCAGTGTCGATAATTTCTTGCTCTCAGACTGGGAACCAGCCGGGAAAGAGAAGATACACTCTCGCAGCAGCGATGATATAGACTGCCGCATCCCAAGAAGCACGAGAAGATGATTAGAATAGAAAGCCCAATTCTTCGACGTATCATGGACAGGCCGGAAATTAAGTGAGGCACTGAGACCCTTTCTAACACCCGTAAGAACACCCACATATCCAACGTAAGTGACTGTCGTTGCAAGCAGCGTCGGGTCTGCTCCCCGCCTAAACTCAAGTTGAACAATCAGGTCACGCAACGGGTCCATTCCCCAATCCAAAGTCCGGAAATGGAGCATTGTCGTCCCGAGTCCATCTTTGGTGCGTACGCCACCGCTCGTGCAGCCCATCAGTAGATCGAGGACGGTGTTCAGACTGATTAAGAGGTACATATCGATGTCCGTGACGCGGCTGATACTGCGAAGCTCTTCTGTTTCTTCATCGATGTATAGTTTGCGTAAGAATGAGCGGGCAAGCATGTGGACTAGATTCAGGGGGATCTTTGGGGATATTGATCGGACCAGCTCGTCGAACATGCCTCGCAGAGATCGCATTCGGTCTCGGTACAGGCTAGCGAGCTCCACATAACGCTCAGAGGGGGGCAATGACAAGTCGATGTTGAATACTGGAGGTGTGTCGCCCACTGCGGACTCACGAGCTTCGTTCATGGTGATGCCGGTGGTGGGTTGAATTCAGGCGAAGGTTGCGTTGTGGTTGCCTGGAAGTGAAGGTCCATGGGTGACTAGGCTTAAACGAGATGAGGCTCTGCTGGCTTCTCCGCGCGTATCAGGTGTCACTGCTAGGGTTGATTCAAGATTATTAGGCATTCCAATAGTTGAAATAACTATTGGCACACGTGTCTTTGTTGGTTGATTGTTCACAAGCTAACTTTTAGTGATGATGGTCTGCTGCTGGTATAGTTCAAGAATGGCGGCTTGGCAGGTGAAACTGCAGGTGTCGCTTTAGTTCATGCATAGTTGGTATTAATCCCACTATACTGAAACAAAGTCTATACCGGGATCTATGGGTTTACATTGGGCCTAAGATTTAAGAATGACAAGTCCAAAGATCCCAGAATGATCGTGCTCCTAGATGCCTGCCTCAGGCACTAACTCAATACCTATGCCCATGTTGATTGTGATCTCAGCTGCATCCTTTGTTCTATCTTCTCTTTCAATCTCCAGGTGTCTTTTGAAGGTGAACTTGATCAAACATAGCTATTCTTTGTTCCAAGATCAGAAGATTTTACCAGCGGCGATCCACATAAGTTCGCGCTATGAAGGCACCATCCCTTCCATCTGCGGGGCCTGCGGAGACGGAGGCACGGAAGGTTTCTCCGGCCGAATTTCTACCACCTTGTCCTGTCGCACAACTGCGCGTCACTCGATAGGAGATGATGGAGCTTGTTGGATTCTAATTCACTAGTTCCAGAGTGCAGCAAGCTTCAATGTCGTCCCCCTTCGACCACCCGGGCTCCGCGGCGCAGTTTGGCGCCGCCACGGATGACGGACTTGATGGCGACTATAGCATGATGGCCGACTACCCCGAGGCACTCGATTACTATGCTTTACTGGGCCTATCCTCAGACCCTCCTCCGAAAGACACCGATATCCGTTCCGCGTACCGCAGTCTGACCCTCAGTTTCCACCCGGACAAGCAACCACCGCACCTCCGAGAGGCCGCTCAGCAGCATTTCACGAGGATCCAAGAAGCGTACGATGTTCTCATCGACCCTAAGAAGCGCATAGTCTATGATCTTGCGGGAGTGGAGGCTGTGCAACAAGAATGGGGTCAACACGGTGCGATGGGCCCCAGAGGGGATGCGCAGTCAAAACAACTCGGCGTTAAGGCGATGTCGCCTGATGACTTTCGAAAGTGGTTCTTGAAGACAATGAAGAAACGTGAGCGCAAAGCTGTTGAAAGCTTGGTTTCGAGCCGGGTATGCATTGCTGATTTGTGCCTTGAAAGAAATGGACATTGCTGACCATTACGTTTACGGCTCCAGGGCACTATTACACTTGGAGTCAACGCATCTTCAACCATTTCAGTCGATGAAGAAGATGGGGATGTGACTTTCCAAATTCCATCGGCTAAATTGAGCACATATGCCGTCAACTACAGCTTCAGGACTCCTCTGCCTCTGCCTGCGTTCTCGCACGGAACGAAGGAAGAGGATGAGGCCGAGAAGCCAGACTCGGAGGCTGCTTCAGATGATCTCGACGATGATTCTGACCCCATTGAAATGACGATTAATATGGGAATCGCAGGCAAACTCGCTCGTCCCGGGCAAAAGCTTCAAGTCGAGTATGAAGATGAGTCGACTGAAGAGCAGCTAGTATGTTACCAGCACGAAGAAATTTCTTCTATTGACTAAACTCTTCCCAGGTCCCCTTGCCACACGTCTTAGTGGCGCAGAACATTAGCCTTGGTGCTACTGTCACCCCCAATATGAGGGGCTTGATAGGCACTAAGGGTATCTGGAGTCGACAGCCATTCCCATTCTTCCGAGACTCTACTGTCCATGTTGAGGCTGGTGTTTTCCCTATACCATCGTTGAAGACAACCATCGGTCACGCTTTTCAGCCAATTTCAGGTATCAAACCGATCAGCGTCAGTGCTAGCAGCACCATCACTCGATCTCTGTGGGAATCTCTGCCTTCGTTCGATGTGCAAGCAACGAAACAAGTTGCTCAACGAAAGATCGCCTTCTTAACATGGTCCAGTGGATTGATGGAATGGCCCGGGCTTCTCCAAGAGACTTTCCCTTCCCTTGGAATGAGCCTTGGAAGCTATTATAATACTGGAGTGAGCGACAGCACATTTCAGATTGGCTTGATATCACAACCGAAACAACCTTCGAGAATGGTTGAACTTGACGAGGACAATGATGGTGATGGTGATGATGACGAATTGCGCGAGCAACTGGAGAAGCAACAGGAAATCGATCGCGCGGCCGAGTTTTGGCAGACGTACCTCACAGCTACCCCGGCAGGAGGCGGCATCGGACTGACCTACTCTCGAAACTTGTTTTCGGGCAAACCTGCAGATGATCCCGTGAGGTCAGAATGGAGCGGCGAGGGTTACTTCCCCATGGCCAAAATGGAGGAACCCCGGGCAGTGCGACTCGAGGTTACTACCATTGTCAGCGCAGACGCGTCTATCAGTTGGGGTATCAAGGGTACTCGACGCGTTGGCGAGTACACCAAGATGTCACTCGGAGTCGGTTTTGCCCAGAATGGCGTCGTGGCTACTGTATCTTGGAACAGACTTGGCCAGGGCATCAAGCTTCCCATCGTCATATGTCCTGCTGATCAGGCCAACCATGATGCCGCTGCATTGGCTGCCGTCTTCCCGTGGATTGCTTACTGTGCGGTTGAGTTCGGCTACGTCCGCCCGCGCGATAGAAAGAGACGTCGGCAGGCGGTGGCGCGTCGTCACAAAGAGCTGAAGAAGCTTATCCCGAAGAAGCGAGAAGAGAGCGAGCAGGCTATCGAGCTCATGTCCGATCAAGTGCAAAGACGCCAGGCTAGAGAAGAGGCGCAGGATGGGTTGATCATCAAAAAGGCCGAGTATGGATACATTCCTCCGAAGAATAAGAAACCCAAGAACGGCTTCACTGAGCCTCGGATAATTGACGTGACTGTTCCTGTGGCTGCTCTGGTCGACCGCGGCCAGCTAGTGATCCCTCAGAACTCGATCAAGGTGAGACTAATGTTACCTGCACATATAAATGCGGCCAGTATTTCTAACTCCATTTCTCTAGTTTCAAATCATGGGCTTCCATGACCCAGCGCCTCTTTTGCCAAAACGACTCAAGATCTGGTACACATTCCAAGGGCGTGACCATTTCGTGGAAGTTGGTGATAAAGAGCGTGTCGCTTGTCCCATGCGCACCCATTTGACCTCTGAGTGAGGTGATCTATACCCATGAAGGCATTTGCCTCTGTAATTTTCAGCATCTTGTTTCTTGCTAGGCGTTCGCCACATTGAACATTCTACTCCTGCTCTCATATGCATACGTGATCTTGGCAAATGCATTAAATGGATCATTCTCCCCTCGCATGAAGCTCCCTAGATGAAACATACATATTCTCAAATCACAATACCTGTGGTCCGAAGTAATAAATATTAAGAAACAAACTTAAGAGGCGACTTTGATATAGAAAGTCTTGGCATTGCGGTGAGCGAAGCCCGCCACCCGCGCAGGCCTGCAAAAGCCAAGAGCATCGATCCAGGTTCTCCTCTTATCCTATCACCCGACTTGAAAGCTCTCGCCTCGCTATCAAGTCTCACAATGACTTCCATGGCATCGGGGCTTTTCAAGTCCCTCCCCAAACCCAAGTACACCGGCGAAGAAGAGGAGTTGCCGCAGCATGCGCAACCCCGTGGTCCGCGTGTGGTGGGCGCCGACCAGCTCGATGAAACACAGGTCGTCTTACGGGTGAGTTTACTTTTTGTGTATAGCTGCTCCAAAGCTGACTGAGTTTACTTGAACAGAGAGTTGGACCTCCGCCCTACGGTAACCGCACAGGATGGCGACCGCGAGCCCCCGAAGATTTTGGCGACGGCGGCGCGTTCCCCGAGATTCTAGTCGCACAGTATCCCCTCGACATGGGCCGGAAGGGAACATCCTCGACCTCGAACGCGCTTGCAGTACAGGTCGATGCTGAGGGCAAAGTCAAGTACGACGCGATCGCGCGCCGCGGACACGGTGACAGCCGCACCGTACATGCTTCATTCAAAGATTTGATCCCGCTCCGCCAGCGGGTGGATATGGGAGAGATTTCGCTCGATCGCCCGTCCGAGGAGGAAGTTGCTGCGCAGATGGAGAAAACGAAGAATGCTTTGTCCAGTCTGGTGGACGGAGCTTTGCAGGCACAGAAACCGAAGAACGTCAAAGGTGGAAGCAGAGCCGAGCCGACTTTTGTCCGATATACACCAGCGAACCAGATGGGAGATAATGAGCGCAAGAACGACCGCATTATGAAGATTGTCGAGCGCCAGCAGGATCCCATGGAGCCGCCCAAGTTTAAGCACAAGAAGATTCCCCGTGGCCCGCCGTCGCCCCCTCCTCCGGTGATGCATTCGCCTCCGCGGAAGCTCACGGCCGAAGATCAGGAAGCTTGGAAGATTCCTCCGCCTGTGTCGAATTGGAAGAATCCCAAGGGTTATACTGTCCCCTTGGACAAGCGTCTGGCTGCGGATGGTCGTGGATTGCAGGATGTTTCGATCAACGACAAATTTGCCCAGTTCGCCGAGGCGTTGTTCACGGCTGATCGCCACGCCCGTGAAGAGGTGCAGCTCCGTGCTCAGATGCAGCAGAAGCTGGCAGAGAAGGAGAAGGCCCAGAAGGAGGATCATCTCCGGCAGCTGGCTCAAAAGGCCCGCGAGGGGCGTGCTGGTCCCAGTCGCGGCGAGTCTCGGGCGCGCTCGCGTTCTCGAAGCGGAAGCCGCAGTGTGTCACCATACCGCTCAAGGTCCGGCACCCCGAGTGAGGACGGCGAAGCTGCTCGTGAGCGTGAGGAGCAGCGTCGGGAGCGACGACAAGAACACGAGCGGCAGCTGCGCCAGTCCCGCATGGGTACAGAACGTAAGATCCAGGCCATGGCCCGCGAGCAGAGCCGTGATATCTCTGAGAAGGTGGCTCTGGGATTGGCTAAGCCCACTCAGAGCTCCGAGTCTATGTGGGATTCGCGCCTGTTCAACCAGACCAGTGGCATGCATTCTGGTTTCAATGAAGATAACCCCTACGATAAGCCGCTGTTCGCCGCGCAGGACGCCATCAACAGCATCTACCGCCCGCGGGCTCAGGCTGATGCCGACGACGAAGACGCGGATGAAGGAGAGATGAGCAAGATCCAGAAGACTAGCCGGTTTGAGGTTCTAGGACGAGCCAAGGAGGGATTCAAGGGAGCTGCTGACGCCGAGGTAAGTAATACTGCGGGTTGGAAAGTGTCTGTTTCAATGCTAATTGGTTCTCATTTACAGGAGCGCGAGGGTCCTGTTCAGTTTGAGAAGGACACTGCGGACCCATTCGGCATTGATAGCATGATCGCCGATGTGACTTCCGGCCAGAAGCGGTACGGAATCCAAGAGGCGGGCGAAGATGATCGTGGCTCGAAACGCGCAAGGGTCGACGAGGACTAGGCTAGTTGTATTATGATAAATCTGGGTTCATTTCTTTCTGTGCCGCGTGGGCAAGGCTGTCTTCATGCATTGCGGGCGTTTTGGCGGTGCCATCTAAACCATTTTGATATCACCAGAGGTACCTAAAATGACGAGCCTATTTGGGCTTGCAATTTCAAACCAGACTACGATCTATATGTCTCGCTTGTAGTATGGCTGTGGAGTAATGTGAAACACAGGGTAGGCACCTGAACATGTAGAGAAGGGAGAAAGTAGCATAGCGAAAGGGTGGGTATGCCAGCACACTAAAATCAAAACGCATTAGCAGAGGCGTATTTGATCTGGATCCAGATCGATTCTTTTCAAAGGGTCACAGAGGGCCCAATGGAAGGACACAGGCTCTAGTCTGAAGAAACCCTCTCGGGGAGCTATAGACGATTCTTTCTTGTTCACATGTTCAGTTCACGGAACTTTGACTCCTTTTTATTTTTTTCCATCTTTTGCCTTTTGGCATGATGATGAAGCTTAAATTAATGTTCAATTGATCACCCGAGCGAGCCAATTTGTAGACTCGGATGTAGGAATTAAATAAAACACGATAACAAATCTCAAGATCCAATTTTAACAGGGCCCTCCTTATGGAGTACAGTAAAACAGTTTGCCGGAACGTCAGGCACTCCCTAGTTCTTGAGCTCCACTTTTTGGGAGAAAGAACCTCCTCCAGCCACTTGTAGGCAACGGGCAGGCTGTGAGGGTAACCCATGTGCACCAAGCCCTCAAAGAAACGGCCTTCCTTGGGACCACCATGGTTGAACATGACCAGCGAGTCCTCAATGGGGACAACGCCATCGTCAACACCCTATGAAACATGTTAGCATGAACCCAAAGTTCAACACCTTTCAGACATACGTTCAGCATCAGCAGACGGCAGTTAGGCTGGTCCATAACACCAGTCTCAACAAGCGAGAATTTCTTCTGCGCATTCTTGATAAACTCCTCAGCGGAATCATATCCATACTTCTCGGCCCAAGAAGCCGTGATCCTGCAAGCCGTCAGTATCATGGACCCAAAGGAACCAGCAGCACAATCTAACTCACTCAAACGGATACTCATGATCATTGACCCGACTCAACCACTCCTCCCCAAGGAAATGATGACTACCAGGCCCATGAGCAACACACCCAGCAAACTTCTCCGAGTGCGTAGCCGAAGCCCGAATAGCATAGAATCCACCAGCACTCAGACCCCAAGCAGCAACACGAGACATATCAAACTCCGCCCTAGAGCCCATATACTCAAGCACACTGTCCCACAGACGATCCGCACTCTCCGGGTCCGCAGGATCAGCCGGACAATCCGCCGTGCCGGGGATCTCGCAGACAACAACCGCCCAGCCGCGGTTGATGATCTCGTGTGTCCGCTGGCTGTTATCGGGCCTATACCCGTCCAGACCGGTCATGAGAAGCACAACGGGTACCGGGTTGGAGGCGGATGCTTCCTCGGGCAGACGCACGTAGATTGGGATGTGGGCGCCATCGCGGCCGGTGGCGCGCGTGTGCGGGATGCTTTCTTCCTTGAGCACGGGCTTCCAGATGGCGGCGGCTTTGAGGTAGACGTCCTTTTGGCGCTCGAAGGCGGTGCGCTTCAGGGAAGTTGACGGCTGGCTTGCTGGGCTTACGTAGGGGAAACGTGAAATGCGGAGGACGACTGCGGCGCGGCGGTAGAGGTCTGAGGCCTTGTCGGGGTGGCTGTTTGTTAGGGCTTGCTCGGCTTGTTGTTCCAGGGCGTCGACGATGGGGATGAAAGCTTGGGTGTAGGCATCCGAGAAGGCATCGTTGATGTTGTCCTGGGTTGATTGTCAGTGGATTTTGGCGGGAGTCGTCCCTGGGAGATGATGTGTACCTTGATCAGCTTCTGGAAGATGGGCTCAAAGTCTTCAAAGGCACCGTCGTGGAACGGGTAGATGGATTTGGAGCACTGGGGGTGAATTAGCTTTGCTTCATATATTTCAAGAAATTGGAGATGGCATACGCAGAACTTCCACTTGGTCTCCCACAGGGCCTTAATGGACCCTTTGTGAGGGTAGACCGTGTCGAATTTCTCTCCCATCATCCATGGTGCCATGATGAATACTGTTGTATAGTTCGAAACTTGAAACTAGGTTTGTATCGTTCAGATGGGATGGAACATGCGTGAAGCATTGGGAGAAGTCACACGCAGACGTTCCTTAAATGAGTCGTTCATTTTGCTTGGGAGCAGGATTACGGATTTGGCCGATTACGACAACGACAATGACTGCGATGTAAAAGTGTATGAAAACAGCTGGAACGAGTGTGACGGATGATGCGGGGGTATCTCGCGCTTTCCGTCAAGGTCGAGAATGTGATCTGATTGGCATGGAATGATGAAGAGAGCGGCGAGGGGGGCCGGAGCCCTTGGATTCAGGAGACAGGGGCAGGTCGAGTGGTTTGGCCGGTTTCCGAATCCGGACAGGGGTGGGATTCTCGATCGGATATGCAACTGAAGCCACTGGGATGGGATGGGATGGGATGGGATGGGATGTACCTCAGCCTCATTGCGTTTGGGGAATCAACAAGGCGTCCAGTTCGTGCTGATGATCGATTTCACTTGGGTACGAGCCACTCCAATCTTGAGCACAAAGGTTGCAGGTTGAATGTTGAATGATGAAGTTGAGACGACCTCAATTCCCCGGTTGGCCGCGAAGCCTTCCGCATGCGGCAAGATCGCACGGATTGTAGACTACTGTCCCCTTGCAGAAGGCACAGCTCTACTATGGTTACATCGACCGCGTGGTAATCGAAACTGCGTAGACACAATCCAATGGAAGCTTCCGAGAGGCATTCATTCTAATACACAAATGTAGTGCGGCTGGACTGAGAAGACGGCCTCAAAACGGTGCCTCGAATGCTCAGTCGGCCCCGTGACTATTCCCCCCGGGCAGGCTCTGAAAGGTGTTTTTTAAAATGATTCACGGAGTAAAAAGGTCTCTCAAAAGAGCATGAGTGGAATGCAAAGAAGAAGAAGAATTATGTAGACACAATGATGCAAAAAAGTCGCCGTCCTGAAAAGACTACCGAGATTATCATTAAAATTACCCAGTGTCGTTTAGACATGAGGTACTGGCAGCTTATGTACAAGCCTCATTTGGCGTGCGAGCGCGCTACTCCTGTCGCTCGTACTGCTGCCAGTACTCGTAGCCCTTGGGAAGATCCTTGGGCCCATCGTCGTGCTGGTGGTAGGTATGATCACCCTCCGTGATGTACTGATCGTTGCTTTGAGGATAAGGCCAAGAGCCCCTGGAAATGGTATTAGTATAAAGTGGGACCAGTAATCATGATGGGGGAATCGTACTTGGTATCAGTGTTGGTAACCTCAATGGGTGCCTCGCCAGGTTCGCCGCCGACTTGAGCGTAGGACTTGTCGGCGTGGGGGTTGGGCCATGGACCTTTGATGTCCTGAGTATCGGCAACGTCAGCCGGACCATCGGAACCATCGCCGACCTGAGCATGGTTGTGGTCGGTGTGAGGCTGGGGCCAAGGTCCATCGGATTCATCCTGGTGCGCGTAGATGGGCTCATCATGCGCAGGCGGCTGCACAGGCTCAGGATAGTAGTCAGTCGGCTGGGCCTCGGTCATAGGCTGGATGGCCTCAACGGGTTGAGCAGGGGGTTTGGGAGCAACTTGAGGCTCGGGAGCGGGAGCGGGAGCTTGCTCAACAACGGGCTTGGGAGCGGGAGCTTGCTCGACGGCGGGCTTGGGAGCCGGGGCTTGCTCGACGGCAGGCTTGGGAGCCGGGGCTTGCTCGACGGCAGGCTTGGGAGCCGGGGCCTGATGAGGCGGTGGGGACTGGTAGTGAGTCGGGCGAACCGGGGGCTGACCCGGAGGCGGGGGAGGAGCCTGCTGAGTAGGAGCAGGCGCAGGCGAGGCCGAAGTAGTCGGCTTGGGCTGCTGGGGCGGCGGGGAAGGCGCCTTGCTAGACTTTCCGGGCGGGTACATAGCACCGTGGTTCTCAGCGGGGATCTGAGTGTTGGCACCGGTCAAATCAAGACCCTGCTTGCCAGCGGCGTTGCCGTTGGAAGGATCAGGGTAGGCAGCGCAAGCGTCGTAGTGGCTCTTGGGAGGAGCATGCTCGGACTGAGGGAAAGTCTCAGGAGCCTCGATGATCGTGGCCATCAGGCCGGCCTCGACGTGCCATTCGACGTGACAGTGCAGGAGCCAGACACCGGGGTTGTCTGCACGGAAGCGAATGACCACGTGGCCATGATTCTGAACCATGATGGTATCGCGCTTGATGGGAGTGTGGGACACATTCTTATATTGACCAGTGAAGTAGCCGCCGTCGACGGGGGTTCTCTGCAGAACCTGGAACTGGTGACCGTGCAAATGCCACGGGTGCAGGTTGTTGTGGTGGTTGTTGATGACAATCTCGACGACCTCTCCGTATTTGACGATGAAGGGATTGACTTGACCGTAGACCTCGGGGTTGGAAGAGAACTCGGCTCCAATCGTGTTCGCGGTGTACAGAGTCGGAACATCCTGCGGGATGTAGGTCTTGTTGTTGACAGTGAAGCGCTTGACTCCGTCGATCTCAGTTGAGAAGGCGTCGATGATGATCTGGTGCTGAACGGGCTCAAGCACGGGCTCCTTATCCAGAGGGACCAGAAGGACATCATCAATGAAGTGATCGGGGGTAAGCTCATGGAACACCGGGGGCGGGGGCAAGGGCTTCGCCTCGTCGTAGACGAGCCAAGCAGTAGCATTGGGGTTGTATCCCTGGGGAATGGGACGACCCTCGAAGATGAACATCATATTAATATCCATGGTGTCCCAAATGGCAAAATTCTTGCTCGCATCGGCCTTGGTGTGTATCAAGACAGACATACGCTGTCCAGTGGCAATACGAAGCAGCTTGTCACCAACAGGGGTAGGCTCGGTGTAAATTCCATCAACCTCCACGACCGTCATCTCATGGCCATCGAAGACCCAAGTGTGACCAGGCCAGTTACCGAGGCAGACAATATGCACCAAGTAGGTCTTGTTGGGCAGCACCTTGATCTTGGTGTTGCTGTTATCATTGATCAAAGCAGAGTTGGGAACGGGCTCAAGGCCACCAAAGGCAGCCTCGTTCTCCTCCGACTCATACTCCTTGAGCAGGTCAGGCATCTGGCGGTGGTACCAATCGGTCAAAGTCATAGTGAACTCCTCATCATAGTGGAAAGGCGCCTTGGGGTCATGAACGATCAGAGGGCCACGGAAGCCATCGGGGTACTGAGCCATGTTGTGAGAGTGATACCAGTAAGTTCCAGTTTGGTTAACCTATTCACATTAGTATCCATTGTGCAAGCGCCCGACGGTCTACTCACATCGAAATGATACTGCATGTGCGAGCCCGGGGCCAAAGGGCACTGAGTGACGCCGCTAGCACCATCCATAACACCGGTGGCATACTGGTGGAAGCCGTGCCAATGGATGCCGGTAGACTGATTGCCCAGACCGTTATACACGTCGACGATCAGACGATCACCGACGTCCACATCGATCTGAGGGCAGGGCCATTGACCATTGATACCGATGACGGGTCTCTCAAATCCATCGGGAGAGGCATTAACCCAAGTGACATTCCAATCCAGGTAAACGTCCTTGGCCGCCGCGAGTTTGGCAGCCAAGCTCGCCAAAAGAAGGAGATTGAACTTCCCCATAGTAAACGGTCATCCAAGTAACGAGTGACAATCGACTCCGAATCAGAAAGATAGTGAAATCCTCCGAACGAAACGAGGGATCTGAGTTGAACGACCGAAACTAGATATTAATAAATAAGGATAAAAAATAAAAGATAAAAACGAACGAGTTGTCGACTAAAACGAAGGCGTTGGGCGAAGGTCGGCCGGGATGATACTCGAGGGAATCAAGAGCGAGCAATTGGGGGAATCTTCCTTTAACAGCGGGCATGATTTGGATCTGCGCCAGGGATGCAAATGTCGATGGGTTCCGGATGCAAGTTCCAAGGACTCTTCAGCAATGCCAGCAGATTCTACATTCAGGAGACAGAAAAACAAACTCGCCGGTACGGGACTAGGCTACCGCTTGGTAGGTAGAGAGAAGCATTCCACTAAGGGAAAGGGCCGGCTGGTATGCAGGTGAATGGCCCAGTTCGGTATTGCGTCGGAAATTACCCAGCAAGGGGCTGCATTCCAGGTGACGGTTTCGGTTAATCGTCAACAACAGCATCATGAACTGGGCCAAGTTGCGAATCAGATCCTATTTGAAGCTTAATTGATTGACGATTGACGGTGGACGGTTGACGGTTGACGGTTAACAGGTAACAGTTGACGATTGACGATTGACATGTTTTGGTGGCGTAGTTAGTTTCCAGGTGGTTAGTTAGTTTCCAGGTGGTAAGTTGGTGTCCAGGTGGTTAGTTGGTGTCCAGGTGGTTAGTTAGTTTCCAGGTGGTTAGTTAGTTTCCAGGGGTGGCTACCCCGGTCATCAATGAACATGGCAAGGTCCACTGTGAGATCAGATGTTCGATCAGAGAACACAAGCATAAGCATAACATAAGCAATTCAGCTCTCCGAGGTTCACCTCGCCCAAACAGGTCTCAGACACACCTAGGCGTAATGGGAGATCCAAAAAGGGCACGGATGACGCAGGGCATCATCATTTCGGTTAACGTCGTATCAGTGTCGGGGGGAAGTATCGGTGGATCGGCCGTGGGCTCCACTCCAACTTTTTTTTTTCTTGTCTTATCAGGCGATCTCTATTTGATCTCGTGTCTGAGACCCGACAACAAGACCGTGGCACTTCTCTTGGCCGTCATAGCTCCGGCTCGAGTACTCGGGGGCACCTGCAGAGCAGGTACCAGGTCCGGTGGCCAGTGCATTTCCCGGTAGATCAAGGTAGACAAACGCGGGGGAACAAGACGTAATTGATAAAAGGACCGGTTCTCATTGGGGAGGTTATACCAAGGCGCGCAGTAGTCTCACGGATGACAGGGGGCGATGCCCCCCACATCGGTGTTCAGGTACAGCTGCACGACACTCGTCCCTCTCGAGCGCCTAGCGCGGAGGTCGTGATAAGGAAGTGGGGGAGTTGAGCAGTAGTCCAGGTCACTGATAAAGAGTTGCATGAAGGGATTTGGTAACCCGATAACCAGGGACGAACAGGTCGAATTTTTTTTCCTTTTCCCAAAAGGTGCAAGTGAGGGGGAACCAGTTGTATCGTCACTCTTCTTCTTTTCGTTTCTTTTCTTTTTCTTTAACTCCCCGGCACTCCCCAGTTGGTATATAGGTGCGATTCCTTTTTTCTTTTGGGACTCACTCCGATCCGTGTACTTCCCCCCCCTGACGCCATATTCCCTGTACCTCGCTCAGCACTCAGCCCTGTCGCCATAGCCTTTGGCATCACGTCAATGGCGTAATCCAAGTATGATCATGCAAAGTACCTTGCACATGATTCCAGGTCTTCCCAAGTCTTAGTTTTCTACACTATCACTCCCCTTATCCAACGTGGGTGCAACTAGAACATGGACCAATCTATGACTCTGATCGATGCCCAGGTGCATTTCCTGGTGAGCCAACTTTGAAAGAATTCAAGGTGCCCTTTCCCATGAAATTATAGTTCAATCGATTAATATATATTTCAGGAGGAGCGACTCGTGCTGGTTCACATTCCACTGGACCTCTATCCGTACTTTTTCAAGGCGGTGCTGAGACTCATCTTCGATGAAATATATTCCCTCGATGAAGAGCAGGAAGAAGATCTCATCCTCGAGGATATCGAAGATGCATCGGAACAAGGTTCCGACTACAAGCAACCCGCCTTCCTGAATGTCTCCATCACCCCGGTGGAAGTCTCAGTGATATGTCCCCGTCGACTCGTCCTGAAGTACTTCCAGCCCTTACTGGACCAGCTCAACCAGCTCAACACCACCCTCCGTTCCCGCCTAGATGTCAGTGATAATGACTACATCGCCATGCAGGTCCTCGGTCAGGGCCTGGAAGCCGGCAAGCGCGTACTGGAACTCACCAGTCCACTAGCCATGGCGGGCATCTCCATCTTCTTCATCTCGACCTATTTCTCCGACTACATCATTGTGCCCCTGCACAGCAAAGAAAGCGTAGTCTCAGCTCTAGAGAACAGGGGCTTCCATTTCGAAAATGCAACAGCCGCCTTCATCAACCCGCTCAGCCCTACATCCCCAACCTCAGAACGACGTCCCAGCGACCTCGTCCCGCCAGCAACCCCACCCCCATCATCCGTCTCAGAACTACAAACACGCACATTCGAGAACCTCCGCAAACGCCAAATCGTCCCATGCGTAGACGACACTCTCCATCTCGTCCAATGCGCAGCCCACCACCAGTACAACCGCGAAGAAAGCTCCATGTCAATCCTCCGCGACGCACTCACAACTGTCCTCCTCGTTGACAACCCGCGCTTCCTCTCCTTAACCCTAGCAGCCCTCGACCCAGCAGCATCTCTCCTATTGGAAAAACGCCTCCTCCCCCGCTTCGCCCGTCCAACAAGCTCACCCCAAGACTACGAAGACGGTTCAGGCCTCCTCCTAGGCTCAAAAGAGGAATATCTCATCCCCATCATGCTCGACCTCCGTGACCTCCCCCTCGAAGCATCAGGTATCGTCTGCGGCGTAGCAGGCCGTCTTGCCGACTCAGCGGGTAACCCGACACCCGCGGCAAGCGGCGAAGGCAGTCTCGTAGGCAGCAATGAGAGTAGCGTCATCGGCTCTGTGCCCGCGCTATTTGATACCTTTGGATCGCGGCTTGCGCTGGGACACAGGAAAACGAAGTCTCAGCAGTTGCCACCGACAACGCATCACTTGAAACCGGATGTGGATGCGAGTGCGGATGCGGTGGAGATTAGTTTCTTGAGTACGGCGCGCGCGGGGACGATTATTGTTGGGGAGTATGAGTTGAAGAGGGCAATTGATGCTCTTGAGGCGGAAAAGGTGGATAAGGTGCAGGAGATTGTTACTGAGGGGGCTCCTCTTGGGATCCAAGGACTTGGGATAGATGCTTGATGCTTGATGCTTGATGGGGGGAAAAGTTGATTTTGTTTCTTTGGTTTGCTCGCCACTCCATGTCCTGTATGACTATACGATTTCCTTGCAAGTGTATGCTTTATTAGCGTTCCAGCCCGAATTGCTTGAAATGTTGCTATATATTTATCGGAAGAAGTCTCAATATATTGATATGATACGACAGATTTATTCGCCAAGGAGAAGGCTAGTGGTATTGAGTATGTACTTTCTTGCTTGTTCATGGTCATATGGCCCCTAATCGGTTCTTCCGAGATTCATGTGGGTATGTATACCGCTTCAGGCATGAAGAAATGAGTTAGGTTGGTCAGGAAGGCAGTAGATCTTCAACTTGCCGTCCACAACGGCAATGTTTATCGGGTTCTGAGTCACAGGAGTCCCCAGCTCGCTCAACATCGCGATGGGGAATTTTCCCAGATAGGTTGCATAGTCAGCATCAGCATATCGACCAGCGCAATACCACCTGGATGAAACGAGGAAATGATCCGATCGTGGCGACCCCGCCGCAGAACATGATAGGCCGTCTGCACTGTTTGAGACTCTTCCTCGTATCAAAATGGGCTGTGAGAACCCTGGGCAGGATGTGATGGCCAAGGAACTTGCAACCCTGGTAATCAATGAAAAATGACGGGATGGGCTCTATGGATCGAGGTCTAGTGTAGCCTGGTAGCTTTGCAAAGTTTCGCGTGTAGTGGCCCAGAGACCATTTGCTGGCGTTGCGGACCCCCCAGTTCAGCGTGAGGAGATTATTCGTCAGTGTCGTGGACAATTCCACCATTGTGATCTCTTGCACGAAGAGCCTTCTTTTTCTTCAGGCTGTGTGGATCAACCTGTACACTGATTGCGGTCGTGTTTGGCCTGTACTGCGAAAGCGTAGTTCAGATGTAGCGTCCGTCATAATCAATGCCACTAGTGTGGCACTCAATATCGTTTGGGTAATTGTGCAGGTCAATAACTTCCATGTAAACGATGTGAAGAGAGTCAGCCGGTTCCGGGCATCGGTTGTGGATAAAATCATCAAACAGCAGGGAAATTACGTAGACGGCAGCCACGCTCTGCAGCGGAGATGATGAGTTGGCTCATCCAAGGACTCGGACGGTACCTAAACATATATTAGCATTCACACCATAAAATGGAGAATGATTACTCTTACCATCTGAGCATCCAGCTGCCCAGTATCCCTGGTCATTCCAAGCCACACAGCTCACAGCCTTAACCTTCTCTCCCATCGGCACAGTTGCAACATTCTCTCCACTGAGAACGTCCCACGCAAAGACAGCAGCGCCAAGCGCAGCCCCATCTTCCTTTGCAGCTTCACTGCCGCTCAAAACTACGGCATCACTCTGCGCAAAGACAGAGCGAACCCGCAGCTCCTGGTTCCGATAGACATGCTTAGGCCTAGTGCTAAGGAAAGACTGAGCCTGCTGCTCACCATTTTTGACGGGGCCTCCGAAAGCAGCAAGGAGCTTTCCGTCCGCTCGATCGAGCATCCGAATATAGCTATCCAAGGTGGAAGCAAGCAGCGCATTGCCATCCGCCGAGCAACGAATACTCGTTACCGGATGAGCCAGGACATCAATCGTCGTCTTGCCCGTCCGCACATCGTAGACGCGCACATGTCCATCATAGCTACCACTAGCGATAGAGTACGTAGGCCCATGAACATGCAAACACGAAACGGTATCGCTTGCTTCAGTGAGGGTCTGAATAGGCTTGTAGGCATTGGATCTGGTGTCCCACAAGTTGATTGTGGTATCTGCACTACCTGGAAACAAGAAGAAAGGTCAGTAAGACTCGTTAAACCGAGGAAAGGCCGAGGACCATACCAGAAACAACAAGGGAATCACCATCTCCGGCGAATTGGACCGCTTCCACCCTGCTATTATGCCCGCTCCATCGTCTAGTTGTCGTGCCCTGCTCAACATCCCACAGAAAGACCTGGCGGTCACCTCCTACGCTGGCAAAGCGCGCATTGTCTGCGGCGACGGCTACGTCGAGGACTGAATAGCCATGGGCTTCGTACCGCTGGATTGGGGATGTAGTTTCGACGGCTGTCGCAGAATTTTCGGCATTGCTCGGTACTGCGCGCGAGAGATGGATGGCGCGGTCTGAGGAGCCTGTCAGGACGTAGGTGCCCGGGTAGCTTGAGAAGGTCACGGCGTTGACCGGCCCTGTCATGCGAGATTAGACCTAGTTCTGTGAGGCAACTTGATAATTAGCTTACCATTATGTGTCTTCAGAGTGTGGAGATGCCGAGTGGGAAACTTCTTCGAGGGCATGTCAAGCTGATTGAGGAGTGGAGCAGTTGAAGGTTGAAGCCGGAATGTGGATGATGTGCGGAACTTGGGAGCTCGGGCAAACTGGGGCCGAACTAGAGCTAATTACAAGACCCCATTCATACATGATTCATCTAAACCTAGTTTGCTACACTTGAAAAGAATAGGGATTAACTCTGTATTTTGCGCGCTACATAATACAGGAGGGTTATTATCAAGGATGTAGACACCATCGCTAGCTACCAGCGGTAAATGGATATAACAGAACAAAACGAACCGGCCCTTCGAGGCGAAGGTGCGCCCTCCCAAGCGCGTGAATGGCAAGACATAGGGTACTCAAAAAGAAGAAAATAACGAAGGAGCATGCAAAGTGCGCCTACTCCCTTTTTGAAAGTCCAGCATCTTAGCGACGACCGTGGCTGCGAGTGCCGGAGCCTTGGAGACCCTCGATCTCCTGCTCGAGCGATTTGATCCTTGAAAAAAGTTAGTATTTGAAGTCAATAGGTAAAAATTAGAATAGGCATCAACGTACGCAGCATGGGTGGCCTCGAGGTCTTTGTTGAGTCTGTCGCGCTCGGAAATGAGCTTCTGCTCCCACTGGCGGAAACGCTGCTCCTCGACCTTGACCTGCTCGGTGAAGCGCTTGCGCAGGTTCTCCTCTTCCTCCTTGAATTTGGGGTTGTCCAGCTTGCGGGGGCGGGCCTCGCCAAACTTGCGGGTCTCCATCTGCTGGGCACGATAGGCCTCGTAGTGAGACTCCTCGGTGGTGTGAATGAGGTCGAGCATATGGGTGCGGATCAAGATCGAGCGGAGCTTCTTAAAGTCACAGTGGTCCTCATTTTCCACCTCAGCAACACCCCAGGCGTACTGGCGACCCTTGACGACACGGCCGTCGTTGGCTTTGACATCCTTCTCGGAACCGATAACAGCGAAAGGCATGGCAGCCATCAGGCTGCGGGCGTGGGTAGCGGCGTGCTCATCGTCCTCCTCGATCGGCGGGGTGTAAATCTTGATGCCCTGGGCCTCGATAACAGCGCGGATCTGATCACTCATTAGCTATGGGTCCCAATTGCAAATCCACGCATGATTCCAACATACTCTCTCCTTGTAACGGGCCAGATCGGCGTGGCTGAGGGTGTCGGCCTTGGCGACAACGGGAATCAGGTTAACGCGGGAGCTCAGGCGCTTCATGACCTCGATATCGAGGGGCTTCAGGGTGTGTCCGGTGGGTCGGATGAAGTACAAGCAAGCGTGCACACGCATGTCAATCTTGTCGGTACGGCGGGGCTGCTGCTCCTGGAGCATGTAGGACTCGTGCTGGTCATCCAGGAACTCGATGATGGGTTGCCACGAATCACGGTTGTTGACATAGTCGCCGAAGCCGGGGGTATCAATGACGGTGAGACGAACTGAAGGCGGATAAACATCAGCACACGCAATTCACAAATATGACCCCTCACATCCAGGGTGAAATGAATGTCGAACCTTTGAAGAACTTCTCCTCGAGCTCGGCCTTGGTAATCTCGATCTCGACGGTGCGGTCGACTTGCTTCTGGTGACGGCGCTTGTGGTCGGCGTAGTTTTTGATGGTAGTGGAGAAGAGGGTGTTGATGAAGGTGGTCTTTCCCAATCCCGACTCTCCGGCAACCTGTAGACGGCATCATTAGCGCTGATGTCCCGACCGAGGCATTCCAAGCTTAGACACACCATGATTGTGAATGCCGCACCCCGCTTTGCAACAATCTTGTGTCTAGACCGCTTCAATTAGAATCCTCCTCGCTGCCAATTCGGATCGATTCGTCGAGTTGTACATACCGCTGGTTGGGGAGCTACATGGGAACAGCATAAATTAGCCATCAGAGCATTGAAAACGCGTTGGGAGGTTATCGGAAACAACTTACATTGGCAATGCCAATCGGCGAGGCAGTCTCCGTTGTCGACATGATGAATTAGGGGGGGTGACCGTGAAGAAGACGAAAACGAAGAGAAACCCCTCAGTAAGTGACCTGAAAAAGAGGAAAGATGGTCAAGGGTCCTTGGAGAAAAAGGGAGGTTAGCTGCTCGTTGCTGCTTCCCCCTGAATCTCCTTTCGTTTTCTGGAGTATAGCTGGCCTTGCCTATCTGGGACTAGCGCCCAACACTATGCCCCATTGAGACCGGAATTGGATCATTGATGATCCGCTCTTATCACGCTGATTGTCGCGCCGAACATTTTTTGACGGAGTGCTTCAAGCTGTCGCAAGTGGGAAAATGAAGACCGACTTCAAGGTGAGTCTGTTTCAATATTCCTATTATGATTTTTCTAACTCGGAATGCAGTTCTCCAACCTTTTGGGGACGGTCTACCGTCAGGGCAATTTGCTCTTCACGCCCGATGGCACCTGCTTGCTCTCGCCAGTGGGCAATCGAGTCTCGGTCTTTGACCTGGTGCAGTATGTACTCTCAAATAGGCTGTGCACATCATTCGAACCCGCTTGCTTACTATATCGCCCATAGGAACACCTCCTATACCCTTCCCTTCTCACACCGCACGAACATCGACCGCCTCGATCTATCGCCTCGAGGCAATCTTCTGCTCACCGTCGACGAGACCGGACGGGCAATCCTGACCAATTTCCAACGTCGCATTGTCATTCACCACTTCTCATTCAAGGGTCGTGTGACTGCTCTCAAGTTCTCTCCGTCTGGTCGCCATTTCGCAGTCGGTGTGGGGAGACGCTTGCAAATCTGGCAGACCCCCTCCACCCCCGGTACCGAGACCAATGGCGAGATTGAGTTCGCTCCGTTCGTCCTACACAGAGACCTTGCTGCACACTTCGACCATATTTCGACTATTGAGTGGTCGAGTGATTCGCGCTTCATTCTCACAGCGTCCAGGGATTTGACTGCACGAGTATGGAGTTTGGATCCTGAGGATGGGTTTGAGCCGACCACCTTGGCCGGTCACCGGCAAGGCGTGGTGGCCGCATACTTCAATGCGGAACAGGAAAAGGTAATATATCTCATCAGTGATATTTCATTGGACTGGTACTAACTCAGCCTGTAGATCTACACCGTCAGTCAAGACGGAGCCCTTTTCCGCTGGGAGTATGTGACCAAGAAAGACCCAGAGACGGACGAGGATATTGCGGAAGCCCGTTGGAGAATTGTGAAGAAGGACTTCTTCATGCAAAACGATGCCAAGGTTAACTGCGCTGCGTTTCACGCATCCTCCAACCTGCTGGTGGTGGGCTTCTCTAATGGTCTTTTCGGCCTGTATGATCTACCCGAGTTCAACACCATCCATCTTCTCAGGTATGTGGTATTTCTCTTGTGTCTCTTTGCTTTTACTAACAGGGTTTTGCTCCAGTGTCTCCCAAAGTAACATTGATGTTGTGACCATTAACCACTCCGGAGAGTGGCTCGCCATGGGATCATCCAAGCACGGTCAGTTGCTAGTGTGGGAGTGGCAATCCGAGTCGTACATTCTCAAGCAGCAGGGTCATCTCGACTCCATGAACTCCCTTGTTTATTCACCGGACGGACAGAAAATCGTCACTACTGCCGATGATGGTAAGGTCAAGGTTTGGGATGTCAAGTCTGGCTTCTGTATCGTGACCTTCACTGAGCACTCAAGTGGAGTGACCGCATGTGAGTTTGCCAAGAAGGGTAGCGTTCTTTTCACTGCTTCTCTGGACGGTTCGATCCGAGCCTGGGATCTCATTCGATACCGCAACTTCCGGACTTTCACCGCACCCTCCCGTCTGTCGTTCTCTTCGATGGCTGTGGACCCTAGTGGTGAGGTGGTCTGCGCCGGGTCGCCGGACTCTTTCGACATTCATGTGTGGTCTGTGCAGACTGGCCAATTGCTTGATCAGCTGTCCGGCCACGAGGGCCCCGTATCCAGCCTTGCCTTTGCCTCCGATGGTAACCATCTGGTCAGTGGCAGCTGGGATCGCACTGTGCGTATCTGGAGCATCTTCGGTCGTACACAGACTAGTGAGCCTCTCCAGCTCATGTCTGATGTTCTGAGTGTGGCGTTCCGTGCCGATGGTAAGCAGGTCGCAGCCTCTACACTGGATGGCCAGCTGTCATTTTGGAATGTCAACGACGCTGCCCAGGAGGGCGCCGTGGACGGCCGTCGTGACGTGTCCGGAGGCCGGAAGGTATCCGATCGTCGAACCGCCGCGAATGCCGCGGGAACTAAATCATTCAATCGAATCACATACAGTGCCGATGGCAGCTGCATTCTGGCGGCTGGTAACAGCAAGTACATTTGCTTATACGATGTGGGCACGGGATCCCTTCTCAAGAAATACACTGTATCAGTGAACTTGTCCCTGGATGGTACTCAGGAGTTCCTGAACAGCCGCAATCTCACCGAGGCTGGTCCTCGCGCTCTTCTCGATGAGACTGGCGAGGCCTCTGATAAGGAGGATCGTATCGACCGCACCCTTCCCGGCGCGAAACGTGGCGATGCTGGTGCTCGCACCACTCGCCCGGAAGTACGAGTGATGGCGGTCGATTTCTCACCAACCGGTCGTGCATTCTGTGCTGCCTCTACCGAGGGTCTCCTCATCTATAGTCTGGACACGGACTTTGTATTCGATCCCTACGACCTTGACATTACCATCACACCGTCCACTATTCTTGCGACACTTGAAGCCGCAAAGGTGGCGTCTGCGACCAACACTGTCGACGATGACAACACATTCTTGAAGGCTTTGATTATGGCATTCCGCTTGAATGAAAACAAGCTGATGCGCGCTGTGTACGAGTCAATTCCTCCCCAAGATATCCCCCACGTGGTCCGTTCAGTGCCCACGGTCTATCTTCCCCGCCTGCTTCGTTTCGTCGCACTCGCAGCCGATGAGACCCCTCATCTTGAATTTAACTTGATGTGGATTGAGTCTCTCTTCAGTTGCCATGGTCGGTATTTCAAGGAGAACTCGGGCACATTCGCCCCTGAGCTGCGTGCCGTCCAGCGCGCTGTTGATGACATTCGAGAGAACCTCAAGCGGTTGACAGAGAAGAACCTCTACGATCTGAACTACCTTCTGTCCAAGCCTGTTCTGGCTGATAAGAAGCCCGCTGCCACTCTATTGGCACTAACTTCTGGTGAGGCTGATGAGACCGATGAGCAGATGGTCGAAGCCGAGGACGAAGAGGGCGGCGAGTGGATTGGTTGATCTGAGTTCGTGGAAACCCTGTAATGTCAACTTTGCATATGCGCATGGCGTTTGTATATTAGGACGAACCAAAAAAAAGTGTATAGAATCAAAGATCTTTAAAATTCACAATCAAAAATGTGTCGTAATGTAAATGCACGGGGAAGTTTGTGCTGCATTAGAGGTGCCTAAAGGGGTAAGTCAACACTGATAGCGAACAACAGTTCTTTGTGTGTTGGCAAGTATGCATTCTCCATTTTATGGCCCCATTTCTAGACCCCTTAAGTACCACGCAATACTGTCCGATGCCATTCTGTGTTACCCTCCATTTCTTCTTCATCGTACAGCCGAATTCCTTAATCTCCTTGACAATCCCTAGAAATTAGCCATTTCCCACTAAAGTTGTGTGAACATCCAGATGGCAGGCTCCTTCGTGTGGCCCCTCCTCGGGGTCCTTTTTGTGTACTTTTGCTTACAGAAAAGGTCACATCCGGCCCTTCGGCGCATTCCCTACGTAAAGTATAATGCATACATGCCAGATATCTTCAATAGGCTCATCTACTACCCGAAGGCTAAGTCTATGATCTATCGGGGCTATGAGAAGGTTTGACATTCGTGAAGGTAAGGATTGGCACATATGGTTACTGATGCAGATATAGTACAAGGATAGTCCGTTCCGCATGTTAACCGGAGACGGAGAAGTTGTTGTCTTGCCGGTAAAATACGCGGCTGAGCTGAAGCATTTACCTCCTTCCGTCCTCAGCTCCCTAGATGCGCAGTTCGAGGTATGGTACCAGAGCAAGCATCTATGTCGTAATATCTATAGACTTCGATTCTCAACTGACATCATGACAGAATGCGCTCGGACACTATACGAATATAGTGATCAACAGCTACTTGCCATCGCAAACGGTTCGAAAGCGCCTGACCCCCAATCTGGGTATATAACTACAGTTGAATCAATTTCTAACCCGCAAGCACTAATTTCACCTCACAGCCCGAGTCGTCCCCTGGGTCATCGACGAGCTACGATATGCATTTGAGACCGGGCTACCAGACTGCGAAGGTAAAAGAGGGCCCAATGTATACACAGTAGCAACTAAGAATCTCCAACAGAAGACAAGTGGACAGCCTTTCAGCCCCAGGAGCTATTTGTGCACCTCATCTCACGAGCAACCTCGCGCGTCATGGCAGGCGAATCTCTCCGTCGTAACGAAGAATGGCTCAACACAGCAGGCAAATACTCCGTCAACGTCGGCCTATGCGTAATCCTCCTCCGACCATTTCCCAATTTCTTCCGGCCATTCATAGCCCCGTTCCTCCCTCCAGTACGGCAAATGAAGCGACAATTACAATTTACAAAGGACCTCTTCGTCCCAATAATCAACGAGCGCCGCGAAGCCGAAGCAGCCAATGATCCGGGGTATGTCAAGCCAGATGACTTCTTGCAGTGGATGATAGATGGCGCAGAGGATGAGCAGGACCAGAACCCCGAGGCATTGGCGCATCATATGCTGTTGCTCATGAGTTTGGCAGTGGTACATACGAGTACGATGGCGATGTGTCATTTTCTTTATGATCTGATTCATCGTCCAGAGTATTTGGGTCCTTTGCGTGAAGAGATCGCCCAGACCTTGCCTGATGGGTGGGAGAATGCGACAAAGGCGTCGTTTGAGGCTCAGCGGCGCATAGATAGTTTCCTGCGCGAGTCGCAGCGCTTCGGACCCCCTGGTGAATGTGAGTGATCGTGTGCTATACATCCAAATGCCTCAAATGTTGGGGTATTATTGATGCTGATATGCAATAGTGTCCTTCCACCGCATCGTAAAGGAACACCTCACATTATCGGATGGACTCATCATCCCCAAAGGAACACACATCTGTTTCCCCTCCGGCCCAATGAGTAAAGATCCATCTTTCATTGCGAATCCAAGGCCTTTTGATGGCTTCCGTTGGAGTCAGGACGCTAGTGATCGTAACGCCCTCGACGCATCTGATGCCGTTGAAAATGCAATATCACTCAATGGGAAGCAGTATAACGCTACATTGGCTCCATTAACATCCACCAGCTTCGTCAGTATTAGTCCGTCGAATATGCACTTTGGATTTGGGCGTCAGGCATGCCCCGGCCGATTCTTTGCGGTGAACACAATTAAGGCAATTTTGAGCCGTCTCATCATGGAATATGACTTCAAGTTTGATGATTGCCAGGCTGGGCAAAGACCAGTGAATTGGGCGGTGGGGGAGCATGTCCTGCCGAATACGAGTCCAGTTGTGTTGATTAGGAAAAGGTCGATAGGGCTCTGAGTAACGCGGGTTCATCTGCGGTATTCTACTTTGATTTTGATTTATGGTTTGACTTTGTTCATGGTTAGTTATGAGAATCCCGATCTAGTAAATCTATTGTGGAAGTTTGGGTTCTGGTATCAATCCATTTCGTAAATATCATGGACAAACGCAGGCAGCTAGACTATACAGTCCAGGTGGCAGGGTATGCCGTGAAATGAGAAAAGACATCCCTATACATCATACACAATGGCAAAAACCAGAGCCATATCATCCCTCTACGGAAAAGTTTCCGCCAAATTACTGAGGGTTCACAGCGGAGGCACCGCCACGCTGTCCGCCACGTCCACGGCCACGGAATCCATTTCCATTTCCGCGGCCACGACCACGTCCTCGTCCACGCTCAAGTCCCTGGGGAGGCGGGACTGAGGTATAGCTTTGAGGGCGGAAGTTCGGGTTATTCTGGATGATGCCCTCACTGGGGTCACCATTCTCGACCGAAACATAACCGCCACGCTGACCGCCACGTCCACGGCCGCGAGGTCCACGAGGGGCGCCGCCATTGCCATTAGGGCGGAAGGGAAGCTCAGTGGGCTGCCCGTTGGCATAACCGCCGCGGCCTCCACGACCAGCTCCCTGGCCGGAAACAGCTCCTCGGAATGAGCCTCTCAGAGGCGGAGGAGCCGGAGCGTTTTGCAGCTGACCCTGTCCGTTGGGTCCAAGAGGAGCACCGTATCCGGCAAGGGTCAATGGAGTTTGCTCCTGCTGGGTCTGTTGGCTTGCTGCAGCGCGGGAGCTGGCGAGCAATTGACGGTAGGAGACGTTAAGGACAGACGATGCAAGGACAGTCTGGCCACGGAACGGAGAGCAACGGCCACCAAGCGTAGTGCCACTCATGAATGAGACGTCAAAGACCACGTCAAGCAAAACAGTACGAGGGGTTCTGGTAAGACCGACAACAGTGCCGCGAGTGGCGATAGGCACTTTGCCAGAGTCCTGGGCATAGACAACGCGATCTCCAAGCTTGAAAGTCTGGTTGCCCAGACGGTGCTCCACATCGGCCGGGCGCAGCAGAGCGCTACGGGGAACACCACGAACCTTCTTAGGATGCATTGGGGGTTGCTGGGCATTGGAAGCGTCGGCATCTTCTTCGATCAGGTGGACAATATCAGAATCCAGCTGCTCGGCATCTAAAGGCACTCTCTCGAAGTTCTTGGCCTCCATGGACTTCAGCCAGTCACGAATCTCCTTCATTTTCAGAAGAGCGGTTTCCTCAGGATAGAAATCGTAGGGACTGTAGCGATCATTCTGGGGGTTGCGCTGAATGCCAGCAAAGAATTCGGGGAATTTGATCATGTATTGCTGGAGCAGGTCGACGGCCTTTTGGCTGAACTCCCAGCCAGAATCTCCGCGGCGAGAATATCCGAGCACCTTCTGCTTGCGAGCCTCGAACTTGAGATTCAGACCCAAGTTCACACGCTGACCATCGACATCAACAGAGAATGAGGAGGTGATCTTAGCCAGGACCAAGGGGTTAAGGCGAAGACTGCGGGCAACAGCATAAGAAGGCATGTAAGGGCAGTACCGCTCGGCTTGTCTGACACGATCTTTTCCAAACTCGGGCTCTTTGCCCTTGACAGCTGCGATCAGACCGTTCACCTTTCCTTCCTCGTGACCAGTAATATGAACAGGTCGTCCATAATTGAAATCACCCAGGAAAAAGGCACGAGAGTTCTCCGGGAATTCTTCCTCGATGGGTAGAGCCTCTCGCTCAATGAAACGTTCATCAGGGTTGATCACGTCATCCACAACGACTTGAAGAGCGTAATCAGTCTCCTGGCCAGTGATATCCGCAAACTCCTTGATAGTCGCTCCCTCGTCGGTCTTCGTCATGCCCTTCAGTAGCTGAATATGGACCAAGGACTCAACTTCACCAATGACCATGCCGAGTCGCTTGCTGTAAGTTCCTTCAATTTTAGTTGCTTTCTTCTTCCATTGCTCAATCTGCTGAGGAGTGTGCGGGATTGAGACAACGTGCTCTTCGTGCGGCGGAAGAACATAATCAAATAACTCATCCGAAACACGAATCACAAGAGCTTCTTGTAGGAATGGATATCCGACATGAACTCGTTTTCCGAGCTTTGTCTTGGCCAGTTCAATATTGGACCGGCTACCAGGATCAATAAGAGTAATGACCTGACTCTCGTTGCGGCTTTCCTGCTGGAAGACCTGGACTCCATGGAATCCGAGCTGACCAATATGAGGCAGGGTCTTCAAAGTGGGGAATCCCGCAAGAGCCGCTGAACCCAATTGCACACCCTCCATCAACCCATGGAAAGGTTCTAGGCCTTCCATGACCGGGAGATCAAAGACATTCTCAATGCAGCGGCAATTCGGCAGGTCAGGGAACACGCCGGGCATCGAGGATGGATAGATAAAGTTCACATCTGGAGAATATGTGAATTTCAAGCTGGCTCCGAAAGTGTTTCGGGCCTTCTCGTCAGGGGCAAGGAATTGCTCTCGAGTCTTGAGAGCATCCAGAAGCCTGGTTTCGTCAATGAAAGGAATCTTGACCACAGCCTCCCATTCCATTTTCTTGCCGTTCATATCCAGCTCAAAGTCACGAGGGTAGAAGTCAATGATGGGGGAATCAGGCGAAGTCATGAGCTCCCAGTAGGCAGTGGGCACGATCTTCTTACTGCGATCAGGCAGAACACCCATCAGTTGATCGTAGGGTCGGAAGGGTCTTCCAAGTCGGAAATTCATGTCGGCTCCAAGGCCCTTTTTCACGTCTATTTTGCAGTTAGTAAATTGAATGGGACGTATTATGGAGGATGTATTTACCCGAAATCATAGGGGCATAGTGATACTTGAAGAACCAGGGCCACGACGCAATACCGCGGTAGTAGTAGAACAAGACCCACTGCAATCCTTGCACGTAATTCTCAGTCAATTGTTTCATCTCTTCTTCGTTGTCAAGTCCCCAGCCGAACTTGGATCGATAATAGGTATCCTTCCATTCCTGGAACTTTTCCTCGTATATCTTCTCCGCGGCCTGCTGAGCTTCTTCGGAGGTCATTTCCTGAACCTTGGCCTTCTCGTACTTTCGAATTATACGTTGAACAGCCAAGGTTGCTTCCTCATCATCGTCATCAGAGTCATCTTCATTGTTGTTCTCGGATTGCGGCAGCTGAAGTCTCATGTATCGATCACCAGCCTCATTCTCGGTGGTGGACCAGGGCAGACGAAGCGCATCCGCAAGCTGCTCCACGAAGGCGCGGTCGCGTGCTGGCAAAGCGGGAGGGAAATCCAAGGGTTTCGCCTCGGAGCCCTTCCCAGGCCGGTTTAGCACGTACTTTTTGATCTTTTTCAAGATCTCCTTCTGATCCGGAGTGATGGTCAGCTCCTTTGGCTTCTTCTGCAGCTCCATTGAGCCGTCGTCGCCGTTCTTCTTGGACTTAATCCATTGGGCGTCAGAGTACTCGGCCTCAAAGAAGCGATACTCAACATTACTCAACACTTCAAGAAGAATTCCCAGGCGGTCCACATTGATCGTGCCCTCTTCGTTGACGTAGCCACCCATCTTTCGCAAGACATCCTTGTAGATTTTGAACATCAGCGCCAGCGCACCCTCATTGATATGCAGATTGGGCAAGTTGGGTAAGAAATCGTTTCCAACAAAGAATGCCATGAGAATGAAGTCGTCAATTACACGCTCCATATCGAAGGGGAAATTCAAAGCATTCTCCTCCTCCAACTCTTGGAACTCCAGCTCCAAATATTCTCTAACGACGCTGAGATGCAAGAGATAGAAGTTCTGGTGCTCGAGCTCTTTGGGTTTCTTCGACACCTGGCGACCAAAAGTCACCTCTTCTCGCAAAAGACAGAAGTGTGGGTCGTGACTGAGAAGACCCAGCATAATCAAGTCGGCATCCAGACCGTAAAGACAGTGTCGCATATTGGACTGATAGTCGGGCTGTGCCTTCTTGCGACGGATATACTCCATAATCTTGTGCTCCCCTTCACCGGGGACCTCGTGGCCCGAGAGCACAATCTCCACACCCTGCCAGTCTCTATCCTCAGAGATCTTCTTGTTGATGAAATATTTCAGCTGTTGTGTCAACTTGGCCATGAACTCCGTGCCCGGAGTAATACAATTGCTGTCGAAGGCATCTTCCTTAGGCATTTCCATGCCCTGCTCAATCGCCTTCTCCTTGGCCTTCTCAGCATCAAGCGCCGTTCGGAAGCGACGCGCACGTTGCTGGTTCATTTTCGCACGAGGTGCGACACCATCAACAGCCATGAAGAACAGCTGCTTGGGCTTGATCTTGCCAAACAAGTGCTCGATATAGTTGAAGATGGCAATAAACATTTGTTCCTCAGTCATACGGAATGTAGGGGAGTCGCTATCGCTATGCGTGCAGTTGTGGATAATTCCGTTCATATCGAGATATAGACTGTCGAACTCCGGGATCCGGCTCTCTGCGATGAGCATCGAGATAGCGGGGTACCGCTCACTTAGCCAGCGGAAGAATTTCGGAACACCCATTTTGAAGGATGTATCGAATTAAAAGGCCGCGGCAGGTACTGGTACAATGAAAGGGTAGGGGAGATAGAAGGACAAGTGTAAGAGGTCGATCGTCAGACAAATGGGAAGGAAGGTTGCGACCGAAGGAAGGTAGAAGGGCGCAAAGGGAGAGGGCCCGATATGAATGCCACAAGTATCCCCAAGAGATGTGGTGGGGTCGTTGTAAAAGGGAGGGAAAGAGGAAGTGAAAGTGACGGTTGCTGAGGTTGTTCGAGCTTGAAGTTGGCAAGAGTCATTGCCAAGCCCACATTCCCTCTTGGGACTAGTGTCGAGCGGTGCCCATTAACGCGGTCTCCCGACTTGTCGCGTTTCGATCGCCCTTCGCACCTTTCCTTTCTACTGCGCTCTCGGCTCGTTCACTTTTACCACCCTTGTCGCATCTAGCCACGATTGCACACTGTTGGAGTTATGGATCCTTATGAGGACGAGAACCGTGAGTTCGCTGGAGCTTAATGCGAAATCTCAAGCTAACAGTGAACAGCTCCGATGGAGGAGACCGAGAAAGAAAGTGAACACAGCAGCGAAAAGATTATCAATGAAGGTATCTTTCACTTCTTACGCTCCATATCTCACAACCTGCGCAATGGCTCACTCAGACCTATACATAGAGTACAAGACCTGGAAAAAGAATGCGCCGTTCCTCTACGATGTGATGCTGAGCACAGCTCTGGAGTGGCCGACGCTCACTACCCAGTGGCTGCCGGATAAGCAAGAGTCAGTGCAACTAGCTTTCCACTCTCGCTTTATACTGTCCTGCTAATTCTCTCCTTTTCCAGAGTTCCGGACAAGCCTTATTCAACCCACCGTCTTCTTATCGGCACACACACTGCTGGCGATGCCCAGAACTATCTTCAGATTGCACATGTGCAGCTTCCCAATCCCAATGTGCCGAACCCCGAGGACTATGATGAAGACAAGGGAGAGATTGGAGGCTATGGCGGGGGTCCTAAGAAACCCCAGATGGAGATCAAGTTCAACATCGTTCAGAAGATTGATCATAAGGGCGAGGTCAACAAGGCACGATACCAGCCTCAGAACCCTAACATCATTGCGACCATGTGCACAGATGGTCGGGTAATGATTTGGGATCGGTCAAAGCACCCCAGCCAGCCTACTGGGACAGTGAACCCTCAGATGGAGCTCCTGGGCCACGACGCCGAAGGCTTCGGTCTGAGCTGGAATCCTCACGAGGCCGGTCACCTCGCCACTGGTAGTGAGGACAAGACCGTCCGTCTCTGGTAAGTACATGCGCATTATCATCAAAGGGTGGGGTACTAATATATACCGAAGGGACCTTACCACCTATACCAAGGGCAATAAAGCCGTTCGTCCCACTCGCACCTATACCCACCACTCTTCCATCGTCAACGATGTCCAGTACCACCCTCTTCACTCATCTCTCATTGGCACTGTCTCCGATGACATCACTCTTCAGATTCTGGATGTCCGCGCTGCAGACACGACTCAGGCTGCTGCCTCGGCCACAGGACAGCACCGTGATGCGATCAACTCGATTTCATTCAATCCAGCGGCAGAGACCATTCTGGCCACTGGATCTGCAGACAAGACAATTGGCTTGTGGGATCTACGAAACTTGAAGACGAAACTTCACTCGCTGGAGGGCCACGCCGATTCCGTGCAGTCTGTCTCGTGGCACCCATTCGAGGAATCTGTGTTGGCTAGCTCCAGCTACGACCGCAAGATTATGTTCTGGGATCTCAGCCGGGCGGGTGAGGAGCAGACGCCCGAGGATGCGCAAGACGGGCCGCCAGAGCTGTATGTACCCCTCAATATTGATCACACCACTCTTTACAACCGACTGACCATGTCCTAGTCTCTTCATGCACGGCGGACACACAAATCGCATCTCCGACTTCAGCTGGAATCTTAGCGACCCCTGGGTTCTTTGCTCGGCTGCCGAAGACAACCTGCTGCAGGTATGGAAGGTGGCAGATGCGATTGTGGGCAAGGATTTGGAGGATGTCCCGACCGAGGAGCTGGAGGCGTAATCCATTGAGCTTCTCTCGGGCCATTTCGTCTGGCATTTTCCTTTCCTGGTGTGGTTGCAGGCGAACCATAGGTTTGATCATAATGAGTACCAATCAAACTACCACCATATAGCTATCGATTCAAAAGTTCTATGGACTCTGTCGTGATTCTGTTCGAATACTAGTCTGTTGTAGTTCATATTATTGCCCCAGTGCTCTACCGGTGTTATTTGTTTCCTTGGGTACGTCCGGGGCCCTTGGGCCCGTGCATGACGGGGTGTAGAATAACTCCGACACGAATTTTAAACACCTAGATGAGTTATAGTAGCTCCGGTCAAACATTGATATTAGTACCGGCTCGCCACTGGAATGTTTCCATCAGGCTCTACACAATGTAAACATCCTGACAGGGTTACATTTTCGCACAGAAGACAAGCTAGCTTAACGGGATTTGTGCTAGTTAAGTTCCAAATATATTTTAGCAAATTTAATATTTTTCTTTTTCCAACGATCAAGGGAATTAATCCATTGTTCGACAAAGACTCTCATTTGATTAGGATCATTACGTTCATGTCATCTGTAGAGCCCATTACTGGTAAAATTTCATTCTCAGCCACCATAATCTAGCATAGCTGTCGCACTCTCCGGCTCTCCGAAACCGCTAAGCGCGAAGGCGTGCCCGCGGGCAGACTGTTATCACCGGCTATCATTGGTGGAGAGAGAAGGCGGTGTCGGGAAAGATGAGGGGGATCGTCCTAAATTAGGCTTAGCGCCCCGTGATTTCGGATTGCATTTGCGCCAAAAAAAAGTAGTCATCATGGCGATGCTGATCTGACCTGATCTTCTTTTAAATTCTTGTCGGTACTACCGGTGCAATATTCTACAATCTTGAAAGTCCCTACCTATACATTTCTTTCACAATGGGTTCTGGTTCTCCTCCACCCCCGAAGCCATCGGCAATCCCGTCCCACATGATCAATGGCAATTCTCCCCTCCAGTCCTTCACAGCTGCAGGCTCGGGCTCTGGTACTAAGGCTCGCGATGCCCGTGAGCGAGAGAGTCTCAACACCTCAATTCAGTCTTCTTTTGCTCCCCGTGTCCCCTTTGAGTTCGATAACCTGGAGGCGGAACCTTCCCACGCGGGGGATTCGACTGCTACGGAATCCGCAGCAGTAGCAGCTAGCACCCCCAGCACTTTGACCCTCCGGTATGATAATTGTTTTTGCCCAGATGAGCATGCATTTGACCGAATAAATCTGACAATTCCGTAGTGGCCGACCGACTCTGAATGACCCACCCCGCGACCCCAGGGACGAAGGCGGTCCATTGACCCCGCCGGCGACTGTCAGCCGCCCCGCCAGTCCCTATACTATGAATCCACCAATCGACTTTGACGGTCTTAGCTGGCCTTGTTAGTCCTACGATCGGGTCATTTTGAGTACTCATTTTCTAATCATGCCACTTAGGCCCCGGAACACGCGAGCGATTGGAGTCGACACCGGAGGAGAACGCAGAGCGGATTCAGAAGCTTGCTGGAGCAGTGCGGACAATTCTAGAGTGTGTTGGTGAGGACCCCGAACGTGAGGGTCTTCGTGGCACCCCCGAGCGTTATGCCAAAGCTATGCTCTTCTTCACCAAGGGCTACGAGGAGAACGTTCGGGATCTGGTCAATGGCGCAGTTTTCCACGAGGATCATGACGAGCTGGTCATTGTGAAGGATATTGATGTGTTCTCTTTGTGTGAACACCACATGGTGCCCTTTACTGGAAAGGTATGTCTCGCATACGTCCCTGTCGGATCTTTCTAACCAAGTGGGGCAGATGCATATCGGCTATATCCCGGATCGCCGCGTGCTTGGTCTTTCCAAATTAGCCCGCCTGGCTGAGATGTTCTCCCGTCGTCTCCAAGTCCAGGAGCGACTGACTAAGCAGGTTGCTCTGGCCATCTCAGAGGTCCTCAAACCTCGCGGTGTCGCAGTTGTTATGGAATCTGCCCACCTGTGCATGGTCATGCGTGGTGTACAAAAGGTCGGCAGCACCACGACGACCAGTTGCATGTTGGGATGCATGCGTTCAAGTGCCAAGACCAGGGAAGAGTTCCTGACTCTTCTGCATCGCAAATAATCTCCCATATGCTTTTCTTTGCCTATTATCCTGACTTAGCTCTGAGTCGGATATCCACTTTTATGAATTTGGAGTTTTCGGCGGTGACCTTTCAACAGGTGTACTTAATGCTGGCTTTTGCCTCATTTCTCTAGCGATGGTTCTGGTTATTTCTTTCCATTTTTCAACATTTTCTGCACTATTGGCAATATCTTGGATAAATTTGTCTCTGATGCCCAAACTTTGCAACTTTTTTCGACTTGACGTCTTCCCGGGTCTGCGACGAAGATCATTACACTCACGGATGACTCCTTCCCTCCTTACATGATGCCTAGACTAACACTACCCACCGGGGCTTTTTTTGTTTGTTGGAGTTGTGATTTTGGATACTCAAAACCTCTGGCGGCGCCGGCGAGGCTGTTTCAACACTTGACTTTTCACACTGTACTCTCAACAACCTGATGCCAGGCTCTACCCTGTCTTCTGTATATGTTTCATATCCGTATGTCGGAATTTTGTGCATATTATTGATCCATTCTGATTATTGACCTTAACATGAATAATCCAAAAATACTCCCATGGACTAGTTACCAGAAAGACACATTTGTCGGTATTGTGGAGGAAATGTTGAAACAATAAGGCATTTATGGATCTGCCTGTTGTGCGCTGAATGGTATTGAGAGCCGAAGAAAACGGGTTGGTGCCTAATTTCCGAGTATTGTTTTGGTTTGTAGCCAAAATGCAGTAGGAGCCCGCTTCGTGAATACGCTGCACCTGTTGTTTACCTTTCCCTCTCTGCACATCTCAACTTCAATCTTCCCACTGCTCGTTCCTCTTCTGTTTTGACATTCTCATGGTGATTTAGCTCTCCAGACTGGAGTGCCTCGATCTCGAGTGTATGAACCAGGGTCAATTTTACAATCATGTCGTCCCGACGCCCCAGTCAAGCCCATAAAGAATTTCTGCATGATAGCACTGACTCCCAGGGAGCCATTTCCCAGCAAGGCGGTCCGGGATTTTCTTTACCTATTTCCGGGATTCAAGGAGCAACCCCAATCTTTCCAAGTGATGGAGATTCCCACCTGACCTTGCGTCCTACCAAGAGGGCCGCAACGGCTCCGGCCAGTCCCCGACGCTCTCCTAAGCGCACCTCCCCCGAGAAAAGCCCATCTGCTCAATCAGCTCCAGCTCAATTGGCTTCAGCCTTCCATCTAAATGAATTCGATTTCGCGATTACCGATGCGACCACTCTCAAAACTACCAAGTCCACCACTGATGCTACCGCCATCGCTAACTTTCTGACTGCAATGGAAAAGCGCCTGGCAATTCCGCCTGGACAAAGACGCACCCCTCACCAGAGCCTCCAGTCCTTCTTGATTCAGCAGCAGCTTGTCGCCGGTATTCCTGTTGACAAACTCGAGCCCATGAGTGGTCCTGGATCCCGTCAATCCCAGGGAATCCCGAGGCTCTTCAACACGCCCACTGCGTTGACATACTTCAACGATGCTACCTACATCCCAGCTATTCCACCTGCACAGTTCAACGGACCTGTTACTCCTCTTCCAATAAATCCATCGTTGCCGAACCCACCATGGATGGACCAGGCAAAGGATGATAGCAACCAAAGTGATGACTGCCCCGCGACTTTTACCCAGGACTCGGTTACTTCGACTGGGTCTCCGATGGTGAACAACCCCCAAACCCCGGAACATACCACGGAATTATCTGCTTACTTTTGTTCAGACGCAGAGCAGGTAGAGATCTCCCATTTTTACACAACTCATTTTGTGACTGGTTCTGGAATCTTGGGACAGCCTCCTGCTGCGTCTGTCCTTGAGACTACCACTGCGACACTGGTTTACGAATCCGAAGATGGGAGCATATTATCATTGGGCAAGTCAATAGGTAAAACCGAGAAGGAAGCCCGTTGACTTCACAAAATCTGCCAAACTCGGTTTGAGTGTTGGTGGTTCCAAGTTATGATACAGATGTGCTGTTGACCCCTTTGGTCTGAAGGACGAAGTGGCATGGGCGATCGAACAATAGAAAATTAAAAAAAAGGGAATGCAAATAGAGAGACTTATCGCCTTCAACAAGGTATCATAATACTGATCTATGAATGTGCCGTGCCCTGACCCTTCCCGAAAGAGGAATTATAGATCACATGACATCAACACGTGTCCCGGCTAGGCTCGACTCCCGCAGCGCAACCTCAGCCTGACGTGACATCAACACCACCTTCCATGTCCTAGTCACCAGGGCTCCGGTGGCGTATATCTAATGAATGTTCCCGAAGGAGGAGACCCATCACTTACATATTATGTTCTCTATGTTCTGGTGACTTTTGCGAGCGTGCAAGCCACAGCCTGTCCCGCCCGATCTCAAGCTGACCTTCCGCTCCGTGTGGGCGCACCCCCTTTTGCGTCACACGACTCGATGAGAGCCCCATGAAGCGTTCATTTTAAGCTGCCGGACATACTTGGTAGGCCTTGGGTCTCTTGTTTTGAAATTCTGAACTTCGGGGATGGGGCAACCACTGGACCAGCTAGAGGGTCGTCTTCCATCGCCCTGTCCCACCTTTGTTCTGGGCTCCGTTATTGCTGAGCTTACCCTGGCGCATGGAACTCTAGGATTGGCTCACCTAGTCTCTGGGTCCATCTTGGGCCATCTCCTGTTCACAACACCTGCAGACTTCCTGGGCAGGGATCGACTTGATGCATATAACTGAATTTTTGGGGCGTTGAGATGACGGAATGGTTGGGTCGGATGTTCAAAGGGGCAATCTCTCATGGAGATTCTGCGATATCGCGATGCCTGCATTCCTCTGGATAAACCCCTGTGTTTATCTGCTGTAAACTACGGCCGGCGCCGCAATGCGGTGTTTCCGTTCCACGACGACAACGAGGAGTTCTAACCATCTGCCAGACAATCTTCAGACCCTCTGTCACTTCGGTCTGACGAGAAAACATACATTGCAGTGAGAACGTCAACAGACATGTACGTTTCAGTGCTCTGCTATGGCATTGCCAACGTCGTGATTGAGGGGTAAGACTTGTTCAGAGCTTGACACAGCTCACACCTGGCTATTCCGGCACCTATGTGCTTTACAGGCGATACCATTCTTGCTTTATGCAGTACGTAGATAGATCGATCCATGAAGCCATGTGATCTTGCCTCAGGCCGATGAGCGAGGCAACCAAGGCCTTTGAGGACCCCGGCACCTCCGCGAAATTAACTACAGCAATCTCTTCACTTGTGACAATTCACGAAGTACGAAAAGAGTGACGACCAGACCAAACCAAATCAGGCCAAAAACCTGGTGCATCGGCTCCGAATCCACTTGTAGAGCCGCACGGCAGCCACGCATTCGCGCCTGACCACCAGCGCCCTGGATTTCATCAAACCCAGATTTCCAGTGTCTTTCAGTAGCCCATTTCACTGATTCATAGAGAACCGGTGCGTATAAACCTAACGCGAAGGATCCCCTTGCTCACACAACAGGCCGAATAGCACGGAAAAACCATTGATCCGCAGTCAACCCCCAAACCCGAGGGCCTTGCTGAGAACGCGGACACGAGAAGCGGCTCCACTCATTTGTGCTTTCCTCGATTGACTGGAGCGCCTCTCTATCACCTCCTCTCTTTCTAACCATTTTCTAGCTGCAGCCAGATGCCGCTGGCGACGCTTTCATGGCTGGGTCCCGAAGGAGTCCGCCGCTGAGAGACCAGTGGAACGCCGACCCAGATCGCGATCCCCGTGAGAGGGACAGGCGCAGAGGTCGAGGGTCGAATCGAGATCGAGGTCGGGCCCGTCATCGCGAAAGAGGCCGTCATCCAAGACCTAGCGATCGCCATTTTGATTATCCTGCACGGTCGCCACCTGCGCGCGCTTCCCGCTTTGGCTCTGATCTATCTCACGCCCCCGGCGATTCTGCTCTGGATCGACCCCCTCCGCGCGGCTCCCCTGGTCCTCCGTCAGGATCAAACAATAATCGACGATTAGACCATCCTCGACCTTCATCATCAGGCGGCTGGAACGATAATCCGTCGGTCTTGTTGGATAGAGACGGTCCGGCATCTCGGCTTGACGAGTCGCCTTTTGCACCCCCGTCAAAGAGAAAGAGAACCCGCAGTCCATCACCTCACGGCCCACGTGGCTCATATCCTCCTGGGCGCCCATCCTTTGGCAAACAAGGCGAAAGACGCGACCGAAGCCCTTCGTTTAAGAACCGAGGCCGCTTTTCAGGGCGTGGTGCTCCTGGCCGTGGTGCTTCCAGGCGGAGATCACCTCGTGGACGTGGACGAGATCGTCGTGGGAACGATCGCCGCCGTTCTGATATTCAAAGGCCGGGCAGGTCCAAGTCACCCGGACGGGATAAAGGATCCCATCCATCACCAGATAGACGTTCTCGCTCGTTGAGCGGTGACTATAGTGACCGAAATTCTCGCTATCGATCTCGATCTGCATCGCGACACTCAGCTCGCTCCGCGCACTCAAGGATGTCAACTTATTCTTCGAATTCACGAGGTCAGGATGGGATGAACTCGACTCAACCCATCCAATCCATCATGCACAGCACGGCTCGCTCTCCATCGCCGCCTCGCCCCATCCCAAGCTACGACTCTAGCAATATGAGTGGTCCTAGTGATGGGCCCGCCCGTTTACAAGACGCTTTCCCGATGCACGGAACACGGCCTTCAGATGTGCACAACAAGCAGCGCCGCCAACCATCCCGGCCACATCTTGACCAAAGACCATATCCGACGTCTCCGAATTTCGCAACGCCGACAAGCTCGCACCATGGGTCACCACCGCCAACCTCTCCTTATAATGGTGGTCGAGGAGGTCGATCTGGACAACCGCAGTTTGCTGGTTCTGGGTAAGTGTTATGTTTCTTTCCTTTCTTTCATCTAACTTTGTAAATGCTGATCTCGTTCCCTTTTATAGACCGTCTCCACCTTACCGACAGGATAACTACAACTCAAAAAATGTTCCTTCGGGGCCGCAATACCAGAACAACCACGGACATTTCGATGGGCCATTAAACCACCAGTCCCAAGGCCCGTACAATGGACCTCCCTATCGAGGGGGCAATTCTGGGTTCCGAGGCAATCATACAAGCCAAGGCCCAGGTCGCCGGTTTTCTGCATCCGGACCTCCTCCCTATAACAATGGGCTTTCACACCGCGGAGGCAGGGGCAATTTCAACAATTCACAATGGACTGCATCTGGATCTCGTGGCCGTGGCGGACCGCAGAGCCCTCCTCCACACAGCCGTGATTCGCAGACACCTTCGACTCGTGCTCCTTCTGCAAATGACCCGCTTTCTCCTCGGGCACCCGACCCTGGGGCTCAATTTGCAGTCACAAATAGGGATCATCAAAGAGAAGACATCAGGTCTCTGCCGCAGGCTGAAGATGATGGTCCTCATGATATGGCTCCGCCTCCCCGTGATTCGAATATAACTACTCCTGGGGAGAAGGGCGGGAAGTTCAGTTTTGCTTTGAAGCCGAAGACTACACCAACCCTTACTCCGAAGCCCGTTCCCGAACTAGCACAGCGAATGGTTCGTGAACCACCCGCTCGGGCACCCGAACCGAAAAGCCCTCGTAACCGTTTAACAAACGGCCCGCTACCTAAGTTCAATCCCGATGCTCGGTTTGACCGACGAGAGCGGGACCGTGGACGAGACAGGAAGGGAGATCGTGACCGTCGAGACTTTCGAAATCAACAAGACTTTCGAGACTCGCGGGATACACGAGACATGCGAGATGATCGTCGCTTCGACCAGCGTCGTGATAAACGGAAGAATGACAAGAATGTCAGGCGTCCTGATTTTCGACAACAAGAACGTCGCAGGGATCCCTCGCCAGAGCCGCCAAAAGAGCCGCCGAAGCAGACCAAGATTGTCGTTCGGCCCAAGCCACGCCCAATGATGGCCAAGGAGTTTGCTGATGCCGACTCAGTTTACTACCGGAAGCCGGGCAATGAGTCTGTTATCGGAGCTGGCACCTACGGCAAAGTCTTCAAGGGAATTCATGTCTTTACTCAGCGCAAGGTTGCCCTGAAGAAGATTCGAATGGAAGGCGAAAAGGATGGATTCCCGGTCACAGCAGTGCGGGAAATCAAGCTGCTGCAAAACCTTCGGAGCCACAACGTGGTTAGCTTGTTGGAGGTCATGGTTGAACGGAACGAGTGCTTCATGGTCTTCGAATATCTTTCCCACGACTTGACTGGACTAATCAATCACCCTACATTCTCCCTCACCCTCGCACACAAGAAGGATTTGGCCAAGCAGATGTTTGAAGGGTTGAATTACCTCCACCACCGTGGCGTCCTCCACAGAGACATCAAGGCCGCCAACATCTTGATCAGCAACCAGGGACTCTTGAAATACGCCGACTTCGGCCTGGCTCGCTTCTTCTCCAAGAGCCGCCAGCTCGATTACACCAACCGTGTTATCACGATCTGGTATCGGCCACCGGAGCTTCTGCTAGGTGAGACTCGCTACGGCCCAGCGGTCGACGTGTGGAGTGCTGCATGTGTGTGTATGGAAATGTTCACCAAGAAGGCTGTCTTCCCTGGCGAGGGCGGCGAGTTGAGTCAACTGGACAAGCTTTATAACTGTTTGGGCACACCGACTCGTGCCGACTGGCCGGATCTCGTGGAGATGCCGTGGTTCCAGTTGATGCGGCCAGCAGAGCGCAAGAAGCGTGTCTTTGAGGATGTCTACAAAGATGTTCTGTCCCCGGCGGCTATGGACATGATTGCTCAAGTCTTCCAATACGACCCCGCGAAGCGACCAACCGCTGAGGCGGTCCTCCAGCACCCTTACTTTCTGTCTGAGGAACCTGTCTCTCAACAGGCCATCGAGTAAGCTTACCCACCCTGACACATACTTTAATCTTGCTAACCTTTTCCCTAGACTGGAGCATATCGAAGGAGACTGGCACGAGTTCGAGTCCAAGGCACTTCGCAAGGAGGCCCGGCGTGCCGAGTGGCAGAGCCAAAAGGACCGTGAGAAGCGTAAGGCAGAGTCATCCGTGCCGACCAGTGACCGCGATTCCAAGCGCGCGAGACAGGAAGATTCGGACCAGGTATCGGGCCCGTGATAGGGGAGTTTCATTGTGCTTTTTCTGTATGGCATTGGGGCATGGCTGATGGAATGGCTTGCATCTACGATCACGGCAGTTTCTATTATTCGGGGAATCTTCAGGGGCTCATTTTCTGTCACATATCGCCCAGCGTAAAAAATTATTTTCTGTAATGTCATCGATGCAGATGTTTTCGAAGGGTATCTTGTATCTCGTATCTCGTATCTTGTAGGGGCAGAGGGGTCCTCAAGCAGGGCCTGCCTGAGATCAAAACAAAGAAACGCGCCAAAGGAAAACACAACAAGCTAGATCGGCACTGTAGATAATCCTTGTTAGCTCGCACTACAGGTACACGAGATCATACGCAGCATGTAAACAGGGACAGCATCAGACTTTGCCAATAGACCTCACGCCCTACCAGCCAGAATGTAGACGGCGGTTGGGACCTCGGATTACCAGAGAGCTCACGGAGTTTCTTCATTTATGATGTGTAGATTGGATTGCATGCTATGGACGTACCCAGTAAGGAAGCTATGAAGCATCGTTGGGGGAAAGAAAAAGAGTGTCTCGTCAATCAGGTCATCAACGGGTCATGGTAGCTCGAAGGCCCTCGTGTTAATGGTTTTAGATGCGAGTTAATTTGCTCTCGACACACACATCGGAGATGACGGGGCAGTGGTAAAATGCAAACCCCAGCATTGATTTGAGTTGGTGGTCTTGCTGTTAAAGAAAAGAAAAAGAAAAACGGGACCAGAAAAGGTGAAGAAAAGGGAAGTTCGGATAAAAAGACGGAGCGGGCGGCAGGCGAGATGACATCTGATTGGTGTGGATGGAGCTTCGAGTCTCCGATTCATCGTCTTCACCACTTTCAACCTTGACGAATACCCCTCCCCATATTACTCTCTACCTTTCCTTCTTTCGACTCTCTACAGCGCTTTCCCTTCTACGAACTCTTCCAATACCTTTCCCCCTGCTGCGACACACGACCTCCATATACCCCTCCCGCCACCGACTCGCGTTTAATCCCGCCTTCATCCACCCGCCTCGTTTTTTCTCTCGCTATCCCGACCCTCTGCGCGCTCTCTACGTCATCGATAACCCTGTATGAGTATTTGTTTTGTGTGCCCTGTCGTTTTTTCGAGCTTCCTGTTCTCCCGGATGACCGCTCGTGTCCCGGGCACCCTCACCCGCCGCGATGGATAATGCAAACCTGTGGACTCGTCGAGCAAAGTAGGACTTCGCTGGTATACTTCTCGAAGCCCGAACATCTGCTTATGGCTTTCTCTCTCTAGCTCTTCCAAATTGTCTTTGTCAATGTCTGGAACAGACGGCAAAGATGGTGCCCGCGTTGAGATGCCCCGCTCATCGAAACGATTCGGCCCCGATAGCTCCCACGGGCGCTCCAATCCATTTAACGCTATATCCCCGATGTCCACTGGTGTCCCTTCACCGTCCACCAATGCCTCCTCCGCCTTCGGCTTGGGGTCAGGTGCTTTCGCCTCATTCGGCGCTCCCAAGACCCCCGGTGGTTCAGACCTGAAAACTCCGGGTGAGAAGCGCGAGTTCTCAGCGGAGCAGGAAGAGGCTATCAGGGCTAAGGTTCTGGCTCATTCCCATGTTTCCGGGCCCGGTGAGAACCCGCTCAAGTCTACCTGGATTGTCTGGTACCGTCCTCCCACGCCCAAGTACTCCGACTATGAGAAATCGACGGTCCCATTGGCGTCGATATCATCGGTTGAGAGCTTCTGGGCTATTTATTCTCATCTTAAGCGTCCTTCGCTGCTCCCGACGGTTTCGGATTACCATATCTTCAAGAAGGGTATTCGGCCCGTGTGGGAGGATGAGGCAAACAAAAGAGGCGGCAAGTGGATTGTTCGGTTGAAGAAGGGCGTGGCTGATCGCTACTGGGAGGACCTGCTGCTGGCTATGGTGGGTGACCAGTTTGCGGAGGCTGGGGATGAGGTCTGCGGCGCCGTGCTGAGCGTACGGGGTGGAGAGGACGTCTTAAGTGTGTGGACACGCATTGATGGTGGGCGGAACATCAAGATCAGGTATGACCGCATTCTTGGTATATGTTCGGTTACCTATGGAAGCTGACTGTCCCTACAGAGAAACGATCAAGCGTCTGCTTGCCTTCCCATTGGACACCAATATCATCTGGAAGAGTCACGACGACAGCATCGCCCAGCGTTCTGCTATTGACCAGGCCCGCCAGGAGAAAGGCACCAACCCCAGCACTCACCTAGGCACAGAACGGCGGCGCCCGACTCACGAAGACCCGGACAAGGTCAAGGGAGCCACTGCGTGAGCATCCCTTTCTTGTGGCCTTGAGCCCTGTATAGTAAACCCCAACGAAACGGAAAAAAAGATATCATGCACAACTTACTCATTGGGACGCATTTGGTTCTGGGGGACGGTGGGGCATCGTGGCGAACTCAGCGGTTTCTTTTGATTTATGTCTTGATTGAACTCATTATGTCTGTGTCGTCTTATTCATGCGTGATGCTTCGATTTTTATTTTTTTTTATTTTTTTTTGTCCACGTCCCATTTATGGAAAAGTGCGGTGCAGGTGCATCTGCTTGCAGGCGTGGGAATGTTGGTCTTGTAAGGATTGTTAGTCTAGCTGGTAGCTGATTATTTTCTGGGTGGCTCCTAATAAACCATCTATGACCGATACCTCTACTACTTGTCCCCTCCATGCATTACCATTCCAGCCTGTGCCACCTATATTGGGTACTGTTGAGGTGCCATTCTTCAGGTGTCTCTATATGCCTGCCTGATGCCTGACAAAACAGGCATGAATCTGACCGCCTACGATAGACGGTACAACGACGCATCCTAAGCGGCGAGAAAGCGGAAAAAAAGAAAAGAGAAGGAGAAAACGCAGGATGGGACCAATGCTGCGCATGGTCCTCCCTTAAACGAGGCGCGCTCTGGATGTCGTTCTTTGCGAACCTATCCGAGATCATCGCCAGCTTGTCTCCGCGTCGCCCGCGTCGACAGCCCGAAGATCGTCAACGGTCTGACGCCGATTCACTCCACCATTTACACTCTCCCCGCCGCGCCTCTCGGTCTCCGAGCTCCAGAGCCTCGCGCCGTGTCAGAGCACGCACAAACGAATTTTCCCTGGGCTCTGGCCTCGACGATACGCTATCTGAGCCCCATCTCTCACCAAGAAACGCCGCTCGTTCGCAGGTGCGTGATTCCCAAGATACATGCCGAGCTCTGTGGTAGAGCTCGCTTTTTTTTTTCTACTATGAAGGGATGCAAGCTTCCAGCCTCAACGTTGGAGTCTTCTTTCAGCTCGGATGCAGCTCGTTCTTCTTTCATCATCACTCACATATTTTCGACATTGGAACTAACCACTCTCAGACTACTCAGAGTTATGCCAACGACTTCCACTCCTTCCCTGAACCTACAAATACCCCCCGACAATTGCGATCCCCACCTTCGCAGTTCGTCATAGATCTCACAGCCCGGTGAATATGCCCGACAACCGCGCGCCCGCCGGCAGGCAGTTACTGATATCGCGCGCCCTATTCAGTGGAGGCGAGTCCTCGCAGATGTTGAACAAGGATCAGAGGCGAAATGACGTTCGTGCTCAGGCCCGTCAAGAAGAAGCGAGATTATTAGGAGCGAGAGATTACAAGTACGTTGTGGGAAATGGGGATGGAGGGGCTATTGAAGTTTTGCTGACGACTGGCTTTGTGAACTGCAGAGACAAAAATGCCGTGCCAATAACGCCTGGTGCGAGTCTGCAAAAGAACAGGAGGGTTCCCGGGGTATGTTGTTCATTCTTCGTGCTGGTTGTCTTTGCTTCTCATCTGACTCTTAGACTTGTCAGTCCACGGCTGCGTTTAGGCCGACGGATAGGATTTCCCATCGTGCGCGAGATAGTGGGCCTGTTCGTGCTTCTGGAAAGCAAAAGGGGCCGAAATCTTCTTCGAAAAAAATCCTCCGCGATTGGATGATGCTCCCGAATTTGAAGAGTCGAACCGGCCGAGCAAGCGTCGACGACAAGACGATCACTCTAAAGTGCTTGAGTGGGCAGATGGAGCCAATGTGCCCATGCCTCGGGCTTCATCATCTTCGAGCCAGAACTCGGCAAAACCTACAAATAATGGCTTTGCCAAACAGCACGACGAGTTCCGTGGCGTGGAAGACAGCATCAAGATCAATCGGAGCCCACAAATTCTTCGACGAAGTCAACACACTCGTTTTGCTTCTGATGAAGGAGCGCAGGCTGACAAAAGACCGGAATTGCCCAAGCAATCTCTTTTCGAGATCATTGAAAACCATGATTCTGCTGCAAAGGACCCAAGTCACCAAATTGCTACCCATGCCATCTCTAATACCAGGGAAAGTCCAGATGAGTTGCAAGGGGAGGCCACCACTCGAGGAATACCGAGCTTCCTCGATGACAAACAAAACCAATCCCTCCGCAAGCTCAATACAGACAAACCCATGTCTCCAGTCCGGAAGCGATCGCCGTCCGATATACGAACTACCTATTTCGCGAGCTCGCCCTCTCAAGGGCCTAAAAAGATCAAGCGGACCCACAACACCTCAATTCCATGTATCAATCTCAGTGTGAACTATCTTCGATATGGCTCTACCGTCAAAATTGTCGAAGTACATAAACCACGCTTTGTCAAGATGATGCCGGAAAAGATTGAACTTGGGGAAGATATTGCTGAGCCAGGAAAGAAGGTCGAAATCCTGATGCGAAATGTCCGATTGGCTTATCGAGGAATGGACAAAAGTCTTAAAATGAGGCTCAAGCTCTCTCAAAAGTCCGAGTCTCCAGGTGACAGTTTCGTCGATATTGATTTCTCCATGCCAATCGACAAGCTACAGTTTGTGGAGCGGCTAGAGGATTCCCAGATCAAGATCCAAGACAAGCCAGGGTACGTGATTCAGATAAATCCTTTACTTCAAGTCAGCTGACTTTTCAATAGGTTGTACATGGACAAGGCTTTTGAAAACTACGCAAAGGAGATGGACGAGCATGGCAAGCACCCCAAGCAACCTTTCCTGGACTCCTCTGTGTCTGAAGCGGCACCCATGGCACCGGCTGCGTCGAAGATGCGTCAGAAGATCTCTTCCGCTTTACAAAAAACCAAAGATGAAACCAACGAGAGCAAACGAGTCAAAACGAAAGCAAGCGCTCGAACCCTTTCTAGCCAGGCGGATGGCTCTGGCGACTTGGGAGAGGGGACTAGCAATCTACCGAATGATTCTGATTCTGGAGTCCAGATTCCTGTCAAGCCGTTCCGGCCACGGGAGTATGATGAGCGTGAGACCCGAGCCACTCGGCGAACGACACGCATCCCTGGGGGTGTAAACGGCCCGGACATATCCACAGACACCAAAATTCCTCTCTATATATATCTCAAAGATGACGCCGCTCGGAAGAAATGGAAGAAGCCACTGGTATACCCTTGGACTGGGAAGAAAAAAGCTGAGGTCTGCGTTGAAGACCGGGACCGATTGCGTGAAGACGAGTTCCTCAACGATAACCTCATCGGTTTCTACATGCGCTTTTTGCAGGATCACCTTGAACGCACCAACCAGAAAGCTGCCGAGAAGGTATACTTTTTCAACTCTTACTTCTTTGACACGCTCACAAATACCCCGAAGGGTGAGCACGGTATCAACTACAGTGGGGTTGAAAAGTGGACACGCAGCGTTGACCTCTTCAGCTACGACTACATCGTTGTTCCCATCAACCAAGCTGCGCACTGGTACGTTGCCATCATTTGCAATTTGCCTAGCTTGGAGGTTGGAACTGCAGATCCCGTGCCGCCATCCTCGGCGTCTGTGAGCGAGAAAGAAACCTCGAACCAACCAGAGAGTGATGTACATGAGATCCTTGAGTCGCCGGAACCTGAACCCGTGCCGGTCCCCACTACCCCGGAAGAGAAGACACGGAATTCTGAATCTCCGAGATCAGAGGATGTACGACAACCTTTTGCTTCCATGACTATCCAAGAGCAGGAGAAAGCGCAAAAGGAGGCAGAGAAATTGGAAGTTCCAACCGAAACCGACGAATGGCCCGAAGGGGAAGAAAACCAAACATCGCCTCCTGCCAAGTTGTCTCCTTTCAAGGAAACCTCTACTGGGCCCCAAACTACACTTCACACTGCTTCTCATGCGGCCCGCAAAACCAAAAAAGGAAAAGCCGGCCCAAAGCTGAGCCCGAGCCAGACAACAATTGTCACATTCGACTCTCTCGACCTCGGCCGATCGCCCACGATCAAGATGCTGCGGGACTATATCTGCAAAGAAGCTAGTTCTAAACGTGGCGTTCAAATCGAACCGACAGACATCAAAGGCATGCGCGCTCGCCAGATCCCATTGCAGCCCAATTTCTCCGACTGTGGTCTCTACCTGTTGGCATATATTGAGAAGTTCGTTCAAGACCCCGACTCATTCATCACGAAGCTCCTCAAGCGTGAAATGGACCAAGTCGATGATTGGCCTCCTTTGGGATCAGGTCTACTTCGACATCGGCTGCGCACGTTCCTTGATGATTTGTACGATGAGCAGGCTCGGATTAAGAACCTGTCGAGTGGTCGGGCGATCATGGCAGATCAGCAACCGGTTTCATACTTGCTTGGACCTCCTCTGCCGAGTCAAGCTGATCCGGACGAGAAGGGCAACGCGGAGCCTCCTCAGCTCACAGATCCTGCAGAGGACAAAGGTTTGGACAAGAAGCCTGCCGTGGAAAATACTGTTCGAGAAAGGGATGAACCGACCGGTAGCTCCGCTGCAGATCAGCCCGACTTGGAGCCCGCCGTCTCTACTAGCACCCCTGACTTTTCAAAGGGGACGAAGGCGCCTGGGCCGCCTCCAGCAGATGCAGATACCACCTCAAGACCCGCCTTGCCAGAAGGCGAAGAAGTTGTTGAAGTGCCGGACAGCCAGGAGACCGGGCAAGCACCAGGACCAAAGTCGAACCGTACTGAGAAAAAGAAGGCTGCCAAAGCAGAGGAGCCCCCCACTGACAGGAAGCCAGAGCGGAAGAAGACCACTATACCCGTCGACACAGATGTGGTATATGTCGAGCAGCGATCTCCGAAGAAACCCCCCAAAGACTCTCAAGTGCAAGTGCAAATCCAGGTACGACGCACACCACCGCCGAGTTCTCCAGAACATGTGCGAAAGAGCCCACGGGGAAAGCCACGCAAGAATTGAGAACATATTGTATTTGATACCTATTTTGTAGCGTTATCACCTAATGGAGCATGAATCGGCGATCCAACCATGGTGCATTGTCCCATTTTCTATTATTTGTTATTCACTTGTGGAGGGAAATAGACGGCGTTGGGTGTTGCCTAATATTTCGGCCGTTGATTTGTTAATGCACGAGATAAGTTACCAGCATCCTGCACAATACAAATGTTTCATCTATCTCTCTTTCTCCCATCCTCTACCACTGACTCTCATCGGCATTAACCCACCACGCCATCTTATCTTTCTTAAAAGTCTCAAAATCCCACTCCGCATCCTCTAGCCTCCCCTCCCCGGCAACCCAGACATAAGTCTTCGCCTGAACCTCAACTCCTTCAACCTTCAGATCCGGCCCAGCTGAATCCAACACATCCTTTAGATGTGCCTCCAGGTTCGACTTACTCCCCCCAGGTACCGACTCCCCAAGCACACGCACGGTAACTGGGTCTCGAGTATACTCATCCCCTTCATACATATCCAAACGGTGAACATCACCGTCTGTTAGTCCGGAGACAAGCGTCCCTCGCACGGATGTCCTAGTCGTAGCCTCTGATGCCGGTACGATGCCGGGGTAGTCTGCACCCCGCACACGATGGCGCCGATAGCCGAGCAGCACAGCAGGTTGGAATCGGAGCATAGCTTTTTGCCAGGGTTCGGGCTCCCCGCGCCCGTGGATTACTTCGGTGTAGCACCTGTGGTGCCATCAAGGTTCCTGAATTGTTAGTCTTGGGGGTTGTAGGTAATCCAGACCCAGGACTAACCATAGAAGAAGAGGATGTGGTCACCCATGGCCAACTGGTGGATGCGTCAATTCTGGATTCAAGTCACTGAGATAGTAAGGAATTGGGGAAAATGAAAAGAAATCTGACAATCGATGTAGAAAGAAAGACTGTCCCGAGTAAATAGAGCGGAAAGCAGACCTGGACACATAGATACCGCGATAAGATACCCAGATACCCTCGCGACTACGCCGAGTCAATTTTGGAGTCAAGCTGTCAACGCAGCTCTACCAAATATTAATTACCATTCAATCAATTGAAAATAACTCATTAAAAAGATAAAGAACCAGTGCGCAACGTCAACAATCCCCAAGTCGTTGCCGGCGAGCATTCATACCCTCCCAAACTCTTACTAATTGGGTCCGGAGCTCCCAAAACACGCCTCGCTGGCTTCAACCCTTTGACACTCAACAGTCCCGCATTGTCACCACCACAATGCACTCCTCCCTCAACCGCTTACAAGCCGTGTTCGGCTTCTTCACCACCGTTGCGCTAGTAGTCGCCTGCCTCGCCGCGGTCTCAGTGGTTGTATTCCCCAGCGATGCCACGGCGTCCGTTTCGCTGAAGAACGTCCAAGTGTAAGTCCACCACCCAGCCACGCGCACATCGCATCTCTCGCAGACGATCAAACTGCAAACGCCGAAGTTCCGCGATACTAATTTACGCCTCGGAAACAGAACAAAGGGCCGGCCACACTACTACTCGACGAAACGCGAGGAATACGCCCAACTCCGCTTCGATCTCGACGCAGACCTAACCCCCCTCTTCAACTGGAATACCAAGCAACTCTTCGTCTACGTCTACGCTACCTACTCCTCCTCCGATAAGACGAATACCCTTGTCCGTCCCTCTGAGGCTATCATCTGGGATTCCATCATCGACGCCTCGCCCTCCCCTTACTCGTGGGACGTGTTGAAAGAAAAGGCCCTCTCGGTGCTTCCCGCCTCAGTTACCGGAAAGTCAAAGCGCACGACTAAGAAGGCGAAGCCGAGCAAGAAGAATGTGAAGAAGAAGGAGGAGGAGGCTCAGCCGGGTGTGATGAGGCTGAGGGGGCAGAAGGCGAAGTATCAGATTAATGATATTACGGGAAGACTTGCGGAGAGGGGGAATGTTACGCTTTCCGTGGGGTGGAACGTGCAGCCTTGGGTTGGTGCTCTGTGGTGGGCGCCTGCTACTGGGGCGGTGCCGAGGACGGAGGGGACTATTGTTTCCAGTGAGGCGTTTGATTTCCCGGCGCTGAAGGGGAAGAAGGTGGAGGGGCAGCAGGAGAGTGTTTAGGTTAGCTGGTTGATTTGGCCATGTGGGAACATTGGGTATCCTTGGATCAAACACAAGTTAAAATTGCATATGATTTGCATGGCGCATCTATTCAGGGGCTTGAGAGTGGTAAATTTATTTCATGAATTCGCTAGGGTAGTGGACTATCCGTTGAAACAATGGGAGTCCATCATCGTGGTCTTGCAAAAGGAAGCTCATAGTACCAATGACGTCATGGAAAGCAACAATCAACAATCAGCCGTTTGCGATCCAAAGCAACGGCACAGACGAGTTGGGTATTGGGTATATTAGATAGTGCCATAGTTAGGCGGCGAGTCGTGGTGTCCGCCATGCTGAATGCGCTCGGAGTAAACTCCTGGAGCAGGGCGCTGCGAGGCGCGGGTTAAGGGGTCGCGCTTGCGACGCTCATAGTAGACGTATTCGAGGTAGAAGGCATGGATGTGACCTGGGAAGTACCTGGAATCTCGGGTTAGAAGCCGGACTGGGACATGTTTCACGAGAGTACGCACCCGAGAATGGTGAGCAGGACGTTGATCCAGAAGTCAACGCCGCAGCCGGAGATCATGAAGACACCCAGCGGGGGAACTGCACGCTTTGTTAGCGAGTCCGTGAGGTATAGGTATGCGCCTCGTGTTCAGGCGCAGCAGGTATTGCGCTGGTTTTGCGGGCTTCTCGCACGTGTGGGCGTCCCAGATCAGAGAGCTGGACGAGCCGTCCACGAGAGCCACGACGAAATGAGGGTACTTACTGAATAGCGTGATGATAATCAAGCATAGCGTCGAACAGGTGCCCGCCATGGTGAATAGTGTAGGTGGCTTGGAGGTGTTTACTGTTGTAGTTTGGGTGAACGCTCGGGAGTCGCGAGGAAGCTGAGGAGACTTGCGAAGAGGAGCTCACCGAGCCGGTGTCATCCCCGATTGATCGGGGCCCAATGAGCGCCCAGTTCACGCTCAGTCCGTACCCAAAGGAGCACTCGGCTCCCACAATCCGGTTTCTTCTGTGAACTCCGGTTTGATAGCCCTCATTTCATTTCTCATCATGGCCCCGTTTTTCAAAAATGCCCCCGTCTTTCAATTCCGTTGACTGTGACCATTATGGAGCCCGGTTGCGTGCGGTTCTGAAGGGGAAACTTGGCCTGAGATCCAATACCACTAATTAGTTGATACTCCTAGCATCGCTGTACAGTAACCGTGTTTTCATTCAACTCGACGAGAGCTACAGGTAATCTCAAAACTATTCAATCTGTTTGATGATCCATTTATATCGCTGATCCAAGTAGCGACACTTGAGTTGGAGCATTTCAAACGACGGAGTTTCCTTCAACATTTGTCCCTCACATTCGTCGATCGGCTTCTTCGCCAGGGTGATGGTTGAATAGACTGAATGGATATCTCCAATGATAGGAGCAATGACGTCGTCGGTAATCTTTGTTGCCATCTCGTCAAATGTCTTTTGAGATGCATCTTTCATTCCCTGTGAGACTGCTGAAATAATGTTCGGGAAAAGTGTGCCATTGTCGATTCGGCCTTGAACCTTTTCACGCAGAGCTTTGGCTTTGCCGGAACCTATCATGAGTTATCATTCAATATCCATATGAGTGGAAACTCGCTTCAATAGTACTTGCCTTCGATTGAAGCTGCGGCGCGATATACAGGGATCATCTCTTGCAGTATAAATGACGACTCATTAGACTCTAGAGTCTTAGCACGTAGGCCCCTATTGAGAATTAGATAAGAGAAACAGGGCTCAGCGAGCAATGGATGATTTGTATACCTCATTTCACCTGCAAACTTTCTCAACGAGGTTTCAATGAACTGCCTGGTATCTTGCGTGCGGTGTTCAAGGCTCCCGACCATTAAGGACGGGAAATCGTTGGCTTGGAGGCGTATTAGGTTAGTTGGATTTCTTCTTTTATCACTTTTGCAAATAGTTACTCACCCATCAAATTAAACCTCAATTCCCGGAAGCGGTTCTCAATGAATCCATTAAGTCCTAGACATCTTCCAGAGAGGCTTCTTTCCAGGCTGTTCCACTTTTCGCTCAGCCCCAGTCGCATTTCCTCAATCAGTTCACTGTTCCAATCAACGGGCTCATTAAATAAATTCAAATATCTACCATTATTGCGGCAAAAAGCTTGATATTCCACTGGTTAGGTAGTCCGATTGTTAGCTTGATTGAAAGAGGTTGAGTGGTTCTCACGCGGAGCAAAGGCAGGGAGCTGAAGTGTTTATTTTTTAGTGGAGACATATGGATGGTTTTTCTTACCCCACGATAGCTGTAACATGATTAGCGAGTTGTGTGGCATCGGTGAAAAGAATCACTCACATCCAGCCATTCCAGTCCTTTCTGACTTGCCGCCTTTTGCCAGTCTTTACAATGAATCCCTTCAGATTTATTTAGCTAGGTCGACGAGGGGTTCTCTTTGGAGACAAGATATACCGGCATATGCGAGTACCGAATTCTCGAATAAATTCTGCAGATGTTCCTTACTTCCTTCGAGACGCCGCAAAATCTGGAAGAGGAATCAGAATCAACTTAACGCGTGATGGCCGGTTCAACATACCTGTTCTTTTGCGAGCTCGACCTTCTCAAGAATCATTGTAATTGAGCAAGAGGGCCCAACTTCCAAGGACTGACTACGCAGGCCAATCGAAACAAGAGCACCTGGCAAAGTAGTAAGAAGGAAGTTTTTAGCTTCCTGTAACCTCGAATCCGCCAGCGTAGAGTAGCAGAACTTTCGCAGAGCGGGGATACCACTCATGGTTCCTTTTTCATGAGTCGTCGTAACTGCTTTTTGAGAACAGTGCTCGCCATAAAATAGGTTCGAAACACAGAAAACGTTCAGATCTTCCTCCTCCTGGCTGCTCTTGTACATCCGTTTGAGTCCATCTTCTACACGTCTGTTCCGAGCTTCTATGAGAAGCATTTTCTTCCTATCAAAAGTCAGCATGGCTAGAAGATTCCCGGTCTGTCTGAGCAGGAAATGGTTGATGTACTTCCACTGGAGTTCTGTCATTAGAACTGGATCTTTCTTGGTTTCCACCTTCCGAATCTCATCTTCTATGCTTTCCATTGCCTCTAACATGCTCACTTTTCCAGAATTTCGCAAGTGTCTTTCGGCTCCAGCTTCATCAATTGCCTGTTAAACTTTAGTTGCAGTCAAATTCGAAGACCGTTTAACGAACATCGGACATGGTACAAATGACCGCAGTACGTGACCATCTTTTTGTGGACCCCCCTCGCCTGTCGATGCGTCATGGGGAACTGTAGAGTATAAGGATGACTCGAGAAGCTGGTTGGTCAATGCTCGACGTATATCAGTGACGTGGAAGACACGATCGCATCTTGAAAGATACTCCTGGGCCGCTTTAACCCTCGCGAGACTTGTGTCAAGAAGCCCTAGGGCTGTTAGCTATGAAGAATCAAGCCAGTCAGACGGATTCTCACCAGGCAAATCTGCAATGACAAGACCTGCTCTCAGAATTGGTGCGTCAATGTATACTCTAAAGCCGATCTCAGTCATATGCTTTATATTGCAGGCTTGTGCCATATTTTTCTGGCACATAATTTTCAAGACCTTACCGCATGATTTTTGTAAAGGGCCAGATCTTATCCTGCATGAATAGGCTTGTTTTTGTGTAGAACTCCTCTGCAGTTTCTGCGTATGTCACCCACTTTCCATCAGATGCACCAGTGGGCCATGGAATTGTCTTTGTCCACTTGATCAGTTGATCCGCTATTTTCTCAAAAGCCCCCTCGGATTTATCCGACAGGAATTTTCGGTTAAATTCCTTCTCGCTTCCGAATGCAGACTCTAGAGCAGACCAAGCTTCCTTAATTTCTTTCCAGTCGGCGGCAGTCAATGAATCCTTTGCAACATCTGGAAGAAACGCACGGCGGAAGCTCCACAGCAGCTCATTGACATGATCTTCCATGGCCACTCCAGAGAGATATTCGATTTCAACTCTGATCCGATGACTTTGACCGGGCTTCATTTGCCTATATTCAGTGACGATCGAGGTAACAGCCGAGCCAAAGTCGTCCTATATGTTTCTTTATCAATACTTCATTTCAGCATATACTGCACAGGGAATCTCACGGCTGTGGCAAGTCTCGGAAAGTCGAGTAGTGAGTTGATTACACTGCTTTTTCCTGGAAATTGTAAGCTGCAAGATTATCCAAATGGGGAAGGAAAAAAAACTCCTTACCCGCTAGCGTGCTCCCCAGGAATGCAATTGTTTCGGTATTGAAAAAGTTGTTCAATTCGCCAGCCCTTTTCATTTGCTTGATCTGACAATTTACCTGCGTAGAATCCATGGGACATTCATAGGATTCCTGATGGACGAGAAGCTGTTCCATCAAGGCCGCAGATTCCCTCGCCAGCTGCAATCCAAGAAACAGGCCGGTCTGAAATGTTGAGGAGAAAAACTTTGACTTTGGATACTCTTCCACTGGAATGTCAGAGAATACAGAGACCAGACCGGGATCCTGGAAAGTAAAAGAATGTTGTCTAGTCGAATCAAATTGCGAGTAAGATGGAATTTTTGGAATTATGTTCGTTGGATTGAATAACCAAGAACTTGGCTCCCCTGCGCTCGGTTGCGCGTCCTCTCGAGCATCTTGCAGAGCCTATACAAATGAAAGTAATGTAGTTAGAATTCTGTAGACAGTAACCTCGAGAAGGGAACATCGGTCACATTGATTTTAGGGAGGCCTTGCATACTCGCAGAGAACGTAAACGTCGACTTGGCTTCATTTGCTGTAGCAGGCTTCGGATGAGCATGTAAAGCTTCAGCTTTGAAATTGGCAGAACCGAATTTGTCCTCAGGATCTATCTTGTCCTCAGGATCTATCGGGAGAGGAGGCTCCATCCGGTCAATAGTGTGCGCGTGCTTGGGTTTGCAGAGAGAAGCAAAGGTTTTATAGGATTTGAGGTCGAATAATGGATTCATCTTATTTTGCGTGCTCAGTCCGTTGAATAGTGGTCCTCGGTCGGTTTTGTCGGTCTTTGATGGGCTTTGTTTAGGGGCTTGGTGCTCAGTATCAGTCGAACCGTGATCTGAAGGTGCGCCGATGGTAATCATCAGAGCGTTTTCATTGAATTTTTTTTCGAATTCTGATTCTGGCTGCGGCAGCTTTTCATTGCGAGAGTTGGAATTCATTTCCGAATACACGTGATGGGCAAGAGCGAAAAGAATCGACAATTCGGCTTGGTTAATAGTAAATATGGGTGAAACCAGGGGCCTTTAACGGGTCGATTGTAAAGATAGAAATAATATTTGTGACTTGCCATGCATGCTGGCTGTGCTAGCTTGCAGTAGTTCGGGCTCTTGTGTCTCGTATTTTATGCCCTAGCATGGATTAAAGCATGGTAGTTACGAGACTAGTCCGTATGAGAGATTAATCGGCGCTGAACTAAAATATTGGGGCCAAATTTACCTCCCTAACGCATCGTCGGAACTGCTCGGGGCCATCACTTGGACCTACGCATCAATGTAATATAAGGAGCATCCACTTGGATGCTCTCACTTGCAGGGATTAATTTGAGAAATCACCTCCGTGGTCCGAGGCTAACAATCACTAAAGGGGACCATCGGCCCCATGGCTGAATGCCTAGTGTTTATTAGGAAGGCGAGTTGAACTCGCTTTGAATTGGTGGCCTGGTAAATTATTTTTTTAACCCAATCGGTTGCTCTGGTTCAAGCTCGGTGCTGCGTTGATTACAAAAATGGGGTTTTTAGCGCGCACCCCACCGCCCGGGGCTGACTTTTGGGTCCTACACCCTGAATAGTTAACTAACAACCTCATATATCTAAGGACTAGCCTCCTCGAATTAATATATTGTAGTGGTGAAAGCGGTGACATTGTATATTGTCGGACTGACATAACGATTATCTAAGCACTAAAAGTGTCTTTGGCATTTTTGGTCGAGTGGTCTTCGTTTTAACATATATAGTGTGCCTGAGGTGTCTTACATGCCTTGGTCTGTCTGCATTATTCTCTCCTACATGGAGGGACACACATAGGAGGACAACATTTTGGAATATGACTGCACTTTTCGGTTTCTTTGCTTCATGATTTAGCTTCAAGGATAAAGCGACATCCACCTGCAGAGTGTGTCCACTACGCCTTCCTAAGTCCTTGGGAGTGTGAGTGTGTGTTTCTGGTGCCCAGTCTGCATTGCTAAACAGCCATCGAGCCATCCCCATTTCAATATATGTTTTGAGTTGGAATATTTCTAGTAGTATGTAGTATGAAATTTAATACTGATAAGTTAGTCAGAGAACAGGCTCCATTAGGTATTATGGTGATCTGGCTTCCAGGTTCTCTTGTTGCTCGACTTTCAACCGTGTGGCTAACTAATATCGAGTTTTTGCGCATCAAGTTCTTTTTCCCCCAGTCAATACCATACCTGAACATACTGTTGTCATATGCACTCGTTGGCGATCTGTGAACATGTTGTAGTTGAGTTGTAGCCGACTGCTCAAACACGAGGGGTGGGAGGTTCATATGTAATACCGTTCTGTCCTATAGAATCATGTAGGATCGCTTGATAGTTCTGATGATTTGGCAAATATCGCCCTCCTACTTTCCCCCTTTCCCTTGACCGTCACATTTTGCTCTTTCGTCTTACACCCACCAGTCATATTACAGAAGGCTGTGCCTATGCGGTAGAGATTAAAACTTGGTATCCAAAGATGATATTGTTTTTCTATGGCTTCTGCAATTGTGATTACTTCATAGAGATGACTTAGAGCCCTTCTTGTCGACAATGTTCATAGAACAAATCACAACTCGAAATGTTCCAACTAGCCCCCTAGCTCCTATAGTAGGTAGCTATCTAATAATATCTCACTAACCTCATAGCACGAAAAGATAGGTAATAACTGCGGTACCGCCTAGTACTATTTCTTGAGCTATAGTAATCGGTATAGACGTTTTAGTGGTGGTAGCTGCAGAACCCGAGCTTATAGGAGTCGCCTCGTTGATAGTAGGAGTTATGGTATTACCTACTGTAAGCTACGATGATGCCAAAGAGACCTATTCTGAATAATCGCTCGCGGTGAACTGGAATCTATATAAAGCAACCGTCGGATTTAACCCCGCTTAATATTCTCCGTAGTAAAATATTTCTAACTTTTATATTGGAATTCGTGCGCTAAATATAACAATATTTGGTAGGGCCTAGAGCTACTAAAATACAATAGTAGTATTGGCCGTCCTATTCGCTCTAGCTCTAGGGGTAAGAGGCTACCGTTGTAGAGGCCGCAAGGGAGAGGGATATAAGCAAAAGACTCTAAAAGTATGGCAATGTGAGTTTTAAGTGGACTAGGTAAGGAGTGATTACGAATGCTTGAGCGCGTTAAGGGACTCTGAATATGGATGGTGCTTAACTTTTCTAGACGATATGGATGCCAAGGAGCTTGGGAGTTTCACGCAAAATACAAAGACTAGTTATCTGTCAGAAATCATACCGCTGTACCAAAAACGCCAAAGTCGGTTTTTGGTACTATACAGTCATGAAATCTCACACCAATCTGAAGGCGGTACGTGGGGGTAGGCTATCAGGAAACTGCGAATGAGCAATCATATTATCTAGTGAGAAACAAGAGGTTCTTGAAACTGGTTTTGATATATAGTTCTACCAATCTTAGATGAGGAAAAAACCTCTGCATTCGCATAGAATGATACAGGGAAAACCTGTTACCCACAGGACAAAAACCCGTACCAAGGCGGTACCCACAAAAAAGGAGGCCAACCATACCAAGGCAACCAGGTGGCGCTACTTCAATTCGGATCAGCAGCTGCAAGGGCCTATTCTTCCGTGACTGTGTCATATGAAGAGAATGTGGGACACAAAAGGAAGATGAAAACAAGTGAGAAGATAGTCAAAGTGGAGACAAGCATGTAGCCCTCATCACCTGCGATTCCCAAGTAATGCCTGGCACTCATTCTCATAACTCATCATGTTAACGGTTGTAGGGGAAATGAGAATATCTCTCGCTTAGCTTTCTCGCAATCATTATCTAGCCCTTTCACCTCCTGTTAGGAAATATTATGTCATTGGATAAGAATACCAAATTGCTGGAATGCTTAGAAGACAATTTGGGGAATAAAAGTAAAAGATACTAGGGAAAGTCCTACTGTAATAGTTACTGTGATTTGAGGCTGTGGCAGACCAGCAACAGAGCCGCATCATCGAAAACAATTCCCAGGGCGTCTATATGAAGAGCTGGAAAATAACTTGATATATACTCTATGGTTAACTGCACTCTGGGGCTCAGTGCAGTTCTTCGCACGCTCATGGGCCCCGCGTGCGTGCTCCCCCGGTCTGACATGCGTATATAAGGCAAATCCTAGGTCCTATTCACAATTACAATCGCCATTTCCTTGAAACAATTTTGCATGAATAAAAAGACCTAGCCTAGGAAAGTGCAAAAATGCTCCTTGAATTTTTTTTAGAATCATTGGCCATAGTGTAATTAGCTTTCAAAGTTGGGCAGTTTTAGCGCGGCATCCAGCTGCGGGCCGGCCTCAGCCACAGGGTCCTTACCAGCGGGGTTGAAGCAGCAATGGCTTGCGGCTACGGGCGGGCTATACCGTTCCATGCACACGTAAGATTGAGGTTGCATTCGACCCTCCCTAGTCTTGTTAGGGTCGGGGACAGCAACGAGTCAGCTGAAGAAAAGCTATGCCGTACTACCACCGCGTACTTTTGTCGTGCTTGGAGACTGGGAGGTTTAGGCCTAGACCTTGCCATTTTATTATTTGGGTACCAATGGAGTACTTGGTGAATAGCCTGTCCTTAGTGGTAACATTATATCCCTCATTTTGACATAAACAGCTAACGCCTATAAAAGGCTGCTTGCCTCCTGTCGCATATCTTCGTCTTCAACTTTCTCTCACCCGTCCAACGAGAAATCTATATTACTGAAATCTATATAGCCTACCGGCGGACTTGTTCAATACCCAAAATGCAGTCATTCCTCTCGATCCTCGCCGCAGCCCTGATTGCTGGCAGCGCTATTCCGGCTGTCCAGGCAGCCTTACCTAAAGCTAATGAGTACAAGTCATCAGACTGGTAAGTCAATTTTTATATTTCTTTCTTTTTATTTGGCTTTCCACTATATTGGTTGCTCACAAATTTACCCTCAGCTCTGGCGCGCTCAACTATGGCCACCACTCGGCTCTACTTGGGGATGTCACCATGGACGACACAACCCACTCGGTCTATCTTGCAGGTGCCAACTGGGTCGGCTTCTCAGACAAGACTGGTAACGGCGGCAAATGCAGTGGGTCGGCTTTGACAGTGTTGCAAGGGGAGTGCAACAACCTTGATACGGCTCATCCGGGAAAGCGGATCAAGTGCGTCAGAAATATTGACTAAAGCCAGATTTTATTATTTCAAACAGAATGGAAATGTAGTAGAACAACCAGCTTCGAATGGCGGCTTCTTATCATATACCAACTCCCACTTCCTTAAATCTCGCTACCGGTCATTTGTCAAATTTCTCTATCCCATTGTAGGCCTCGACATGGTCCGGTTCCGGTTCTGCAGGTCGGAGCCCGGAGTCGGACCTATATATAGTCTACAATTGAAGTATGTTGTATTTCACCAACCCTGCTAACAAAAGCTTCTCGGCACTAAACTAGAAACCTACTAGCGCCCGCTGAACTTCAGGGAAACCCTGCTGTTCTTTACCTAGCCTCTACCAATCAAATATACCTACCCTTTTGTACTCTGATCATGAACCCGAATCCGAGGCCTTTTTACTATATCTTTGCATCATTCTAGCCCAGTAGCATCCGTGGTGGCCCTAGAAGTAGACTGCGCCAAAAACCACAAAACCGCAAAACCAAACCAAACCAAACCAAACCCCCATACGGTTTGGTTTTTGGGGCCAGTTTAGCAAACCATCGCGGCTTTTGGTTTCTAGGTCAGAAACTGTAATAGTTCTTAGGCCCCTAATAGTTTGGTAAATAATATAAACTAAATAGGTCCTTACGGTGCTGCTCGAAATTAGCTTCGCCTTTTTCTTTCTTTTGAATATGTTTTTGGACTTTCTCTTGCATAAGATTATACCTATTATAGTTAGGATGCCCCTGACTCTGTTCTTGGCGGTATTTCAATACTGTTGTAAATAACCATATAAAAATAGCCATGGTATCTTCTTGTACTAGCTACGCATTGTCTAGAATGATCTCCTTGCAAACAAACCAAATATGTCAGGTGGAAGGGACAGTCGGTTGTCTGGCCACTTTTGCAACTCATATTTCCCCCTCCGGTCAACCACTCTCATTCTTCAGACAGAACTTTGTGAATTAGGGAAAGGAAGTGCGGTTTCAAATTCTTGCCCGCTGTCAAACGGGTCGACATAATCGCCTATATCCTCTGTATCGGGCGTAGAATCAAACTGTAGAAGCTCAGAGAGTGTACGATCCTCATAAGGCCTCCAGGTATAATCTATAGCGCGTTCCATGGTAGATAGGTTGATAATTAAGAGAGACTGAAAGAAAGAAGTGGGGTGTGTGGATAGATTACCAGGTTACAAGGGTTTACCCTAGAAATTTACGGGGTTGCGATAAGCACGGGCCATAATTATTGGAAATATCACGTGATGTATGCGATGACCTGGTTCCTCAAGACTTTGTATACAGCCAATCAACAATGTCAAAAGCTCTGTCATTGTATGTATTACCTCTGAATCTGGCAATTTATATGGGGATTCTAGATTACATAAGCAATAGACATGAAGGATAATTATATCTCCGGTCCATCGCGGTATTCGTACTGACATAGTGTCCCTGGGACCACAGAGACCCCTCCACCCATTGCCCACCGCCTTTCCATGTGTCGATCTAGAGAGCGGGGTTTCCTCGTCTCAGGCTCAGGGCGCCTGTCTGGAACAGGCAACATTCGTCACCCAGCATCTCGTTGAAATGAGCGAACAGTATACTGTGGGCATCATTTGCGCCCTCGCGCTTGAAGCGACAGCCGTCGTCGCAATGCTAGACGACGTATACACTGACATGATTGATCAAGATCAACATGACCATAATTCTTATCGGTATGGTCGCCTTAACCATCACAAAGTTGCCATCGCAAGTCTCGGTTCCGGGGTATACGGTACCAACTCCGCGGCCGTAGTGGCGACAGATATGAAGCGAACGTTCAAGAATTTGAGATTCGGGCTAATGGTTGGCATTGGAGGGGCTGCCCCTGTGCCTAGCTTAGAAGAACACGATATTCGTCTCGGTGACGTGGTCATTGGCAAACCCGCAGGGACCTATGGGGGTGTTGTACAGTTCGACTACGGCAAAACCACTCAAGAAGATGGAATTGTCCTAAAAGGCAGTCTGCCCTCCCCTCCATACGCTTTACTCACAGCCCTAAGCAGGCTAGAAACCGATCAGGAGCTTGGAGAGTGTGCACTCACAGACTCTCTGTCTGCTATGTTTGAGAAGCGACCTGGTATGGAAAAGCGATATGGATATCCCGGCGCCGAAAACGATGTATTGTACGACGCAGAATACGTGCATCCCAAGCCCGAAACCACGTGCGCATCATGTGAAGTTTCTAAACGGGTCTCGCGAGGAACACGGGGCTCTTCTGAGCCGTGGGTATTCTGCGGTACTATTGGTTCAAGCAATACGGTGATGAAGGATGCTATCACGAGGGATCGGCTTCGAGAAGGTCTCGGCGTCTTGTGCTTTGAAATGGAAGCGGCAGGCCTGTTCGATTTCCCTTCCATTGTCATACGAGGTGTGAGTGACTATTCAGACTCGCATAAGAATGATCGATGGCAGAGATATGCTGCAGCTACCGCGGCGGCATGTGCCAAAACACTGCTTGGGTATATTACCCCGGCAACTGTGTACAAACAGCAGACAATCACTGAATTAATCGAAATCGAGAGTAAGAAGATCAGGGACATAATGAAAGCCGATCGCGAAAATGAGCTGAGAACAAAGTGCCATCAGTTTTTCGATGTTCTTCCCTATCAAACATACAAAAACGTTAATCCGGACAGAGAAGTAGAGACCTGCCATTGGGTATTTAAACATCCCCAATACCATGATTGGATCTCCTCATCGCAAGACAACTTGCTATGGATTTCTGCAGATCCAGGATGTGGCAAATCTGTGCTAGCTAAAGCGCTTGTGGACGAAGTGGTCCCAAGAGATTTCACAATTTGCTATTTTTTCTTCAAAGACAACGAGCACCAAGAGAATATCTCGATGTCACTCTGTTGCCTCCTACACCAACTTTTCAGCCAGGTCCCGCAACTCTTATCTCATGCTTTACCTATCTGGCAGGAGAGGAAAGAAACACTCAAAAAAGACTCAGATGAACTTTGGTCACTTTTTATCAAAGCGGCAACCGACTTGGGTGCTGGCAATGTTGTGGTTGTCTTTGACGCCCTGGACGAATGCTCAGAAAAGAGTAGACAGCAGCTTATGGAGCGTCTCAAAGCCTTCTATTCGAAGGCTTTACAAGATACCGCGCGGAAGGCTCATTTGAAGTTCATTGTGACGAGTCGGCCGTACTTTAGTATCGAAAGCGAATTCAAAACAGCGATTCGCGTGCCAGCGATTCATCTCGCAGGAGAAGCGGAAAGCACCCAGGTAAAGGCCGAAATTGATATTGTGATCAAATCAAAGATGCGGACCCTGATGGAGAAACTGGGACTGAACGAGGAGATCAGAGGAAGCATTGAAACAAAGGTTCTATCTATGGAGAACCGAACATACCTTTGGATTAACCTGTTCATGGATGATTTGGAATACCGAGTCAAGCGAGGTGAGAAGCTGAGGGCTCGAAATCTCGAGCAACTGCCTTTGACCGTCGAGGCAGCCTATGAGAAGCTACTTGATCGGCATACGGATAACTTCCGTAGCCGCCGTGACGCTCTGCTCCTACTCCACCTGATCGTTGGGGCAAAAAAGCCCATCACTGTGAAGGAGATGGACGTGGCCTTCAATCTGGCTCTGGAAAGCTCAGAAGGATCTTTAGTGTATGAACTTGATCGTGAATTTCTCGATGGAGATCGACTCGTAACGAGGATTCGAGCCCTCTGCGGCCTTTTTGTGACCATCGTCGACTCTCGAATCTATCTGATTCACCAGACAGCCAAAGACTTTCTGCTGAACAGAAATTCCCACATAGAGAATTTTTCCAACGTTCTTACGGAAGGGCAAGATACCGTTGAAAGAGCGAATGCAAAATGCTGGAAAGCATCCATTCACTCTCCACTATACAATTCTCTGTGGGCACACATTACACTATCATGTTTGTTGATTCTTGACTTTGAATCCAACGTTCTCATTACGGTCCATGGCGACCGCGGCCAAGTTCAAATGTTGTTCCGATACTCTGCAATGCACTGGGGAGACTATTTTCTCAGTTCGTCGAGCTCAAAGCAACGCTCACTCCAGTCCCATGCGCTTCGCTTGTACGAAGCGGCTCAAAGCGGCTCAAGCATGTGGTTTGATGCTTACCATCGACCTCATCTGAAGTGGCTCAAATTAGAGAGCCGACCGACCTCGCTGACTATCGCTTGTCTTCTGGGTCATTCGCATTGCGTGGAACTGATGCTTCCTGAACAAGAGCGTCCTGCATCAACCAGTCTTGAGTGGTGTCTTGGCTCAGACCAACTGGACCCTATCATATCATCCATACGAGCGGGTCATCTTGAAGTAGTCAAGCTTCTTCTAGATCACGGAAAGATTCGAGCTGGAAGTGAACTTTGCGCATTCGCTATTTTGGTATCATCTGTTCATGGCCATAACCCCATACTCAAAGCACTCCTGGATCTCGGAGAGCACACTGAACACAAGAATGAACAACAAGACCCATCCTATACCGAGATCCTTCAATTCACTCTCATCGCCGTTTCCATGCTTGGGTCCGTGGAAGCTATGAAACTTCTCGCTGCAGACAACACCATCTTCGATCCTGTATTTGAGCAAGTCATCGACGCAGCTGTAGTCCACAATAGACAGGAACTCTTCTGGGTGGCAATGGATAAAGAGTGTAATCCTCCAAGGTCCGAAAGAGAGAAGCAACACATTCTCAATTATGCATTGCGGATAGCATTAGATCGCGGCGACACCAGTTTTGGAAGACAAATCCTGAAGAAAGGTGCATCTCCCAATGGGATCTCTTCTCGAACATTCCATCAAGACAGCCTGGCACGGAAAGTCTCCGAGAGATTGTTCCATTCCAAGGGCCAGGAACTCCTCTCCACAATACACGGGTGCATATTTGCCGAGGCCTTGAGAATTGCCAGAGCACTCACGATTCCAAATATTTTCCAAAATATCGTACGTGCCAGAGTTCCTCCGCTGATTAACGCGGTGCTGAGGGGAAACATAGAGAGTGCCTCTCTCCTCGTTGAGCATGGTGCCAACATCAACGCAATTTCGAAAGTTAAGCTACCAGCCGTGAACAACACGACCGCGTTAGGGATTGCGCTTGATAAGAACCATCGTGAAATTGCTATGTTGCTGATAAAGAGAGGAGCACGTGTTCAGGATAATCTCAGAGGCAACAAGAAAACACTTCAAGAGAATTTCGAATCTGTGATCAAAGAGCTGCTTCAAGATGGCTTCGGCATAGAAAGTGCCGGCAGAGATACTTATATCCAAGCCATGCGTACGGCAGAACATCTCGATTGCCAGGACCTTCTCACCCACCTCCGGCAGTATGAGCCCTCTATCACCAACGCAGATCTCGACAAGGGTATCCCAAATCGAGGTTTTGGCTCAGCCGGAAACTCGCAAGAAGAACGAGAGTTTCAAGAATTCATGAGAAACCTTCCAAGAAATTTTCCAAAGTTTTTTCCCGGCGGCCAAAATACTGCTCTGCCTGACAATGCGTCACTAGCTGATCACGCTAGTATAAATGAACATTATAATCTCAGATCCTTGATCGATAAAGGCCTCGATCCAAACGGACGCGGAAAGGATTTTGATAAAATTGCACTCCACTGGGCAGCAGAGAGGAACCAGAAGAACCGCGTCGTCATCTTACTTAGTATGGGGAGTAATCCCAATACCCTTGATTGTTTTGGGCAGACGCCTTTGCACTATGCGGCGGAAAAGGGGTATGAAGAGGTTACGCGCCTGCTTCTTCCTGTGACGGATGCTTTGATTGTTGATAAGAAGGGACGGACTGCGTTAAGATGTGCGAGAGTTAATGGTCATACGAATGTGGTGCAAATGCTTGTTCCTTTCTATTCTGCAGGTAGGAGGGAGAAGACTCTCTCATACTACATGAAAGAAAGGGGATACAAGGCATAGACTTTGCCTAGGTAGCAATGCAAAGAATTTTAGAATATTGACTCAATTTTACTCGCATATCTTCCTCAGGCGTTCTTCTGATGATCCGGTACACAGTGATTCCAAGGCTCCAACATTTGAGGGTTTTCATGATCGACAAGACGTCACGGCGAATCAGGAAACATTGACCTGAGTTGCTTTCTTTGCTCGGATAGGGCTGAGGTGGGCCGTTCAATGACGTCATTGTCACCAAAAGGGCGTTGTATTTCTAGGCCTATGTTGCCCTGTGGTCCCTTCCTGGAAGGGCACTTGCTGTAACATCTACAGTACATATATTCACCATAGCCCGACGTATTACCATACACTGGCCTAGAGGATTTGTGCCTAGGTGCCATGACTTATTTTCATGGACGTATTTCAAAAACTTTTCCAAATGAGACATTGGTAGGGTGCCCAAAGATGTCATCAGGAAAAACTGAAAAGGACTGAAAGCACAAAGCCCTTAGGCACCGGGAGATTACTTCTTCGTCGGGCTGTACAGTAGGTGCTTCGTAAATGAGAATAGATTCACCACAGTCCATACATTCACTGGGCTATCTGAGAACGCGTACAAAGAGAGCGTCATGTGTAACCCATCAAACAGCATCAATAGCCGCCCGCGTTGTCACCTGTTCGTTCTTATTCCCAAGTTTCGAGATTTGCAAGAAAGCATCAACTCCGTAGCCTTCCAGGCTATGCAGTTCCAGGCTGCCCGCCCAGTATTCAGCATACACCCGGCTCATTGGCAGCCCCATGCCTAGCCGCAGATTAGGAGGTCGCGACGTCAGACTATCTAGGGATCCTTCGTGGTAGCTTGAATCCCGATGCGGTTTGCGCTCGGATACTTTCAGCTCTTGCATTGTCGCTGCCATTGCGGGGACCTTTTCTAGGTTTTGCAGCCGCAGCTGTGTCCGTGGACCTTTGCTGAATGACCATAGATACGGCAAGATCTCTCGAGGAACCCCGCCGCCCTGGTCGGAGATACGCATGATAACGTGCTGGGGTGTCTCGCACACGAGCACCTCGATGGGCGGGGGTGGGGACGAGGAGTCGTGGTATTTCTCCGTCACAGCCTGGACGGAGTTGCGCAGCAGTTCACCTACGATATACTCGAGGTGGCTGAGGATATAAGGGAAAGTGGCGTCGGCGTGGCCCTGCACCTTGATCTCCGGGAGCTGCATTGATGGCGATGTCTTCCGCATCAGATCATGTGCAACTCTTCCGCATCTTTCGACAACCTCTTTGGCCTTGCACTTGAGGAAAACCTCACCCACAAAATCTGCGTTCATGTCGGTTCTCTCGTGAGAGTCGGGGAAATGCCAGGGTTCGTTGAAAGTATCTGTGAGAGCCAGATGCTGCTCTGCAATGACACGGCGGGAGATTCGCTAAAGCCAGAGTATCAGTCACGGTTCTCGAGCGCAGGATACTCTCCAAACATACCGCTCGCAGGAGCGTGTTCATCAGTCGGTCCATCTCGTCCGGTGGAAACAGGTCACGACACTCCAACACGCCAGTTGCTAGGTTGGGGATCACGACAAGATGTTCCTTAAGCATATCGCGCAGGACATCGCAAAATCGATCATTATCTTCCAGGCTGCAGATCTCGGGAATGACACGGAATCGCTCAAAAGCTTTGTAGTACAGTTCGTATACGAGAGACAAGTGTGGGTTAGCGACAACAACATAGGGCAATTGTTGAATATCTCGCAGGCGGTGCGCGAGACTGTCGTGATGTTAGTGGATAGTTCGTTTCCCTCACGAATCGAGGACCTACCGAGTAGGCAGTTCCGTCCGCACGTAGTTCGCCGAGCTGATGAGTCGCGGCTCGGTCAAGGTACGGCCGAAGAATGTCAACTGCCGAAGACTGATAGGGCGAATTTCACGCTCAGCCCATCTGGTGCAGTTAGTATGGATACCTCACACGACCAGGTGGAGTCATACTCATCCAAAGCAGAGACGGGCCGCCATGGCGGCAACTGGCCCGAATAAAATCGTGGCCGGGGAGCACGAAGGGGTTGCCAGCATCGTGCTGAAAGACTCGACCGCATTGTGCTCCATGCAGTCAAGTCTGGGGCAAAAGAGCCACCGGGGCGTTGAGCTTTCGAATGCGGGAAAAAGAGGAGCGTCTGCATGTGCTCGGCTGGGCGGTGAGAGGGGTAGACATGTGACGTGGGAAGTGCTTTGGCTTTGGCTTTGCATCATGCGAGCTTTGGCGGTGAATTCGTGAAATAGGTATTGTTTTATTTTATTTTTTCGTTTTAATTGAGTGAAATAGATGCTCGGGGCGGTGTTAACTTATAGCTTGTGCTAAGGGTGACCGTTGGAGTCCCGTTTGTGCGTAGCTGCAGGGGGGCTTGAAGAGACTGTCACCTTAGGGACCGAGCCGACCGGTAAGATGATGCAGGTGGGAGATAAGTGTGTAAATAATTGGAGAACGCTATGGGATATATCAATCACAAGTAGAAACTACCGAGCATCCTCATTCTTACCAACATGCCTCCAGGTCCAGAGACAGCTAGGACTCTGACCGTTAGCTACCTGACAATATGTACATAGCCTAGGCTCTTTGATCAATTAGGCCAAGTAGTATATTAGCCCAAAAACAAGTCAAAAGTGAAATGACCAAACTCGGACTCCTGAAATAGAAAGGAAAGAACCATAATCAAAGCTTGAAAGAAGAAGCCTAGGCCTGCTTTGTTTTATACTTGCACGCCCCGCTGTTTCTATTCCCTGCCGAGCGAAGGGCTCCGCCACCGCTAGCTCCGGCCCTCATTCTGCGGGTTCAGAAGAATTTCCTTCCGACAACGACCTCCGTCCTTACGTCTCTTCTCAAAACCCCCTTTCATATCCCTTCCGACAGGTGCCTTCCGGCTGGACGGGAAGGCCCCTTTCGCCATGGAAAATGTGTGTCCGACCGTACCCCTCGGTGTCGTCATTGCAGATCTAACCACCTTCCAGCTCGCGGAGAACGACATGCTCGTTGATGAATATGAGCAGTACCCCAATGAGAAGACCGATGTCGTCGTCGTTTCCCGCTCCGGCTCCGAGGAGCCTGAACCCGCCCCGTCTGCTACTGACCGTATGTTTTCTTTCATCATCCTGCCCCCTCCCCGACGCCGCGGAACTACGAGTGACAGCGATGGCTGTATCAGATGAATGGAAAAGGAGGGATACAAGTGGTGGAGCCTCGGGAAACATCTGCCCCGGTTTGGGCAGCTCGTCCGCGGTGCCTCGCAGTGGGAGACAACCGGCTAACCAAGACTGAAACTTAGATGCGGCGATGATGGAGCGAGTCCTTCCTAAAAACCCTGACCTCGAGACCGAAGAGGAAACATACCACTCATGGCACATCGAAAACTGGCGGAAGTTGGACCGTAAGGTTCACGGCCCGGTGTTCAAGTGTGGTGGATCTCCTTGGTGGGTGATATTTTCTGGCAAGTTTGTGCTGTGGAAGCTGACTAGAGAACAGGCGCACTCTCTTCTTTCCCTACGGAAACCATGCCGAGCATGCTTCGTTCTATTTGGAACATGCGTGGGAGGGTGAACCGCCTGAAAATTGGTACGCCTGTGTACAGTTTGCGCTCGTTTTGTCAAACGTGAAGGATCCCTCGATGCACGTTTCTCATGGTAAATTCTCCCTTCTTTTCATCTTTCTTTCAATATCTTTGCCAATGATCACCTTCGGGTCCTTGATTCGCTGATATCGTCCTGGATGGGTTTTATGCTAACCTGGATGCAGTCGCTACCCACCGATTCACGGCCGAGGAGGGAGACTGGGGGTTCACTCGATTCTACGATCTCCGAAGCCTATTCAATGAAGCGTGGGAGGGCAAGAACGTTCCTCTGGTTCAGGACGACGAGGCCATCGTAACGGCCTATGTACGCGTCGTGAAGGACCCCACTGGTGTTCTCTGGCACAGTTTCCAAAAGTAATTTCCCTTCCTTCCATCTCAATGTTTTTCGCTGACCATTTAAAAGCTATGATTCTAAGAAAGAGACCGGTATGGTTGGTCTGCGGAACCAAGGTGCTACTTGCTACTTGAACTCTCTGCTTCAGTCCCTATACTTCACGAACGCCTTCCGCAAGGCATGTTTTCCGCTTTTTTTTTGATGAATCTTGCTAACCCCGCATAGGCTGTGTATCAAATTCCCACCGAGGGAGAAGCCTTGCGTGACAACAGTGCTTGGACACTTCAGAGACTCTTCAACAATTTGCAGACCAGCGACTCGGCGGTTTCCACGACAGAACTCACTGTGTCCTTTGGGTGGGATTCGAGACAAGCATTTGAACAGCAGGATGTGCAGGAGCTGTCACGGAAGCTCATGGAACGGTTGGAGGTGAAGATGAAGGGCACAGTTGCTGAGAAAACCCTCTCCGATCTTTTCGTGGGCAAGACGAAGACATACATTTCTTGTGTCAATGTGCCTTTCGAGTCTTCCCGCGTAGAGGAATTCTGGGATATTCAGCTCAACGTTCGGGGCATGAAGACCCTGGATGACAGCTTCAGGGACTACATCCAGGTTGAGCGCCTGGATGGCGAGAACAAGTACGATGCTGGTCCGCCCCACGGCCTACAGGACGCGGACAAGGGTGTCATCTTCGAAAGCTTCCCCCCAGTTCTGCACCTTCACCTGAAGCGATTCGAATACGACCTTAACCTCCTCACGATGATGAAAGTTAACGACCGACACGTGTTCCCGATGGAATTTGATGCTGCTCCCTATCTCTCCAAGGATGCCGATTTCAAGGAACCTTGGGACTACGAGCTCCATGGTGTTCTTGTGCACAGCGGTGGTCTTGACGCTGGCCACTACTATGCGTTCTTGAAGCCCACCCAGGATGGTCACTGGTACCGCTTCGACGATGACCGGGTGAACCGTGTTACCGAGAAGGAAGTCTTGGAGGAAAACTACGGAGGAGAGTACGAACTTGCAAACGGAAGTGCCGGTGTCAAACAGCCCTTCACTCGTCAATACTCCACGAAGCGATCGATGAACGCCTACATGTTGGTGTATGTCCGCAAGTCGCGCGTAAACGACGTTCTTCTCCCGATTGGCCAAGATGATGTACCTTCTCACATCGAAAAGCGCCTGGCTGAAGACCGCGCAGAAATGGCACGTCGCAAGAAGGAAAGAGAGGAGGCTCACCTATACATGAACATCGGGGTTTTGACCGAGCAAACATTCCAGTCTCACCATGGATTCGACCTGACTAGTAACGATTTGTCCCAAGAAGACCCAGCCCTTCCTACACCGTACCGGGTTCTGCGGACGAAGAAGGTCAAGGAATTTGCGCAGGAGATCGCCGAAGAACGCGGACTCGATGCTAGGGCCATTCGCTTCTGGGTGATGGTCAACCGTCAGAACAAGACTACTCGGCCAGATCAAGTCATCAATGACCAGGAAATGACTGTCGAAGAGGCCTATACCAAATTCGGCACCAAGGGCAATGTCTTCCGTGTTTGGATGGAGATTGCTCCCAGTGTCCCTGAGGGCGACAACTCCCCATGGCCCGACAACGATACAGTCCTCATCTTCTTGAAGAACTTCGACGTGGTGGCTCAAACTCTGTCTGGTGTTGGTCCTGTATATGTTCGCAAGAGCCAGAAGGTATCCGAATTGGCGCCTACTATTCTCTCCAGAATGAACTGGCCCGCGGGCACCGAGTTCTTGCTGTTTGAGGAGATCAAGCACAACATGATCGATGTTATGAAGCCCAAACAGACGTTCCAGCAATCCGAGATCCAAGATGGCGATATCATTACCTTCCAGCGCCAGGTCAAGGACTCAGAACTTCCGTCTACGGTCATTTACCAAGATGCCAGACAGTTCTACGACTACCTTCTGAACCGCATGGACGTTTCATTCGCTCCCATCAAGACCGCCGAGGGCCAGGAATCCGCAGAATTCACATTGACTCTCAGCCGGAAGATGACCTACGACCAATTCTCGAAGAAGGTTGCTGAACACCTCAATGTGGAGCCGACGCATCTGCGATTCTCGCCTGTTCTCGCCAGCAACGGCAAGCCTAAGGCTTCGATCAAACGGAACGTTACTTCTACCCTTGCTCAAATTCTTAGCGGGCAATATGGTACTTATGGCTATACCATGCACCGGCCCGATGCTCTTTACTACGAGGTTCTGGAAATGAGCCTCAGTGACTACGAGAGCAAAAAGTGCATCAAGGTCACATTGCTTCCCGAGGGTATTACCAAAGAGGTAAGATTCTATCTGTCGTTTTCCCATGAATTTCCACTAATCCCGATACAGGAAGTTGTTGAGGTCCTGGTTTCCCGTAACGGCACTGTCTCTGAAATTTTGTCTGAATTGCAGACCAAGGCAAACTTGAACGATGAGACTGCTCGCGAACTGAGACTCCTCGAGGTGATGGGCGGAAAGATCAAGCAGGAGCTCCGAGACGACTATAGTGTGACGAACATCAACGAGTACTCCACTCTCTATGCGGAGCGCATTCCGGCCGAAGAGTTGAACAAGGACGACGAGGATAGAATCATCAGTGCCTTTAACTTTGACCGTGAGGTCAGCCGCACCCACGGCGTTCCGTTCAAGTTTGTTGTGAAGCCGGTCAGTCTTTCTCCATCTTTCCCCAGAGACTCTAGTCCTGTTGCATACTAACTTCAAGAAGGGTGAGATTTTCAAGGAGACCAAGGAGCGTCTCTCGAAGCGCACAGGAATCAAGGGCAAGCCTCTCGAGAAGGTCAAGTTTGCTGTTGTACCGCACGCGTCCTTCTCCAGTCCCAAGCACATCGAAGATGGTGAGTTATCCTCGTTCTGTTGCCGAAGTGTAGCTGTTGATCACATCTACAGATGACATTCTTTCCGATATTGCTGGTCCCGACGATTACCTAGGCCTTGACCACGCTAGCAAGAGCCGGGGCTTCTGGGGCAAGACTGATAGCTTCTCCATCCGATAAAGTAATTTCCGGGGCGCTGCGGGGTTTTTGTGGGAGTGCTATATGCTGCAATCCGGTACATGAGCAGTGACAGCCTGCGATGACTATGTTTCTCATTTCCATTCTCCTTTACGCTTTTCTTTTATGTCCCCAAATGTTTTCTTTTTGCTCTAGTTAGTGCAGGAGTAGAAAAGACCGTACAAATGAAGTTGATTGTTTGGGTGCAAACATTGCAAACACCGGACCTCGTCTCCATCGACCTCCTGACACGCTACGTTAATCCGTCAACAATCAAGATCCAAGGTCTCAGGCACAATGCGCTTCGCTCTCCTCGCCGGCCTAGTCTCCCTGGTCTCCTCTGTCACTGCTACTGCTTTGACCTACCGCCTTGAGGCCAACGAGAAGGCATGCTTCTTCACCAACGTTGACGCTTCCAACGCCAAGGTGGCTTTCTACTTTGCGGTTCGTACACCACTATCTACAGCCCGATCCCTCGATTTACTCCTGGGAATACGGCATTGTAGTATCAGTTACTAACGCGAGCTCAATATAGGTCCAATCCGGCGGCTCCTTCGATGTCGACTTCACTGTGACCGCGCCTGGCGGCAAGATCGTCCTGGACGGCACCAAGGAGCGCCAGGGCGACTTCGTCTTCACAGCCCAGAGCATCGGCGAGTACGAGTTCTGCTTCAACAACGAGATGTCGACATTCGCCGAGAAGATGGTGGACTTTGAGATTGCCGTACGGTCACCCTTTGTCCTGTTCAGCCCTGCATGCCACACACCCTCAGCCCCTCCACAACTTCGTCAATTACCCAAATGAACCAAATAAACTGACATACACGCAGGTCGAGAACGAGCAGCGCGCCCAGCTACCCTCCCGCCAGGGTGCCAGCCCTGAGCAGACCACCAACCTCGAAGAATCCATCTACAAGCTGTCTGCCCAGTTGTCGACGATCTCGCGTAACCAGAAGTACTTCCGCACGCGTGAGAACCGCAACTTCAGTACCGTGCGCAGCACCGAGCGCCGGATCTTCAACTTCAGTGTTATCGAGTCTCTGATGATGATATCGATGGCTGCTTTGCAGGTGTTTGTGGTGCGCTTCTTCTTCCAGGGCGCTCGGAAGGGTATGTTTTCCCATGGTCTCCAATTTTCGGTCGAATCGGGATCTATTCGATGAAATTTTTTTCCTGGGAAGTTGGTGCTAACAATTGGAACAGGTTACGTTTGATGATTGAAGTCAATAATACGATGACGATGCATTTTATTCTATTCTGGTCATAATTGGCGTGTCGTGTATTCTTATTACTCTCCTATAGGCTAGAGTTATTGCTTCAATCGCATATTAAAACGGGATACTTGTTGAGATGATATCGCCTTTTGCCTCCTGCTGATCTTCCAGATATAGTGATCCACTGTCAATGTCTTTGTCTTTATTGGATTGTTTGTGTCAATGCAGAAGCGGTTGGGAGGTTCGTAGCAGATTGTGGAGGCGTTGGGAAAACGTCGGGGAAACGGACGGTGACTCCGCTGCACAGTTCCAGGTTTCTCAATTGTCTGGCCACTCGCTGACTGATGGATTCAGGAAAGGGGGAGGCCGTGTAGGACCACTGGTGTTCGAGCCAGGTGAGCTAGTCGTACTCGTTCAGGTTGGGAGCTGCGGTGGTCGGTCGCGACGTGGTGATCCACACGCGCTGCACGGCCGAGGGTCAAGGCATTGTTAAAACCGGTCTGGGCAGCTTGGCCAGTTGTCATCAGTGTCATGGTGAGGTCAAGGCTGGATGGTGGTGCCAAAGTTCGGTGAGTACTGCAGGTCAAAGCCGAGCGTGGGCGATGAACATGGCTCAAACCGGGTGAACAGGTCATTCCACAATTTCAGAGGCTGGCATTGTCATATTGAGATCAAGCTAGACTAGGTGCACGTCCGAATGTCTCGGGCATTGAGCGAGTGTCATGAAGGCGAAAGGTTGAGATGTTCGATGTGAAGCCCTACTTGGGCATCATGCAGCCAAAGTGGTTCCACCGACTCGGTCGATTGCGGTCGATTCATTTGCAAGATGGCAAATTGCACAAAGCATCAGCTGTCTCGAGGTCCCTGAAAGCGCCCGTAAACGTCTGTCGCATTGAACAGGGCATGGTTCCTAGTTCAGCATGCCAACAAAACAGGTTTCCGTCGTCATCAGGAGTCAACATCCACGACATACCTTGAGAAATGCAGGGCACGAGGGCGAATCGGTCTAGAAGCGAAGACCGACAAAGAAAAACAATGGAGATCTTAGAATCTGCGAGGGTTGATACGACGTACGAAACCCGATGATGCAACCGCGATCTCAGTGGTGACAGCCGGGGGCAATGGGGCGCTCAATGGCGTGAATTGCCTGTGACCATGGTCAGATATGTTTCACATTCAATGGGCTCCAGCAGTCCGACTATTCGACATGACTTCATATGGTCTACGGCAGAGTGCTATGTATGTCGGGATGTCGCCGTTCGAAGGATGGTGATATCATGGCAAAGCAGCGACCGGTTAGTAGTGGAAAGTAAATCGTTCCATCGTCATTTTTGCCATTTGGGCTGTGATCCTTGCCAAGCGAGTATACGAGCAAGGTATCGAGTATTCGAGTATACGGATTCGATATTGGAATCGATAATGCGATATTGGCATAGAGTGGTCTAGGAAGTGAAGTCATGAGAGGCTGGGGCATCCCTGACCCTCCCGAGATGTCACGGCCATGCGAACGCCTCAGTCTCAGAAGTGGAGCGAGGTGTATGACGAACGTTGACAGCTCGCTGATCAGAGACGGGGCGAGACGTGCGCGAACGGACCGCTGTTTTCACAGCGCGACTCAATATTGGATTTAGCTCGGCTGCTCTGCTCCACCAGGCTTCTTTGAGTTACGACATCACACTTGGCATGCGCTCTGATATCACAAAGCATGCTCCCCTCCACTCACAGCGGACGGTGTGCGGCGTGCAGCGTTACACTTCGGACGTCTACAGGCACGGCATTGAAGCGACTGTCTTTCCTGATCGGGTATCGACTCTAGACTACTGACTACAGACCCTGCAAGAATATCAATTGTTGATATGGATACAGACATGGCTCACGCTCGGGGCTTGATTTTGGTTTGCAGGCGAAGTATCCACTTAATCCCCTCCCCCTATATCATCGTGTTCACTGGCCTTGTGTACGGTACAGTACTGTAGCCGTTCGGGTATGCTGCGGCATCTCACAGGCTCAGAAGGAGAAAATACGGGGGGAGATGGACTTCGACTATATCATTATGGAGAACGACTACGTTGAGGTGGAGAAGAGAGGCGACAGTTCTCGAGCACGCCGTTCCGACGCAACGGCGCCGACCATGCGCGACCCATCCTCTTCGCCTCCCCCGCTGCGATGGCGAATGAACTATTTTCCAGGCCCCTGGCTCTCCTCTCCGACCCATGGCTGTCACTGGTTACAGATTGAGTTCTCCGCCGATGATCCTCACTTTGCCCTTTTTCGGCGTATTCTCGAGTTTGGGCCACCCTTTTTCGCCCTCTTCCTCTTCGTCTGCTCGCCACATCGTAGCCAGTAAATTGTATACTTCGTCTAGATAGACGTCTCCACATCTTCTTTCACGGAAAGATCCCGTGTCTCAGTCCAATCAGTAGAGTAGCACGACCGGGGTTGTCAAATGCGCGGGAATGTGGCTGGATGGCCAGCTGGCCAGCTGGCCAGAATACTTCATATCTGATCTGCTGGATCCAGGCGCAGTGAGGGCTCCCTGACGTCAGGTGCTCTTCTATGCCTGAGGCAGCAATAGACACCCTTCCCCCAGGAGACCCGAGATGGCCAATGATGATCCGGGGGCTCCATATTTCTCCTGCCACATGCCCTCTGGATCTGTGTGTTCCGAATCGGGCAGGCGGGTATTCACATTCACGTTCATCGGCAGTTTGTGATCATAATGAGGTTGTGAGATGGTTAGACGTTTCCCGATCTAGTGAGCTCAAGGCTATGGAAATCGAGTACAGTAGAAGAGCATGTTCCTACATCCGCCTCGTTCAGTGCGTTCCTGCATAGGTCGCGATGTGAACAAAGTCCGCCAAATCGAAGCTCGGATCGCCCCGATGGTTGGCCGATGACGGCATGGCTCGATCCACTGGGAGCCTCAGCGGGTCGACTCAAATCCGCAAAGATTAGGGATTCTACTGTTCTACTGTTCTACTGTATACCCCCTGGGGAAGACCAAACAGAACACGAGGAGAACGAGAACAAGAACGGCCATGACAGGATCGACAGCTCTCACAAGCCATGATCACCTCTGTATACCCCAAACTCCGAATAGCGTACCCACTGGGGTACAGTACAACAATGACTCCACCGGGGATGCCCACCTCACGTTCCGCATGGCACCTATCCCGAAGCGGCGCTGGAAGACTAATAAAGCCTCGGCCGGCTTAGGCCCGACGTCGCCCAGGGTGGCCGTCATGATTTGTCCAACAGACGTCAGTCGCAGATCTGCAGGGGACCGTCTGCTGCGTTGCCGATCTTGGAGCGCCCATGGGCTCTGGTCCATTCCCGCATTCCCCAGTGACCTCATCGGGATCGTTGGGCCCTCCCGCCGGTGGATCGAATGATGCTATAGCCCCTATCTGTACCAGTCCCCAAGCAGAGGGTGGGGAAATAGTTATTTCATGATACTACCGTCAGCCATACACGCTCCACGGTGCAGGAGAGAGTGGACACCGTTCTTATGATGTCGCCCAGCCTCATTTCAGCCATCTTCAGCCAATGATGTCATCGCGCCTGGGACCGTCGATGGAGCCCTTCCTTTGACCATTGGACCCAAGGGTTGTTCTTTCTAGAGCCTATCAGACTCGTCCCAGACTGGCCTCCTTTTGCCATCCTCGATCGTCCACCGGTGGTTTCGTACGAGTGGAGCCGACTCGTCTTATATATATCTCGAATCGGACTCGAAGTCCCTGACTATTCCTCTGATTTAACTATTTATGCTCTAACCCCCTGTACCTTACCGCCCCATAAGCCGTGTTGCTTATATCTGCTGCTCGATCACACTGCACTCCCATTATTATTATTTTTTTTTGAAATTGTTTCTCGATTTCATTTCCTTGGTTCATCCCTTCCAATCGGCCCAAGTCGTCCTTAATTTTACTTTCAAGGTTAGTAAAGTCTACCCGGGATTACAAAGCCTCCCTGGTCCAAAACGTTGTCCCGTCCCGTTCACATGGAATTGTTCGCCCGAGCGATTTGCTTCGGCCGTATCCCACCCGTGGCCCAGATGCTGGGTTTCCTCCAACCCCAAAGAATCATCATCCTACCATCTGATTGACCTCCCTCGCATAACTAACATCTTTCCCCCATCCTAGGCAACCATCATCCACCATGAATCAAAGCACTATGCAGCCCACTGAAACCGTCCAAAGCATGTTTGCTCAGAACTCTGGAGCTGGACCTCCCGCGTCCAACAGCAATGTCGAAACCCAACGGTCTATGGATCCTCATGTATCTCTTGAGGACTACAACCGTACTATGCTGGAGTATACCCAGCGGCAGATGTCATCCTTCGTCGACCTAGACGACAGCCGTGGAAGTGGCTCTAGCGGCCGAAGCGGCCGAAGCAGCGGTAGCAGCCATCACAGCGGCGACAGTGGTACCAGCAATGGCGTCATTACAAGTCAGTCCAGTGCACCTCCCACTTCCGCTGGTGCCGCCGCGGTCAAGCGGTGCAACCTCCAGCAGGGTCACCAGCAGTCTGCTCTTAGCCCCAACGAGGCTAACTCTCCCCGATACTAGGTCACTAGTTGACACACAAGGTACGTGATTATTCTATGATCTTTCTACATGAAATGCCATTGCTAACACAACTTTCAGGGAAGCGGTCCATCTTTACAACTACCGTGACACGGCGTTGGCTCGACATTCATAGTAGGAGTTTGATGGCGCAATATTGATGGAGTATAAACACACTCTCACTCACCCACTGCCCTGACTTCTCTTCGTGACACCTCATTTCTTTCTCCGTCAATGATGCGGGCTGTTCAGGCATCTACTCGATACATGAACAGTCCACAAACAATGTTTACATTCACCCTACAGTCTGCATTCAGGCCACGTGCCTTATGTATCACTGCCGCTTTGCTGTATCACGCCCTCTGCGAGGGCGGTTATCAGCCTGTACACCACTGCGTCCTTTTTCCAGCAAGCAAACGAGCATTTTCTTTTGGCGTTTTTGGCTTTCGGTTTTTGGGGTTCTTTTGCGGCCCCCGTCTGATGATAACACCCAACATTTCGAGCGAGGATGCTAGTACATCCCTCGAAACAAGTTTACGATCTGATGTGATGTATTATTACGACTATATCTTGTTGGCATTATAACCTGTACAACAGTTAGTCAAATGAATTGACCCTTTGGTCATTGAGTTTTAATTAACAATCCACGTAACGATACACGTAGTTAGTCCAAGATTGGCTGTAATTTCAATGACTACTATTCAATCCTGCCAAAAGATTGCCACCAATACTTATCTAGTTCCCAATTATAAAAATAGCGAAGTGTTTGCGAACCTGCGCACGCAAGGATGGACTTCACTGCACAAGTGCACGGGATATATATTATACTTCATCGGACAAATGCGGAATTCCACGATGCTTAAACAGCAAAAACGGCCCAAGTATAATAATATAAACAAGGTATTAAACCATCTAATCACTCGATTGACTTTCTTTTCCCATGTATGCCTGTACACCCGACTGGCTGAAGATATTGTGATGAAGATTCGGGAAGCCTCACCCGTAGCCGTTACTCTACATCAAAATCGAGACTCGGCTCATTGACCTGCATGAATCATGCCTGCACGTAGCACGAGCAACCAATTTAGGAGCATTATGGAGGAAAAACACATCCCTAGATGGCATGGGATCCTATGAGTGGATGATCTGGCGCATTCTTCAGCGTCGAGGTTTAGACCCCTTGCATAGCATTCAGATTGGGAACTGCATCCTTTGCGAACGCTTGAACTGACCTTGATGCCACTACACAATACATACACTTGATTGAGCTTCTACTTCAATATACTCCAAGGGACCCATCCATGTTGGACTTCAACCTACCTTGTTTGAAAACCGAAATACATCGTGGTATAGGGAATTCCAATTGACTCGGAAGGCAGATAGATCAGCTACATACCGGAGCAAATCTCAAATCTCAAATCTCAAATCTTGAGAGCCAATTAGCCCATGATGTTCTTCTTTCACATTCCAACCAGCTCAACACGCTCCTTCAGTGGCCAATGGGCCCATGCTTTCGAGTCTTTCCCTCGTAGCATGAACCCCTGGAATCCTGGAACCCCGAGAAACACGAGTAACAAGGGGAAGAAAGATGGGATACTGTAGGGCATCCCACTCTGGTAATTTCGGAGATAGTCCCCTCGATAGGTGTCCCTAGCCCGAGCTCGTGTGGTCGAACAGTCCACGCATGTCAACACCGGGCTTCCTCCTCTCTCTCTCCCTCAACACCATTTCGTCGACGACCACGAGGGCTTCACCTAGTCGACACCCCTCATCACCTCTAATCAGCCCAGCTCTCGTCATTCATTTCTATCAAGAATCAAATACACTCTTTTGGAACCCGACTCTTTCAATCGCGTCAATCCTTGAAAAATATCCCGATTTGGTCAACAGCGACGGCCTCGTCTTTCGGCATTCACTCACTAGACTTGCATCTCGATTATTAACACGAAATCCACCGAAATGCGCTTCAATACCCTCTTCGCGTCCATCTCAGCCCTCGTCACCGTCGCGGTCGCCATCCCCGTTGCCCAGGACCCTCCAACCCAGCTCCCGACACCCTCGAAGCCCGTGATCCCTTCCGCATCTACACCATATGGAACGCCCTCTGCCACACCCAGCATGGTCGGAGCCTACCAATGCCCGCCAACCCAACAGAAGCAATGCTGCCAGACTCTGCAGGAGACATCTCACGATGTCATGAAGAGCTTGGGTGCACTTGTGCCTATTCTGGGAGGAATCACAGTTAGCTCCAAAGTGACGTTCCAGTGTACGTATCCATCTCCACCAACCACGAGGAACAACGTGCTAACTAGATCTACAGGCAAGGCAATGACCCCAGAGGAATCACCTGACTCCTGCGTGGATAACGAATACATTCCCATGTGCTGCACCAATCAATCATCGGTACGCGCTCGGATTCCTCAACTGATATCATTCACCCATTGACTGATGAATATAGAACTCTATCGGCCAGTGCAAGCCCTTCGCCGAGGCCAAAGAAGCATATTACCGCTCATTCGGATACGGTCAAGAGAGCCAAACCGACTACATCTTGGATGCTATTGACTAAACAGCATACCAGCATAGCGACGGTTTGCGTCTTGGAGGATTATTGATGGAACTCGATAGACCGGGAAGCATTGGCATTTCGTTTCTTCTCTTGATATAACTTTGGCGGCTCGCCTTGATATCGGTTGGCTTTTTGTGTAAACTTGATTGCACCTTTTTATCTTGACTTAGTCGTGACCGAGCTCTAATGTACACCTTATAGGCTAGAGATTCTTCTATAGACTTGTATAAGAAATATCCTATTAGTGTTTCAGGTCAATCTTGAAAGGTTGAAATCCTTGGATGTCCAGTCGCAACCCCATGCAGCCCTGTATCTGATGTGAGCTCAGCATATCATCGATTATCCAACCTAGATCTTTGGTAGGCGCTAAAGGGCATCGACTGGGTTATTCTCGAAGAGATAGTCTGTCTGCGTGTGACAGATCCGAAATAAACCATTCCCGTGTGAGACCTCGCAGGCAAGCGTGAAGATTAGTGCCCACAATATCTTCTCTGTTGAAGACGGAAATGGTACGAATGTTATTGATGAAAGCAAGGACGTGACTGAAGTACATGAAACCATTGACGCATCGCATGTGGTTTTCTTCGGTCAAGTCGGGATCGAAGTAGCCGACCTCTGCTGTTCTCCAAGAAGTCGACTTGGCGTAATCCCCAAAGGTATTGGACGTATTAGAGCGCACGTGGCTGGGGAGCCCGTTGAGGCTCGCTAACGAAGGCAGGACATGACCAACCCACTCTGGGCTCCGGTGGATATTTGATGAGAGAGAGCGTTGTCGGGCTGGAGATGGCATATCTGTGCATGCCACTGAATTGAGAGTTGATGACACCTCTCGACCAGGGAAGGGTTTGAGTTCTCAGATTAAGATTGATGCAGGCTGGAGACAGTAAGAAAGTAAAAAGTGGACGTGGTGATGGGCAGAGTGTCTATCTTCGTTGACGTCTTGAGGAAGTAAACATCAGACTCTACATGACAGATTCGTCAAGTGAGAGTCCTCTCAGAGGATATGTGAAACATTTACTCAATGAAGATCAGCAAGAATGATCCGCTACTATTTGTGCAAAGTATGGCATGGCGTCTGTAGATTAACGTGCCCCTATAGAAAAGTAAAACCATGTACCAAAGCCCTGCACCTCAAATGCTTCGACGAAGGGCCGAATGAAACGACACTACTCGTTCTCACCATCGCACCACTCAACATACGCATCATCAAGCTCCTTCATAAACTCCGAAACTAGAGTACTTTTAGCAGGGCAGTTGACCGGCCACTGAAGTTCCAAATCAATACCATACCAGATCTGCTTCAGCTGTGCATAAGTACTGGTGATACCAGCCGCCTGAGAATTGCGAATCATTCCATGAGCCCATTTGACAGGGTCATATCTGTTCTCCGCATCTTCCTTGGCGTACTGTCCCTCCTTGTACCGGCGCAGAGCAACATCATAAAGAGGCTTGAAGCGCTTCAGGAGAGCCTCGATCCAGCCTGTCTCAAGGGGCAGCACGCGCAGCATCTCTCTCTCCATGACATTAAGTTCCATGTCGATCCAATCCTGTGCTTTGTCGCGGAGACAGAAGTGAAGGTTGGCGCGGATGACGGGCTCGGGCTTGTAGAAGGCTGGGCTGCGGATGTGATTGACGAAGACGTTTGTGTAGTATGTGGTGTTATTTTCGATGTATCTGTGGTCCCCAGCGGTGTCGTCTGGAGTGAAATAGCCAACGTCGCTTGTGTTCCAGGGAGATGAGAGGTCTGTCGTGACCGGGGTGGGCCAAGGTGGTGACAGCTGATTCGGAGCGTCCAGTGAACTCATAAAGTGTTGGTGTCTGCCTTTTCCAAAGGGGTTCGACCCTTTCCCTTCGTGTTCATCAAATAGGGCTCTCGCTGTTTCCTTCCCTGGTGGGCACGCATGGATTTAACCATAGGTTCGGACCTGAGATAGCCTGGGACTGGATGTGACGGCATCTTGTCAGATGATCCAAGCCTTGAGTGGACCTCTTGTAACAAGGGAATCCCAAAGGATCAGGACTGAGATTGAGAAACCGAAGGTTTCGGAGAAATTATGCTAGAATACAGGGATCGTCTTGTAGCCAGAGACAAAAGCCACCTTTCCAGATTGTTTTCTTCGGGCCCGAGGCTGGTGTGGGTAGGACAAAGGTGATACTACGGAGATCAAAGGTTTCCAGCAACCTTGGGTCAAGGGAAGAGGGAGAAGCAGCACTTGAGAGAATTTGATGGAGATGAGGGAAAGGTGACGGACGAAGCGATGCTGCTGCCCAATACCGCAGTGAGCCTCACTTCTTTGACATTATCGGCCTATGTTCTACCACAAGGATGAGAGTATTATCAAATGGCCCGTTTCACCATTTCAGCTTGTATAATTCTGGATATCATGACTCAGGTAGTAAAAGTACATTGGAAGCTTCTATCGCCAGTTCCGGCCACCAGGAGGCCCCCAAGGGGCGCCATGCTGCCCGCCAGGATGAGGAGGCGGGAAGTGATACTGTCCAGGAGGTAGGGCCTGTCCTGGAGGCACAGGCATAGGATGTCCAGGGAAAGAAGGGGGAAAGGCTGGAGGGTTGATGCCGGGGCCAGGTGGGGGAAAGGCCATGTTCGGGAACTGTGGGGGTGGAGCAGGTGGCCAGCCCGGGTATTGTGGAGGTGGGGGGAGGGAAATTGGCCTCCGGAGGGGCATACTGTGCATAGGGGTAAGAGGGAAGGGGGTGGGCATGTGAAGCTTGGTGGGGAGGTGGGAAATGAGGCTGTTGAGGTTGCGAAGGTGGTGAGGCTTGTCGTGGGGAATATGGGCTTTCGCGGCTAGGGGATCTGCGGGAACGGCTTCTGGACGACGATCTATACCGAGCCTCACGCTTACCAGGCGGAGACCGACTCCGCGATCGGGAGGTTCGGCTGTCCATAGAGCTATCGCTATAACGCCTGCGTTTGAGATCACGAGCTCCGCTGACACTTCGACTGCGACTGCGACTGCGACTGCGAGTACCATCGGGTCCTCGCTTTTTCATCTGCTGGCAGAATGCTCGGGACCAGCCGTAGTATGTCTCACCATCTAGAATGTCCCCAGTGATCTCGTCCCGCACGATCCTCTGACCTAGCTCATCAATATCGATGTTCCCATCATCTTTGACGAGCTCCTGAGTTCCGTAAATTTGATCCACGTCCTTCAAGAATCCCTTGAGAGCTTGTACCAAGTTCTCATCTGCAGGGCCAGCGAGGAATTGAAGCGGTTTGATGGTATCGGCGTGAAGAGGGATAGTCGAGTTGGGGATGATGTGGGGGATCAGGTTGCCGGCCGGAAGATCATAGTACGGTGTTGACGAGTCGCCATGAGTCGATGGCATGATAAATGGTGCATCCTTTCCGGGCAACTTCTTGACCGCATCTGCCTCGCTGGCCAGGACATCGTTCGATGATGGCGGAGCTCCCGTGGAGGCCGAGTGCTTCACCACTTCTCGCAGTCTGTAGAGCAGGTCGGGACCAAAATATCCGTGCTCGGACCAGATATCAAGTAGATCATCTAGGCGGCGATGGTGTCGGGAGTGCTTATGCTGATCGTACGCTGCAGCGTGGCCGAGTAGGTCGACCATGAATGGCTGTAGGGACCCGCTCACTGTGGAGAAGACCACCGTGCTGTCCAGGTGGTACTTGCTGTGGTGCAGCAGATCATTGAGGAGATAGAGTATGTGGAGCCGGCGACGCTTCGACGAAGGGTTTGGCTTAGCGCTCGCTGGAGCTTCATCGAAGGATTCCGCCAATGCCACCAGGTATTTGGCTAGTCCTCCTACCCGGTTGGAAGATGAGAGGACAAAGTGGAGTAGCCATGCTTTGCAGGTCTGTGTGGGTCAAGGGCATTTAGTAACCGGGGTGCGATAGATGAGGTTGCAACAGTTCAGACCTGGATGTTTGCCGGGGAGCAATGTGATAAGGCGCGTTCGAGATGGGAATGGAAGGCAGCGATGTCGTCTCGAGGGACTGACGTGGGATCGGGGCGTAAGAGGCAAGCAGAGAAGGCCGCCTTCGCAATGGCGATCTGATGGGATGCCATTGCGGGGATTCAGCTTAGCTATTAGCTCAAAGAAGGAGAGTGGGAGGCGCAAAGTTGATGCTATCGCACGTGACCCGGAGCTATGCTTCTCCGCATTATAAAGAGAGTTATTTTACTGCCCGGGAGGCAACTACAGTAGGCGGAACTAGAGCGCTTAGTTCTTTTATTTTATTTTATCTAGTTTAGTATATTTTTATTTTTTATTTTTTATTTTTTAAGGAACCACTGTACGTGCTTGAGATGCTTTAGTTAACCCCTATGTCATCGGGTATCTCCCAGAGTAGCGGAAATGGCGGTTCCAGCGGTGCGCCTCCCGGCAAGTTAGAAAGTACCATAACCGACTCCAATTGATAAGATTTACCCGGCTGAGAGCATCGGCTACTGCACTCCCGTCCTCAGTCTATGTGGAGCCTAAACATGATCTACCATCGGTGAAGCCTGAAGACCCTCGAGACTCTTTGGGGAGGAATTTTGGCCCCACTCTTTCGGCCGCTGGCGATTTACAACCCCGCGATGGCGTGAGGCAGTCTGCTGTGTCTCACTGAGTATGAGTCGCTCTTCGTGCCGACAGTCCGAATCCGCCGATCACGCATTAAGTCTGCTCACGCCGGAGGAGCGTTTCCAGCGGCTGTCAGCCCATCAGCCCACTCCAATGTTGCCTTAGCCCCCCCCCCCCCAACTGCAGGCCCCACGGTGACTCGGTCACTCGCATGGCCTGACCTTCGTTGCTCCTTCCATAAAAAGCCTCATACTCCCCCCATTTCCCGATTTTGGCCTGCACACATATACTACTACCTCGGGTTCCTCACAAGTTACACAACTCTGCTTTAACAGCCACCCGACCTTTCACCCCTTTTACAAACACCCTCACTATGGCCGCCGTCGTCGCTCAAATTGCCCGGCCTTCTATCCGCCACTTCTCCGCACACCGTCCTCGCCCTGACAGCCGCGCAGCACGCGCAGTCGCCATGTCCTGCCTAGTCACTGGTGTTGTCCTTCCTTTCGTCCCGCCTGCTCTCGAAAGCTCGCGCCAAAGAAAAGCCGGCTTCCCTAACAGCAATAAGTGAGTCTAGCAAAGAAACCTCCGCACGATCACGACTAACTCGCTCCCAGGCCCCCTCCTCTCTGCTTCCACGCGCGCTAAACAAACTTCCCGCGATGTGCTTTGAAGGCGCAGATAGGATATCGGGTTCAACCTCAGATAGGTTCCGATTCGCGGTGCGGGCGCCGGCTTGGGACCTGCTATGATGCATGATGTTGAGGGCGTTAGGGATCCGGCGTTGCTATTATTTTTTGATTTCAATTGCGTGGGGTAATTTTGCATGATACCTTTAAGGATGGAGAAAGCGGGAAGGTATACCACTCCTCGGACGGTCTAGATCTCTAGATCGACGCCAAGCACGTTTGAATAGACGATCTTGAAACACAAAGTTACTATTAAACCTGCTGTCCCGAGAAGCTGGAAGCTTTGAAAGTAGTAATATTTGAGTAGAGGCTTCAAAAACCAAGTTGTCTTCATCTAGAAGAAGATTGAATATACTAACAGGATGATCTCAGGTTCATAAAGTCTTCATACATCCAAAGTCATGGGCCAGCCCACCATCTCAGCAGCGCGCCATATAACATATTTTACACAGAATGTACAAATCCAATCAAACCTCTAACTGAATCGGTTTCCACTGGGAGGTCGGAACGGCGCTGCCGCCTCATATTTGCCCTTTTCTTGCACCCGGTCGGTCTCCGTCATGGGCTCGTGGCGAGTCGGAGCTGGGTCGTGAGATGCCTCAGCACTGGGAGAAGCCACGTCGTCTGCAGCGTTCTGAAATCGGGCCATGTTCGCTCGCTTCAAGCTGCCATCGTCGGTCGGGGTCGGTGTGGATACGGAAATAGCTTCCCGGCGGTGCTCGGCTTCCTGGGCCTTGAGTTGGGCCTTGCGCTTGAGCTCAGCCTCGAATCGGGCGGCTCGGTCGGCGTTGATGGATTGTTTGGCAAAGTAGTAAGCACCACCGCCGGCTGGATGAAATGTGGTTAGATTTGGGGCCATAGAGAAGTTTTCAAAGCGACTAGGTGTTTCTCCATAGGAATATAGAGTCAGTAAGTACTTACCAACGCAAAGGGTGCCCCAGCCAACCCTGTAGACATCTTCAATCAGCTTCCCAATCACCGATTTTGGCTCCCGCCTATTTTAAGTAAAAGAGAGCGTATTTGCTTACCAGGTAGATCGAATCTGGTAAGAGAGGGCTGTTAGCAGGTTTCTTCAGCTCAGATCAAGCTCAATGCTTACAGTGTTCATGGTTGTGAGAAATGACCGAGTGAATGTAAAGGTGAAGTACGAGAGCTCGAAACGTTATTCGCGGCTCCACGGGTGTCGGGTGAAAGCGGTGAGTTGTCGGTTCACCGTCTCTGACTCCACCCTCTTAATCTTGCAAAGTCGGACCATGAATTATCATATAGAAAGGTAGCTGTGACACACCCCCTAGTTTCACTCAGACAATTAAAGGGAAACTTGGAAAAAAAAAAGGAAAAAAGAGCTTTAAGGAGATACCTAGAATAGATATTGAAAGGTACAAAAGAAAAGTGTTTAGGCCTATTTGGATTATCCTCTTGGTCGGGCTGGTTATAGTATTTTAGCATTCTTCTTCTTAATATTCTCGCTTGTCTAGGGAAGATATAGCGTCGTTCAATAGTTACAGAAAGAGATAAAGATTTAATAATTACTACATATGATCTAGGATTCTAGTAACGTGGGATACTTCGATAGCGAGGACAAAAATTCCGAAAATAAAAATATAAAAACACATGGATAGCGGGCTAGGATTATGCCGATCAGGATCGATATGGGCCAGTTGTCTCCATCGGCTGCCGTAACATGCATATGTCGAGCTCGAGCCAGACTGGTCTTGCTATGTAACGTATGTCATTCGCGGTCAGGTTGAAACCCACTTCATTCTCGCTGGGATTCTTCGGGCGAAGATATATATCCTCAAACGGAATCTTCAGGGAGCCTGAGATCTGGTGCTGGCCTGTAATTTTTTTCCCGAACCATTGTCACTTCTTGAACAGGCTCAGCGCGTACTGAGCCTGGTCATAGCCGCCACTGTTGGATCATTATCTTCTCTGACAATGAGACACTGAATGAGAGCACCACCTTGACTGCCTGGTTAGATACCCGGCACCATGTGGACAATTATTCCGCGAGTTTCTCGAGGTCACCGGAGAAATGCCCCTTATACGTTCATACAAAAATTGCAGCTTCACTTCTGGTTAGAAGGGGTTCACCATGTGTCTGAGTGGCTGAGCTGAAATACCTCTGAGACTGAGGTAAAACACTACTTCCCAGATGTGGTTAGCCAGGAAGACTCCAGCCCCATATCACGTGATCGCATGTGGCAACTTGACCTGGTCTGCAGCCTAGCACTGCCTGCGCTCTGCGGTCAGCAGCGGTCGTGGCATGCAGTTCTTATTTTCCTTCAACGAGGTGGTAGTCGCCTCAAAACACACCTTTCGTTCGATAACTCATCCTTTCAACCTTCCTTCAACGCTCGGTTGACCGGCCAAAGACTACAAGATGCCTGCCAAGCGCAAGGCGACTGACAGTAGGGCTCTGGCATCGTTGTTGAAATGGGGTGACTGACTTTGCTAGGCGGTCGGTCAAGCAGCGCTTCGAAGCGACCTACACCGGTGCCGGATGCCACTGACATCTCCAGCAGCGATGAATACTCGGACCCGGACGATGGAGATCTGCCGGAGGAGCATAACCTGAAAGGTAGAGTATAGCGGTCTACTTGTACAGCATGGCTGAGATGCTAAACTGCAATAAAGAGGTCGTTAGCAAGTTCTCGCTCGCCTCATTCAGCAAGCGATCGCAGGTGAACAAAACCGATCCCAGATTCGGCTACAAAGACCTTTCTTCCCTGCCCCTCAAGCCCGACCACTATAATCGCCCTCTATGGATCGAGCCGGTGAAAGGCACGATCACTCTCGAGAGTTTCAGTCCCCTGGCGCCCCAGGCTCAAGATTTCTTAACCACCATCGCGGAACCGCTTTCTCGTCCGACCCACCTCCACGAATATCGACTGACTGGCCACAGTTTATATGCGGCTGTGTCGGTGGGTTTGAAACCACAGGATATCGTCGCTTTTTTGGACCGCTTGTCGAAGACACCTCTACCAGAAAGCATTAGGACCTTCATCATCGAATTCACCAAATCTTACGGTAAAATCAAGATGGTCCTGCGACACAACCACTACTACGTGGAAACGACAGACCCCGAAATGCTGCAACGACTTTTGAAAGATGAGGTCATTGGTCCGCAAAGGATTGAGAGCACGGAGGGTATTATCGAACGAGCGGCTCCAAAGATGGGAGGTCTTGTTATTCCTGGAACGAAAGATGCGGCCGGTATTCGAGAGACTGGTAATCAGCAGGAGCCCGCTGCGGCGCTCCGGGATGAGAATCAAGAGCAAGCAATGGACTACGGAATCGACGATGTTGGAGAGGACGATAACGAAGAAGCCACAACCTACAGTTTCGAGATTCCTCCTGCTGGTGTCGAAGTCGTCAAAGCCCGCTGCCAAGCGATTGGGTGCCCTGCTCTGGAGGAGTACGATTTCCAAGGCGATACTGTCAACCCCAATCTCGACATGGATTTGAAGCCTGCTGCCAGAATTCGTTCATACCAGGAGAAGAGTCTCAGCAAGATGTTTGGTAACGGACGTGCCAAAAGTGGTATCATCGTTCTTCCGTGTGGTGCTGGTAAGACCTTGGTCGGCATTACTGCAGCAGCAACTATCAAGAAGGGTACAATTGTGCTCTGCACCAGTTCCATGTCGGTGGTCCAGTGGCGTAACGAATTCTTGCGATGGACCACCATCGACCCGAACGACATCGCCATCTTCACATCTGATCACAAGGAAAAATTTAAACGGTCTACTGGAATTATTGTGTCCACTTACTCAATGGTGTCACAGACCCGAGCGCGTTCCTACGATGCTCAGAAAATGATGGACTGGCTTCAGTCTCGTGAATGGGGTATGATGATTCTTGACGAAGTTCACGTCGTTCCCGCGTCTATGTTCCGTAAGGTCACATCCGCGATTGCTGCTCAGAGCAAACTCGGCCTTACCGCGACCCTACTGCGTGAAGATGACAAGATTAAGGATTTGAACTTCTTGATCGGACCGAAGCTGTATGAAGCGAACTGGATGGAGCTTGCTGCACAGGGCCACATCGCCAAGGTTCAATGTGCCGAGGTGTGGTGCCCCATGACTACTGAATTCTACTCGGAATATCTGCGAGAGAGCTCAAGGAAACAGGCTCTTCTCTACATCATGAACCCACGCAAGTTCCAGGCTTGCCAGTTCTTGATTGATTTCCACGAGAAGCGTGGCGACAAAATCATTGTCTTCTCCGACAATGTCTACGCATTAGAGCGCTACGCGCTCAAGCTGAACAAGGCGTATATTTATGGTGGAACTCCACAGAACGAGCGAATGCGTATCTTGGAGAATTTCCAGCACAACGAGCAGGTCAATACCATCTTCCTGTCCAAGATTGGTGACACATCACTGGATCTGCCCGAGGCTACATGTCTCATCCAGATTTCGTCTCATTACGGTTCGCGTCGTCAAGAGGCACAGCGACTGGGTCGAATCTTGCGAGCCAAGCGCCGAAATGATGAGGGCTTCAATGCCTTCTTCTACTCTCTCGTTTCCAAGGACACTAGTGAGATGGTGTATTCTGCCAAACGACAGGCTTTCCTGATCGACCAAGGCTATGCCTTCAAGGTTATCACCCACCTTCAGGGCATTGATAACTTCGAAGGGCTGTCTTATGCCACACCCGCGGAGCGTCGAGAGCTCCTCCAAGAAGTCATGCTGCAGAACGAATCCTCCGCGGACGTGGAACAGGTCACAGATGATCTTTTCTCGATGCGGTCTGCAGGCAAGCGCGGCGGGAAGAGGCCAACCGCGAAACGAAGCGCAGCCACTCTCAGCGGCCTCGCTGGTGGCGATGATATGGCTTACATCGAATATAACAAGAGCAAGAATAAACAACTCAAGGACAAGGGCGGTCATCACCCGCTCTTCATGAAGATGCGGCGGCAACGCGAACGTGCGGCGAAGGAGAGGGAGTCAGCTAAGCCCTAAAAAGAGGTTGGGCTTACAACATTGATGACACAGAAAGTTGATCTAGTTCTGATCTAGGCCCTTGATCGGGAGCTATGTCTCTAGTATTCTGGGGCGGAGGGACTCCGTAGATTATGCAGCATCTTGGATTTCCGACTGAATTCTCCGCTCTAGATTGTGACCCTCAATACCAAAAGACGCAAAAATCAAAAACACATCCAATCATTTTTCATGCACGTAGAATGCACGTAGAAAGTAAATAGAGGCTAGAAACCGGGCTATTTCCATCCTATTACTCAGAATACGAAGCATCAGTCAGCAAGCAGGGCTATTGCGAATAATGACGTCCGTCGGAAGGCCGATGGCCCGATGTCTCCGCTTTCCGGGCCACAATGAACTAATATTCTCACCCTGATAGGCCTACCACTTCTACAGCTACCATTAGTTACCCCAGCTTTGGTCACGCACCGAACCCAACTTCGCCGGAGCCAAGGAATTGTAAGGTGTCGTGTTCACGATCATGTTACTATAAAAGAGACATGGTATCTCGCTTATTGTCAACCGAACTACACGGCTTCAGAACGATCTCGAGAACGGACTATAGTCCAACTAAGATCCTGCGCTCAAGCTCTTCGAGTATCACACTCGTACTGTTTTCCTCAGTGCCTACGCCTCTACCACGACTAGCTTTATTGCCACGGTCTTCATCGTCTTCATCGTCTTCAGGTCTATACAGCACCCACTCTGTACCACTTGTTCCTGTACTACCTGTTCACGTCCGCTCAAACATGGCGACCGCAACTGAGATCCATCTTAACCCATCGACAGATGCGGGTATCTTTAGCTCGAACGTCACTGATGATGGGGCCAGAGCAGCGAGTGAAGTCCTGCAAGAGGACATGGAAAACCACCACGTCTTTTTTAATGACGACGGGTTCCATAGTATGCCCAACCTGTGGAGGTCTTTTGGTTCCAATCTGACAGTATCTAGATCATATTACACACCATATCCTGAGCATGTACGCTGTTGGCGCAAAGCCTGATGATATCAGGGCTGCCTATAACCGGGATAAGAGCTATCAGAGACCCGCCCTTCCTGTTGACGGAGATGTTGTTAAGGGAATGTATGACAAGGCGAAGTTTGTGGAGAGCTTCTATGATGAGAAGCAGTATCCCAACTTTTTGGCTTTTTTTCAGGAGGAGATTGATCTTAAGGGGGTTGGTGATGTGCTGAATGAGTATGTTTTTGCAGGGGATGACCGGGCGGAGAGTATGCTGTGTCGACTATTTGGCGGTGAGTACCATTCATTCTCTTGTCATGCCTTGAAAGAACCAGAGTGTAAGCTGACGTTTACAATTCAGGTCTCGTCCACCCACTGATCCACCTCGGTTTTGGAATCGAGTTCAATCAGCCTGCCATTGTAGCTCAGGCACTTGCTCAGGCCGCCGTTCATGATGACTGGATGGGTCCTGCTTTCTTCCTCCATGCTGAGAAACTGGCTGGTGGGGTTGGGAAGCCAGGCAAAAAGTCACTTCTCCAGCTGCTGAATGAGACTCGAGATAACAAGGCCCTGAGAGAGAGTGCTCATTTGTCTGATGCGAATAAGATGAGAGATGGGGTGCTGCACCGTGCTCCGAATGAAATGTTCAACATCGCTACTCAATACACTGTGTCGGAGGATCAGGCGGGAGAGAGATTGGCGGATATGATTAATAACGTTGGTGAGTCTTCGAAGTACGATTATGACATGAGAAGGAAAGTAGTCTTGCTAATAAGGCCTGGTTAGTTTACTACACGAGCACCGCACAACGTCGTGACAAAGAAGTCAAATTCGACTTCTTCTTCTTGCATGGCCTCAACTCCTCTATCTTCTTCTCGAAATTCATCCGGCTTCCGTATCTGACCCAGAAGGCCAAACTCCGTCTCCTGGAATGGAAGGGACGTCTCGATCTGCTTTTGTATGTGTCGCGAGCCTCGCCAAATCTACTCCTGGACGAGGTAACCCAATACCCCGTGAAGAATGATTGGCCTGCGCTCTTCGCCCGCTGCGCGACACACCCCGGCGATGATGGCCACTTGGTCAAGATGGTACGAGCACTGGCAAACGGACAGAACGCGTGTCGATCATACGAGAGTCAGGGTCCACAGGTGATGCCGATTTCCGGGGACATGTGGCTTCGGATTGGAAACATGGGTGAGTTCTCCGTTCATAGTGGCATGATCGGAAAAGTGTCCAACGCTAATTGCTTGAATAGCCATCGACTCCACTGTTGAGGACCCGATGTGGGTACGATCCACCGGGTTCGATGAGGCTTGGGAGCATCTACCGGGACGTGCTCATCTGTGATGTTGATGTTAGCTGTCAAAAAACAGTAGATTGGATTAGTGGTTGGCGAATGTCCTTGGACACTGATGTCATTCGATCAGATAATAAATTGAAGGTCCTTTGTTTTGGGATGAAGTATGTGTTTCGCGCCAATACTATTAGTGGGTCTGGCCTAGAATCGATGACGCGCGAGGCTACCCTTGGCGGGTAACTGGATCGTGTCAAGTGTGCGGCATCGGGTCTGGAATATCAGTATATCAGCCATGGCGGATCCAGTATAACAGAATCAAAACACACCATTAGAAGCGGAAATCAGCGAATTGAGGGAAAAAGAATCCAACACAAGGTGGGCCTCACGTGGCGAACTACCAAAGTGGGGCTCCCCAACAGCTTCAGCTTCTTCAACATCTTCGACTTCTTCGATTTTCCACTTCTCAAGCCTTGACTTCCAACATGCCAAAGGAAAACGACCCAGACGATAAGAAAAACCAAAATCCCCCCAAAATGCCCCACGATCGCGACTGGACCGATGAGAGCAACCCCTTCGTTGCCTTCCGACGCTTTGCCGACGAGCAGGTCTCGTCCGTGCTACAATCAATCACTGGACTCCCATCCTCAGTCACCCCACCCCAGCATGACCGCTGGACCATCTTCACCGATGACAAGGGCTACGGTAGTATGAAATACCGTCATCGAGATGGCGCCGAGAACGCGGGGGACCGAAACTACCCATCAGACCAGGGTGCAGGGACCAACCCGCCATCTTCAGGTGACAAGGACGAGCCGTCTTCAGACAATAATGAGAAATCCGTCACGCGACCATCACAATTTCGACAACCTGAAAAAGACCAGAACCAGCAACCACGCGGGAACATGCGCAACGGACCATCCGACTTTTTCGGTATCGACTCTTTCTTCGATCGCTTCGAGCACGATTTCCTTCCTTTCTCATCGAGTTTATTCCATCCGCATCAACGCTTCTCCTTCCCCGATCTGTATGAAGAGAATTCGCCTACATGGCCCATGGCATACGTCATGTTCAGCCCCTACTCACCTCTACTTCTGGAGCACCAGGCCCATTACCGCGCACGTCGCGAAGGCGGTGTCTTTTCCTCGATCATGTCTACACTTCGATCAGACTCGGAGCGCGACCCTACCGAGCCACAGTGGCGCGAGGCATTTGAAGACTTGCTCCGGTTGGAGAATGGGAAACCTATGCTTGACTATGATGCTTTGACGGCCGGCAAGGCTGAGAACGGAACAGAATGGCTTCACGGCCTGGTCAAGCGTGGCAGTTTGGGCGATCGGTGGAAATATGTGACTGGCTCAGACAGTCATCCCTGGACTGGTATTAAGTTTGACACTGGTCGCAATGGGGATAGCCCTGCTTTGTCTGAGAGGGCTGCCGAACCCCGACAGAATGGCGAACAAGCTGAGAGCGAGCTGGATGTGTATGAACGCTTCCTGCAAAATATCGAAGCCCGCGAGCGTGAATCCTTCCGGGGTGTCCCAGAAAGTCCTCTCCTGCGTTTGCTTTTGGATGAGCGCCAGAGAGAGCAAGACGCACCGGAGAACTACCAGCGCGGTCTCCCCAGCGCTGAAGACAAACAAGGTGACGATGACAACGAGAGTTGGCTGGATCTTGTCTCCGGCGGGAACCGAAAATCTGTCCCGGAAACACCACCGGAGCCAACTTCGACATCCGAAGGCAAACCAGTCGCATTGCCCGAGGCACGTGTTGTCTCAACCATGAGTCGAACAGAACGTAAGCGTCTTGCCGATGGCTCTGTTCAGACTACGATTGTCAAGACTAAGCGGTACGCTGATGGCCGTGAAGAAACCGATGAATCTGTCGAGACCACCCACCTACGGTCTGGAGAGAGACAGTCGGCTGAAGACAATAAGTCAAAAGGCGGCTGGTTCTGGAAAGACTGAACCAATCGTTGACTAATGATTTTCGCCAATTTGGCATCTTATGACCCATGAATTGCAATTGCTTAGGACAAGCTCATCAGCGTACCCTTCAGATTTTTCTCATCCCGGATTTTTTTGTTTCATTTCCAACTATCTGGCTCTGTATATGCATCAATTTCACATGTTTTTGACCTTGTCAATAGCTTGATCGATTTGAATGAAATTCCAATAATACATTAACTATTGTAGTTGGGGAACTGCTAACTGCATGAAGGAGCGGTCTATCAGATGACTAAGGCTTTTGTGATGTATAAGACTTTCTATGCGCAGGATAAGCAAGACAGACATCTTCTCTTCTAAAACCACCCCTACGTGCTCTCCTCCCCCTTACTCTCCTCCCTAGACCGGCAGGGTGTGTGTGTGTGCCCGGTCTGCGTGGTCAGACAGCCATCGAGCACTCCCCATCTCACTATTTGGAATCGCAATGGCATTGTCATCAGCTTGCACGCTGTCCGCACATCTTTTATAGCCACATCAAGTCAAATTCAGCATCTTCATCTAAGCAAGTAATCTACCTATTAATCGGCCTTGACACTCTTCTTTTGGGCCTTCCCGGTATTCCAGCCCTTGGACTCCCAGTACTTGACACTATCCTCCATCTTCTTATAAGCCCAGGTGAAAGAGGGGTCTGAGTATTTAATTAGCCTGGAAATGTCACACGAGAAGAACCAGATCTTACACAAGAACTGCCGAAGATCATGGCGGTTATCTTCAGGACTGTACTGCTCAGCGTGGTAGCTTGGGGTGATGACTGTCATCTTGTGACGGTTGATGGAGTACTAAGCTCATATTAGTATTCGTGAGTAGACGCATACGAAGAGAGACAAACGTTGTAGAAGAAGTGCCTTGTCTTCTCGTAGATCTCACGAGGACTGTACTCATTGCCCCAGACGTGCAGAAGCTTTTCATACATGCTCCATGGACCGAGCTTCGAGACCTTGCGCATGTACTACAAAAACGTCAGTATTTGGTGAATTTCAATTAGAAAGTAATATCATCTTACCCCGAACACGCCAAGCTCAGCGTACGTCACGCCCATATCTGCCTCTGATAAATCGGTCAGTATTAATTGCAGAGTTTGGTGTAGATATTACTTACCATCTGACTGCACGTAGGTTTCTGTGATAGGCTCGAGTTCGGCCGTGGGCGTGGCGTCGAGGAACTCCTCCAAGATTGGAAGGTCAAAGCTATGGCCTGCCCATCCAATGAATTTCTTTAGGTCTACCTTGGAGATGGAACCGATAGGGTTGAGCTGGTCGATGAGTTAAAAGGGAGGTTGAACCTTTGAGATATGGGTCACTCACATCAGCAGAGCTGGCATCGTACTTGGTGAGGTAGCCTCGTAGACTATCGGGTAAGAACACATAATGTTAGTATCGTATCCTAGTATCTCAACCCTTCTTAAGGGCTGGCTCGACATACCATTCTAGTTGTTTCAGTTAGTGTTGTTCCGTAAATTCAGAAATTTTAAACAACTTACCATCAACGTTAGATGCCGCCAAGACCAAAAGGCCACCGCCGCCGGGGCGTTGACGGACAGTCGGCAGCAGTTGAGCAAAGAGGTAACCTAGAACCATTCTCATGCGAGCTTGCACGTTCTGCAAGGCCGCATTCTCGGCACCGCTGCCACCGTGAACCTTGAAGCGGGGCTGGAAGGTGGTGACAACAGTAAAGAGATTCATGATAGCGGTCACAACGGTGTCGAAGTTGAAGTCGACATGGTAAGCGCCAATGTCCGCGGCCAGTCTCTTCGCACGGTCTCTTGTCTCATGGCTGGAGTTCTGAGTGCCCATGTAGCTCGTATGGAAAATAGCCTTTGCAATCTCTTGGCTGCTGGTAGGAAGCCAATCTGAGCCGGTTGGCTTGGCACAAAGTCGGCGGACATCCTTGATGACTTGTTCGTTGCCTTCTCTGACAGCCTTGAGGACCTCGCGACACATTGAGTGCACAATCACCGACGTAGCACAGCTATCGATACCACCACTAAGGGGGATGAAGAAACCAGCGGCACCGCATCGACGAAGGTAATCCCACAGCCAGCAAGCCGGTCCAAGGGCAATCTCTTCTTCTGGGGCATGGTAGCGAGGCTTGATAGGCTCAGAAATCGTGAGAGCAGGATCGGCATCCTCGCTGCGGCGAGACAGTCTCGTGTCAAGATCAAGCCGCACATAGGGAGATTGTTTGCTTGCTTGCATGCCACGACTGACACTGCAGCGGTATGTTCGGACGTCCTCAATATCGACAGTGGCGGTGACAACCTCCACATCGTTCAGAGAGAATTGGGATCCTTGAGCTACGATCTCACCATTGACCACAATCATGGCACAGCCGTCGTAGTACAAGCGGTCACCGTCACATCCCTGTTGGTTGGCATAAAGATAGATGCCACCACTGAGCTTGGTGGCCTGAGTGATCAAGTTGATACGTGTGTCGAGCTTCCGGAGCTCGTGGTGGCTTCCAGAGGAATTGGAAATGATCTCAACACCAGCAAGGCCGTAGGCGTTGTGGGGACCATTGGGTGTGAAGAGTTCTTCGCAGGTCTCAAGACCAAGGCAGGTGTCCCGAGTGCTGATAACCGCGTCGCCGAATGGGACTTTGTACTGGCCGGTAATGCTGCCGACGATCTGCTCGAGGTAGTAATCTTCCACCTCTTGGGGGCGCTGCCACGGGGTGAAGTGTCGGTGCTCGCGGTAGTTACCATCTATGATATATTAGTAGGTTTCCGATGAGCGGTGGTAGAAAAGCGGACCGTTTGCGAGCCACATCTTAGGGCGAATGAGGATGATCTTTTTATTGAAGAAGATAACACTGGTATTGGGTATAAGTAAACTATAGACCTTCAAAATGGGTTGAAGTACTTACCGGCAGTTATATCTCACGTTGCGATGCCTGATAGGCATTCCAACATCAACCACGATATCCTGGGTGTCCGGGTGGTCAATGATGCGGGCCAGCATCTCCCAGGAGTGGAGGAAGGTATCGCCCTCCAGGAACCCATCAAGAACGCCATATCCGGTAATTTCCAACTCGGGACCAACACGAAGGGTGGCACCGGCAGCTTTAGCCTGGCGGATACTTTCGATAATGCGTTCCGCGTTGCCTTCAAAGTCGAGAGCCCATTGGTTTAGGGAACTAGCCAAGGAGTTAGCGGACGTACTTTCCGGGGTCGTATGAAGCTCCTACCAGGTTGCGAGAGTCACCAGGTGTCCCATGGTGAAGTCGTTGAAGCGATTGAAACGGGCGCAAGCTAATTCCGAGCTTAGGAAGCTGGAGACTTTCTTATCGGCAAACGTGAATAAGTCACGTGTGTGGGGGAGTCATCGGTTCCCCGCTCCTAGTTTTCGTAATACCGTGTAAAATACGGACTTACTCCTTATCTCGGCCCAAGTCCGATGGATTACTGGTTATCGCGATACAAGGCTCTGGCTCAGGCACGGCACGGCTTCGCCGGGCTGATTAATAGGTCGGGATTTGGTCCCTGAACAATCGCAATCTTGTTCTTGTTCTGGTTATAATTTCCTCAACTCACTAGACTTACCCTCAGAACTTCGCAAGCCTGTGCTTTCCTCTTACCATAATGAGCATGAAACCTCAAATTCCCGCCCCGGCTCACACGCTTGCCGAGTCGATGTTGTCGCGGCGCTTCGGCAAAGAGACAGTGAACTATTTCTCCAGTATGAATTGCCAGAGGACGAGAGAAAGACAGAGAAATCAAAAGACAAGGCATCAAGACTAAACGTGAACAGGTTCTCCTATCAATCGACTGTCTTTCCTTCGAACCGAGCATCCGTTCCTATCAGCGGCGCTGAAGCACCCGTCTACTCAGTTTGTACTGCTGAACAATCTCGCGCCGTTGATTCGATCGCCGTCCGAACCATACTATGCCAAATTTGAGGAACTGCGCAAACTCATCCCGCAAGATTTCTTTGATCACGCCGAGGAGGATATGATCAAGAGCTATGACTCGCGCAAGACAAACCCGGCTCTGATCTTCCTCGGCATGGACGAGAGCCGCAAGGAGGGTATGACGTACAAGATTTACTCCGGAGTGCCTTTCTTTGCGCTGGATGTGACCCCCAAAGGCTCAGAGGCGCAACAGTCTGAGTCAAAGGATGTTATCAGGGCTATGGAGGAGAAGGGATTGTCTTTCTTCCAAACCAGAATCGTCAGCACATTCACCCCGGACGATGGTATGTTTGGACCAAAGGCATTTAGACATCAATTTCATTAGATAACCACTAACAATGTCTCATAGCTGCTATCTATGCGCAAGCACGCGCGCTGAACGATTGGAACAACCGCAATACTTTCTGCGGCACCTGCGGTAACCCCACGCTGTCCGTCAACGCTGGTACGAAGCGTGTTTGCCCGCCGTCAGACGCTGCCCGAATTGCACAGGGTCAACCCGAGGAGCGTCCCGCTTGTAGCACTCGCAACACGATTTCAAACCTGTCTTTCCCTCGCACCGATCCCACCATCATCGTGGCGGTGATCTCTGCCGATGGCAAGCGCATCCTGCTCGGCCGGTCGAAAAGATTCCCGCCGAAGTGGTATTCAACCCTCGCCGGATTTATCGAGCCCGCAGAGTCCATTGAAGATGCTGTCCGCAGAGAAGTGTGGGAAGAGGCCGGCGTGACTCTCGCTCGCGTCGTGATTCATTCGTCGCAGCCTTGGCCGTACCCCGCGAATCTCATGATCGGTGCCATTGCGCAGTGCAGTGATGCCGCTCATGAGAAGATTCATCTCGAGCATGACCCTGAGCTCGAGGATGCGAAGTGGTTTGATATTGAGGAGGTCGAGGAAGCTCTGCGTATTGGCACGGGTGATCTTAGCGGCAACGCGCCTCCTGACTATAAGGGCGGCCTGAGACTGCCGCCTGCGACGGCCATCGCGAACCAGTTGATCCAGTGTGCGATCAGTGCTGATTATCTGCAGTCTGAGAAGAGCAAGATGTGAGCATTATGAGGGTTTATAAATGTATAACATCTACAGGCTAGAGATGAATTCAGCGGAATGTATATACAGACTCTTCGATAAGAGTTGATTCGTTTAGTAAGATTAGATACATTGGTTCACACAGATGTTCTTCATAGATCAGCATAGACTGTGCCGTCCCGCAGCTCGTGGATGCTTTCTCTACTGCCGGGCGAACCAACTTCCGTATAGCGAGTTCCATCTCGAAGCTCGTGAATAGTGACCCGCCGGTCTCTTCGCCGGGTACGCTTGGTACCCCGAGAAGATGACGTTGAATCACCGCGGACGGCTGACTCAAAGCTTCCAGCTTCACTGATCGCCACATCGCTGGGTGTAACTCCTCGATCCATACTGTCTCGTTCAATGGACGCCTGTAGTTGATTGTCGGCAACATGGGAAGCGCCAACTTCAGTGTACCATCTTCGCAAACCGGACGCATATGCGCGTTCCTGTGAGCCGTATTCCACGGGTGGTCCACTCATATGTGCTTCTGGTGCGGAGCCATCGAATATAGCCCACGAACTAGACTCGACGCTGATGAGCATAATCGAGTGATCATAACTCCGAACTTTGAAGTCCCGAAGCAAGACCGCATTGCCTTCAGCTAGAGATGGCATGGCCGACTTGGTACGTCGGAAGATCTGGGCTTGAAGTGTTGTGCCAGCCATAGAGGGATCGGTAAGCTGGACAGTCACAAAATAGTCTCTTGAGCCGGAGCTGCCTTTGGAAATTGGAGTTGCTTCGTGGATAATAGAAATTGTGTCTACCAGGGCATTGTAGTGGTCGACGAGTGCGGCAAGAGGAGCAAAGTAGGACAACTTGCTGCGTAATCCATGGGCGTTGCGGTCAGGGACTGGGGGTTTGGTAATGGTCACTTTTGGCGTTTCAGGAGATTTGCTCTGGTTCAAAATCTTCGTTATATGATGATCAACCTGACCATTTTCGGTGGTGGATACAGCAACATTCACATCGTCTTTTCCGTCTTGTTGTCGAGTGTATAAAGTGTCGGTAAGGGACCTAGGTGCGGCATTTTCAGGGGACACGAGACCTTTGTCAAGCCGAGCCTCATCCTTAGGACCAAAGTTTTCCAGGTCAGATGCCGATGAGATTTTCAGCCCCAGAGGTTGTTCTGACTTGGCACGGGAAAGCGAGACCTCCGTCTTCTCTTGGCTTGGATGGGCTTGTCGACCAGAACCAGAAATTGGGAGCAGGTTCTCAGTATCGCCGGGCGATTCGCCGTTCACGAGCTTATCCTTGGTGCCAGAAAGCTGCAATTGCGGTTGGGAGACGTTGTCTTCCTCAGGGCCATCTGTCTGTTCTTCTCCCTGGTTTTTCACCTCGTTTTCTTCCTCATTTTCTGCCACATCTTCGTTCACTTCGGCATTCATGGGTGACCGCAGCAGGTCTCGATCATTGGCTCCGTCCAGGCTGCCCATGAAACGACCAGAAGAGCCAAGTATCATACGGCTTGTCTGCTGGTCTTTTCCCGCCTCCTTTTCGGATTCCTGGTTGGATTCATAGTCGGATTGTTCTTCGGGCTCTTCGTCGAATTCTTCTTCGGGTTCCTGTGCGTCCGAGTCAAGATCAATGACTGCTCCCGGCTTCTCCCTGGGGTTGGAGTCCTGCTGGCTTGCTTGCGGCTCCTCCGTGTCAATTTCCTCCTCCTCCTCATCGTGCTCTTCTTCAACAGATTCTTCGTCGATAGAGTGCTCTCGACTCGAATGTTGCTGGACGTAACGGGCGTGTAATGACTCGTCCACCGAAGATTCATCGTCCATGTCACTGTCGTGGATTTGTTCATTGTCCTCACCATGATATCTATCTTCCACCGCATCAGAATCAGACTCATATTCTTCTTCCTCTTCTTCCTCTTCTTCTTCTCCCTCCACTCCTTCCAGCCCCTCTTCCTCCTTTGCAAAGTTCGCAACGCGCGACTCGGTATAAGATTCGCGATTGTGGCTGCTCTCTCGTTGTGTAGGTTGCAAAGGTGTGGAGGCTGGTTGATCGGAAGCAAGCTCATCTTCGCTGTCGCTGTCGAGCACTATGATTTCAGGTTGGGATAGATGTGGCCGAGGCAGCTGCGCTGTCTGGGGATCCTCATCACTGCTATACTCGTCCTCGTAGCCATACTCCTCCTCATCCACGTCTTCCCCCACAGAGTCTTCTGCATCCTCGTCCTCATCATCCTCATTATAGAGAACTTCTTCTTCATCGTCATTGCTTTTTCCACTGTGACTGGGACTGGTCGGATGATCTTCAACAGGTAGAGCAGCTTCCACAATTTCGTCTTCACTTTCAATTGCTTTAGGTGCATGCTCTTCTATTTCGTCTTCAGCGGGCTCCATTTCGACTACCACGCGAGCAGCATTCACCATAGCATCGCCGAGGGCATGGTCTGTTTGCGCCGGTGATCCCTCGATGTCTTCAATGTCAGATCGCTTGCTTTCTGACCCGGAAGCGGGTTCTTCGTGCCAAAAGCCCATCCCATCATCGGGTGCTTCTTCAGCTCTGCCAATTCCCTCGGTATGGCGATCAACAGACTCCGCAACAGATTCAGGTTCATTGAAATCTAGGGGTTTCTGGAAGGTTGGCGAGTTGAAGAACTCAGTCGACTGTGCAGGTTGCTCATGATTCTGTTCGGTAAGATGGTCTTCTGTCTCCCTCTCCGCAAGTGATTCCTGGTCGTGGTCCCCTAGCGACAATGGACTTGAGAGGAATTGGTCATGTTGTGTACTTTCTAGCTGCTCCACAGGAGCTATGGTTGCGAGAGGTTGCGAGGGGGGTGAAATGTAAGCCATGGAGCTCTGCACCAGAGAAACAGCCCCCTCTTCTGTCCCAGTAACAATGGATTGAAGAGTCTGTGCTTGTTGAGCGTGGAAGAGCGAAAAGTACTCATGGGAGTTATTGTTATTGGACACGATAGGTGAAGGGATTGGAAGGCCGGGCGATGGCACTGGGCGTAACTGAGGTGTATCTGTAGGCAAATGAGGAGCTGATCCGAGGTGTCCTTGCAAACCAGTCTCAATCTGTTCAGTAGGTTCATTGTTTATTTGAGGTGCTCGTCTCCCGAAAAGGCTTCCAGCAATATCAAGTGAAGGCTTCACAAAAACGGATGAACAATCTTGCAATAGACTTCCGGCGTTTTCCTGGTCCACGGAGGCGGGATTGTCCAGAAGAGAAGCATCATTGTTATGGGGAGCTTTCGGAGTGGTCTGCGCGTCTTCTTCGGTATTCATTTCATCCTCAAGCTCCTTTTCCCATTCATTTTCCAGGTCCTCTGGTTCGTCCTCTTGGCTATTTGTCGATGTGTTTTCAATGCGCCATTCATCTCTTTGGAAGCTATATCTCGGCCGTTTCCTTCCTTTCCCAGGGATAGACCCATCCTCGTCGGTGAAAGGGTCAAAAGCAGAATCTCGCGCAGCCTTGAACGGGGATTGTCCAATTCGTGCAAATGCCGGCGAAGACCAGGGCTCCGTTCTATGAGCTGTGTCTGAAGTGGGGTGTATCGAGATTACGCGGGGGGTCGAAGGCAGCTGTTTCTCTGTATCGTGCGGTAGGCGAGGGGACTGCTCGATGATTACTGTCGACAGATTCTTTGAGGAAAGATTGATCTGAAAGTGAAGTATTAGCATCTGGATCAGACTCAACTGCTGCGGGCCCATAGTACCTCTAGTGACACGCCGTTGTCAAATTGAAGATCCCACGCGACATTTCTGCCGGGAGTCTGCGTCGCTGCATCATTCCCAACAAATCCAGCATCCTTCAACGCGAGGCGAACAGTATCTCCAATCCCGACGTGTGATTCTGCAACCTTCTCTGCGATGCGCCCATGAAAGGTCGCCTTCACTTGTCCATTTGATCGACGTAGGCGGAAATCCGGTTCCGCGAGAGAAAGGCTGAGAGACTTGGTCGAGGACGAATATGGCCAAACGAGACTAACAGTCGCAAGAATACACTTCTCTTCGAGCTGTTCAAGAGTTGGTGATAGCTGCGCGATCGGGATCCTGGTCAATGTCGGCAGCGCAAGTGCTGTCGAATCGGTCGCGTCCATCGCGCCCGTCAAAGCGCCCGCTTTCTCACGAGCTTCGTCACCTATTCACACGTGTCTGCATGTCAGATATCCACTAGTCCATGGGGTGGAAAGAGGGGCCAGGGGAAGAGTGCGCACAAGTTGAAAGTCGCGGGTGCAGCAAAGCAGCAAAGCGGGTTCAGCGTTTGCATCTCATCAAGCTCCGTAATAGTTTCGTAATATTCCTATTTTACACTTCGAAGCAGCGTATTTATGGTACCATCGTTACCTTCAAGATCTTCCTTTCTATGCACGCCTTCGACAGCGGAGATACATTAGAAAATAGTGATATAACTGAAACTAATTATTCCTACGACTAGCGAAGCTGCGTCAAAGACTACACTTAGGTAGTTCTTGCGTCTTGGACAACAATCTTCGAAAAAGACCTTCTATACAACTCTATTTGCATCCGAGGTCCATGCCCATATCTAATCTAACGATCTAAACATCCAGAGCATTTAACGGCCACAGCTCTATAAACCCACTATATCCCCATAGCTCATCTCTCTCATAGCTTTACTTGTCCCTGTTCCCTCTTATGCTCCTCGAATACGAACCCGAGCTCTGCAAGGGACCGGATCTCCTCCCGTTGATCGCCCTTCTGAACAAAAGCTCTTCTAATTTCAGGGAAGTTGGCCCGCATCCACCTCTCTCGGTCACCCCAATACGTGCCGAGTTTCCCTTTCCCACTGTTGTCAAGCCCTATACGGGGCTCGGCCGACGCTGCCCAGTCATACAGGAAGTTTAGATAGTCTGCGTCCTGCGGGAATTGAAGCACGTGGTAGGCTTTCTGATCACCCTTGGTTGCGATTTCAATACTCTCCCACGTTCTCATTTCTTCTGTAGAGGGAAGCTGGAGGCGGCCTGACCACACGCGAGAAAAGACAGAGGCTTGGTTCTCGGCCATAGGGAATGGAATCACTCGCTGGGACAAGACGGGGAACGCCAGAGTGGGGCGATCAATGTAGAATAAATGCCGGAATGTGTTCATTGTTCGCCATCCATGCGTAACAACCGGAGGCTCGAGAGATGACAAAAACGGGAAGGAATAGAAGTATCCTGTACAGAAGACGACAGCATCGACTTGCTCCTCGACACGGCCATCTGCAAAACGGACGGCTCGGTCATGACTTGCCGGAGACAAAAACTCGACAATCTCTGGACAAATGATCTTATCCGCTGGAGATGAAGCGGACAGGTAGGATTCCGATTTTTGGGAGGCCAGGATTTTACCCAAGCTCACTCCATTGATTTGGGCGCCGATGTCTAGCCCAGAGGCAGAGCTCCCAACCACAACCACCTTCTTGTCTCGAAAGGCTTCGGGAGAATCATAGAACTTGGAGTGCGAGATAGCCCCTGGATAAAATTCGTCCCAACTTTGGATACCAGGTATATCTGGGAGGTAAGGGACAGTAAAATGACCGCTTGCAACTACCACAGCGTCGTATATGCTGGACTTTGCCACGCCTGTGCGGAGGTTTTTGGTGACCAACTCCCAAGTACTCAAGCTGGAGTCTTTCAATTGCACGTCCACCACTTGAGTCTCAAACTGGACAAAGCTCTTCACGTCTTTTGCATAATCTTCTAGATATTGCTTTACCATGTGGTGTTTGGGAAATAATTGAGTTTGCGGAGGAAACGACTTTTCTGCAAAGCGCATCAACTCCTTAGGAATGTTTGTCTCAAGCATATCATAAAGAGGCGACACAAAGACCGCTTCGCGTGTCCCGTCGGGTTGATCCACCCAGGTCGGCTTCTCAACCGGCTCATTTGGATTGAGATGAGGGACGGAAGTCGAAACTGTTCTTTTACAGGGGCTGGGGCTGTAATTCCAGGCTCCCCCAACACAGCTTCTCTGTTCAAAAACATCGATTTGGTCGAAGTACTTCTCGGCCAGGAGATATCTATATTGATCAGTTAGCATCCAATATTATTCAAAATGAAACAACAAACATGACTTCAGAGAGGACAGCAAACATATCAGAATCATCGATGCGGGACTCACTTTACCGAGGCCAGGCCAGATGGCCCAGCTCCAATGACCGCCACCCGACGTATAGGATTCATGGGTTCAATTCGACAGGACGAGGATTGGGATGAGGGGTTGAGCGGAGTATAGTGGAGAGTATGGGCTTATCGTGGTGGTACCGTAGGCCTGATAAGCATTGTCACGTGCAGGGGCGTCCGCGCCCGAGTCGCCATCGCCGGTCACTCTTCCTTTCTATACTTCACCTTCCTCCACGTTGCTTTTGTCGCGGACGTTCTGAGGCAGCGCCACCTTTGGGGCTTCCTACAGCTCGTGTTATGTACGATTACCCTTGTTCGCCACAACTTTTCTCCCACTCTCATTGTCTTCCCATCCGCTCGTCCGATAGCTCCAAACATGGCTAACTTAACAAGCTCGCGAGCACCTTGCTCTTTCCGCGCGACCAACATCACCAATACTCTACGATCCCCACATTGCATATCTCGCCAAATAACTTGTTTTCTGAGTTTCCATTCATCCGCACTCTTCGCGAAATAGTTACTCAGCTCAGCTCCTGATTTCCCACGCTTTCCTTCTCATTCATCTACGCCTTTTCAGTACAAGTCGCTGCCCAGAGAGTTACAAAGAAACGGTGTTTCCGACAATGGACGACAATCTCACTCCATCCTCTGTGGGTGATATTGAAGCCGAGGTGCCGATTTCTGTCCCCGAGATTACCGCGCCTCTTAGTGTTCGAGTCGACAAAGACGGATCTCTCACTCACACTCACACGGCAATTCACCATGATCACCCGGAGGGCCTGCTTCAGCCTTCACACTATGAGGACTTAGCATCAATGCAAACAATTCAACCCAGTGCGTTGACTGTCGAGAATGTCGAGGACGCTCCGCCTGGTTCAGTCCGCCTCGGGCCGTCTGAATTTGCCATAACACTCCCCATGGATTCTCGAGTGAAAGATGACTATGAGAAGGTGTTGACGGGTGCAGCCTTCAGCATGCGAGAGTTCTTTCTAAGCTTCAGCCCTACCTCGCAAGTCTCAGAAACTGAGCGAAGACAATTATTGCCGAAGATGCATGAAGTCACCGCACGTTTCAATAATGTCTCCACTCATCCAGACTTGAACATTCCCCAGCACTGCCAATACAATGATTCCGAGCTGGAACAGGAGGCTTCATGGGCCGAGTACTCTAGCGCGAAGTTTTTATTCCTCAAGTACTGGATAGAACTCGCGAACGCACACGACCTTCATGTGATTCTCGAGGTCCGTGGCGACATGAAGCAGAATATCCTTGAACGCTATTTGCTAGGCAAAGGCTTCAGTTACACCAAACCACGTGCTGAGCTGGGCGATAGTGTGGAAATTTCAATGGCCAAAGGCTCCTTGAGTTTTGGGATTCATGGCAATGACGGCGTACAAGAGCTCTTCAAGTCACCATGTGCGATTTTTGCCCTGGACACGTCTTTCGACCCCAGGAGCCCATCGGTGCAACATATTCGAACAACCTACACTCGAAATGGAAGCCTTCTTCCTGTCATCTGGCTCCTTGTTGCCAACACATGTGAACACATTGGACGCTGCCTGCCAGATTTATCAGAATCCGAACGGCTTCGTCTTCTTTTGCAAGAAACTGCACATCTCCATGAAGATGTTGGCGATCTCCAGGACGATGCTTTAGGCGTCCACGAAGATGTTGAAGAGATCCTCGGTTATCTGTCTGACAGCCTTGCCAGCTGGACACTTCCCACCATTGAGCCTTTGCATTTTATTTCCCAGGAAGAATTGGACTCATCCGACCCCTCGTCAGATGAACCAATGCCAACAGCTCCGAAACGTTCACTGGTAAGTCCACTCTTCTATTTAACTACTAAAGTCTGTCTATCTAATTAAATTTTCTAGGATGACGATGGCGATGATTACACAACGAAACGTGTACGGGTTGACTTGCCCCATACCAGCCAGTTGACCGACTCAACCAAGGCGTCCAGCCAGACTTTGGACCGTGACTTACACTCCTTGGAAAAGAATCTTATCCAAATGAAAAATGCACACGCCGCAGAGAAGGACCATTTGCAAATCGAGCTAAACAAGACTCAGGCTCAATTGCAAGATTTTAAGAAAGCCATGAGCGAACTGCAGCACCGCTACGAAAGTAGAACCAAAGATTTACACAAGACTCGCCAGAACTGTGAGCGACTGACGGAAGGAAAGACTTCACTCGAACAGCGCGTTGAGACTTTAAGAGAGAACCTTTCCAAGATAAAGGATGAGCGCATAAAGCTCAAGCAAGAGCTCGAGGAAGCTCGTCAGGAGCTCAAAAATGGTGGAGGTACCTTGGCTGAATTGGAGACCGCCCGCGAGGAGATCCGTCGACTGACTAAAGAGAGCGCAAGTCTGGAACGCAAGGCTGAATACTCGCAGAACCAGGCAGAATATGTCCGTGAGCAATATCAAACTGCATCAACTGTGGCTGCTCAGGCCGGCAATGAAGCTCGCCAGCTGCGCGAGGAGAACGAAGCCTTAACAAAGAAAGTCGAGGGTAACATGGTGCAACTACAAGAAATCAACAAAAAGAACGATGAGGCTCGTCACATAGCGCGCATCGAAGAACTGGAAATCATCCTCGCTGCGCGAGATGAGGTGCTCCGCAAGAAAGAGGAGGAACTTCGCGACATTCGCAAGAATCGACCATCGACTCGTTCCACCAGTACTCAACCGCGGAGCCCCAAATGGGCTGGTAGCCGACCAACCAGCCCTGGGGTTAATCACAATGGGAATGGCAATGGCCTTGCAGGACGAGGCAGTGCCTTGCGGTTTAGTTCAGAGATGCCCTTTTAACGACTCTGCCAGTCCGTTTATAGGGTCATCCATGGCTCATAAATGTACAAATCTTTAGCTTCATCTCTTGTCCTCACTAGCGAACACTGCGCATAATACACATTATTGTTTTCTCTTCCTCTACTTCTATATCCACATACGTTGGTTCCGGTCTCAATTCAGATGTGCCATGCCCGTTTACTGCCGGCCCCACTCAGTGGAAGCATCTTGAGCCGGTGTAGCAATGGCTTATGTTCCACCTCTGATCTATGACGCATACATGTCATCTGGGCAACCTCTATGAGAACACTTATGCAACCTCCCGTTTTTAGCTGTGAAATAGGCCTTGCATCGATCCTCCACTTCAATTATCGAGAGTCCAGCTACTGACTACGCGAGAACCAATCAATTTTTCGAACGTTCCGTATTTCAAAATTAATTTAATGGGGCTTAGTAAGTTCACGAAGGTTATGTGTACACCGTGATAGTAAAACAGGATAAGGTAAAGAATCCAATCGCCAAAAGAGTGGAAACAGTGAAATGAGATGAAAAGGGATACCAAAAATCACAATCTCCGAAAACCACCCAACTACAAACACAATCAACAATATATAGGAGAAAGGTAGAAAAATGCAGTTCACTTAGGCAGCAGTCTTCATCGCGTTCGCCATGAAAGCGGCCAATTCCTTGGCTTTCTCGCCACGGGTCATGGTGAAGTGATTAGCTCCTTCCATGATAGTAATGCCGCCCACATTGTGGGGCCCAACGAGGGTATCCCACTTATTGGGGCCGAGGTCAGTGCGGTTATTGAGAAGCCAGAGCATTTCACGGGGATCAGGGCTTCCATCTTCCGCGGGCTCTGGACGAGTATCGGTGGGCTTGTTGCAGACGCCGTCCTTGGCCCAGACCATAAAGGTCTTGGGGATCTTCTCTGCCAGCTTGCTATCGTTGAAGGGGAAAGGTACCGCTTTGTAGGCATCAAGCGAGTCGATGAAGGCTAGGAAGTGAGGGAGCAGCCACTTAGGCGGGGGAGCCTTGCCCTCTCCGAAGAGACCGATTGTATCGAAGAAGCGGTAGAGACGGCGAGGAAGCTTCTCGAGGCCAATCGGGAAGGGCGAGTCGAGAAGGAGCAGACGCTCAACTCGCTCACCTTCCTCGAAGATAAGCTGGCGGGCTGCGTCGTAGGCGCAGATGCCACCAGCTGACCAACCGCCGAAGTTGTAAGGACCGTGAGGCTGGCGACGGCGGATCTCAGCAACATATGGAGCAGTCATCTCGTCCAAGCTGTACTTCAGGTTCTCAGGAGTGCGCATGTACGGGCAGTTCAATCCGTATACACAGACATCGGGGGAGAGACCAGGGATTGTGGCGTAGGATGTGGCAGACCCAGAGCCATCGGGGAACAAGAACAGCTTTTGAGTAGCTGTCTTGGGGTTACCTTGCAGCAGAATGGATGTTGCAGGCGGGTGCTGAATAGCGGTGTTTGGAACAGCCTTGGGAATTGGGGCTGGGATCTCCTGAGGAAGACTGATAGGCTCAGGAACAGTGGTTTTGGGCTTCAAGTCAAGAGCGGTCTCAATTTCATTGACCGTCTGGTTCTCAATGAAGAACTCTCCGGAAAGATCGAGGTCCAAAGTCTCACGGATCTTACCGAGGACAGTGAGCGACATCAGAGAGTCCAGGCCCATTTCAGCCAGGTTCTCGTTTCCCTCGAGCTCATTAGGCTCAACTCCAATCTCTTCAGCTAGAATCTCACAAATCTGCTTCATGCTGTCATTCTGCTCGTAGGTCATGCTCTTCTCGTTTGCGGGAGTAGGAAGTCCACTCGAGTTGGGAGAAGAGATGTCTGTGGATGAAGCAGCAGAAGAGAGGTCAGGTTCGCTACCAGATCCGTCGCTGCTGCTTTCAGCAGGGTTCATCTGGGTCAGAAGCTGCTTGAAGTCTTTGATAGTGGGTTGATCCACAAAGATCGAGGATTCGAGGTCAAGACCCATCTCCTCGCGGTAGCGACCAGTCACAGTCAAGGAAAGGAGAGAATCAACGCCATAGTCCGCAAAGTTGAGGTCGTCGGTCAATTCAGATGTGGAAAGACCAACTTCCTCGGCCAAGATGTTAAGAGCCTTGGTGATAATACCTGGGCCAGCAGACTTGGGAGAAGGTGCAGCGCGGTTGGCTGTCTTCTTGGGAGCAGCCTTCGCCTTCTGAACGTTGATGGGTGCAGGTCTAGCCTTAGCAGCAGCAGGAGCAGCTCCAGCTGGAGGGAGAACAGTGTCGAGAATTTTCCGAGCCAAAGCCTGGAATTTGACGCCACCATAAACAGCAACAACATCTTCGCCTTCGAACATCCACACATCACCTGCCCAAATCGAGTTTTGCCATGGCTGCATGCGAACGTAGGTACGGTAGGTGACCTTGGGGTCGAACTTTTTCAAGCAGCGCATGAAATCCCACCCATGGTTTACAAACACCTGGTTCTTAGAGTCAGTGGCATCGCTGGCATTCATAATGAAGCCAGACAAATGACCAATGCTGTCGATCCAGAAGGGGTTGCGGTGGAAATTTCCGGGGGGAGCCTGGAACTTGACCAAAGCGGTAGCCTCGTGCTGTTCGCTGTCCAGAATTACTTCTTGGATAGACTTGTAGTTCTCGTCGTAGTCGACTAGGGAAGCAAACAGCTTGTAGACCATTCCGCGCTTCATGCGGTGGGCCTCACCAGATTCGGTGCTCTCCTGGAGGTGCTCAATACTTCTCTTGATGAGATAAGTGTTGCGCTTCCATTCCGCCTCGGCAACACTAGTGTCAAAGAACTTGACATGGCAATGAGCATGATCGATGATCTTCTTGCCTTCGGGTGTTACAGACCAGACCTGAATCAGAGCGTGTTCATCAGCCCAGTTAGCAGTGGCCGATACTCGGAACAGCTGCTTGCCGCCCTTTGCAATCATGGGCTTGGGCACAACCATGTTGCAGACGTCGAAGCCTCGTCCCTCCCAGTCAGGCTTGTAGGTCTTCACCAGATATTCGCCAAGCGTCTGAGCGATGTCGGCGTACAGAGACGATGGACAAAGAGCGGCGCCATTGACCTTGTGGCCTTGGATGACACGATTCAAATCAGGGTCGGCAATGTCATTCTCAACGACCACGGTCGCCGTCTTATCATCACCGCTAGTCTCAAGAACCTTCTGTGCAGCACATGTCAAGTAGGGAGTGACAGGTGCTGCTTCTGTAGCAGGAGCTGCCGGAGCACCCTTCAGCAAGCAGAAATTGTTGGTGTAAGGGATCCAGTAGTTCTTGAGATCCCATTTGTAGGCGGGAAGATAGAGTACCTCATGCACGTAGCTCCAGTCCTGATGATACTCTTTCCAGCGAAGATCGATACCAGCATGGTAGAGAGCCGAAAGGCTGTTAGACAGTACCTTCCAGGTATCCTCCTGGCGACGCAGAGATGCCACAGTTGTAGCCTGAGGACCGAAGGTCGACTTGACCATACCAGAGCACACGGGGTGAGAGCCAATCTCAACCCAGACGGTCTTGTCGTTCATCAGCTTGGCGTGGCGGGTGGCTTCCAGAGCAGCGAGGAAGTTGACAGTCTCCCGGCAATGACGAGTCAAATAGCTAGGAGCAAGGACCTCAGGGTTGGCCTCCTTGATCACATCTCCAAGCAGAGAAGAGACGAAGGGAATAGAGGGCTCGTGGAAAGTGACACCCTTGGCGACATCATTGAGGCTCTCCAGAATAGGCTCAACCTGGGCAGAGTGGAATGCGAAAGGCACCTTCAGCTTGGTAGCTTTAAAACCTTCGTTGGCGAGCGTATCAGCAAGCTTCTCAATCTCGCTAATGGCTCCACTAATGACAGTCTCGCTGGGAGCATTAATGCATGCTACCTCGGCGGCGTCCTGGTTCAGGTATTGCTTCACTTGGGCGACAGAGGACTTGACAGCCAGCATAGCGTGGGTTCCAACATGGCACTGCTCGGTGAGTAGCTGAGCCCGGCGACCGGTTAGGTAGATGGTGTCACTGGTCGTCAAAATGCCAGCAGCATTCAGAGCAGCGTACTCGCCTAAGCTGTGACCGAGAACAAAGGTAGGAACAACTCCGAGGGAGATCCAGAACTTTGCCAGAGCCATCTGGATACAGGTGGTTCCCAACTGGGTGACAATAGGGCTCAGCTCCTCGATCGGGACACTACCATCGATCAGAGGAATGATTGACGGGAAGCCTTGGCTTTGAGCAATGCAATCGAGGTGCTCGATGTGAGTCCGGAATTGAGAGTTGTTCTCATACAATTGACCTCCCATGGCAGTGTATTGAGCACCTTGTCCAGTGAAGACAAATCCAACACCGGGAGCGGTGGCGGAAACTGGAGTGATGCTCTCACGGTTGACGCTAGAGTCCAAGCCATTGCGGATTTCATCCAGCGTCGAGCCAGTTGCGGTAGCTCGGAATGGGTGGTGAATACGGCGCGCGGTGGTGGTGTAAGAAAGGCTAGCAAGAAGACTCTCCTCCTTGACATTGAACATATTCTTGTTCGTATCAATATATTGGATCAGTGCGGCAACGTTGTTCTTAAGCGCAGACTGGGATCTGGCGGAGACGGTAACGACATGCACAGAACGGGGGTCTTTTCCGCTGTGCTCGCGCAGAGGGCTATCCTCAATCAACAGCGCAGTGTTTCCACCAGCTGCTGAGAAGTTATTGACGAAAGATTTGCGTTTGCCACCCTCGGGGCGGTTCCAGGGAATGGGCTCCATGGCAATGTGCACGTTTCGTTGCGCCATGTCAGTGGGGAAGTTATGATTGATCTTGTTCTTAATTCCGCAATGGGGCGGGATCATGTTCTTCTGCATCATGACGAGCACCTTGATCAGGGCCGAGACACCAGAAGCTGATTCTCCGTGGCCAATGTTGGACTTAGCCGAGCCGAGATGAAGTGACTGAGCTGGACCACGGCGATAATCAGGAGCAAAGACCTCCAACACCGATTCCATCTCCACTGCATCGCCGGCTTGGGTTCCAGTTCCGTGCATCTCAATGTAGCTGACCTCCTTGGGGTCGATGTCAGCCTCATTAAGCAGCTTGTCGAAAATGAAAGACTGAGCGCCGGCAAGGGGACGGGTAATGGAGACAGCCTCCGCCGAGTGGTTGGTATAAGCGCCGCCAATGACACCGTATATGGGGTCATTATCCGCGTAGGCGTCCTCAAGTCTCTTGAGAACCACAGACCCAATACCATCAGCCCGGCAGTAACCATCGGCACCATCATCAAAAGTGTTGCAGTTTCCAGTCCGGGAGAGGAAGTGACCACGATCAAGACCAGCGTGGTTGTCCGGGTTGGTCAGGATATTGACACCACCTGCCACGGCAGAATCGCAATCGTTCTTCCAAAGGGAGTTGCATGCAACATGAATGGCAGCCAGACTGGACGAGCAAGCCGTATCGACGCTGACACTTGGTCCGCTGAACTTGAAGTAGTAGTTGATACGACCGGGAGTGAAAGCACGGTTGCCACCAGGGATGAAATAAGTGTCAATGTCCTGGCCGCTGTTGATCTCGCGGTAGTCATCACTGGTCATTCCATAGAACACCCCGACTCGGTTCTTCTGCGTGGATGGAGTGCTATCGGGAATGAAGCCGGCCATCTCGAAAGCCTCGTAGGCAGTGAGGAGGGCAAGACGCTGAGCAGGATCCGCCTGCAGAGCCTCGCGAGGTGACATGTTGAAGAATCGAGGATCGAACAGACCAGGCTCCTTGATCCAGCAGCCATATTGGACTTGACTGGTGTTTCTCTTCTTTCCGTCCATGTCGACGTGTGCTTTAACATCCCAGCGCTCCGGAGGCACCTCACGGTGAACATCGAGCCCCTTGTACAGGACATCCCAGAATGCTTCAGTGTCAGGAGCTTCGGGGAATCGTCCTGAGAGACCGATAATGGCAATCTTGGATTGCTCGGAGCGGCCAGTACGGTTGTCACCTTCTGCATCCTTCTTGACCTCGCCAATAGACCCATCAACCTCAAGTTGTGAGATTCCAGCCTTCTTTAATGACGTATACAGACTTTGTGTTGCGGTGCTGGCGATAGGAAGCAGGGTGCATTTAGAGCCTGCTGACTTCAGGGCTGAGGAGCATGAGTCGACAATTTTGTCCCAACAAAGCTGGCGCAGCAGAATCTCCTCGAGCGACACTTTCAAAAGAGCCTCCATACTTTGGGCCTCCATTGCCTTGCCTGTCTCGCCTGACAAGATCGGAATTTGGGGAACGTAGTTCTCGAACTCTTCTTTGGGCCAGGATTCCATGATTCGGTTAATATCTCTCGAATCATACAGATGATCGGCATGATAAGGACCATGAATTGGGACTCGGATGGGCTTCTGCTCCTTCGAGAGGCATTCATCGATGAAAGTTCCAAGGATGGAAGGTGGGCCACTAATAGTAACACCATTTTGGCTTATGGCACTGATATATGGCCGGGACACACGCGGCAGGGCCTTTGAGATGTTAGCCATACCAAATTTTTCAATTTTCCACAAGGAAAATTGGTGGAAAATGTACTTACTTTAGTCTGGGCGAAGGCTTCAATCACTTTCTGAGCCTCTGGCTCTCGGATTCCGGAGACCAAAACAGACCAGCTTGGTGACGGTCCCTTTGATTCCACAAGGTCCCGCACCTTGATGACAGATGCGCCAAGTCTAAGAGCCAGAACAACAGTCTGAACACCAACTGGGATAAGCTCTCCCACAGTTCGCGAGGAGCTTACAGCTGCGGAAGCAAGCTGGCCGGTGCAGAGACCAATGATGCAGCTGTCAGATCCAACAGGATAAGTGTGGCCAAGGTCACCATAGTAGCTATCAACAGTCAGATTGCGATACTTTCTTACTTCTTCTTCAAACACCTACTGGATAAAACTTCCAAGCTGATAAATAGTTGTCAACGCACTCTCCAAAGATGGATTCTGCCCGTGCTGTCGATATCTTGCCAGAAGGTCAATAATGCTGGTGAAACGAGGGAACATCTGTCGCTGCGAAGGTGACAGTCGACTGATTTCGGTGCGCAAAGCATGATAGCACTTCTGGAAGAAGGCCTTCAGCAGGGAATCATTCTTGGCATGAAGCAGGCGTCGAAGACCCGAATCAAAGTCGGCAGTCTGATCTCCGAAGAGATACACACGACCGAGGCTTTCCATTGTCAAGCCTGATGCAGTCAGGGGTGCAAAACTCTACGGAGAAAGAAGAGAAAAAGATTTGAAAGCCGGCGCGAATTGATGGGGTTAATACTTTATACATGTAACGATGGGGAAATTTTATATGGAAGAGATCGAGATCAATCGTAAGGCATCATTGGTTGATGGATCCGCTTGGCACATGGATCACATTCCGAGTAAAACACTTCGATCCTGTTTTTTCAGATCTAAGCAGGGCTAGATTGCGAGAAATGTGAGCTCTAACGTCTTCATCCATGGTATCCACACAGTATGGAGCATATATCGGGTAGCACTCCGGTCGATCGGGATTTGAAAGCCGCCTAGCCAAACCAATGGCACGGTTACTGTGGTCAATACTCATGTATACAGTGAAAATTTGCGAGCTTCCATCTTCGAGGAGAAGAAGAAATTGACGGAGCGGGCCTCGGCTTTGATCGGTTCCCTGGATATCCCTGATTGGACCCTGAGTTCAAACTACGGATTGACAAAGGTACAGGAAACCGATGATAGCTTCTTGTTGCCAATAGCTGTTTGCGGATGTAACAGCTACTGAACCATGCATAGGACTTCAAAATAGACCTTTGGACCATTGTCCATGACATATGTTCAATCCAAAGTGCCGGAAAGGGCACTCAATACAGAAAAAAACTGATCATCGTTGCAATTGTAGGTTGTTGTCGCCGCTTTCAGAAGGTTACACCCGTTGAGATCCATGACTCACGTGACTTCCGTGCCCTATGTACCTCACCTTCAAGGTTTGTCTCACGGTACGACTACAATGAGAATTAGGGGAAAGGCAGGGGCTGCAAGTCTAATTAAATTGCATTGTACTCAGGGGTGTCCTTGGTCACTGTTTCAACCGGTTTTTATGCAGAAAAACTTGTTGAAGCTTCCCATGTATCCAAATGTATTTCTAAAGTGTTGAGCTGTTTGGATGCAACAAAACACCAAAGGGTACAACCTCTGCAGATCTCATGCAGAAGAAGCACCCCAATGCGTAGACCCTCCCGTGGTACCATGCCAAGGCATGCGATACGTCATGACTTCCTACAGCGTCAAATTTTTTCCTCGATAGCAACGGAGGCCTTCTCTCCAGCCTCTGCAGATCATATACTATCTTGGCTAAGCAAAAAAAATGAAAGCGCGTGTCGTGGCGTCGATCGGATTCTAGAAAATTCTTCGCATGCACCGATCTAGACGTAGTGACTTAGTTTCATGCTTTTGGATGCCTCTGGCGAAGATTTAAGACGAAGAAAACAGTATCGGCCAAATGAACAATTATCAAAATGCGGACACCTGTCAATCTACTTAAGCTTTTGTCCTGGACCAGATAGGTTTAAGCCTCAACCAAGTGCCGGGGGGAAGTGCTAGTGTCAGACATTTCGAAGCTCACCCGATCTGTCATAGGTGGGCTAAGATCTACATCGATCGAGGTGGGTCCGCGGCAACGGACCGCAATTTCCGGAAAGAGTGTTGGTTAGAGCACTTTTCTGACGAACAGGAGTTAAAGAAATTAATGGATTAATTTTGTAAATGCTAAATTTTGGTATCACAGATATTATAGACCACCGAAAGTTGGTATGGCCAGTGAAATGCAGCACAGTGAAATGCAGCACATTCCAATGATCAATACAGTCCGATTTTGTAAGCAAGAGGGGTGAATTACCAGTGACGAGCCTGATAGTAACCGCTCCGGCGGTACGACCTCTCGATCGTCATATCGGGGACATCGCTAGCCTCTGCGATGACATCAATCACTTCGATTTTCTTTAGCTCAACTTCATGGTGGTGCTGAGGCTCATGCCAATAGCCATAGGGCTCCACATCATCATCTGTAGGGGTTGCCTGCGGGGTTGAGGGGGTCACTGGAGACTTGGGAGTTGCAGAGCTGGGAGAAGGCTGAGGAGAGTAGCTGGGCTGAGGAGAGTAGCTGGGCTGAGGAGAGTAGCTGGGCTGAGGAGAGTAGCTGGGCTGAGGAGAGTAGCTGGGCTGAGGAGAGTAGCTGGGCTGAGAGGAATAACTGGGCTGAGGGGAATAACTGGGCTGGGGAGAGTAGCTAAGAGGCTGAGTCGTAGTGGTTGACGCAGGCTTGGGGGTATAAAGAGGGGTAGCGGAAGGGGTTGGTGTGCGTGTGGGCTGAGGCTTTGAGATACTGCTGTGGGGGGGCTGTCCCTTGCCAGCGCCTGGGCTTTGGTCCTCACCAGCAGGGATCTGGGGCCATGCGTCAACACCGTCAAGAAGTGCAACCGCCATGCCGTTGGATAGGTGAGTCTCGATGTGACAGTGGAAGAGGAATGGCCCAGGGTTAACAACCTGGTACCGCACAATCATCCAAGTTGGGCCAGTGGGGCCATATGTGACAAAAGTGTCACGCATCTGAGGGTTGTCCAACTGGAAAAGCTCGGGATGCTCAGCGTAGGCCTCCTCAGTGTTAGCCCAGTTGAAGAAGCCAGGACCCGCACCAAGAATGAACCCCTTGTTGGAATGTTTGTGCATCACATGAGGGGCTTGGATGGAGGGAGTATTAGGCATGTTGCCTAGCTGCAGGAGAAGGTCAACCCAGGTGCCATTCTTGGTCTGGATGGTCACCTGATCGGCTAGGTTATACTTTGCATCGATGTCGTAGAGGATGGGGTCATCCCAGTTTGCCATCACATCGTACAAGGCATTTCCAGATGCAGTCCAGGTATATGAAGAGCCATAGCGACCGAGTGTCAAGTTAACCAGCTGGTCGGCGTGTCTTGGGATAGTGACCGGAGGGTAGGGCCTGATGCTCCTCTGATCCAATGCCTTGACAGAGCCAGATGTACTTCGGCCACCGTAGTCCACAAAAGGCTCGGAGGGATAGATGTTATCAGAGCCCTGGTAACGCATAGTCGCAAATCCAGAAATGACTTGGTCACCCTGAGTGTCAGGAACACGGATGGTGTAGTCCTTGTAGGGCTTGTCAAGCTTGACCATGGCCGCATAGCGCTCTCCGTTGAAGATGGGAACGCTCTCAGCTAGTTGCGGCTCAATGTAGCTACCATCAACTTCATAGATATACATTGGGTGCTCGTCGATGGAGAACATCAGAGACTTCATAGAGGCGGCACTGATAAACTTGAAGCTGACCCAGCCATGGTCGGCATTGACGGTAATAATTTCGTGCAATCCAGTGGTAGGCTTACAGCCAGCATTGAGACCTTGGGGAACATTGGCTTCGTTGGTCGGAGAGAAGTCACCTTGGGTTTCGTATATGTTGGGCAAGCATCTATAGGGATAAATCGTCAGCCTGAGGATTGCATGAATACCGGGAGATTGATTTACCCCTTATCGGTCAAGGGCTGGTTATCAATGGCAGTCTTGAGGTAAAATAGCTCAACACTGGAAATATTGTTGGTTCCTGGGCAATACACGGCACCGCGACCATTTATCAGAACACTATCCATGCAGCTATTTTCCCATTAGTGCTGCTATAGTGTCCATTGATGAGCAGTGGAGACTTACAAAATGTTTAAACCAGAGTCCCTCTGAACTTGTTGGTACTCCGCAGCTGTCAATTGGTCCCAATCCGACAGCATAACAAGATGAGGGTTCTTCTCTGCTTTCTTCATAGCCGCAATATCGGTGGGGTTGGTCGAAATCAGGTGGAACGGGTCAAGAGTTTCGGGACCCGGACTACAATTATTAGCACCATGTAAAGCATTGTTAGGCAAAAGAAAGCTGACTTGATCCAAATTGCGCCGTACAGGCCATCGGCCATTTCAGAGCGAGCATGAGCGTGGTACCAATAGGTTCCATATTGAGTGGCTTTCCACCGGTAGGTCCAGCTTCGGCCAGGCTCAATTGGCTTTTGAGTCAGACCAGGAACCCCATCAGACCACGGAGTGTTATGTTGCTCGATGCCGTGGAAGTGAATAGACGTATTGAAGGGCATGTTATTGTGAACAACAAACTAGGGCTTGTTAAAACGAGTACTCAGTGAATAGACAGAAACCAATAAATCTTACCTCAACATCATCACCTTGATTGATTCGCAATTCCGGTCCAGGGAATTGGTCGTTCATGAAAATCATCTCTCGGGCATTGCCATCGGGCGCTCCCTTTTGCCAAGTGAGGTTTAAGTCGAAGTGGACACTCTTTGCCCATGCCAAGGGCACCAGGCCAGAGGTGGCCAGGGCCAAGAGAGTCTTCAAGGGCGCCATCATGCTTGGTCGCGTCTTAGAAGTATAGACAAATGTGAAATGAGTTATGCAAAACCGTCACCCTTTGTCAACTAGGCCAAGAGTGAATTCTACAATACAGGAGCTCCTGGGGGAGGTGGCATTTAATATTCCAAACTATCGTCTGTCGAGGTATGCAGATCAGAGGCAGTCAATTCTTCAGAGTGCCACAATGCAAACCCATGAAAGCCCGCAAACATGTTTGCATTTTTGACACAACGCGGGGAGGCCTGCACTTGTTACATAAATCTGACTAATTTGCATAAAATGGCGATGATAGACTATTTGACTCCTGTTTGGAATGGCTGTGTGGCTGGGGAAGACTGGATTAGAACTAATTTTCCGTTTTCGAACAGACTAGGAGGACTCGGCCCGAGAGACCCCTCGGAGCCTCAGCCGAGTCGTGCAGCAAACTCGTGGGCTATACGAGCATTCATTGGACGGTATCCCGCGGAGAAAAAGCCCATGCAAGGGACAGTGCTCGACTTCCGCCTGCGGAAAACTGTTTTGATGTGGCTGGACATTCCTTGAATTTTACGGAATGTAATTACTACCCAAAGCGGTGCCTTCGGCATGGAACACCCTAACAGTGATTCGCCCGGGGCTCGCCCGCCATTGCTGTGGCCCGCCATTGCTGTGTAGGAAAAACTTTTCCGATAAAAGAAGCGAGCGTGAAACCTCCACACAAAAGTCGCAAAATTGATGACGATGGAATTTCCAAGGTCGGAAGTTTAAAGTAGGGTTTGGTTGGCACATTCGCATTGTTCGATCAGGTAAAAGATAACAGATGAACTGGACCTCTTCAGGGTGCCGGACAAGACCCAGCGCTGGATGGAGTATAGGTGGATTGATGCTAATCATGTGGGTATGAAAGGAATCCTGTCACCCTCTATAAAGACAATTTTCATAATTTGCGTGTGAAGGTAGCTAGATGGCCATCTGGATAAATACAGGGATGCGTAAGATAATTTACTCCGAGCTATTAAGCTCGCTAATATTGATCAGAAATTTGCATCGAAGTCTTTCATGTTTCTTTGCCCAGTTTCATTCGAAAAACCTTCTATTATTGCCGAGGGCTGTGTCTTGGCCCCCAAAGGCGGGGGAGGAGCGGGAGGTTGCTAGGGCCAAGTTGCGGCGACAATCAAACCATGGGTCAAGGGACGGGATGCATCTATGCAACCAACAAAAGAGCTTCCGGCGTATCAAATGGGTAGATCGCCTGGACAAGAAGCATCGATGTAACTCACTCCATACATCGACTAAGGGGAAAATGAGACACAGATGCCCTGGAAACCAGATGGATGACCTAAGCGTATTAAGCTTATCGATAAGACATTTCTCCGCCCGCTAGTCCCGATGCGGTCACCACGTAAACAACCCGACCTCAGCTCGGGCCTCACCGCAGGAACCTGGATTTCCCTTGATTTCTGTCTCCCCTTCCTGTCCGATTCCTTTGACAACTTCCGACTTGACAATCTCTTTCACCGCCTCTCCACAATGCTCGCTGCATGAACTTCCACCCCTGTCGAACCTCCCCCCATTCGACTGTCTTAGCTACGTCAGAACTTAGAACTATCACGAACAACACGGTCGACGATTGCTGCACAACACATATCTGTACCTAATTCGCTTGATTCGATACTATCGTGGCAGCGAACCCCCTTTCCAATTCCAACAGTGCTAGTGCGACCGGCCAAAAAAGCATCAGTCCCTCGCGATGGCGCTCAGCGCACCCCAGCTGCCATCGCGGTTTCCGTGTTGGTGTCGAGCTGTGTATTCATGGGGGGAGAAACAAACCGAGACTTGGGATTTGTCGAAGGAGATCTTATTGAATGCTTGAATGCAGGAGACGGACAGTGGTGGATGGGTCGCTTGCGGCGTGATAGACGTGCTGTTGGACTCTTCCCATCCAATTTCGTCGAGCTCATGAGCGAGGACTTCGTCCCAATTAGTCGAGACACCAGCCAAATGGTCTTATCTGGCTCTTCGCCCATTCATAACCCCACTTCCGCCCCGAAGAAGACAAAAACAGTGTTTCGAAAGCCTTTCCAAGCGCACAAGGAAGCGTTGTCTCCTGCTTCAAATCTAGCGAGGAGCGGGTCTAACACTCCAGTGAAGAGCTCAATACCTGCAACACCACCTCGTGATGGGGGTGGTATTCCTCGAAGCACGAAGCCCTTGCGCACTCATGCTTCTGCAGTCAAGAACCAAAGTCCCTTGTCGCGCCCAGTTTCAGTATCATCCCGCCACTCATCTCGCGGTGTATCCCCAGCTGTATCTCCTCGCGCGTCAATGGAGCCGGAGCGCTCGCCCTCTAGCATGATGCCTCGAGGCAGTGTATCATCTTCGCGCCCAACCTCCCGGGAAGTGTCACCGATGTTCTTGCAAGAGCGCGAGGCGTCGCCACCTCCACCTCCGCCTCCTCCACATCGCGTGGCTATTAGTCGGCCGCCTTCCAGATCCCCACAACCTCCCCAGCCTTCGCGCTCTCCACAAACGTTTATGTACCAACAAGCGCATTCGCCGCAGCCATATATGCATCAGCAACCGCATTCTCCTCAGCCCTACATGCACCAACGCTCACCCTCCCCTCAGCCTTACATGCATCAACGATCGCCCTCTCCCCAACCATACATGCATCAACAATCACCCTCTCCTCAACCATACATGCATCAGCGATTGCCCTCTCCCCAACCGTATATGCATCACCGGACGTCTTCGCCACAGCTGCCAATGCATCATCGGGCACCTTCTCCGCAGCCCCCGATGCACCACCACCGGCACCGAACACCCTCCCCACAGCCACCGATACACCGCCGTACACCTTCTCCTCATCCACCAATGCATCAATCGGAAGGTCTTCTGCGTTCCCCCCAGCCCCCCGCGCACACTCCAAAGCCGTCAAGGTCCCCCAAGCCTTTGGATATGAACGACCGTTATGTGATATTTGCGCGCACTCCGTCTCCAGGAGCGCTTTCTACACATTCGGCTGTCTCGGTTCAATCTGATGCAAATGGGAATACTCCTTCTCCTCTTAGAGACGCCATGGAAGATGTTATGACTTCATTGCAGGACATGGGTCTACCCCGCCAAGCTTCACCCTCGCCCCGGAATGCTCCATCACCGTCAGTTCCGGTGACATTTAACAATCCCTGGTCAGGAGACACGTACGATGATGACAAAACCCCACCAGGGAACAGGCGTCGTCCATTGACTTCCATGGGCTTTGATGGCCATAACCAGCAGTCTCACGGAGGATTGGTACATAGGAACAGTGTCTATTCACATGACTACCATGGGGACGGGCCTCCTCAACTGAACAATTATGTACAAAGAATGGAAAGCCGTCTTCGTCAACTAGAAGACCAGAATCGACTACCTGAAGATGAAGGACGGCCCATGTATGACGATGCACCGCCGCCACCTCCGCCCAAACATGCCACTTATCATCCACGACACAATTCCATTCCAGCACAGTACCCTCATCTTCAATCCAGGCGGTCTGGTCAAGACGTCCGAGGTGACATTCTGAACAGATCCTATACCAACAAATCAAGCGCAACCAACTCTAGTGGGGTTCAAAGTGTTGGCACACAAATGACCAACACTACAGACAAGACGAACCAGAGCATGATGAGCGGGGCCTCTGCTGGCGGCTTCAGTGCAACAAGCGCAGGAAGTTACGCAAGGCGTAATGGTGCTCAAGAGAGACCCAATACCGCTATGGATACTGTTCGTTCTCGAGGCTTCAGTGATGTCGGAAACATGGACCGCCCCGAAACACCCTTGACCGGGATCTCATATCACTCCAGCCACAACACTTCTCGACAAGGAGCGTCATCTGCTATTCCATGGTCGTCTGTTGATCACGACGCGGGTGACTCGGGTGGGGTGTTTGGCGGTCTTTCTACCCCCAAGACCAAGAAACAGGGCTTCTTCAAGAAGATCTTTGAGTCCGCGAAGACGGGTGCTGCTAGCGCAAGAAGCAGTATCTCCGTTGGTCATAGTGGTGGCCCACAGTCTCCTTCAAAGGGGCACAGGGTAGTTGATACGATATCCCCTCTTCTCACCTCACGGGAATCGGCTCGTGATAGTCCTCGAGATATGGGCCTCAGTGCTAGCGCTATTGACTGGGTCCAAGTTCGCCGTGACGTCAACCGCGCATCGTCTCCTAGTAGGAATGAGCGTATTGAACGAGCCGAACGCTGTCAGATGATGGATCATCCGGTTATTTACGCAGTTGAGGAACTGTATGACACCGCAGAGGGTGACGAAAGTATTGACGGTCTCCCAATCAGCGAGCCCACAAACTTTGACACCCCAAACCTGTCTCTTGTTGACAAGGGTGCCCGCTTCATCAGCAGCCTCCCCCCTACGACTAACCCCATGGGCCTTGCTCAAGGCTACATCACTCGCCCCTACAAAAGTGATGTTCAACGACTCCGTGCAATCTTCACATGGGTCAGTGAAAAAATTGCTTGGGAGGAGCCTGTCGATGGTCTTGATATAGATATCAAGAGAGTCCTACAGGCTAGACGCGGCAGTCCTCACGAAATCGCCCTTTTGGTGCACGAAATGTGTGGATCTGTTGGCATTCACACCGAAGTGATCCATGGCTTCCTCAAACAACCTGGTGATATGCTGGATCTGGAGAGTCTATCTCGTCCCAATCATTGGTGGAATGCGGTTCTGGTTGACGGTGAATGGCGCATCATGGACTCTGCTCTGGCCAACCCGACAAACCCGCAGAGAAGCCGATTTGTGACGAACAACTCTTCTGTTGCTGAAACTTGGTACTTCCTTGCCCGTCCACTTGATATCTGCTATACCCACGTTCCTCTTTACCCCGAGGAGCAGCACATTTGCCCTCCGATCTCTCCCGATGTTCTGTTGGCATTGCCAGCAGTGTCTCCGCAATATTTCAAGCTGAATGCACAAATTCCTGATTACGATACGAGTTTGATCCGAATTGAGGGACTGGAATGTATGCAGATTCGTCTCGTCGTACCAGCAGACGTTGAATGCGCTGCCGAGGTCGAGTCTCCTGCATTCGTCCGTGACGCCGACGGGGACTTCTTTGAAAGTGGTGACATTATACGCAAGCGAGCATTGGTGCAACCAGACTGGTTCCGAGGTCAGAAGAGGATCACTGTCAAAGCTGTTCTGCCAGGTGACGAGGGACAGGGTATATTAAAGCTCTATGCCGGCAAGAAGGGCCTTATGCACACCAGCCGAGACATTCCACACCCAATGGCTCTAGCTCTTCCGATAATGCACAGTGGAGAGAATCCACCTTACGACTTTGTGCTTCGCCATCCGACCCCCATGCCCAGCGCCATGATCTTTACATTATGCAGCCCCAATGTTCGCGCCTGGCAGTCAATAATACTTTTGTTTTCGCCGTCCGTCAACACGCCTCATCGCCCGGAGTCGCTCCAAAGGATGACTTTCCATCCAATGGACGTGACTCCCCATCATCGGTGTTCAATCGTCCCGCCAGCGCACTAAGCATGGTATCAAGCACTGCAGGTGGCTCAACCGTGTCGAGTAACTCGAACGAATTCTCCGCTTCCACCTCGGCCATATCATCTACCAGGTCGTCTTCCGGGCGTGACAAGCCTGCAAAGCTAGCCATTCAGTCTCCCTCTGGCAAGATTCTACGCCTCACCCGCAAGGCAGACCACATGATTAGCAATGACAACCCATCCAACTCTGTCACGGATGCTGCCGCAGAGGGTAGTGTATGGGAGACTGTGATCAAGATCGGCGAGCGAGGTACCTGGCGCGGTCTAGTGCTCGCCGACCGAGTTGCACGGTGGTGTGTGTTCTGTGAATGGGAGTGTGTCTGATAAACTATCTTATTTGAGTTGAGCCATCACGATAGAGCCTGCTGAGGTGGGTATTTGATCGTGATTTTTCTGTTTGCATATTTTGCCGCTTTCCATCGCGCCAGCGTTATCATCTTATGGGGTTTTCTTTTCTCTTTCCTTTTATCTACTGGCATTTGCATCAGGTTGGCTTAGAGCACTGCATATACTGCGTTCCATTTTCATTTTAGCAGACATATTTCCCTCCTGATCTCGGGTGTTTGGGGTTCTGTTAAGGTTCTTGCTAGAAAAGAAATAAATACGTTTTACACCTCGCATGGAGCATCCGACACCCACTTCTACCCTGTGATTCAAGGTATAGTGCCCTTTTACTTCGTTCCTGATGACTAGACAGGCCGACCAAGAAGAAATGATAGAAAAATTACTCTTAGTAAGTGGTGATAGCTGCCAATTTAGAGTTATTGTAAAAGAAGCCCTTCAGACAAGAGATTATGAACCAAGATCTATTTTCTGCGTCAGTCTGTAGATATGATAGATGCATATATCAGTGCGAGCAGAAGACGATGTACGTAGACTAGCATTATCTTGAACTCCGGAGATAAAGGTGATATTTATGGCTTCACTCTTCAATGGGCCCAACCCAGCACCAATAAGGGTTAGAGCTCGGGTATCAGGTAGCCTCGAGGTCATGGTATTCGCGAAGAAAGATTGAATCCTTCCCCTTTTTCCTTCCCGCATACCTCACGATTCCTCTCAAGGCTCTCTGGGAATCCCTTCGGCGGAACATCGACACTACCCAGCTCCGACTCTTCAATACCTTCCATCCGTCCGCACCCTGGAAATTCAGGGCTTTCGTGATCGAGGGGCTTATCTTTAACCCATCTTACGCCTCCTATATAGACACAATAAAATATGGCCCGTACAGACTTTCAATCATGACTTTTCTTTCTTTGTCTATTTGAAGGCCTTTGCTATAACATTATGGTTCGATCTACTCGCATAACAAACAGTAAATATATGATTTTCCCTGGAGGTTTTCTGTAGTTGCAGTTGTCCTGGTAGATTCTTTGTTTAGATTTACGTCTTAGTGCTAAACATGTCCAACGGGCTCGGAATTGCTGATGAATGAGTATATAGGGCAAACTATCTGCTTACCTCACATCACCCAGTGATAATATGGTGGAGTGGTAACTCAGGGGTTTAGAGTTTCCGATTGCAGCTAAACACAGCCGTTATCGGAATGTCAGGTGTTCGAATCACTTTCACTCCTTTTTTTGTTCAATTAATATTTTTAATCTGCCTATGTCGAAGACACTACCAGAGTCCCGAGTCCATTAAGTGTCTGACTCTGAACGACTTTGTCTATTTCTGCGGAACACAGGGGGATCTTATTTACGACTTTAACAGCTCATAACCCCATGAAGCCCTCTCTCACTTCCAACAATAAACCTCAGGAGTACCTGCGAGCAGGGTTGATTTGAGTCTGATCAGATCATGTGTATATTACAGTTAACTCTAGGTTAAATAAATTAAATTAGAAAGAGGTATTAAAAAATACAAGGAGCGAAAGTGATTCGAACACCTGACATTCCGATGACGGCTGCAAATACAAGCTGCAATCGGAAACTCTAAACCCCTGAGTTACCGCTCCTATTGATGACAAATCAATATCAATTTAGTACTACAATATTCGAGACGCCTGAGGCAGCATTCACTGTCGACGGCCTGAGCACACTTATGGTCCTTCAGACTTCTGAAGCAGGCCATGGCTTTCTCACCCCCTTAATCCAATTTTCAAGTTCTTCCTGGTTCATTTGAGGTTTCTATATACAGAATATCCCCTAAGCTGTTATCATTCTTGACAGGTCCGTCGTGATTGAGGCTGATGGCCCGACCGACGCCTCGCTTTCACTCGGGTCCCTAGGAAACCTAGCGTAGAGAGCTTGGCTTCCGCTTCTCCTTAGGAGAGAAGAGATTGCAATGAGCCCTTTCGAAGACAGATCCTGCGCCTGAAACAGTCCATATCATGGTAGTAAATTTATAGCGTACTAAATCTATCGGCTCGATCAAGCAGTCAGAAGGAGAGAAAACAAAAAAAAAAGAGGAGCGAAAGTGATTCGAACACCTGACATTCCGATGACGGCTGTATTAACACGCTGCAATCGGAAACTCTAAACCCCTGAGTTACCGCTCCGTAGTTGATATTTTCGCAAAAGATTTGTTTATATGATGTTCAACGTAACTGCTGTACTCTTGTAGTTCCACTTATCCGATGTTAGTCGCTGCTTTTCTCGAAATACATCATTATTAAAGTTAAGAATGTCAAATAAGACTCTTTATTCCAGACTAAATTCACAAATTTGAATTCTATCATGTTGCACAGACAATATGGAAAGAGATGGCTTACTACTCAAGGAATGGAATACCTTGGTACATTGAGATTGTTGTGACACATACGACAAGGACTACTTGGAGACCATTGTATTGAGGCGAAAGAGGCATACGATCCAGCCAGATAGGGCTCAGGGCATTGTATAGTGTTCACATAGCTATTGTCCTTTCTCAGTTCTCTTCTGATAAATGACTAAAAAGGAGGTCTTAATGCCACGGGCTTCGCAGTGAATGCATTTGGAAAATAGGAAAGAACCGCTAGAGCGGCCTTGAAGGCGTCCGGGATGCGCATATACTTGTATCATAAGCTGGTAACTGCTTTCCGGAGCAGCGGAGCGACTTGCTTTCTACTAGCAGTCGTGTTTGTCTGTAGCCACAGGCGTCTCCAAATATCCGCGTCTCCATCCAGCGTAGACCGAATCGCATGTTCTGTCGAATCATGGTACTCACAGTCCACTGGCGACCATCTCTCGAGACCGAGGTGGGGCCTTGTCTGCTCAACAAAGGCCTCTGCAGCCTTGACAGCAGCATCGCAGTCACACATCGCACAAACTAGCAGTTCTCTGGAGAATTCATCCTCTACAGAACTGAAAGAGGTCATGATGACCACTACATCCAGCTTTTTAGCTGCAGCAAATGCACGTACGCCGTCCAGAAACTGTTGAGGTGTACCCGCTTTCTCAGCGATCCAGCGGATTGGTTTGACAGAAGAGCAAAAGCCGAGATTGACGGATTCCCCAGATGAAGACTTTTCGGTCCATTCCTTGTAATCTCGATCAAGGACCTCATCCAAGGTCAACAAATCCAGACTGTTGGTCTTCGCAGCTTGAACCTGCTCGTAGAATGCCTCCGCATGCCATTTAGGGTCCTCCTTCGCAACCTGCTCGCGCAGGAAGCTCACAGCTTGGATATCAACATCCGTAACCTTTCCTTCAGCTGTCAAGTTCGACGTGTCGATCAGAATCGCGGCCAGAGCCAGCTTCGCGAGTTGTGCGTTTTCGGCGGACGATGCGTCTGCAGCCCAGAGACCACGTCGAACCAACTCATTGGCGATTAGGGAAGAACATGATCCTGGGCCCGTTTGTATTATCAATGGTTGGTTTTCAGGGAGAGCATCCTGGCTAGGCACGAAGTGCTCGTCAACGTGATGGTCGACACATCCCACCGTGCGGAAAGACACCTCGGAGAGACCAGCTACCGAGCCATGTCCCTTCTGCCCCTCGACGCGGTGTGGCATCGCGTTCCAATCGACCAAGGTCGCGTCTGCAAAGAGCTGTTTCGATATCGCATTTCCCCGAAGCCTCTGTGCAAAGTCCGCGACCGTGACGATGTGCTCACGCAGGAGCTTCCCCGCTGAGTCGGATGAATTTTCAAAGCGTTCGTCGGGGTTTAATGCAGGGAAAGTGGTGGACAGCCATAATGTGGTGACAAACTCCGGTCGCAGTCGGTATAGCTCGGAGCCGGCAGGCACAGTCGGGAGGTTGAGGAGTGGTATATGGGGGCGTGGGGTTGTGCTAGGGAGACGATTGCTGGCCCAGTACGAGTACACGATGGCGGAGATAATTGAGTCGAGATCGGCGGAGGGATTGCCCACGACGTAAATGGGAGGCTCAGATAGGGCTCCAGCTAGGAATTGGAGGTGTATCTGACGCGCCTGGCGCAGGAATTGGAGGAGAGTCATGTCGCTGAAGAGTTGAGGTTGTGTGGGCTTGATATGCGACTACGTCACCAGCGCGAAACACTAGATCCCCGCAATACTAGCGACGTTTCTACATAATCGACCAACTATCTGCAAGATGTTCCAAATGACCCCAAAGTCCTCTATATCTTCGCAGTTACCGAAGCTATCCAGAGCTGGTGAACAGTTGAAATCAATGGTTCAACTACCTGGACCATTCGCCGAGCTCCCTCGTCATCCCATCTTGTACAACCACTTTTCACCAATCCACCCACTACCCTCTCTATCGACCCCCTCCCAAAGACCAAAACAAGCCGGAATTAACATATATGCCAAGCGGGAAGACCATGGAGCACCACTCGCCTGTGCAGGCAACAAATACCGCAAGCTCGAATATATAGTGCCAGACATCTTGTCACCCACACCAACATACCACTACCACGAACATCACCCCACAACCGAGAAACTAAATGGCCCGGCAACCATTTTAGTAACCGAGGGTGCAATCCAAAGCAACCACACCGTCCAAGTCGCAGCACTCGCGCACACTCTAGGCCTCAAGGCCCTAGTCCTTCTTTCCCGCGGCACGGGCGGCGGGCTTCTTGCCAGTCATGACCAAGATGCCTTCGTAAGCTCAGGGAACGTACAAATCAACCGAATGCTAGGCGCTGAGGTACGAGTCCTAGAGGAAGGCGATCCAATTAGTAATGACGCCAATCCCGTCCTCGAGGAACTCCGCACGCGTGAAGAAAGGCCCTACTGGATCCCCGGCGGCGCAAGCCTCCACGCGCTCGGTGGGCTAGGATATGCGCGAGCTGCTTTTGAAATCGAAACACAAGAGCGTGAACTCAATCTCAAAGGATCAGGCCAATTCGATTATATTTTCGTAGCCTGTGGCAGTGGAAGCACACTCGGTGGGCTAATTGCCGGATTCAAGCTTGGAGAACCGGCGATTACCACGAGGCAGATAATCGGGGTTTTGAATTCACCTACCAAGCCGCGATCGTACCATGAGGCGCGAGTGTTGACATTTGCGAGACGGGCTGCGGAGCTGATTGGGTTTGATGGGAAGAATAGGCTCGAGAGTGAACATGCAATTATTACGGATGATGTGAGGCTTGAAGATCGGTTTGTGGGGACTGGGTATGGGATTTTGGATGCCGAGACTAAGGAGGCCATGGAAGTTATGGCAAAGTCGGAGGGTATCATTCTGGATCCCGTGTATACGGGAAAGGTAGCCAGAGCAATGATGCAGTGGGTGAGAGAACATGAGATACAGCAGTTTGCGCGGCAGCGTGAGTTGGATGAAGTGAATGTGCTGTTCATCCATACAGGAGGTCAAGCTGCGCTAGGAGCCTACGCAGATGTGATCTAGGGAATGAACTACCCTAGGGAAAGACAAAGACTCAAGGCCTGTTTAACAATGGCTGCATTCAACTAGTATTACACGGTGACTGGCAACAGCAAAAATCAAAAAAGCAGACTGCCTCATTCATCACAAACATAGCCGTAGCTGACATGGAAAATAGAATAGAACACACGACTTGAAAAAGGTAAAAAAACGCTGCAAAACTCCGCGGACATCGCCCGGTCCTGATCCTGTAATATGAACCCCTTTTCAGAAAAATAAACGCGATCGAGAGAATCCGATAAGAAAATAAAGCTCAAGAATGGACCTCTCGAGACTTTCGAAGATAGAACAAATGAAACTATACGGCTCGGGATGAGCAATACTATTGGCCGATCAGAGCTCTGACTCGGGATTCTCTGGCCCGGGGTCTTCTTGCTTCGCCAGAGCTGGTTCAGCGACGGGCTGAGCATCATTAGCAGGAGCTGGCTCGTCGTGCACAGAGCCTGCACGACTGGTGCCGTTGCTTGCGTTCAGAGCGTCAAGGACCTCGGAGGCATGGATATTCTCCATGGTCTCGGCATCAGGGTTGACGTCCTCCTGGTTGGTAAGGTCTGCAAAAATATCGTCTAGATTCTGACGCGGGCTGCTACTGACGAACTGAGGCTCACGGCCGCCGAAGCGTGGCGAGCTGAAGAGGGAAGGTTCCATACCTTGCCCAGTGGGCGAGGGAGAGCGCGGGAGGAAGGTCGGAGATGAGGGAGCCGCCGCTGCGTGGGGCAGGAAAGCAGAGGAGGTTGGTGCAAAGGCAGGAGTGGAGTCGGTAGCTGGCAAGGAGTAATTCGCAGAGAACGGGTATGCGGTAGCAATTGGTTCCGACATGGGAGTCAGGGCTGGCCCGGTGGTAGGAGGCTGGCTGTTGGCTGGGGTCGGTGGCGCAGGCTGTAGGGATGAACGAGGAGTTACTTGTGTTGCATCGATTGACTTGCGTTTAGGAGCAAGCATATGCTTTGTGCGCAGATGCTCTGGAAGATCTTCAGGACGATCAACACCAAGCTGAGCCATGATCTTCTGCTGTTTGGTCGGGCGAGGCTTCCGAGTTGACAAGGACTGCTCCAGAATGGGCGGGGGTTCCGGTGCAACAGGAGCCCACTTGTGAATCTCCTGTCGGAAGAAATTCGTCTCGTACGTCAGGAGAACCTCGGCACCTTCGATTTTGCGCAGGTAGAAGATCAAAGTAGGCACTTCCTCGGTGGTGGTGCAGGCAGCGTTGGTGAATCCCTGGAGGAAATCACGGAAGGCGAGGGCTTGATTGACAATGCTGTCCAAAACCTCCTCTTCGTCCGGCTGGAAGGGCAGGTTGGAAATTTCCGCGTGCCAGTCTTGGAGATCCTCGAGCTTGGGTCGGGCTGCATCACGAGGGATCTTCTGTCGCCAGTCACAGATGGGGCAAGTGTACTTGTCAAACTCCTTAACTTTGCCTCGTGCGATCTTGAGACATTTGCCGTGATACCTGAACGACGTATTAGTGACCAATTTACCACTATGCATTTCAAAAGACGCCCCAACTTACCATTCATGGCAGACTTCACACTCAATCATCATGCCTGCCTCCGAATGCCGACAAATACAGAACACATCTCGCTTCCGTGACTTGGGACCCCACACATTGCTCGGAGCAGTTTCAAGCAATCCGTCCGGAGTGTTGTCTCGCGAAGAGGGCTCCACGGGGGGTCGATAGCTGTCCTCAAGATCGAAGCAATACGAGTTGCGTTTCTCAACATACTCCATATGAGATTTGAGGATATGCAGAGGGGCATTCGCCTTCCCGAAGAGCTTCTTGCCTTTTCGCATCCAGTCCTCATGCCGTTTCTGTTCACGTTCCAGATCAAGGGCTCCGATTGGTCGACTGTTTAGTTGCTCTAAAGACTCTATAACCTCGCGAATGTCCTTGTACTTTGGTCGATTTCTGATATCACTGTCTTTGCTCTTTTCGTAAAGTGACTGGATCCGCTTCTGTGCTTCTCGCTGCTTGTTCAAGATAGCATCAACAGCGGCAAGAGTATCTGGTGTAACGGGGAAACGAGACGCTTGGGCAGAGAGCGCTTCCAATTGCTGGTAGTGAACGGCTTCCACTGACATCAGTTCTTGGGCCTTGGCTTCCCAAGCTTCACCACAGCGACGGAGTTCCTTGTAATGAACCAGATGCTCGTTGGTGTCGGAAAGACCAAGCTGCTCACCGGCGGCGACAATTTCCTGGCAGTCCTTGAGGGAAAGGTACTTGTCGCGCTTGGCAGTAGCCTCCTCAACCCATTTCCTTTGTCGGTGGATCTGCTCGAGGTGCTCCACTTCCGGCATCTCCACGTTGAAGTTGCGTCCGGCTTCAACAAGGTCCTCAATCTCCTGGGCGGATCGGGCGGAGGGGTTCATTAGGGCGGCATTAACGTCCTGGCGGAATTTCTCGATCTCGCGGGTCTTCTCTTCCAAAGCCGCCATCTGTGGACAGTCGAAGGAAAGTTTATCAGCTTCTGCCAGAAGGGCGTAGATGTGATCCACTCTGCGGACTTCACGGTCTCGATCGTCCAGCTGCGCAGCCTTGGTACTGGCTCTGCGCCACGCTTTCTCGTTTTTTCTCCGATTTTGCTGCTTCCGGGTAATGTAGTTGTTTGCTTCCTCAACCCATTTATCGCAACGCTGGACGAAAGCCGCAAGGTCTTGAAGGCCAGGCAGATGGTACGGGATTTTCTCACCTTCACTGAGCAAGTTGTGCAGAGCCTTAAGCTGGGGCTTTGGCTCGTCCTCTAAGGTCTTGTCGAGTTTCTCTCCCCAAATTTCGGGGGCTCTAGCTCGCTCTTGAACTCTTTGGACAGTCGCTTTCAGTTCTGCGTCACTCACGCGGTAGCGAAGAGTGTGATCCGGTCCCAGGAGTTTCTGGGGAAGAGAGTCACCACAGCAGTCAAAGGTATCCATGTGCGACAAGCAAAGAGTTTTGCCCGACTTGTGGCAGCGGAACTGGGTAAGGTAAGCGTATGCCTTGCACTGCTGGCACTGATAGTCATCTTCGGGGAGATCCTCCTCTTCCACTACGAATTTAAGTTGACAACCGCCTGTCGAAGACTCGACGCCAAGAGCGCAATCGTGAGGCACGATTTCCTTGTGGCGAGACAGGAATGCTGCACGTTCACCTAGCTCCCGGGTAGTGGTTCGCTCAAGTGCAGGAGCGAGCCACTTCGCGGTCGCAATGGATGTATCTCGGGTAGCTGCGGTAAATAGCAGCTCATCATGAGAGAAGCATGGATGCCGGCGGAATGTCTGAAGGCGCTCCACGCCTGCGGCACCCCAAGGTTCCCAGTCAGTAGGTGCGAAGTTGACAGCCTCGTTGAAGTTGAAGCCATGGTTGAAGCCAGCATGATAAGCTTGAGGGAAAGTGAGAACAAATTGACCAGCTCTCTGATCCACAGCATAGACATTGACGCCAGCGCTACGAAGCTTTTCCGGTGGCATCAGGGTAACTAGCTGGAAAAGAAGATCTGGCTGGCCCTCGAAGAGCTCAGGGACTGCCTTCCGCATAGCCGTCTCGAAGGCCTCAGCATCCGCACCAGGGATACCATACCAGGTCTTGGTCGCGCCAAAGTGCTGATAATTGGCCGAGTAGGCGTAATGGTCTTCATTATGCCAACAGAAAGTCGAAAAGCACATTCCAACATAAACCCATGGCACAGTCATACCGGAAATATCAGACTTGATGTGGCGGAACAGCGAATCGCCATAGAAAGGAAGGACGTTCAGGTTCCAAGGGTCCGACGAATATGGGTCAAGTGGGTTACGCTCAATGGTTGGGAAACCACTGCCGTGGGTAGTCGAATGGATGTCCGCACCGTACTCAACCTCAACAGTCTCGTGTAGATCGACAACAAGCTTCCAGAATTCAGCTTCGACATCATCTTCGGTTTCGCGACGATGAGTGTTGAGAACAGGATCAAAAGGCATCTTCGAAGCGAAATATCGCTTCTTGAACTCATTGGCCTTTTCTTGAAATTGCTTCAACGAGTAAACGCCACCATCTTCGAATCCGAATTCGCCAGTACCAACAAGACACTTCGGACAGTGCCAATCATTTTCGGAAGCGGCAGTCGTGGAAGGATCAAGGCAAGCGGTATGGTAACCAAGATCACAGCTATCACAAACAAGAATTGTATCAGAATCATCTGACTTTCCACATGATTCACATTTCTCGTCAGTTCTCTGGGTCCCATCTTTCCTGGCCTTGGGCGGTGCGGGACGAAGAAGGGACATATGCGAACCCGCAACGGTGGGTAGTGAATCTAAAAAGAGGGAGTCAAAACAAAAGACGCAGTAGACTCATTATGATTGTTGATTTACCTTTCTTGAGACGCTTACTGCGTCGCCCACTTATTTCATCCATATCGCCATTTTCAGCCTGGGAGGCACTGTCATGACTGATGGCGCGTTTGGCAGGGTTCGCAGCATCGCCGTTGGCCACGGATGTGGAACGATGCTGCTCAGCAATACTCTGAGGTGTTGAAGTGCCATTCTCGCCCTCACACTTGATCGCTGGGCCGTTGCTCACAGTCGCAAATCCAGGGGAATGATTTACGGCGGTGAATCCAGTTGCGCCGGCATTTACTGGGGTGAACCCAGACGGCACCGGGAGTGGAGAAGGGGTAGGCTCAACCGGCGGAGTTGGCTCTGAGGGCTTCTCCATCGGGGTGCCGGAGGCGAATGGCATGCGCATAGCCAAGGTTTCGTCCAGAATATTTGAGGGTGTTCCAATTTCCTCCATTGCAGGCTTTTTCGCCATGGGCGAGGGACGTGGCGAAGGAGTAAATGGGCCGCCATGCTCCAATTCAAGCTGCTGCTGCACTCCGGGCTTGGCCCGAGCCAGGTACTCCTCATATGGCTGCAAGTAACGCTGATAGGAGTTCTTGAGAGAGGTTGACAGCGAGGACATGATCTTGCCGCTGTAGCCAAGATCACGACCAATCTCAGCCCACTTCTTCGTCTTGCAAACCTGCTCGAAACCGCCTCTGATCTCAACAGCCTTCTTCAACTTGTACAGATCGAGAGGGCGTTTGTCCACACTCGGTAATCGACTATAGTTTGTTCCGTGTTGCTTGTGAAACATGGCAAGTCCATCGATGTAGTTCATATTGGCACGGTTACCTGGATTAGAGTCAGGATTGGATGCGTGATCCGGTGTATTTACACCAGCAGTAGCATCAGCTGAACGCGGGGCCATACCTCCTTCGACTGAGTTGAGTTCTTGTCGACGAGTTTTGAAATGAAAACGCTGTGAAGGGTATCCATAGTTAGCTCAAAGTTTCCAAAAATGGGGTATTGAAAAATCGTGATGCATGCGCAGCTCTGTTATAGCAGGCTCTGCTCGCCAGAGCAATTGCGGAACGGGTAACAAATTGCGTGGGAGCCTACCTCTGTATCAATCGCGAACGTCGGCTGCCAGCCTTCCGGTGGAATAACTCTACAAATTCCATACTTCCTGCCTTCCGGTGCAATTTTCTGGATGTATGCCACCGGATCCTTGAATTCCTCCTCAGTTGGGCGGAAAGTGGGAGCCTCGGGGATGCCCTGAGGCCGGACGCGCTTGGCTGGCTCGCGGGGAGCATTGGGTTGGCCGCGCCGCTCAACCGTTGACAAGTCAAGCGGTGCCGACCTGCGAGCACTCAGGGGAACATTGTGTGAATGCGATGGGTGCGTACTCGAGGATCGAGTGGGCTGGAGGCCCACGGGTGTTTGTCCGGCCATCGATTTTGCCCCGTTCAAGGCCGGGGCCACCATCTCGGATAGTTATCGAGTGTTTGTAATGAAGGGTGAGGTAACGCGGCCTGCGCGCGTTGCCGAGAACCGAGGAACAGATCACTGCTGCGTGAACGGGCGCATTGAAAGGATGTCGAGAATCGGAAACCGAACAAGGGCGGACGGAGTTTGCAAGACTCGAAGAAGAGAACTCGAAGAAACCCTTGAGTGAAAAGGTTGTTGACAAGAAGGGACGAAAGACGCGAGGGAAGAGGGGATATTAGGGTGGTGTAGATCAGAAGAAGATGTGGAAGGATGGAATTGATAGAATGGGATTATGAGATTATGGGAATTGGGTGGAGAGGTACTGCCCCGGTCACTTCCACTGCGCGGAGCAGCGGAAAAGCGACCTGCGAGTGACTCGGTCTTCTCGGTAGCGAAATAGTACCGTACCGTAATTTATCGAGACCGCAGCCGCGCAGGCACCGTACAGAAGGAAGTCGTAATTATACCGTCACCAGTCGGTTGCCGCAAACGGGACGGCATCGTACGGTCGGTTCCTCCTTCCAAGGCCCGAGCGTTTCTTTCCAAAGTTTTTCCAATTCTGTGATGCATCACCTATACCTCCCCAGGTTCTTATTCCCATCGCATCTGATGAATTTTTCTTGTCCGAGTTTACCAATTAACCATTACATACGTTGACATGATGCTAGTCATCTAATAGTGATCTAGACATAGCTGTAGTGACACTGGAGACTCCAAAGACATAATATATTGTGAGTGGGTCTCAATGCTCTGACGGACGTATTTAAGGAGACGCTTAACAGGATGTCCTAAAGGGGGACCAGGAAGAATTCCTGGAGGACATTCAAAGAAAGGCATGGAAGGAGACCTCGAAGACCCGAAGGAAACATGTTTTCAGGCCCATGGACACTATCTTCCTGGCCAAGCCATAGTGAGGCTGATTCGCCGACGTCCCAACAAGCTAGATCGACGAGATCTGCCGAGCACAGGGTCTCCACGACCTTTTCATAAACCTTTCGTAATTTATCTATAACCTTGAATTAACCCTCTATCGCGGATCAGGATGTTTTGGCTTTCAAATAAATCCTAGAAAGCGACTTTAAATAGCACTGACCCAAGTAAAACCGAAATCTCGACCGTCGGCATATCATGTGACCGCGTGTTTACCACACGCGGTGTGCCCGCAAGATAGCCACTTTTGATGCGTCTTTCCCCAATCAGAGACGCCAGATAGTGGTTTACAGATGCAGTCCCAAGATGAGCCGAGGCCTATCCCGGCCTACTACTGCTGCTATCTCCTCCGGTCTACTGTCCGACATGCTTCGCTCTATATTGGCTCAACCCCGAACCCCATCAGACGATTGTCCCAGCATAATGGTGAGGCCAAAGGGGGCGCCAAGCGTACCTCGCGCGATAAATTGCGGCCTTGGGAAATGGTCCTCGTGGTAGAGGGCTTCATGAGTCGGGTCGGTGCTCTTCAATTCGAGTAAGTTTCGCTGCCCTGGGCAGCAGAGCCGCATGCTGATGTTGTATAGATGGGCTTGGCAGCACCCTGAGAGGACACGACATATTGAGCCGGATGAAGATGATCTTCCTACCTCCCAGTCTAAATTCACTGTATGTCGACAAACGGGAAAGACCACACGGCGAACCACACGCAGGAGATCCTTGACGGCTCACCTAGAGGATCTGCATTTTCTGCTTCGGTCGTCCTATTTCATTGATTGGCCACTGCAGGTGCGATTCTTCTGCGCGGATGTTTACCGCGTCTGGAAGGTTTGGAATGAGCGCGTAGAGGCCTCTCTCCCTTCGTCCAAACTCGTTTTGGACGGGGACTGTCCCAGGCAAGGTGATGGGGGTGCCGCAGTGGGCGGCATTGACCAGTTGCCGGTCGACTTTACCAAACTTGAAGAATACCTGGAGAAATCCACGTTTGTTTTAGAAGACGCAGAGGACCTACAGTGTGCAGTATGCAAAATGCCGGTCAACCCCAATACACAGCAAATAGTGGTGTGTCCACAAGCGCCTTGCCGAGGCACCACTCATCTATTATGTCTATCTGCCAAGCTCCTTGAAGCCACTGAGAATGCTGATGCATTCGTTCCAGCGCGAGGAGCCTGCCCGACGTGCAAAGAAGTCATTCAATGGCCACTCATGATGAAAGAATTGAGTTTTCGCAATCGCGCCGAAAAGGAAGTACAAACGATACTGAGACGAAAAGAAAAGCGTGAGCGCAAGGAGTCTGCAAACCATTTGCCCAACAAGAAAGGCAAAAGAAAGGCATCCAATGTGCGCATGTCTTCTGTCGAGCCAACATTCGATGGCCAGTCAGAGCCAGCGCCAAATAGTATGTCTCAGGATGACCCAAAGTTAAGCGACGATTGGTATGAGGAAGTCGAGTTGGAGTCGGACACTGAATTCGGAACTCAAAAACAATCGCCTCCGCCAACCAGACTGGAAATCGTCATCGAAGATAGCGAATGGGAAGACGCTGAACTTGTGGAGTGAAGACTCGCTATGACACGCACATAACACTGGCCTACTTGGCGAGCGGCCCCAGCTTCCTCAATGATCCAATCGTATCAAGACACGCAAGGCAATTTAAGACGGCATTCTGGATATCCTTCGATACCTCCGTCAGTGTCTTTCCCGCATCGACAACATAAACGTCCTTCTGGCGTTCAAACAGCGTGCGGAAGAGCTCCCGCACGCGAGTCTGCATAGTCTCATTCTCATATCTCTCCGCCCCATAGCCGCCACGCTTGGCAGCTTCTTCAGCCGAAATACTGAGGAACAAGCAAATATCCGGACGGGGGAGACCGAGCTCGGGCTGCCAGGCCCACTCTAGCGAGAGCGTGGGGTTGGCCTTGGCAGCGGAATAAACGGCCCCCGAGTATGAGTAGCGGTCCACGATGACGGTGATTCCGCTATTGATATCTTCTTCGATGCTCTTGGCAATTTCCCAGCGGTTTGCAGAGAATAGGAGATGGATGGCGTGATCTTCTTGGTTGGCTGAGCCGCGTAAATAGCTATCTATGAGCTTTCCGATGGGCGTGGTCCTGTCTGTACGTCCATTAGAGTTGTTCTCAATAAACAATCGAACTCAAGTACCTGGAAATCGAATGTATTTCACACTGTGCCCTTGCTCCTTGAGGTAGGTCTGTAGCATCTCGCATTGGCTTGATTTGCCGGCGCGGTCGAGTCCCTCCACCACGATGAGCGCTCCGCGTTGCGTACGCGTTTGTTGCGACGTGCCTGTCATCCTGAAAAGATCCTAAAGGCGTATGGACCAAGACAGATGGCTTCCACGAGGTGGGGGTCAATTTGGCCCAATTAGGAACAATTGCTAGGTCAGTGAATACGGGTAGCAAGAACCGGGGTAGATTGAAGCGAAGGCCCTTGTACCGGTGACACTTTTTCTGCCGCCCGATAAGATCGCATCGCAACCGCATCATGGCCATTCCATGAACAACGCCGCCATGGACCCCGAGACATCTACGACTCCTGAGATGAATTTTAGTATCTTGGGCTCTGCAGCTCCAGTGCTGGCACCACGAGTGGGGAAATTGGCTATTCCCGGTCGCCAGGCCATCTCGACGCCGCATTTCGTTCCACTGACCACGCGGGGTGCCGTGTCGCATATTGCGCACGACGTGGTCCGGAAGGAGACTGCTATTAACAGCCTTTTCATTGGCTTAGAGGATTGTACGTTTAATTGCTCGTCTTGACCTGAGACACCGACAACAACAACTAACACAAGTCCCGTCTATCAGTCATCGAAAAGAAGCACCCTGCCCCGCTATATAAAACTCCAGTCGCACCTGGAGAATCTCCTTTGAGGCGGTTTATTTGCGCCCCCGATGACATGCCAATGATCCTCGCGCCGCGACGATTCCCTTCGATCCCATGCCCACCCACAAACACCGAAACCTCCGTTGCGATATTGACCTCTGTCGGATTCCGACAGCTTACAGCCCACCAATATGTGGAAGCGATTCAAAAACTTCAGCCCGATATTGCTATTGGCTTGGCAGACATAGTCACTGCCAAGCCACCAGGCACTAGACGGCGCGAAAAGATGGTTGACCGGACACATGCGTTTACTCGTGATGCATTGGAGCAGCTATACGGGTCTTCTGTGGCGGAAGGTAAAACATCAAAAGCGGCATACTTTGCGCCGGTATTGCCGTTGGAGAATGCGCAGCAGTTGCTTTATTTGGAAGATCTGGAAAATGAGTTTCGTGAACATCTCTCTGGTTTGGCGCTGTATGAATCTACTTCTCTGAGCTTCATCCCAGAAAATATTGGCCACCTTCCTCGCCTATTGCTCAGCGAGCCTGTGACTCCCCATGAGATTTTGCGAGAGGTCTCACTTGGCGCAGATCTCATGACTATTCCTTTGATTGGCGCATGCTCCGATGCTGGCATCGCATTGGACTTCGTCTTCCCTGCTCCGGCTAGCACGCAAGAACGTGGCGAGCCTCAACCCCTAGGTATTGACCTGTGGCCCTCCAAGCATGCAAAAGACACTTCACCCTTCAAAAAAGGCTGCGAATGCTATGCCTGCCGACACCACCACCGCGCGTACTTGAATCATCTCCTCGCCGCGAAGGAAATGACCGCCTGGGTTCTTTTGCAACTGCACAACCACCATATAATGGATCAATTCTTCGCGGGGATACGAGATAGTATCCAGCAAGGCACATTTGATGAGGACGTCTACGCTTTCAATCGTGCATACGACTCAGAACTGCCAAGCCAGTCCGGCGAGGGTCCTCGGTTTGTCTTTCTCTCACTACCTTCGTATTTATGTCCATCTAACAAAGGTACAATTAGACTGCGTGGTCACTACATCGCTCCCAGACAGGGAACCAACCATCCCAAGCGTATGCAAAAGGTGTATGGCCGCCTTGACGATCTGTCGGAGAAATTCAACGAGTCCCAGTCGTCGGTTGCGACACCAGATACTGACGCGGAAGGTCTGGAACGACACGGATTTGCCGAAAAGGTATAGATGCCATACAATGAATGCTAGGTATTTCGAATTGGCTGGGGTCATAGCATGAGAAACTGGAGCATTTGTTTACGAAGCCCTTTATGATTTTGGCACCTTTGGCCATAAGAGCATCTTGAATAGAAAACCCTATTTTGCATACGAATTTTGACCGATCTTGTTTCCGTCCATGTGGCTATGCCACAAATCAATTGCGCAAGCTCAAGAGTACTGTACATGATCCAATATCTCGTGATGCCATCAAATTTTTTCACGTCCAGACGAGTCATCTCCATAAATTCAAGACAGGGGTTTCTAGGGTATATCCGGGGTGTAGTCGTAGGTGTAGATGCGAGAAGGTCTCGGGTTTAAACCTCGCCTGCCAGCACGCGCCACATCCACTTAACTTGATCCTCTTCTTCTTTACTGCCGCGCTGGGTACCGGCGCCGAACTGTTGTCCGACGACGCAGACAAGCCAGGCCTCGTTCTTGGCGTTGTGGAGGAACCGCTCGGTGGGCGAGCCGTGAGGGTAGATGCGGCGCCATTCGTCCCAGATTCGGAAGGCTTCCTCGCCCCAGGCGCGGAAGCTGACTTCTTCGATAATGGTTGGTGTGACGATCTCCTTGCCGCGGAAGACACCCCAGGTAACGGCGTTAACGCTATCCGGGTTTGAGTCGAGCTCATCGAGATCGACATCGGCAGGCTGTGTGGGTAGGGAAGACTCGAAAGCTCCGGTCTTGTTCGTGGCGAACCAGGTGAGCTTGTCATAACCGTGCTTTTCGAACAACGGCTTAAGGATTTCCATGTAATCCTTGTTAGGGCAGAAGAATTCAACAAAAGGCTTCTGGAAGACGAAACCCTCACGCTGCGGGCCCCAACCGAAGATCTTGTCATCACTGCGGACGCCGTTAACAGCGGGCTGGGAGGCTAGTGTCCACCAGCCGCGGCTGTCAATGAGTTTGAGCAGCTCGGGCCGAATGAGGTCCGTCTCAGCATTCAATCCGCCGCCCTCCTCGGCACCACCCTCTGACCATGGGACCATATACAGTTCACCGTTGACGTGGCGACGGAAAATTGTATTAATGTCAGAGTGGTCGACAGGGTGGCCCCAGAGTCGGCGAGCGACCGCGGAGGTAACGTGAAGTGAAGGTCCATAGCCATCGATCTCGCCGAATGCAGGCGAGCGCGCATCACCCCATCGACCGTTGGGGAAATCATCCCATGTAGCCTCTCGGCCAAGAGCACCCATACCCTCGGAGATTTGGAGAGTAGTTCCACGGCCAGGAGGCATGGCAGGCAATCCGGCGCTGTTTGCCAGAGCCTCGTGTACGGAATCATGAGATGACTCTTTTCCAGAATACTTGTCCACGATGACGCGGTTGTGTACTTGCGAGTTGGCAGAAGAGCGGCGTCTCGCCAGCGAGCGAGCCCGAGTTTCCAGAGAAACAGCGACATCGACGTCCTCAAAGGCAGATTCATCAATGGCTGAGAAAGGCGGAATCAAGTCACATCGCTCAAGGATGAATGAGACAGTCTTCTCCAAGTTCAGAGTGTAGAAGTGGAAGCCCCGCGGGCCCGGGGACGGTAGCTCTTGGATACCTCCCACGATATCGCTGACGACATCGACACCAGCACGCTTGACAGCATCGTCATCATGCTTCAGCTCTTCCATACGTTTGGCAATGGGATCTGGGATGTGCACGTTGCTAAGCTTTGTCACGCGAGTAAGAATCTTGTAGCTGTGAATGGGCATGAGGCCCGGGATAATGGGAATGTTCTTGAAGACTCCAGACTCGTGATTGCGAAGCATGGTCTCAAACTTCGTGTAAGCTTCAAGATCGTATGTGAGTTGAGTCATGATGAAGTCTGCACCAGCAACGGTCTTCTCGATCAAGTAGGGCAGATCACGCATGGGATCCTGGACGTCCTGGAAAGCGTCGGCCGGGTGACCCTCTGGGTATGCGGCAACACCAATACAGAAGTAGTCGCCATGTTGCTTGCGAATATATTTCACAAGGTCCACAGCGAAGGTGAAGTCCTTGTTGCTATCGTCCTCTCCATGCATGTTGTATTCCTCGCTGCGAGGCGGGTCTCCACGCAGGGCGAGAATGTTGCGAATACCCAGCACCTTGGCCTCCTCCAGAGCCATATCCACCAATGCGCGGCTCATGTTGGTGCAGGTCAGATGCAGAACCGTCGTCAACTGCAGCTGGCGCTGGCAGACTTCGGCGAGCTCGAGGGAACGGGCCGCTGTGCTTCCGCCTGCACCCCAAGTAACGGTCACGAAGAGCGGGCGAAGGGCCTGGGCCATGCGCTCCAGACGCGCAGACAGGTTCGCAAAACCCTATAACGTTCACGATCGTTAGCCATCTCTCTTTGCACTAGGATTCCACCGTCGCGGGGTTACCCCACCATACGGGTCTTAGGAGGAAAGAACTCCAGCGAAAAGTAATTTGCGTCCGGCGGCAATGCCGCGATCTTCTCTGTAATCTTCTTCTCCATTGCGAAGGATGTGGACAGCAATGGGAGGGCACCGAGAAGAGTGAAGTTGGCAGAAGTGGACCGTTCATGGAATAAAACTGGCGACCCGAACGCATCGGGAAATATCACGAATTACGCCTGCCGATACCCTGGCCATCCCGCACTTTGGCGGATCTACACCATTTCCCTCCAATTGCACCATTTAGAATTCTATTACGTTTTGCATTTACATCGACAGGGAGTCAAGCTTGTTTTAGAGACCAGATGATCGACCGGAACGAGATTACTCAGCCCGATACGAAGCCCGTGCGATCGATAGCCGAACTTGCCCCGTCGCGAACTTGTACTTTAGCTTGGACCTATACAACCGCGCCTTATTACCCAACCCAGTCATGGTTTCCCTCTGAGAAACGCCGTTTCCTCCCGATATATTTTGTGATACCCAGCCATGGCCTCTCAGCGCCCGGCGAGCTTTCTTCGCCATCTCCGTCTCCGAGGCACAGGATCTCGAACGCCGCGGCGAAACCTCTCCTCTTCTCCGCAACCAGCCCCGTCAAGTTCCAAAGACTCCCAATCTCGTCTGCGCCAATTGAATGACCGTCTACCACGCTTCCTCCGTGCATACACTGCACCATTACTCGGAGCACCGGTGACCCATATCACATCCTTTTTTATCCTCCACGAAATCACCGCTGTGCTGCCATTGTTCGGACTGGTAGGCGCATTTCATTATGGAAATTGGATGCCAGACCTCACATCCGGTACCGGGGAGAACAATGCCTTTGACGAAGGGGCTGCGCGATTCGGGCGCTGGTTGAGGAAAAAAGGCTGGGTCGATGAATCCGACGTGAGCACAGTCGCAGATCATGAAGTCACCGGGTTAGCGCCACGCGAAAAGCAGCGGGGAGGTATACGGTTAGTGCTCGAGTTCGCTACAGCTTATGCGATTACAAAGGCTTTACTGCCCGTTCGTTTGGCTGCGAGCGCATGGGCAACGCCTTGGTTTGCGCGGACAGTCCTCGCACCGACAACCCGTCTGGCCAGGAGGCTCGTGAGAAAAAGCTAAGGTAATAAATGATCGTACTTGTACTCATACTCATAAATCATATGAATTGTATATTGTTTGATTGAAGCCATCAGAACCACTCTTCAACTACTGCAAATCTATGTCGCAAGCAGCCGATGAGCAGCGCTCGTCAGGCCATGACACCATGGAACGAGTAATTTACTCGTAGATCCACTGGGAAGCGGTGTGCTTCCACTTGAGGACCTCGGAGGGGCCGAACCAGAGGGCAATCTCCTTCTGGGCGTTCTCGACGGAGTCGGAGCCGTGGCAGACGTTGCGGCCGACATCGATGGCGTAGTCACCACGGATGGTACCGGGAGCGGAGGCCAGGGGGTTGGTGGCACCGAGGATGGTACGGCCGGTCTTGACGGCGTCCTTACCCTCCCAGACCATGGCGCAGATGGGGCCGCTCAGCATGTCTGACATCGGAGTTAGCTTGGTATCAGGCTGGACTCGAGACGGGTGTTACTCACAGGAGATGAGGCCCTTGAAGAAGCCCTTGCCGGCGAGGTCGGCGTAGTGCTTCTCGAGGTGCTCCTGGCTAGGGGAGGTCAGCTTCATGGCAACGAGCTTGAAGCCGCGGTTCTCGAAACGAGAGATGATGGGGCCAACGAGTCCACGCTGTGGTAGCGTTAGTATATAGTCAATTGATGCTTGAACCGATTGTCTGTCAAGACTTTCGGTCGAGAGATTGTCGAAGGCGTACCTGGACACCATCGGGCTTGATGGCAATGAAACTGAAGCAATTGATTAGCTACACCGCTAATGAAGGAGGGAATAGAAGAGGAGTAGATAGGTGCGGAGAGGAGGTAGACAAGGCATTGGGAAAATAATGGTGAACTTACGTCTGCTCGGAGGACATTTTGATGGATTGGAGTTAAAGATCTGGGATCAGCAAGGGATGGGAGATAAAAGAGGAGGGAGGGGAGACGGGAGAATAAATACCTGCGAGTCTTTTTTGGCCAGTGTTGCTCCATTGGTGGGGCACGAGGGGTGCCATCCGTCTCAGGCAGCTGATTTTGACACCGTGACACCTTATGGCCTGCATGCCTTGTAGCCTCAGGTGTCTTACCCCAGCTATCCACCGTCAGGCCAGCCTGGAGCTTCCCTGTTGATGTACCTCTGGATGCTGGTCAACATCCTTCATCTGTACACAACTAGAGATTGAGGGTCTCTGAATACACATTTCCCATCATGGCCAGGAGTCAAACTGCGTCCCGCTGGACGCTATTGCTCTCCTTGGTCGTTCTTATCGCATGCATTGTTGTTCCCGGATGTGAGATCCCATTGCGAACGCCAGGAATTACCCCAGTATCTGACTGACCTCGCCATTGACAGTGGCTGTGAAACATGAAAACTTCAAGACTTGCGAACAATCCGGATTCTGCAAACGAAACCGAGCCCTCGCGGACAATGCCTCCGCTCAAGGCGCGTCATGGAGCTCCCCCTACGAGCTGGACCCCGCTACTATCCACTTCAAGGATGGCCAATTGACGGGTATGCTGATCAAAACTACCGCTACAAATGAAAAGATCCGCTTGCCCCTCACGGTCTCCTTCCTCGAATCCGGTGCTGCTCGTGTCCTCGTCGATGAAGAGAAGCGCATGAAGGGCGATATCGAAGTCCGACACGGCAGCAAGGTCAACAAGAAACGTTATGACGAGGCTGAGAAGTGGGTTGTCGTTGGTGGCTTGGAAATCAGCAAATCAGCCACTTTGAATGCCCAAACCAAGACCGGCTTCACCAATATTCTTTACGGACCGAATGACAATTTCCAGGCGATTATTCGACATGCCCCATTCGAGGTGGACTTCCAGAGAGATGGCGAGACTCATGTGCAGGTCAATCACCAAGGTCTGTTGAACATGGAGCACTGGCGGCCCAAGGTCGAAGGCCAGGAGGGCGAGTCTGAGGAAGACGAGAGCACTTGGTGGGAAGAGACCTTTGGCGGCAACACCGATTCCAAGCCTCGTGGCCCTGAGAGTGTTGGTCTCGACGTTACCTTCCCTGGATATACTCATGTGTTTGGTATTCCCGAGCACGCTGACTCGCTTTCACTCAGAGAGACTAGGTATTATGCTTTTGCCTGATCTCAATTTCGAACCCAACTGACCGTTATTTAGGGGCGGAGATGGCAACCATGAGAACCCTTACCGAATGTATAACTCCGATGTCTTTGAATATGAGCTCAATAGCCCCATGACTTTGTATGGGTCGATTCCCTTCATGCAGGCTCACCGCAAGGGCTCTACCGTCGGAGTATTCTGGCTTAATGCTGCTGAAACTTGGGTTGATATTGTCAAAAAAGCCGGTTCTTCGAACCCGCTGTCCATGAGCGCCCACTCAAAGAAGGATACCCAGACTCACTGGTTTTCCGAAGCCGGCCGAATTGATCTCTTTGTTTTCCTTGGACCTACTCCCCAGGATATCAGCAAGACCTATGGTCAGCTCACTGGTTATACGCAGCTCCCTCAGCACTTTGCCATTGCCTATCACCAATGCCGCTGGAACTACGTCACCGACGAGGATGTCAAGGAGGTGGATGCGAAGTTCGACAAGTACCAGATTCCTTACGATGTGATCTGGCTCGACTTGGAGTATACCGATGACCGGAAGTACTTCACTTGGGATCCGCTCACCTTCCCCAACCCGAAAGGCATGCAGGAGAAGCTTGACGAATCCGAGCGGAAGCTTGTAGTCCTCATTGACCCTCACATTAAGAACAAGGACAACTTCTATGTCTCTCAAGAGCTAACCAGCAAGGGTCTCGCTGTCTTGAACAAGGATGGTGAGATCTACGATGGATGGTGCTGGCCTGGCTCATCAAACTGGGTCGACTGTTTCAACCCGGCTGCGCTCCCTTGGTGGAACAGCCTGCACAAGTACGACAAGTTCAAGGGGTCGATGCCCAATCTGTTCATCTGGAATGACATGAACGAGCCGTCCGTGTTTAATGGACCCGAAACTACCATGCCTAAGGATAACATGCACTATGGAGACTGGGAGCACCGTGATGTTCACAACGTAAATGGCATCACCCTTGTCAATGCCACCTACCAGGCCATGCTGGAGCGCAAGAAGGGTGAGGTCCGCCGACCCTTCATCCTGACCCGCTCTTACTACGCTGGAGCCCAGCGTATGTCTGCTATGTGGACTGGAGACAATCAAGCTACCTGGGACCACCTGGCTATTTCTCTGCCCATGGTCCTGAACAACGGTATCGCAGGATTTCCCTTCGCTGGCGCTGATGTCGGTGGTTTCTTCCACAACCCCGACAAGGAGCTTCTGAGCCGCTGGTACCAAGCTGGCATTTGGTATCCCTTCTTCCGTGCCCATGCTCACATTGACACCCGTCGCCGTGAGCCGTACCTGATCAGCGAGCCGCACCGAACTATTATCTCCCAGGCAATTCGTCTTAGATATCAGCTTCTTCCTGCGTGGTATACTGCCTTCCACGAGGCTTCGGTCAATGGAACACCCATTGTGTACCCCCAGTACTACCTCTTCCCTGATGATGAGCAAGGCTTTACCATCGATGATCAGTTGTACCTTGGCAAGACTGGCCTCCTTGCCAAGCCCGTCGTCAAGGAGAACACCTTCACTACAGACATCTATATCGCTGATGACGAGAAGTACTATGACTACTTCGACTTCACCGTCTACCAGGGTGCAGGCCAGAGACATACTGTCCCTGCCCCAGAGGACAAGGTGCCTCTGTTGATGCAGGGTGGCCACATCATTCCCCGACGGGACCGCCCTCGTCGCAGTAGTGCCCTTATGAAATGGGATCCCTACACCTTCGTCATCACTCTCAATAAGGACGGCGAAGCCGATGGCAGTATCTACGTCGACGACGGAGAGACGTTTGAATATGAGCGCGGGGCCTATATCCACCGCCAGTTCCACTTCCGCGATTCAACCTTGACTTCTGAGAATCTCGGCATCAAGGGGGCAAAGACTGCCGAATATCTTAAGACCATGGCGGGCGTCACTGTCGAGCGTGTTATTGTTGTTGATCCTCCCACTGAGTGGAAGGACAAGAGCAGCGTCACTGTTATCGAGGATGGAGCTAAGGCTGGGTCCACAGCCTCGTTGGAGTACTATGAACAGCAGGATGGAAAGGCCGCGTATGCTGTTGTTAAGAGCCCTAATGTCAGCATTGGAAAGACGTGGCGGATAGAGTTCTGAGTATGGAACTCATTCTTAGATCTAGCATATATGTACGATACGAGATATCAGATTCTCGATACAGCATGCAAGTCATTTAGTTCAAATGTTCTGTCATCACTCTTCTTCCAGGCCCATAAATCTACTACTCGCGACTCGAAATTTTCTCTCAGTTCCATGTCGTGTTGGAAAAGACATGTTGTACACATAGCATGCTATGAAGCTATTTTTTACTTGCCCCTGGTGCTATGAGTTCTGCGAAGTTGTACGCTAAAGTCTTGTACATTCACAAACATATCACAGAAAAAAGCCAAGACTGCTCCGCCTCTGTGATCTCAGAATTTGCAATAGTTACGATCTTTGCCATCTCCTGGGTGTCTGTACTTAAAAATAAACTGAAGCATCAGCATCCTTTGATTTACAATACACCCCGGAGATACAAGATTGCTCGAGGCTGCCGGGGACTGATCACTCAGATTCATTTCAATGGTTTTCTTAAGAAGGGGGCCATGGGTTCTTCCCGAAAGCTACCCGAGTGGACTATACAAGTCCAGGACTCCTTCGAGCATTCCCAGGTCTCATTTCAAGATGTGCCCAGTTACAGAAACATTGCTGCTTGCCCCATCGTTGCCTTCGCTGTGCGTCTCTAGCGACAAGGTTCCGTCAGAAAACACACACCACTCTACCCCATTGACCATCATCTCATCGTACGATCCTTCTTCGTAACAGTTGGGGAAGGAATCAGAATAGTGCTTTGCAAAAAAATCCAGGGCGAAACGGTGGGCCATCTCCAGTGCCCTAAAGACCCCCTCAATCGTGACTTCGGCTTCGCTATACATTGACCGTTCGTCATGGGTCACAATGAAAACGTAGTCATGGGTTCCTCTCCGCTCGGGTGGGTTTTGTCAGGCTGCACCGAGATGACGGAGGAGCTCCTCCGGGTACCGGTGCTTATTGTTGGTTGAATCAGACATCGAATTGTATTGAGCTTTGTTATTTTTGGTTCTTTGAGTGAAGTTCGAGAATTTATCCAGAGAAGTCCATAACGGTTCGTGTATTTGTTTCTAATCTTCACAGACGAGAGCGAATAGTGACTTAGCCCAGTCGCAGGCCTTAGTGTAGTTTCGCCCCGGTTCTTATTCCAATTCATGGCTCTGAACATAGACATGGATCTTTGGTCCTTCGGCATTGGTTGCCTCCAAGGAAACACCTCCATCATAGAGGATATTCCACTCCACCGTATTGAAGCCGTCGTTATTTACTGTATTGGATTCGAAGAAATTCGACATGTCTTCCTTTTGGTCGAAGAAAGCAGCATAGTCTTCTATGAAAAAATTCAGAGCGGCCTCGTTGGCCTTTTGTAGCGTAGTGAATACGCCCTCGACAATAGTTGTCGTATGCTCGTCCGTTCCCGCTTCGTCAATATCGTGATACAGCACAAACACCCAAGACGGATTCGGGTTGTCGGTCTTCTGCCCATGTGGATATGGCTTGAACTGGGCTGCCCACACTTTGTCAAGCAGGTTCTGAGGGAACTCAATTTCGCGAACATCGCTCATTTCGTCCGAATCTGTGGGGTCCATGATTGCATTGCAGGTGTCGTGATCGACAATAGGAAGGTTGAAGTGTCCAAGGACCGACTTCAAAGCTTGGACGTAGAAACCTAAAAATTACTGGCGCCTGGATGTCCCTAAGAAGCCTGGACCTGTGGAAGCTGATCACGAAACGACGCGCTAGTGCAGTCGCTAAGCTGTGCACAGACAACCTGGATCAACCTGTTTGACGGACAAAAGTACGTAAATACGAATCTAGCCACCGTGCTTGGCTCTCATCTAGTCCAACATAGGCGGTGTCGTTGACCCATTTTGCATATATTTCCTTTGGTGCTAACGTATATGTATATTCATGTAGGTTTGACGCGAAAGCAACTATGGGGTCAACGAGGATTTATAGTTCCTCATCTTCATAATTCTGCAAGGTAGAAATTGCCTAATCTTGATCACTGATTGAATAGATACCTTCTGACCTAATTCACACGACATTGTTTAGTTAATTAAGCCAAGGGACTCTAAAGGACGGATGATCGCCAGGGCCCCGTGCTGCTGACATAAGACGGTGACGAAAAAAAAGGACCGCATGCGGCGCGTTGATTGTCTGCCCTCTTTTGGTTCTCCCAAAGCTTGTTCCTGTTTTTTTCGAGCTGAGCCCGGGTCGCCTTTCTTCCCTGCAGTTGTGTCGGAGTTTTGAATACACCCGGAGACCGTCAATCTAGGACAAACGCTCCGCTGAATTCTTGTTTACCCATTACATGCCCCCCGGAGGCCGCAAAAGATCAGCCCAATGTCTCTCATCCAGCTCGCCCTTGAATATGGCGCCCCCGTCTTGTATGTCCAAGATCGCAATTCCTTTGTGAACACAGTGTACTAATTGTTCTTTCTCGCGCTAGTCTCATTTCCTCTCCCCTCACGTCCTATGCGGACCAGATCCTCAGCATTCACCGGACTAGGAGCTCCGCAGGCTTCTCCTTGGACATTCCGTTGATCATGCTTGTCGCGTCGATCTTAAAGTAAGTCTCCGCCCGTCTCTGTCAAAGGAGCGGAGACAGTCGTGGAATGGCCATTGTATTGACGTGCTTTCAGGGTCTTCTATTGGTTTGGAGAATACTATTCGGGCGCCCTGCTGGCACAGGCCTTGGTCATGATTGTTGTGCAGGCGACCCTTCTCAAGGTTGCTTTGGACAACCGGCCCGCCTCGGGCGCGAAAAATGGGATCGAGCATACGCCTTTCAGCAGCGGCTCTGACGGTGGATTCGTCCGGCCATACGACTTCTGGCAGTGGAGGAGCACAAAGCCGTAAGTGTATATGAGAAAGATTATATACTTGAAGGGGCACTAACCCATTTTTACTTCAGGTACTGGTTGTTCCTGGGCTACTTTGTCGCTATCCTGACCGTGATCCACCTCACCCCTATCTCCGACTCAGAGACCTATATCAGCATCCTCGGCTGCGTCGGACTTGCTGTCGAAGCTATTCTCCCCATCCCTCAGATCTTCGCCAACCATCGTTCCGGCTCGTGTAAGGGCTTCCGAGTGTCTGTTCTTGCATCATGGCTCCTTGGTGACACCATGAAAATGAGCTACTTCTTCTGCAGCGGAGAGGCCATCCCCTGGTCATTCAAGGTGTGCGGTATGTTCCAGTGCGTGTGCGATTTCTACCTGGGCTTCCAGTACTGGATGTTTACCCGGATGACTCCTCGGGCTCCTGTCAGCTCTCAAGGTAACGAAGACCGGTGGGGCCAAGCAGAGAAGGACATCCGGATGAATTAATGAAGCTGTTATGGGCGCACTACGATTGTGTTCTGCATTTTCTGTAGATAGAAGAGATCGGTGGAATCATAGCGACCATAGACTTATAATTCTGAATGAAACGACTTTAATAATTCATATTTTATAAATTCATGATGCTAAAGTGGAAGCTGCTATCTCCGGGGTAAATCCGTTTCGGGAAGCCATGGATCTGCCCCGCGATTGCGGTGCTAATGCTAATGCTTCTGCTCCGCGGACTCTTCTCCATAAGCTGGTCCCAGTCCTCCTGCTTCTCCCTACCTTGAGCCAAAAGATCTGATCAGTTCACATCTTAAAATGGCTGAAATGCCTACCGTCCGCATCGGCTATGTGCCCGGTATGTACCCCGCCTCAAGCTCGAGCTTCGACGTCTGCCCGAATGCAGTGCACTATTTTGGAACCGTACAATTGTTTCCATCATGTCTTGGCAACACTGATTGACATCACATCCTCCCTTGCTTCTAGAGCACTATCTCACTCCTCTCCACCTCGCCCTCCGCTCTCCGGCCGTCGCCTCCCTTCCATTCAAGATTGTCACGACTCCCTTCCCATCCGGAACTGGCCACATGATCACATCGCTGCGAAGCAATGAGATTGATATTGCAATCGGTTTGACTGAGGGCTGGGTTGCTGGTTTGACCGGAAAGACACAGCCCCAGAATCCTGCGGAGGGAGGATACAAGATCGTCGGTCACTGGGTCGACAACCCGCTGCGCTGGGCGATTGTCACGGGTCGTAACCGTGGGGAGGTCAATGGTGTGACGGATTTGAAGGACCAGAGAGTCGGTGTCAGTCGCCTCGGAAGGTAAGCATGCAGTCCAGGCTGTCAGCATAGATAGACTCGATATACGGAGCAACCCTGACTGGCTCGTTTCTAGTGGCTCCCATGTCATGTCTTTCGTGCTTGCTCAGCAGCAAGGATGGAAGTCCGACTCCCTGACCAGCGTCGTTCTCGGCCCCTTCGGTGCCCTGCGAAATGGAGTCACTGGCCAGGACGAGGCACAGCCTGACCAAGCCCCTAACCCAACAGCCGAGTTCTTTATGTGGGAACATTTCACAACCAAGCCATACTTCCACCCAACCAGTGAAAAGCCTAACCCGCCGTTGAAAAACGTTGGCGAAATCTTCACTCCCTGGCCATCATGGATGATCGTGGCGTCGACAGCAATGTTCCCCAACCCAGAGAAGGACGCACGTCTCCAGAGCCTCTTCCAGGCCCTAGACCAGGGTATCAAGGAGTTTGAGGCTGACACTGCTCAGGTGGTCAAGCTGCTGGGAACTGGCGAGCTAGGCTGCAACTACATCGAGGAGGATGCCACCGAGTGGTTGAAGGATGCTAAGTTTACTAATGGTACCCGTGGTGTCGATGCCAAGGTCATCGAGGGTGTTGTCAATATCCTCAAGGTTGCGGGTGTCATTGATACCGGTATGAGCAATGGCGAGGCTATCCAGCGTGTCATTGGGATCCCTCGGTAAAATTACTTGGAGCAAAAAATGGTATGAATAGTGTGTTATATATCAGACAAGGAGCCAATGATCAGAATTGGTTTCCCAGAAATGGAATCGAAACGCTAGAAGGGTATTCAAAGCCTCTGGATCATAAAAAATATTTACCTAAGTAAAATCCGAAATCGATGGGAAAACGAAAATTTAGTTGTGAAGTGCCCCTGAATGACCCCCAGAGCTAGTCTAGGCCGAGTCAACCTTGAAAAGGTACCGTTCTTCCATTCTCAAGGCCGGTAGCCGCGAATACCTGTTGCAAAGGCTCTCATACTAATACAGATCCCTAACCGGGCACGGAGATCAACTGGACATTTCAGATAAGCTTTGCTCGGCGATCGCAATCCAGGAGGTCCCGAATCTAGGGGTCCAAGGGCCTGGGGTACTCGACTTCTCGAGTCTTCCACTGCTCGCTAATGCTTGCCTCTGGCTCTCTCCAGAGTTTTCTCGGTTAATAAATATAAAGAAAACAAGCTATGCTTGAAGTTTCCGGTTTGAGATAGGTATGAGTAGGGATAGGGCTGAGGAAAGCCCTTCTAGCATTCCAGTTTCGGTCCATGGAAGGGGCCCCCCGCGCCCTTGCGCTTCATAAAATAATTATCGTAGTTAATCTCTGACAAATCTCGCTACTATTGACTCCTTGGGTGTATGTTTTTCAGGGGAATTCCCTGAAATGAATGGCGGCTCAAGTCGGACCTTGAGCGTATCCCAAGCCCCTACCATCTATCTCCGCAAGCGAAACCCGCAATATTTCTACTTCCTCTTGTTAGCTTTAGCACTTGGAATTCTTTATTCAATGTGGATGGCTGACTAGACGCCCAATTGTACAATAAATTTACAAAAATGTGGAATATTAGTACGTATGATACCTACCTATTGAAAGGGGAATCCGTAGGAAGACCCGCCTCTGCCTGTCTGTCTACGAACAGATTGGCCACTGGGGGTAGTGGGACTATAGGAGAGGAAAACACATAGGGGTGATTTGGAAGAGAAAGTGTGTCTGTATTGCTATACTGCGCGCAGGAAGTCTTATATATCACAAAATGCTGAATCATCTGAAAGACCGCCTCTTCGTCCAGTTAGCAGTTCCTCCATTACACTATGTACCGGCTTTCCTCTGCTACTTCCTGGCGTTCCCTTTCCGGTTTAGTGCTTAGGTCTGACCACTGTTTGCTCACTGGAAAGGACTGAGCACGCCTTTGAGCGGTCTGATCGGATCAGTGATAATTGCGTAAGCCATCTGATCTACTCTCTGAGCATTACCTACGGGACCATGGTCGGTCCTATGTTCCATCCCGTGAATCCCACAGGACAGGACGGGACGGTCCCATATGAGAAGTCCCAGTGGGACTTTCAATATCTACGGAGCATGTCTGAAATTCAAATCTTATATCCCAAGTGATATCCGCCTATGCCTTGAGGCTCCCGGACGGTCCTGGCACTATGGTTGGAATGGCTTTGACCCGGACCCCCGCCACACGGACCTGCGCGGTTTACTCTTTCTACCTTTTAAGCATTATTACTCCGCTTTCTACGTATGGACCCGTACGGCCACTCGAGGGATCAGACCCTCTGAAAGTTGGCTCCCCCAGAGACAGGCGTCAAAAAAGTAAGCGAGCTGAAAAGTTTTGGGATCATTGCTCCTTTAAACCCCTATTAAATAGCCTATTGGAGGGAAAAGGCGACCTACTTCCTTAGCTGAATCTAAAAAAAGCTTCACTACAACATGGTCATTGTTAAAAGGCATTTTGCGCCATGGAACCTTGCGTAAAGATAAAAGGAGCCCAGTCATCGGTGGGTTGCGCTACGAGCGTAAGACATGAAGGTGGAAAACACTGCGCATATATAAGCTGGAGACAAATATCCACTATGGCGTTTTCTTCCCTTATCACCCAGTTTTGGCCGCCGTCACCGACCTTTACAGAGAAAGATGTCCCCAGCCAAGAGGGACGGGTGTTCATGGTCACCGGTGGGAACCAGGGCGTTGGCTATGAGCTCATCAAGATGCTCTACCCTACCGGTGCCGTCATTTACATGGCCAGTCGCTCTAGGGAACGCGCTGAACAGGCCATCAAGGACATTGTGTCTGCAGACCCATCTGGCTCTGCACGTCTTCGATTCCTCCATCTCGACCTCGACGACCTCAATGCGGTCCGAAGCGCCGCGAAAACATTCTCCGAGCAAGAGTCGCGCCTCGATATCGTATGGAACAATGCCGGAATTGGAGCTGTGAAGGTTGGCTCCAAGACCAAACAGGGAATTGAGGCCCATATGGGAGTCAATATCATCGCTCCTTTTCTCTTCACTCAGCTACTCCTCCCAAAATTGCAAGCGGCGGCGATAACCTCTCCAAAGAACAGCGTCCGCATCGTTTGGGCCAGCTCCTTTACTATGGAGCAGCTATCCCCGAATGGTGGCTACAACCTCGAGGATATCGAGAAGGGCGGGATCAACAACGCTTATGTAAACTATGCCACGTCTAAGGCGGCAAACTGGATGGTTGCTGACGAGGCCGGGAAGCGCTATGGCAAGGACGGCATCATCAGCGTAGCTCAGAACCCGGGCAACCTGAAAACCCAAATCTACAGCACTCAGACTAAATTCATGATGTTCTTCCTGAACTGGCTACTATACCCACCAAAGCTAGGTGGTTATACCGAGCTATATGCGGGCCTCAGTCCGGAGATCACAGAGAAGCAACAGGGCGGGTTTATCATCCCGTGGGGTAGAGTCCAAGCACGTAACCCAAGGACGGATATCATTGAAGCACTAAAAGAGGGTAAGGGAAAGGAGTTATGGGATTGGATCGAAGCCCAGATCAAGGCGCACGCTTGAGTAATGCATTGCCAGATTCCTATAGCCAAGGTATAACGAAATTCGGAAGGTTCCCCTTCTGCATGTGGTGCCGACGAGAATCTGACGACATGCCTTTTTTCTTTCTTTGTGATCGCAAGCCTCTATGCCACGGCCCAATTACACGACGTTTTAAGGGAAATGCAGCGATTTCTTTTGCAAACAATCACGCGGTCCGTTCGAAGAACCAACACTGGAATTCTGCTTTGCTTATCTCCGTCACCTGCACTTCAACCCTCTCACCCCACACCCGTGCTTTGAGTTAATAGTGGCAGTATGTATATCAGTACGCATAGTTGCTTGAATAATGATAAAATATGCCGCAAAGGACACTGATATCCTACCCCCGGAGCTTGTATTCCAGATATCCAGCTATCTATCGCCAGCTGCTGCTTCTTGCGTAGGTTTATACAGCTACCATTCAATCGGATGATTACCTTTGCTACGCCTGGTTAGAACTCCACTTATAGCAATATATCGACTTATTTATACCAAGTTTAAGGCCTGGGGCTATTTCGACTCTACTGAGGACATACGATCTATTTTACTTATACCATATTGACGGGCTGCCGTGGGTGGTTCAACCCTTGATATCTCATTTATCTCCCCCCCCAACGACAGCGCAACGGCTGAAAGCCATGCATGATCACAATGTCATAACTGTCAAAAATAGAGATCAAAGCTAATGATGCTCAGTATCTGGCCTTGAGTATCTGGCCTAGAACACGTTCTATGGTGAATTGTCGGGTTTCGGTAGCAACATTCCAAAAGGCTCCCCGATCACCCGCCGGACTCCCTTGACAACAGCCCTGGAATGTAGGCGACCCAGCTGAGCACACAAAATACTCCAATCAACAATGCAACGCCAGATATTTGCGTAAATCACTACCTGCTAGCCCCTTCTTTCGACCAAGAGCGAAGTTTGTTGATATAGATGCTGGCGTGGGCGGAGTGGGTCATACCAAGCGATTGGAGTATCCGGAGCCCCAAATGACGCAGAAAATGGAAGTATTGTTTTTCTCAACGGCATGCACACTGGTGAGCAAAATAACTCGACATCCGCTATTTAAGTCGATCCCCCGATGGTCACGCTACCTTTGGATTGTACTCTTGTTCCGTCGTTTTAGTCGCCAACCGCCAACTGCCAACTGCCAACCGCCGGCCAGTCGTCACTCCTTATATCTTTCTTTCTTTTCTTTTACTACTTAATACTTAATACATTTTCATTTCGCCAGTGAAATAACCGCCTCACTAACATCATGCGTCGATACTCGAAATATCTCTCCGGCTCAGTGCTACTCGCCTCCATGGGAGGAGTGCAGGCCAAGCTTGACCTGAACTCTTCTAGCAATATCGCGGTCTACTGGGGTACGTAAAAGATGGCAAGAAGCATACAACGGCTCTTAACATTATTCTCTATCAGGCCAGAACTCGTTAGAAGCCGCTGGAGGGAAGGGTCAGCCTCAACAAGCTCTTTCCTACTACTGCGACAGTATGTATAATTTCTTCCATCAGTTGAATATTGCTAATCAATTAATCTACAGACAAAGATATTGATGTACGGAGCAGTTATATGGCATGCCATGAATAGATACTAACATACAAACCAGGTCATTCCCATGGCATTTGATATGATGATCAACGGCCCCGGCGGCGCCCCCCAGGTCGACTTTGCTTCTGCTAGCGCAGACTGTGATGTGTTTCCAGGAACACAATTGAAGAATTGCCCGGGGATTGGGTACGTATACTCGAGTGAACGAAAGGTTCTACTGCTAATATGAAGTAGCAAGGACATCAAGACGTGCCAGGACAAGGGAAAGACAATCATTCTCTCGATTGGAGGTGCAACCTACAGCGAGGGCGGCTTCAAGTCAGATGCCGATGCCAAGGATGGAGCCCAGCTCATCTGGGAAACCTTTGGTCCGAAGAAGGATGGTTCGAAGGCTCTTCGTCCTTTCGGCGACGTCAGCCTTGATGGCTTCGACTTCGACTTCGAGGCCAATGTCGAGCATATGGCGCCCTTTGCCAACGCCCTTCGCGACTTGATGAACAAGGAGACCGACAAGAAATACTTCTTGACTGCCGCACCCCAGTGCCCGTACCCTGACCAGTCGGATAAGGAGATTCTGAACGGCCCTGTTGATATTGATGCCGTTTGGGTTCAGTTCTACAACAACTTCTGCGGTATCAACAATTTCGACACGAATGAGAAGAACTCCAAGTTCAACTTCGAAGAGTGGGACAACTGGGCCAAGACCGTTTCCAAGAACAAGGATGTTAAGGTCCTAGTTGGTATTCCTGCCGACACTACCGCCGCCAGCACCGGATATGTGCCCATCGACAAGGTCGCCGAGGCCGTCGAATACTCCAAGAAGTTCTCGAGCTTTGGTGGCGTGATGATGTGGGATGCGTCGCAGGCATACGCAAATGAAGGATTCATTGAGGGCGTGCGCAAGGCGCTGGGTGAAGGAGATTCCGGTTCGTCGTCGTCGTCCAGCTCGGCGTCGACCACGGCGTCTGCACCTACGTCCACTAACACACCGGAGACTACGCTCTCTTCCAATGGACAAGGGTCCTCGTCCTCGTCTTCCTCCTCATCTGGGTCTGGGCCCTCGTCCAGTGGGCCTGATGAACAGCCTACAGCTACTCCTACCACCCTCGAGACCAAGCCCACCGCCACGCCGACTACCACGTCCCAGGCCACGGCCGCACCCGAGCCCACCAAGACTCAGACACCCCAACCTGCGCCCACCGAGCCCGAGCCGACCACGACTGAGGCTGCCCCCGCCCCCGCCCCTGCACCCACCGAGACGCCTACCACTACGCCTGCTCCCGCACCTACTACGCCACCCGCGCAGGATGACGACGACGAAGACAATGACACCGACAGCGGCTCGACTTCCGCCACTGGTGACGGCGACTCCTCTACTGATACTCTCAACAACCTGCTTAGTGGTGATCTCTTCAGTCTTCTGGACGGTCTTCGTAGTGCCAATGGCGCTGTGAAGGGTATTTCCCATGGTTTGACCAAGAACCTCCGCCGTGCCAACCGCATTGGATATTGAATGCAGTAAGCAGCCTTGGGGCGAGTCAAGCGCATTGCCGTATCTGTCTTGCAGATGGGCCATAAAAAGCGGTAGTTTGAGAGTTTTTCAAATATCTACTCATGGTCCTCTCACTCTTTTGTTGGACTTTCATTTCTCATTTCTCATCTTCCCTTTCAACCTCCCTACTGTTTTATCTCATGTGCTCCTTCCTCTTATTCTCCTTGATACCCATAATCTATAATTACTCAAATTTGAAGGAAATCAAACGTAAGCTTTCAGCTTCAGACACTCGGTTCCAAAAGAAACCAGAGTCAGTTCAGAACATGTAAGCAATGTCAATTGATGCCTTGAAAATTAAGAAAAGATATTTTCCGATCAGGATTAAGTATTCGAAAACGGGTTGAAATCATTAACATGGAAAGACCAATTTTCGCTCATCACGAAAACCACACCCATTACTGCATTAATCATAACATTCCATGCTCCCGTTACTCCACTTCCTCTTCCTCCTTGCTGGCCGCGAGGAAGAACTTACCATTCGGCTTACCAGGCTGCTCATACTCAACCGTCAAGCGAGCCAGATGTCCAAGCAGACTCTCGATCTTGATCTCACCTTTGCTCCGCTTGGCACGACCAAGGTCATCAAGCCACTTAAACCGATTGAGCATGAAATAGACGAGAGCAATGACAACCTCCACACCAAAAGAATAACCCCAGATACGCACAACGGTGACAATATCCGTCCAACCATTCGTAGTTTCCACAAAACTATCCGCTGGATCAGTCTTCATGTCTTGATTAGTGAACCAACCAAACAGACAGAAGATAGTGGCGAGGATATCCACGCCCAGAATTGCAGTCACCAGTTGGATTGATGGCCAGGTGTCTATACCGCGGGTCACGAAGATCAGCCAGTTCTCGGTCAGTGCCACTTCCAGGAACAGCACTTCTTGGATAGATCCCCAGTTTTGGATGATACCTCCAGATGGCAGAAACATGCTGCCGCGGACTACCCAGGTACCCAGCGCCAAGAGAATTCCCAGCAGGACGGAGATGAACCAGATCTTTGGGAGTTGCCATTCCACTGGACGAAGTTCGAAGGATGCATTATCATAGGCTACCGCCACGGTCGCGAGATCGGCGAAAAGAGCCAGGAAAACGATGAGCTCGACGCGGATGCTTTCATTTATAATGATCATCGAGGTCACAAGGTAAATTTCCAGGTGCAAGCAGAGAGCGATACGGTATTGGATGTATGCTTTCATGCGGTGGAAGATTTGGCGCGCGACCTTGATCGAGTCAATAATAGTCGATAAACCAGGCTCCAAGAAGACGATATCTGATGCAGTTTGCGCTGCTTCAGAGGCACCTTCAACTGCGATACCGCAATCTGCTTTCTTGAGAGACGGGGCGTCGTTGACACCATCTCCAGTCATTGCGGTCAAGTGGCCTCGTTCCTGAAGAATCTGAACCACTTGATATTTATGTTCAGGGAATACTTCCGCAAAGCCGTCTGCTTTTTCGCACAGATCGCCAGCCATAGCCCCGCTCAGCCCGCCGTGGATCAATTTATCGGAATTGTAGACTTTCGTGCCTAGTGCGAGCATCTTGCAAGTCTCCTTCGCAATAGCAATCGCATCACCAGTGAGCATCTTGACACTGATACCAAGATTCTGAGCTTCACTGATTGTATGTGCTGTATCTTCGCGAGGGGGATCGAACATCGGCAGCATACCAAGCAGAGTCCATTCTTCGCCTTCTTTTTGCACGGCCACGCCCAAAGACCGGAAACCGCGGTGGGCAAATTCTTGAGCCTTAGTCTTGTACAAATCAGCGACATCTTTGGAGCATTTCGTGAGTTGAAGCACTGCTTTTGGAGCGCCTTTGGTGCAAGTGTACCTAATGCCGTCGCATGTAGCGATAGTCACAATCCGCTTTGAGACCGGGTCGAAAGGTGTGAATTTCTCTGTCGTCCATCCACGGCGCAGGATCTCTCTGGCCTTGGGATACTCACGAAGGGTCAAGATGGTGACTTTGTCGATTGGATCCAGAGATTCGATGTTATGCGAGGATGCCAAGCAAGCCACAGCGAACATCCAGTCAGGGTCGACACCCTCAGCCACGTAAGGGTCTCGGATACTCAATTTGTTGGCCGTCAACGTTCCGGTCTTGTCAGAACAGAGAATGTCCACGCCCTAAAACTGTTAGCACGTATGCTACGATCAAGAACTTAGAGAGCACAACATACTGCCAGAGATTCAATGGCAGTCAGCTTCTGCACAATGGCTTTCTTCTTAGCCAAATAGGCAGCACCAACAGCCATAGTCGTGGTGGTGACGACAGGAAGACCAACAGGGACGCCGATAATCAATAACGACAGAGTGTAATGAAGCAGAGTCTGCTGTCCCGGCGAAGCAATGGGAAGATGGCGGAAGAAGCCACCAATCCACGCCGCCAGAATCCAGGCCATGACAAGGATCAGAAGAGAAGTTCCAATGTTGTCCATGACGATTTCAAAGTGACCAGCACCCTTAGCACTCTGCACCATGCTCGCGGTACGACCAACGAAGGAAGTCTTTGCTGTAGTCTGAACCACGGCAAAGGCCTTTCCACGCTTGCAGCCAGTCGTATAGTAGATCACATCTCCCATATAACGGTCCACAGCTAAAGACTCTCCGGTAATGGCGGAATGGTCACAGGCCAGAATGGGGTAGCCACGCTTTTTCGGACGCTGGGGTTGCTCGGCTTCAGCTTCACCACCGGCATCGTCCCCTTCACCCTTTCCCGCGGATTCGGGAGCTGCGGGCTTTTCCTTGTCTCCGCCTTCTTCTTCCTCATCCGACTCAGAGCCGCCACCCAGCATCCCTTGCTCTTGTAGTTGGTTGAATTCTTCCCAGCCGTTGGGGTCGTTGAAGTCACAAATGACCTTGGCATCGGCTGGAACAACGGAGCCTTCACCAACAATAACCTTGGATCTGGTTAATACGCGGATACGAAAAGAAAAAATGGATGAACATAACATACCACATCACCAGGAACTAATTCACGGGCCAGAATCTCTTGTTGGGAGCTATCGCGTATAGTGATGGCGCGCATGGCAATATCCCCTTTCAGACTGGCGACGACGTCTGCGGCTTGCTTTTCCTGGTACCAACCGACGGCAGCGTTCAAACACAAAATACCAATGATGACACCGAAGTCAACCCAGTCGTCCAGACCAGCGGCAAGCAAGACCGCCAACTCCATAACTATTATCACTCATCAGCTATTACTCCGCTTTCAAGATACTGCTACCAACCGTAAAGAATAGGGCCCCGGAAGTAGGATATGACCTTGGCAATGGGGTTCTCCTTCTCAGAGACCAATTCATTCCAACCTGAGCGCTGTCGTCGTTGAGAGACCTCATGCGTCGAGAGGCCCTCTCGAATATCGGTAATGAGCCAATCATCGGGGAATTTGCCCGCCTGGTCCTCAAGCTTCTTGATACGGACCTTGCGCTTCCTCCAAGGCGCATACCAGATTCGCTTCGATTCAAAATCACCCTCTTCCTGCAGTTCTGCCCCTCCCTCGCGGTATGTAGACACATATTTAACCAGTTTTCCGTACTCGTCCAATGAAGCCCAGTCCCCCTGCAGAGAAGCGCGTGAGATGCGAGAGCCACGACGAACATCGCTTCCCTCTACATTGCCTGAGCTCGCCATGTTGGCTGATTGGGGGAATAGAGACCACTCGAATTGAGCCAAATTGGAGCAGGGTAATTAAGCATGCCTTGAAAGGGAGAGAACGTAGGTGAAGGTGATCTGCAAGCGATTGAGAGAAGCAAAAAGCAACCCTTCCTATCTTCAGCCCCTCAATACACCAGCAATTAGAAATTAAGAAACTTGCAAGCGACAGAAAAGTTAGGTAAAGCAGAGAGCTTCCGTTCACTATGTTTTCCCCCTGAGTCAATCATGCTGACGTCGAGACTAGGAAGCCGCCGGCACGCAGCGGAGATATTCCCTGGAAAGAAAAAGGCACAAACAACCGATTCGAGAATACACCTGACGGGTCTTGACGTAGAAGACGATCAAGCCTATCCGAATGAAGCTTCTCAACAACGGGCCGTTTCTCACATCCACGGATGAAACGTGTGACAGGCCACTGTTGGCCCGAGCTGACCATCCGCCCATGGATTCGCGCCAGGGTTCCATCGGGAGAACGCCGGTAACAGCGGTTCTGACCAGCTTTGACAGAGCAAGAATGTTGTACACCATCCCAGCTTGTGGGTTCTTCTTTTCCCGGTCTCTTCCGCGCCATTGGTGTAGGCCGAGCTCTCCTCCCTGTCACGTCGAGTCCCGCTCAGCACGAGTTTCGCTTAATTTCTAGCTAGGCAAAATACAATGGCAGATGATACGTGTTGTCTATATGCATTGTCCCCTGGATGTAGACATGGATTCGGCCCGGGTTGATTTGGTAGTCTTCCACGTCATGCTTTGAGCTTATTCCGCTGGCTCCCGGACTTCTGAAGTTGCATGCCGCTTTGTATTCCATATGTTCATGATCCATAAAATTAGTCTCCGGATAAGACCGAGTTAAAAGAGCAACAAAGAGGAACGGCTATAAAGCCTGACTTCTAACTAAAAAGTCAGCGATCGAAAAAGGCATTGAATGGCACGTGATGTGAACCAGCCCTGTGCAGTTCCTCAGTCTTCACTACCGATAAGTATACAATACAGTGAACAATTCTATCAGTTCCGCTTCAAATAATCGTGGATGAAGGTTAATAATAAAGGATGTAAATAATCTGCATTTGATTCAATTAACATCTTCTTCGCCATCTCGGCGCGTGCGCTTAGCACATTTTTATGTAGCAAAATTGGATATCTATTTGGTAGCCTTGCCAGTAGGGATGTTGAAGAAGACTGCAGGGGCACCGGGAGCGGCGGCCCGATCGCAACGGAAGAAGCCCTTGCGGTCGAACTGGATAATGTCGCCTTCCTTGAGCTGGGCAACGTTACAGTCAGCCAGGCAGGAGTCGCGGTGCTCGGTGTGGTAGTTGAGGACATCCTCGAGAACATCATCCTCGCTAAGAGAATCCTTGGTCAAGAGGTAATCGAAATCAACCAGCTCAACAGGGACGAGCTCCTGGTCGGTGGAGAGCCAAGTGACCTTCTTCTCGGTCTTCTTGACATCACCAGTGGGATTCAGCTCGAGCTCGAGGTTGGTGATGACACCAGCAGCATCAGAAGTGATCTTGCGAACGAAGGCATTGCCCCAGTTCATCAGAGTGATCTCCTCATCTGGCTTGAACAGCTTAGCATCGGCCTGTTCGAGAACAGCGGAGCCACTGAAAGCAACGGTCTTGTTGCCAACAGCGGCGTTCTTGGCGTGCTTGGGCTTCTGCTCGGTGTAGGGAGCGGGAGCATTGGAGATGGTGGCCTTGACGATCTCCTTGCTGTCGACGGCAGTGTGGCGAGGAGCAACGGGGTCAATGTACTTCTTGTTGGTAGCCCAGATCAAAGCCCAGTCGAACAGAGTCACAGCGCGAGAGGGACCCTGCTTGAGAATGAACTCACGCAAAGCGGGGATGGTCATACCACGACGGCGGATACCGCGGATAGTGGGGAAGCGGGGGTCATCCCAACCCCAGACAATACCGGTCTCAACAAGCTTGGTGAGCTTACGCTTGGACAGGAGGGTACGGATGAAGTTCATGCGAGCAAAGTCCCAGACCTGCACACCACGAAGCTTGAGGGCATCAAGCATCCACTGGTACTGGGGGTTGCGATCACGGTACTCAATGGTACGCAGAGCGTGGGTGACACCCTCCATAGAGTCGACGACGGGGCAGGCGAAATCATAGGTAGGGTAGATCTTCCACTTAGAGCCGGTGCGGTGGTGGGGAGCGGGGTTGCAGCGGTAGATGACGGGGTCACGCATGGCCTTGTTCTTGTCATCAAAGGAGATCTTAGCACGGATGCACCAGCGCAGACCCTCGGGGTCGCCCTTCTTCATCTCGTCGAAACGGGCTAAGCTCTCCTCGACGGAGAGCTCACGACGCTGGCTAGGAATACCATCCCAACGCTGGGCAGCCATGGTCTCCTTGTCGGTATCATCGGCATAGGCGTGACCAGTCTTGATCATCACGAGACAGTAGTCGTACAGCTCATCGAAGTAGTCACTAGTGTAGGTCATCTTGTTAGGCTTGATGCCCATGAGCGCAAGATCCTCAACAATAGCATCCTGGAACTCCTGCTTCTCATTTGAGGGGTTCGTGTCGTCGAAACGAAGCAACATGGTGCCATTGTACTTCTCGTGAGCAAAGTAGTCGTTCAGAAGAGCCGCCTTGGCGTGACCAATGTGGAGGTATCCAGAAGGCTCGGGAGGGAAACGAGTGACAACGCCGTTGTCAGTGTTGCGCAGGTCAATATCGTAGCTACCACCTTCCTTGGACTTAGCCAGCTTCTTCTTGCGGTCGACGGCGTTGATAGACTCGACAGCGGCCGCAGTCCAGGGGCATAGCTCCTCCAGGAACCGGTACCAGCGGGTCAAGTTGACCAGGTTACCCTTCTTCAAAGCAGCCACGGCAATACGGTTGCCACGGAGGGCACCCCACAGAGCAATGTCGGCAGTGGAGAGGGAGTATCCGACGACGAACGAACGCAAGAGCAGGTGGGTGTCGAGGCGGAGGAGAACGGGATCGAGAGCCTTGAAGTCAAGGGGAGTAAAGGACTCGAGCTGGGAAATCCACTCATTCTCCTGTTAAATGCAATGCGTTAGACTCGCTTGACTTAGTTGATTGCGGGGCAACTCACAAGGCTGAGATCCTTGCTAGCAAGATAGGGGAACTGGGCGCGCAGCTCCTCAATGGCCTGGATAGTACCAAAGACAGAGCTGGAGCCAGTGGTCAGCTGGACAATAGCCTTCTCGCCCTCCTCCAGAACGGCAGAGTCCTCATAGTTGATGGTGATCACCGGGGTGGGACGGGCCTCGTTGATGGAGGTGGCAATGAGCACCACGGGCAGCAGAGCCGCGTGGTTGGCACGAGTGGCCACGGTCAATGTAGACTGGGACATTTTGCACGAAATCGTGAGAAGTGTGACTCTTCAAAAGTTGGCGGGGCAGTCACTTCGCTCTATCGCGATCGGCAGCTCGGCTCAAGGTTTCTCCGGGACCAGAGTTGGCAGAAAACAATTGCAGTGAAGCGTCGTACCAATTACTCCGTCATCGTTTAGCCATGTCGTCCTACGGCACTGCTTTGCCCTCTGCGGCACGCGGCATTCTTTCATCATGCCGCCTATCCCTGAGTGAGAAGTCAATGACTCCCGCTTTGTCGATTTTCCAGCAAGTCCGCGGCTTCAAGAACAACGCGCAAAAGGGCAAGGGGAAGAAGAAGGAAGTCAAGACGGACCGCAAGGGTCCACGAGAGTTCCGACAGAAGAACCTTAAGGATATGGAGCAATTCGCTCTATGTGATGCGATGCGGTATGTCTGCCTACACGGGACCTAGGAGGTCCATTGAGACCCCCGATCATTTTTTGACATCGTTCCCGCTACAGCTATATCCGAGCCATGGAAGTCGGCCGCGAGAGCACGGTTACGAAATACGAAATCCACATTCGCATGCGAACAAGGAAAGACGGCCCCGTCATCCGAAACATGATCCGATTCCCTCACGCCGTTCAAACTGAGTCCCGTATCTGTGTTATCTGCCCTCCCGGGTCCAAGCAAGCGAAGGATGCCATTGCCGCCGGTGCCGTTCTAGTCGGTGAAGATGAAGTCTTCGAGGCAATCAAGGCTGGAAAGATTGAATTTGACCGGTGTCTGGCTCATCCCGATAGTTTACCGGCGCTGAACAAGGCCGCGCTGGGTCGCGTGCTTGGTCCCCGTGGCTTGATGCCCAGCGTGAAGACCGGTACTGTGGTGGAAGACGTCGCATCCCGTGTCGAGGACCTCCGAGGAGGTACTGTTTACCGTGAGCGTGACGCCGTCATCCGTCTTCCGATCGGCCAGCTCGGATTTTCCCCGGATCAGCTCCGCGACAACCTGCGCACAACGATCGAGTCGATCAAGAAGGATGCTGCCGGCCTGAACGACCGCATCAACAAGGAGATCTACGAAGTCGTGAGTGCTTCAGCTATGACATTGTTGCACCATCTGCTAATTCCTCATCCAGGTGCTGAGCTCAACCCACGGCTCCGGCTTCAGCTTGAACGGAGAGTTCAAGACCGACGACTCCCCAGAAACCTCTGCCCTGACCGGCGTGTAAAATACCTCTTGTCTTATATTCGATTGGCGTGTACAGATTATTGTTTTATTAGGAAAGGACATGGTGTATCATGGTATCATTTCTGTTCAATAGAGACTCCCACAAACCTGAACGCCGACGCTATGTATTCAACTCCAGCTTGCCTCCGGCTTTTTTTTGGAATAGATAGAGCAATCTATACCTTAAGATTCTTAAGCGCAGCAATTGCACTGACATCTTCTCCCATGAGGTCGTAGAGACGTAGGACCGCCATGGTTCTCGCGTCGCGCTTCTTCCCCGCTTGACTAGCCTGTTCCAGCGCAGTCTTTAAATCCAACAGTACTGTCGACTTGACCTTGGCCACACGAGAATGCTGTGCAATTAAAAATGGATGTTTCTCGCCCACTCGTGTCGCAATGGAGGTTAAGAAGACATATTTCTGGACATGTCGCTCGAGCCGATGTAGGGAAACTGGTGTCGTCCCATCTTCCAGCTCCTCATCATCGCTGTCACCACTGTCACTTGAGTATATATCAGACTCGCTGTCCGATTCGTCCGATACAGGAGCTGTCTCGGCGGGCGATGACCTGTCTGAAATCATCAAGCGGTGCTCCAATTCCTCCACTCGGTCCGCATAGTCCAGCAGGTCTTTGCCGATATCCGCATGGGTGCGCAACTGGCGCTTCTCGTTCAATAGTCCCTCTACCTCGATTCGCCGCGCCTCAACCTTGTCGCGAATTGACTGTACATCTCGCTGGAAAGACAAGAGACCAACTTTCACACCCTCGACCTTCTCCTCGCCACCCCGAAGCGCGGTCCCCAGGGATAGAAAGTCCTGATAGTTCTCGTTGACTAGGTCCAGCAACTCCTTATTCAGGTATTGTTCCAATCCGCGCAGCTCTTGCCTCAAGTCCTCGAGGCTCTGGTGTCGATTGGTTAATGTCGACAGAAACGTGGCAGGATCGAAGTCGGGGGCCAGGAAGGACGTTCGAGCTAGCGGTTGGGGAAAAGGCAAGCCGGAAGAGTCCTCGTCAAAGTCGGAAGCCGACTCGTCAGAGTCACCAAACTATAACGGAATTAGCGGGGATTTCCAAGACCAATCCAACAATGCAACAACGTACATTAAATCGGTTCATGGCGTGGCCGAATCAAGAAGAGGTGAAGAGCGGACAAGTGGTGGAGCTTGACCCCAAGCGTGTCGGCCTTGGCGTTTGTTGATTCCCCTGCGACTTTCTGGATTAACTTGCTAACTTGCTAACTTCTGACTTGCTTACCTCTAACCTCCAAACTTCCCGACTCCCTGCACCTCTCTTCTTTTGTCTGCTGAGACATTGCCAGCGCATAGACAACGCACAAGCACATGCACCCTGCGACTTGAATGCACCTTTTCTCGTGAGTATTCGGGTGCGCCCCGCATACACTGGAGTGCCGAGCGGGGTTTCACCTGCTCTGCGCTGTCCTTGACTCGAAGTTGGCCGATGGATCCAGACCCCCTATCCGCGCGCTGGGACAGTAGCCGGCTGTCCTCCTTCAGTAGACAGGGATGGCCCCGACTGTCCCCGTCCTACGCGTCTCCCGGTGATGTAGGCCCCTCACACCACGCCAGCTGGCGGCACTACGAGTCCGTAGACAATCCAGATACATCAACCCATGTATCGCCCCCCGCCAAATGACCGGAGATTCAAGACCTTTTTCCCGAAGAGACAGACCGGCTAATACTCTCCCTGAACGACACCCCACTACACCAACTCAGCCGGTATTGGTCAGATCGTATTCTGGCAATGCCGAAGACACGACAGCTAAGTCGACCATGTCTCCACGCCGCCTCTTCCCATTCTCCGGCCCCAAGAGCTCGGTTCCCTCCCGTCCACCGGGTCCGCCGCCCCCGTCGGATAAGGATTTCAGTATTGAAAGCATACTGCAGGCCATCGAGCCCGATATACAGGGGACCTTGGATTCGATTGCCGAGATCTGCGGACGAAGCAAGCTAAGTCTCGCCAATGAGTATGGCAGCCATATAGCGCCGCTGGGAGAGATTCGCGCTCCAGCAAGCGGCCTCGTTCCCGTCGAAGAAGCCAGCTCAACTGACGAACGGCGCGCCGATGAGAGTTTGATTATCTTCGACGATAATCCTGGTCTCGTAGAGCCTGACCGTGATATGCATCCCTCCACCTTCTATCGGTACCTTGAGAATCTCCGACAGGCCGCATCGTTGCTGGAACGCAACGGTACAACTGTCTCAGGCCCATCAGCGCAGCTAAATGCTTCAACTTCCGCTGCCGTGGCGAGTTATGTGAATTCCCCGGAATTGGACGTCGCTCCATTACCCACTTCTCGAGAGTTTGTCTCGAGACCCAAGAACACGGGTCGAGATCTTTTAGCGATGAATATTACCTCTAGCCAAGATGACCACTTTTCTCCAAATATTGTCACCCCGGCTGTTGTTTCTGAGTTTCATCTTGATGCACAGGCAGGCGAGAGAAACACAGAAACCGACCCATCCGTTCTGTCCGTGGACCAGCTCAATCTTGACGATCGCATACCGGAGTCCATTCGCTCTCTACTTGGCTGGTTAAGATGGTCTGCACGAATTGTAGGACCAGAGTCCCGCCCGGCTTTGCAGTCAGCCGAAGGCCGACTACGAGCTATGCTGGAACAATCTGCTGAGGACAGGTTCTCTTCGCAAGCTGTGTAAGCCTTTTTGGATGTGCGCTTTTCTTGTTGTGCACGTTATCACGATTTACGAGGATCTAAGATGATAATTATGACTTGAATGTATAACGACTAACTTATGATATCCGAGCAGTTGCAATTTATCGATAAGATTCATGCGAACTTATTCTCATTGCCTTGTAGAAACTCGCGAAATCCGCCTGGTATAAGCAAGCAACGCCGTAATGAATGCTTAATGCAATGCAATCAACCCTCATGATCGCTAGATAGATCGACAAACTTTTCCAGACGCATCTTAAGACGCCCCAGCAGTGCTCTCCACACCCCCAAGTAAAGTCTTTGCAAACTCCTCGAAACGAGGATACGACCAACCCTCCTTATACTTCTCTACAAGAGGTCTCAAATCCGGCTCCTCAGGAGCTCCAGGCTGCTCCTTCTGTTCCTTATCCTCCTCATCCTCCTCGTCACTATCCTCCATCTTACCCTCGACCAATTCCCCAAACTTAACATCCACCGGCACTTTTCCCATAAACAGAATCCCCAATTGCTGCGCCATAACCTCACCCCCACCACTTGAGAAGAGATTGCTCACCTCCCCACAACACGGACAAGCATACCCAGACATATTCTCAATAACCCCAAGCACAGGAATACTCGTCTTAACACAAAAGTTCGCCTCCTTGCGCACGTCCGACGTCGCGACCGCCTGCGGCGTCGTCACAAGCACTGCACCATAAAGCCTCGGCACATTTGTCTGCGCCGCAGTCGCGGCATCCGCAGTCGAGAGCGTAAGAAGCTGTTCGGCTAACGCAATATGCTCATCACTAGTACCAGGCGGTGTATCAATGAGCAGGTAGTCTGTTTCGCCCCATGAGACGTCCGACAGAAACTGTCGAATCATAGCTGTCTTCTTAGGTCCGCGCCAGATGACGGCGTCGCCGCGGTCGCGGAGGAGGAAGCCTAGAGACATGCAGCGGAGAGAGCCGCGCGCAGGTGATGAGTCCGATTGGGGTGCTGCATCATGGACTGGAACGGGTAGCCAGCCATTTGGGGATTGGGTAATCTTTGCGTCTTCGAGGCCAACGAGGCGCGGGATTGAGGGGCCTGTTAGATCGATGTCGAGGATTCCGACGGATTTGCCTTGAAGGGAGAGAGCAAGGGCTAGTTGGAGGGTGACGGAGGATTTGCCTACACCACCTTTGCCGGAAAGGACCTGCGAGGAGGGAGTTAGCCTTTGCGAAAGAGGAATGACTTAAGTGGTACTTGTTTCAATGCGCACACTCGCCGTTATCGATAAGGTGTGAGGGGCAATTTTTGCGGCGGTGGGTTATTGGCGCGTTGGGGGGTTGGCAGGGAGGACTTACCAGGACGATGTTCTTCACTCCTTCTAAAGGCATTTCTGAGGTATGATTAATGTTCAGTTGAAGTGTAGAATCGATGGCGATTGTTAAGAGTGGGGAGGCCGATGTTCGGATGCTTATCAATCGGGCTCTGACTAAAGCACGCACTGTGGATGGACCCTTCTACAATGCAACATAATGGCAGTATTTGTTGATTTGATTTGATTGCAGTTTTTTGAAATATTGAAATATTCTTTGTTGATAGGCGTCATTGGTTTAGCTAGGAGACGTGGTGACGCCAGGATCCATAAACGGTCATAATTGGTCTGTAAGAGTCTATGTGCCCCCTACGCTCACTTTTGTTAGAGCCACAGTAAGAAAGCAAATTAGATGGAGGGGTTTTATGTCCACTTCTGGACGACGACACCTCCACGCTTGAACTCAGCCATATCTCCGAGGACTTGGTCCATGTCCTTGAGCTCAGTGCTGGGGAAAGTCGTCATCAACACCCAGGCACGGTCTCGGCCGTCCGGAGTCGCAGCAGAGACGAATGCATAGACGTCGCCAATGGTGGCGGTGGTGTTGAAGCGAGAGGTTAAACGGGTACCATCACCCAGACGAATCTGGAGAGTGACAATCGGTTGTGATTCATCCACGTCATGCGTCGGCTTTGCGTCGCTAGTAGAAGGCGCGGGAGTGGTAGATGATGGCGTAGAAGCTTGGCTCTGAAGGCCGGGAGTTGGGCTGCCAAGACGTTGACCGGCGCCCGAGAAAGGCTTGTACTTGGGCTTGGGCTTCGCGTATTTCTCGTCATGCTGCTTCAGCTCTACATCGACTTCCTGGCCGGCCTCGACATTCATAATAGCGAGAGGGGCACGGCCCTGGCGGATGCCTTCGAGGATCTCGGCATTGCGGGGAATATCCGAGCGGTAAAGTTCACCATCATCCACCGAGAACCCATCTGCCCAGAAATGGAGAGTCCGTTGGACACGCTGGGGGCGCTGCGGCACCGGTCCGGTAGGATCATCGATCACCCGGCTCGGCGCATCGTCACCACCCAGGGTGCGGGCAGCGCCGGTGAAGTGCGAAGGACGTTCCTCGGGCTCCTCTGTACGTTGGGGTCTACTCCTGTTCATAGAAATCAGTATCGTAATATTGTAAAGCTGCATGAATTGGGTTGAACTTACTTTTGGGCCTTTTCGAAAATGCTCTTCTTTAGGTCATCCGGATTCTTTTGCACGGCCAAGCCTGATTTCTCTCCCCCAGTGAAAAAATCCCGTTCCCCAGAGTCGTCAGACTCTGAGGAACTATGGTCATTTCCGCCGGAGACATCACCCAATGTCGCAAACTTCTTCTTCGGCGCGGCACGTTTCGTAGAGGATGTAGATGCGGATGACATAACAGGGTTGGTGGGCATCTGCCCGCCCAGAGTCCGGCCACCCGGAGCTGCTTCGCTTGCATGTGAATCTCCAGTTTGCCTACCACCGCCAGTATTCATGCCTTGCAGAGCCTCATCCTGCTCCGTAAAGAACTCAGTCACCGCGGCTTCCATATCCCACTGGTTTGCTTCGAGGTACGCTAGGGCCTATATGATAACAGAAGAATGTCAGTGGCGCGTGAGAATTGAGAATAACACGAAGCTTACCGCTGTAGGTTGAGTGCCCGTCATAGCACAGAACTGAGACACGACCTCGTCGTGCTCTGCGGGGTTAGGTTCCATGATTGAGCTCGGCAGATGAATTCCGGGGATAGCGAGACTCCGTAGGGGATAAATGTGCTTTTTGGCACAGAAAGAAAGGTTGTTTGTGAGGTGCACAAGGTGAGAGATTGGAGAAATGTGAGAGTACAACAAACTAGGTTGGATGGGCCAAATCAACACCGCGGTAGGTACGTCACTGCCATTGGTCAGCCGGAGGCCAGGATCTTCCGCTCCCTTGGCGCCTAAGGCTGACATGAGATCTACAGCCAAATCGGGAATATACTATCGCCTCAGACGTTTCCGAAGCCATTTGAAGGGATATAATGGGAGGGCACAATAAGGGGCATAGTAACAGCTCTACACTGCGTGGAAGAGCACCGACGAATTAAAGGTGAAGGCCTTTTTATATTATCGGTTTGGCTGGGCTATAACTTACTTGACTGCGCTTCAGGAAAGGGGCTAAGTGTAGTTGGGCATCTCAGTTTAGGCAATCTCTGCTCTTCAAAAGGCTTTTTCATGGCTAAGATCACGGTTTACTGCTCTGATTTGCCCTCGAAGCTCGCCCGGAAACTTGCTTCATTGTCACCGCGTGCCTAGATCATCTTACCGTGAGAAATATTTGTCAAATTTAGTCACAACCCCAATAATACGCAAATATTGAGAGAAACACATATCCTTTATTCGTGTCGTCTCCTGTCAAATTTGGCCAAATCTACACTGTAAGTTAGTCTATGTACTTTCTCTGACTATCAGTGTGAATAGCAATCAGTATAAAATTCTTCATCCACCTCTTCTCAAATAATGTGAGATTCAAAGAATGGTTAGAATTCATCTACGAAGGCATTTAACCAAGATAAGTATGACCCTATCATAGATCTCCCAAATATTCAGTTTCAATTTATGGGGTCGATTTGCTGACATAATGCACGTACCCACCGGCACTCAGCGAGGAGCAGCTTGTTGACTGCAGCTCAGTCTGGTCCGCTCCCACAAGGAATCCCCGATCATCTACGATCTTATCTACTCTGTTGGCACTCAAGCCTCCAATCCCTGCCCGCCATGGCCTCCGATGCGGCCGGCTCCAACGTCGACCTCTACGACTCGACCATGACAGTCCCCTCTGACTCGGAAAACTACTCGGCAAACCACGAGATGTCATCTTCTCCTCCGTCTACCTCTAGCTCACCCATGATCCTCTACCACCCACCGACTCTCTGGGGTATTCTCCGCGGCGCGGCTATCAACCTATTCCTTCCCTTTGTGAACGGCTTGATGCTGGGATTTGGTGAGCTGTTTGCTCACGAAGCGGCCTTCCGCCTGGGATGGTCAAACACCAAGGTACGCTGCAAGGTCATGCAGAACCGTAATCCACTGGCCCTAAGCTGACTGTTCCTTTCTATAAGATCTTCCCGATGTACCGTCGGTCACACCCTATGGGCCCCGGAGTGGACATTCGAGAGCTCCCTTCCGAGCGGAGACGGGTAACCTCCGCGGCTGGTATCAACGACACCGCCTCTCTGGAGTAGGCAGTAGATACTTCTGCAAGCGCATTCAACCAAGACCCCCTCCTGAAAAAAAAAAAAAAAAAAAAAAAAAGCCCTAGATACGGGAAACAGAACAAGTACATGTTTGATTGAAGTGATACCTTTAGTCCAGGGAAGAAGAGACTGTACATAGACTGCTCAGTCGGCGCCTGGCGAACTGGGATTTGAATTCCTCAAGTTTAATTAGAAATATTGACATCGATCCTATCTTGATTTCTTCAACTTTCCAATTTCAAGTTGAAGTCGTCTTGTCTCATGTTCAACTGTAGACGCGGCTGTTTACCCGCGACACTCCGCCCGGCAGAAAAAGTCTCTCCAATCGCTATAATCACGACTTGCAATTCCCATCCACTCCATCACTCAATTCACCCACCATGATTGGAGCTGCTGGTCTGAAAGGGCCCGGTGTGGCTGCTGCCATTTTCCGGCAACGGGTGACTGCGGTTCCCCAATCCACTCGATCCGTTCGTCGTTCCTGGAGACTCCGGGGTAGTTTCGGAAGTTGAAGTTGACTGATCTCGCGCAGATATCAACCGTTCGGTCGCTGCGCCTTCGAGTTCCCGGTCAAGTAAGCCAATTGACTTTGGCATCTTCTGGGGTCACCTGGCGCAAAGCATCTCTTGCTGCTGGCCCGGCCGCGATCCGTTTCAAGTCCTCCATGCCCGAGCCGGCACCCCCTCCCGTTCACGAGACCACGACCAGCCCAACCGGAATTGTTGAATCGACAGACCTGTCCGATTTTGATCTCTCGACACTCCCCGAAAGAATCGGATATCTGAAGGGAGATCTTGGATTGGACTATGGCTGGGGTACCTCCGCGTTCACGCAATGGATAATTGAACATATTCACATCTGGGGAGGACTGCCATGGTGGGCTGCCATTATCGGTACTGGCTTTTTAATCCGCGCTTCCTTGCTTCCATTCATGCTCGGTGCTTCCGATCAAGGTGCCAGAATGCACAACTTGAAGCCCGTGATTACTCCGCTGCGCGAAGATATGATGCGCGAGTTGCAAGGCGGAAACCAAACTGTGGGTCAGCAGAAGAGGGCCGAGATGCAGGAAATCCACAAGGCACATGGCATCAAGTGGTGGAAAACAGTGCTTCCCATGCTACAGATTCCACTTGGTTTCGGTATTTTCAGAGCCACTCGGGGCATGACCAGCCTACCTTTGCCAGGTTTGTTGGATGAGTCCTTCTTCTGGATCAAGGACCTCACACTGTGCGATCCCTACTACTTTCTTCCCATGATGACTTCGGCTGCCATGTACTTGACATTCAAGGTTTGTCGCTTTCTAAATTTCGCCTTGGTACCAACTGCTAATCACGATCACAGAAAGGAGGCGAGTCCGGTACGATGGACATTTTGAAAGGCCCTGGCAAAGCCATTCTTTATGTTTTCCCTGCATTCTCTTTCCTTTTCATGGCCTGGCAGCCGGCGGCTCTGCAACTTTATTTCGTGACTACCGGTATCTTTGCCTTGGCTCAGTCCAGTGTATTGCACGAACGCTGGTTCCGAAACATGTTCAATCTGACCATCCCCACTATTGCTCCCACCGGTCCCGCGTCTAAAAGGGGCCCAAGTACAGCCCTGACGCGACTTCAGGATCGCATTGCAGAGGAAAAGCGCCTCTTGGCCGAGTCCCAGAACCCGACCCAGAAAGATGAAGCCCCGAAAAGCTATACAAACGTCAGTTCTATTGATCAATTCCTCGATAAGTCAAAGAAGGGATTGAGCAACTGGCAAACCGAGGCCTCAAAGTCAATCAAGTCTATGAAGGGCCAACCTACAACGAATCGCGACGGCTCACCCATTGAACCACCTCGGATGTCCGAGGCGCAGCACAGAAAGGCCGAAGAATATGAGAGAGAGAGACAGTCGGCTGATGCCTTTGCTCGCGAAGAGCGCAACGAAGCTCGCCGCCAAGCCCATCTGAAGGCGCTTGCCGCTGAGCGGGAGAAGGCGAAGGCTTCTTGGCAGAAGCAGCGTGAGGCCGCGGTCAACAACCAGATTCGGCGAAAGTGATTTTGCTTGATGTGTATAACCTGTACAATATGGCGCTGTACTTTGCATTCTGATTTGATGTATTCTTGGACTAGACTTCAATTCATCCATACTCTACTATAATTATCGTGCTTTCATTCAATATCTCGATGATACGGACCTCCAATTTCTTATCAGAGGAAAATAGTATCACTCCAAGCAAACGACTGTACAGCCTGACTGAGAATATGATCTAAGGGGGCCTTCACACTTGATTCTTCAGGTTTTTCTCCGACATATTTCCGAGCTTTTCTAACAAAAGGTCTTAGACCTCTTCTTGTTATTCTTTCCACTGTGTTTTCTTAATGACTTCGAACACGTATGGGAGGATAAATCACGGCTGCCCCTTTTGAATAATCTTCATTGAGTTGCTGGTTCCGCTATATTCTCAACGGAATTGAACAGCAAGGGACTTCGAATGATGCTGGTTCATATTCGTCTAGCGAGATAAACTAATCATTGTTCGACACTGGGAGCTTTATGAATAGACAGGAGACAGATACATTTAAAGATATTTATCGTACCATGCTGCAAATACGCATTGCTATTGTGATCCGTGCAGTTCAAGTTATCCCTTCTCGAGGTACGTATATACCCATGACACACAACAAGCCACGCAGTGTGATCCATATACGCGAGAAGCCGTTTGCCATTGCACAATGGCGTTGTGGAGCCATAGGTACGCTAATAAGGAAATTGGAACATTCAACTGTCTGAAGGCTGCAGCCCCAGGTTTATTATAATTAGGCACGTGCTAGTGTTCTATAGTTGATACAAGATTCGGGCGATGTATAAGATTGATGGAAGTCCAATGTATTCACAGCAACGATATAAACCATTCTTCCCAATGCAAACGCCTAATCTATTTCCATAATGCTTCAAAAAGAACCCCATAGAGCCGTATACCTTATAAAGATGAACCATAAGATCAGAAGACCAACTCATGCAAAGAACAAAAGAGATAAATCACGAAGTCTGCATAGGAATAGAGACAGCAGGCAGCGGTAAACCTGCTTGCTCATCATCCACAAAAACAGCCTTCTCCAACTTCTGGGTCATCCGAGCACATAACGGATCTACATATGCAGTCCAAGCCGCCGCAACAGCATAAACCATCCCAATCCAAATAGGGATACTAATAGCCACAACCCACGGCGGTCGAATCGGGAGCCAGTCCCTCACATCATCAGTATCCGCCTCAGCCCCCTCCCAAGGCTGACCCGTAATTCCATACAACATCCAAACAAGAATGACGCGCAGCATGGTGCCGTGAACTAAGTACACAGCAAAACTCTGCTTACCCAACCAGAGCAAAAGTCGGTTTGCGAGGAAATGTTTTGTCGACGGAGAGAAATATATTGCTAGGATGATCATGTCGATTCCGATTGCGGTATAACGTTTGCCAACATTGACTTCGGGAGGGAAGATATATTGTGCTATGTCGAACATGGTGTTCGACCAGCCCGACCATTCGGGATGGTCGCCTGGGTAGGAGGCTATCAAGAGGCCGAAGATTGCAAGAGGCGCGGTAATCATTTTGCGTCCGTACGGGTGGTTCTCGATCCAATTTTTGAGAGTTATGCTGTGCGATAGGTCGCTGAGGAGCATGCCGTAGATGGCTTGGATTTGGAAAGTTTCTGCATGCGAGTCAGCACCATTATCTCGCAGCTATTGTCAATTGGAGAAAATACTCACCTGTGTTCTTCGCAGCATCCTGGTGAAAGTATAACATCATACCAATGTAAACAACCATCCGATACCGGAATTTCATAAACATCGTGGCAACGAGAAGAATATACACCAACATGGATGCTTTCAGGAGAGGCAGAAGAGCCCATTGGTGATCATCGTACACCATATACCCAGTCGTCCAGGTTGACATGAAATTCTGTCCTAAACGAATAATCTCTTTCCAGAGAGAATCTTCCAGTTCCGGAGCGGCATATCGACACCACCAGCAATCAGATCTATTTGCGACGATGAAGCCACCGAATTGCGCAATAACCCACGATATAATCATAGCAATAGTGGCAGGGAATATCAACCGCGGTGGCCTGCGAAACGCGCTCTTAGCGACGGTCGTGAATGAAGCTGCTGTATCGCCGCCTCGAGATTGCTTGATAGGTTTCAGAGCGCAGACGTAGCCCGTCAGAAATGCAAATATAGTGACCCCGACACGACCCTGCCAGGGGATGCGAAGAATGGGCCATTGTAGGACTCGTGGAGTTGCGTCTTCGTTGTCTCGGGGTGCAAAGAGGTCGTAGTCCCAAGCACGGGCTAGGTGGGTGAGAACGACTAGAAAGGAAGCGATTCCTCGAAGACCCTACACCGTATAAAGACCGTAGTTAGTGAGTGATAGCTCTTCATGGAGCTGAGTGGTATTCATACATCAATCCACTTGACGCTTTTCCTCGGGTCTCCCTTCTCCGAGGCGCTGCCCTGACTCCATGGCAGGACTGTTGGGATGGTTTCCCTCAAACGAGTGTAGAGATGCGTCGGCTTGGCGAAAGTCATTGTATAAAAGAATGGTAGTTTTCAAGTATCAAGAACCGAGAACCATGAGGGGCTCCAAATCCTCTGAAGAGGTCGAAATTGAGTCAGGACCAGAAAAGACAACACCACACGAGCAAACCCAAAAGAAAGAAAATGATCATCCCACGAGAGCCAGGACCTCCCTAACTAATCTTCATCCACGCGTATCAGACCTGCCAAGAAAGAAGGGGCACGCGACTCCTTCTTCAGGAGCCAACGCGGCCACCGTAGCCAGCAATCGAGCCGAAACACATGAGTCTATTTCTGGATCCAATGACGCGATGAATATGCGCCCACGCAGTCGAACGAAAGGCCGAGAGGCAATCGGATATGCTGGCCGTGGGCGAGGGATGCGGGCATTGTCGATCATGACGCGAATCGAGGAAGGATGCATACCAAAAAGGTATGCCAGGAGAGTCAAGGCGTCCGTCTTGCATTGTGAATGAGGTAGGCGTTGGGCTCCTTGCAGCGGACGGAAGCAGGGTCTCTGCTGTCGGCAGGGACCGTTTACGGGATGCGGGTTCTGTTTAGTTTCGAGGTCGTTTACTTTTCCATGTTGTTGGTAATTATCATCAAATAGACAGGTGACACCACTCCTCGGGCTAGGAATGGTGGCACTGCAGGATCGGCGGGGTGAAACCGATCAGATTCCCATCACATAGTCGGAATGTAGGTTCTAGGTTAGGGCTACCGAGGCCTACGAGGACGGGGCTGTAGCTCCACCCGAATTGGCACCGGGTGTCTACCTTTGGCATAAATCTAGATGGTATCAATTTTGATGTCCCGTAAATCACTAGGTATAGAACAATGATAATCCAGCAGCTATGCATGATGCTTCGACGAAATCATGAAGCGTGGAATCCAAAAAAGCAAGACCCCTCTCCCCAGCCGAAAACGCCTATGCAGTGAAAAGAAAAGTAAGAAAGAGCTCATTAGCGGAAGATTCTACGGCCACCAACAGGACCCGCGTTCCAAGTGACTGAACCCTTGACTCCCAAATTGTCCAGGCTCATCCCCGAGAAGCCAACACCTCCACCTTCACCATCACGTTTTGAGCGTCGTAGCGCTTCACGCAGGTGTGCAGGTAGAAGTTGGCCCCTGTGAGGGTTGGGCGGGGGTCGGAATTCGCGTCGTGGGCGTAGAGGTGCCGACGATAGGCCGAGTTGGTGCAATGATGGGGAAGGTGATGATACAGCGTTGGGGTTGTGGACAGGAGTGGCCGAGGGTCTGGCTTGGTCTGCGTCGGACTCTTTCTTGATACCGTTGCTGACCCCGGAACCAGGTGTTCCAGATGGCGTAGGCGTTCCTGTATTGGACTGTGTAGCTTGGGCTTGGGCCTGAGTTCTGGCCTGTGCTCTCGTCTCGGCAGCTTGCTCTTCGGCCTCGAATTCGGCCAGCGCAGCTTGATCGTGTGCGACGGCCCATTCGGCCTGCACGGTTCGCGCCTTTTCGACCATCTCACCAGCGAAGACCTTGGTAAAACCGTTGACTGTGGTAACAACACTTGCTGGGACTGATTGTGAGAGTGCATGGTTGACGATACGACGAAGTGATTCCTTGCGCAGCTTCGCACGCTTGAATAAGTCATATCGCTCAGATTGCATGGGATTAAACGCATCAACCAGAATCCTGATACCAAAAACCAATCGTTAGCTTCCAGTCCACATCGTAAAATCCAAAACAGCAATTGGAAGAGGAACGTACGCAAGGTTCTTCTTCTCAGCCTCCGTATCGGTCGTGCCCTCTTCACGGCCCAAAAGCTCTCCCTCATCGTCATCGTCATCGTCATCACCATCATCACCACCTCCACCACCGCCGCCCATACCTCGTACTGAGCCCTCGGCATCGGCAGATCCTAATCGACCATCACCAGCTCTGGAACTGAGAGCATCCTCGCGCTCGCGCTCGCGTTCTTTCTCAGCCTTGCTTTTGCGGCCGCGCTTTTTTCCGCGCGCTGCCCCGGCAAATACCCCATCTGCGCTGCCTCCGCCTAGACTTCCGGTGTAACTGCCCGTTACACTGCCTGCGTCGCTAGCTGCGCCGAAACTGCGCTCTGCTTCGAGAGTCGGGAACGAGGTCTGGCGAAGAGGGTGCATGCGCGCCTTTTTGATAATAGGCTGTGATACCGCTGAGGAGACGGAGGGTCGTTTGAGGAGGTTGGTAGGAGTTTGATATGGTGGTGGTGATGACATTGTGAAAAGTTGATGGGAGAAGTGAGCGAGTCAAGTCCCCTGTGGTGAAGTCGCAAGACACGTGTTGGATGAGAAACAAGCACTCGAGATGAAACTGAGGGGGTTTGCTCCAAACGGGCGAGGTGCTGCGGGTTCGATAAGCTTCACCGGTGTCGTGATGGGTTTGTTGGAGAGGCACGAAGTGATCTGCAGATGGAACCGGAGAGTTGGGCCAGGATAGTGAGAGTGCTGGTTATCACCAGAATGGGGTTGATTTCGCCAATTCAACCCGGTCGTTGCCGGAGACGAAGCTGTAGGCTTCATCGCGGACGATGGGCGATTTCATCTCAAAGTCGCGGTGCTGAAATCGGGCATACCGCCTTCCTTTTTGGGTCCTCAATAGTGATTGCGGAGTGGCGGACCTCCGTGGTACAAATACTTGCAACCTTGCAAGTTTACGATTATATGAATGTTCGGATTTGCTTAACACGTTAAACGAAATTGAAATCGAAAACTCATTTATGGTTAATGAATGACTAAGTCACAAGAGCAGAGACCCGAAAGTGATCGCTGATATGATCCAGCTGAAACAGAACGAGGCGCTGAGCGCATAGATTATGCAACGCTGCGCAAGATGTCAAGACAGGAAAGCAAATGAACATGAATCTCAAAAACACTGCGATAAAGACAGAATGTGTTTCGCCAAATGAACGATGAGCAGAACGATGGAAAGGGACCCAAGAGGACAGCAAAATTGTCAGTGCCTGAGAGCCTCAGCAACAGCGCTCTCAGAACTTCTCTCCAAGCCGAGGTGCCCCCCCTTTCCAGTCGTTGCGCTCATAGTAGCGAAACACAAGATCGTAGCCATTCAGGTCGTGAACGATACGGTCAATGCGACGATATCCCTCAATGTGCTCCATCTTAGGACTGCGACGCATAGCGAGGCGTTGGTGAGCCTCGTAGAAACCATTGGCGTCAGCCTCGTCAAGTTCAGGCTTGGTCTCAAACAGGGTGATGCTGAAACGGCCCGGCTTGAAGATGTCCACGACTTGCTGGATGATGTCCGAAGTGGTCTTGCCGTTCTGTGAATGCGGAACGTTGGTCTCGAAGGATGCGTACGAGCAGTGAGGCTCCGGAGTGACGTGCACGGTAAAGTAGTGGGTCGGAGCCTTGTTGTCCGGAGCAGGAACCACACCGTTGGCGGAGAAGCCGCAGGGGGTGAAGAGATACGCATCAATGCGAGCATCCGGGAACTTGCTCTTAGGGTAGACATCCGACAGACCGCATGCCTCGGAAACAACAGTTCCCAGGGCGTGGCCCTCGGTGGTCAGCTCCGGCGGCAGAGTGCGATCACCCTGGACCTCAGGGTCATCCAGGTCAGAGCCGTTGCTAAAGACATCAACATGCTCAATACCCTCGTCCTTGTCGAAGTTGAGGTAGCGCTTCTCGGCCACAGCGGCGGCATTGTCAAGGTAGAACTGCTTGGCGTTCTCCTCTTCTAGATCGGTCATCAAGACCTCAAGAGTCTCATCGTACTCATCACAGGAGGCAATAGGAGCAGGCTTGGGGAAGCTGAGAACCTTGGTCTCGGTCTCGGTAAAGTTAACTTCCTCCGTAGGGCTCGCCGGAGGGGTGAGCAGAGTGTGAGGCTCAGTCAGATACAAGTACCAGTGCTCTCCGTTCATCTTGCCGATCATGTAGGCACTGCCGTTTTGAAACAATTTGTCCATGTTGCGAACCTCATCGCGCCAGCTGCGATGAGGGCCACGCTGACGATCGGGGAACAAAAAGTTCTTACGGCTGTAGAAGACGCGATAGGGAGCAGCGGCCACAGTAATTCCACGAGACGGTGGGGCCGTCGCACGAGAAAAGCCGGCAAACAGAGCGGCAATCTCCAAGATGCGCGGGAGACCCGACAGCAGAGTGGTGGTACCGCATGTCTTCAGGATGAGCTTGTGCGGCCAGACGAACATGCTGGACTCGGACAAAAGATAGGCGTCCACGTCATCGGAGGAGACAATCGAGAGTACCTGGCAGTTGACGAGGTCCAACATATCCTTCCAAATGTCACTGGGAACCTTCTTCAGACCTTCGGGGCCTGCGTCGCCAAGTTCAGTGGCAGACGGCGCAAACCAGACCTCGAGCAGCTTCTCAGGGCCTAGTTAAAGAAGTTAGCATTGCAGCAAGCAAGAAGAGGGCATGGTTGACAGACCTTCAAAGGCATTGCTGGAGTCAAGATCCTGAGTCGCATCATAGTTGATAGTCAGAGAGGTTCCACCAAACGACGACGGGGACGCGGTATAGTTCTTGGGAATGCCGACGTGAACCATGTCCGTAGATTTTAGCAGCCGAAGCCTAATAATTTGCGATTTGAACGGAGTTGAGAATAGTATGAGGTCGGACCGCCCTTGGTACCGCTTGTTGTTGAAGACAAAAAGGCTTTAGAAGCACTGTCTACTTACCCAGACGAACAAGGGGGCAATGCCCGTCTGAGAAGAGAAGGCCCTTAGGACGATTTGTAGCTGGACAGACCAGGCAGTTGTAAATCCTAAACAACCTGAAGGGCTGCTAAGGAGGTAGGAAGGCGTAGGAGAGGAAAAAGCTGCGGCAAGAAATGTTGACGTTCAGTCCGGTACCCTCGTTCTGGAAGATACCGATACTGGTCAGAGTATCGGGTCTAGCAGACGAGAGTATCTGCTTGTTGAAAGGGGAATGGATAAAAGTTGGAGATGGAGACGACTTGCGGGAGTCGTGCTATCGAGGCCTGGTGATGGTAAAAGTCCAATTAGTACAAGAAAGGTGAATGAAACGAGAACCCCATACTGTGTCAACAGAATGCCAGGTTGAAAATTAAAAGACAAGACTTCGTTGCGGAGCAATCGCTTGAAAACAGGACCCTGTGGATATTTTCTTTTTTTGCTCGCAGCCGCCAAGTGAGGGGTAATGACGAAAAAAAAAACACCTACTTTGCGGGCTTGGACAAAAATCGCAAAAGATCCTTCGAGCTCATGGAAGATATGAAAGGAAATTCAGCTTAGATTTGCACGATGTCGTGGGAAGCCACAGTCGTGTACATCAGCGAGTACAAAGGAGGACTTTGTCTCTGGAGCCTGATGAGTGCCCGAGAATTGATTGCTCAGGGATGGCAGAGATAGAAGGCGTTCTCTTAAGGGTTTCCTTGGTCAAAACACGGCCGTGGTCTGATCGGGGACCTCAGCTGGAGGTGGTTGACAGCTGCAAAATGTTTGCCGGCGCAGTTTGGTTGGTAATGCGCGATTTTGTCTGTGGACCCGCGCTCGTGGGGCGGCGACGGATCAAAATCTGTCTGACATCAGGGAATGGCGATCCGATTAGTTTGTGTGCCCTACGCCACGGACACGATTGCTATGCCGAAAATGGAGAGTAACACACCAGAGGAACAAGAGGGCAAGTACACGTAATTTAGATCGTCAAGGACGATACCTCGATTGTGGTGTGGAGGGCAATGACTGCAATCAGGCGAGAATCCTGGAAACTCACACGAGCGGTGAAAATAGGCAGAATAAGCTTTCCGGTCCCTGACTGAATGCGATAAGCGATCTACCGGAAAGCAACTATACATTGATTTTCTATAAAAAAATAATTCCAAAGATTCAAAGAGTAGTAAACTAGGGGTATAATTATACGGAACGGGCATAGACTTTCTTTGATTTAGTTATACAATTCTACATAAGATACTCTATATTCAGAACAAGAGAATAGAACCCAGCCAGCCACTGAACTCGACGTACAGTGGATGGATCGATGGAAGAATTTCACTTACCTTGCCTGAATCCGCGACCACGCCTATTCTCATGGACTAAGTACCTAACAGACGCCTCTAATAAGTCTTCAATCACCGATTAGCCAATCTACTTATTTAGAGATTTAGCTCGTTCTTACTCTAAGTAGCTCACGGAGCCTAGCTCTAAGCGCCCTCATAAAAGCGGCGGTAGCTCATATAGGAAAGACCCCATAACGCGGAGGAAATCCTCTACATAGAGTTGCCCAAGTAGCTATTGAATTGCAAGTGGCCAATTATTGTGTATATTTCATTTATCAAAAAGTCCAGAGATACCAATGACACGTGTAAAGAGCCCCGTAACGCCTGGTAAAAATAGTAACGCCATACCTGCCGGGAGGGACCAGAGAGCCACTTTCCCTCACTATGTTTTGAAATGATACAAGAGAAACGCCTATGCGTCCAAAACCAGCTGGGCCAGCTGCACCTCATTTACCTCGGCAATCCTGCTGGCAATAAGGTCTCCGACCTTCTCAGTCAACTGCGTGCGCAGATCGTCCGTGACGGTAGCAGGGTGACCATTGGCCAACGAGACCTGCCCGTCTCGGAGCGAAGCCAGAACGCCGAGAAGAGCGTTCAGCACGCGCTCGGCCGCGGGTCGACGAGCTGAATCTTCGAGACCATCACTAAGTAGTTTGGAGTACTCACGAAGATTGGGAATCATGAGAATCCGCACCACTTCCGCACCACCCACGGCTTGTAATCCAATCACAGCACCATAGTGGGCGCCGAAGGGCTTGGAGGGGTCGAGGAAGCTCTTGAGGCATGACCGCACCAGGCGGGGCTTGAGCATATGGGATGATTGGGAGTATTTCTTCGCGATGAGGCTAAGCAATGAGGCAGCGAGGTCTCGGAGAGCAAATTGTTCGGCCAGGTCAGCGGCTCCACCAAGTTGGCGGCCGATCAGACAGGTCAAGATGGAGGGGACAAGAGAAGCAACCTACTACGGTCAGTTGTCCGAAATCAATGTAGAGTGGGGAAAAAAGCTCACATAAGGGTCAACGTAGAGAGATGGGTTCTGCACCAAGGCCTCGGCCATGTGCATCACCTGGGTCAGCACAAAGACATCCTTAAGACTGTGTGTGACCTTCTCGGCAATAAATTGCACAAAGTACGGGACTAGTTGGTGCAGGCCAGGGTCCTCTTTAAGACTGGCATATCCGGAGGTCCGGTATTCCTCACTTGTCTCATCCAAGAAAGCACTGCAGACCTTCTCGAAGTACAACTGGAGCTCCTTGGAGAGGACATGCTTCACCAACGGTTTCACGGCCACGTCACCAGCGCCACTCATGGCTTGTAGGGTTTGGTTGGCATTAGGACCCTTGGATGCGAGTTCAAGGTTGCGAGAGTCTGCCGCGGTCGGATTCTGAGGAATAGAAGGCTGGACGCCCTCGACGGCGAGCCAATGGCCTGTGTGCGATGTCAGTAAGCTTCAGAGCCGACCCCGGGGTAAATTCACTTACCGGTAAAAGAGACCTCTCGGGGGACCTTGGGCAACGGAGCATTGATGAGCTTCTCGAAATCTACCTCCTCATCCTCCACGTAAAAGAGTGGCTGTCCGGGGCCAAGCGACGCTTCGCCGAACCGCAGCGGGCGGAGAGATTCGTAGCCATAAAGAGGTTCCACATCAAGGGTTCGCAATGCTTGGGAGATGTCCTGGGTTGTGAGGAGTGTCCGTTTGCCATGGCGCATTGACTTGAGCGCCTCCTCCAACACCTGCGCAACGCGGTATTCGACATCGCGTGCCAGATTTTCGGTCACATCGTGATTCAGGTTGGTAATTCCGACGGACTCTGCGACATCGCGGATATTGTCGGGATTCCAGACGGACATTGTGACGTGGTATGGTGGAGGGTCGTAACGCGGATGAAACGACCGGGATATCGAGGTGGTCGGTTGATGGCCAGAGGGCCGGGTGTGGAAGCAGCGCACAAACGGTGATGGGCGAAATGATTGACAGAGCTAAAGTCGCATTCTGAGTAGCTCAGGCTCTTAGGATTAAGTGAGAGCAGACCAAGACCTGACACAGCGATTGTCTTCGATCTGGATTATGTCGTAAGATGAGAGGAGGAAGCGCGGCGATTACTGAAGTTGCGTGGATGGTTCTAATTGCCTCCCGTACACGCTTTATAGGTTCCTTCGCCTTTGACCATGCAGCCTGCGGCTCGACACCTAACCCTCAAAACATAAACCAGTAATTTTCCCAAGAGATTTTATTTGGTAGATTCCAAGCGCGTTTGCCCAGATAAATTCGAAGCATAACCTTCTTGTATTGCTGGTCCCTGAGGTAGGAAAGGTTGCATGACCGCAAGGCCGCCAACGACCGAGACGACACAATTTCAAAATAGACCCGCGGACTGTCTTTCCGCTCGTTTGGATCGAGTGTCACTTTGGTAAGTCTCGAACTTTTGCCATGGAATTTCCATCGAGGGTCATCTAGGGTCAAACCAGGGTCAAGATTAATCCACGTTGTAAGGACCAGAGCTAAATCAGATCCATATTCACAAACTTCAATGCGGGAATCTGTACTGTATTTGTCACAAGTACAAGTGGAGCTGGGAGCTTCCTATCCATTGATATAGCCGTTCGCCACAGTGTCAAGTGATTTGGCATGTTTCCTTTGCAAATGAACATGATCTGAGAAGGCTTCCCCCCCAAATTCAAGCTCCGGTCGAGAAATCAGTAGGTCCAATCTGCTATCATGAACAAACATCACATGGTGCATCCTTAAACAAAGTCCCGGTGTCTCCGGGCAGATCTTTGCGTCGGTCGAAAAGAGAGAGGTGCTTTCAGGGCACCGCGAGTGTTCGGGGTGAGTTCGAGCTTGGGTGTAAGATAACGCTTTAGTACCAGTCGGCGTAAAACAGGCAGTTTGTCTTTTCCTGACGGCCGGGCGCAATTGGTTCGATGGTTGAAGATGACAAAGAGTCGAAGACTGCAGAGTGAAGTGCAAATCCAATCATCCAGAGGGAGGAAGTCAGTTATTGATAACATTAGCTCGACAGGGAGACAGGCTAGCGTATTCAGCTTGGGGGTCTGATAGGGTGGATTACGTCTTGCCCAAATTCGAGATACTACTGGAGAGCAGATATCGAGGAGCGACTGCATGTTCGAGATGTTTAACTCACGCAGATCGAGGTGAAGTCCAAGTTGACCGAACAAGCTTCTAGAAAAGGAAGGTGAAGTGATAACGGCCGGGGAGTTGTGAGTTGTGACTCATTAACAAGATTGATGGTAGTTTGAATGTCCGGTGCTTGGGAATAGACGGGGGGAGGAAGTCATCGTCTCAAAATCATTGAAATCATTGAACTAGCTCAAAGGCGCCCACATCATTTTGCGTAATCAGGCGCGGCGGTAGTGGGTCCATTCAGCCTTAAAGGCAGAGTACGTAGTTTATTTCAAGATGCCAAGGTCATAATGTTACATGAAAGGTTTGGGTCTTTGAGTGTTTCTCGTCATGCACAGGAGCATTGTCTTTAGTCCGTGCTCCTTGAGCATCGACATTTGGCTCCCTAGCTTGTTGTCGAGTAATACACGTCTATTCGTGGAAATCAGGGATCGATGGCTATACCTAGCCGTAGAGTGCCGTGTCAAAGGGTAGGGTTCGGAAATTAAGTCGCAAGAGTTTGGAGTTGAGACTGATTTCGAATATGATTAACTATTATCTAACTGTCACTTCGTAAAGAGATTGGGACCAAAAACAAGAGCGGAGAGTGTCGAGCACTGCTCCTCAGGGTATCACAAGAGACTGCTCGCAAGTCATTAGTTTGACCCTTCCTTCACTTCCTCCATGTTAGCCCTCCGAGCGGGCCCAGCCTTGGCCGCTTCCTCAGTCTTGGTTGGCTCCTCGGTTTGGGCAGGGGTCTCTGGGAATGTAGTCTCTTTGGCAGCTTTAGTAGGCTTGGTTTCCTCCTTCTCTTCCTCGTCTTCAATTAGTGGAACTGTCCGACCCTCATCCTTCAGATCCGCTCCCTTTCCACCGTAGGCCTTGGGGATCTTCTCCGACAAGGCAGGAGTGAACTCACGAGCCAAGTTGGCACCATTACTGATGGGGTGGAATTTCCGAGTGGTGTTACGGCTCAGAATGAGCTTCATGGCAGAGAACATCCAGCCCATGATAGATGGAACATTGATGAAGAACTTCTCGCGCAACAGCTCAGGGTAGGCGGTAGAGAAGACATCGATTACCTTCTTACTCGCAGTACGAACGGCGGGGTCCATGCGGAAGAACTTCACATTGAGGTAGTCGTGGACCTGGATCATCTGGTAGGGATCATTTTCGCCATCGTAGTCAATGACAGAGGTTGCGTTCTTCATGTTGAGATCCTGCACTGCCATCTCCATCAGCGCAGCACGCCACTTGACGAACCTAATTGGTATCAGCTTAGCTCATCGCCTAACAAGATTGGTAGTGTCACTCACTCATCAGCATCCGCAAAAGTGGCAGTCATATCCTTCACGGCCCCGTAGATGTTCCAGGTGAACACCAAAGGACGACCATCCTCTTCGTAAGTAGTAAGGTAGCCCAGGCCACCGAACTTACTCGCACTGTAGCGACCAGACTCAACTAGCTCGAGGGGCTTGGTCTCCTTGCGCCATTCAAGAGCTTTGCGAAGCTGCTCCTCCGCTGCCTGGAGATCACCCTCGTTGGCGCGCAGGAACTTGATCAGCACATTGACGGTCGGAATATCCTCGCTGTTTTTCAATGAAACACCCCACATCTCTTCATAGCCAGTCTTGCTGAGAAGCTCGGGAAGGTGGTCGAAGAATTGTTCGAGGGACGGGATATTAGTCAGGTATGCGGGCTTCTGAGGCTTCTGCTCCTCAAGCTTGGCTTCGGATTCCGGGGCCGCAGCAGGAGCGGCGGGAGCAGAGATAGCTTCCTGGGCAGGCTCCTCAAGCTTGGGTGTTTCGTCCTTGGTAGGTTCATCTGCCTTGGGCGCAACATCCTTGTCGGTGTTTTCGGTGGCAGGAGCGCGGATCTCGGGCTCGGTAGCTTCCACAGCTTCGCCCTTAGGCTCAGCTACGGGGATTTCAACAGGCTTTGGGTCCGACATGGGATTCAATGATCAGGGGGGTAGGTGGAAAGAGAGTAAAACCGCTCAGGGGGAAAAAAGAAACAGGGGCCTTGTCAACAGAGCTGCGACCACTTATCAATCGGGTCCACCGCGCGCCCCACCTGTCATCTGCACCTGCAGCTCAACTATGTATATCTCCAGGTTTCCATTCCTTTTTTATTCATTTTCCGTTATTCATTATTAATTATAATCCGATCTTCTATCCATGAGGCTACGTAGTCCCTGTTATATAAAGGTATGATGATCGTGATGGAGTTCGATACGATTGCCTGACTCGAAATTGATCGGCAGCGGGGATGACAACATTTTGGGGTCCTTGTACTATAGAATGATGGTAGGTAGTACACTGACCAACACGTTGGCTGGGACGAAGGGCATTGATCAGGATCTAGCTCAAACTCAGGTACATTGGCCAACGGGTACATGGATAAAGTGGTGCTTGCTCCAGGTAGACTTTTTAAATACAGGAAGTTCCTAGTGAACGGAAAAATAACGGCTATCAGGCCCGTTGGACCGGCCCCCGAAAAGAGGCGAATATAGCTAACCCCTGGAGCCCCAGTCTCCAAAAAGCTAGTTCCCAACGGCCCGTAAGCCGAGAATTGCGGTATTCGCAAGTATCCTAAGATTGTTTCTTCCAATGATACTTCTCCTGATACATATATCCATCGCTCAAATCGTACAATAAGTCTTTAGCCTGACAAAGGTTGAGACAAGTTGAGAAATGCGTCTAAGAATTATGTCCAGAAATTTAAGTGCCTCAAAGTCGGCGTTTAGTATGCAAACAATGTCCACCTGAAATTAAATCCACAGGACTGTGCTTTAACCTTGTACAATTCCCCTGACTTTCTGTGACCCCCAGTGTTAAGCCGAGTGAGCCGAATATTTATGATATTGTGCTCTAGAATATCCAGGCGTAGAGGCCACCGTGGGCCAATTTTGGCGGGGGTTTTCAATCTGGTATCGGGCGACTTGACCGCCAGTATGAAACCATTGCCGTGCTTTGCTGACTTCTTCTGGTCGTGGAAAAATTGCAGGGCTCAGCCTTAGCTGAATGGTGCTCGATGGCGATGCGATCTTTATGTTGAGACCTTGCATCTCAGCCCAAAGTATGCCGTGGTGAGACCAGACGGGAACATTACTGGCGCAACCTGGTCGTGAATTGCAGACCTTTTGACACTCGCCAACACGAAGGCCAAGTAAATGTGTCCTCGATACGTCATTGAACAATAAATGCAGATCAGATGGAGAAGGGTCTGTAGGAATCGAGTCTCTCATCGGAGTGCTTTCCAATTGTTTGCGGAATATATAATGTTCTAGAGCATAATGGCGCCATGTCCGACAAGCGAGCGTCGCAGAATAAAATAACTCAATATCGAGATATAATAAAACCCCTTGTGAAAGCTCCAGAGGCAGCTTGCGCAAAGGAAGGAATTCAGACGTCATTTTGGGTGCAAAGTGATTTAAAATGAACAAACACCCCTAGGGTGTTATTAGATAAAACATTAACTCCATCATAATAGGGAATAAGAGTGAAGGTAACCAGCCCAAGGGAGATAAAAAAAAACAATTACACACAGCGTCTCGACAAAAAGAAAATTCCAGCTGAACACAAGGGTGATGCAAGGGACACCCGTTTTTTTGCCCTTTGAACTCAGGCCTCAGCCGCGCTGATCTTACCCCGTGTGCACCATTTGCTCCCAACGTGGATAGGGAATAGGCTCACATCTCTAAAAATCAAACTTTAATTCACAAAGTTCGTCAGAACACCTTCCGATCGATAGTCACGAGGGTTTATTTAGTTGAAATTTTTTTTGCATTCCGATCGACTCTCGTTGCCCCCTTGGCCTGTGGGGCCTCGTTATCGGACAGATCACGGCTGACTTCCATCAGCAAGAGACGATCGCTACCTGTTTGTTGGTTACGACTCATTTTTGTCAGATTTCTGATCAGTAACTTCCCCTATCCCAGGAAATTGGGAGGAGAACGCCCTCTGCATCGCCCCCACCAACCTGGTGATAAGTTATTTTTGAGCGCTGTACAAGTGTTAATGGATGGCGAAATGGATCTTCGGGAATGCCTTCCCGATTCAGAATGCTATCGATACTATCGATACTAGCAACGAAGATAAAGACTTACTGCACTTAGAGCGAATTACCCCTCATATGCTGGGTAGATAATATTTCCCATCGAGCCCAGCTTTTTCGATCGATGCCTTGCTTCCTCTGACTCGCGCAACATGTACGATACTATTATCATTGGCGCTGGCCTCAGCGGACTTCAAACTGCTTTAACCATCCACGAAGCAGGCCATTCTGTACTTGTCCTTGAAGCGCGTGATCGAGTAGGAGGCAAAACATGCACTGCGTCACTTGAGACAGGTGGTTGTGTTGATCTGGGTGCTGCTTGGATCAATGACACGAACCAGCATCGAATGTACAGCTATGCGCAACGCTTTGGGCTTGAGTTGATCAAGCAAAATACCGAGGGCAATGGGCTACTGCAGGACGTGGATGGAAAAATTCTTCCATTTGCGTATGGATCTACACCACCGGTATGTATATCTTTTAAGTGGTCAGGGTGTGGGGTTTGAGCTGATGTGTGGAGCAGTTTGAAAATAAATCTGATGTTCAAGATTTGGAACGGATCAGGGACTTGATCCACGATGCCTCGATCACAATCCGGGAATCACTGCTTGCAGTTTGCCCAGATCAGCTGCTCACAGAATTGGATGAGGTCACTATGCATGATTTCGTCAAACACCAGAACGCCACGGAGCGCACGATCAAGATGATCAATATTTGGACTCAGGTCATGCTTGGTGTGGACTCGAATGAGATTAGTGCTGCGAGCTTCATAGATTATTGCGCTAAGGGCGGAGGCTTGATGCAAATGCGCTCTGACAGCAAGCACGGAGGGCAGTATCTGCGCTTTCGAACGGGTAAGATAACTTTACCGTGAATCCTAAAATATATATTGACATAACACATTAGGAACTCAGCAAGTTGCTATTAATATCGCAGAGTTACTGCCACAATGTTCGATCCGTCTAATGTCAGCAGTTAAAGTCGTATCGGATCGCGGTGATCATGTGCAAGTGACAGTGGCTTCACCATATTCGAAAGAAAGCATATTCACGGCACGAAAGCTGGTCATCTCGATTCCAACTCCAATGTACAAAATGATCACATTTTCCCCAGCATTGCCGGAGCGCAAGTGGGCTGCCAGTAACAGTACCAAACTGGGGGTCTACACCAAGCTGATCGCTGTGTATCGGGAGCCATGGTGGGTTGACAAAAAGCTATGTGGCTTGATCTTGAGTTATGAAGGTCCCATTGTTGTGGCTCGAGACACGAGCAGCCCACTTGACGAACAGTATTCTCTCACATGTTTTGTGAATGGATCAGTTGGTGAAAAGTGGAGCAAGCTTACTCCTTTTAAAAGACAAGCTATTGTCTTAATGCACCTTCGTCAGATAACGGGAGATGATAGAGCCTTGGATCCAATTGATGTTCTGGAGCGCCAGTGGATGAATGAAGAGTGGAGCCAGGGAGCTGTGTGTCCTATCAGTGCACCAGGAGTCATTTCATCTGTGGGAAGTTTGTGGAAGGCACCGGTCGGTAATATCCATTTTGTGGGAACGGAGTTCGCTAGAGAGTGGAAAGGGTATATGGAGGGAGCGGTCAGCTCAGGCGAGGATGGCGCGAAGGAAGTTTTGGAGACATTGAAAAAAAAGAGGAAAGCTGTAGATGGAGAATCAATTACAGTAAACATTTAAAAAGGAGAGGTATATAGCAAGAAGTGTTCATTGAGGCTTGCACCTTGGAAATAGATATGTCTACCACATCCGTACGTAAGTACCAATTCGCCGCCACAGTGGGCGATTATAGTAAGCATCCAGATGTCGGATCTCCTTAGTTGTCAATTCTCGATGACCCGTCACCAAGTCCGCTGTTGCCGGGTCGCGCCAGGGTGTTCGAAATATGATCTTAAAGCCAATGGTTGCTGTGAAAATGAGAATCAAGCCGATCATGTTCGAGAAGAAATTGTAAGCTGTGAAGCCACCTCCAGCCTAAATAATGTCAGTCCTGTTAGGTGATGTTTCAAAAAAATTTAGAAAGTACATACCACAGGTTGAATGCTAAGATAAAGAAGACAGGCAAAAAGCATGGTCGATATAATCAACACTATTACTGGCGCAAGTGGCCAAAGATTGGATTTCCAGCCATATTGTTGATCAAAAATTGGACTTTTCTGCGCTTTCAAGACCGCCCGGAACCGAAGAGATGTGAATGCAATAATCGCCCAATTGACAAAGAATGATGCACTCGTGATAGAGATGAGCCAATTCAGAACTTTTAATCCACCAGCTGTATCATATCGCACAGGTTAGCAATCGTTGATAGAGCAATCATAGTAAGGGTTTGAACCATACCACTTAAGCCCATATATGTCAAAATAATAGCTACAGCAGCGGTAATCGCGAGCGCCCATCTAGGCCGGCCCCTTTCATCAACCTTGGCAATGAAAGAAGGAAGAAGTCTCTGGTGAGCCATAGTTCGTAAGATTCTGGAAGGTAGGAAAATACTCTCCATGGCAATTGCTGTGACACCAATGATCATGCAAGCATTGATCAAATCCGGAACTCCTTTAATTCCTGCACCCTGGACCGCAATTACAAACGGAGAAGCCGCTGCTCCGGAACCACCTAGGAGGTTCTTATCGGTTGAAGGCACAATGATGGAAACGAGCACGACCGAGACAAGGTAGAAAACTCCAACTCGCCAGGGAACCAAGTTTGCTGAATGTGCCATTGACCAGCGAGGTGACTCGGCCTCTCCTCCCATGACACCAATAAATACCTGGTCTCCAGTCGCCCAAATAGCGAGAATCGCGGCATTGGCAAATCCCTGTTACAGTATATTAGTGTCTATGACCTCTGTACACGCAAACATTAGGACATACCCCAAACCCATTTTTAAAGGCAGGCAAATCGGTCCAGGTGCTTCCGTTGCGCACATATCCATCAGGGCCGGCCCCACCAATGATAGCCAAAGAGACGATGACGATGAATAAGAACAAGAAGACTTTTACCATTGAGCCGAAGTACTGAAGCCATCCGAAGATCTTGTTGGGCATGAAGAATACGACGAGACAGATGACCAGAAAAATGCTCACTGTACAAAAATCAGTTCCACTGACTTTGTCTCTAAGAATCAGTATTTACTCACGCAAAGCAGCCTCTGGAATTGTATCACCAGACCAATAGTTGACCAAAACGACGAAAAATGTTGCTTCGGATGCAAATACAGATGTCCATCCTAATCATCGTTTGTCAATTCACGGTCCCATTCATTGCCATAATACCTACCAAGCCATTCTGCAAGTCCAGCTCCAAAAGCCAAGGCTGGGTCCACCCATCGATCAGCATAGTCTATATAGTTCCCCGAAGTGGGGAACGCGATAGTCATCTCCGTTAGGCATTGAAGATTAGCCCAAACACCGATGCAGACAATAAGGTAGCCGATAAACATGCTTCCAGGGCCTCCATCTGCCAAGGCCTTTCCAGTAGCAATGAAAAGGCCACTGCCAACATTTGATCCCAGAGAAATGACCTGTTCAGGACGTGTCAGCATTCATCATGCGTCTCCGCTGCGAAGTGGACTTACGTGGATCATCCGTGGAGTCAAAGTCCGATGAAAATTGCCATTTCGCTGCGAATCTACATCAACATGCCCTTCTTGGACTGAAGTGACGGGGTTCAGATAGGTTTGATTATCTTCGGCGAAGCCATCGCCCTTCAGTTTATCATCCATATCGGTATTCCTACAATTCAAGAAATAAGCAATAACGACTCGAGTTAGGAGTAGAAATGGAGCAAGGAAGCTTTTTAAATGGTGCATAATCTCAGAATTCCTCTCGGTGGCTATCTAGTTTGGACTTCGGTCTGGCCTTCCCAAAACAACCCCCCGCAGTGATAAGAGCTGGGCGAGCCAACTACGATATCAATTTACAGACCACATAGCTAGAAATCTAACTCGTCAGATCTCTTCACTTCCTTGCCGCTTTTTTATCTTGAATTTTTCCCCCTATCGACCGAAAGATATGACCCTCTCAGCGGACAACAATGTCTCCGCCACGAAAGCCACAGGGTTTGCGGCTTTGTCACAATGAACCCCCCTCCCTGGAATTCCCAAGAATGTTTGTTCAATAATATGGTCGGCGCATTCATATTTTTGCGAGACCTGGATTCGTTGAGGCAAGGGTGGGACACATTACCCTGCGCAATCTTGAAACCCCCGATTTTTCCTCGACAAACCTGCGAGAGAAAATAGAACTGAGTGAAATATACTCGAAGGAAGCTGGCTTGATATAGTACTGGAGACTTGGACTTCACTTTGGCCTTATTAAACCCTCTGACATGATATTTATCAGCGAGGAGGGCGTTGCAGGGCGTGGTAACATGACTCGCCCGGCAAACGCCGCCGGATTCTTAATTCATAGTGCGATCCATCGGGCGCGACGAGACGTGAACGCCGCATGCCACTTCCATTCCACGAACGGAAAGCCTTGGACCCTTTCTATCCAATCCCTTGAAATGCTCAACCAAATTATTTTTACATTCATTGCCCGACGCAAAGTGTCTACAGTGAGTTTGGAGGTGCTTTTATAAAAGAGTCTATTTGCTGAACTTCAAGTATCACACATTCTAACTCCACACAGGGCGATCCCTTTCCACCGGAGACACGGCGCTGTTCAAATCTAATGGGCCGCAGCAAGACAGCCAGAGAGCAGTGGCTCATCAATCCACTAGTCCGCACTCTCAATGCGAAATTCGTGGACAAGTCAACATCGAATTTTTAGGGCGAGACAAAACACGTACACGAGTGAAGCAATATGCTCAATCGCGATGGCATTTGACGTGGGACCTGGCGCAAAATGACGTGGGACCCGGCGCAAAAGCTCAACGATTACACCGAGGCGATAAGAATTATCACGTAGATCACGAGGGCTAGACCTCTTCAGGCTATCGCGTCGGCTGCGATGTCAGGATGGCATTCATGATCCCTGGCATGAAACCTACAGGGGATAATGGCACAATCATAGCTATTCCTAGCAGTCACGTTTGGGGTTCCAATCGAGCGCCCAAGCCTCACGAGACCTGCGCTGATGGATGTCACCGATTGCTGGGTCATGCTGGGCGGGTTATATCACGCTGGAGGCACGAATATTACGGCAAGTGAGCGTCGGATCCTCCAGGGGATGTTTTTCACACCTGGATACCATCGACAAGAGGAGAATACTTATCTGGCCAACTCCGCCGAGGAAGTCCTTGCATGGGCACCCGCGGTTCAGAGGGCTATGGGCTTTGAGTTGTCGAGTCCGAATATCGGATATGTTGAATTAAAACCTCCATTGCAGTATATGCGGGGTGTGGAAGTTGACACATTTGGAGACTTCGACCCCTCTCGGGAGAGTCGGGCTGACCGACAGGCTCAGTTGAATAGATAATTGTTTAGATAGTAAACATTTGAACGAACATGATAGCCTGATTGGCAGCTGAGATCCCGGTAAGAAGATAGCGCGGAAGTCAAACATCGATTAGGGAAGGTATGTCCGACGGCCCTCTCTTCTTCATACATAGACCTTCAAAATACTCTCGCTGGCTAAATTAAATCAACCATTTAGCTATGACCGTGTCGGACAAAGCTCAAGTTCTCCTCGTCGGCTGTGGCGGAGTTGGTGTGATCGCGGCGCTTAACCTGGAAAGTAGCGGGCGCGCTGCAGTCACCGCAGTTCTTCGATCGAATTATTCGAAAGTAGTATCCGAAGGCTTTCACATACAATCATGCGACCATGGAAAAATCCACGGCTGGAGGCCCAGTAAAGGTGAGAGCATTGAGTAGTTTGACTCTGTTGATCCAAGCTGATGAATGGATCAGTGGTGAACCAGATCCCCGCGCCCTCTGAGACCGAGTTCGATTATGTGGTCATGACAACCAAAAACACTCCAGATCAGCCCCCGACTGCAGCAGAGTTGATAGAGCCCGCTGTGATTCCAGGAAAAACCACTATCGTCCTCATTCAGAACGGATTGAACATCCAAAAGCCATTCTTGGACAAATATCCCAACAACATCTGCCTTTCAGGAGTCAGCCTCATCGGGTCCCACGAAATAGCTCCAGCAGTCATCGAGCACGAAGAAGCTGATCGGCTTATCGTTGGGGCATTCCGAAATTCAAATCTCTCAATAGAAAAAGAAGATGCGAAAGCACAAGAGTTCATCAAAATGTACTCCGATGGCGGCAAGACAGATTGCTCGTTCACTTCCGATGTTCCGTTTCATCGATGGCGGAAACTGGTCTACAATGCCTGTCTCAACCCGATCTGTGCAATCACGGGACTGGACACAGGGCGCATTCGTCTCGCGGATGATACTGTTGAAACGCTTTTGCGACCGGCCATGAAAGAGCTTGTGGCCGCTGCCAAGGCCGCGGGGGTCCTTCTTCCTTCGGGAATCGAGGATTGGACGATCAATGTCGACCCTCTGACGATGTATTTCCAACCGAGCATGCAGGAGGATGTCCAAAAGGTAGAGTCATCTTCTTTGGAGTCGAGTTTTTGCTAAATATATCCAGGGCAATCTTGTCGAGTTCGAGACATTAGTTGGCGAACCGTTGAGAGAAGGCTTGTCGCGCGGCGTGCCAATGCCAACATTGACCTTCCTATACCACACTCTAAAAGCGATGCAATGGAGGCTTAAAGAGCGAAGAGGATTGATTACCATTCCTGAGAAAGGCGACTATCTCAAGAACGGTTATTAGTTGCATCATCTAGTATTCACCATGTTGGTAGGTTGTGCTAAGGTTCTATTAAAATCGGCTCCGACAGGTAGTATATATCAATTTAAACTACAATATCATTCCAAAGTGTTGCATACTCCAATTCCGTATAACCTGGGTGATTGGCATTCACTGTACCCAGAGAAGAGTCTCCATTAAAAGCAAAGAATCGCATGCCATGAGTTTCCTCGGCTGCATAAAGACGAGTAGAAATCGCCGTGCGACCGTTCACGAATATTTCGAGAACCGAGTTATCGCGCCAAGCACGAATATCCAATGTCTCAGTGCATTCTTCATTGGTATCCGGGTTGCGTGTCGTAAACAACGTGTGTGGTGCTACTTCAGGCGAAGAGTTGATCAACAGAGCTGAGCCTAGGCCTGGAAATGAAGGTCGATTGATTGTAAATGTCTCGCGCAGTGGTTCAAAAATCATCGTCGTCGAGTTGGCAAAGTCTGTAGTGTTAGCGCGGCTCATAATAGAAATGCGTGAATGATCTGGCTTACCTCTTGTGTGACCGATCGAAACTCCAACCTTGGAGCACGAACCGGAAATCTTGAAGGAGCATTCAAGCTCCCAGTGAATGCTTCGTGGTCCATTCCATGGGAGTTCAATTTCTTGTCCACTAGGCTCAAATGTTGTTTTTCCTACACAATACTGTCGAACATTTGGTGCGTGTCGAAGATGATTGACCAAGGGCTGGTAAGGCTCGCTGGCTAAAGTTCGAACAGTGAATGTTCCGTTCTCCTCTTTCTTCAGATCGACAGAAGTGATTGATGAAAGTATTGAAACCAGAGCACCTGTCACGCTGTGCACTGTCTGTATCTGTATCTGACGGGGCATCGACAACGTTCCGCTCCAGCCTTGCTGATGACGGATTTCATCACAAAGATCTTCCTCGGTGATCCAACCCCAGTAGATGTGCCTCTGACTCCTTGGGTCGAAGAATGAATTGGCGGCATACAAGCACCCATGGTCAAGATGGCCTCCAAAGTCATAAGACATGGTGACTTCATCGGAATCATTAATCTTCTGAAGGCATCCAGACATCCAAAGTTGCCCACGACTTGGACGTGACGGGCCTCCATCTCTCTTGGATCCTTCTGAGTTGTCCTCAAGACAGCCTTCGATACCCATGATAAGGAGCTCATGACTGATAGACACATCCGTCTCATCGTTCAGAGTCAAGAAGTTTGTCACCTCCCAGTTCTTGCCCAAGTCGCCGGACCACCTTGATGGTCTAAAATTTAAGCCAAAGTTTGTGAGCGGGCTGATGTAGGCCCAGTCTCCAAGATCTTCCGAGCTGATCTTGTATAGGAAGGTTGTGGGCGTAACACCACGGATACCTCCCGAGACAACACCGAACAATGTCCCTGAATCCAGCCCCAGAGCTTTACTCATGTTGGGCCATGGAGCACAGAAAGGATCCCTCCAGCCGGTCACGTCAAGACCAGCCGGCTCACCGGGCAAGGTGGGATTTCTTTCACTTTTGTTCCAAGTATCGCCATGATCAAAAGACGTTGCAATGCTTAAAGTCTCACATCCTCGTTGATGTGGCAGCGTATGATGGATGGGAAGCGCGCTGACAGAGGTGTAGATATAGTTCAAAGAACCGTCCTTCAATTTGACAAAGCACCCAGTAAAGACGCCTTTTGAATCATAGCTATTGTTTGGCTGGAGGATAGGCTGGTCTTGAATTTCCCAATGAATCAAGTCTCGCGAAGTCGCAGTTCCCCAACAGATATCACCCCAATCGGGGCCATTGGGGTTCCACTGGAAAGAGACATAATATAAACCGGTGTCGGGATCATATCCCGGTGCGCAGGGATCATTCATCCATCCCGTGTGAGGCATCAGGTGGTACGAGGGACGCCACCGTGTAAAACTTTTGGCGGTATTTAGGATCTGGACGCTCAAGTCCTCGGGAGTAGTTACCCCAGTTGACCCATCAGAGGCTGGTCTATGCGAGGTTTCTCCGGAGCTTGATGGACTTGTCATTATGAAAGGGAAAATTAAAACAGGACATGATGGGATCAAGGGATATTCCTGCTTGCTTAAAAGTTCAACAGCTCTGCTCATTGAAGCGGCAATATAGCGGGAAATTCCGTCAATAATGGTTTCGCCGAGATTTTCCCGGGGTCCTCCAAAGTTTCTCCCGTATTCCTGACTCTTGAAATTCCCCTGCGGAATCAAATGAGCTCAACCGGAGATACTGTGGAAGGTTTGAACTTGTTATATCGCCGAGGATGCTCCACAGAATCACCTCGAGCTTCATTCTGGAGTCCTGACCGCTGGGTTTCCCCGTGGGGTTTGACACGGAGCGAATCTTGAAAGACATAAAATGCCAATATGCTCCACCTGAAAGCACCTATCTTGGAGGAAACCCCAGCTTTGTACTACTTCTTTCCCTTTACAAGCCATGGACTCCTCAAACAAACACATAGAGGCTGAAAAGCCAGGCATCGCTCATGTTGAGTCTCTGTCGGATCCTCTGCCCGCCAAATTTGAGGATCATCATATTCCTGCAATGACACCAAAGGAACAATGGCGCCAGCTTTGGGGGGCCATCAAAGCGGAAAAACGATTCTGCATATGGACGCTATATACCATGCTCCTCGTCTTCAGCTGGGGATACGATGCTGGCCTTTCTGGTGTGGCCATTGCTTTCCCAGAATTTCGCAAAGCCTATGGCAATTACTATGCCGCTGGCGATGAATATGTGATTCCTGCCTTGTGGCAATCGCTCTGGAATGCAGCATCAACAATCGGACAAGTCTTCGGCGGTTATGCTGCCGGGCAATTCGCGGACTTTTGGGGTCGAAAGTTCCTGCTCTATACTGCGGTCGCTATCTCACTTAGCTCATCATTTGCATTGGTCTTTGCACCAAATCTGCCTGTTCTTTTTGTATCCAAACTTCTTCTCGGACTATCTGTCGGGCTCTCCACAGTAATCCCTCCACTTTACGTTACTGAAAACGCACCAACAAATCTACGCAGCACGGCATCGTCTCTGACCAACATGGTTATTGTTTTCGGACAATTCTGCTCATCGATAACTGGCTATGGTGCGTCTGGCATCCAGGGCGTATGGTCTTTCAAGCTTGCCTTCGTCATGACGTTTATGATGCCTGGTATTTATCTTTGCGGCCTGCCATTTCTTCCTGAGAGTCCAGTATGGTACGTAAAGAAAGGCCGTGAAAATGACGCTCGCAAAGCCATCACTAGGCTCTATGGTCCTGAAGCCGACGTGGATACCTGCGTTGAGACAATCAAGACCGAATTGAGGCAGACAGAAAGTGAGGAAAACGACGCCAGTCAGACAAGCTGGAAGAGTATCTTCACCAAGGAGCACAGATCACGTACCTTTGTTGCCGTTCTTGGCCTTCAGTCACAGAATTTCAGCGGAGGTTACTTTGCGAATACTTATCAAACCTATTATTTCCAATTGATTGGCCAAACCGACTCTTTTCAATTAACTGCAATCTCATCATCCTTGCAACTTCTCTCCAACTTTGTGGCGGTTTGCTTCTCAGATGTCATTCCACGCAGAAAAGGGCTTATCGGCGGGGGTACATTACTCATGTTTTGGTCTGTCATCATTGCCGGAGTCTCCATGGCACCAACAACAAATACATCCGCCAGCATCGCTCTTCTTGCATTCATGATCACATGGTCTATGTTATACACCGCCACAGTTGGATGTTACGGATGGGCTGTGGCCCAGGAAACTGCTGCTCAGGCTACTCGCCCTAAGACAATCTCCTTCGTGTTGATCTGCCAGCAGCTAACGGCACTGCTCCTTTCGTCTATCTTCCCATACTTTATCAATCCGGATGAGCTCAATTGGGGTGGCAAGGTCATGTTCCTGTTCGTAGGAGCCGAGCTGTTCATTATGGTCGGTCTTTACTTTTTCCAACCGGAGACTAAGAACCGATCGTATACGGAAATTGATGCGCTATATGCTAACAAGGTGCCACCCCGCAAGTTCAAGGACTTTGCTCTTGTGGATGGTCACGTTGTTGAAAATGCGCGAAAGAATGGTCTTCTCCGTCGGTTTATTGGCAAAAACAAGCATGTGAGAAGGAGTCTTTGTTGAACCCATTCTTCGAGAATGTATTTGAGTAGGGCCAGTGAGCGTCTAGAGTAGGTAGGTATGTTTCATAGCTAGCTTCAATCATTCAAGTCTTCATTACGGAAATTAGGATACAGCTGAAATATGTTAGCACGTCAAACTTTACTGGCAGCCATCAAAAAACGGCAATCTGGTGACAAGAATCGTGTCTGTGATTCTAATTTGGAATAACACAATTTGTCTTGTTGGCCGGAGACTTTCTATGATCATAATACTAGTACAGAGATCAGATCACCTCATAGTTAACCCCGAGGTCTGGGCCTTGGCAAATGGGCAGCAGTGTCCGAAGAAAGAGCTTGAATTTCAATGCGGAAAGGCTGTTTTGACCTATCGTGAGGGGAAGCTGCACATAGTTATATGCACTAAGTCTTGTTTCGCTAGCCTCGCGGAAGATATAATCTATGGAGACTATTACGCCATAACACTGACTCCCCCTCTCTTCAAATGTCATGCGATAAGAATCTTCCGAAACTTGGGCATTCACCCAAATGAAGTGAGACATGATGTTTTTTTTACCAGTTTACTCATGTTATCAAGTCATTATGTTACATCTTGAAAATATGGAGCAGCAGAGACTACAAATGAAAGCTATCAATAGGGCTTGGCAATACAAGGCAACGGAGCTGGAATATGCCCAAGCACGAGCGATTAAAGAGTTAGACGATGGACCAGAAGAACTGGGGCGAGGATACCAAGGTGATCAATCTGCATTGGGCGGTCATTCCTGACGGCAAGAAAGCAGGCTCGATGGTTATGGAACTGGATTCCCATTCCCTAGTTGCGGCGAATAAGGCCATTGACCTGAAATCCCTGCTTGGTGATAGCTATCTGACCACGGTCTTATATGGCCGGGCTGCTCGTAGTCGACAATGTCACCGGTGTCAACAATTTGGACACATAGGATCAACCCGTCCTAACGGAGCCAAGTGTGTGTTCTATGCCGACGAGCACCTTTCTCGGGAGTGCGAGCGGTACAAGAATAGTCTTCGTATGGAACAGAAGTGCGCCAACTGCGGGGGCGTATATCTATTTTCGTGCTTCCCCCGCGGAAACACGTATTAAGTGTATCATAGAGGATACTGAAACCGCATACAGATAAGATAATACGTATAGGTTTAGGGCAATTCCTGTAAAAGATTAAAGAAAGGGAATTAGATCGTTATAGCTATAAGTAGGGATCTCAAATACTAAGATATATCCTATTCCAGTGTCCGCTATATAACGATCTGCGCGGATCTATACTTAATAAGATCATTCGTACCGATCTTAGAGACACTACAGACTACGATATAACCGTGTCCCACGTACGCACGGCCCGCTACGTCAGGTCTGATTTTGTGTAGGTTTTCTATACTTAGGACTTGGATTTAGAACACTCTTTTCTGTGCCGGCCTCCTGCAGAAGGCCGGGTTTTCCTTTAAATTACTATTTATTGCAAGCCGCGAGTCTGGAGTTAAGAACACCAAGTTCTGCTTCGGATTTGGACGAAGCGCCTGCATAGCCTCGATGCACCTAGTTAGGCTCTATCAGGTTAATAGAGCTTTCATTGATTGATCAATAAGAAAATTAAAACGATGGCGTGTAGCTGTGGACTTGTACTAGCAAGTGACGCGATCGCAAAGACTTATGGGATCATTTCTTACGTTTGCTCATATAAGTCCCTTTTTCTCGTGGCTTTGCTAGATTAATCAGGTTGGGGGCAGAACGCTCGAAGAGAATCTACACATCTTTCGATTTATCTTCCAAGGTATGTTGTTGAATTTTCCTTATAATATACCAAGCAGTTATCCATAATCATTTCCTCTTCTTGACCCAGCCAGTAAAATCTTCAACATAAGTTTGTATAATGTTGACCTACCCTATCGGTTGCCATGGATTCCTCGGATATGCTCATCGGCTTGGAACCCCCGTTTAAATGAACTTGTTTTGAACAACCATGTGATTTTTCACCGCTAAATCATGATACACCCCTCGGGTTGGAGGCTGTAACCGGGTATTGGGTTGAGATGCGGTAGGACCTCTTGAGTACTATCGGAGATTCTTCGGATAAACTATGCACGAAGTCAACCTACAATGAAGCATAGGCCTCTTCGTATAGTCGCCTCTCCCCATCCATTTATCCGATATGTCTCCAGATTCCTCCCGGATTCTCCCCAGATTACCCCAGGTTCTGCACTAGTTCGACAACCTCGATGCAACGATCAAGAAAATGAAGGACCATGGTTGCTCTTTGCTATATATTGGGAACAACGATCTCCACCACTTTTTCTTCTTCCACCCCTTCTTCTACGCGCGTTTTACGCCCCCGAACCAATATTTCAATCCTTTGAAGCCACGATTCAAGCTTCATACATTCCACAATGAGCTTTCATTCCATTGAAAAAGCTTGGTGGAAAGAAGCGGTAGTCTACCAAATCTACCCCGCAAGCTTCCTCGACAGCAACGGCGATGGCCTCGGCGACATCCCCGGCATTGTGAGCAAAGTGCGCTACATCAAGTCACTAGGCGTTGACACAATATGGCTTTCACCCATCTTCGCCTCACCCCAAAAGGATATGGGCTACGACGTCGCCGACTACCGTTCAATCCACGCCCCCTACGGCACAGTCCAAGATGTCCAAGACCTCATCGACCAACTACATGCACAGAAAATGCGAATACTCATGGATCTCGTCGTCAATCACTCGAGTGACCAACATGCCTGGTTCAAAGAGTCTCGCAGCTCCAAGACCAATCCCAAGCGAGACTGGTACATCTGGCGCGATCCCAAATACGATGAGCAAGGGAACAGAAAAGAGCCTAATAACTGGAAATCCATCTTTGGAGGGAGTGCCTGGGCTTTCGACGAAAATACTAGCCAGTATTATCTCGCTCTCTTCTTACCCAGTCAACCAGATCTGAACTGGGAGAGTGCTGAAATGCGCAAAGCAACACACGACGACATGCGCTTCTGGCTCGATCGCGGCGTCGATGGATTCCGCATTGACAGCATGAACTTGATGTCTAAACATCCCGATCTACCCGATGGAAAGGTAATCAACGACGAGCCGTACCAGTCTGGCGCGGAATTCTTCGCATCTGGTCCAAAGATGCACGATTATATCCGCGAGATCAGGACTGAAGTCCTGGACAAATATGACGTTATGACTGTCGGCGAGCTGGGATTCACGAAGGACGAATACTCAGTTAGTCAATATGTTGCCAAGGACAGACGTGAGCTCAACATGCTTTTCACGGGCGATATTGTCGATATGGACTTTGGAGCGAGCGGGAAGTATGAGCGCAATGATTTTCATCCGAGGAAGATTCGAAAAATCACGGATCTTTGGCAGACCGCTATGCCTAGATTTGATGGGTGGAATACTGTCTATCTTGACAACCATGATAGCGGGCGCTCGCTATCTCGCTATGCATCTGATTCCCCGGAGCACCGCGCGATGGCGGCCAAGATGCTTGCTACATATCTTATGACTCTGAGCGGAACACCTTTTATGCTTGCGGGTCAGGAGATCGGGATGGCGAACCTGGGTAAGGAGTATGGTGCCGAGTCCTACATCGATGTTGAAGGCAAGAATTACTATAAAGGAGTTCTGAAAGCTCGAGGCGGCGATGTTAGCAAGATGAGTGATGTACTCCGGGAGTTGCAGCTCAAGGCGCGAGACCATGGACGACTTCCTATGCAGTGGAATGATTCGCCTAATGCGGGCTTTACGACGAGCGAGAAGGCGTGGATGACTATCAACAAAGATTACACCGAGTGGAATGTTGCCAGTCAGCTTGATGATCCAACTAGTATCATGGCATACTGGAAGGCAATGATTGCGCTACGCAAGGAATACCCCGATCTCTTCGTTTACGGATCGTATGTTCCATTGCCCGAGTCCGAGACAGGCGAGATGATTCTCGGGTATGAACGATACTCGCAAGAGATGAGACAGAAAAGTGTTGTGCTTTTGAACTTCTCCGATCAAGTGCAGAAGGTGGGCGTGGAGAAGTACAAGGGATTCTCGACATTGATTTCCAACCAGGGCGGGGATACTTACAAGGGAAGTCATGTTGAGCTGAGAGCATTCGGTGCTGTGGTACTTCTTAGGACATAGGTGATAGACCGACGTGTCTCATTGCAGGAAGTCGAATGTGGATATCAAAGTATAGGAAAATGGGAAACAGTTCCACGGCGGGCACCCAAGCCGGCTTAGTGCTTATCCTCACCTAATCGACCCGCAAAGTCTGCTCCCGCAACGTTCTATAACATATTGAACCTCCCAAGCCCATACCTTTCAATAACATTCACCGCAATTGAACCAAAACTCCGTCAATATGGCCGACATTCTACCCCGCCAGCCAGTCAGCGTGATTGTCCCACCAGTGGCCCCAAACATAGAAAGTGACCGACTGCTTCTCCGCCCCGTCACCGACTCCGACATTCCCGCTCTATTCGCCGTTCGCTCGAGACCAGAAGTAGCTCGATTCAAGTAAGTAGCCCGCTTCGTTCTTCGAATACTTCAAAATATTGAACACTCGAGAGAATTAAAAGAACCCCCCCCCCAATCCTAACACAAACTATCCAGCCATCCCAAAACCCCGTTCAAAACACACGCCGAAACGCGCGAATGGGTTTCCAGTAAAACATTCACTTCTGGAACTTCCGACACAATCGGCCGTTCCTTTAACTACGCCATTTGCGATAAATCACAGCCTGGTGTCCCCCTTATCGGGTACTTGAGTATCAATGTGGTAGTCCCTTGTCCCGAGATCGGGTACTCGCTTCTTCCCGAGACGTGGGGGAAGGGGTATGCAACGGAGGCACTGCGGTTGATGCTGAGTGTTTGGTGGGGGTTGCCTAGGAGGACGTGGGGTGATGAGGAGGAGGAGGAGGAGGAGGAGAGGCTTTATGCAATTAGTCAGAGGGGGAATTTGGGGAGTTGTGCGGTCTTGAGGAAGTGTGGGTTTGTGGTTGATAGGGAGGTTGACTTTGAGGGAGATGAGCTTTATGTTTGGAGTGTGCGGAGGCCGTGATGGGTTCAAATGCTATATGTTGGGTCATGGTTGTAGTTACGGAAGGTGAACTGAGGGTGTATCTATAATTGTAAGGAAGAAGGATCGATTGAATATAATAATCACTGTCTACAGACCTACGACATAAGCACACTCTAAATAGAGAGACCACGTTCTGTGTCGGTAGTCCTCGATGCATATCATTTGACGAGCTCAAACCCCAGAAATGACGGGAAAAAACGCATTCTGATGCCACAGCTCGTATACATAGGAACGCACAAAAACTTCAAAAAGCCGCTGGGGAATATATAGAGAGAAAAAGAAATAGGAGAATTCGGATCGTACCATGTTAGCACAGTCTGGAAACGGAGACATCCGGAAAGAAATTGACAAGGGACAAATGAGAAACGATGAGTCAGACCAAGATAGGAAATATAACCAGAATAGACTACCTATTGACCATTGCGAAAGTGTTCAGGAACCTGCGGCACAGAGGGCGGAAGGCCAGACTCGGTCTCGTCCTCGTCTTCCTCCATTTCGTCCAGTTCTTCCGGGTGCCTATGGACAGGATGAGATGTTAGTCGCGATGAGACCAGAGATGGAAATGGAAAGGGGATCGAAAAGAACATACGCAAGTAAATCCTTAATGTTACTCATCTCATAATGCTTCTTGCGATGTTCCTCGAACTGGCGATGTTTCTCCTTCGACTCCTCAGACGTCACGAGACCATCACCATTCTCCGCGCCAACCTGAACATGCTTCTCGCTTTTATGCGAATCCGTGCTCATGCTCCGATCCCGGAAAATCCGAGGATCGGATGGATCGGCGTCAGCGAGGGAATTCTCCTCCGGCTCGCCGAGCTCCAGGTCCGGAATCTCGTCTTCCGAGACACCCTTCTTGTGCGCCTTGGCTGAGCGATCCAGTTCATCGACGAGAACGCCCTGTGCGTTGATCAAGCTCTCTTGTGCTTCCGCTTCGCGGATCTCCTTGTCATCTGCGGTCGGGTCGTAGTGCGGGGCGTAGGGTGTTTTGGGTTCGTCGATCTTCATCTTTGCCGTGCGCTCCTGTTCTGTTAGATACAGGTTTGCCTCGTCCCACTTTAGACGAGGATTATTCTCGTCATCGTGGGCGCTGGCCAGGGACTGGCGGCGGGAGGAGCCTGGTCGGGCGTTGGAGGATGACCGGCGGCGGCCAGCGTTCTGCAGGGTGTTTTGCAGAGTGAGGTCTTTGGTGTCGCCTGTTTCGGGTATGGCAGGGATGGTGGGTGGGCTGAGAGCTGCAGCTGCGGGTGCTGTTGTGTAGGAGTGAGAGTTCTTCAGGATGCCTGTATCGCGAGACATGAGTCAGGTAAAATGAACGAATTCCAGATGTTGGAGCTTGTTGAGGCTCTGACTTGGATAGCTTACCTCTCGGGCGTACATGCACATCATCGGCGCTGTTTGTCTTGGCCGGCATATGCGGTGCGGTCGTCATCGTGGGTGGTAGGAGAAGATGAAGAGTGCCCTCCGATTTTCAAGTGGGGGTAGACACAGGAGGGGTAAGGTGGGGATGGTAGAATAGTGTGATGTTGTGTCAGGCGTTCTGTCAGATGAATGCTCAGCTGAAACCCAGGTGAGTCAGAAGTAGCTCGCGTCAAGATTATTAGGCACAAGCGCAAAGCACAGACAAGACAGAGCCACGAGTCAGGTGTGAGATGAGGTTAAAGAAAGGCGGTGCGTGGGGCATGACGTCGGCCTTGGCGCCTGACGTTTTTGGGTACAGACGTGGGGAAATCCTACCTTATCTCGGCCATCTCGATCTATCTTTCTTGTCTACTCGGGTATAGCTGTGAAGATCAGGTTCATCTACTGTTTAGAGAAGCAAAAGTTGTCATTCATGCATCAAAACAGATACAGGCTTCCCGGTCTTTCAAGGACAACGCCGTGGGTCGACATGAATCTGAACAGAACTCTAACACCAGATGAATCGCCCGAAATGGGTGGGTATCTGTATATGCAAAGAATAATAATCAAGGCCTGCCTCGTACAAAAGAAAAACAAATAATATCAAAAAATGGAACATGAGATCATGCAATAGAATCGAACTCTTCTCGCTCGCGGAGTCGATTACGCGCGAGCGTGTCGCCTCCGCTCGCGGATAACTGCATCCAGTGCAGCGCTATACACATACTCTGCGGATCGGACTTGGAGTCCTTGCCGCGCCGGTACATCATCTCTGCTTTGAAGGTGTCCCGCGGTCGAGTGAGTGGGAGGGTCACACGAGGAAGCAGCTCAGGGTGTGTGAGGTAGAGGATGGCCAGCTCTCGCTGTGCGACTGGGTTTCCTTCTTTGGCGGTGATGATCCACATTGAAGCTGCGTCCTCGATGGCATGGCCGGGTCGGGGATAGAAGTCAGACCCCGGGAGCGGGTGTCGTCGCACAAGTTCTTGGGACACAATGCGATCTGCAATCTCGACCATGCTGTGACAAACCTCGTCCTTGAGACTTAGTGCAGCGAGACCAAATTGAAGGAATGCCGTGCCGCGGTCGGTCTTGCTGAGTTGGTCCCCGGGAACAAATGCAGAGATGAATTGCAGATCACGGAAGAGGGTCTTGGGTTTCACATCTAGGATCAGGTCACGGAGCGTGGCTACTATCTGGTCCTCGGACGGAGCAGAGTAATCCGACCTTCTGGAGCCACAGGTGACGGAGTCGGGTGGTGAGCATGTATTTACCGCCGTTTCCGTTTGTGGCATGGCTGTTATGTGACTTTCTGAGAAGCTGTGGCGGGTGCGTTGCCGAGGTCGGGCGCAACGGCTTCGCGCCAAGTCATCATCGCCAGCCGGTCCGGGAATTGTGCCATGTGCTCCAGCATCGTGTGCTGAAATGAGTGAAGCAACTACTAATGATCGCAGATCACGTAGTGCATTCAATTTGACAAAAGGGTTGCCATGACGCGAGAACACTTCAATCAACCGGTGGAAGACAGCTTTGTACGAGAAGGCAGCTTCATCTTCAGTTTGAGATGACTGTTCGCTATTGGTCGGCTTCGTACTGACGGTGCTCCGAACGCACATAACAGGGGGATCCAGAGACCTGCTCCGTCGACCCCCAGATGGTCTTCGCTCACGAAGATGCTTGGACCGTTCATCATAGTCAGAGTAGAATTTCTGAATAGCAGCACGCCTCTGCATCTGCACTCGAATGCGTGTTTGGTCCAGTGTATTCGTAAACCAGGCATCCGTCTCACTACCACAGCTCCACACCGGCGAGCCTAAGTCGCTCAGCAATAGGCTAGTCAAGGTTTGACGTAGGTCGTCCATGAAAGTTGTTTTGCCATGGGTCTTGCGCTCAGCGCGACGAGGTTGTCGAGTGGCAGTCTCGCTGAACATCGAAGGCGGCCGTGAGTAAGCACTCGACACGCTAGCCGCATACATGGGATGTCGTTGTGGTAGGGACCAGAAAGTGCTGCATGTGTCTCCGGTCGATGTCGAGGCGGCTCTTGTTGGGGAACCTCCGATGGAAGACACATCAACCGAAGGGACGTCTCTTTGCGATCGATATTTATCAGAGGTCAGACTCTGAATAGAAGGCTTGTTCCCTAGAGACGGAATGTCCTGTGCGAGGCGAGATAGGGGATCGGGTAGGGAGACGTTTCCATAGAAGTGAGAAGACTGAAGCGGGTCCTCGCTAGTAGTTGTAGAAGGCCGAGGAGTTGTCGGCATTGAGAGACCAGGAAAGGTGCGGGTTCCATAGCCTTCGTATCTTGCTCGTTCTCGCTGGAATAATTCACTTGCCCAAAGCACCGGGGTTTCCGACATCGTTCCACCAACAAGACGATTGATGCTAGTTCGAACCTCATAGCAAAACCGGTGGATTCGCTCCTCGCCCTTGCAGAAGTTCTCAATTGCATTGTGGGCCAGCCACTTGCGAGTGAGTTCAACTTGCTCGTCGGACAACTTCTTCGGACCACCTTGGCTGCTCGGTGCTTTCATCATGTTCATGACCTGCAACTCGGGCTTCTGGAACAAGGAGCCTCCGAGTGATCGTGCTCCGCGAGATCGCGTGTCTTCATAGTCGACAGGCATTCTCGCCGGGTATACCATAGTCTTCAGAGCCATTGCCACATGTCTAGCTTCTTCGTAGCGCATGGAGTTCTTCACATCGGTCATGTACCACATCTTGTTGCGGACCTTGGCGATTGTGCCCATCAACTCTTTAATCTGCGCTTGGAGTTGCCTTAAACTTTGATCAAGAGATACAAAGTCACTCTCACAGCGTTCAATCACGGCCCGTGACTTGTTCAAAGAACGAATACATGAATTGTGCATAGGGCCCAGGATCCAAGAATCGTCTGCCCGAGAAGAATCGGACAGACCTTGACGGAGTTGTCTCGATGCATTCCACCAGTAGTGTGCTCCCACAAAGTCAGAATAATGATGAGTAGACGCCATGGCCTGATTAAAACGGTGCTTCAACGTGAGCGGACTCGACCGTAAAGAAGCGGGCAATCGATCATGATCGTCCGAATCATAAACATGGTTCTCCTTGACTAGACGGACGATGGCAGTTTGCAAGGCCTCGTGATTTTCTTCCAGGCCTAAGTTCGTTGAATGGGTATCATCTTCACTATCAAGGACCGATGTCCCCAGCGATCCGTTCTCACAGTCCGGAAGTAGACTCCAGGTCAGACCTTGACCATCTTTGGCGATGGAAAATATTGTCCAGTATTCATCTGACGGGTGCTCCAGCCTCGACCGCTCCTGTGGCTCATCTAGATCGGTCAATTCAAAGCGAATTCGAGCCGCGGGCTGGCCTAGGCCCTTTTCCGATGGAGAGATAGGCGATGTTTCCATGGGAAATAGAGAGCCGTTTTGAGAGGGCGCGGCATTGCGGGGCCGGAAGAAACCAGGTTCCAGGTGTGGCTCAGAGCGAAGATTGTAAGAAGATGAAACGCTGGAAGGCCAGGAGGAGAGACCGACTGAGACTGGAGAAGAGTGAAGGGGAGGACAAGACTGAGGGAAAAGAGCGTCTAAAAGGGTAAGTACGTCTGTGGAAGATAACAAGAGAAAGCTGGACGAAGAATTTCGGCGAGTTGGGGAGTTCATAGATGATACGAAATCGGTCGAGGATTCGGAGGGGACTGAAACTTGGAAGCGAAGAATCATATTATCAACATGTTGCTTGATCGTCGGGCGCAAAATCGAATAATGGTTCCTGGCGCCGAATCAGTAAGTCCACGCGAGCAGGGTCGCGCGGGAATCAACCTACATGGAGCGTAAAACGGCAAAGACTTGAGAGTAAGCGCGCAGGCCGACCTGACCTAGCAGCTTCTCGCGAGCATCTTTCCGAATGTGAAAGTCCAATAACAAACCATGAGTCTGAAGACAAACGGTCAATGTCAGTTCACCGTTGGGACAGAGGATCATACCTCAGGGTACGTCAAGGCACTATAAAGGAACTTGGGGAAGAACCACTGAACGAAAAGATATTCCAGGAAGCGACTGCGGCTATCAGGATGATCCAATTTCCGGAGGACCGCTTTAGCAAACTGGAGAACAGCACGAGGGAAGCCTCCATCGGGATCATCGAGCAAGCGGAACAAGTCATCCACGGCAGAAGCAAAGAACTCCTCGGCGACATCCGTCCTGAGGGGATCCAAGGCTTCGGCTGCAAAGTCCAATCCGGCAGGGGTATCTATATGCTCCAGAAGAAACGCGCCGGTTTGCAGGATATCCATGAGGTAAAGTTCAAATTTAGGACGGGCTTTCCAATTGCTGCCCGTTGCCCAGGATGACAGGACCTGGCCAATGAGCGGGTAGAATTTACTGCTGCCATGGGACATTAGTTGGGCGCAGACAGACGACCAGACGTCAATGCGCAGGCTGGCCTCGGGCGTCTCAGGCTCCAGTGGTGCGGCAAAAACGTTACAAAGTAAGATAGATAACGGATCGGTCCTTTCAAAGGCATACGCATGGTCCTTGAACGGGGCGGACTGGGCCGGGTTTCGATTAAAGGAATACTGGCTCCTCGAGCGTGAGGAAGAAGGGAAAGCAGGGTCTCCGGAGTCCAAAGTGGTAGCTGGAGAGGTAAAAGCCGCCAATTGAGCGGAGGAGAAACTGCGCAGTCGGTCGACGAGAAACTGAGGATCCGAACGAACCAGGCGTAGGATCTCCAGTAAGTCCGCGCGAGACTGGGGGCTTAGTTGATGAAAGAAATCCGAGCGGTCTTCGGGATCCGATGGCTCGTGTTCATCCAGATCCTGCTCGTCGGGTCGCGCGCTGGATACGCACGACTCCTGGAGGTCATAGAGCATGTGGTATAGAGCCACAAAGTTGGCCTTGTCATCTTGTTTTAGGGCTTCGACCAGACCGCGCTGCACGGTATTTCCGATGCGGATGATACGCGACGAAACCCCGATAGACACCTTGGCGGCGCGCAAGCGCCTTTCCAGGCGTTTTCTCTGGGTTTGTTTGCGCTGGCTTTGACGATAGCGGGTGGCAAAATCCTCAAAAGAGACCATGGGCTCATCCTGGACTGGTGGGGGTTTGACGTGTCCGAGGTGATTGTCCGATATTAACCAAGGCCTGGAACTGGGACTGGAACAGGAACGGCCCGAGCCACCCAACTCACCTAGCCCCATCTCGGGAAAGGACATCGCTGGCGACGGAGAAGGAGGAAGAGGCACCGATGCGGGCGATGGATCATGTGGATCATTCTGGAGGGGAATCCGCACGGCTGGGGCATCGATTAGCATCGATTAGTTTGGGAGGTCAGGCACCGAAAGCGTCCCCACAAAAACAAGATGGAAGATACTGTAGAAGAAATAAAAAAGAGGAACCAAGAACCACAAACACAAAAAAAATAAAGAAAAAATAAAAATAAATAGAGATACGTACTGATCCCCGAAGCCAGAGAAGAAGGCAAATCCTCGGATAGCATCTCGTCTGTTGCGCCAGGCGTGCACCGTCGCGAAATGCCCCTGGCCGTGGGCGGATCCTTATCGCATGGTCCTATCGCGGGGCAAAAGACCGACTGCACATCCGACAAGCGACGCGCCCGGCCGAGAACAGAGGAGGATAAGTCCAGGTTGGAGATGGAGATGGATAGGAGAGGGAGAGAGGGAGAGAGGGAGAGAGAGAGAGAGAGAGAGGGAGAGAGAGGGAGGGAGGGAAAAGAGAAGAGGGGAAGGTTTATGAGACGGGGAGTGAATAGGAAAAGAACGAGAAAGGACAAATCACGGAGCGTCGAGAATAGCGACTCGAAGCGGACAGATGCAGTCAGGAAGTACGGATAGAGTTAGAGGGAGGTTAATGATTAGAAGGTAGAGAGAGTAGAGACGCAAGGAGACGAGACAGTTGAGTGCTGAGTGCTGAGTACCGAGTACCGAGTACACGATGCGTTGGCACTGCATGCACGACTGAGCTGGTCGCCCGGTTTGGAGGCCTTGTGATTCGCTAGTCGCCCTCCTTTTGCCATCGGCGGAGTCAGCGTCTGATCTTCATGGCCAATGACGTGTCAGAGTCCTGTGCGATGTCTTCTGGAGAATTAGCGATGGCTATGGCCTTGGTGGGGATTATTGGAAAGGCATAGAGACGGGCGGCGGGGGAACAGAATGGGTGCGGTACGCCTTGGTTGATGGGGGAAGTCTCCATGGGACCCGACCCTCTATACTTCAGCAATGCCGTCTCGGAAGACGAGTCGAGTTGCATCCCCATGCCCAAAGCTACACATCGGCCTCATGACCCTGCAATTGGCCACCCCTGCGCCTGCAGATGCACTGCACTTCATCTACCCTCTCGGAGATTACACATCTAGTCACCGGTCCTAGATAGCCGCTTTCATGGTCATGGTTCTCATAGCTGTTGCTGAATCCTCAAACGCTACCCATAGTAAATGCTTCCCTTTCTCACACCAACACAATATAGTAATATCACCGACACACCCACTTCTTATCCACTTCTTTCTGGCCTATACGGACCGCAACCTGGTCAAGAGTGGCCTTCAGTGTCTCTTTCGACACTTTGGGGAATCTGGAGACATCGTTAGCACGTAGGAGAGAAAGCGGATCTAATTTCCAATCACATACTTCTTCTTCAGGATCTCCACCAGTCCAATCTTACTAAGATCGCTCCCGTCAACAGCCTGCTTGAAATCATTCAGCGATTCCGGAGGGAACGGCTTCCTGGCTTTTGACGTGGTCGGTGGTGGCGGTAGAGCAGTGCTGACTGCAGGGGCAGTCGATTTGGGCTTGACCCCGAACGCTTCCAAGCCAGTCACAGCAGCCCGTCCCTTGGCTGTGACAGGTTCGGCCCGCGGCTTTTCCCAGTATGCAGTGGAGAATGGATCGATCGGGAACTTGACTGCGTCCGATATCGTCTCAATCTGATACATCTTCAAATCGGGATCAATACCGTCCGCCGCCCATCGGATTCCGCTGTTAACTGGTTCCAGGTCGCCAACGATCAGTCGACGCTTGCCACCGGCCAACGCATCGTCCTCGTCATCTAAAAATTCGTCCATGTCATCCTCGCCGTCGTCGCTCATCTCGTCTTCGTCCTCGGAGTTAAGGTCTTCGCCTTCTTCGGGCTCCTCCCATTCGGCTTCGGAGTCGTAGTCGTAGTTTATATCGGGCAAACCACGGTGGTAGGGGTTTCGACAGAGCTTTTTCACGGATGGCTCAGGCACAGTGCGCGTCCATGTTCCTTGGTAAGGCGGGCGTACATCTTCTCCAAATCTTAGGGACTTGACCGTAATCGTGCGCAAAAGCTTGTGCAGGTTCTGAACTGGCGCGGGGTCTTGTTTGGCACCCGGTTGTAAAGACTCATCACTCGCACGCTGAATCTTCTGTAATATCTCTTTCACAGGCCGGTTGTTTCGACCTCGACGACGGCTGAATGGAATGATATTGAAGACTTCGGAGGGTTTGAAAGGTATAGGTTGAATCGTGGCACTGTGTGAAGCCATATAGCCGTCAAGTTTCTGTCGAACATGTTGCAGAGCTTCGGAGTCCCGCTCGAAGCGATGTGGAGGTGCGACAATTGTGTGTGACTGAAGGAAGAAGTCGGGGAAGACTCTCTGATAATCGGACTTGGTGCTGGTAGGCACCTCTGCAGTTGTTTCAATAACACTGGGAGCCGTCTTCTTCGGGGATGCCGGGGCAGCTCCTGTGACAGCTGAGGGGAGTCGCGGTTTTGCAAAGAAGGAGTTGAGCTTAGGTTGAGCCTAACGACAGTGTTAGTAGAGGTGCCCGAGATGCATGACACTTCAATGGTACAGACCTTCTCCTTCTTCTGCTTCTCCTCTTCCTTGCGACGCTTTTCCTCCTCCTTGGCCGCTTCTTTCGCAGCCTTCTCCTCTTCCTTCGCCTTCTTCTTCTCCTCCCGCTGCTTCTTTTCTTCTTCCCGTTCGGCCTCGCGCTTCTTCTTTTCTTCCTCCTTCAGACGTTTCTCCTCTTCCTTGGCAGCATCGCGCTTCTTCTTTTCTTCTTCCTTTAAGCGCTTGTCTTCCTCCTTCTTATGCTTTTCCTCGGCTTTTTGTCGTTCCTTCTCCTGCTGCTTTGCCTGTTGGCTGGTTGGAGATAGCTTGCGCTTCTTAGTGGCAGGGGCCGTAGTAGTATCAGATTTTGTTGGGGAACCACTGCCCGCTTGCTGGATAGGGTCTGATTGCACAGAGGCGCCGGCAGTAGGTGCCACCGTGGACACATGATTCTGATTAATGTTCATGGCGGGTACTTCAACAACAAAGGATTGCCTGCTCGATGGTGATGGTGGCTCTTTTGGGTGCAAAGGAAGAGATGGATCCCTGTTCTCTTGGTTTTCGTTCGAGGCATCAGGGAAGGAACGTTTCGAGCTCGGGGACGGATTCCCCGCTCCGTCCACTTCGTGTATCGATCGCTTGCGAGGACCTAGTGATGGAGAAGCCGGTACAGACTGAACTGGCATAGGAGACAGGTTCATTTCGGTATCCATGAGGTTTAGAAGGCGAGGTCGACACGGTTCAGGGTCATATGGGCCTAACGCCAGCGATGGTGAGATAGGAATCGGACAGGTGAATCATGGAAGAGAAGAGGGTCTGGAATGAAAGCATATAAGGGAAATGATTGTTTAACGACGCCAATTCAAAGGGCTTGATCTCCAGATCCGAAGGGAGAGGAACTGTGGGTTGCCAGGGACGCGTTAATCGTTTCGCGCGGCGCGTCCGATAAGGCACGTGTCCGCTTATGTCAGGTTCCTGACGAGGTCAGGAAGATGTCGCGTGGACAAGCTGATAGCCCCAAAATGACCGGAAATGAGAGGGAAAGGGGCAGCCTCGTTTTCAAGAGTGGGAATGGCACTGGCCAGTGGGTTGATTCGAGTCCTATAGAGGTTGGCTACCTGGGAGCGCCGGGGGTATCCATCTAGCCAACCAACAACTAGGCATACTTACTGCTGTTTACAATCCACCTACGGGGTTGTTCAAGAGAGAACATTTCGGTAATAAAAATTTCTCATGTGACAATTATTCTCTCTTCTGACTGGAGGTTATAGAATAAAGAAAGCCGAGGTGAGCCCGGATGCAGATATAACAAGGCGAGTAGAAGTAGATATAAGCCAACCCATCAACTTCTTGAGCATTAAAGTGTGCGATGCCACAAGAGCACTGAACTTGAGAGGGCCACCGCAGAGTAAGGGCAAAAATATAGACATAAAAGCGGCCCAAGCCAGCCATCAAGACCAGCCGAGGACCACCAGACACGACGATTCGGCGGAGAGGTATTATGTGCAGCGTCGGTGACAATAATAGAAAGCAAATAAGGTAGAGATCATGAGAAAGGTGAAGGGGGAGAAAGACGAATGAAGTTATAAGGACAGGCGCTGCGTGAAGAGGATATCAACCCGAGACATCTCAATCGCTGAGATCCGGATTAGCAACGAATAGCCGCACGTTGGTCATTGAGGTTGTTCGTTCGTCCACGCTGCCCCGCCGCCGTAGTTCATCAGCCTTCTTGGCCTTCTGCGCTGCTTGGTCTGCGGCGTTGGGCGCTTCCATATCAGGAACCCAGTCCTCTATCTCACTGCTGTTCGTCGTGTGGGTTGTGGCAGCATCATCTTTGACGATGGATGATAACCGGCTCTTCTCCTCCTCTTGAATCTCCGCCGGTGTGTTTTCAGACACACCCGGTAGGTCGGTCTTCTCATTGGGCGGGGTACTGTTGCTGCCCATAGTACCCTGGGTCCGCTGGTATCCACTGGGGTAGCGGGCGCTAGTAATCGAGCTGCGGCCACTGCCGGTACGCCTGTGCATGGCGACGCCTTCGGTGCTGCGAGCATCCTCCTCTGCCTCGCCGATTTCGTTGGCACTGAGTCGAACGGGCACCTTGGCGCCCACCAAGTTTGAAGGGGAGAATTCCATAGCACCTTTAGTGTGGCGAATCTTGCCACTGCCGCCTGATCGCCGGGCGCCTGCGCCGTGGACTTCTAGGTAGGCCCGCTTCTTATCGCGCAACGCCTGCTCGCGTGTTCGAGCATCTTCGGGCTGGGCACGATCGCACCAGACCGTAGCCTTTTGCCGTCGCATAAGAGCTACATAACCAAGCTGCGAGCTGGCAGAGCGGTTGGAGGCGCTTCGTCGGATATCGGTCTCGGTGTGCGGCATCGTATTGTTGCCGGTGGAGTTGGTGGAAGTGGTGGTGCTGGACATGCGACGGGAAGTCGGGAAGTTGGCCGGAGGAGCCATGGAATGTGGAGAGACGGCGGACTGCGGAACCCCTTGGTAGTGCTGCGACGCACCGTAGGGGAGAACGTTGGAGGAAGTGGTTCGAGTCCGGCTGTGAGTGGTTTGAGCACTGATAGAGTGTGGCGCTAGGGATCGAGGAGCGTCAAAGGATTGGTATCCGTGGGCAGGTTGGGCAGAGCCGGAAATGGGCTTGCGGGAGGGAGGGCCCTGATGGATGGGCATGCGAAATTCGGTCATGTTGGGCGGAAGCTGGACACCAGCCATGCAATCCCTGACCGATAAGGGATGTCAGATGCCGTGAGGTGAGCACGCTCGGTCGCAAAGGAGCCCGTGCAGGGGGGGAGTTTCCCAGAGATGATAGCCGATCGACTTGGTCGCAGGAGTCTCTCCCTATTCCGAAGTGGTCTGCGATAGCGCTGTCGCGTGGCTGACGGATAAAGAAATCTGCTGTTTCAGCGCCCACAGCGGTATGCAGCGACTGAAGTCTCTGTTTAGGGAGGACAACGAAACAGATAGACCTGACGATCTCGACCCAGGACGCTAAGCAATGGGGGATCAATGGTAGACAATTGGCTTTGTCAGTTACCGAAAAGATGTGAAGAGGGGAACGCAGAGGCGATAATCAGGTTGCGGGTAATGTGTCGGTGCCCAATTGGCGATGTAGCGCTTTCAAGGCGCCTTTCAAGAAGGCAAGGCAAGAAGGTGGAAGAGGTTCCTGGAAGGATAATCAAGTAATGAGCAGGGGGAGCACAGGGCTTGGAGAGGGGAGCAAAAGAGACTTAGGCCGCCTCAAAGTTGCCTGATTGGCCGATACCGCGGAACACGGCGGACCTGAGCTGAGCCACGTATTTTTGCACTTGTCTCGTATTTTTCACTTTTTCTACTGCAACGCTGCCCTGGTGTGTCTTACAGTATGCCTGGAGCATTGCCTTTGACCTAACGGCCCTCTCTTACCCCCCCCCCCCCCCCCCCAACATGCCCTTGTCCGTATTGGCGAAACCTCGTGTTCTGCTCGCGTAGAATCACCGCTCGTTGGAAGTCCTTGGATCATACGCGTCATGCACTGCTAGACCTTCCCCTCCAACATACAATACACGATGTATCCGGTTGGGCCCTCCACAAGCTCCACCCGTCACACCACATCCATCCAGGCACAGTTGCGATAATGCCGGCCCACCGATTCCACATTTTCTCCCATCCTTGGGGGATCGGGTACCCGATAGACAGCCGCTCCGGTGACTGGGGGCCCAATTCCCAGGCTCTGAGGGTCGGGTGAGAACTCGGAGATCGTGGCGTGGCGCACAGTCAGTGACGTTGCACTAGTTACTCCCAGGCCTCCCGGGTAGCGTTCAATCTGTTGCCATTCAGGAGAGGCTAGCAGGACGTAGTGCTAATGCACGCCGTATCGGACTGCATTCCCTGTCAGAACCTGCTTCTTGGGCTAGCCTCCTCACTTCTGTACTAATGGGCAGGTGGGCCGACTCGTTTCCTCCGCGTGTCAGCCCTAGTAAGTCCGCTGGAATCCAGGCCATCGTTCTAGGATCAGCATTGTGCGCGCCCAAGTCTAGCTCTCTCGAGTGGAGAGGGAGTCGATCTAGATGCTCTATTCAATAGAGAGGATCATCGTCTGGGTGGGGGCTGCCACGCGCGCCATGCCGGTAGCAAGTTGCTTATTTGAATTATGCCCAGCTGGGTTCTAACGGGTACTCTAAGGATTGAGCTAGACCATATTTGCGGCTACCTTATATTAATGTTCTGGCATTTGCAAATGTCAGTACCTGTTGCCGAGGGCCGATGATCGCGGGTTGTTCAGCTAGAGGACGGTGCGGGGTATACAATCAAATAAATCCCTGTATGCAAATCGACGCCCAGACGTCCTCTGCTCATTTAATACGCCAGTTATCCCGGGTGTCTCTGTCTACAGTGCAGGACACGGGATAAGAACCTTGCAATTCAGAGATCGTGCAGTGCATTACAGAATTGCGGAGACGGCGGCTCCGAGCGGCTTTCTGAACGCTGAAGCAATCAAAGCTGCGTTAGTTAACGCAAATGAAACATAAAGTAATTTCCACGAGTTGAACTAACCATTCATTGGTTAGTATTGCTACGGCTGCTTCAAATTGTCATTTATGTAACGTGAAAACAGTAATCTCTTATCAATGCTTGAAAAGAGGAGTTGGATAGACGCCGATCATCTATCCAGGAACATTCCATCTAACCTTGATTTCACATTCCGTCTAAGAACATTCCATCAAAACAGATTCCTGGGCATCAGGTGATCAGTTCGAGTAGAGGCGAAGAGACCATTGGTTCCGCTTCCGTACACAGGTACGAGGAGCCCCTTGATGGCGGGTCAGTCCGTCACACAATGCAGAATCCGGGGTCAAGCTTTAGGTTAATGTTACATTCCAGTGGCGATACCGGGCATTATTTGTTCATCAACGTCATGAGATAGCAGATGCTTGCTCTGGAATTTGCAAAATCCGAAACAACAGTTTACACTTGTCCCAATAGGTGATACTGGATGTTGGCACTCGCTTAAGTATGGCTGAGTGTTTGAAGCACCCATGTAAATATTGGAATGCATTCTTGAAGGGCCTCTTTGCTGTAGATAAATGTCTCAATCTACTCGTGTAGTTAGGTCAGATCGAGGTCGAAGAATTGAGTGGATCGCACCTGAGCAAATGCAGCCTAGGGCTGGGATTACGTTACCGGGAGAGCACTGTAGATAGCAGAACGTTCATGATTACAAAGATACCATTTATTGGAAAGGTTCAACCCTTTTTAAATCATCTGAGTCAACACAAAGAAGCAAACCCAGTATATCAAGCACTATTGGCCATTCTAAGACAGCCAAGCGCTTAGAGTGAACACAGGCGGCAAAAGTAGGGCTGAGTCCCTGTAATTTACAATACGTGCAACTGCAAATTCCTGCGCTGAGCCACACCCGCACGTGGGGGAATGTGGTACTTGGTGGGACCGCATTTGGGAATTTGTTAGTCGTGACGTCAAGATGTTTCACTTTCTCCGGGATTTCGTCGCAGCTGAAAAAAAGGTGACTTTGCCTGTGCCGCATCGATAATGCAGCCTAGGGAAGTATGACTTAGGAGGATATTCTTACCGAGCCGGTGACAGAATTCGGGTTCTCAAATTTGCAAAGTATAATTGACTACCTATTCTGGCGCTGAAAGGCTATGTACAGGACCAAGATCAAGAAATCTACGGGACGCGCTTATGAGCCAGTACCATCGGGCGGTTTCACAGCTTTGCTCGTCCGCCGATGGAGACCAGCGCTCCGTCTTTCCGGATCAAGAAGTCCTTGTTGGGTTCCCAGCCCATCCATGCTCTGAGGGTTTCCTCACCGCCGTCGCCAGGCATGAGGCCACCCCCGGACCATACACCATCGTCTGCGTTTATGGGGAGAGAGGGTGTGCGGGATAAGTGAACGACTGGGCGCTGCTCGTATCCCGAAGCCTCAAGCTCCACATTCTCAAGCACGGGCGTGGCACAGGCATCGGTACCGTCAAAGACGGCCTCCCACTCGGCACGAGTCTTCTCCTTGAAACGATGGGTGAAGATGTCACGAAGGGCAGGCCAATTTCCCCGGTCTTCCCGTTTCGGCAGTGACTTTGGATCGAGTTCTAACCCGCGCAACAATGCTGCGTAGAACTGCGGCTCCAAGGCTCCGACGGCGAAGTATTTCCCTGAGTCCTTGGTCTCGTAGGTATCGTAGTAGGGACATCCACTATCTAACAGGTTCTCTCCTCGGGGTCCATCCCATGCCGGGGTTTTTTGCGCCAGTCGAGGGAAGGTGGCTAGATATGCTGATCCATCAACCATGTTGGCTTCGACGACTTGTCCACGACCAGTGCTGGAGCGCGCGATGAGTGCCATCAGAATTCCTAAGAAACAGATGGCACCACCGCCAGCAAAATCACCGAGAATGTTGCCCGGCGCATAGGGCTTGTCTCCAGCTCGTCCTAGCATGGACAAGACGCCTGAAACGGCAATGTAGTTGATGTCGTGACCTGCCATGTCCTTGTATTTCCCATCGCGTCGGAACCCCGTCATGCGCGCGACGATGAGCCTCGGATTGTGTTTGAGAAGGACTTCTGTTGGTGAAAGACCGAGACGCTCAAGGACTCCCGGGCGGAATGGGTCGATCAGGACATCGGTTGCAGTGAGCAGACGGATGAGAACATCCCGTGACTTCGCTTCTCGTAGGTCAATCGTAATTGACTTCTTATGTCTGGTCAGGTTGTCCCCACTGACAGCATTCGGCCGGTCGACACGAAGAACGGATGCGCCGTAGTCGGCCAAAAGGAGACCAGCGAATGGGCCTGTGGTGAATGGTCAATGTGAGTGCGGTAAATCTGGTGATGGGAATGTTACCTGGAGCTAGACCAGCTAGCTCAACGACCTTGATTCCTTTCAATGGCGGAGCAGACATTTTTGGGTTAAAGAAGCAAAGAAAAGGTTCATGGTTGAAGCATTTTAAGTCGGTTCTCCGCAGCCGAGGTCCCCGAGGTCCGTGGTTGATTGCGGGGAACCATGTGTGCACAAGTTTATACTTTCAGCACGAATGCCCTTTTATGGTCTCCAAGCATTGTCCTCTTTTTATCTGATTGGAGACGCTATTGCATTTCAACTAGATAATTGGGGCACTGGTTCAAAATCACCATAATGTGTTTAATGCTTATTTGAACTTATCAAGGGTCTTACTTCAAGTTACCTCGATGAATACAGTCTTCGTTTGAATTGACATCGCGTAGATCTGTTATCATAGAGGGCTTTTTTTTAAAAAAAAATTTTGACAGAATACACCTGCCTCTCACGACATTCTATGCCTAAAGCTTGACCGTTGATTTTCCAAGCATTTCGCGTTCAAGCTCATGCACGATCTTCTTGTCCAGCTGTATTAAATGAATAAATCCGTGGATGAACTCGTGCAAAATATCATGGGGGTAGTATACTAAGTATCCATAGATGTATAATGGAAGAAGAAAGACGGCGTGGTAACATATAACCCAGGAGTCAGGTACGCTTTAGTTCTTCCCTTCGTGAGACTTTCAATATACCAAGAACCATGACAACAGACCTAAGCCCAAGTACATTAAAGAATGAGTTTAGATTCCAGTAATTCAGGGGTTATCTCACTCCGCCTTCACGAGATCTCCTCAAGAACAATCTCTTCGTGCCGCCGGCGAATTGAGATCTTTGCCTGTGGGTCGGAGTTCATCGCAACTCCATATCTCAGAACGGTAGGAACAGACCCTTCTGCAGGCTTGAGATCATATTTCAAGAGCAAGTGACATAACAGGATCTTTATCTCATTGACAGCGAAGAACCGACCAGGGCAAGCGTGGTTGCCATAACCGAAACCCATGTGCTCGGGAGACGGAGAAACGAGATGGGCATGGCTCTCCCGTCCCGGGATCTGTTTCATCTTCAGGAAGCGATAGGGGTCGAATACCAGAGGGTTCTCATAGAAGTCCGAGTTCCAGTGCCAGTCAGCTGAGACCATAAGCTGTACACCTTTCGGGATGTTGGTGCCGTCGCTGAGTTCGAAATCCTTTCCGACGATACGGCGCATCGATACTAGGAAGGCGAGTTAAGAATAATTCCGAGGTTCAGGATTTGTGCTGGAAGAACTAACCATTGCTGATAGGCTTCATTCTCTGCGATTCCTTCAAGAAACTGTCCATCAATTGCAGCTTGTACATGGCGGATTTCTTCCATCCCTCGCTCGAAACCACGGAGATAGCTTCCTTTCGTAGCTCCTCAACAAGTTCCTGTCTCTCGCAAAGATCGTAAATCGCTTGTGTCACCATGTCCGATGTAGTGTGAATCGCCACCCACGAGAAAGTCAATTGCAAGGCAGCGGGATCATAAGGGCGGCCCTTGGAGACCTGCTCCAGCCAGTCAATAGCATCATTGTAGCGGGGTAATTCCTTCCCCTTCCTTCAAAGCGATTTCTTTGTCTCTTTTTCTTTCATCAAGAACCGGTTTAATGATTCTCTCTGCTTCCCGGAGTTGATGCTGCACCTTACGAGTTGAGGAAAGGAAATAAGCGACGACTGGGCGGGTGAGCTCCGGCCACAGTCGAAGTTTGTTCCCTGCCTGGAAGGCATTGACAGTGTAGTCGACGGTGATTCGAAGCCAATCGGGGTTTCGGCAGATCTTTTCGCCCAAGAAGACTCTTGACGAGAGTTGAGCGACAATTTCGAGGATGCTCTGCTTGAGGGACAGATCGTGCCATTCTGGGTGCCATATCAGCACCTGGGTAGATACTAAGTAGTAAATGAGTTTGGAAGATGATACTCACCTTCGTTGTCGGTCCAACGGTTCCGGAGAGAGATAGACGTCTCTTCTGATAAAGGTTTTGTGATACTTCCTATTCTGCCCGTGAGAGGTAATTCGACTCATTTCAATCAATGATGACCAACCAAGTGCCTGCGTGAGTTTGATGCGTACCGCGTCTACGAAAATATCTTCGCGCTTGGCAAGCTCTCCAAATGGGGAAAATCCTTTAACATTGGCGTGGAACTCGGTTTCTATAATTTTAGTGAAGTTGAGTATAGGGGACTTGGCAATCTCATTCGCGAACTTTGGAGCCAGTATGGTCTTGATACCGTTGTCGCTGAAAATTCGAAATACGTTTGCCTAATTTCACGAAATTGGCAAGGCACCACCATGGAGTGAGATCATCTGGAAGATTAGATACCTTAGAAAGACCCTGTTTGAACAGTTCTTGAGAGTTGTGGATATATTCGTTGATATCGTTGGGCTTTTCATCATCGAATGCCTTCTTCCATGAGGCAAATGTGTGGTACCAAACATCGAGTGGGAAGAGATAGAAAATAACTAATGGAATGAGGACGATAACACCCACAATAGAAACAGCTTCATGCCAGGGCACAGAAGATACAGCCGTGGAAAGCATGGTTGGTGTGTGTTCTTGTTATGAAAGCCAGTGCTGTGAGGCAGATCAAATCTGTTGAGAAAAACCAAAGGCTCTTGTAATCTCATATAATAGCTATCTTCGGCATTTTGAAAAAGCATTTACAAATACCAAATAGTAGCCTACTGTTCCAATCCGTGAAGATCAGCAGACTGCATGATAGTGTGGACGTAGTCCATCCTGAGACTCCTCATTGGGCTGACGAATTCGCCTCCATGCCTATTCCAGCCTCGGGATGAATGAGGGGTTGGAAGTATGAGCTCAGTGGCTTCAAAAGCTGCGGTAATGTTCCACCGGATGTGCATTATCTGTGCTTAGCCGTGACAAGGTGGGTGTGGACATGGACATGGGAATGCAATTGATGCACATGCGGGGATTAGAATAGCCCGTCGGACCCAAGATTGCGGAGATAGTACCATATCAATTATTCGAAACATTTTCCCATATCATAAAGGATTATATGCTTTCATGAAAGATTAGAAGCATGTCATTTGGAAGAAATCGAAAGCTACAGCGGCCATCTTCGTAGTCGTACATGATTGCTTGGGCCAGTTCCGAAGCCGCCGATAAAGTGTCAAAGTAATTATTCGGAATGTCTATGAGATAACAGAGACATTGCAGTTTGATCATCGCCTTACATCTGGCCAAGATTATGGCCGGGATACTACAAATGTCCATAGGCTAGACACCAACCCTTGTAGTAACAGCGCATGACGGACGGGGCAGATTATGACAGGCAGGTCTACTTACTCTGTGGTATCCACATGAAAAATAAGGACTTGCAGGCAACTTTATCAGAAAACTTCAGGCTCGGCAAAAGGTCGGGTTCGGCGCCACCCGTCACTAAAAGGGCATACGGACCGGTAGTTACTTGGCACGGGAAGTGTATAGACTTATGGACACTCTAGACTTGGCGATGGCCTGTTATTTTCCTTGGTGGCGTCCAATTAATCGATTTTGGTACTTAAGCGAGTCACACATCACGTACGCGTACAGTAGTGTCGGGCTGAATTTGCTCGAGCGTCGAAATACTTCCCACGGTCTTTTTTATTTCTTTATTGTTTCTACGTTGTAACAGAGATCAGTGACACACTGCCACAAATTAGATTACAGCACTATTAAAGCCCAACGGGCATCTTATATGTAAGTCGAAAGCATCATGTTCAGCCCTGGAGGTAATAAGGTCAATGGCCGCTATAACTATGGCCGCCCCCACATTTGAGGGGAAACGCTCCGCCACCCCCGTTTCATATGTAAGCAACCACACAGACTGCACGGATATCAAAGCACTGCATCATTAGCGCCTCAACTTCACCCATTCAGCATCTGCCGGAAGCGCATATTGGAATGGGTACGTCCATGGAGTACACAACCGGTCCGCCCATCTACCGGGTCCCCAAAGGCCGCATGGTTCTTGGAGAAGGCCCAATCTACCGAGCGAGTGATTCCACTCTGCACTGGTTTGATCCGCTCGATTCTCCAAGTGAGCTATACATTCTGCCTGTGGACCCGGATTCTGGCTCCCCTAAAGGCGAAGCGAAAGTATTCACCCTTGAGGATAGCATCACGGTCGCTGCATTCCGCAAGAACAAGCCTGGCAGCTATATTGCAGCATACTACCAGGGTGTCTGCTTTCTGGATGAAGCAACCGGCAAAGTCGAGGTTTTGCGCGAGATCATTCCGACCTCTGAGCGTGATCAGCTCAGATTTAATGACGGTGGCGTCGATGCTGCTGGGCGTTTCTGGTTAGCGGAGATTGATATCACGGCCACCAAGTTCCCACTCGGTCAAATCCCCAAGGAGTATGAGCCGCGGGGTAGACTTTGGAGATATGACCCGGATGGTAGCTTGCACCTCATGCTCCGTGGAGGACTTGTCTGCGGAAATGGGGTGAAATGGAGCCATGACAACAAAACCAGTGAGCTTCCTGTCATGTGCTAACGTTGGGAAGTTGTGACTGACAAAGCCTTTGCTGCAAGTGTACATGAACGACTCTGTCGGACAAAAGATCACTGCTTTGGATTTTGATCTTAAAACTGGTGCTTTGTCAAACCAGCGCATTCTGGTCGATTTCAAGGGAACTACCTCGGAGCCGGACGGAATGGTGGTTGAGTGCGTTATGACATTCGTCCCTGGGTCAATATCACCGGGAGGCTAATCTGTCAATAGTAACGACGGCAACCTATGGGTCGCTGTATATGGATCCAATTATCTCATGCATTTCAGTCCCGAGGGCAAGCCCTTGAAGCAAGTCAAGTTGCCAGCCAAGTGCCTCACCTGTCCGACATGGGGTGGAAAGGACTTCGACATCCTCTATCTCACAACTGCACGAGATCGCTCTGAAAACCCGGACCCTATTGATGATGGCGGCCATATTTACAAGTTCCTTCCAGACGGTGCCAAGGGGCAGCCAAAGAATGAGTTTGCTGGATGAGCAGGTCGATCGAGCCGAGACGCATTGCACATAGAACGGATATCAGTCATGAGTTTGCATTCATGAGCCAGACATCAGACGATAGTTCGATTTCGAAACTCTCATTGACCTGCGAATAGAACGCTTCCTAATCATCATGATTTGCCTCTGTGCTGATGCGAATAGTCGTAGTTCCATGTCGAGGCGGCCCCCGGTCTAGACGTGACTTGCGGTCAGTGTGTTTTTCCATCTACACCACGTTCGTCGACATTCCATATCAAACACAAAGAGCAAGACACAACATTCATTGACTGCAGTAGTCAAATATGAAGCTCCTGGATGCTCCATTCGTTCCTTGCTGTCCAAAGGGCAGCCCCTCGGGTCACGTGCGGTCGTTGATTTGAGATTTTGAAGATCTCAAATGAACATCAAGATGAACTTTGCGAGGAATCAAACCCTCTTTTTCTGATCGCCAATAGTCAGATTATTCGTTTGGTTGGTTTGGAAGCCTAGCAGAAAAGGGAAGGGAACCCTGCTCCAGGGGCAGCCGTATGCTTTGGACGTCATCGAGGGGTATCAACAGCACCCTGCCAAAAGTTCACACTTAAACAGCCCTGTCTATGTCCTTCATGAAAGCCCTTTGGAATAATTATGACTGACGGGGTCGAATTCTTCAAATTGTCCGAGATTGTCATTCCCCAAGACTGAAACGGACTGACGTCGACTGACAGGGATAGGGACAAGTCAGCGTCAACCAAGCGCATCCCTAGGACTTCCTTCAGCTCCCCCCAGTGGCATTCCCGTAGATCAAGGCTCCGAGCCACTGTTAATTGGCGACTGCTTTGTGCGCGGGGCCTTGGACGCGGCTGGGATTCTTGCCATGCCAGATCCCTCGGAGGCACATTCCACCCCTCCACGCTATGGCGCGTCGACGCGCTCAAAGGCTGGAAATTCTTATTCCAATTCTTCTATTAGTCCTCATTACTTGCTCGTGTTTGCTTCTTTCTTTTGAAAGATTACTGAAGCCCTAGCCAAGTGCATCTCGGTTGGACGGTTGTTCAATTTTTTCTATACCGACCATCAGCACGCGCCACACACTTCCTTTCCATACCCTTCACCTTTTGCGCAGAGCTTCTCTCTCGGCGACGCTGTAGAGCAGCTCGTCTTCGTGATAACCTCATAATGGCCACCGGATTCTCTGCGACGCCCCGAAAGGAAGGTACTTGGACCAAGCTCGTGATATTCGTCTCGCTATACTGCTTGATTCTCGAATCCATCCTAGAATGGGTGCTTGTGCTTTTTTTGTATGGCAACCACTATGTCGACTCGAAAATGACATTGAGCTTGGTTCTCGCGTTGGTGTCGGTATGTTATTCTTGCACATGTCGTGGTCCAATCGTCGCTAATGAATCTATAGTCTTTCCTTTCGGTACCACTCGTCTCGCTCCAAAGCCTAGTTGCCTGGCAATATAACAAGATAGGTGGCTTTGGGGAGAAGAAGACAGTATTGCACAATGTCTGCACCTATGTCTACCGACTTTGTCTCATGTTGTGGCTTGCGACGTGCGTGACCGGTCTGGTAGTCGCCGCTCAGCAGGTCTACTGTCTGCCATCGGGCACAGACGCCACATACTGGAGAGTGGGTATTAGCTGTGCATTTCACCGCGCCTCTGTGATTGTAGCCGTTGTTACAATGTAAGTGATAGTCCAGGAAGACAGACCGAGTTTCGCTGACACAAACCCCACAGGATAACCGTCTGCACGCTCTACTGCGCCAGAGAGTTATGCGATCGACCATACGATGTTTCGCTCATTGGAATTTACAAGCGCAAGCCTAGGCAAATTCTCGAGGATGGCAGCATCTTTTCCGGTCACAGCTGGGACAGTGATGAGACCCTGAAGAATGAAATTCTCAACCTTTGCCGTCAACACGATGGAAAAGCTAATGGAGAGCCTTGGTATATTGACCCTCTGGCGAACAAGGTCAACTGTCATCCAAGCATCAAGAATCCCGCGCCTATTCGCCTACGCCCGCAACTCACAGTCAACACGGATCCTGGGTCTATCTATGGCGAGATCATATCTGGAGTCACCGTGTCCCCTGATGATACTTGGCCTCGTCATTCTCCGGGTAGCCAAACCGCCGCTAGTGACTTCTATCCGATCTCGCGCACGTCTACGGTTCTGACAACTGACTCGCGCCATCTTCTCTCCGACACAATTGTGCCCAAGGTTCCCCCAATCCCCGAGCAGTATACCGGTCATCCCACGCATAAAAGAGGAAAGTCCTCGCTGTCTTCTCTTCGAAGATTCCTCCCCAAGTCATTCCCATTATCGCTTCCTCTGTCATCAGATCCGCAGATTCGCGCCCTGGCGGACCCCAATGCCGCCTCGGATGTTGAGAAGCAGGTCGTTACGCCTTCTATCAACAATGGGACTGAATCTTCCACCAAAGAAGTAACATCAAACAGCTCAGACTCCTCCTTGCAGTCTCCTGGTGTGCAAACCACGACTCCTACCACGTTCGTAGCTGCCAGGTCGGAGGGCCACATGCGAACAATGACCATGAATTCTGCGGACGCCCCAGAAGTTGTCCCAGCGCAAGTCCTTCCAACCGAGCCAGCCAAGGTCCACAGATCCCAGACAACCTCTTTCTCCATTCACCATCCACACCATCCAAAATATATCCCAGGCCCAGCCAACCCTCGCAGCTACTCCATGGCCTGCCGACAGAACACCACCATCCTCCCAGCCCACACCGACACAAGACGAAGTAACTCCCGTCAAGCACCCCTCATGCAGATGCCCATCCGAAGCAACTCATACCAATTCGACCAACCCTATATCCCACGCCACTCCCAAAGCCAATATCAACAAGTCTACTACTCCCAGCCCACTCGCTGGGGAAGCCAACACATGTACGACCCCAGCCGCTCAACCCCTTCACTATCAGCGGTTTCTCGCCGCAACGACGTCGAGATTATCTACCCCAGCACTCGCCGAGCACGCAGCAGCACCCACGGTGGGCCTAGCGGACCTCTAAGCTGCATTCAGGAATCAACCGACCCGCGATTCTCGGTCGACTCACATCGGATTAGCGCTGCTGTATCCCAGAGTACCTACCGAGGAGCTAATCGCACCAGCATGGCTTTCCACTAAAACTCCATAATAACCTAAATCTTGTCTGCTGGTCAGGCGATTCAAACATTTGTTTCTACCTGCTGTTTAACTTGAACGGTCTTACGATTGTATTGGAATGGCGAGAAGCGTGCAGCATGCTTTTTTCTTTGATACGTTGATATTTTTGATACCAGAATTCGCAATAGCAATAGCAATAGGAATAATTCACGATCTACTGAAACGTCAAACTAAAATTTGAAGGTAGTCACAATTTGGTACAATCATTATCCCACAAAGTACACCCATGCAAAACATGCTAGAAACAACCTTATCCCGAGCTCCATACACGTAACCAAACGCCCATGCCGAACAAGATGCACAAGAAAAAGCTAAAACAAGGAACGAAAGAAAATCGCAAGAATCAAGCAAGATCGAGACTCTACACCTTCTTCTCCCCACTCCTAGTCCTCCGCTTCTCCGATTTCTCTCCATGCTTCTCGGCATACTTGTACCGATACACCTGGCCAGACTTCGAATCTGTCCGATCTCCATCCCGACGCCGATTCTCCTTGCCTTCGGCCAGGACACCAGGTCCACGGCCCATCTCTTTCTCTCCCCAGTACATCATCAGCGCCTTGGCCATGCGATCACGTTCCTTGAGGAGGAGATCAATACGGCGCTCCCATTCACGCTCTCGCTTTTCCACGGACAGGGCAATGCGCTCGTCGACTGCGGCGGCAGTCTCGTCCTTGGCGGCGATGATGGCTTCGAGGTGCCTGATTTCGGATTTGAAGGTCTTGCGTAGCTGGGACTCTTGGGTTGAGGCTGAAGTGCGCAGAGTGGTGAGGTCTGTTCGGAGCTCTGCTTCGCGTTGCTCGGCTGTTGTGAGCATGTTACGAATTTTGCGCATGGATTCTGCGTGGGAGGTGCGTAGGGTGGAGATTGCGGTTGAGTGGGCGGTTTGGAGGCTTCGGATTTGGTCTTGGTGGACTACTTCCAGAGCAGCGGTGTCCACGGCTGGCTCTGTGTTGAGGGCATCACGGGCTGTTGGTGGTGACGGGGTTGGGCTGGGTGGTTGGCCGGGGGCTTCCTCTTGGAGACGAGCGACGGTGTCCAGAGACTCTGCGTGCTCCTCTCGTGTGCGGGTCAACTCTTGCTGGGTTTTGGTGAGGGCTGAGCTCTGTTCCTGCACTCTTGTTGCAAGGCGCGCGTTCTCTGCCTCGACAGTGGTGATGTAGATTTGAGATTCAGCAGCTTGGTCTTGGAGGCGGTTGACTTCGGCCTCTGCGGCCTTCTGGGCAGCCTGGGCTTTTTCAAGTTCTTGTTGAAGTCGGGTGAGTTCATGGCCCAGTTGCTGAACATCAAGGTCAAGCGGCACATCAAGGTCGTCTGGGAATTTCTCTTTCAACGGTGAGTTGGGTTCAGAATGTCCTAGATCCTTGATCAAGTCGAGGATTTCGCTGTAGGTACTTCGGTTGCCGAGTGGTAGGTCGGCTGCTGCAGCCCTAAGCGCATTCTCTTGGGCCTCCACTTGGGACTGCACACGGCTTAGATCGGCTTCAAGAGAGGTATTTCTGTCTTCCAGCGAGCTGTTCTTGTCTTCGAGAGGCTGATTCTTTGTCTCCAGGGCAGTGAGTCGATCCTCGAGTGCTTGATATTCGGCGTTGACACGGTCAATCTCGGTCTCCAATCTTGCGTTCTCCAGGGCTTGATCGTCAATCTCTACCTTGAGCCTGTCAATCTCGGCATTCTTCTCGTCAACTTGCAATTCTCTGGCCTGGGTTACTTCTCGCAGTTTTTGCATCGTCTCTTCGAGAGTTATATCCCGCTTCTTTAATTGCTCTTGAGTGTGGTTTAGCTGCTGACGCAGGTGGGCAATGGTCTCCCGCCGTTCAGCGTCCAGGGAACTCTGAGAGTCCCGGGTCTGCATTTGATGCTGCATATCGTGCATTTGCTTTTGAAGGACGCTCAAATCGGGATTATGGGTGGTGGACTGTTGGAGGAGCCGTTCCCGTTCAGCGTTTTGCTTTTGCAGTGACTCCACCTGTTCACGGAGAACAGCCTCATCACCACCCAGGTTCTCAAACTCCTCAATCAAATCATTCTTACGCTGCAGCTCAGCCTGAAGATGCCGGATTTGCTCTCCTGCTGAAGCGGCCTCAAGCAGTCGATTGCGGTTCTTCTGGATTTGCTCATCGCGATCACGAAGCTCCTCCTCCAAGTGGGCGATGCGACGATGCAATCGCACCTCCCAGTCCTCGTGCTCTTCAGGGTGGTGCTCTGACGCGTCCGAGAGTTTCCTCAAGGACGGGGATGCTGGGCTCGACAAACCATCAGCCGGATCTTCTTCGATATCTTCCAGCTGAGTGGAGTCTCTTGCAAGAGCACTGGTCCTGTGGAGCATATGGGAAGGAGTGGACATGTCAACTGGCGGTCCAAATTCACTATCGTCATTTTGCTCGACCTCCTCCTCAACGGCCGGTTGTCTTGACTTGAGCGAGTTGTGACGCGACGCAGATCCCGAGTCACGGTGTGCGGTCAATTTGCGCACGCTCGACATTCCATCGCCCAACAAGTACTTCTCCATATTTGCAGTGAAGTCCTCTGGGCCGCCAACATCAGAAAGATCGTCTTCCGCGAGCTCCTTCAAGTCGGGCAGGTTATCGTCTTTTCCATCTGAGAACTGGCCGCTCGGGAATTGGCTAAAGTCCAGTGTGTACTCGGCAAGACGAGCGTCCAGATCCGAGCCAGTCGGGCTTCCTGGTGTTGATGGGCGAGAGTGGTTTATAGCCTGATTGGCAGCGTGTTGTTCATCATCACTCGCATGTTCGTGGTCTTCGTGACGAAAGCGCTCGGAGATGGGGCTATCGGCGGGGAGCGGAGACTCGGGTGGACTGGTTGTTTGTTGTGGAGGAGAAGATGGCATGAAGAGCGGTGTCACCAGTGTTGACTGTCCGATTGTGTCATGAGAAGTTGGGAACGGGGAGGTGTAGCCGGTGTTAGCCATTGTCGCAGACGCGTGTTTGGGTCTGCAATAGATGCGCGGCACGCGCAATATGCAAAGGCTGGTGTCGGAAATCAATAACAGTGGATCAGTGGAGTCGCATGCCCTGCGAGGGGCGTTCGGGGTAAATAGAGAAATAACAATAACAATTGCGGGGGAGTTACAAGACCAGAAAGTCTGAGACGCGGATCCGATGATTTGGATGATCGCCCGAACTTTCAGGCACCGTATTTACGTGCTACCCTTTTGGGACTAGTGGATTCCTCATAGTGATGGGTCTGATTATTCGGAGATTTTGATCTATATCCTGCAAATTTTCCCGAAATATATATATCGATTCTTCGATTGTCCCCCTGCACAGCCTTATGAGCTGGTCTTCCATTGTGGATAAGCTGGTGGCACAACCGACGGCTCCTCTGAAGGGCTCCCAAATAGTGTCGGCCGTGTCTTTGTTTCCTCCAAAGCCTCCTCAAATTTTGCAGCCGCCTTTTCCGTGGCACGCCCACCTTTCGATGTAATTCCGCGCTGGTTGTATTAGCCACTGACTCTATCAAGCTTTTTAATGCCGTAAATCCGATCTTACTTGCTTCTTCGGGTCCATATTATGGAACCCGCCAGTAGCTCGAGCTTTTCCACCTTTCTTTCCACCCTGGTGACCGATGGCCGACAGCTCTTCTTGTGATCGGTTTGCAAAGTTACCTGGATTTGGGTGTTGAATGTATGCTGCGGTGGCGACTCCAGGTCCGAATTTGGCCACGAAGGGCCTCGATCGAAGGAGCAGTGTAAATCCGTGTAAAGGGCGTAGCATTGTTCTTTCCATCATGAACGATTTGTTCCTTTTAATTCAGGTATCGAGTCGCCAAGCTGTCGCGAAATATTTCTGTATGATCTTGCTAGGGCGTTTCACAAAATAGAATATCGCCCACGCTCTCCAGGAAGACGAGATGACTATATAACGTTCCGGCCAAGAAGTTTGCCTTCGCAGCCACATGGCTGTTTTGCCAAGTTCACAGATAAAAGTCGCTCGGAGATCGTTCTGGACCATTCATCTGATGTCATGTTCAGTTCCTTCTCGCCCCCAGACTAGGTGGCGAGCAACCAAACCTGCCCTATAGACTCTTTCCAAATACGGATCGTCTTCAGACGGTTGCACGGATTGTGACAAATGCTTTTCGCCAGTCAAGATATTTCACGCTCGCTGCTCTCTATCAGAACTTCAAAAGACCCTCAAAGCGGGCTTACAGTCATCAAATATCTTTACTGAGAGAGATGCAGTGGAAATTGTACACTCTTCGGTAAACCAGGCCAAGTGGGCCTTGGAACTTGGAAGATCTTTGGAACTCAATTTTCGACGTGAAAACAAAATCAGAACTGCACAGCATTCTTCGAGACCATCACGAAGCTCGCCGACAATGGTCAACTAAAATTTTCCGATGTCATGCGATGATACTAGGTTACGGATCACCGGTCTCGCGACCCCGGCGGAGCAAGGAGCAAAGAAAGCTTATCGGCCCCACCGTTTCCCCTCATAGACGCAAGCTCCAGAGCTCTTTACAGCTCACACTCATTCAGCAACTCCACCCAATATGCCACCATTTCCGGGGGGTCGCTGGAGCGCCGGCGGGTGATCTGTTATCATCAAACTCTGATTCCCGGCGGGGGCTCATACGTGTCCATGCTCCCGCTCGTGGAAAACAACACCGGCACCACGCATGTCATCCTTGCCGCCATTCATCTAAATGAAGAACCGGGTAACATCACGCTCAATGATGACCCGGCTGACAGTCCTAAGTTCGACCCGCTATGGGCCGAAGTGCCCCTGGTAAAGCAGGGTGGTCTGAAGGTGATGGGTATGCTCGGCGGTGCGGCGCAAGGCTCTTTCCGGCGACTCGACGGCGACTCGGACCAATTTGAGAGATACTACGGTCCTCTTCGGGATATAGTTCGCCGCTATGAACTGGATGGATTGGATCTCGACGTTGAAGAGGAAATGTCCCTCCAAGGCGTCATACGGCTCATTGATCGCCTCAAGACCGACATGGGCGACAATTTCATTATCTCATTGGCCCCCGTTGCAGCTGCATTACTGGGTGTTGGAAATCTGTCGGGCTTTGACTATCGAGAGCTCGAGCAGGCGAGAGCTTCCAAGATCGCCTGGTACAATGCGCAGTTCTACAACGGCTGGGGCCCCGCAGAGGACCCTCGCATGTATGCAGCGATCATCGCACAGGGTTGGGCCCCCCGTCGAGTTGTTTACGGTTTATTGACAAATCCTGGCAATGGATCGCAGGGCTACGTGCCTCAAGAGAAGATTGGACCCGTCCTTGGCACATTGGTCCAGCAGTTCCCGACTTTTGGTGGTGTGATGGGCTGGGAGTTTTTCAATGCACTTCCTGGGGAACGGGACAAGCCGTGGCAATGGGCAGCGCAAATGTCGCTCAGTATGGGTATGAAAGATGTTTTGACAGCGGCTGGCCAGTTGGTGATGGGATCGACGGTGCAAAACATGCTGCGTAGCATGCAAGGCCAGCGATAAGTCAAGACAGAAAGCAAGTATAAAGCAGAAACAATTAAGTGAATAGAAAGCACCTCCTCAATCAATGATCATCAATGATCAACTATAGCTGAACATCTTAACAAGAGACACGAGAGAAATCAGAAGGTGGGGATAACGTCATCACAACCACGCCCCTCGGGGAACACCAATCAACAGGATTAAATCCAACATTACCGCCCTGCGCTCGATTTCAAAGGTCTCACTTTTCCTTCCTTCCATTGTCAGGTCTTCAAGCTTGATCTTCGTCTCTGACTGATCCGCAACGATGGCATCCCTGCCGCGCGTAGTTGCTGCCGCCAGCTCCACTGCGGTCCGCTTATTTGCCTACATCTTCCTAAGATGGGTAAGGCATATTTCCACATGATTCAGCTCTCCTGAACTGACGGCTCTAGATCCCGGGTCATCCGTTCGTGGGCATCATCTTGACCTCACTGGTGGTCTATTTCTCGTCCCTCTGGTTTGTACTGCAAGACCAGGGTGCGTCCAACGAGCGCGACAGGAGGAAACAGAAGAACACTGCCAGTAAGCCATATTTATGATTGAAATCAATTCAAGATTCCTAATAAACTTCTAGAGAGGCCTTTGAAGTCAGATGGAGAAGAGCCCGGCGACTCCGTGCTGAAGACACTGTTGACGGGGCTTCCTTCAAAGCGGTCGCCGCTATGGACCTGCATAACCGCGCTCATCAACATTGGTGTGACCCTGCTAGCACTCGACTTTTTACTTCGGAGTATTGTGACCTGGCCTAGTACCGATGCCGCTTTCTCACGTATTGGATACGTATCACCAACTACAGCCAATCTGCTCTTCCGTGAGCCAGACACGGCACAGTTGCCAGTGATTGTCTCCTACCAACAATTTGAGCCGACCTCTGAGAAATGGATACAGGAAGGCACCGTCTACAGGATAGACAACAGCACTGACTTCACAACCTCTTTGACATTGAGAAATTTGAAACCGTCGACGCACTACCGGTATTCGCTGTCTAATAACAAGACCGGCACTTTCGTCACAGCGCCACGGCCTGGATCTCCAGAGGCCAACAGACTGTCTTTCGTGACTTCCAGCTGCTTGAAGCCAAATTTTCCATACAACATCATGTCTCATCCATTGCGAGTTCCCGGGATTGAGTCCATGACTGAAGCCCTCGGAAAGCTACCAGCACTCCTCAAGCCAGCCTTTATGCTCTTCCTGGGTGACTTTATCTACATCGACGTTCCATTCCGCTTCGGCTCTTCAATAGACCACTACCGAAGCGAATACCGTCGGATCTACTCATCTCCATCATGGACATTTAGCTCAAAATATGGGCCAGCGATCGACCTCCCCTGGATCCACACTCTCGACGATCACGAGATCGAGAACGACTGGTCAAGAGGTAACAAGACAGCACCATACCCGGCAGCTGCCGACCCCTTCATTCACTACCATGTGAGCGCGAACCCGCCCGTCCCAGTGAAACCCTTCGCGCACCCAGACGACGTCACATACTTCTCCTTCGTCAACGGCCCGGCTTCATTCTTCATGCTAGACACACGAACCTACCGCTCCGAACCAACAAAGGAGAACTCCACAATACTAGGCTCGGCGCAGCTCCAATCCCTCCTCACATATCTAGCTCGTCCCGAACCAGCCGGCGTACGCTGGAAAATCATCTCCTCCAGCGTCCCATTCACGAAGAACTGGCACATCGGCACATCCGACACATGGGGTGGTTTCCTGAACGAGCGCCAGATCGTCTTTGAAGCGATTTGGCAAGCCGAGCGCGAACAGGGTGTCCGCATAGTCCTCCTCAGCGGCGATAGACACGAGTTTGCCGCGACGCGATTCCCAGATCCCGAACTCACCCTCTCATCGGATAAACTCCAGCCCAACACAGCCGGTCTAGGTGTCCACGAGTTCAGCGTTGGCCCGTTGAGCATGTTCTATCTTCCCATCCGGACATATTACCAAACAGATGACGATGATGTGTCCGTAAAATATGCACCGGACGGGAATAGCAAGTTCGGGCTCATTGATATCGCGGATGATTTCGAGGAGGCTGAGCCGAATGCTTCATCCCCTGCTCCCGTGCGCAGTTCTGTGCTCACGTACTCGCTGTATGTGGATGGTGAGGTCGTTTGGAAATACCGTCTCAGTGTGCCTCATGAATATGACCCACCTGGTCGTACGCGCTCTGGAAAAAGCTGGATTCTTCATCCTGGTCGGGTCATTGAGGACAAGCTTGTTGCAGAGGGATGGGGTGCTGTTTTTGAGACGGCCCTTGGGACCGCGGAAACTCTTGGGAAGGCTTTGATCCAGAAAGGAACGAAGTTGTATTACGAGGTTATAGAGAAAATTGCTAGAGGAAGGGAGGCTTGATTAGGGCGTTTCAAGAGACTGCGGCCAAATATTCGGGGCCTGACAACCATTTTGCGGCCGCTCTATTTTCCAATGCTTCACCGTCTGTCCCCATATCACAGGACAGCTCGATAGATCGAAATTAATTTCACCATCAAAAATTAAAACTGTTCTTTTTCTTTTGCAATTGAGAAGCTATATCAACCCTAGTGGCTTCGCCTGACAAGATCCGTGAATATAAAACAAACGATCGATCAATCAATAAGTGGAGCCCGAAGTACTACAATTGAGGAATTTAGTGATCCTGTCATCCATCCACTCGTCATCGGTCTGGTTAGAGCCGCCTCCCGCCATATGACCCCAGATTGATGGGATCACCGCTATTTCTCCCTTCTGTAGACACATTACTTCTTTCCCGCTAGCCTCCCATTTGAAGTACTGATCAGTTCGGCAAGGCATGAGGAGAACCCTGCTGGTCAAAGTGCGGAGGGCATCTTCAAGGGACCCCGATCCGACCACAGCGCTAAGATCTGACCGCTGCCACATTCCAAGTAAGGCGAGTAGATCATCCGGGTGCCAATCTTCGTACACTTTCTCGCCAGCGGCAGCCCAGTCTCCTAACGTTTTATGGCCAAACTTTTCAAACATACGGTCCTCAAACCACTCAGCACTAGCTAGCCAAGCGGAGTATGCCTGTGAAAATGCGTGTAGACCTCGAATTGGTTGTTTGCCCTCGGATTGAAAAGAGCTATCGTTATAATCAACCGAGTTTAGAAGTGCATTTTTAGGACCTTCCAGGAACTGGTAGTTATGTAGGCTGGTTTTAGCCGCCGAGCAGATAATGACCGCGCTGTGGACTATTTGAGGGTATAAGGCAAGCCAATAGTAGGCGTTTTGCCCGGCCATTGAGAATCCCAGTATAACATCCAGAGAAGCAATCTGCAAGTGATTGATTAACTTATACTGGGCCCTGACACAGTCCCGATAGTCAAGGTGGGGGAAATCAGGCGTATTGGATGGGCTAGCAGATTCACCGTTGCCAAAAAGGGCGACTACAATCACTCGGTGATTGCGAAGTGCTCCATTGGTGAAATTCATCGTACTGTTGATTCTGCCGAGGAAGCATGTTGAGATCAAGGCGGTTTTCTGACTTGTGGGGTTGAACTCTCGATATGCCAGACGTACTGACGGGAGAGTGGCGCCCGTGTGAAAGGTGAAATCCCTCGATTCCAAATACCGAATGCCGGTTCCATCGTACGTGGATGCCATTGTGCGAGATGAGAGATGACGAGCTTTGAATTGCGAGATATGTATAAATAGCGGGTAAAGAGAGGACAAGTATTCATTCACTGTGCGAGCTTACTCGACGCTACTAACTTTGCTATCGCTCAGCTATAAACCTAACCTAATTGAACGGCCACCCGGAGAACATAGTTGAGTCATCGGAGTCCGGGCTTAGCCCGAATTATAGCGTCCGAGGTGAAACATAGGACTGAATGCTTAGTTCGACGCCGCTGGGAACGGGCATTAACAGGCCCAGTATTGGTTGCTACTCCTAAAACTCTGTTGTAGACAGCGTTATTCAAAAGAGGGTTCGAGAAGGAATCTCCGGAGATGGTGAACCTGATTTCAATCCATCCGTAGTTACTCGGCACTGAGAATAGAAATAATAATCAACCAATTCTGATATGGACAACTCGTGAATTGTGCAGTTTACATGATATACGGTAGAGAAAACAACGCCAAACACCAGTCCAGATGCAAAGTTGATGAGCCACGAGGGAGCATGCAAGAAGTCGAAGACAGGTCGTCCAAGACTACCGTCCTCGTCCTCGTCCACCTCCGCCACCACCACCACCCATGCCGCCCATGCCGCCCATCAAACCGCCCATCTGGCTCATCAGACTCTGCATATCCATGCCAGCCGGCAAGCCAGGCATACCACCACCACCACCACCACCACCACCACCCTGGCCACCACCCATCATCTGCATCATCTTCTGGATATCGCCCATACCAGGCATACCACCCATACCGCCCATTCCACCGGCACCACCCATGGCCTGCATGCGCTTCTGCATGGCGGCCATCTGCTGCTGCTTGTTTCCGCCCTTGAGCATGTCCTGCGCCTTCTGCATCTGCTTCTTCTGGCCTCCGACTCGCTTGGCCATACCGGCCATCATGCGATGCTGAGAGAGCAGGTCCTCGACTTCGCGGACGGTGGTACCGCTGCCGTGGGCGATGCGGACCATGCGACTGGGTGAGTCGGTGAAGAGATTTCCGTCGCAGTCCAACTCGGCGGCTGTCATGCTGTCGAAGATGTAGACCATGCGGCGAAGTTTCAAGGAGCCGTCTTCGTCGTCCAGACCCTGGGTCAGGTTGGAAAGACCCGGGATCATGCCGGAGAGCTTGGACAAAGGACCCATCTTCATGATCGAGGTAATGTTCTCACGGAAATCACGAATAGTGTAGATACCTTCCGCAATGTGCTTGTAGGTCTCCTTGGCGGCGGCGGAGTCCTTGGTGACGGCTTGCACGTGCTCGACCAAACCGGCCACATCGCCCATGCCCAAAAGCTTTTGGACGAATGCGCGGGGCTCGAATCGCTCAAGGTCCATCATGTGCTCACCGGTTCCCAGGAAGATAATAGGGGTGTTGGTAGCGGCGACGGCGGAGATGGCACCACCACCAGCGGCGTGACCATCTGTCTTGGTGATAATGATAGCACCGAAATCTGCGGTGGCCTTGAAAGCAGAGGACTGTCCCTCAGCGGCCTGACCAATGGTGCTGTCGAGAACCAAGATGGTCTGATCGGGTGTCACAGCGGTCTGAATCTGGGTCATCTCAGTGAACAATTCCTCCTCTTGACGGTGACGACCACTGGTATCAACGATAATGATATCAAAGCGCTCCTTCTTGAACTTAGCCACACCCTCAGCGGCGACAACGGCAGGATCGGTCTGCGTCAAGCTACCGTAGTATGGAATCTTGGCTTTGGTCGCGTTTTGCTTCAGCTGATCGAAGGCACCGGCACGGAAGGTATCGGCGCAGACCAGCGCGGTCTTGAAGCCTCGCATCTGGTAGTGACGAGCGAGCTTGGTACAGGTGGTGGTCTTACCCGCACCCTGAAGACCAACGAACATGATAACGTTGGAACGACCCTTCTTGGGGCGGAAGGAATCCGCATGGGGGTCGACCAAAGCCACCAGCTCATCAAAGACGGTCTTCTGGATCAAGCGCTTCTTGTTGGTCGCGGCGGGGATGCTGGCGAAGTTGACGCTGGACTTGATCGACTTTCGGAGGGTCTGGACGAGCTTGACGTTTACGTCTGCGGACAAGAGGGCAGCGCAGATCTCTTTAAGCATTTCATCGAAGGCCTGGCGGAGTTAGCGATTAGTTGGCCACATTAAGGCAAACGACACGACACACCTTTTCATCGAGGTTATTCGACCTCGTCATGTCATTGACGGCCGCATTAATGCGCCGTCCCAGATCCTGGAGGACCATGGTGAATAGATTATCAAACGAAGGTGGATGATGGATGGAAAGTGTGGAGGGGCGAAACCAACAGGCCAGGGAGGTCTAGTGCGGAGTGCCAATCGGAGAGCGGGAGTCTCTCACCGCCCCAAAAAAAAGTTGGTCGCTACGAAGTGATCTCTGCGCTGAACACTTATCTTTCCCCCAGCTTTTTTATTTTTCTGTCGTTCCAAGATGGTCGGCTCCTACTCGAAGAAGCGCAAGGTCGCTGATGGCATGAAGGGCAAGACTGCCCGCCCCAAGAAGTTCCGCAAGCAAGCCTTCTATCACAGCAGCTCCGAAGATGAAGAAGATGAGCAGGACGGCTTCAAGGCTGTCAATCTCGCCGATTCCGACGAAGAAGAGGATGGAGGTGTCAAATTGAAGGGACGCGCTGCCATCGAGGCCAGACTGTCCAAGAAACCCAAGACTGCGCCTGCGCCGAAACAAACCCCCAGTCCTGAAGCCGAAGCCGAAGCCGAAGCCAAAGACCCTAGCGATGACAACGAAGCAAGTGAGGATGAAATGAACGACGAAGGAGAGAGCGACGCCTCTGGCTCCGAAGATGGAGAGTTCTCCGACGAGCCCATGTCAGAGGCAGGAGGAGCCAAAGGCCGACCCGTCGCCAAGCGTAACGATCCCGTCGCCTTCTCAACCTCTATCTCCAAAATTCTGTCCACCAAGCTCCCGTCATCCGCCAGAGCCGACCCCGTCTTGTCGCGAAGCAAATATGCCGCTCAGCTCAGCAGTGAACACGCTGACCAGAAGCTCGACAACGCCGCGCGCGCCAAGATGCGCGCAGAGAAGAAGGAAGAGTTGGATCGCGGCCGTGTCCGTGATGTGCTGGGTATTAAGAGCGGTGTGGCTGGTGATGTCGCCGAGGATGAGAAGCGTCTGCGCAAGATGGCGCAGCGTGGTGTCGTCAAGCTGTTCAACGCTGTGCGTGCGGCGCAAGTCCGGGGTGAGGAGGCCGCCAAGGGCGAGCGCCAGAAGGGAACTGTTGGTATGGGAGAGCGGGACAAGGCCGTCAACGAAGTCAGCAAGCAAGGATTCCTTGAACTGATTAATGGCAAGAAGGGAAAGCCGTTGAACATCGAAGAGGCTTAAAAAGTGAACCTTGGAAAGGCGCATGAATGTCTATGGCATGTTTTTCGGCGTTGGGATACTGTATCTTATCTGATTCTTTTACATTGTACCTAGTAAATCCAGGGCCTGTGAATTTCCTGATAAAGTCTCTTTGCTGTGTTCGCCATTTATCCAGGGCAGGTTAAATAAGCTCAATCTGGCTGCCTTAAGAAAAGGCAAGCAAACCCTAAGTTAAAAGTCAAGGTAGAATCGGATTGGTCTTGAAGTCGACAGTACACCGCGTCTCAGGGCAATGCTAGGGCCTTTCCTTGACATCTCAGACATAGTGCAGTTCTTCCCATTCAAGCCAATCAATAGCATGCTCCCTAACCCAATACCCCGATTGATTTTCTGTTTTCGAGTCATCCGATGGCTTCTCTGGTTGACTTCTCTCAACGCTGCGCCACACATGAGAATCACCATCTCTGAAATCCCAGTTGCCCTCTTTGAAAACACCACCCGTTTCTTTTGTTCGGTCCAGATACATCCAAAACGCCTTTGAGGACGGGTGAATTTACAATTCACAGCCTTGTTGAGCAAGGACACGGTAGAGTTCGTCTGCTCGGCCCAGTACTTTCTCAACTCTGGCCATCATAGCGTGGCGTGATGGTTGTTTGGACGATGAGTCTCGATTGGTCCGTAACACGAGCACGATGTTCTTACAAAGGCGAAAGTGATCCTGGAGGAGGGAAACAAGAGCATCATAGGCGCGCCATGATTTATTCTCAAGTTCAGATGTGTCTGTTCCCGAACTAGTAGTTGGGTAAAGGTGTGGAAGATTACAGTAAACAACGGCGAAATTCGCGCAAATTTGACGTTCGGGATATATAAATTGCACCCTGTTTACGTATCTAATCCAAATTCAGCTACCTCCGAGGCGAAGGAATATTGTATATTATGCAACAGCTATCTTACTTTAATTTTGCGCGCTTCACATGCCAGAAGATTCCGTCATGTGGGGAGAGTGTGGGGTGCAGGGCGCAAGTAATCGTGACATTGAGTGTCAAGGGCCAATTCTGAGAACTCTCGTTTTCGATGGTAGAGTGGTCGGCTAAAAAAGCCCGTTTTGTTTCCCGGTTAGACTCAAGGCTTGTACTTCCCAGATTAAGCTGGATGACGCCGGAATCGAAGGAGTAAAGACATCTTCTGATCCCTGTTCGACCTCGTATTCTGCGCATGATGTACAGAAGGACCAAAATGAGCAGCGATGCGCCCCGACAAGAGGGATAGAGAAATGCAGGATCTACGGGTATTCTGTAAGTTCCGGGTCGGAGTAGGAGGCTCCGGAGCTTAGGGTCCAAGGTTACCTCGGGGTTGCGTCGCGAATGGGCGCTAGGCTTCCATAACTAAGGCACGTGGAGTGCTACTTTAAACCCATGAGAAATTCGAAGAATTCGGTGGTCGGTGGCTTTAAGTTGAAATCGCCTTGTGATAACTAATATCGGAGGATGAGATCAACCTAGTTCAATCCGTACAAAGCGCAGCTTATCCCCGTGGCATGAATATCCCGGGCGAAGCGTACGGGCTTCGCCACGCCCGGCGCTATCACCGGGTCAAGCGACAGGCCCGCATCTATACGAGCATAGAAACATATATAGCCCTGCGCCCAGGATATCTTTCAATCCTCTGCTAGTAACCACAATTGCGAGAATCTCGACTTTCTATCAATTATTCCATAGGAAAGCAATCATGGGTGAATCGGTAGGCGGCTGGGAAATCGTTTCTGCGAGAAACCAAGAAGAGCGCAGTCTTGCTGATATTGGCTCTACGACTCCTTCCCACCTCACTCGGGTGTTGTACATCCCCAATCATGATGGAAGCCCGTCCCACCTTCCGATTCATGAAATCACCGGTCAGTATAAGGATACCGTGGGGAACCGTGTGATGGGAACGGCTTCGTATGCGGTGTCTTTGGGAAAGATCCCAAAGCCGCACATGATCGGTGATGGGGTAGCGACTCCCCTTGAGAACGCAATCTTTTATAATGTGAACATCGACAAGGCGGGTGAGGGTGATGCGCCTTTGACCTCGGTATTGGTGGTTCCATCATCTACCAAGTCCGTCCCGATACGCGTGGAAACAGATATGTATTTTTATTCACTCACCTCATCAAACCAAAAAAACTGGCTAACAGAAAGCATAGTAACAACATGGAATCTGCCGATGGTAAGGCCACTACTATCACAATGAAGCGACAAGAAGACGGTGCAGTGGCAGAAAGGCCGACCACGATGTCGGCTTCTTATCCCATCGCACCTCTAACATGGAGAAAGACCGTCTTCGTGCATCCTTACTTCGCCTTCCAACCTCCGGAGGAAGAGAAGGCATACTTTGAATGGCAGTTGCATCCGATTCCATATGGGCGCTTGCGATATACTCTTGTTCGCGTCCGAGGGATGCAGTCAACCGACGAGCCTGCTAAGCCAGGTCTTCCCTCAGACCATGAGATCCTGGCCATATACCACCACATCGGTGATGGAGTCTCGCTGCCACTGCCATACAGCGAAGGTGTTCTTCTCCTCTCCGGTGATCTGAAGCCTGAAACTGAGACCATGGTTGTCGCAAGTGCCTTCGGAATGCTGGGAGAGCTGCGTAGGCTATCTAAACCAGGAAAGACGGCAGGCTCCAGCAAAGAATCCAAGGAAGGGCGGTTCGGGTTTGTCAAAGGCTTGCTGAATAAGAAATGAGCATTATCCAAATAGTACAGGAGAGTTTTCATTCGGTATCTTGCAAGTCTGCTGGGAAATATTCAATGCAAATAGTACAGAGCCCTAATGGACTATCGAGGCTGTTTCCAGTCCTTATTTTGACTCAAAGTCGCTCGCCTGAAGATTCCTTGTCATCGTAGGTAGCCTGACCACCATTCCTTCCATATCCTTGGTCACAAGCACCTGACATCCTAACCGGGATGTCTCGGTCAGACCGAAGGCCAGGTCCAACATGTCGTTCTCGTCATCTGAGGGCTCCTCCATCTTATCAAACATGTCCGGGTCTTCCACGATCACATGGCAAGTCGAACACGCACAGGAGCCACCACAGGCACCTATTAAATCAATTCATCAGTCCTTTGTACCATACATATAATCGCTCCGATACGCGACTTGACATACCTTCCATCTCCAGGTCGTTGGCCTGCGCAATATCTAGCAGGTTGTCACCCTCCGCAACCTGCAATTTCACCTCGGCCCCGTCCTTTTCAATAAACGTGATGTTGATCCTATTGTCGCAATAAGTCAGCGTTACGTGTTTATCGACAGCGATCCGGAGAACTCACTCCTCGCCGGGCTTCGGCGGCGTGATGTGCCCGTGGGAAACATGCGCCGTGGCGGAGAAGGAGCGCTGTGCCAATTTCCACCCGTGCGACGAAGATCGAAGGCTCTTCTGTGCGGACATCCACCGGCTCGAGTTCGCGAGTCCTGCGGTCTTCGTTGGGTGACTGATGTATCTCCGCGATTGAGCCAGGCACAGCTCTCCGGTGGCCTTGGGCACGGCGCGGCGTAATTGTTGGCCGAACTCTCTCCAAAGGGCCATTGTAAAAGAAACAATTAAAGTAGAATAATCAAGAGAAAAAGGAAAGAGACGAAGAAGAAGGTGGGAAAAAGATCTGGGGCAGCGGAGGAGAGAGAGAGTCTTGGGCCAATTACCGCGGACGAAAAAAAAGACTGACAAAGCTAGTCGGAGACTCCTCGTCTTTCCCGAGCTTCCCTTTTATCCCCGAACCCAACCCAACCCACCATGGCCTCTCGTGAAGGGATCAATCCCTTGCGGCCCTATTATATTCCTCAGTCGGGTCTCTCGCCCAACACTACACAGGAACCGGCTCCGTCCTCCCATGTGTTTGGCAGTAGCGCGCGTGACTTCATCCCGGACCTCGACTATGGAGACTATCTTGACGCCTCGCCGTCCGTGTCCGACTGGGTTCGGGATGCCGTAAACCGAGCCCTTGTCCGCTACACTCAAGTCCTCACTGCGCAGCCCTTTGATGTGGCCAAAACAATCTTACAGGTGTACGTGGTGCCGGATGCCACTGAAGACCAGGATCGGAAGCCGACTCCGGCTGCTGGTGGTAGCTCCTACGACTCGGTATGAACATGTCTTACCAGGCTTGCTGAAGCTTAAAGCTGACAATCTCGCAGGAGTCCGAGTCATCGGACGATGAAAGCACCTACTTCACTTCAGCGGCCCCGTCAACGCCCACCCCGACCACCCCGCGCTCACGAAGGGGCCGACACCAGATCACCGACCGCAGTGGCTACATTCGTGCGGATGACCCTGCGACATCTAAACATGCGCTCGCCATCAAAAATCCGAGCTCGTTAATGGATGTGCTCTCCCAACTATGGTCGACCAGCGGACCAAGCTCCCCCTGGAAAGCTTCAAACGCCACTTTCATCTACTCGCTGCTCCTCCCGACTCTCAACACATTCATTCGCAGCTTGCTTTCAGCCATCGTGGGCCTCCCCGAGGAAGACATATCCTCGTCCATGACCGCCGACTTATTGACCGCATCGTCGCCCCTGGTCACCCTCCTCCTATCATTTATTTCGTCATCCGTCTCCGCGCTGGTGCTTTCGCCCATTGATACCGCGCGCACATTCTTAATGCTCACGCCCGCCACACACGGCCCGCGCTCGCTCGTCCACGCCATTCGCCAGCTCCCTACTCCCAACTGCACTGTCCCGCAGCATCTCGTCCCGATCACCATTCTCCACTCCAGTCTTCCCAACTTCATCATGACGTCGACCCCACTCTTCCTCAAGTCCTACTTGTCAATCGACCCCCTCCTCAACCCGTCCATGTGGAACCTGTTCACCTTCCTCAGCTCCGGTCTCGAACTAGCCGTGCGCTTCCCTCTCGAGACCGTTCTCCGCCGCGCCCAAATCGCTACATACACCTCTCTCAGTCTGCGACAGAAGTCCTCGGGCGGCAGCATTCGCGCTGCGTCGATTGATGCCTCCGATGTCGAGACCATCGTCCCTACCCCGCGCACCTACCGTGGTGTTGTCGGCACAATGTGGCACATCGTCCACGAAGAGGGCGTCAGCCCCAACCCCTCTGACCTCGAGCGCATCAGCCAAGCAACCGGCCGACCGACCACCCAACGCCAGCTTCAAAGGCGCCAACAGGGTCAGGGTATCCAAGGTCTCTACCGCGGCTGGCGCGTTGGTATGTGGGGTATTGCAGGTATCTGGGGCGCCAGCCTACTGGGCGGGATGTCCGGAGCCGGCGAGGAAGTAGTGACGATGCGCGGTGGCCATGGCCGCTCTAGTGGTGGACAGTTCTAGGGGCCCCATCTTCTTTACGAAAACACCACTCGCTTGATTGATGATTGATTGGCTTTTGTGGACCCCCACTTCCCCTTCTCTTCTTGTTACCCATTGCTGGCACTGGCCGAGGATGTATCTTTTTACGCTGATTATGTTTCTTCGACTCTCCCCTCCTCCCACTGCTCACACCGTATACCCCAGGGAATGGATCCGGCGGCAGGCGAATGGCGTGACTGTCTCGCACCTTGTACAAAACTGCACTTACATAGCAATCATTAATTCTGATGAATCTAAACTTTTCTGTTATCATACACGCTGAATTTGGTTTGTTCTTATGATAGGGGTAGAATCGGATAATAGAGAAAAAACAACAACTTCGTGTACGATATCAAATCATTCCATTCATCAAAACAGTATATACATGCCGCACAAAAAAAGAAAAAAAAAACAGGCCAGTCAAATCCAAGCCGTCTAGGAAGAGTGGAATCAGAATAGCAAACCACAGAGCCAACCACAGACCAGGTTCATATCGGTCAAGTCTCCGCGCTCCCAGTCTATAGAGAACCAGGTAACATTGAAGGGTAGTAGAAAACCAAATGGATGCTTTTAGGGGGTGCAAGGTGCAGATTTGAGGGTGAGACAAGTCCTCGAGGCGTCAAACGTCAAAAAGGGAAAAGGAGGGTAAAGAATCAAGGTGGACCGTATGATGGTACATGGAGCAATCGGGGAAGTGGGTATCAAAGTGCCCCCGTAGGGAGGGGGGAAAGAGTCCGATGCAGAAATCAAAGAGACATGGGGAATGATTTATTTCTCAGCGAAGCGCCGATCGAAATAGCGGAGCACGCCCATGACACTGGCGGCTTCAACTTCCATCGCTGCTCGGCCGCTGCGCTCGGCCAGGGCCAGATCACGAGGATTCGGCAAGGTGTGTAGCTTCGGTAGCCAGGATGAAATCTCATCGGAGGCCTTGGAGAAGTTTGGATGGCGGGACAGAGTGGTGAAAGCATCAGCGCAGCTTAGGGTGAGCTCAGAGGGCGTAGGGGGCTTGGATGGGGCAGGCCGCGGAGGCATGGAGGGGTTGTTACGCGTGGCCGGGGTGGCGGGGGCATTTCGAGACATGCAGCATCCCCCGTCGGTTCCCTTTCCACCGCAGCAGCCACCTCCCGTTGGAGTTCCGCTCGCTGACCGGGAGGCTGCCAGCGTCTTGCAAAAAAGGGTGCTGCGAGGGTCGGACTGGCATTGGGCGCAGGTTCCGGGCCCGTTGGCACACGGGTTGGTCGCCTGGCTGATAGGGGGGAGAGTCACTTCCGAGCGGACGTCGCTTTCGGAAGGAGGAGGGGTGAACTGTGAGATGGATTGAATTGGAGCGAGGCGGGGGGCTTCGAAGGAGCTGCGGCGGCCGCGCTGCTGCTCTTGGGCGGCCATCTCGGCACAGATGCAGGGTGTGCCATCCTGGCAGAAGCCGCATGGGTCGACGGGTGGCGAAGAAATCTCGTTGTTGTGATTGTGTGAGCTAGACTGGGCGGGAACGCCGGCGAAACGAGAAGTGAAGTCGATCTCCATCTCCTCCGGGTCGGGCTTGATCACCGGCTCTGCGAGCTCTCGCTGCGGGCTGCCCACTCCGTGAGGCGGGTGTCTGGGACGAGTAGACCCGAAGGCATCGTTGGGCATAGCAAAGGCATCTTCAATACACTGGCAGTGTGTGTTGGAGCAGCTGGAGCAACCCAGTGGCACGTTCTCTGCGCCTTCTTCGCGGTTACGCTCGGCATTGGTAGACTCAACGCCCTCCATGCGGGAGCTTCGAGTAGACGGGCGATTGCGAGGTGGCAGAGGCACAGAGTCAGGAATGGAAGATAATTTGGCGCTGCTTGAGCCAGAAATGGAAGTTCGGAATTCCTTGACGATAGCCTCCTTCGCACTGCGTTCGATGGAAACTTCTTTCTCAAGAGAGTGGCATCGGTCGCGCCACCAGCCTATCTCCTCCCGGCATTGTTCCACCTCACGCGAGAGATCACTCACCTGCTCGGTGAAAGCGGCGATGCGAATGTCGTGGCCATCCTCAATCTCCTTCATCTGCTCTTCGAGTTCTTGGACTCGTGCGGCCCGGCGCTCACGGAAAGCTCGCTGGGCAGCTCGGTTCTGAGCCTTACGCTTGGTCGGAGGCGTATCGGTCGCTGGTTTGCGGCCGGGCTTGGGACGGGGGGGAATGACCCATTCTTTCGTGGTGATGGAGCCGGGGGTGCCAGGTCCAGGCGACGGGGCCACGGACGGCGTCATTGAAGGTCGAGCGGCCAACATAGGTGCAGGAGCAAGAGCCGGAGCAGGCGTCATCGACACGCCTGTCATGGCCATGGTGATGGCGAAATCACAAGTTCTGGGTTGCCAGTTAGTGGGAACATTAGAGGGGGCACGAGGTCGGGCGGGCTCGGGACACGCACAGGCCTTCTCGGTCGGAAGAGCGGAAGTGCGCTCATATAAACCCGGTAAGCGAGACAATGAGCTACGCAAAGAGGAATGGGCAGGATTAGCTTCGAGGATGAAGTAAGCCTAAGTCAAAAGCCACAGGTAAGGATAGAATTAAGGTATCTCCAGGTGTCGGGGTTGGGAGGGGGAAAGTAGGAAAGGAAAGGGAGAAAAGAGCGATGATCAGATTAGATTATGCTCACATGATGCCGGTTTCGGATGTGCGAGTCGGGGCTTGCTAATCCTCAAGAGGCAATGAGATCCATCTGAACCTGAGAGAGTTTTTTGTTTGATTTTATTTGATTTCATTTTATCTGATCCGTGTAAACGTAAGGGTGGAGGCCGGAAAACTGCACCGACGAGTGGGCTGACGCTGATTTCTCTGGTTTTCCTTTCCCCTCGCCAATCGCGTCTCCATCGTGGTAAATACCAAATTGGGGAAAGACCAGTTCTGAGCTAGGGTAAATATGTGACGAGCTACTGTACATTCCTGGTTGCTTTAAAAACGACTCGAGATTACTCAGGTTTCTTAAAGAGAAAAAAGAAAAAAAAAACCTCCCCGGTCGCAGGGCTAGAAGGTCCGTGATGGGGTGTCTAATCCTTGGTCCATGGATGGATCAAACCCCCTCCCTCGCCTCCTTCGGGCTTAAGCCCGTCCATTTACTAGCAGAAACGGCGATTCAACCAATCAGCCAGACTATGTCGAAATCTCTTTTCCCGAGCCAAGAGGCTAGCGGTGAAGGTATGGATCGACAGGCTGGGAAACTGGTACCGTCGAGCCCTAACGCCGCTCTCGGGCTCTGATCTTATCTGATCACGCTAGCCTACCCTCTTGCGTTCTTCTTTGGGCAATCCGAGCAACGCCGATCCACTTTTTGCGGTTGATCAATGATGCTGCGAGGCAAGTTTCATCAGTGGACACGAACCAGTCTCTCTCAATGATTTGTCGTCATTGAGTTGGCCGTCATGGGTTTTACGTCTTGGCTCCCCCACATCCGGAAATCTCTTATCAATCAGTGGCTCCCTCCATCCCTTCTCTACCCACCGCAAGCCGAACGAGGGCCGAAAAACGGATCAGTCATTCAACTCGGGTTGAGGGAAATTTCCTCAACTATTTGATTATAACTACAGCTCGGGTGGAGAGATTAAGGAACGGATCACGCAAGATGTTCTTTCTACATTCCGGAACTCAAATCGGTCGACAATTGTTGAATTTGGCTCGGGCTCGGTAGCACTGGAAGGGCCGATGACCCATTACCCTTCTAACGGGCTCCGCTGGTTTCTAGGGCTGCAGATACCCAAGTGGATTCGGCTCGAAGGTCAGCACAACTTCAGAATTGGGGGTTCATAGGAAAGAAAAGATATGTATTTGCGTGTAATGAACGTATGTCATGTCAAAGTAAAACAAAGAAGCCTGTTACATAATGGCCTAGTTAAAATTGATCCATCCATATTTGGGTAACTACCCTCCAGGGCTAGCTAATGTTATACAAACTTGCCGGCCGGGAACCGATCACATCACCGTCAACTTTGGCGCGCCGTCCGAAGGAGGAGCAGAGTGTCTGGTCTGCACAAAGATCTTCTGCATTCCCTGGTCGCGCTGATCAAAGGCAGCATAGACTTTTTCCATATCCTCAAGGCGCACGCGGTGAGTCACCATGTCTAGCGGGTTAAGTTGCCCATTCTGGATGAGCTCCATCAATTCTTTCCAATATTTGTGCACAGGGGCTTGTCCGTTTCCGATCAACCGAACCCCAGTCTCCATAAGGGCTCCAATGTTGAAGTGGTTGGTCTGCACGTATGAGAAGTTGTCTCGTTACGGGGTTGAGCTAGAGTTACTCACATATGCTGCATAGATTCCAGTCACACCCACTCGTCCAAATGATCGGACTGATGTGATCATCTCGTTGAGAATCTCCGAACTATCAGTTTCAATTCCCAGCATCTGCTCAAAGTAGTGTACCCGCGTATTCGCCCGCTGCACACTCCAGGGCAACATCAGGTCCACCATGAACCATCTTCTTGAGTTGTGATGTGACCGATTCGCCTTTGGGTAGATCGGTGAAGTTAAGGGTCTCGACCTCGGGAACTTTGGTTTTTACATAGTCCAACCGCCAGGCCCCGTTGCCACCGTCAATCATGATGACACGATCGGCACCATGGAAAAAGCTGAATTGGGCACACATCTGACCAATGGGTCCTGCGCCCCAGATGGCAACCACGTCTCCTTTCTTGACACCGGTGTCAACCACGCAGTGCCAGGATGTTGCCAGAACATCAGACAAGAACAGCGCCTTCTCGTCGGGTACATCATCGGGAATTGAAAGAAGGTTCACATTACCATAAGGAACCCGAAGATACTCGGCTTGGCCGCCGGCGAAGCCGCCCGTGAAATGCGAATACCCAAACATACCAGCTGTTCGCTTTCCATAGAGTGCATTCTCGATGGTGTTTTCGTTGGTTCTTTCACATTGCGAGAAGAGCTCTTTCTTACAGTTCGGGCAGTCACCGCATGCGATGGGGAATGATACCACAACTCGGTCGCCGACTTTGACCTTATCGGCTTCGGGCCCTACGCTCTCGACCACACCACAGCATTCGTGGCCAAGTACATCACCTTTCTCCAGCTGTGGAATGACACCTATAGGATATCGCGTGAGACCAAGATTCACATATGCTGACGGAGCAGCTTACCATGATACAAGTGAAGATCGCTCCCACAGATGGTGCTGCCGGTTATCTTGACGATCACATCACCTGGATCGACCACTCTAGGCATGGGCATTTTCACTGAGAACATTGCTGTTAGAATGACAAAGTTGGGTAACGCACTATCAGATATTCGTACCAACTTTGACCTGGTTCTTGCCATCCCAGATCGTCGCTTGGATTAAATTCCCAGTCTCCATTCCATGTTCATTATTATAGTTGCTCACGTCGGTCGTGATCGATGCATTTTCACCATGACCGACAGCCTTCTCTACCAAATTGGCAGCCTGAGTGAACGCCATGACTGTCTCGTTTCGTGTTTCAAAGTTTTAGCAGGATTGATACCTAAATGATCTGTGATTTTGAAGTGCGTTATGCAACGGTAGGACTACTTATATCACACGCTCAATAATCGTCATCGCGACCTGGCATCTCAGGTTCATCGATGCACTTGGAAATTCGTACATGAAGCAAGATTTCCTACAGGTTCGGATAGCTCACCGCTGACATCACTATGAAGTCGGCCCGCCTCGTCCAGTCTCGATACCGCCAATCGAACCGGATAAGGCGGTCAAAGGCTATTTGGTTCCTTGAAACTACTTTTTCTTGTATCCTGATCGATACAGTACTTCCGGAAATCGATGTCACCACCTACACACTCTCTCTTCCTGGTGTCAAAGCACGCAACCCCGTTTTAGCAATAGACTAATAATATCACCGGTCTAGACCTTTTACCGTAAAATGATACTGGCTTATGTTTAGTACCTGTCAGAAATTAGTGCAGCGGTTCAGAGGCAGACGGTCACCTGATCGTGGGGGCTGAGAATGTCCCTACGCTTTCGACCTTCACTAACAACATGATTGTATCCACGGCCTGTTGACTATGGCTTCAACATCATTTGGTAACGAAAACTCGGGGCATCAGGTGGGGATTAATAATGGACAGATCTATATCTCATCCGGTACGTGTCATGAAGCCCTTTCTTTCTAAGCCGGGTCAAATTCATTGACAGTCACTCTTTTGGTCCAGACCGACAGGAAACCCCACAGCAGAGAATAGACAACGGTTCGCATCGCCTTGTATCATCCAAAGAGGCTATCGCTAATCATAGTGGTAGAGGTGCTTAGGTCACTGGCATTCCCGCAGATGCTAGATCGGAGAGACAATATCGAGCCATGTCATCCCAATACCTGCCAGTGGATTTTGGAGTTAGAAAATTACAAGTCCTGGAAAAGCCAGTCCCGCGGTCTCCTATGGATTAAGGGCAAGCCAGGTGCGGGCAAATCGACCTTGATGTTATTCCTGCACGATAAACTCAAGATACCGCAAGACGGGGATCATGGTATTCGACTCGACTTTTTCTTTACCGCTCGGGGCACAGAGATGCAACGCACACCGCTAGGGATGCTCAGGTCGTTGCTAAATCAAATTTTTGACCGCGACACGACGGTACGCGCTCAGGTACGCGAAGCCTATGAACAACGATGTAGGCAGTTTGGGTACGGTGATCGTTTGTGGGAATGGCCACGAGTTGTGTTAGAAGAGTTACTAGCCAATACTATCCTGGCATCCGCCAGTCGGCAGCACATAGTGATTTTTGTTGATGCTTTGGATGAGGCTGGGGCTGAGTCCGCTCAACAGCTGGCAGCATATTTCCATCGGCTTATCTATCGCGCGGAAAAAAGGGATGTGGCCGTTCGAATTTGTATTTCATGTCGACACTACCCCATCGTGGAGAGTGCCCGCGCTAGGGAGATATATGTCGAAGACCATAACCATGATGATATCGCCACATATATCAAGGGCATCTTTCCTGACGCGGAGGTCGGAGACAGTCCGGGTCAGGAGACAGGGGAAGCGCTGGCAGAGCAATTGATCCAGCAATGCAACAGGGTGTTCCAATGGGCCCATCTCATAATGCCTCTTATCAGGCAGAAGATTTCCGAAGGGGAATCGTTTGATGATATCCGTCACTGGTTACATGAGGTCCCAGCCGGCCTAGAAGACGTGTATACGTATATTCTGAACAATGTGATCGAGCGCAGGAATCGAGCGCAGTCGTTCTTATTATTTCAATGGGTATCCTTTGCCGAGCGGCCCCTGACTGTGACAGAAATGCGGTATGCCTTGGCAGCTCAGAATGCTGAAGTGACGTTTTCCCAAAATACATGGGAGAAGATTGACGGGTTTGTTGAAAGCAACGAACGCATGAAGCGAAGAATCCAGGCCCTTTCTGGTGGACTAGCCGAAGTGGTCTTAAGCGAGAATCATAACGAGACAGTACAGGTAGTACACCAATCGGTCAATGATTTCTTACGCGCAAAAGGACTAGGGCTTTTGTGTCACGATATTGGCACCAGCACGTTGCCTGTGGACAGTGAAAAGATTATATATCAATGCCAGGCAATCCTCTACCGAACATGTCTGGTTTATCTAGCCACAGTACATATGCCTCGGAAAATGTTGAATGATCTTCAAAGGATAGAAGAGGAGTCCCTTCAGGAGTGGCCGTTGCTTACTTACGCTACATACAACCTATTCATTCATGCGGAAAAGGCTGCCGGTTCTCGAGCGGACGTGCTACAAAATGAACTAGATATACTACAGCGAGTGATTGGTCGATGGGTCCAGATTTACCAGATCCTAAATCGCTTAAACCAGATGTGCCCACCAAAAGGTACGACAATCTTGCATATGGCTGCAGCTGCCAATCTAGTTGATATTATAGAGTCTGTGGTGTCGAACGGTGGGGATATCACGAACAAAGACAGAATAGGAAATACAGCTTTCCATCTAGCAGCGCGCCACGGTCATTTAACAGCGGGCAGAATACTCGGGGAGAAGGGGGCAGACCACGAGGCAAAGAATGACAAAGGGATAACACCATTAATCGAGGCGGCCAGCTGTGGGCATGTGAAGTTTGTCGAATGGCTCCTGAATGAGGGAGCGAAGGTTGAAACAAGTGCTAGAAGTGAAGGGGCATTGCAAGCAGCTTCGTTGAGAGGTCATCAACGTGTGGTGGTAATATTGCTTGGAGCCGGAGCCGATATGAATGCCCAGGGTGGTGAATATGGCAATGCCCTACAGGCTGCTGCATACGGAGAACATACGGAGATAGTGCTGATGTTGCTCGATGCCCACGCCGATGTGAATGCCCAGGGTGGTAGATATGGTAATGCCCTACAGGCCGCTGCATACCAAGGAAGCACGGAGATAGTCCGCATACTGCTCAACGCTGAGGCCGATGTGAATGCCCTAGGTGGTCAATATGGCAATGCCCTACAAGCCGCCGCTGCCTCCCCCTTCTGGGGACACACGGCGATAGTGCAGATATTGCTCGAGGCCCACGCCGATATGAATGCCCAGGGTGGTAGACATGGTAATGCCCTACAGGCCGCTGCATACCAAGGAAGCACGGAGAAAGTCCGCATACTACTCGACGCTCAGGCCGATGTCAATGCCCAGGGTGGTGAATATGGCAATGCCCTACAGGCTGCTGCATACGGAGAACATACGGAGATAGTGCTGATGTTGCTCGATGCCCACGCCGATGTGAATGCCCAGGGTGGTAAATATGGCAATGCCCTACAGGCTGCCGCCTTCGGGGGACACACTGAGATATTCCGCATACTGCTCAACGCTGAGGCCGATGTGAATGCCCTAGGTGGTCAATATGGCAATGCCCTACAAGCCGCCGCTGCCTCCCCCTTCCGGGGACACACGGCGATAGTGCAGATATTGCTCGAGGCCCACGCCGATATGAATGCCCAGGGTGGTAGACATGGTAATGCCCTACAGGCCGCTGCATACCAAGGAAGCACGGAGAAAGTCCGCATACTACTCGACGCTCAGGCCGATGTCAATGCCCAGGGTGGTGAATATGGTAATGCCCTACAGGCTGCTGCATACGGAGAACATACGGAGATAGTGCTGATGTTGCTCGATGCCCACGCCGATGTGAATGCCAAGGGTGGTAGATATGGTAATGCCCTACAGGCCGCTGCATACCAAGGAAGCACGGAGAAAGTCCGCATACTGCTCGACGCTCATGCCGATGTGAATACCCAGGGTGGTCAATATGGTAATGCCCTACAAGCCGCCGCTGCCTCCTTCTGGGGACGCACGGAAATAGTGCAGATGCTGTTAGATGCGCGTGCAGATATCAATGCCCCGGGTGGTAGATATGGATCACCCCTTCTGGCGGCTGTTTATCTGGGCCATGCTAATCGAGTTCAGATGCTTCTTCACGCTGGCGCAGATGCGTTGCTTGCAGATGAACTCGACCAGACTCCTCTTCATATTGCGGCCTTGAAAGATAAGATTGACCTTCTGAATCGATTCCCGCTGCTCGCCTCGGCTATCAGCAACCGGGATAAGTTTTTACGAACCCCGCTTCACGTGGCTATTTGTCTTGGTCACATTGAATTTGCTAAAAAGCTCCTCCACCTTGGTGCCAATCCTTCTCTTCTAGATGGTTATGGTAGAAATATCCTGGACTGGGTAGTAGGAAACGAAAGCCTGATGCGCCAAATTCAAAACCACAGCCCTGCGATTGTCGTGACCCCCGATGATACTCAAGAATTGACTGTTCGTCATTCAATCCTTCAGACCTCAGATACGCTTCTTCATTCAAGGCTGAACTCTCCATGGCCACTTGTGCAACAATTAGGTCGCTATTTCTTGTTTCTCGATGACGTTAACAATGCCCACTGTCTATTTCACCTAGCCTTGTCTCAGGGAACTTTTGTCCCCACCGGTATATATAAGATCGTCTGTGACCTTTGCTCAGAGGCTATCACCGAGTCTCACTTTGTGTGCAGAATATGTGCCTACGTGGATCTATGCTCGTCTTGCGTACAGAAGTACCCCTACCACAGTCGATTACACCCATTTCAAGAGCACAAGACCTTTGAAGTGTTATATAGGCCTGAAAACCAGTCCCAGATCACTAGTTCGGCATCAGAGCAATTGAGCTACTTTTTGAGCAATATTATACCCGAGATTTCTGCGCCAAGGACCGATAGAACTGAGGTGGAGCCATCAAATGATTCCATGTCTTGCCCGGCACCCAAAAAGAGAGCCTTAGTTTCAAGGGCTATTTTAGGTCCAACAACAATACTCTGTGCTCTTTTGTTCGGGCTTTCAGCAGTTTTGTTGAGAAACTGGTACTTTTAGATCAGTTTGAATCCATTTCCACAGTTCACCGTCTCTGGCTTGTTATAATTGAAAAACGATTGCTTTCACCTACAAGTAATCTAAAGTAAGCTATTCTCTCTTGTTATACTGTCGTGACAAATCTGCTTTTCAGAGGTCGTACTATTAAGAAGATGCTAGTGTCTTTTTAGCATTCTAGCTATTGAAATGGGGATGGCTCGATGGCTGAATCACCCGGGGTTTGGGGTGAGCAGTTTGCTTACGCGTAAGACCCACTTCGGCTACAACCGAGAGCTAAGGACCAGGCGGTGCTACTGTCCACGAGTCAGGCTGAAAGATAGTCAGAATTGCAAAGGAGTTCGAGCTACACGCTGGTTCAACACAGCTCTACTCCGCTCAGTTCCACCGTGAAGTCAGCCAGCACCAGCAACTTCAGAGCCCCTTCCGGGTACATCAGGAGCTTGAGCTTTCTCATTGTTTGGCATCCATGGCTCAAGGTACGGATAGATCAGATTAGTTTTCTATAATTTCGATTTGACTTTGTTTGAAATAGCAGATATGCCCCTATTAATCCCAATGCTCGCGGTTGGAGGAATCGTCATTTGGAATTCGCGACAGCCGAGCTCCAACTTCACTAAATGGCAGCGTATTGTCCATCGGATGGGTGTGGTCTTCTACCTTATTGGTCTATGCGCCTTTGTGGTGTCTTTTTTATGGCGAGGTAAAGTGATTAACCACCTCCTTATTAGATCAACCTACTGATCCTATAACAGTCGTCGCGTGCCCAGAGGATAAGGTTATAGCGGGACTCGTTTCTGAGGTCAAACGTTACTTTTCAGACGTCCCTACAATCTCGAAGATTCTTTTTTCGGTGTCTGCAGTCCTTTTCCTTTTCGCTCTTACTTCGTGTGTGGTGGTTTTTCTACGCAGTGGTTCGTCGACCGCCCTTCGTTTGGTTCCAGGAACTCATGTTATGATAGGCTTACCAGGTTCGAAGGATAATATGGAGACGCAAACTTCTGAGGCAAAGAATTGTAATTAAATGCACTGCACGAGGATATTTTGCGTTCTGAGTGAGGGTGTCAGGACCTCGCCAGAATCTCCCCCTGCCCAGTTAGCGGGCTTTGGCAGTTAATTGATTGTCGTGATGTGAACCTTGGAACTGTGACCTTAGAATACAATTATTACCTGCACATAAGAGAACGTTGAACTTTCCTCCAATTTTGTGTAATTTTGCAAGTTGTTCAGGCTTAGTGCTTGTTGATGTTTTTTAGACCTCCCCGAGCTTCTGGGATCATCGACGGGAGAAATATACATTCAAAAGTTTCACGGGTCGAATGCTCCTTCCGGGGAACATTTAGATTCGTGATGAAATGAACCCCCATTGGTAAAAGAATGATCACCTGCATTGACATTCGAAGGCAACTCATTGACGTGGTAGCTTGAAAAGGTTAGCCATGGGTACATACCGATCGCTGATAAGCCCGGAGCTCCGGTGGGATATTCTACACATCCTAGACCGCTACTGGCATCCATCAATAGGTGCCCACGTAGAACACATTCGAAGCTGGAGAATTTCATAGTTCATAGAGTAGTCTGATACATCTCATGTTAGATCCCTATATAGTTACTACTATCGTAGAACCAACCAGATTCAACGCAACGAGGCAGCTCGGGCGAAATCAGGCACAGCCGTTATCGCGTGACCAGATCGGCCGGACTCGGTGATAAGCAAGGGGCCCCAGCCTCCTGGTGCCTGCAGCTCCGCCTTTTCCCCTCACGAGTCACATCTCCATCTCCATCTCCAACTCCAACTCCAACACACTCTTCCACCTTGACCATCCTATACATAAATCATGACTCGCCGACACGCTTACGGACTCGACGGGTCCTGGACTTCCCAGATGTCCGCCCAGCTCCCCGAATCCTCTTACGACCGCCCTGCACCAGCACCAGCTCCCCGAGCTTCGGCACCGGCCCCCCGAGCTCCGGCACCAGTCCCTGCCAATGAGCCCGTTCGCCCCGAGGCCTACTCGAAGCCCTACTGCGAGTTTATGACCTCGAACCCAACAATCTTTCACGCTGTCAAGGGTTTTACCGCAGAGCTCGAGGAGCATGGCTACAAGCAGCTCTCCGAACGTGCGGCGTGGACGCCCGAACTCAAGCGGGGCGGTAAGTTCTACGTCACCCGCAATGGCAGCTCGCTGATTGCGTTCAACATTGGCTCGGAGTATAAGAGTGGAAACGGAATGGCTATCGTGGCTGGGCACGTTGATGCCCTCACTGCCAAGTTGAAGCCCGTATCTAAGCTCCCTAACAAGGCCGGCTTCCAGCAGCTTGCCGTCGCACCGTATGCCGGCGGACTTGGGAAGACCTGGTGGGATCGGGATCTTGGCATTGGTGGCCGTGTTCTTGTGCGTGACTCCAAGACCGGAAAGGTCGAGAACAAGCTGGTCAAGCTGGACTGGCCCATTGCGCGCATCCCTACTCTCGCCGAGCACTTCGGTACCCCTGCTCAGGGTCCATTCAACAAGGAGACCCAAATGGTGCCGATTATTGGAATTGATAACTCAGATCTGTTTGAGCAATCTGAGAAGAGCGAGAACGGCGACATCAAGGCTGGAACCTTTGCTGCGACCCAACCCGAGAAGCTTGTTAAGGTTATTTCCAGCGAGCTTGGTGTGACAGATTATAGCTCTATCCTCGAGTGGGAGCTCGAGCTCTTCGATACTCAGCCTGCTAGGATTGGAGGTCTGGAGAAGGACATGATCTTTGCGGGTCGTATTGATGACAAGCTTTGCTGCTACGCTGCCCACCAGGCCCTTCTGGCCTCAGAGGATAGCACATCAACCGGCACAGTAAAGATGGTCGGCATGTTTGACGATGAGGAGATTGGCAGTTTGCTTCGTCAAGGAGCCAACTCCAACTTTATGAGCAGCATCATGGAAAGAATCACCGAGGCCTTCGCAACCGATAACTACGGCCCCAACCTCCTTTCTCAGACCGTCGCCAACAGCTTCCTGGTCTCATCGGACGTCATCCACGCCGTCAACCCCAACTTCCTCAACGTATACCTTGAGAACCACGCACCCCGCCTCAACGTCGGCGTAACAGTCTCCACCGATTCCAACGGTCATATGACCACCGACAGCGTCAGCCACGCCTTGATGAAGCGCGTCGCAGCCCGCTGCGACTCCACCCTGCAAGTCTTCCAGATTCGAAACGACTCTCGCAGCGGTGGTACCATCGGGCCCATGACTAGCGCCCGCATCGGAATGCGTGCTATCGATTGCGGTATCCCGCAACTGAGCATGCACAGCATCCGCGCTACTACCGGTGCTCTGGATCCCGGTCTCGGTGTGAAGTTGTTCAAGGGCTTCTTCGACTACTATGAAGAGGTTGATGCGGAGTTCGCTGACTTCTAAGTTTGGCAATAGATGATTTCGGAGTTAGAAGTTACCTGCACAATCCGTACATTGGCGGGATTTGCTTTTATATGTGATTACTGGTTACAGTGCTAGCTAGAGCGGCGAGAATATATGAATTATTGACATAAAGAAATTCCATTTCTATCCCTAACAACCTGCTATATCCGTCGTAATATTTGTGTCTGAAATGTGGATCGAACTAAAAGAGCCGTATCGAAGGTAGATGACAAGAAACATTGAAAAAAAAAGAAAAGGAAAAAAAAAAGTGATAGTTTTCGAGACATTGCCAGCAGAATAGAAAAGAGTGTGCAACTCTGGCAGCAATGATTCAAAAGCTGAAAGTTCATACTCCCTGATACCCATGATATTCACCGTGAAGATCATGACCGGCAGGAGCCATGCATGATATCGAAGACACTTAATGCCGAGGAGAGCGGGGCGCTGATGACGACTCAGAACCAGAATGCTGGTGCTGATATTCCTGATACTCCGACATCTCAGTAACAGAGGTAGTCTTGGTGATCTGGTTATTTGGCCGCATGGATTTTCCAAAGTTGCTTCCAGGCACCATCTCCACGCGCTCGGGAACATCCGCGCCAACAAATTCAGGGTCTTCGCCGGGCGCGCCGAGGGTTGACTCGTCCCAGTGACCAGAGCGGCGGTTGGATCGGCAGCGACTGTTGTGGGTAGGACGGGTGCCGCTGAAGGTGGAAATCAGACCTGGCATGACCCGGGAGAGCAGGGGTTTCAGGGTTGGAAGGCAGGCGCAGATGATGCCTGTGTTGCATTCGATGGCGGACCAGGAGGCGGCGCCGACGTTGTCATCTGTATTAGGTTAGTGGGGATTTCTTAGGGTTCAGAAGTCTAGGAGAAGTACAGGTAGGATCGCTCGAGTCCGAGATCTTCTTCAGGGCGACCAGTCGGATGATGCTGGTGATGCAAACACTGATAGAGTCAGTTACTGGGAGGTCTATATGTAGACAGCGAGGAGGTACTCACAATCCACCCAAGGCGAACATGAACATCAAAGCGATCTTCTGTCTCTTGGGAATATCAATTGCAATCAGAGCAGGGATGGGGATGAGAAGAATGACGATATCGGTGGTGATGTGCATGCTAGCATTGGAGAACCATAGACCAGGCTTGCTCAAGCAGAAGCCCTTGATAGTAGGGTCCCAGAATTTGGCGACAGGGACACAGTTCAGGAAAGCACTGATCACAGCCCAAGTGCCGTAGATAGCAAGGATGGTGATCATGATCCAACAGATGACGCGCATGCGACGTGTGGGGAAGACACGGAAGTATTGCAGGAGGATTGAAGCTTTGGCACATAGAACGGCCGCATTGTAGAAGGGGATGGTGAGCCAGAAAGCCTGGAGTTGAGAATGATTAGGCATGATAGAGATACTTGTAAGAACTGCGATAATACCTTCAACTGTCTCTCAAGGATCATGGGTGGGATGTCCTTGACGTGCATTCCCATCCCGCTAGTAGCCTCCACTATATCCAGACCCATGAAGACGTATGAATTGACCTTCAATATCGATCAGCTATTGTATTTGTCAAGGTTTCCATACCATTAAGCCACTTACCAATGCAATAATTACCACCCAGTCACTGGCCTCGACACGGCGGATGAGGGCAATACGAGTGAACATGCGCAGTCCGACGAAGCAAGAAGCAAGCGCTGTGAATACAATGCTCACAGCCATTTCCTGCGCACCGCGGGACGAGAGGTATGGGTTGCCATGGTCCCGTTTAAAGACGACATCACGGAGTTCGAATAGATTCATCTTCAACCGATGCCGGGGACAAAGATGAAGCAATTGACAATATAAGTGGATAATGTATCCAGCTTCAAAAAGCGAATGCCCTATCTGAACTATATCGATGACCCAGATAGATAGTAAACTATCTCGAGAAGATCACCAAGCAAGCCAAGATGGACGAGTCGAGGAAGCAGATCGGGAGACAACGATCGGGTATGCAAACAAGCGATAAGGAGTAAATAGTTTCCCCAGGTTTACAAAGAAGGGGCGGTGCCGAGTGGTTTCAATTATAAGAACCCTGCACAGGCGCATATGATAAGAACGAGGAGGGCCGGACTCATAAACAATAGGGCCAGGCCTAAAAGTCAAGAACGGTCGAGGGCGAAACCCACTAGTCCGGTCTCCCTGAGAGAACGGATAATCTCCCTGCATCCTGTCGGACTGGATTGGCGGGTTACTGCGTAGGGACAAGACAGGAACTTGCAGTATGCAGCGCAAGGGACACCCCATCTGGCGAATCAGGGGCGGAGGCTGGGTCGGATCGATATATGAAGGCAGCCCTGGAGTGTGCCATGTTCTCGTTGCTGTGATACTTTAGTTCTATCGAAGTATCTTTGAAACATTGTGAACTGTGAAATATGGAATGTGAAGTTCGTGGTTCAGCGCTTCGTGTTCTGACAATATTGCAGGATGTCGCTTCCCTCTCCAATTAGGCCTGATCGAAGTCCAAAATAGAGAGTTTGACAATCGCATGGGCACATGATACATGATATATCGGATATATCCATCAACTTCCTCGGATCCGAGTATCTGGAGATGAAGATCTAGGAATTTAAGTTTCAAGCCCATGACGCCATGGAAGATAATGAGGCTCCGAGGTCCAATGCAGCGGTAAAAATTGAATTGCGGCGTCATAGGCGCCTTACAGACTCATGGTCAAAATGGACCAGTATTCTTATGACGGCCTCTGGGCCCCAAGCGACAGTACAGAGGGAATGTACAAACACCTAGGCACCTGGACAACAATCTTGGCTCGGCCAATGCAATTCGGCGCTGAATTGCCTTTCCCAGTCCGTGCAGCCCTGTTAGTGTCGTTGATCATTACGTATGACATGGTCGCCTGCTTCACACCACGATCATGACTCGCAGCTCGAATAATAATGCATGGGGTAGGGAAAGCAAATAGACAGGCACATATCCTGGCACCTGGGTACCGGGCAACAGTATAGGCCCATTTAAGCGAGCACTGCAGCGCAGTGCCTTATGCACACATGCGCATCCATTGAAAGGAGCAGGTAGCGGAAGTTAAACTTGACCGAGCTCCGTACCGCAGCAGACTTCCGATATATCAACAGAACTGGACGATCACCCGCCTGTATCGGATGATCGACACGCCTCTCAGGTGGCCTTGTTTCACCCACCTGCTGGCCAGAGAACAATCTGAAGGCGCGTAAACCTGAGCGCGGGGATATGAGACACTCTTGAGAATTGATCCGTAAAGATTTTGTTCCCACGGGGACGTGCGCGTAAGGGATATCACTAGTGGAGAGGGTCTCAGAATCCACTGTTGGGGCGTTGTTAAGCTCATCGCGCAGATCCTTGGAGCGCAAGGGATGCTACTGTTCCCGCTTATCTACAATTAATATATCCGAGATGGGCCGGGGTTTTGACGTTTCTAATAGCATTGTTCAGGAGAAGTCGTGTTCGCGGCCGAATGGATTTCAATGATCGACATCCGGCTCGTTGATCCGAGCGAGCCAACAGCGTTCGAGATCTTGCAAGGAGCGCTAGCAATACTTCGTATCCTGGTGGTAACTGTGCATCGAGCTCCTTTAGGTTGACCCAAGTTTGGGACTGAGGGGTTTCCGTGTTCCACTTATTTATTTTTCAAAATTTACTATCGTCGTACAACTGTCGTCAGTTCACGAAACCCTCGGAAGTACCCTATTCACCACGCAATCACGTTGGATAAAGATCTGACTTCTGTAACAATGATTAAACCTACTCTCTTGCCTGACTTGGCATCCCCGCGACGCCACGGTGGGTAGGTGATGTATCACATCCCAATTCAGCCACACGACTTCTCAACTATCGACTGCACGGATCCTCAAGCGCAATCCTATGATTTCCCTTGCCAGATAAGAATTTAAAAGTGTGTGTGCACGAACTAACGTGCTATAGCTGCTTGGATATTTTCTGGGACTGTCGTGTAACGAATTTTCTGCAGCCTTGAAACGTACACACGAGTACGCGTGGTCCCAGAGTCAAACAGGAGTAGTTCATGTTGAAATTCGAAATTTGGGAAAAGACTCACAGCCCCTTACTATTCACTCGGAAACAGAAGTAGCTGGTCACTGTCCCAATTGGCGCAGGGTTATGGATTCATTTGAGAACCAAACAGCATCTGTCCATGTTGTCATCAAGAAAGACGCTCGCTGGCGAAGCTACCAGATGCCCCTATGATGGGCATCTGGGTCTACGCCTGGCTGGAAATGAAATCCCACAATCCAAAGCGCCGGAACAAGCGTTCTGTGAAATGCTCCTCGACATGAGCACCACAAAGAGGAACTAAAAGAAGATCTGTGGCAGTCGCCTGTTCCCCGTACGCGTAGGTCGAATGTACTACTGTTCCCCTACTTAGGCGCTGAGGTCTGGAGGCGGGAATAAGATGACTCTCACCGCTATCCTCGCCGCTCGAAGTATAAGATTCTATTCTGCCGTATTTTGAGTCCAACTACATTTTCGCTCAGTTACTATCTTACTATGTGGATAGCGTATTCGGAAGGATTGGTATTTGAGAAAATCTAGAATAAAGCTTTGGCGAAATACCAGAATCTCAATAAGAGATCAGTGCGAGTCCCACATTCTCATTTGCGACAAGACATAATGCATGACGTTGTCGTCTCCATGACTGTTCGTCTAGGACCGCTGCTATTATAGCCCGGAACAGGTCTGCTCGATCCCTCTAAAACGCATGGAAGTGGCCTGTAGCATCCCAGAAATAGTCTAGTTCCAAACCAGAGAATAAACTGGTCAGATTCCGCTGAGTTTTCTCGTAGCTGACTTGAGTTTGATTGCCATCTAACCATCGCCCCACGTAGAATGCAGGCAAGCAGAAAAGTAATTTGCAGGATCCATATATCAGTGTGATGTAACCAAAGTACCAAAGCAAGCAAGTTAAAGCGAAGGAGCTGTTGCCCTTCAACTAGGCTGGGATGCAGGGTGCGTCGATTGGGATCTCACGGTGCCCAAGGATGTGAAACATCTGAATCTCTTATCCTTTCTAGATCCCCTTGCAGGCCTTATTTTGACGGGTTATTGGACATGGATATTTTCTATCACTGAGGAATATCGTTGAATATGAGGCGGCACGATTATTGACACCAGATTTCGATAAGGCCGATAAGCGTGCACGGGCCAACTGCCCGAGAAATTTCCTTTCCACGGTGGGACATGGTCCGCTTCGAATTCCTCCTCCTCAACTGTGTCTTGAATCTTCTGCATTCGAACTCAATCTTTCGCAGAGTTCAGAGAAAACGGAAGAATGGCGGAACCCGTTGTATCGCCACCCAAGCCCGTCCACACAATCGTGCTGGACGCCGGCCCTATTATCAAGAATACCCCGCCGCTTTCCACTTTGCTCGCCCAATGCGACGAACTCATTACCACACCGGCCGTGGTGAGCGAAATTCGCGATCCCGATGCCCGTGCCCGTGTCGAAGCCCTATATCTCCCTTTCATGAAGCAGCGATCGCCGACTCCCCACAGCTTCAGCGTCATTAGCGAGTTCGCCCGCAAGACCGGTGACCGCTCAGTCCTGAGTCGCAACGATATTGAGGTGCTTGCGTTGGCGTACGAGATTGAATGCGAGCGCAATGGGGGCGACTGGCGTCTGCGCAGTGTTCCTGGACAGAAGCGCGTGAATGGAAAGCCTCCTGTGAAAGTGGAAGAGCCCAAGGAGGAAGAGTCGAACAGTGTCGACGCCGATACCGAAGGCGTTAAGGAGGCTGTGGCCACAGAAAGCACCGAAGAGCCTAAGCAGGAGGAGACTGCTGTGTCGCAAGATGCCGAGATTACCGCTGAGGGTGCCGTCGAGAGTGCCATCAATGCCCTCACTAATACCCCCGCCGAGAATGATACCCCCGATGAGGCGCAGGAAGAAGTGGACGTGGACGAGGACGTGGACGAAGATGATGCTGCTGATTCTGATGGCGGAGAATGGATTACTCCCACCAACTACAAGAAGCAGCTGGCCCGCGATGAGGCGGGCGGTGCTGCCGGCACTACCACCGAGCCCAAGACCATGCAGGTCGCAACCATGACCACTGATTTCGCGGTAAGCATGTGACTTTATGCACCGCGACCCCGTAAAATGCTAATTGCTATCGTAGTGTCAAAATGTTCTGTTGCAGATGAACCTGAACCTGCTGTCGACAACGACTCTCCAGCGCATTCAGCACCTTAGGACATTCATTCTGCGCTGCCACGGCTGCTTCTTTACCACCAAGGAGATGAGCAAGCAGTTTTGCCCTCGTTGTGGCAAGGACACCCTGACTCGTGTTTCATGCACAACCACTGCCAATGGCCAATTCAACCTGCATTTGAAGAAGAACATGCAGTGGAACAAACGAGGCAATGTCTTCAGTCTCCCTAAACCCATCCACGGAAGTTCCAACGGAAAGTGGAAGGGCGGCGGTGGTAAGGGAGGTTGGGGCAACGAGCTCATCCTCGCCGAGGATCAGAAGGAGTATGTTCGTTCCACGGCTGAAGAGGAGCGGCGACAGCGCCGGGAGCGTGACCTCATGGACCAGGACTACCTCCCTGGCATCCTGACCGGTGAGCGCAACAAGCACGGCGGTCGTCCCAAGGTGGGCGGCGGCCGCAACATCAACTCGCGAAAGCGCTGAGTGTGGTATGAACAACCTTGCATTATGGAAACTACATGGACTGGAGTTTGGGCACAAAAAGTGATTAAATCTTCACGGATATACTCGGTCGATTCCTGAGCAATGACCGAGATCTTGTCCAGTGACAATTGATGACCCTTGCACATAGACTACAACGAATAAAAAAAATTTACGATTATCACAGAAGCTTTGAAGCATGAACGTTTCGAACGTGTTTGTCATTGGTAGCCATTACCAGAGATTGAACTCCCTGGCAATCTCGACAAAATTGGGTCTTTGCCAAATATCCATAGCAATGCAAATCCCAGTCATCCACGACTGTACAAAAAAACACCAAGCGCCAGAACACGGGCCTAAGCCTTCAATCCATTTTTCCCAAAGTCGAGGTTTTTTAAGAAGACTCAGTCTGCTGGGTGAGAAGCAGGCCGTAGCGCTTCTTGAGGGTCACACGGTGGCGGGAGTACTTGTCATCGGGGGAGAAGCGAGCGGGGTGGCTGTTAAAAATGTCAGCGGCTGGAATCTTCGTAGGGCTATATCGATGATCGGTGCACCTACGCGGACTTGGAGACCTTGCCGTCAACGACCTTCTTCAAGGTGTAGACACGCTTGCCATCGGGACCGAGGGTGTACTTTTTATAACGTTAGCGCAAGTCCTGGGTAAGTTCCTGGCGAGTTCCTGGCAGCTGGGTTCGGCCACGCGAGAGAGTATGTTCGGGGGGTCACGATCGAGGTAGACGTACCATAAGATGCATTCTGAAGCAGTGAAAGTTAGCAATGACTCGACAACAAGATAAAACAAGGCCAGGCGCAGAAATCAAGGGACTTACCTGGTGGTGGTTGTGGTTGTCGATACTTGGAATTCCGGTGCCGAAGAGGAGGAATTTTTTTGGTCGCCGACTGGGGCTCGGGCCATACGATGAGTCAGCACAGCGCTTAAAACGGATCGCTCGCAAAAACTCAACTTCGCTTCTTTTCTAACGTGAGACGAAGCCTGACGCTTTGTGTTAATGATGCACAGGCGCCCTCGCTGAGCTTTTTTAGGCCTTGTTCGGGCATTTGCATGATATTAACAGCTCTTCCATAATCGGCCCCTTCTCGACTCATCTTCGGGCCTCACAGATCCTTCCGAGTAAGTTTGCACCGGAGCTATTGGAGCTATCCTTCCCTTTTCGTCTATCCTCCTCCCCCTCCTTCGATGATGACACATATTAAGCTCAGGCAAGCGGCACTTTGATTTCTTCGCTGCTTGTCAATGATTGCTGTATTGACTACAACGGTATCTGAGAAGATCACAAGCACACATATTATCAGCTTGTTGCAAAGAAGACTTGGCTAACCCAAAACTCTTCATAGGAACTCGGAATTGATTCAGTAAAACACAAGATGGAAACCAGTTCTTTGCAACCTAAAGCCGGGCCACGAGGCAAACGTGGTGCCCGGCCCGGTAGACCCAATTACAGGCATATTCATCGCCATCCACTTCCAGTCAATGTGCTTTCCGTGCCTCCTGTAATCCCTCATAACCCTCTCTCTATCATTAGTGTTGCTCTCTCGTACCTTACCTTCCTTATCTCCCCGCCCCGTCAAGAAGTCTACTCTGCATACTTCGACTCGGCTACCTCGTCCATCCATGTTACAGATGAGCGTGCCATCAAGGCTCTGTGGGAGATGGGCTTCTTCGGCAAGGGTACTCTGAGTCGAAGTGAGCCTAGCTGGCTGGAGCGGGAGAAGAAGAGGCGAGGTTTACTGGGGGGTAGTACTAGTGAGGAGGCGACCAGGAAACGCAGAACCGAGCGTCGTGAATTGAAGCTGGAGCGTGCGAGGGTTGAGAAGGTCGCCATCGAGGAACGGCTTAAGGCCGAGGCTGCCGCCAAGGAGTCTGGCGATGTTCTTCCTGCCGCCGAGGGCAGTACCATCGGCGAGAAATTTTCGGTCAAGAAGGCTATGGAAGCCAGGTATCGCCAATCACGTTCCCAGACACCGATGAACGGGGATGTATCTGCACCAACAGAACCGCCAGTGACGCCCAATGGAAAGTCAGTACGCTTCTCACACGTCGTTCAGGAGAAGGAAGTTGTCTCCAGCTCGGCTGCTTCACTCCAGCTCCCCGACTCCGTCCTCGACGAGGATGAAGCTGAAGATGCTGTCCTTGAAAATGAGGAACATCTCCAAATCTCCAACGAAGAGGCATTCTTCCTCGCCTACAGCCTCGGTGTTCTGCAAGTCTACGACCGTGAAGAAAACAAGGTCATTCCAACTTCATCTCTTTTCCCACTACTCTGCAACCATTCCCAATTCCCTCCTCGCACTGCCACCGCCGAATTGAAGCCCGACGATCCTTTCGCGATGTCATATGTTGTATACCACCATTTTCGATCCCTGGGGTGGGTCGTACGCTCCGGTGTGAAATTCGGAACCGACTACCTGCTTTACAACCGCGGACCAGTGTTCTCACACGCCGAGTTCGCCGTCATCATTCTCCCTTCATATAGCCATTCCTACTGGTCTGAGACCGAGGAGCGACGCGAGTATACCACCGCCCAGCAAGCCCGCAGCTGGTGGTGGCTACACTGCGTGAACCGTGTCCAGGCTCAAGTGAAGAAGAGTCTAGTTCTCTGCTACGTCGAAGTGCCGCCGCCTGCTGCCTCATCCGATGATATTGGGGCTTTAATCAGCCGGTATAAAATTCGGGAGTTCCTCCTGCGACGATGGATTCCCAACCGCAGTCGTGATTAGAAGATTAATGTACGAGATCGGGCTTCAGATACCCACTCAATTCATAGTTTCTATTAACAGAAATGATATACCCATTCAATTGAACTTTGCAAGAAAATTCTGCTCTATTCTATACCTCGTAACACGTAACGATACGCTATGCCAGAAGGGGTAATATTAGTTCGGGTGCATCACGTGACCGACGCGTTTCGCGTTCACTTCTCAATTCTCTCGCCATGACGATTTACACCTGAGTCGCTGGATACTTGGTGGGATTTTTGATCTATGACTATCTTTGGACACTTAAGGTGATATTCGGACCAGAAATTATCCATATGACTCTCGTTCAAACGGATGGAGACGCAGGATAGTATCGATATCGCCACGCTGCAACGCGACGCGTTGGGGCTAGTATGTAATGACCTGCAGCGTTCCAACTTCCTATTGGACTGACCTCGGCCTTTTCAGGAGCACAAACCATCCCAGTCATTCTTTCCTGGGCATTCGAGAATCGACCATACTGCACAGCAACAACCTCGCTCTAACAAAGCCGCCGATCGTTCTCATGGTCACACATCGGCTGGCACAGGGTATTCCGCAACATCGATATCAGACTCTGCACGCGCTACACCGAAGCACCCTCGCCCCTCCCCGTCTCCGCAATATGCACAAAACCCGATGAATTCCAATCCTACAGCAAACGAGCCGATCCAGGCCAATCCAGTTCAGACAACACAATCTGGAACGATGGACTCTGGGGAGACTGCCCCTGGTGACACCCAGGTGGTCTCGCAATCGGTGTATGATAGTATCATTCGACAAAATGGGGAGTCAGTATATCAAAGCCACTCGCAGACCGGTGCGGACGGTGCGACACTTATGACGCTACACGAGGGCGATAGCGGCCATCTCGACCTTCTCGCCGACTTCAACTCGGCTCATCTTCCGAAAAACGATTCTGCAGACAACGACGAAGAAAGCAATTATGATGGAAGCGAGTCATCTCCGATGGCGCCGCTAGAATACCAACCGGAGTTCTTCCCCGAGTCGCAGCGTTTTTTGACCGCAACTCCAGGGACTGCAGTGAAAAGAGTCCAGACACCGGGGACATCGATAAAGACTCCCAGTCTGTCTCGTAACCCGCTGGTCGGGGATCTTGAGTCGAGTGGGGGTCTCATGGGATTGAGTCAGCTTTTTAAGGCAACCCAGGCGCCCTCGTCTCCCCTAGTGGATGGCCTACAGCCTGACATCGTGTCAGACCGTCCGTCGCCAAATCTTCCCATACAACATCAACGCGTCATCAACAATGTGTCCTCTCCGCTGGTGCATTCCCGGGTATTGTTTGCGAGGGAATCGTCGGAGCCAAACCTTAATTACATTTCGTTGAAAGAGTCACAGTCACGGCGGGACAAGTCACTAGGAGAGCGGCTGACGCGATCGGCCGATAATATGGATGACGAGATCGACAAAGAGTTTTATAAAGAATCGAGCTTTGTGGAGAGAGCAAGAAGGCAACGTGAGCTTGACGATGAAGCTGCAGCGCAATTTGCAACTTTAGATGCTCTTCCCCGGCCCAAGTCTGTTGTAACTAGCTCACCGGGGAATCCCATCCTCGAAGTACACGAGGACGATCCAATGCCTGACGCTGCTGGAAGCGAAGAAGAAACCGAGCAAGAGGAAGACCTTGGTCCCCAAGTCCTTCAATCCCAGGAGGCACCCCAGTCCTCGGAAGAGGACAAGGAAAACTACAACGGGCCGCAAGTGTCTGTCGAGGCAGCGAGTAGTGCACACAATCGTCTTTCGCAGGCACTCACCATGGAAGAAAATCTTTCCACCCGCATGAACATAATGGCAGACCCGGAAATCATCCATTTTCAACAGAGTGCCATTCTCGAAGACTCCGATCAATACATTGGTCGCTCATCGCAAGTGATGGTCAAGGATTCACAGCAATCACCACAACCATCGGCCACTCCTAAGCAGAACGATCACCATATTGCGGACCGACCAGCGCCGTACGAGATAAAAGTTGACCCGACCTCCGACGTTGACGGCCTATCTCCTGCTCGGCGAGCTTTGCACTCATCGCCTCCGGCTTCGAGATCAGGAAGTAGGCCAGTCTCTCGGCACCACTCTATTTCTCCTATAAAGAGCACCAATTTCGCACATCCGTCTGTCCTGCAGTCAGGCCAAAATGCGTCGTCCACTGAGAACCAACGAGTCAATTCCAGCAACCCTTCCGAGCAAGGAATCTCAGCGTCTTTTCTCACCAGAGCTGGATCTGGCAATGGGGAGAAATCTTCTTCCTTGCCCTCGCGTGTAACTGAGACGCCGGTTCATTTACGGCCCCAGAACAATGACATCGGAAGATTGACAAGCATCCCTGAAACGAGTCCCCGTCGCACCGCACCCAATGAATGGGAAGGACAATCAAATGGCGATGGATTAAATGAAGATGACGATCTCCCTCCTATGTACCCTACTGGTCCCCCCCAGTCGAGCCAGCCAGCTCCGGCCATCTCAAACACGCGCCCTATCTTCGCCCATCAAAAATATTCAGTCACAAGCCCTCCCCCAAGTGCTGTCTAGTCCAAGTGGACGACAGCGACGCAAACTCACTGATATTGCCTCGGATCTATCTCCCCAGATCCAATTGAAGTTCGGCGATTTTGGGAACTTTTTCACGGCCGATGACGAGGCGTATCATGAGCTGGTCTCCGAAGGGTCTCCAACCCGGCCAAAGAAAAAACGACGTGGAAATGCCGGCCAAAATTTTCTCATATCGGACTCTACGCTCACCAGTCTTCCTTCAACCCCTCGTGCACAGCCTGCTAAGACGGTTGCACGCATTCCCGAGTGGCCTACACCCCGAGAGCCGCAGTCTCCAGCAGCTATCCATGTTCCTGCAACTATGAACCGCAAAGAACCGCGGCCTTCTCGGTCATCTGAAAATGTCTGGGAAATTGGAGCTTCTCCTCAACAGGTGATTCACAGGAGATCGAAGGCCAAGCTTATCCGGACGACCCTTTCGCCAAAAAAAGATGAGTCGCGTGCTTTTATGCAAAAGCCGGAAATCGATGCACCCGCGAGATCAGTCATGGATCAACGCAACCAGCCTGTACCTTCTTCTGAACTCACTGACGTCGATATTGAGCCCGATCTGGCGCAATCAGATGCCACCACCTTCCAAAGTTCGCCTACAAAACCACCCTCTGGTGTACCGGACGACAGTCAAATCGCACCTAGCCAGGTTCTTGCTGTGTGGATGGGCCAGAAGCGAGCATATTACCCTGCGACATGCTTTGGGACACCGCTTGGCGTGTCCTCGAACAAGTACTCCGTCAAATTCGAAGACAGCCTTCCTGTTGAAGTGGTGAAGGGAGCCGTGAAAAGATTTGAACTTCGTGTTGGTGATGGCGTCAAAGTAGATATGCGCGGCGTGCCTAAAGTCACACATATCGTACGTGGCTTTGACGACAAGCTCACCAAAGAAGAGCTCGCTCAGGCTGCTGAGACAGGCTTCTATCCCCAGACCGATATCTACGGACATACCACGGTGATCCTTGGCCCCAAGCAACCCAAAAGTCTTCCAGATGCGGGCCTGCCCAGCAGCGAGAACGTCATCAAGGTTCCCATTGCTCGCATCTATCTTGACATGATTCTGTGGAACCAACTCAAGGATCGAGCATTCAAATACCAACAACCTCAATTAGCACCACGAGAAACCAAGTCACACACGCCCTCTGAGAAATCGTCTCTGCCAGCATCACCGAGCACACGGATCTCTCGCAGTATCTATGAATCTACTGGTATTTTCGCTGGGATGGCATTTGCTGTTTCCTACAAGGAAGATGAAGTATCCAAGAACCGCGTCACGAGGCTGATCATGGAAAATGGTGGAACAGTCTTGCACGAGGGATTCACAGAACTGTTCGAATCGTCATCCATCCGCCCAGTTGATACACCAACAAAGTCAGGGGATGGTGATGACACTACTGCTGCCAGTGTCGGTTTACGGTTAAATGGATTGGCTGAAAATGTCGGATTCGCTTGTCTGATTGCTGACACCCATTCTCGTCGTGAGAAGTACATGCAAGCATTAGCACTCAATCTACCTTGCTTGTCAGGACGCTGGGTTGAAGATTGTGTCGCCAAAGGACGTGTCCTGGACTGGGATATCTACCTCTTGCCAGCCGGAGATTCTATGTTCCTCAACGGGGCCACCAAATCCCGAGTGATGGTACCTATCTCGCCCTCCGAGACCCGCCTTGTGGACACTATCTCGGCACGACCGAAAATGCTCGATGGCAAGTCGGTATTGATCGTCATGGGACGCGGCAAAGCAGAAGAGAAGCGAAAGGCTTACATTTTTCTGACTTTCGCTCTCGGCGCCTCCCGTGTGGAGCGCGTCCCCGACCTGGAGACAGCCAAGGCACTTCTGGACTCTCAGTCCGAGGCTTCTTTACCTCCGACCTGGGATATGATCTATGTTGATGATGCGGATCAAGCGGCTGCCAAGGCCCTGTTGGTACCCCCGCCTCGGACACAAAGGATCCACCTCTTCCACGGCAGGAAGCGGAAGAAGTCCGCCGTTTTCACTACGTCGGCTACTCTCGAGGCATCGTCTTCTACGACTGTGATTGGTAGTGAATTTGTGTGTCAAAGCTTGATTCTAGGAAGGATCTTTGAGGAATGAAATGTTCGGCTACTAGTTACTGCTACTTTACAATATTTTGATACCAATTTCATTGAACATTCCCATTGAAATCAGACTCTTCAATTCTCACCAATTCATCTTTATCACGCAGCCGGTCTTATCACTACGCCCTTATTACTCATAATGACACCTTATCTTTATTCCATGACTCATGTGACATTGTGTCCGAATCGGGTCTAGAGTTGAGCTTGTGCGCCCTACTTAAATCATGGCACCGGGATCAACTTGCCCCTTAAAACCCCAGCCAAAACCCCTCCAAACATTTGAATAACATACTACTCTCATACGAAAACTTCACAATTCCTTCATAATGACCGACCTTGACCACGGAGAATTCCTCAAAGAGCTCCCTGAAATCCCCGAAGAGGAATTCGTCATCTTCGGCACCGTCCACGCCAAACCAGAGCACGCGGATGCCCTTGAAGCGGTCTACGCCGAGACCACAAGACTCGCTGAATTTGAACCCGGCACTGTTTATTACTGTCTCGCACGAGATAGCGACAAACCTAATATCTTCCATTTCTATGAGCGGTATACGGGGAAGGAGGCTTTCGATGCTCATAATGCTCAGCCGATTATTCAGAAGTTGATAAAAGATCAGTGGTTCATCGGGGTTAAGGCCAAATTTATGAAAGCTATTGGGCCGGCTTCAGTATGATATTTGGGAATGGATTCATGTATTTATTGGGAAATGAAACGAATTTACAATCATCGTACCGGGAAATCAACATCAAGGGTCTTTCAGCATTGTAAGTTTTCTAAATCTTTTGCGCTTATCTGGGAAGTAAATTCGGTTTCTCGGCAAATGCGAGTCACAAGTTTCGAAAAGGTCACTGGTTGCAAGGTTCCGAATTGCCATTTGAGATGGTAGTATAAGGGATAGAGAGAACTCCCGAAAAATCCTTTAGTGCCTAAAGGGCAAGTGGGTGGTCATAGCTACGGCAGCGGATAGAAACCACGGGCTTATGACCTTTCTAAGCGGCGTAATCTTAGCCACCTAAATACCTTTTCTGATTTTGCCCCCTCGATTAATGTGTTCCCCGTAACTATGTGCCTTTTTATGTCATCTGACACTCCATTAGACCTAGAGAGGATACCACAGAGAAGAACGATATTTCACCGGTATTTGAGCAATCGCAAACCCTCGCCTAGGCATCAATGCCTTTGATGCCGTAACGGCGGCATATCACAATATTGCCTCTTCTGAGACAAAAACCTCTTTCTGAAGAGAGAATCCACGACTGTGTTCTCGAAGGAGACACTGTTCCCAATACTATCGGACATTATACCAAGACTGTTTAAATTGCTCGTAGCCTCACAAGAGGCGAGCTTGAGTCTCTTTGTAAGCGTATTCTGGCGTGCTTTGAGCTTGCTGCTCCTGCTATCGGCTGCGCTATTAACATCACGGAGTCAGTATTTCCCTCAATGTCTTGTGTTGAATCATTATCTAATTTCTGCCGAGAATGGAAAGGTGGGTATGGCAGCACACGAAAACCAAAAAGCATTAAGGGGTATATCATGTAGTTTGAGTACATCTCTTTCGAAAGAATCACAGATGGCCTAGTGGAAGCATTTAGAAAGATAGGTCTGCCTGCAGCAGCAGAGCCTATATACAGTAGGATTCGAAATCAGATTACACCATACAAACTCAGACTTTATTTCCCGGCCCGTACCCGAAACACATTAAGCCGCATTTGGGTAAACCGAGAATAGCGCCTTTCTTACAAGACAGCTGTTATACGAGTATATTACAAGAAACTATTATACATGTGCACCTCTTCTCCCCCACTGTGCCCGTCGATCTCGTAATGTGCAGAGACGATATGATTCACGGTTAACCGATTGGTCCTCATACGAAGAGCATGTGGATTCGTGTTCTGCCAGAGACAAAGCACGACAGCCACCGTATCAGCCACCGAAAAGACCTTGAGTGATAGAATGACGTTAGAAGCCATGATTCGCCATGTGCAGGCACTTTAGCTATCTTTTGTTGCATGAATTATGCTGTTGGTCGAAGATAATTATTGTTCGCAAGGACACGTACCACCTCAGTCTGTATTTCACCGGCTGACGAGCCCGACCGCACGATATTGATCATGTGGTGGACATCATCATCACTAGAAATCCGTATCAACTCAAAAAAGTCGTCCATCAATTCCTGATAAAAAGTGAGGTCTTGTTCCATCTTACTCGAGTAGCTTTTGCGTCGTTTGTCAGAGCTCTCGTCGAAGATGCAGACCACATCACGTTTTGTACATTCCAAGCACGGGATTCCAGAGCTGCACTGTCGTTTGAGATACAGAAAAGATAATCAGCCAGATGATGTATCATCAATCAAGATTCCTTACCCTTGTCCGCCGGCGCTGGCATTCCTTGCAAGCGGTTGAGAGTCTTCGTATCGCGACGTCTCGTTTCGGTACGTCATGTTCCGATTCATCAACTACCGGGGCTTCGGTAATCGGTATATAAGGCTGGATGGGTCTGAGGTAGGAAGTAGACATACTATGTCAACAGACGGTGGCAAGGCGAAGAGTGGAGAAAAAAGTAAGCGGGAAGGAGGAAGTCGAAGCCACTGAGGTAGCAAAATACTAATATCTTAATTTGACCTAGGCCACATATTAGCGGTGAGGATAGGGGCACTGCTAGCGGATGAAGGATGTGACAAGCGGCATGGAGGCGTTATCGTACCACAGTTCATTGCGACCTCGCAACAAAACCTTGGCGTATGCTATGAAAGACAGTTGTTTCATTTATTATAGCTCGTGTGGTGATACGATTCTTTACTGTACGTTTTAGCAATCGGTAATATTCTAATTCCAAAGGGGTTAAAGCTTTCTTCCGGATATGGGCCGGGAAATAAAGCGTGAGTATCTGGGGGTAATCTGTTCGAATCCTATTGTAATTCTTCCTACGACAGACTGTGGAAGGTCCTATCATCTATACTCACGGGTTCAATTCATGGACCTACCTTTCTTTTCTTCTCTTTTAAATTTAATTTAATGTTATTTGATTTGTTTTCTTTGATTTTATTTCTGACCCTTTGACATGACTCAGGATCCATGGACTTCAACTTGACATTTAGAGTTGATGTTGGCTGTCCGAATACGAGCAAGAATCCGAATTGAGGAGTTCATTGGATCGCATCCTCGGGTTCGCATTCGGACTCGCACTGTCTCCACTGATCGCCGTGTGGAATCTGCACTTGCATTCGGAGAAAACGTTCGCGTTCGTGAACTTCGTACCTTGTTCAAGTGATTTTCATGAGGCCCGTTTGCTTCTTACCCAGACCAAAGTATATAGAAACCAGAGCAGGTGAAAGATGAACATTATACGCTCCATGGTCTGGAATACAATCTCAGTGTGAGTTTATGTTAATATTTATTTCGGAGATTACTATATTTCAAATATTTTAATAGACGAAAAATATTCACCTATACAATTGATAAGCCAACTTGAAGGATCTTTCCATATGAATCGTATTTCAGCTTTAGGTTCAGCTATTACTTTATTCTCATTGTTGACTAGTAATACTCAGAGGTGGCTGGCCCATGGTTTCACTGCATAGCAATCCGAGCCGAACTTTAAGCGACCGTGGTGATCACCCCCATGAGGTTTCCAGTACTGTCTGAGCCCCTGTGGCATCACGGCAGAGCTAGCGCCTGAAGGGCAATGTACCAAAACACTTATAAACCGAAGACCCCGCTGGTTTACCGACGATATACCCTTCTATAATCGCTTTGTTCATTCACTTGGCAGACGAAGATAAAGTACCTTGTTGAATGCTTACTCCTGGGTCTGGCTTCTGCCAGTTCCCACGCTGCATCGATCTTGACTGGAACATCAGTCACCACGTCCCTCGGCTCGTTCAACCTTACTAGAGGTGCGGCATGTGCATGCCAAAAGCTCTCTCGCACTTCCGGCGGAGTGAAACTTCCGAATACTGCAAATTATACTACTCAGGCCGCGGACTCCTACTGGAGCGTCCGGACTGATCTTTCTCCTGTATTTTCCTTCCTGCAACCGTGGATGAGGTCGCGCACGCCGTCGAGGTACTCGGTTCGTGCGATGCACAGTTTGCGGTCTGACTTCGTCTACATGGGCGATGCGGGTGAATGGCAGGATCCTTTTGCAGAGATTCCCGTTGAGAATATGGCGCGTATGAGAGAGATCCGATCTACCTATGATCCCAAGCACATCTTTTCTCGACTCAATTGGGGCGGTTTTAAGCTTGGTGCTTGATTGACTATATAAAGATGCAATTCTATAGAAGTATGTACCCTATGCATCTGAATGGAACCTGAATTGGGCTTTTGACCATTATCCTCTGCCACACTGTGCCCAATAAGGTGAATTAAATCTATAGGTGCGGAATATGAAGTACCTTGGTTCATGCTTTGCTCATTCGAGAAGTCCAAAACTAGGTTTACAAGTTGACGGGGAATCTCTTTTGCCCGGTGGAGATGCCGAGCCCCATTCAGTTCGACCCAGAGGTTGAAAGCGCCCAGATGTCACGCAGTAGGCACTCATCGGAAACCCCCACTTTCCCTCCTAAGATAACCTCGACCTTGACTCTTCAAACCTGATAGAATTTCGGGTTCTGTGTTTAGAGGTGAGAACTGGAATATGCCCTGAAAGATCGCAAGGGGGTAAGAATGGGCCCCCGGCGAACACACACGAAATCGCGGAACGGGTGTCAATCGTGCAAGGCGCGCAAAGTCAAGGTAAGCAGCCGCCGGAAGTCCAGACACCACCAAGCTAAATGCTGGACTCAGTGCGATGAAACGAGGCCGCAATGCCACAATTGCATCAAGCATGCGTCCGAATGTGTTTTCAAAACAGTGGGCGTAGTGGCCTCTCCAACGCCAACGCCCCCCGCTGCTTCATCCACGCCGACGCCATTTGTCAGTGAAGCCACCAGGCTGACCGCCGATAATGGTACTCCAGCCATGGGCATGGCCGAAATGGCTTTACTGCACCACTTCTGCACATCGACATGTTACACCATCTCCCGCCATCCCGTGCTACAGACGCTATGGCAAATCACCGTCCCTCAGTTCGGGTTCTCCTACCAATTTGTATTCCGCGCAATTTTGGCACTCTCAGCACTTCACCTGGCCCACATGAAGCCTGAGCATCACGCACAGTACGTAGCCGCTGCAGAGTTCCATCATAATATCGCGCTGCAGATGGTTTCAGTCACAATGCCCCAAATCAACGAAGAGAATGGCCCGGCTGTGTATCTGTTCTCGACAATTACCTGCATCATCGAATGCGCCATGCCTCGGAAACGCGATGACTTCTGGGTAAGCAACGATAAAGTCCTACAGTGGCTACGCATGTTCCGGGGCACCGTGGCTATCATCACCTCTGTGAATGAGGCTCTACGAAAAGGGCCTCTTGCCCCCATGTTCACTCTAGGTGACCGAAAGAGTTCCAATTGGCATGCCAGATCTTCCAGTCAAAGACCACTAGTTGATTTGCAGCGGCTAATCCGGGAGACTGTCAAAGATCCCGAGGAGCTGCAGTGCTACGAGGATACAATTGATAGTCTGGGAAAATCTTTCGCGACCGTTGCGGAAAATGGCCCTCAGAACTGTGAGACTGCTGATATCTTTATCTGGCTTACGCGCCTTTCAGATAATTTTCTTGCCTTTTTGCAGCGGAAAACTCCCGAGTCCTTGGTTATTTTCGCCTACTTTGGTGTTATTACAAAGGAGCTCGAGTGGGCTTGGTGGATGCAGGGGTTCAGTGTTCATTTGATTCGCGGCATCTATCACAATTTGGATGAGGAGCATCGGTATTGGCTCCAGTGGCCTATGCAACAACTGGGCTGGGTTCCTTAAGCTGTGCTGGTCTTGTTCTGTTACTATGTAAAATCTGAAATCTGAAATGTTCAAGCAATTCTTTCATCCGCTATGGGCGTCATGATTTAAAGTCAGGGTCACTTCTGAGACCACTGCGCCTTGGCTTTGATGCCTCCTTTTTGATCTTCTTCTTAGCGATCTTTTCGACTTTCTTATCTTCAACCTTTTCCGAGCCCATTTTGCGTTTTTCTACAGTCTTTGTAAATGGCGTAGGTCTCTTCTTCTCAGAAAGCATCTGCACCAAGGCCTCAATCCTCCCCGCCCTTGCCGTCGGCGAAGCAGTCTGAACACGCCACAATACCGAGTAGCGGTCTGTCTTATTGAAAGACTCAAAGAACGTAGCCGCATCCGGTGCGTCCTTCAAAGCAGCCGCAAAATCATCAGGCACAGTGATATTAGACGGTCCAGCATAAGCGCGGTCCCAACGCCCATCAGCTTTGGCAGCATCCACGACAGCCAGCCCTGCAGGGCGCATTCGACCGGTTTCTATCAGTCTCCGGACCGTGCTGACATTCTTTTGAGACCAGATGCTCTTAGCGCGGCGGGGTGTATATCGTACAAACCACCATTTATCGTCGATCTTTCTCCCCCAGCCGTCGATCCAGCCGAAGCATAGAGCTGTCTCGACGGCTTCAGCTGCGTTTACTGATGGGATGCCGGAGGCCTTCTTTGCGAGTTTGAGGTAGAATGCTGGGGCTGTTTTGTGCTCGCGTTCGAAGAATTCTTCTAGTTCTTTGGTGGTGGGGAAAGAGTATGCTGGGAAGTCTGCTGGGATTGGCTTCGACGACATTGACAATGGAGACAGCAACGGAGGGGTGTATGTTGCGGTAGACTTTTTGGCTATAGAGATTCTTAGGTGGGGAGGAAATATACCGGATCGAAGGACAGAATTGTGGATAAGAGAAAGCCCGTGAAGGATCATGTTGACTAGGAGGTTTCCAGGCTGCCAGCGAATTGATCCCTGCGTTTTGGGGCCGATCCGTGCCCCATTCCAACCGTCAGCGCTAGCTATGTGTAAAGATGTATTTGCCAAGGTTAAATCATGATAAAATGTCATCCGCATTCAACGGCTAGATTCCACCTACTGCTTGTCAGCATGTTCCAAGGTTCAAATGTTGAGATGTCTATATTCCAAAGGTCAATCTGGGCATCTATACTGCATGGCAGTGACATCAGGCTTGATATAGACTGGCGTAGGGAATTGACGAGAGAACGATGAATCCATGGATAATTCAAACTGGCAAAGCCTGGGCATGGGAATGCCAGAATCTACTTGTGGCGTGTGTTGATTGTCTGTGAAGGGTATGAGAGTGAAAGATCTTTTGAAGATTCTATTGTACATATAAACACCAAATAAACTTCATATCGCTACAAAAATCCGTGTTCCCCGGATGAAACCATCATGCACCCTTATTTGGCCTTCTTGGAAGACTTCTTCTTGCCCTTCAGACTCTTCATCTGCGCAGCGCGCTCAGCACGAGCCTGTCGCTTCCTCCAGGCAAGCCACCGGTTACCACGGTCATACGGCTTGGCGAAGATACCAGCCTTCTCAGCAGCGCGACCAATTATCCAGTTAGCCTCACGGTACATGTAACCAGGGCGCAGCTGAGGACCATCCTCGGAGTTGACGGCCTCCACGGACGCGACCTGAGTGTTGTCCGCGTTGACACCAGCGATGGAAGCGGTGAGATCTGGCTGAGCACCAACGGGCTCAACACGAGTGATGCCAACCATGTTCAGCTTGCGCCTGCTGGGCGCATTGCGCGGGTACGGGAGCTTCGCTTCCTTGTCGAAAACGATTCCGATATACCGGCGTTCCGGGTGTCGCTCGGGATCGAGGTAATACCGAACATAGCCGGCCTGGGTGGCGTAGATTGTGTGGTCGCGGCCCATGGCGCAGTTCTCGCCAGGAAACCATTTCGATCCTCGCTGCTTGAAAATGATGCAGCCGGGCACAACATATTCGCCGCCGCTGCGCTTGGCACCGAGACGCTTTCCGGCAGGGTCACGCGAGTGTCGATTGGCAGTTCCTTGAGAGGCGTGCGAGGCGAATCGGACTTGTGAGAAGGGGAGGAGTGGGCGAGAGATTGAGGGCATGACTTTCGGGATCGCCATGTTTGCGGAGAGAGTGCGTTGGAAGATGGATTGCGGTTGGTAGGCCTGCTGGGCCGATCGGAGGGAGGGAGCGAATGCCCGTTCCAGCGCCCGAAGGGGCACCAGCAATCTGGGCTGCAACATTGTTGATTATTATTTTGTGATGCGGAAGTTGAAGCTCAAGGGGAACTTTTCTCGGAGGTGAGGCTTGGCGTCACGTGTGCGGGTAAGCTGGCTTCATCTATAGGCCACTCCGCCAATCTCCTCAATTCATTCCCCATTCGACATCCAGATAACTTGCGGGTCGAAACACTCGTCATGTTGCGCAACTTTGTTTCCACACTATGGGCTCTTGTCCTGATGGTGTCCGTTGCCCAGGCCCAGTTCAACTTCTTCGACCACATGTTCAACGGGAACCAACAACAGCAGCAACACCACCAAGGCTCTCAGAACGTGCCCAGTGATAGTGGTCGGTACCAGAATCAATGGCGTCAGTGTAAGTTAATCTTTGGGTTGCCTTCCACCTTCCTTTCTCCTCGCGGATTGCGGTTCCATACTGATCATGCTCGTCCTTCCTACAGCGCAATGCAGCAACTATCTTTGCCCCGGAACCCTCGCATGCGTCAGCTTCCCGCACCACTGCCCATGCGCGCACCCCGATGTCGAGGAAAAGGTCGAGCTGGGAGAAGGTAGCGCTATTTGTGTGTCAAAGGGAGGATTCAAGGCCGGCGAGGCGGCCCGAAAGATTGAACTGGCCCGGAAAGGTCTTCTGTGATCAATTGTATTTTCTATGAGCGCATATTTTGGTATATACTCTGCATCGCGCTGGACTGGCAATAATGAGGAGTCAAGTTGTGTTGCTTGCTGTGGAAATACTCCTGACTGGCGACTTTCCAGCGCATGTTCTGAATCTTGGTATTCATTTGCACAATAGAGAAGCTTTGAGCACCTTGGAACATGAAAAAATGTGTAGAGCTTCTTGATAGAATCCAGGCAGCAGGCAGTCCGGTGATTTAACATAATAGGGCCGCTCATGGTGCCCACTTATGGATTCGTGATATGCCTGATGTGCGACGTGACGGATTCAAATGACGGATTGACCCTACAGCGTCATAGCGAAAATGCGAATCTCCTTTAAATTATATGAGAGTTGCTCACAGTCCCTAGAATTAGCGAGTAGAAAGTGTTATGGAGTCAGAAGTAGAGAAGCTTGGAGGTGCCTGATCTGCGGCTGCCACTATCTCCGTTTAACCCCGCGGCAAACGTGCCGTCATCCCAAAGCCGTAACTTCTCTTTTTCAGGACTCGGCCCTTCAAAGCTCCACCTACCCCTCTGGCCAACATTTCTATCAGACAACAGTGTATATTATATATATTGTTCCAACGCCATGTGGATCACAAGGCTTCGACAGCCGTTGCTGTTGTCGCCGCGCGCGATTTCGCTTCGTCGACCACTGTCGAGCCTCCGAAGCAGCAACAGCCATCGCGGCCCGCGTAATAGCATAAGGCGGCCAGAGCGCATTCAATCAACACCAAAAGAATCACAAACGCCACAGCAGCCCGAGTCTGGGAATACCGAACCCCAAGATGGACCCAACGAGAACTACGACCCTGCGCAAAACACTCTCCTCTCTCCCGTCCATGTCCCTGAAGACCCAAATGCTGTCCTCAAGGAGACCCATCCTGCTATCAGCATCCTGGCGAACTCCGGGTTAGTGGTCCAGCGTCAGTTTGAGATGATGAATGTGATGATGTGAGTTTGACGTGTACTTCATGGACAGCGATGGGACCGGTGCTAATACTGGTCAGTGGCTTCGAACAAGCGAACAAATATGTCATCATGGATGCGATGGGCAACCACATTGGTTATATGGCAGAACAAGAGAAGGGAATGGGCAATGCGATGGCGCGCCAGTGGTTCAAAACTCATCGCAGCTTCGTGACGCATGTGTTCGACCGAAACGAGAACGAGGTGCTTCGGGTATGTTTAGGTTGTGAGAGAAACCATATGAAGTATGTTATGTGCTAATGTGAGCTTCTTCTAGTTCAATCGCCCATTCTCTTGGATTAACACCCGAATCCAAGTATATGACCCCATCGATCCTGCAACCAACAATTACTCTTCCTCTACTTCCCAACACACCACCTTTCCCGGCTCTCTTGTTCAGACCGATACTGCCACCCGCGTATCACAACTTGGTTTCGACCAGATGCGAATTGTTGGCGAAGCTCAGTCGCAGTGGGCACCATTGCGTCGCAAGTACAACCTCTTCACATACCACCAGTCCCCAAACCCAGCAACAGATATGGGCTCGCAGAAGTTCGACCTTGGTAGCTCCGATCTTTCCAAGGTGCAACAAACGCAACTAGCAGAAATTTCCAAGCAAGGCCAGGGCGACTTCAACCAGTTTGCCTATGTTGATGAGCCCATGCTATCCTGGGACTTCTCTCTAGTTTCTGCTGAAAATCGACTGATCGGATCAGTGAACCGCAACTTTGCAGGTTTCGCTCGAGAAATCTTCACCGACACCGGTGTGTATGCGCTGCGAATGGATTCGGCAGGACTTGGCCTCGTTCAAGCACCGAATGAAGCTAACGCGCCAACTGGAATGACTCTGGATCAGCGTGCAGTGATGCTAGCTACGGCAGTTAGCGTCGACTTTGACTACTTCAGCCGTCACAGCAGCTCCGGTGGCGGATTTGGTTTTATGCCCCTTTGGTTTCCTGGTATGGGCGGAGGAGCTGCTGCTGGAGAGGCTGCAGGTGGTGCCGCAGCTGGTGGCGCTGCAGCTGGTGAAGCCGGTGCAATAGGCGAGGCAGCTACTGGTGCGATTGGAAGGGCCGGTGCTGCTGGTGGCATAGCAGATGGCATGGCTGCTGGAGCTACGGGTGCTGGAGCTATGGCTGGATACGAGGCAATGCAGAGAGGCATGTCAGGCGACCAAAGCAACCAGTCAGCATACCCAGACCAGCAACCCCTAGACCAGCAACCCCCAGAGCAGACAGGGCCATACGGAGATGCTTGGCCTCAAGAACAGCCCGATGACGTCTGGGGTGAGGGGGAAGACCCTTGGAGCGATGATGGAGATGGTGGAGGCGGGGATGACTTTGACTTCTTCTAAAAGTAGCCAGTGGATGGCCAAGAACTGTACGATAGAACTAGAATACCTTATTGTCAATGTATTGCTGCAAGGCGGGATCGGCCGTGGGGCGATCCAGTCGACACAAAGTGACGCACCCCGCGGACTCCCCAATCTTCCGTCACTCAACTTCCTTCAACCCTCATTCCTCACTCCTCACTCCTCACTCCTCACCACCCACTCGAACAGAAAGTAAACTCACCAGAGAAGATCTGACAATTTTAAAATCGGGAAATCTGTTCTGAATCATGGCCTCCTCTGTCGCGCAGAAGCGTCTGTTCCATGAATACAAGAATCTCTCCACCAACCCGCCCGAGGGAATCACCGCAGGCCCAGTCTCCGAAGATGACATGTTCTACTGGGAAGCTCTGATCGAGGGGCCCGGAGACACCCCATTCGAGGGAGGTGTCTTCGCCGCCGAGCTCAAATTCCCCAAGGACTACCCGCTGAGCCCGCCGACTATGAAGTTTGTCGGAGGTGGGGTGTGGCACCCGAATGGTTAGTTCTTTCCCAAGTCTACCGACTTGCTATGCCAGGCAAGGTCACACTTTTTTTGTGCATGTCCAAAACTAATTCGCTTTGGCTTTCACAGTCTATCCCAATGGCACAGTCTGTATTTCCATTCTGCACCCTCCCGGCGACGACCCCAACCACTACGAGCACGCCTCCGAGCGCTGGTCACCTATCCAGAGCGTCGAGAAGATCCTTATCTCCGTTATGAGCATGCTCGCTGAGCCGAATGATGAAAGCCCGGCCAATGTTGAGGCTGCCAAAATGTGGCGCGAGCGCAGACCCGAGTACGAGCAGAAGGTCCGCGATGAAGTGCGGAAGGGCCTGGGATTGTGAGAATCTCGCGACTCGGTTACTTCTCACCATTCAATGTTCTCGCTTTGATGATTGGCGTCAGGGGGTGCGTTATCTATCTTTTTTTGCATGGCTGGGTTGGCGATGGCTTCTTCCTTAAACAGCTCATTTGTATTTAGCATCTCTCAAAAGAATTGAGATTCTGCTCATTGTTACAGGACTTTTCGGTTCTCAGTGGTAATTTGTTGCTGCTATCATATTATATATTATACTGTGGTATAATCGATATAGCCCGCTCCTTTGGGCATCACCTGCATACGCATACCGTTCTCTTCAAGATTCCCACGGCTCTTCTCCATGATATCAATGCGGCACATCACTCCTGGCGAAACATCCTCCGATCAATCCACATCTCCAGTCCACCTTCAAGTTCGTACATTAATTCAATCTCCGCCTTGATATTCAGCATCAACATCCGTTGGAGCTCAATGCGCCATTCCGCCTCAGGTCCATCATTGGCCAACACCGGACTGTTGCGAAGCATAGCAAGGATTTTCTTGCGATCTCGGGGCTTCAAAGTGAGGATGCCGTCACTACCCGTGGCTTCTGATGCAATGATTGCGTCTGAAACTTTCAGACCAAGCCACTTCAAACCCGGGATGCTGAGACTTGCGTTGTCGTGCACATGTGCCAATGAGCCGTACTTGTATGTCGACATGATTTCTACTCCGTGCGGATCCCCGTCCACCAGAGCATAGAATCGGGGTGGGCGTCGGTCGTTGCATGTTGCGTCGAAAAGGTGTCGGATGAACTCGCGTGTTCTGATGTCGGGGTATCCTTTGCCCTAAACAGATTGTCATTCACCTCACATTGGACATTGCGGTGGTAAAGGGCTCGAACTCACGGTTATGAGAATTCCCTGGCCAGCAACTGCCCTGTTGTAATAATCATTTCGCACCAGTCGATGGAAAACCGCCTGAATCAGCATGTTAGTATTGGTACATCATGTGCGAATCGCTGTCTGTTCAATATCCTCCTTACCTCCTTTTCAATAACAAGTACCCAACGGGTAGCCAAGATATCAATCTCATCATTTTGTTGGATCCGAGGCACCAGTGTATCCTGTTCCAATTAGCTTGCGGACCAATGGCGATAGGCTGCGCTGAAAAGTCACCTGTGTAGCAAACCCAGCATCAAGAACAAGGCGTGAATCACGCTTCAAAGCGAAAGCCCCTGCTATCAAGCCCTTTCCCGCAGCTTCCTGTCATGGTAGAACAAGTCGTGAGTAAGTGGTTGTGCTGGCCTTCGTCGTTGCATCATGACGGGGACTTACAACGTTCAATGCTCCACGGTCAACTCCAATTGTGTAAGCAAGCTCATCTATCACCGTGTCGACCGTGTCCTGGGAGCGGAAGTATGCGGGATCGATGTAGTAGATGTCCCTAGAGGTAATCAGCGCGACGCTCGGCGGAGCAGTCGCTTCAAACACTCACCTCTTCGACACCCATTGTCCACTTCGTACTGCCTGATCAATGATCGCAAGTATCCGAATGATGACAGCTATGCAAATGAGGTTTGCTTAGCGAGTTTCTCGAAGTTGAAGTCTTGCAACTCCAAGGCATCAAATGCACACAAGCGTACTGAACTTCCACGACTCATACGCTGTCGCCCCAGGCCAGGAGTACGTGCGATACACCTCCAAATTCGGTACTGCCTCAAGTGCTCCACTACCTCGATTGATGGTACAGTTTGCCGGGGTGGCTCTGCGTCGAATTCTAATGGAGGGCTGCGCTTCTGTTGGGGGAAGAGAGAGCTGATCAACGAGGTCTGTGAGGGTGTTGTCGATATAGGCGCGGACACAAGCTTGTCGATCCGGCTGTGGAATCACTGTCCGCAGTATATTGGCATTCAGAGCCATTTCTTTGCAATATAATGAAGGGGGGACGGGGATGGTATTGTCTCCGAATTGGCAATTCCGTTGATACTAGAAACAATGCGGTCACTGCACATAATTGATTTTCAACCACTGAGTGAACATGGCACTGTGATAACTTCTAGGGTTCCAAATTTGAGTACCATTGAATCAATATTAATTTGAACTTCCGTCCAAGGCTCCAAGATTTCCCAGTGGAATGAATGTCCTCAAATATTTCAAGGTCCATCTACCATCCACGGGCCTGGGGTACCTGAGGGTACCTTGGACCGCGCTTTGTATCCGCACCGCACAACCACTCTCCGCCTTATTGAGCTTAATTAAATAGCGAATACAAAATGTATAACGAGGGAAACCCCCATTGACATATTTTCTAGTGTTTATTCAATTGAAATCACATGGCAGACATGTTCTTGGTTGTACACCGCAGTCCTGAGAATGCTGACTAAGGTTACCCCGGGCTCCTGATTGTTATCGATAAGTGGGAGCTCCAACTTCTTCAATTGTCCCTGACAAACAGCATGGCTTCACACATTGGTCCATGGCGTTCTGACGCCCAGGGCCGTTTATCGCCCGATCAAAATGGCGACTCCAAAACAGACTACACTCGCTGGCGATTGGTCAATGAGGAAGGTCGCCAGACCTGGCGGTATCTCGAGAACGACGCCGAACATCACGCTTGGCCGCAGTCAATTGCCGATAAATACAATCTGGGTCTGCCGACTGTATGTTCCCTAAATCTGTGTTTGATTTTTCCCGTCTAATTCCGCTGTACAGGGCCTGCCAGAGCTGCAACATGTCAAAACCCCCATGCAAGCTGCTGAGAATGGCTTGTCCTTCTTCTCACATCTCCAGCTCGAGCCTGGCAACTGGGGTTGCGAGTACGGCGGTCCTATGTTCTTGCTGCCGGGTTTGTTGATCACTTGGTATGTGACTAACACACCCATTCCTCCGGAGTATGCTACGGAGATCAAGCGCTATCTTTTTGCTCGTCAGCACCCCGAAGATGGCGGTTGGGGTCTACATATTGAAGCCCACAGCTCCGTCTTTGGCACTGCCATGAACTACGTGGCTTTGCGTCTGGTTGGTGTCAGCGAGGATGATCCTCGCATGGTCAAAGCCCGTGGCCTTTTGCACAAGTTCGGAGGTGCTATCTATGGACCTCACTGGGCTAAGGCCTGGCTCAGCATTCTGGGCGTGATGGATTGGGATTGTGTCAACCCCGTGCCTCCCGAGATCTGGTAAGTACCTTCGGAATGCATCAGGCAACAGTATTTTTGACTGACACTCCTCAGGCTTCTTCCTGACTGGGTTCCTTTTGCCCCTTGGCGCTGGTGGATCCACATCCGCCAGGTCTTCCTGCCTCTGTCCTATATTTGGTCTAAGAAGTGGTCCTGCCCACTCAATGACCTCACCAAGCAAATCCGTGAGGAGCTGTACACTCAGCCTTATGACTCTATCGACTTTTCCCAACATCGCAACTCTATTCACTCTGCCGATAACTACTACCCCAAGACATGGATTTTGAACGCCATCAACGAGGCTATGGTTCGGGTCTGGAACCCCTTCCTTCGCATTGGCCCTATTGTCAAGCGCGCTGAAGATTGGACCTGGGAGTTGATCTGTATGGAGGATGAGAACACTGACTACGCGGGGCTGGGACCGGTCAACAACCCCCTGAACATGGTTGCCTGTTACATTCACGATGGTCCTGATAGCTACTCCGTTCGCCGCCACCGTGAAAGATTGAATGACTACATGTGGATGAAGGGCGAGGGCATGCTGGCCAACGGAACTAATGGTGTCCAGGTCTGGGATACAACCTTTGTCACGCAGGCTGTCGTGGTCGCTGGTATGGCTGATGATCCCAAGTGGCGCCCTATGTTGACTAAGGCTCTCGAATTCATCGATGACCACCAACTCCGGGAGAATGTGCCCGATCAGGAGAAGTGCTACCGCCAGCACCGCAAGGGCGCTTGGCCCTTCAGCACAAAGACCCAGGGCTACACTGTTAGTGACTGCACTGCGGAAGGTCTTCGCTCCACGATCCAGCTTCAGGAGATGCACAATTTCCCCAAGCTGATCTCTTTGGATCGCCTGAAGGACAGCGTGGATTGTCTGCTGTTGATGCAGAACCCGACCGGTGGCTTCACCGAATACGAAACTACTCGTGCGTCGGAGAAGGTTGAGTGGCTGAACGCCGCTGAAGTATTCGGCGGAATTATGATCGGATACGACTATCCCGAGTGTACCACAGCGTCCGTGACTGCTCTGTCGCTTTTCAGCAAGTTCTACCCAGACTACCGCGCCGACGAAATCCGAACCGCGAAGACCAAGGCGGTTGCCTATATCAAGCGTGCCCAGCGCAAGGACGGCAGCTGGTACGGTTCTTGGGGTATCTGCTTCACCTATGCTGCCATGTTCGCCCTGGAGAGTCTGGCCAGTGTCGGCGAGACCTACGAAACCAGCGACAACTCTCGTCGAGGCTGTGAGTTCCTGATCGACAAGCAGCAGGCCGATGGTGGATGGGGCGAGTCATACCTCAGCAGTGAGAAGCATGTCTACGTCCAGCACGAGAAATCTCAGGTTGTCCAGACTGCTTGGGCCTGCCTGGCTCTTATGGAGGCTCAGTACCCTCACAAGGAGCCTTTGGAGAGAGGCATCAAACTCCTCATGGCTCGTCAACAGCGCAACGGCGAGTGGCTGCAGGAGTCTATTGAAGGTGTCTTCAACCAATCTTGCATGATTTCCTACCCCAACTACAAGTTCTACTGGCCCATCCGGGCTCTTGGTTTGTACAGCAACAAGCACGGCAATGACGCACTTCAGTGAGCCTTGCATTCAACATTCAGCGAACGACCTGTACACCTACCTAATAGTCAATAATATCTGAGCGGTTCCAAGTCCATAACATCCAACCCTGACTACAGTAGCTTGTACAGGAGGAACAAATAGAAGATCATGAATGGGCATTCTGATATGTTTGCTTCTTTTCTAATAATTGTCTAAATATTCCTTAAAAGCCAAGGGGAAATCTTGACCTGGCCGCGGTTCCCATAGAAGAACCCATTCGCCACAAAAGACATATTGAATGCCATCCCGCTTCGGACCCACATGGGGATCTGGAGCTTTCCATAAAGCTTGGACCACCTTTCGCGGAGCCGCAACCCAAAACATGTTCTCTCTTTCCTCCTCCATCACACAACCCCTCCTCCAAACGCCATGGACTACGCAGCAAAGGGTGACGAGGCTCTCGCCCAATCCAATGCCCCCCTCGCTTTTGAACACTTCACGCGCGCCCTGATCCAGCATCCCCGCTCCCCGCAATACTACATCCAGCGCGCCACAGCCTGCGGACGCCTGAAGCCAGAGCATGGCGGGCCGAACTCCAGCCTTGCCCTGCACGACTCAGAAATCGCCCTAGTGCTTGCCGTTGAACGTGGCAAGCGCGAGCTCATCCTAGCAGCGCAGTTCCGCCGCGCGGTCTCGCTTTTCCAGCTTGAGCGCTATGGGGACGCATCATACCTCTTCAAGCTGCTGGAAGAGAAGTCGGCCGCGACAAAAAATACCCAGGATGATAGCAAAGAGGCCAAGCTTCAGACTGCTATGAAGGGTGGGAAGGGCAACTTGTACGAGACCCAGTTACCCATCTGGATGATGAAGGCCGATCGCAAATTGAAGGAACTTCCTGAGGGCGAAGCCAAAGCCAATGTCTCTGTTGTTGAATACCCTAAGAATGTCAGTATTCCTGGTGAAGAACAGTTGAAGGCCGAGCTGGCTGGAAAGCTTGGAACTCCTGCGTCTGTCCTTGAGCAGTCGGCTCAGGCTACTGCTGCTCCGAGCGCGGCGAGTGATACTCCGAGGCCCGCGGCTAGCTCTGCTACTCCTCCTACACCTGCTGTTCCGGAGAAGGTCCGCCATGAGTGGTACCAGTCCCAGGACTCTGTTGTCGTCACACTCTATGTGAAGAACGTCCCTAAGGGCAAGGTGGAGACTGACTTGAAGGATGACTCGGTAAGCACGACTTTAACCTACTTTTGGCCTACTATAGAATAAGCAACTAATAACTTCATCTAGTTGTCTCTCCAATTCCCTCTTCCCTCGGGCTCTGCCTACGACTTTACCCTCGACCCCCTCTACGCCCCCATCGACGCCTCCACCTCCAAAGTCTCCGTCATGGGCACCAAAATAGAAATCACCCTCCAAAAGAAAACACCCGGTCAGAAATGGGGCTCACTCGAAGGCTCCAGCGAAAGCGTGAAGCTCACCCAGCGCCCTGCTGCCTCTACGGCATCAGCCGGTCCCTCATATCCGACCTCATCTCGCCACGGCACCAAGGACTGGGACAAGGTTGCGTCCAACCTTACCACTAAGACAACCAAAAAGGAGGACGGAAAAGATGACGGCAATGAATCCGACGGCTCGGATGTTGGCGGTGATGCCGTTGACGGTTTTTTCAAGAAGCTGTACAAGGGTGCTGACGATGATACCCGCCGCGCTATGATGAAGAGCTACATCGAGAGTAACGGAACTTCGCTGAGTACCAACTGGTCTGAGGTTGGAAGCAAGACGATGGAGCCTCACCCTCCCTCCTAAGTGGTTGTGGCAGAGTCTATTCTGACTCGAACTCTTGCTCGAACCTGTCCTTGTCTTTTCTAGCTCGCTGCATCTAGCAACAGGTGTTTGATTGCATAGTTTTGCTACTTTTGAATAGTTATGATCTATGGAAATGCATTATGCTTCAGACTGCGCTATGTTTTGTAGCAGTACGCTTCTGTGCCCCAGGACTAACGTGAGCGATATAATTTACATGTCATCTGGAACCAAGCGAACCCCTTTAGAAATGAGCTGACAGTCCTCGGATAATCAAAGGGATGTCCAGTCTCCGTTGCTTCCTGATGAATACCGATCTCTTCACACATTATCCACCTTACTCTTGTCCTGAAACGAGGGCTCATACCTCACGTTAGACTCGGCTGGCACGTAATATCCAGTCCAAACGCTTCCCTTCGTCCCCTTCCTTATCATTACAGTCAAAATCCAAATCACCAACATGGGCGGATGGGCGATATCTTGTGCCATATGTGGTGGTCCATTCTCCAGCCAAGTGAATGTAGACCCTGAAAGGACTGAGGAGGACTGTTATCGCGACGAATTCCTAGAGGACTTGGACCTGGGATGGCTTGACGAACTCTGCGCTCTGGGTATCAACCCTGACGCACCTGGGAATGATACATCTGTGACAGTTGCCTCCTATAGCACTACAAAGTAGGGGGTTGTGGAGGTTTCCACGGGAGAAGGTGGGTTTCTCACCGACTATCCTAGGGGGAGTGTATAGGACCTCGAATGATTTGACTTATCCGGCTATAAGATCCGAATGTTCCCTTCCAGAATGACGCCCCTATGACTGCGTATGTTTTCTCCCCTTTCAACCGCCCATTCCTAATTCTCACAGTTCTCATGATTATGCTAGCATTGGAGACTCTCCCGAGCCTCATGTATTTCGTTTCCATCCCATCTGCTGCAAGGATATACTCCAGAGATGTATCCATTAGAGGAAGCCCAAGCAGATCAAATCTGGCATAGTAATAAAGGCCAAGAAGTAAGTTTGTCGTATGGTTGTTGCTTAGTGAGATGATAATCATGGGGCAAAGGGGGGGGAAGGAACGAGGAAATGTAACAAGTTACCCTGGTACGGGTAAACACTCTGCTTCAGACACCTTGTAGGACATATACCATACCACGCCCAATCAGGCCCCGTCGTCAAATGGCCATAGCTGCCAGATCCACTAGACTTTGGGTGGAGAACCGTGTTCAACAATATTGGCAATCGGAAATCTCGGCTACCCTACAGAGATTTCACCATTACGTTTCTACGTGATCCACGTGAGGCTCCTGAATCCTGGACAAAGTTTGGTATAGCGTGCCTCGTATAGGTCACTTAAACTCACCCACGCGGAGAAACAGGACATGTCCGGATGATCAAGAACGAGGGGTAAAGCGGATTATCACTACAAATAAAGTAGATACGAACCATATTTGCGCAGGCGAGTGGGGCACCGAAATAAGCTCGTCGGTGACCAACCCTAACTTTGACTAACGTTTACCTAATGTTTCCGATGCCGTTGGAGTCACTTGGAGTACTTTTGCCCACCTGCTACCACGCGGCTCTGTTTTTATTATTCACGATTTCTGTCCGAAGATGCTATAAGCCTATATTTTTACCTAAGCTCTTCCGATCCGACCTCGGGCTCGACCATGTTATTATCCGGGAGATGTCTGCCCGTTGGGGGCAGCTGATTCCACACATCCTTCGACGGAGCGCACAGTTTAATTTCAAAATCGAGAGATATAGCAATTGCAATTGCAGTAATGGTCCGCAACATCCACATCGCCGTTCTCGATGTCGACATTCCGGCGCGCCGACTGTACGAAGCACGCGGCCTCTGCAGCGCACACTTCCGCGATATCCTTCGCGAAACGGCTTCGCACTTGAACGAGTCAACCACGATTGATGATCCGATTAGTATTACCGTCACTGCTTATGATATTCGAGGAGGCCATTATCCCGATTTTCATCTGCTTCGTGGCAGCCGGACCCAGGAGCGTATGCCCGTTTCCAACCCAATTGATGCAATTCTGATCACCGGAGGCTCTCCGGGCGTCTATGAAATGCCTCACTCTCCTTGGATGCAGCTCCTGGAGAAGTTTATCCAGACTGTTTACAGAGACCACACCGAGGTGCGCATCATGGGCACTTGCTTTGGACACCAACTTATTTCTCACGCGCTGGTTCGCGTGCCGGAGGATCCTGTCCGTGATGTCTATGTTGAGAAATGCCCACTTGGTCGGGAGGTCGGTATCTACACCGTTCAGCTTGAAGATGGGTTCTTGAAGCACTTCCCTTCCGCTCTTGGTCATCTTTCTCAGGGCCAACTTCGCATTCAGATGTTCCATGGGGATCGGGTCATGGCTGTGGAGAAGGGAACCACGGTGACTCTCACCGAGTCCCCTCCTGTTTCGCTTCCGGCGCCCTGGATCAATATTGGAAGTACCCCTATCTGCCCTATTCAGGGACTGTACAACCCCGGCAGAGTTCTGTCGGTCCAGGGACACTATGAGATGGATGCCTTCGGCATGCAGGAGATGTGTGTTGAGAATGCGCCCGTCATGGGCTGGAAAGAATCCAAGTTGGCTCTGTTCCTCGAGCAGGTCGGCCCTGATATGGAGGAGAGACAGGATGATGCCAAGTCCTTTGCTATCGCCGTTCTTTCCTTCCTGGCTGATCTTGAAGTTTGATTTTCCGGGGCTCTGTTTGAAAGGCATTGAATGATGCCACGATCTCCAAAATGCTCATTGCCTCATGGAAAGCCTCAGTCAGTGATCGACTCGCGACGGAAAGCAATTGTCGGTACTTGAAAAAAAAGCATATACACCTCGGCAGGACACCTCACATCGCCTCAGGCAAGGCCTATCTCTGTGCCAAGCAGGCCCGTTTGGAACTGTGTTATCACTGCCCTGCCCAATTGCAAGCTGGATATTAATTCATTCCACGACTTCGATGATACCCCAGCAAGCACGATTCTTCACGCGTCCATATCTCCCAGCATTAGCAATGGCTTATAATGTATTTGAAATGAAGATTACACGAATCAAAATTTTTATACCAACTATCACAACTATTTAGGTGTATCAGTATTCGTATCGGCATCTGTACAAGAACATATCAACTGCTCTACTCATCAGTCTCGAGCTCATCATCAACCTTCTTCCCATCACGATACAAGAAGAATTGAACAAAGATCGCCATATCCAGCAGCAATGTACCAAAGCTACCAATCAACCAAGACAGGTTGACAAGCACATACCGTCCGTAAAGCTCGGAGGCCTCGCCGGGACGACACTTCACATGGCGGGTGTTCTTAGTCCTTCCCTGACAAACAGGTGAGTATGCCAGAATGGAGAGCACGTAGGTCAAGTTTCCAATGCAAGCGAAAAGGAAGAATAGCAGAGAGACTCCATCAGTGGACTTTCGGCGATAGTTGAGCAGCAACTGGGGGAGACGGGAGCCGAGGTACAGCACTGCGCAAAGGTAGCCGAAAACCTGGCCCAGTGTGTCCATCGTAAGTGGCTCCGCCTCTAGGCTCGGCTTCTTGGGTGCCGGGCTGACGTACCAGCCCAAGATACCCGCAGCGCAAACGAGAGCGACGGCGGTGATGTTGAAGAGGATGGCTTGGAGGGTAGAGATGCGGCGGCGGTGTCGGCGAGCGCGAGCTGTATCTGAGCTCGGTTCGATCAGTGGCGTCGCAGGAGACAGATGTGTGCCATCTACGTGTTGGGGGTTCAGAATGTCACGGAAAGATGTCGCAGAGTGTCGTCTGCCCTGCGCAGCGGCTGATGTCGGTCGCGCGCTGACGTGGGAGTGTTGGCCGTTTTGTTCATGAGTCGGATCTTGGATCTGGACGTGACCGTTTGACTTGGGCAACAGGGAGGACCTTTCCGTTGGCGCGGGTGTATTCGCATCGCTGCCCTCCAGAGCGCCCGTGGCAGATGGTTCGGGTTCAGGCGACGGGGAAGAGGAGAATTCCTCTCTGATGTTGAATCCCCGGTAATAGAAGCATTGCCCCAATAGAACGATATCTGCCAGAGTATAATACACGGCCAGGATAATCATTGTAGGCAGCACGCCCTGGAGGACAGCACCGAGGATGTTGAAGACATCACCCGCCAACCAGACGATCAGAAAAAGAAGCGAAAGGCCATCGGCAGAGCCACGTCGGAAGTTCTCAATGATCTGCGGTGAGAAAACAACAACCCAGCAAGCAATTGAGATAGATCTGAATATAAATTAGCGACTTCGTCGTCAAATGCCAGTTTACGTGGGGACGAAAGCGAGTAACGATCTGCATCACATCCCGCGCATGCGTGATGCACGTAGTTCACCGAACCACATTGTGTAGGTGTGAATTTAAGTAGGGAGAAGGAAACACTCACCCACAGATGCCACTCAGGGCCTCGATGTTGAAATTGGCCGCCTGTGAGGGGAACATGGTGAATGAGGACTGAGGTGACACAAGATCCGATCACAGCCACTCATACGGCTTCAGATGAGCACCTGAGTATGCTGCCGATAGCGGTTTCAACAGGCCGCTTGTTCTACCTGGTGTATAGTCGCCGAATACGTCAAAATATGCCAATTGAAGTGAACCGAAAAAGTTGGAGAAGACCGCGGGACTAGACCGGATGACGTCGAGTGCGGTCACGTGTTGCTTCATCTGGGGGTATTTGGCCAATACAAAGTGTGTTTCGGTTGGTTTTTTTCTTCTTGTTTTTCAGAAAATGGCATTTGAAGTTCCATTTTATTCCATCTATACCTGACTAATTGCTAAAAACCTAAACTGAAACCTTCATAATGTGCTCCAGCTTATCCTGGAAGTCGCAAAAGATATTGATCGCCTAAATGAGCGTCAGTAAAGTTTACTTGTCCGATAATAGCAAGCATATTTACATACCTCGGTCAATTTCATTTGACTGGCACCGCTACGGTCGCGGGCGAATGTAATCTTGTATCGGCCGGGATCATGCAGGTATGAAGCACCCGGTGGCGGAAATGGCTCTGTGGGAGCAGCGTCAAACAACGAGTTCACATTAGTTCCCATAGGGAGCGCAAGCTGCTCCAGGAGGTGGGGTGCAATTTTAAGGTGGTCAACGCCAGCAAGCTGGAATATTTCCTCCGTTGAGGTCAAACTCGCGGGCAAGACTTTGGTCGGAGCTTTGATTGATTTGTAGTACGCTTGAATAGCAGCACAGAGAGGAAGGAGCTTATGCTCATCAACAAAGCTGTAGATTGTTATGGTCAGTCCAGAAAACTTCTCTTTTCTGCCAATTTCTTTCTTATCTCACAATGATAGGTGATACTTACCCTGCTTTGACGTGGACCTTCAGTTCATTCACATAGGGAGCCACATAAGTACAGCCCACTTCAGCTGCAAGACACGCCTGGGGCATACTAAACAGAGTGGTCGCGAGTGTCCGTACTCCAGCAAGCTCAAGAGTTCGACAAGCCATCATGCCATCCCAGGTACTTGGGATCTTGATGGAGATACGAGCGACATCGAACCCTGGTTGAACATGTTGGAAAATTTGCACAATTCCTATTCACTTGGTCAGAGTCTTGCGCGATCTTGGCATCAAAGAGTGGAATCAGAACAAAAGCTTTGCTGACATACGAAGAGCATTGATGACTGTTTTCTCCGTGGAGTATGAGTAGTACGGATTCGTTTGCACATGAACCAATCCTCGAATATGCTTCGCCATAGCAACAGCCAGACGTACCATCTGTTCACTCACTGAGCCAGATCCGATATCAAGAGACCTGGATTGTACCTACCCCAATCTCGACAGCGAGCTCATCTACACCGATAGATGAGTACTTGGTGTGAAGTGCCTTGGCATCAGCCAAGGACGCGGCGACGACCTCCGCACGATCGGGTTTGGACAATTCGCCAAAGGCGATAGCCTATCAAGCACAGTATTAGAGTTGGGTATACTTCAAGATAAGTAGACACGCTCACCTGGTTCGAAGTGCAGTCCTGAAAGGGACCGAGGGACTTGGCAACTGGGAAACATCAAGCGACTAATCTGAAAAAGAAAGGCTGGAGATTTGGAAACATACCCTCTTCGTCCATCGTATCACAATCCACAACGGTGCGCGAACGCATATAGTCCAGACCGGTCGGAGTCCCCATCTTGAACTGCTCTTGTAGCTTCAAAGGGTTTATAGTTCAGAGCCAGAATGTTAAGGGAGATTCATGGGAAGACGGCGATTACAGGGTGATGTCGGAGAATGAACGAGTTGCACAACGTCCTCATCCCACCTTTTCTCCAGAGTCGGTGGAGGGTCCCGAACGGGGCAAGTGACCCCGCCTGCATTCACGGTGTGGAGCATGGCGTCCCCCTCGATCTATGAAAAGCAGACACGGGAAGGGACTACTACATCATCCCATCTCCACTTGAGTGGGATGAAAGCTCGAGTGCTATCATTTGATATACGTGATAGAAAGGCATTGAAAGCTCCATAGCTGCTTCATAGATGCCCACGGGCCATTTAGGCTAAAATCCAGCAAAACAATGTTGATTGTCTACAATTCACCTGAACGCCCCACGATAGATGCATAGAACCCGCGATATCCGCTAGATCGACTTGACTTTTATTGTTTTGTGTTTGACGGTCGCATCTACTTGGCCTGGGCAGCCACCCATGCCTCGTGCGCCCTCTTCTGTCGCTCCCAGTCCTTGCGAAGCTTCTTCGCCCGGCTCTTGGTGAGCTCTTCGCCCTTCGCATCGTAGGTAGGGAGACCCTCGTCGTCCCAGGCGCTGTACTCATTCGTGCGGAACATCTCCAAGTGACTCAGCTTGCCCTTCTCCAGTTGCTTCAGAGCCTCCTGTTCACGCTTCAACTTGTCCGCCTGCTTCTGGCGAGCGCGCGCCTCCTTCTCCTCGCGTGCTTGGATCATCTCTTGCGTGACAGGGCGGACGAGAGCGGGCAGATTGTCACGATCCTCGAGGTAGATGCCCAGCTCGAACAGATCGATGTCTCGGACGCGGTCGCAAAGGGCGAGGATATCCTTGCCAATGGAATCGGATGATTGCAGAGAAGAAACCTTGGTGCGGAAGGTCGAGAGAAGCTCGGCGTAGGGCTTGGCGGACTCGGAGGCATCCTTGGGAGCAGAATCCTGCTTGATTGCCTCTTCGATTTGGCTGGGCGAGACACCCTCCTTGGAGCGGGCGGCTTGTCGGAGGGTATCACGCATGGTAGAAAGTGGGAAAAGGAATGGCTTGGCTTCCTCGGGGACATCGATACCAGACCAACCAATTTCAGTGCTGTCGGCGGTCTTGGTTCCGTTAAGACCGAAGATGTTAACAATGGAAGTAATCCAGCGAGCAGCATCCTCAACATCCTTCGGGTTCAATATGGCCTTGTCGGCACTGTTGTACTTGGTAATAAGTTCGGAAATGGATTGCATGACACCCGGTGTGTTGAAGGAGTCGCAAAGCTGGTTGTAGACCGCAGTCTTAGTCGCCTCAAAATCAGCAGCAAAGGCTGTGTCGGTGCCAGAGCCCTGCAGGGCGGCGGGATCCTTCACTTTAAGGAAGAAGTTGTTGAGCTTCTCTTCCCAGGAGATTCCGGTGCTCACGAGCTCATCGGTGATCTCAACGCCATCCTTCCAACCACCTAGCAGGAAGACAATACGCAAGCTTCGCGGGTTCCATTCCTTCCGGTTGAGGGCTTCGCGAATGGTTGTGAAGTTCTTCAAAGACTTGGACATCTTGGACCCTTGGATCGACAAGTGGCCCATGTGCAAGAAGTAGTTAATGACTTGGTCGTGGTTGTGGCTGTTGAAATAAGCCTCGCTCTGGGCCAATTCATTATCGTGGTGGGGGAAAGCAAGATCAATGCCACCCGAGTGGATATCGATACGGTTACCCAGGCGAATACCGTGAAGGGTACTGCACTCGATGTGCCAACCGGGACGTCCCTTGCCCCAAGGGCTGGGCCAGCTGGGCTCACCCGGCTTGGAAGCCTTCCAGAGAACGAAGTCTGAGGCGCCGCGCTTCTCTGTAGACTTGCTGGTCAAGGAGCCCTCTCCCTCTGCGGCCAATTTGTTGTCCGAGCGGCTCCACGGCTCGAGACGCGCATACGGGTGCCCAGCCGCCTCGAACGATTCAATGTCGAAGTAGACGGATCCGTCCTTGGTGGTGTAACCGAAGTTATTCTGAACAATGCGGTCCACGTAATCGGCGATTTCCTGACCATGGTCTGTCACGCGCATCAACTCATCAGGGTCGAGGACATTCAGGTCCCGCATATCTGTCAAGAATCGCTCCTCGTACTTTCGAGTAAGCTTGGTGAAAATGCCGTGGTCGTCGGCATCAATAGAAGTGCCCTTCAGAGCATCCAGGTATGGGAGAAGGACATCTTGCGCATCTGTGTAAAAGGACTCGGCAAACAATGCAGGATCGGAAACGCTGTTACCGCGCTCGGCTTCCGCCAAAACCGTCGCCGCCGAGCCCGCAGTCTTGATGTGCATCTTGACTTTCGCCTCGTCATCGCCCGCTTTCTCGTTGCCCAGGAGGGCACCGCCGCTCAGCACCGTCGCATACTCCTTCGCCACAGTATCTTGGTATTGTGACGGGGCCAATTCGGGGTCCAGCAAAGACAAGTTCTTCTTCAAGTATGCTTTGTAGGCGTTCTTTGTGGTGTCAATCACTTCCGCGTTGACGACGGGGTTCACGGCGACGAATTCGTTGAAGAGATGCTGTTGTCTTGCGCGGAGGATGATCTATGTAAGTGGTGAGTCAGTCCATTCATTTGCGCCAAAGGTAATCCTCGAGAAGCATACCTTGTCATCGATATCTGTCACATTCATAATGAATTCGAGATCGAACTTGAAGTAGTCGCGCATAATGCGCCGAATGATATCGGTGCTAACATAGTTGCGGGCATGACCTAGATGCGCATCGTCGTAAACAGTCGGCCCGCAGGCGTACCAAGTAACCTTCTTGCCAGTCGGATCGACGGGAACGAAAGGCGATTTAGACTTGGTCAATGAGTTGTAGACCTTCAAGGGCGGCAGTTGCACACCCTCCTGCAAGGGAGGCTGCCGCCATGCCGGCTGTTGACGAGTAGACATGGGTCTGGAGATAGAGAGTGACAGAGACCAGAACCGAAGCTGCTGCCGAACAGAGGGAAGGAGGGGCATAAGAACGGAGGGGCAGTTTGCTTTGGAAACAACGTCGACTCATCGCATTACGTACCGTGATTGGCCCTTGCGTTGGTCCCAGATTAGCCCTAGGCCCTAACTTCCCAGATAGGCAATCCAGCTTTTTTCTACTTGCGGAGATCCGATCTTGAAGACCTCGAGCTACGAGTTTCCAGTTACGCGCATTGCTCGGACTCCTGCAGCTATGCCGTCTCCGTTCCTGACCCCCGGCTCAACCGCGGGACCCGATACCGTCGCCCTCCTCCATCTGCGCCGCGACCAGACTATCCCGACGATCCTTCGTACCTTCGACGACCAGAACTTGGGCTACAAGGAAGGCAAGGTGTCCAACACACGCTTCGGCTCGTTCCCGCACAGTACCCTGATTGATCAGCCATGGGGCTCACAAATTGCCGCCTCCAAGGTCGACACCGGCTCGCGCGGCCGGAGAGGTCCTTCCAAGCGCAAAGCTGACGAGCTCGATACACCGGGCACAACCACCGGCGCCGACGATGATACCCCCTCCCTCTCAAAACCAGTCGCTGCCGGCAGCGGCTTCCTTCACCTGATGTACCCCACTCCCGAGTCGTGGACGTTGTCCCTCCCGCATCGGACGCAGGTCGTTTATACCCCCGACTACAGCTACATCCTCCACCGGCTCCGCGCGCGGGCAGGAGGCACGGTCATCGAAGCCGGCGCGGGCAGTGGCTCGTTCACCCATGCGGCCGTGCGTGCCGTCTTCAATGGATACCCTCAAGAGCAGCCGGCAAACAAGAAGCAGCGGTTAGGCAAGGTGTGCAGCTTTGAGTTCCACGAGCAACGAGCGAAAGCCGTACGACAGGAGATCTCAGATCACGGTCTGAACGGTCTGGTAGAGGTCACACACCGCGATGTCTACGAAGGTGGTTTCTTGCTGGGTGACCCCCAGACCGGCCAGTCTCCCAAGGCCAATGCAATTTTCTTGGATTTACCTGCTCCCTGGCTTGCTTTGAAGCATCTTGTGCGCAAGCCTGCTTCTGGTGCTGAGTCTCCATTGGATCCGAATTCGGCCGCCTACCTTTGCACTTTCTCTCCGTGTCTTGAACAAGCCGAGAAAACCATCCGCGTTATGCGCCAGCTTTCGTGGTTGAATATTTCGATGGTGGAGGTTAACCATAACCGCATCGATGTGAAGCGCGAACGTATTGGCTTGGATTGTGAGGGTATTCGCGGCGCAACAGTATACCCGAAGACCGTGGAGGAAGCAGTTGTGAAGCTCCAGGAGGACGACGAACGAGCCAAACGACTCCGTCAGGCCCATTACGACGGCAAGACAGACGACCCGAAGGTCCAAGAAGACAAGACCCGGTCTTCCAAGGAGTCAGCTATCCCGGCCTCTACTGGGCCTTCCTATAGCCAGGGCCGCTTGATCCACCGCTCAGAGCCGGAATTGAAGACGCATACGTCGTACTTGGTATTCGCTGTTCTTCCCCGTGATTGGACAGAGGAAGATGAACAAAAATGTCGCCAGCAATGGCCTTCTCAGAAGTTGGATGCTCCTGAGCCCAAGGGTGGCAAGAGCAGGAGACAGGCTAAGAGAGAGGCTAAGGAAAAGTGTATGGAAGAAATCAAGGCGGGAGAAAACGCGCAGCCAACAGTGGAGAAGGTTGAGGAGGGGAATGAGGCATAAAGAACTATATCAAAGCATAATCATGAATAGTGTAACATTAAAGCACTGGGTATTGGCAAAAGCATATTATCTCTTCTGGTTTACTCCCAGAGTGTCATCAATTCGATTTTCATCGTCGCAAAGTCTCGATTCCTTCAACCCGTTACTTTCTACGTCGAAGCTACCTGAATAATGTATGAGTGTGGTCTCCTTCAAATGGACTATGTTCTAAATGGTTCTCAAAGATGAGGGGTAGTTGACATGAAAATATGGTCATGGTATGTGACGGCAAGAGCAGGCTAGTGAAGATGTTACTATATCGCGCTAGAGGTTGTTCTCCACTCTGAACTTGTCCCACGCTTCATTCAGGGTTCCAAAGACAGCACTGGAGATCATCCGTTGCTCGGTCGTAGCAGTGGTGGGAATCTAGAAGGCCATTGTTAGCAAGTGGTTCCAGCCAGGGAGGTTATTAAGCTACGTACCTTGTCGGGATGCACCTTGGCAATTCCCTTCATATATTGGATCTTCACCTTGTTCGGCAAGACCAGCTCCGCCAAACCGATCTTCTTCCACCCAGACTCAGCCCAGAGAACGCTATCAAGACTGCCCAGTAAAGCACGAAGATTGTCCTGCTTTCCGTTCCTCCAAAGGGCGATTTTGGCATCAACACTTTCTGAAAGAGCAAATTTCTCTTCGTCGGCAAGCTCGGAAGCTTTATTGGCCTCACGCAGACGGCTGACAGCTTCTGAGTCCTGTCCAGAGCCCGCGCCTAGATCTGACAGCGCGGATGCCTTCTTAGGCACAGGCGCTGCCCGTTTCTTAACGGGGACTGCCTTAGCTGCAGGCTTGCTGATACCAGCAGCCTTCTCGCATCGGTTTCGGCCTTGAATACTAGTACTTCCACCATGACCAGCCTCCACGGCCAACTTCCAGACCTGCGCGGCATCTTCCCATTTCTCGAGCTGCTCCAAAGCCTCTGCTTTGCGCATCAAAGCCTTGCCATAGAAGTCCTTCATTTGCTTCGCAGGCTCGCCATTCCCAAGATCGATTTTTTCAGATTCGCCGTTTGAGGGACCGATTAAGCTCAGGATGATCTCGGCATCATCGACGGCTGACTTTGCTTCACCGGTCTTTAGCGCTGTCATTGCGCGATTGCTACGAATCACAATCGTAATGGGGTGCTTCTCGGGAAGCATATTAAGGGCCGTTGAGAAGCTCTCGTGGGCAGCCGCGTAGTCACCCCGCTTATACGATTCTGCGGCTTTTTCACGGTGACGATGCGTGGATTGAAGAGCCTCGGCCGATACAGATGGAATCGACCGTACCGGGGCCTTGGCGCGCAGTGGAATAGGTGTTGAGCGTGCCGGGGTTCCCACTTGAGAGGGAGCCGCTGGTTTGGGTCGTTGAGATGAAGGAGTGGGAGAATCGAATAGATCAACGGCAGGTTCAGGCGCTGGAGGAGGTGCTTGAGGTCGCTTTCGCCTTGCAGAACTAACATAGGCTTGTGCCGACTGCTCCTCCGTGGCAAATCTTGATAGGCGAGATTTGGGCTCGGTAGAAGTGGGACGCGATGGCCTTTGCAGGAAACTGGGTTGTTGTTGTTGAATATGTTGCGCGGGAGATCGAGACTGTTGGCGAAGAGCACTATCACTGGGATCCGGGCGAGCAGACTTGCGAGGGGGTCGAGCGTCGCCAGTTTCAAGAAGCATTGCCTCGTCTGTGAAATCTTGTGGCTTCTGCTGCTGTTGTTCTGGTCTGTCACCACCACGTCGGGGTGGTTGTTGCGGAGGGAACAGCTCCTCGCGTGGAGCGGAAGCATCTCTCATCCACTTGGGTTGGCTGGGGTCATGATCTCCCGTATTGAACTCGTTGACGGCTTGTTGGAACTTCTTGCTTCCGGTTTTCCAGAGGGAGCCTGCAGTTTTCCACAAGTTGTTGCCTAGCTGAGAAGTGATTTGGGCTGGATCCTTATCGCCTCCGGGGCTCATGCTATCTTCTCGCCGAGGAGTCTGGGACCTGCCTTCCCTCGCCCAAGATGGAGCATCACGCTGGCGACTACTACGCTCCATAGAGTCATGGGACGGAACATTTGACGGTGATTGACCCTGAGACTTCTGTCTAGACTCGGCATGGGCTTGTGTCAGAAGCCAACCAACGGCAGCCTGCACATCTGTCCTTGACGGGGTAGTCCGTAGGGCCTGGCGAGATTTATTCGCAGGGAATCCCATATCCACCAGCTCTGCGATGGCTCGATCTTCATCACTAGTCGGTAAGGGTGAAGCATCTTGGCTCCTTGTGTCACGGCTGGGTGGCGTTGGGGGCGAGGGGGAAGGCTTCTGGCGCGGGAGTTCAGATAGAGGCTTTCCAAGTAGACCAAGGAAGTCGTCATCATCATCCGGTGCGGGGGGGAGATGCGGCCGCTGACTTGGGCTTCAATTCACTGAGGCCGAAAGGATCATCATCTTCAAATGAATCTAGCCCTCCGGTGTTGTCTCGCATTGAGATCCCTCCATTTAATGATAATTGTGGGGTATTGGAGTCGATCTGGGGTGAAGCGTTGGAGCTCGGAATCGGGAAGTTTGTGGATGCGTCCACAGGTGCCGCGGCATTGAAAGCGGCCAATAGATCGTCATCGTCACCAGGAGGGGATACAGTTTGCGAGACTGGCGCAGCAGCGGGGCTTTGGGTACGGCCTTGCTCAAGACCGTCCCAGAAATGGTTGTTCTGTCTCCCATATTGCGCCTCGTACTGACTCCGCTTCTCTGCTTCCTTCTTTGCCTTCTCCTCCTTCAAGCGCTTCTGTTGTTCCGCCAACGAGAGGTTTTTATTCGCGGCCGAGGAGTTGAATGAGACCAGGTTGGCGAAGCTGTCCCCGGTGGACGGGGCGGGCTTGGATGGCGACGGGGTACGATTTGAGGCAGCGGACATGGGTGTTGATCTCCCAGAGCCACCATTAGATCGTATGCTGGGGAACATAAGGCCAGAAGTCATCGGCGGCGGTTTGTTTGGCGGGGCATTTGGGTTGTTAGACCAACTGAGTCCGTTTAGGTCGTCCATGGCGGGCTAGATGGTGCCCCGTTGCGGAGGTGAGGGTGTTTGACTGGTTTCGGTGTAAGGGTTAGGAGGTCCGAGATGGATCTAGTAGGTATTCCATGATCTCACCACACAAAAGACAAGGGAATTGACAAATTGACAAATTGACAAATGATTTGTAGCCTCATGGAACATGCGCCGACGCTCGCGCCCCCCTGCGCATGTGGGGATGACGACGGGCACGTGATGTTTCACGATTCAGTGCTTGTTTTCCCCTTTGAAGTAGATGGAGTATAACTAACAGCGATCTTGGTTATTTGAAAAATTATCATCTCGGTTTCTGCCGAGTTTTATACTCAGTACCTATTTAAGTTATCATCCTCTTGACATTGGGGTGCCACGTGCACTGGGCACGTTGTCAGTGTGAAAATATGTATACATTCCTGTCGCCCTTGGCTTTGTGACCGGCATCTGGGCACACATATTGAACCCTGGAAATCAACATGAACAAAATATCGATAAACCTACATAAATGTTAATTCTTTGATCCCGAGGCTCCAAGATTGCAATTAATGCGCACCATTGGATAATCCGGGCGAGGACATTACTGGGGGGCTTTTCAGCTGTATTCGAAGTAAAACTTTGACCTACGACTCGCCCGATCTTGTAGAAATAGTGCTGCAGAGTTATATGCCCAAGTATTTTCGAGGGAAACGAGCTCATTATTGAATTTAAGAAGTCCAGTGGGCCTGGTGTGCTAATTATTCGAGGATTTCAAAAGCATTGACAGGTCGAACGAGACGATGCCCGCGGACCCTATGCCACAAGCGCCTTTGAACAGGCCGGCCATTCTTCCAACGTTTAATATGTCTTAATGTTAACAACATATTCCTAGCGGGCATACTAAAAGCGAAGTCTGTAATTAGTATACTCATTATCTAGATGCTTTACATTGAAAAATTCTGCTCTAGTGAGTGGTTTCTAATCTTCCATCGGAGTCAGCGCTCGCGGTATTATGCCGGTGCAGATCGGTGAGGATAATTCGGCGCCGAAAGATAATTGACGGCTTGTCTTATTCGCCTGCAGTATCTCTACCGCTGCATAAGCACTCTCAAAAATTGCATCGTTCACGAACATGCGGTCGAGCGACCCGATGACTCTGCCGTCCCATGCAGTAAAGCTGGACCACGGAATCAAGCCCGCGATAACTATGCAAAGTCCGCAGAAGCCTTCACTTTCAAACACGGCATCAAACTCTATTTTGTTCACCGCAAAGACAGTCAAGTCGGTATACTCAGTTCTCAAGGACGATCTTGGTTTCCCAAGTCGGTTATTACGATTTTATTTTGTTGCATCTAACGTCTAACCCATCTATTAATGGAGAAGATTGCCAATGGCCTTCCCTTATTTGGTCATTCAAGCTCCGTTTGGCATTGCATCATCACCTCAGTTGTCTTCAATCATGTCGGTCTTGTCACAATTCAGGTCCATAGATACTCCAAGACGTTAAATTATCGCGTCGTCATTTGATTCACCCGCTTCGTTCCCCTGAGCCGATCGGCGATGCCAAGTGGATGAATGTGTTAAGCGATAATATCCTTCCGTTGTGATCTTGTCCAGAAATGGATAATCTTATGTATTCTTACTTTTGGACTCATCAACATTGACTATAATTACTTTTCCTTGATCTCACAAATAATCTTCAATAGTCCAGCCAACACATTTCAGTAGCAGAACTGAACAATCACGAGAAGGTGTCACCTACTGAGCCTGCACGTGTGTATGCACTTCGCGTACGTGGCATCGGATATGCCGGACGAGGAAACAAAACTTGGACACCATGTCCAGATGCACATGGTGGACAAATAAAAGACGAGCACGGCAGAGCCATATGATGGAATGGCAAGCGCTGATTGAACAATGCATTATCAAGTCATGGAGAAGACACTAGAACGAGATGGGAGCAAGTGTCTCGGATGAGGCAAGCCCCTTGCTGGCAAGTCTCCGGACCAGGTCTCGACCCAGGTCTCGACCCAGTCAAAGATAATTTCATGCCCAACCACCCCCAGGAACAGTGCCAGTCAATGCACGCCAATGCAAGAGCAATGCACGAACGGCACGGTGGCGCCATTACCGTTGTGATAGACCAACAGGACACTAAAACGGGACATGTGAAAAGCACGGCTCAAGACTAACAACTCGACAGATCGAGGGGCGCGACCCACTCCGCGAACCCCTAGATGCGGATGGCGCCGATACCTCCGAGCGCGTATACTCTGCGCTGGAGCTGTCCGAATTTCCAAAATTTTCATGCACACGGGTGCAATAATACGGTGAGCCCAGGAACCCTAGCTCAAGGCTGGAGGCTGGCTTATCATTATTGGGATTATACCTGTGATGTGACCGATCATGGACCCTGGTCGATTGGTCGCCCGCATTCCTGCTCTGTATGCGCTAGGAATTTGATCGTCGCGGGTCTTGTTGTTTTGTCTGAGGCATGATCAATAGGTACATATGGCCCAAGGAAAGGAGAAGCCCTCTGAGCAAGTAATTACTAGGGTCTGGCCTAGGGTACCTGAAGGTAAGGCGAGTAATCCCTGCCGATGGCCGGTTTTTAAGCCCGAGACGAAAGAGTCTAGTAAAAGCGACCGAGTGTTAATTTCCGGTAATAAAAGATGAAGGTCCTAGTCTCCTTTCGGTACGAGGGACCGCCACCAGCACACAAATGGAGAGCTGATCCTTGCTAGATCGACAGGTTCTCGATCGGTGGGTCTTCGGATAGCTCATTGACTTGTCGGTCCTGGATCGCGTGGGAATCTGTTGTCAAATTCCCAGTCGGTTAACTAGTCTACCCCTAAAAACTCAAATGCAGCTAACAATGTTGTGCCGGTTCCGTTGGCCCCGCGTCTTTCTGGAATCCCCTTGTCAACTGTCGCTTTATATGTAGGGGCTTGGGTTAGACCTGGGGCTGGTATTTCTTGTTTATCTCATTTCCTGCGGCCACATGGGTTCACGACGCGCCTCTGCCAGGCTATTCTATTGATGTTTATTGCCATGATCCTATGAATAAGCCAGCCTCCCCTTCTGGTTCTGCGACGCGACCTTCACCGACTTGATTCTAGTGCATGTGCATATTGGTAATGTGAACGAGGCTGGCAGGGTTCATATAGTCGATTCGAACTGCTCCACCCCCCGAGGAATTCTCATTCGTTCTCACCGTTTATTCTGAGACAAGCTGGCCAGTATGCGGTGGTCTTTACTTTTCACTTTAGTTCTGTTCTTCCTCTGCGGGGTGTCATTGGCAGCCCCAGCGGTAGGATTGGGAGAACGAGATGTTGATGCCGCCGCTATTCTCGACAAAAGAGAAAACCAAGATACAACAATGACCGCAACAAGTAATGATGCGATGCCGACAACTACGACCGCGACAGGGACCCAAGTAACATCAACGGAAGCGACGGGAACTAGAGCGAGTACTATAACGGACTCGGCCAAAAATACTTCAACATCTCGCCATACCAGCCAAACCAGCCCAACCAACGCCGCAACAACAGTGCCTTCATTAGATGGAGTTGGTTCCTCGAGCGCTTCATCGCAAAATAATACCCAGTCGGCATACTCAGGAGGCCTCCCAATCAAGCCGGAAGTGACGCCTGCATTGGGGGTGGGAGGCTTCATACTTCTTGTTCTTGGAGCAGCGCTTGCCCTTATTGGAATTCGGAAACAATGGTAAATGTTTTAGCTCGGAGGGTATAAGAACAGGAAGCTAATGACAAATAGGGTCTATATCTTCCTCTCCACGGCATTTTGCGCGGCATTGGGTGTCACAGTGAGTCATGTATATTTGGATTACAACTGCATTGTGAGCTGACCTCGGAACCCTCATTAGGTCTTGATCATTTATGTCATGAATTCTCCTGTCAGCAATGGAGTACAAGGGGGGTATTTGGTTGCTGTGGTCGTCACGGGTGCGATATTTGGTGGTGTAGCGCTCGTCTTCAGAGAAATCACCGAGGGGCTGTGTTGTCTCCTGGGCGGCTTCTGTATCGGAATGTGGCTCATGACCCTCAAGTCCGGAGGCCTGATCACTGGCGACGGAGCAAAGGCAGGATTTATCCTTGCTTTTGCTGGGGGCTTTTATTGTCTCTCTTGGAGTCACTACACCCGTGCATATGGGTCCATGCTCTGTACCGCCTTTGCTGGTGCTACCGCTCTAGTACTTGGAATTGACTGCTTCAGTCGAGCTGGATTGAAGGAGTTCTGGCTCTATATCTGGGGTAAGTCTCTCAGAACCTCTCTGTTTTCGATAGATTGGGATGCTAACATAAAGATCAGGTCTGAACAACAACATGTTCCCCTATCACACCTACACTTACCCTGTGACAAGAAACATTCGCGTCGAGATTGCTGTCATTATCATCATCACTGCGTTTGGTGTAATTGGACAGTTGCGATTGTGGAAGGTTATCAAGGCTCGCAGGGCGAAAGAGGAAGATTCCCGCCAAAAAGCCGAGAAAAAGAAAGAAGAAGATGACGCCGAGGTCGGTCGCCAACTCGAAGCAAACAACCTCCGCGAACGTGCCGAATGGGAGCAAATGTATGGCAACGGGCAGCACAACGGTAAAGAGGCATCATTGTCGGAGACCGCAATTGCCGATGATTCAAGAAGAGGATCAGATGGCTACGGTTCTTCAACAAATCCAGAGAAAATCAACATCGAAATGAAGGACATGGCTACCGCGGAACACGCTGCTGGTCTTTCGGACTCAGAGAAACATCTCGGAAGGATTGATGAGGGAGAACATCATGAGGTGCGCAGTCAGCCCGAAATAGAATATCGTGACATGGTAGGACCAAGACCGGTCACTGCAATGTCCTTGCCAACGGCTGCTGTGAAGTCACATCTCCGTGGAGATAATGACTCTGAACATGGGGCTGTTATTGGCTCCGAGGCTGGCACCCCTAGAGGATCAAAGCACCTTTCAAGGAAACCATGGATGAACAGGCTCTCCTGGCGCAGCGGCAATATTCAAATTCCAGAGCCGCAATCGGTGTCGCAGGAAGCCTTGATCGTGTACGATGATGCTGCATCCTCCGTGGCAGGCGTTGTGGACGATCTGACAATCGCCTCTGGCCCCCCAAGTATCGCGTCTGGTATCCACGATGATGGGGAGGGCCAGGAACACAAGAAAGATATCTCAAACGAGCATGCAACAGAGCAGAACGTGCTCTCCGAGGTGGCTTTAGGAAAACTCAACACTCAAGCACGTCAGCCTGCCGCAGCAGTGACTGAAGCAGATATCCCAGCTTCCCATGAAACAGAAGGCGGAAATGACGACGCTTCTGTCAACGATGAGAATAATCAGGAAAACCAGGAAAACATTCCGGCAGTGGCGGCTATTTCGGCAGACAGTCCCGCGGAGGATCAGGGCGCGAAAGCCGAGAACGCAGAGGAGCAAACCCAGCAGGCTCCATCAAAAACCCAACCTGATATACAAAAGCAAGAAAACCCAAGTGCAGTTGTTGAGAGCGCTGAATCTATCGCCGAGGGTAATGCGTCTGAAAGGGAACCATTAGGTCCCGTTGAGGCTGAACAAACAGAGGTTGACGATACTCATGATCACCAATCTAACGTCGACAAAGATGCCACAGTCGCCGATTGCGCTTCCCAAAAGAAACCCATCAAACCTGTCAAGAGGCCAACATTGGATAGGTCGACAGTGAAAAAGATCCCTGAACAGACCTCGAAGGTGGTTCATGTCTTCCGCACCAAAGAATGGGCAAAGCATCTGGCCGATGCGGAAACCCCAGAGCTTGAGCCCCTGGAGCTTGAAAGCGAGGCCCCAGAAAACTTGGAGAAAACTGAGCAGGTCGCAGCCCCAGTTCATGTTGATGGCCTTCTGCAAACAGCCTTCAATGCCCAACCACCTCCCGCTGTGATGAGTCCCGAGCTAAGCGCAGCAAGCTTGGAACAAATCCGGCGACAGTCTGACTTATCATTTGCACCTTCTCCAGAGGTGTCTCGGTCAAAGATACGAAATAGCCTGCAAAATCTTTCTGGCAGATCCCCGCCGCCGATAGCTCGCAATGCGTCAACAGGATCCATAGTTCCACTACATGAAGAGCATGATGCTGTTGCTCCAATGCTTCGCAGTGCATCAACTCCCTTGTTGACTCTCACCTCACCCAACATCAGCAAAGAGACACCGGAGTCGCCACGCTGGAATGGCCCACCACCTCTTCTTGCCGTTCGTGAAGACATGGTGCGCAATAGAATGTCTTCCACTTCCCTTCGCCACGATCCTTGGGCATCTCGAAACGCTTCACGCCAATCTCTCGTAGACCCCTTGCAGGCCATCTCCCCAACAAAAGCTATCCCTGAAGAACACGAGGAAGACTTTGAAATCGCCGCACCCAACGATGATGACGACGTTCCTCTCTCTAAGCGCAAAATCATGCTGCAGCGCCAGACCATGCAGTCACCATCCAGCTTGAGCATCGCAAATTCGCCCCTGGCGATGAGCCCCCCGAGCTACGAACGCTCAAGATCACCCCAATTCACTCAAGTTGACTCTGAAAGATCTGCCTCAAGAATGGCAGCATGGCGCCAATCAGTGAAGGAGGACATGACTCAACGCCGTGACCCTCTTTTCCATGGCACTTCTCCAGGACCCCCAGGACCAGCCAGCCCCGAACGACCGCGCAGCAGTCTTTGGGGATCTGTGCAGCAAATGCGTGATGCTTCCTCGGCCCACGTCGATAAAGCCATTGCAGATGGCATGCAGCGAGGAAGTATGAGCGATCTTCATCGTCAAGCAATGCGACGGATGCAGGCTTCTGCCAACCGTCAATTGTAAGCGTTCTTTTGATACCCCTATCCTTGCTTTTATTTTCTCTTTCGGGAATCACCGGGCGTTTCATACATTACCTTAGATACGCAAAATTTTTAATGTATATAATCCTTAATGACTTGTGTGTGAAAAGTCACTTAATATATGTTCAAAGTGTCTACATACTTCAGATGTTCCTACTATCAAATCTCGATCACTGCAGGAAATGCTTCGGCGCTTTCTCGAAAACCTTGATGGCCTGTTCAAGCCGTTTTTCGTACTCTTCCAACTCCATACTGTCCTGGTCATCGTCCATAGGTGTACCCAAATCTGCCTCCGTCTCCGCCTTTGTCTCTCGCTTCTCTTCCTCCTTGAGACCCAGCTCAATTGACTGACCTCCGCCTCCCCGGGCCGTATTCACCGACATGACGTCTCTATAAAGGCCAAGTGTAGCCGGTAATTTCACCCCATCCACACCACTCTTCCCCATCTTGATAAAGCGCGCATCAAGTAACCGGTACTGGGCTGCCCAGACATGCGGATCGGAGACCTCCATAGTCATGTCCCATGATGAATCAACTCCCAAACTCACAGACCCACCGATGGGAATGCCGGATAGAGCGCCGATGAGTGCCGAAGAAATGCCTGCGGATATCTTGGCAGAGTCGCTTCTCGAAACGACTGTCTTAGTTCCTTCTAGTAGGTATAGCCCAGTCATTAACCAGACCTTCGGCCGTCGAGCAAATTTGAAGTTAAGCACATAGGCACTTTGAGCAGCTGATAGCCATAATTTTAGTTTCTGCTGGGCAAGAGGGTTGTTCAGGACATTCTCCATAAGGAACTCCTCCGGACTAGAGAATGTGAGCTTCAGTCAAGGTTGCGTGGGACTGAGGGTGCGGTACTCTTTGAGAATGATCCGGGTGCCTTTCTCTGCAACAACAATTCTGTCACGGTCTTTGTTATATGCAAGATTGAGATTGACAATATCGCCAGCTTCGACACCAACAGAAGGCGTTATCCGGCTCGTGCCGTGAAGGACAACATTGGTGAGATTGGTAGCGTAGGCATTCTTGCGTAGATCGTTATCGCTGACGTGCCAATTAGCTTTTACTTCTTGACAGCTAGGAACGAAGAAGATAACCTCAAAATATCGTGTGTATAGTGACGTGCAATCATGGGCTGCCAATACTTCTCCAATACGAGGGAACCCAGCGTTAGGGCCTCGGGCCGCTCCCCCACACCATACAGAAAGAAAGATGAGTCGTCGCTCGCTCCCATGGTTTTTATGATTGAAGATCGCCAAGGCTATGCAAGGCTCTGATCAGCGAAACGGTCCGTGGTTCCCTCGAAAAGAGAAAGGTACTCTGGCGTGGCGTTCTGCATACCTTTTACTTGAGTGTTTCCTGTTGCCTTCGCGGGGCATTCCCCCCCCAGCTAGTGCTTATTGCTTAAGGCTTAGCTCAAATTGGGCAATTTTTGGCGAGACCCATTTGGGTTACGATAGCGCCGTTTCCAGCCACAACGGGCTGAAACCCCTGGGATCGCTTTGCTTATATGCTGTCAGGCTGAGGTCGGATGTTCGGGATTCTGCACCAGAGTTTTTTTTCTTGAAACCAGATTACGGATGGATTTCGATCACTTCATCAGTCTCTGTGGCCGATCGCTCTTCGCCGAGGAATACCGAGGTAATCTAGATGCAGCATGGGATTATTTGCAGCAAAATCGGCCCGATGCAGACCCCGTGGTGCCCAATGTTCAGGCTGAATACCTGCGTTGCACGTCCATCTACTCGATCTTGATCGGCAGATTTTCAGATGCGTATAAAAGTTTGGAAGCTCTTCATGGTCTACTTGATCATCTGCCTCAGGAATGGGGCTTGCGGTATACCAACTACAAAGTGCTCGCCGACTATACCCGCCGCTACCCTCCTGCAACACATTTCTATCATGAAAATGGAAACCCGCTGGAAATAGTGATGCTAAGCGACGTCATTGGCGCCATCGAGATTAGTTCGAGGTTTATGCGAGATGTGCAGAAATATCTTCACCTCGGTCTACCGCGGGACCAGGGCTTTTGTCAGGTTCTAAGCGCCGTGCAATGTTTCCCGAAATATTCCAGGGATCTTTCTTCCCACTTCCACCCTCTCTCCTGCCGGTCCTCTTATGGTACGCCCAAGGCCGACCCAGTACTCATGATAAAGCAATATGGGCGGAGTTTGCAAAAGTTCCGTGACATCGCAGATGCAAATATGGTTACGGGAATGGCAACCTATCTCAATCTTCTCATTTTGAAATTACATTTATCATGCCAGAACTCATCAACTGCAGCCTTGGAGGATCATTTCAAGCGATGCAGTAGGCTCAATGACCATGCAGGTATGGGAAATTGCAAGATGATTGAGGGCGACAACTATGTCAGCCCTGCATTTACCAGTCCTCTTTCATTGAATCTTATCATAACCAACGTTTCGTCATGTATAGGAGAGGATAAAATTTGGGATCCGATCGAATTTGGGCTCAATTTTGACTACTCTTTAGCAGCTCAGGTTTGTTATGAAGATGCTCTCAATTTGTTCAGAACTGCTGGTTGTAAACGAGGACAAGCAGCAGTATTGCTTCGCCAGGCATGCTGCCTGCACAACGAAGCACGTCATCAGCGAGCCTCAAAAAGCCAATTCTTTGATTTTGATGTTCTGGGCAACGTGGAGACAAAACTGCGAGAGGCATTGAGGCTATTCGGAAAGGATGAAGCCAATGTGCAGATTGTCAAAGCTCACCAATTGATGCTGCAGATTAGCATGAAAAATCCTCGAAATGCAAAGACAATTGCGAGGGAGCTAGGAGAGTGGGGAGTTCAGTCAAAGAACGAGATTTTGACTCACTTTATCGGGCTTCTACTCTCGCGATTTGCGCGCCAAGAATGGGACACGTTCTCAAGTATGGACGCGGCATTACTAGCATGGGAATATGCCTACGAAATTTTAAAGCCAGTCGGGGATGAGATTCCACTCATCCAATCCGTTGTTTGTCGGGCATGGGTGCAGCATGACATGTTCAATAATGCGGCATGCCGAATGTTCACCGAGGAAGCCATTTCCATGGTGGATCAGATATCCAGCTATTACGATACACGAATCAGGTCTTCACCTCATGAAAAAGACCGGGAAATACTGCTCATCAGCAAGTTCAACCTCTTTTGGAGTCTTGGTAGAACTATCGGCAGCATTTGGCTCCGCATGGAAGAGCTACAGGCCTTTGAAACGTGGCAAACGAAACTCGCATATTGGATCGAAAATGACGAAAGTTTCCAAAGCTGGCGCGAAAGAATGCAGAATAAAGAAAGTATAAAGAATAAATACTTGACTTTTACGCAGGAGAAGCTGAGAAGTCTTTGGCATAAAGCAATGGCGGATGATGCAGCGAGAGTTGTGTACGGCTCCGCCAACATGAAGTGTCAAAAACTTCTGGAAGACGGTGATGTCGTCAAAGCGGAAGAAGTCCTTCGCTCGTTTGTCAAAAGCTCACAGTCTTTAGAGGGGTCATATTCAAGAGAGCTCTACCGTATCCTGGCCTGTGAGCGAATCGGCGATCTGGCTAAGGCGCGCGAGATCTTGGATTCAATCGATGACAACATTCTCTTCCACGAGAATCTCGATGAATTCAAAGCTGGCAACAACCTCTCAATATTTCCAGAAATCGCAGAAAACGCCCTTACCTTCTTAACGTACGGTGGAGACTTGGAGCGTGCTCGCCGAATTCTTGACCTCATCATTCAAATTTCGCCCGCGTTCTTTGAGGAAAATTCAAGTGCTATCGATCTTGCCTGCAGGATAGGAAGCTACGGTGCAATTATGAAGGATGTAAAGCCAAAGATCTGTTTCAACAAGTTACTTGAAGCCCGTAAGATTATCGAGACTGTGCGAGTTCAGACCCAGGACTTGGATGCCAAGATAGGAACCGCCAAATCTTCCTGGGTTGGAGAAGTCTATCTCGACCTTGCGCGGATTTGCCTATCCAATTTTCTTTGTCGCACACACTATGAATGGACCACAAAAGCCGAGCACGGGCATTTTGAGAATATTTCTTGGGTTGAACATGCCCTGTTATTTGTCGAAATGAGCAGAGCACGCGCGGTCCTCGAATCTCTGCAGAAACAATCAAAGAAGTCAGGACCACTTTCAGAGGCAGTTCACAAGAGACGGCTTCTGCGATCACTGCTCTCTTTGAAGTCCTTGACTCCTGAACAAGAGAACGAAGTTTCCCAGCTGCAAGGAGAAATAGAAGTGTTGGAGGAGGATGGAAATCTGACCTCCGCCACCGCTTTCATTGAAAGAGTCAATTCTTCAGTCGAACCCAGGCTGTTGTATGAGAGCATTGATGAGAATGCTGTTGTGATTGAAGCGACGTTTGGATCTCGTGGATGTGTTTCTTTTGCCGTCACAAAAGATGGGATTTTACATTCTTCGACAAGCAATTTCCGAAGTGTCGACATGCGCAGGACAGTGATGAAGGCGATGCAGATCATGAGAGAAATGACAGGTTATATCAACGACGAAGAAGCAAAACGTAAAGAAGAACTGCAAGATTTGTCAAGGGACATTTCTTCAGTGTTATTGGCCCCGTTTGCAGATATTATCAGATCCAAGTCGCACGTCATTTTTTCCGTATCGGATCCCCTGACTGCTTTCCCATTCTCGATTCTTTTCTTTGATGACAAGCCTCTCATCATGCACGCGGCTGTGTCTCAAATCCCGAGCCTCACCGTATTGCATTATCTGTCTCAACGAAAGCCTGCATCTGAAGCACCAACAGTCTCAGTTCTGGCAAAGTCACCGACACAAGAGCCATCTACTGGGACTAGAGGTGCCAAAGAGGTTAATCTACATATGGCGGGGATTGAAGCTGTCAATATTGCTCGACTGTTTGCTACCTGGCCGATTGAAGCATCGCACCTGTCCAGGAAAGACTTTCGCCAGTATGTCGAAGGAGGTTCTCCGATTATGCACATTGGAACCCATGGAGATATCGACCATCGTAACCCCCTTCTCTCATCCATTTCAATTGGCGATGGACAAGAGTTCCGTGTCGCAGATATGTCCGCAATTCGGAGCCGAGTGAATCTTCTCGTGTTTGCCGCCTGTCTCAGCGGTTTCGGGAAGGCGACAACAGGTAGTGACGTTCTTGGGTTCTCTCATGTCGTGTTAAGCACTGGCTGTCAGGCCTATATTGGTTCACTCTGGAAGGTCAGCGATTTTGGCTCCATGGTAATCATGACGTTGTTCTATCGGCATTTGAAGAGAAACCCTCATTTGGCTGTGGCGGATGTCATGAGACTGGCACAGTTGGATCTTCTGAAATTGGATAGTGATACTGCTGAGACACTTCTTGATGGCATGCTGGAGAACTGGGGCGTTGCGACTAAGGGAAATCCTAGTCCGACGGAATTTGTTCCTGATGCGGAGTTCCTTTTGTTCACACTGAAGATGATCCTTAGCCAGTTGGACTGGACTAGCCCATTTTACTGGGCGCCATTTACGCTAGTTGGTTACGGGGGCTTTAGATTTATGCATTTACTCTAGAGTAATTTCAATGAGCGTTACTAAATGCACGAGGTGTTTGCCAATTCTTAGCAGCGAACCCTTAGATGTCCGAAGAAAAGGTGGCCCAGATTAGGGCCCACTAAAGAAAGCGAAATGATGAGCATTTTTGCTCAAGCTTTGGTAAGTTATGAACAAAATATGTGCGGCATTGATGGTTACAGACGTACGCCAATACTGCAAAGAAGATAGTAGCACCCTGCATACTCCTACTATTGAGGATATAGCCTCTGGGAATGGATGGATCGATGGAAGGATTGGGATCGGGTTCTCGTACAGGGCCTTCGTGTTTGGATCCTCGACTAGCTGGCCAAGCTCCGGATTTGTGAATACGTACCTACAAAACTAGCCCCCAAATAATCCCGCGTGTACATTGAGTGGATCCGGCTAATAACATACAGTAAATCATACTCGGGTTCGGATATCTATGATTGGCTCTCAATGCATGCGGGGCTCGGGCCTTATGACGAAAAGGAAGAAGACTAAGGCACAAATTGAGTTGTGAATCCGTTTCACTCCCAGCTACCGAAGTGGAGACGGAAAGCGCACTAATTGTATTCCTATCTTCGACTAATCTCTATTTTACTTCATGTACAAGCCCTTAACATTCTTCACAATACTGGGGTGTTTCCCTCCTCTCCAAAGTCATGAGATGCATCCAATTCGGCTTGCTTGTGATTCCCCGACATTGCCCTGGCAAATACCAGATCACCCAGGCGCCCAGGACCACCACCATCTGGTAGCCGTCAAAAGCATAGGCCGGCCATTCATTCTCAACAAGAAATGCGATTCCACCAGCCATTGTCAGACGCATCACGTTGCGTCCAAGACCAATAATCGAAATGGAGAGACCGAAAAGTTGATTCCAGGATCTCCAGCGAGGAAGTAGAGTCTGACTGGCCTCGGTCGGGTCACGACACAACCGAATAGACATATAAATATTCTCTGCAAGAGTAAAAGCCCAGAAAAAGGTTTGAGCAACGTAGATGGCAATGGTCAACTTGGTCGCTGAGGCGATTGTGACACGAGAGCTAGATCCCACAACCATTATACCACCAATGGCTTGAAGGATGATCAAAATCGCATTCAGGGTGGGGTAGACGATACGTTGCCATGTAATTGAAACCCAGCAAAAATTTTCAGCGTCAAGTGCCTGATAAAACACGGTCTGCACTAAATTGACGGAGATCATGATCGAGCTTGGCCCGAGGAGCAAGAGGACTGACTGGATACCATAGGCGGTACGATTACAGGAATCCTGTGTTGAAAATACGCGCGCGGTAAAGCCTGCTAGTTGCACTGATAAATGTTAGATAATTTCTGGTTAGGAAAGTCGGAGTTCCCTCACTGAATGCTCCAAGAACGAAGAACATGCTAATCCAGGTTTTGGTCTGGATCATTCGATAGCAGTGGATAGTCGCCAATCCAGAGAAAAGAACGAGCGCGACCACCGCAAGAGGGAGGCTTGGGGTATACAAGTATAGCTCGCATTGTGTAGAAGCCATGGCGAGATAACTTCGAGGACGTAGTGAGGATAAGAATCGACTGAAGAAAATGGATGTGCAGGGCTACCAAAGATCACCTTGCCAGAGGGTTTGGCTTATAAGAGCATAATCTTAGGCAGTCATATTGTAGAAAAAAAGGGAAATTTGGGAGCCTCGACTGATCACTGGGACCTACATGCAAGACTGCTATCTTTGGAGACAAACTCTGCTAAGATGAAAGATCGACGGACTTAAGCCACGCCTTAGGAGACTCTAGTATCGGTTTCAGCTGAACTAGGTCTCGACTTTTACCATGAAAATTTCGAAATTGGCTGTAATCTCAAGAACAAGTTAATCCTTCAACTTTTGACCACTGTCTGGCGCCCAGTAAGGTAAGCTTTCGCTTGGTATGTATTTGCTCGGGATAGCGGCTCGGGTTCGTGTTCGGGTTAGTCTTCGTATTCGGCTTCGGGATTCTAGTACAATCCTGTAGATCCCTCCCCCTTTTTGGGATTAGAATTTACATGAATGCGGGGGCTATGTGACCTTGGAAATGAGCCAAAGAAGATTCATGAATTTGATCATGATAAAGTACATATATCGTCCCTGTTTGGGCGAAGACCGAAGCTCGTTCAACACAGCGACCGACAATGCTTCGATCTATCACTCTATTGCTGGACGTGAGGTCTGTCCTAGGAATAGCTATTTCCTCGGTATTTTGTGTCTCCTGAAATGGGTGTTAGAATCCTTCTAACAGTTGCAGATAACTCTTTACTTTCTGACAAAGGTCATTTACAATGTTTACTTCCACCCATTGAGCCGTTTTCCCGGCCCCATCTCCCATGCCATCTCTCGTCTTCCATATTGCTACCGCGCAACAACCGGCACCCTGCCATTTGATATATTGGAATTACATAAAAAGTACGGTGATATTGTTCGTATCGCACCGGATGAACTTGCCTTCTCACACCCTGATGCCTGGAAGGAAATCATGGGCCACAAGAATGGAGTGCCCGAGATGGGTAAGGCTGCCTGGTTCTACCGCCCTATTGAACAATCTTTGCACATTGTCAATGAAGACCACGAAGAGCACAAACAGTTGCGTCGACAGATGGCGCATGGCTTCTCTGAGAAAGGAATGCGAGACCAAGAGCCCATGATCAGAAAGTATGTTGATATTTTGCTGGAAAAGCTGAAGGAGGTCGCCGAGCTTCGTGAACCCCTTGTTCTTTCCGACTGGTACAATTTTACCACTTTCGATATCATCGGGGATCTGGCATTCGGTGAACCGTTTGGCTGTCTGGAAGGTTCGAACTATGACGGCTGGATCCAAAGTATTTTTGATTCAGGACGTCTGGGTACAATTCTGCAGGCACTGTCCTTCTTCCCATTAATTAAAAAGCTCTTGTTGTCCCTCGTCCCTCAGTCTCTGAAAGATGCCCAACAGAAGCATAAAGATCTGACCAAAGCTAAAATGCTGCGCCGGATGGCTATAACTGAAGATCGTCCTGACCTTATTGAAGGTCTGCTGAAAAAGAAGGATGAGCTGGTAAGTCAACAAAATCATAATGAGACTTGCCTTTCCTAATGGTTTCAGGGGCTTGATGTGGAGAAACTTGTTGCAAATGCTGAAATCCTGATCATTGGGGGTTCTGAAACAACGGCATCTTTGTTGAGTGGAGTGACTTACTTGCTCCTCACAAATTCCGAAGCCTATGATAATTTGAATTGTGAAGTTCGTTCGACATTTAAAAGCCAGGATGACATAAATTTGGTTAGCGTCAACAAACTCTCATACATGTTGGCCTGCCTTGACGAGGGCATGCGCATGTATCCCCCTATCGCCAATGGTCTTCCTCGGGTCTGCCCGACAGGTGGATCTACTGTCCTAGGTGAATATATCCCAGAAAATGTAGGTGCCTTCATGAGTTGCCTAAAGATTACAATTGACCGCTCACTTGTGGACTACAGACCTTTCTCTCAATCCATCAATGGGCACTTTACCGTCGCCATGAGTATTTTAGCGAGCCTAACACATACCACCCTGAACGCTGGATGGGGAGTTCTCAATTTGCGGCCGATCGTCGAGATGCCTTTCAGCCATTCCACCTCGGCCCAAGAAATTGTCTCGGAAGAAAGTACGCAGCCATTCCAGGTCTAAACATATAGATGCTAACCATGTCCTAGTCTCGCATATAGCGAAATGCGTCTCATTCTCGCTTTAATAATTTTCAACTTCGATATGAAGATCGCAGATGAGAGTCGGGACTGGATTGTGCAGAAGAACTTCTTGATGTGGCAGAAGGGTCCCTTAAAGGTGTATTTAACACCGAAGACTGAAGTTTCTTAGTTGATTCCTGCAAATTTCTTGAGAATATTTCATATTTTGGTTTGATGGGTATTCAAGTGAGATTTTACTTAAAAATCAAAGCACACACCCATTTTCATCGGCTATCAAAGCCGTTAGAGGAGTCAAAGCGTTAGATACCACCTAACCGGAATAAAACGATCGGTAAGACGGCTTCCGTATTCCCTACGGATGAGGCATCGAACGAGGGAGATGCGGAGACGAAGCTCTCGCTCCGCATCAGGATGCATGATCTGTCGCCACCGAAGGATGAAACGTAGTTCTCAATCAACCCCGTGTGATGCATGCTCCGCCTCGGCCTATCCTGTGTCTCATTGTTCTAACAAAACTTCAGAGGTTGGGCTCTCTATGTGTCTCGAGACGCCATGCTCGGTCATCTGGCCTCTTACGATCCTCATTTCTGGAATTGAGATTGCCGATGAGATATACCAAGATTGGATTGTTGATTATTTGATGGAACTCGATCATTGGGGGGCGCATGTTGTCAAAGGGAAGGAATTGATGGAACAGGCGATACAAAGGCAAGGCCCCCATGGACGCAGGACTAAGTTCAGGAATATAAGGCTTCGGTTCACTATGCCGTACGTTGCTTCTCAATTTGGACACGATCACAATGCATTAGTAATATTCATCAACACTATGTCAACACTACCATACGTCATTTGCATGAGCTTGATATCGTCGAAATTGGTTGCGTCTTTAGAAGGCCACCCGCGGAGTACGTCTGACTCTTGATAGTACTTGACCTCTTAATTTTGTTTGATGGTTAATGCAGTCTAGGTGATGATGTTCATATCCTACAGTGGGGGCCAGATCGTGGCCCCGCAATTCTCCATCTCCTCAGAAGCACCGTATCCCACTGCGTCCCGCGCCTTCTACGCTAGCGACGCGTTGACGAATGTGGTTGAAATTGTCTTATTGGGAGTCGTTCCTTGCCGCATATTGATGAATCCATTAGCTTAACACGTGCAGTGTATACCTATACCGACAGAACCTCAAGAAGACAGAAGACTCCACTGATGAAACACACGGTATATTTTTCTCGGATTTCCGGGATTTAAACCGACAAGGCGCGCTCACAGTTCCGATACGTATATTGAGTAGCTGGCAAGTTGTTGAATACAAATGGGACTTTTACATGTCGTGTCTATTCCAGCCGAGTTAGCGTTGTTGTTATTCCATCTCCGCATCATGCAACGCATGATTACCTTGCATTGGATCAATTGCAGATAACTAGGACTATATTTGACATATGCGTGGAGTTCATTGACCATCCCTTCCTAAGATTATAGACTATTGTAAATTTGCCGTGTTGTGGGAAGGGCGGATGAAACAAGGGAGGGATCCTGCCCATTTGTAGATGAATCACAGTGAAACCGGGGCAAACGACTCGTCGGGTCGAGTTCGAGGCCAAAGCATCGTTTGCATAAACTACATAAGAAGTGAAGGCATCCTTCCGAGGGTCGAAATCATGAATTGTATCGACCGCCAAGCTGAGGCCCGGAGTTCTATAGTTAATTATTAGCTATTAGCTATTAGCTGTTAACTCTGGGTGCGCGGCTCAGACATTTCGCCTCATTTTTGAGTCGGAGGATCCAGCATCATCGTGTCCATTGCACTCGATTCGTTCATTTACATCCTTTCCCGTCTCTGTTCCCTCATTTGGCTCAATTGGTTGCCCACTGGAGACTTTCCACCATCGCCAATCGGGCGTAGCTCTGAACACTTTCCCTTCTTCCCTCCTTCCCTTTCCGTTTTCCTCACAACGGCGTCCTTCGCAAGTGCTCGTCCTCTAACGGAGGCTGAACCACATTCCCATCGCTATCTCTCACGTGGAACACATTCCAGTCAAACCAACCCCGTGGAGGTGACTCCGGCTTTTCGAGCAAGGCGGCGACAGTGCGTCCCCCTCTCGGGCCCGTCGTCGCTCCCTGCTATCCTCCGACCTCCCGCTGTCCGCCTCGCCAACCCTGTCAACCACGTACCTCGAATCACCCCAATCGCTATCCCGCCTGCGAACGTCTCGGACGAGAATCTTGCGTTCGCGCCCCAGTCTCCTCTCCTCAGCGTCCCCGAACAACGGCGCAGTCGCTTGACTTCGTCCCCCACATCCCCAACCAGTCTCGTCGTTGAACGCAGTCAGGGGGAAACCGACAGTGAATGCACAAGTATCGGGTTACCCCCACGTCACAGACGCAGTCAACATATATCACCTACCGAGATGGCTGCGGCGTTCGCTGGCAGTGCGGCGCGGGATGTCGAGAACCTGCGTCCACCAGAGGCTGTTCATTTGACGCAAGATGGAACTCGTCGCGATGATGGCCGGCCCCGCCATATGCAGTCCCAAACTTCCCTTCGATCACAATCCCAAATCGCCTCCATCCCCTCCAATACAGGCCAGGCCCCTCCTGAGATCGCCGAAGAGTTGGCCTGGGGCCCCGCCCATCCTTGCTATCCTCATTTCAACCCTCATGTCCCCATTGGCTCCCAAGAATACCTCACAACGCGCGTTATTCGCGTTCGGCGCGACTGGATGATCAAGGGCGATCTGGCTCCAACTTTCTCCAACCTTTACCCCGAGATATTGGACCCGTTACTATCAGAGCAGGAGTTCCGCAAGGTCATTGCTGCGGTCAACGACGGCGTGGTCAAGGCATTCGACCCGTATAGCCTAAGGAACTGGTTCGATGGGGCAATCGGTCTCCTAACCGGCTGGGTCTGGGATGACTTGAACGCGCCTAGCATAAAGCGGCAATTACAACACGTCGAAGACTGGTTGGAAAAATGGAACCGTGAAGTGGGTTCCAAGGATGGCGTTCACATATGGAGTCTACGACGGACGGCGTATATGTCCATCGACATCCAGATCCCTGACCCCAAGGTCGGCATTGTGCCCAGTGAGGGCGGTCCCTCCTTACCAAATACCAGGCCCAGCACCGGCATGGGCAACTAATGGGTTTCTTCCTTCGCCCCTTTCCTTCAACTACCTGTATATTTTTTTTTAATCTGGTTTCTTTCCGATCGGGCTTTGCATGATATCCCTCCCCAGTTGCTTGCTTTCGACTCTACATCTTACCTTGACTTAAAATCCTCGATTCTTTGCATCTTGCTACTGGGTTTTCTTGTTATTTTCGGCTTACCCGTGGGCTGCTAATATCCCCACCTGTCCATATCTAACTTTTACACCGGGTTCGCATATTGTTAATTGAAGAAGAACCCGGGAAAGCAAATATCAAGACCTCTGGTCCATATTAATTCCCCTATTTGGCTTGTTTCGTATATTTTTAGATTTCTGGCAGAACATCGAAAAGAGATGAGATCAACGGATTGCAGTCAGCGTAATAAGATTTAGAATGATTCAGTACTCAATGCATTCAATGCATGTATCTGCAACGCGGTGCAACTGCACGGAAATAGAGAAGGGTTCTTACCCACTCAAATACTCAAATTCAGGCGGTGTCGATCCACCCCCCACATCCCCCCCGTTCCTGTCTCTGAGCTCCTCCTCACCGTGATGAGTTCTTGCCACAGCCCACCATGTTGTCGGGGATCTTAATCTTTAATCAGAAGGGTGAGAACCTCATCTTCCGCGCTTTCCGCAGCGATTGTCGCCCACGTCTCGCCGATATCTTCCGCATCCAGGTCATCTCCAACCCGCAGGTCCGCTCCCCGATCCTCACTCTGGGCTCGACCACCTTCAGCCATGTTAAGCATGAGAATATCTACCTGGTCGCCGTGACCAAGAGCAATGCCAATGCCGCGCTGGTCTTCGAGTTCCTCTACCGGCTCATCGTGTTGGGCAAAAGCTACTTCGGCAAGTTCGACGAGGAGGCTGTGAAGAACAACTTTGTGCTGATTTACGAGTTGCTCGATGGTGCGCTCTATCACTTTTAGTCTCGTACCAGAGACCAATAGCTAATTTTGAACGAATTTTCACAGAGATCCTCGACTTTGGGTACCCCCAGAACACCGATCCCGATACCTTGAAAATGTACATCACTACCGAGGGGGTCAAGTCAGCCATCACGAACAACCCAACAGACTCGAGCCGAATTACGCAACAAGCAACCGGTGCTCTCTCGTGGCGCCGCTCCGATATCAAATACCGCAAGAATGAGGCGTTCGTGGACGTGATCGAGGATGTCAACCTCCTGATGTCAGCCACCGGTACCGTGCTGCGCGCCGACGTGAACGGTCAAATTGTGATGCGCGCATACCTGACAGGAACTCCCGAGTGCAAATTCGGATTGAATGACCGGCTTCTTCTGGACAGCCCTGACGCTTCAAGTGCCAATAACCGAAAAGGTGGTACTTCGGGTGCAAACAAGACCACGCGAGCTGCTGCCGGCTCTGTCACGCTTGAGGACTGCCAGTTCCACCAGTGCGTGAAGCTGGGACGGTTCGATGCCGACCGTATCATCTCGTTCGTGCCGCCGGACGGCGAGTTTGAGCTGATGCGGTACCGCGCTACGGAGAATGTCAATCTGCCCTTTAAGGTTCACCCGATTGTGCGGGAGATTGGTACAACGAAGGTCGAGTACAGCATTGCCATCAAGGCAAACTACGGCTCTAAGCTGTTTGCTTCTAATGTCATTGTTCGCATTCCCACGCCTCTCAACACTGCGAAGACCACTGAGCGGACGAGCCAGGGTCGTGCTAAGTATGAGCCTGAGCATAACAATATCGTTTGGAAGATCCCTCGTTTCTCGGGCCAAAGCGAATATGTGCTCAATGCTGAGGCCACTCTTACCTCGATGACGCATCAGAAAGCATGGAGTCGACCCCCAATCAATCTTTCATTTAGCATTCTCATGTTTACCTCGTCTGGTCTGCTTGTGCGTTACCTCAAGGTGTTCGAGAAGAACAATTACAGTTCTGTCAAGTGGGTCCGGTACATGACTCGCGCAGGAAGCTACGAGATTCGGTATGATACTTACACACATCCATACCCCCAAATTTGACATGCAGATTACTGACCACACCTCCTCGTCCAGATTCTAGAAGCCAAGACTGGGAAGGCATGTCAATATCATGGGCTTATGAGCAGCGTATCATCCTTCTCGCTAAGACCATCAGGCGGTGTACGGCGTTGGATGGTGTTTTATACATACTCGTGTTTATCTTCCTAGTGCATGGGAAATCTGCATATCAAATCAAATCTTTCTTTCATAAACCTAGCTCTTTAAAGGGCCCTCCCATAATTCCACCATATTCTGCATGTTTACGTTCATTCCATAACCTACGCAGAGTAGATTTCAGAATCAGATTGCTCTGGTTCAATGTGGACATAAATTTTCTTTTTGCTCGTACCCGCAAGAAATCACCTCGGTTTGAGTAGGTCTCCATATCAACCTATCTGAATTATCTTCCTGTGATATGAAAAGACTCTGTTCAAAGTGCTCATCTATATGTGAATTGTAGATCACAGAATCTGTATCTTTAGTCACTTGAAGGACCATTCAACGGCAACTCATCGCGATGCGGTGAGGGCCTGTTATAGGACCAACCCTCCAACATGCGCTGCATATCATGTGTATATCGCGGTCTCTCACTTACTACACATTCGCTTCCCAGAAGTAAGAGATTCCCAATCAATCTTGAATGAAGTTGGCCACAAATTGGCATCTGCAAAGTGACAGCCTGACACGTCCCTGACAAGCAAGTGACGCGGCCTCTGGACTTCATCCCACGGTTTCTCAAGCGTTGGATCTTCTTCATGACTGAGTAACATTGACTTAATGGACTCACTTCTGCTTCTTCGTTATGGATGTCCGGCAGTCCAGGTAAGCGCCGCTTATCCAACTGCATCCACAGCATTGATGTCGACTTTTCCTGTTTCAAGGAGAAATTCGACTGTCTCTGTGTGCTTGTTTTTCCTACAGCTGCCTGAACCCACGGAGCCCAGTCCAAATATTGGTCCCTGGCCTACCCCCAGATTTCTCGGTTACAAGACTTCTCGGTGAGCAATTTCATAGGTCAATGAGGAGCACAACGTCTAGTACATGGAGTACAAGAGTGGAGTGGGTAGGCGAATCGGATTATGGTAAAATTTACGCTATCCAAGACTGTCTCTATTGATCTAGAGATGAACTTAAGCGAGATCACATGAGAACTGGATTAGAAGTGAAGTGTAGACGCAACTGTTATGGATTAGCCACATCAGGTTAGAGCTATGCGGGGCACGACCGAGATCCGACGGTGCTCCGGATCTCGACCACGCCGCTTATGATACGCAGATAACACAATCATGAGTTATTCTTGCGTCATATATGGCAGAGTCAAGTGATAGGATTTGTGTGAGGATTCGCTTCTGTGAATTTGATTCCTCGCGAACGAGTATAAAACATTAGCTGTCGCCGTTATGGCATCCATTCCATGTGACCAAACTGTTGGACAAGTCGCAGTTACAAGCTGTCAGACGTGCCGAAAGCGAAAAGTTCGTGTCTTTTGCGATAGAATTTGGTGGATCCTAACCGATTTCAACAGGTGAAATGTGATCGTACACCAGGTAGATGCCAGAGATGCTATCGATTTGGCGCAGAATGTGTTTACGAGTCTGATTCTGTATCCTCTTGTGCGTCGCAAATGACACACCCAGCCGACTCTAGGACGCAGGCGGGGCTTCAAAGGAAACGCATTTGGCGCTCCTGTGTCCAATGCAAACGAGCCAAGGCAAAGTGTTCTGGGGGTCCTAGCTGTTCCCGCTGCAATCGAAAAGCCTTTAGGTGCTCTCATGATGTGGAGGGTCTTTCTAGATATCCATCTGGTCACGAAACCAGGACCCCTGCCACCCCCGCATGGCTCACGTCAACCGAGTTGCCTCCAGATGAAGAATTGAATAAGCTTGTTGAGATATATTTTGAGCGTATCAATACAGTGCGATGTCTAGGATTCTTACACATTCCAACCTTTATGGAGAAGTTGAAGAGCCGTGACAAAATATATGCCGAGGATTCCGGAATCCTTCATATAATATGTGCCTTGGCCGCGCCATTCATGTATAGTGATATTTGTCATGAGACAAATGACACGATCGATTGCGACGTGAGGTATTACGATGCAGGAAAAGGATGGGCAGATACAGCATCTCAGTATTCCTTTCGAAACCTAGGAAGTCCCAGGTTTGAATGCTTGGCAACAGAAGTTTTGCTTCATGAACATTACTTGCGAGTAGGAGAGTATTCGAAAGCATTGATTGTCTCTGGACAGGTTGCCAGGCACTTGCAGCTCCTTCAACTGAATGTGGAATATGAACCGAATTCTCAATCTCGGAAGGTGGAAGTGTCTACACCGGTTAGGGAAAGCAGACGAAGGCTTATGTGGGCTTGTTATCTCCTTGATGCTCTGATTGAGTGTGGTGTCGATCAACTTCGACTAATATCTCCGGAGGATATCCAAGTCCAACTGCCATGCTCCGAAGATCTGTTTGTGAGAGGCACACCCTGTGTTACGGAACTGCTTCCCCCACGCGAATTACTTCCCGCTATTCATACTGGGTTCGAAAGCAATATCGACATGCGTGCTTTCTATATTCGCGCAATCAGGCTTCGTGCAAAGATTTTGAAATACGTCAAAGCTTTAGAAGACGAAATACCATGGGAACCCGAGAGTTCTTCGCAGTTCTCCCTTCTGGAAGCAGAGCTTCAGAACCTCAAAAGTTCCATTCCCGATACATTCAAGATGACTCTCGCAAACAAATACCTTTACAAGGCGTCGGGGAGACTCAACCTCTTCTTCGGTCTTCACATTCTGCTATCACAGACATCAAATGATTTGTATCGAATCTGTGTGTCGCAGCTTGTATTTCCGGACACTTCAACCAAATGGATTCGTGACAATTCGCCACGGACCTTTCTCCAGAGGTGTCATTTAATGTGTCTGGACAAGGCAGTCTACATTGCGACCCTTTTGAAGGACCTTTGGCTGTTTAATAAGCCCAGCCTTGTTGATACATTTTATGCGAACCATGTTCAAATTTGCAGTAGCGTTTTGCTCACCACTCTTCTCTCATGGGGTGAAGCAGAGCCTTTAATTCCCCAATTTGATTATAACGACTATGGCACGATGCTGAGAGATAATCTTACCATTATGCAGTACTTGCAGAAATACCTCAAGGTGGATGCATACTGTCAGTCTACAAAGGAAGCTTTTAAACGGTTCAACAAATTTTTTACCGTAGAGGCTCCGTCACAAATCGGCCGTCCTTTGAAGGACGTCATAATCAGTGATCAAACCGTGACACGCTCGCAGTCCTCCCTTGAGTACATTTTGAACCCTTTGGGAACCTATCCTTTGGCCCGGAAACAAACACAAGATCATGACACATCAAGTTCTTTTGAGAAGGGAGAAATTGAGCCACAAGCCACGACAACTGGTACAAATGTTGGCAGCTTTGATGATGTTGTCTTTCCCAGCCCGTTTGAATGGGGGTCGGAGATTTTGATGTTTGATTCTGCAGGATATCCCACCTTCTTGGACGATTTTACTGGATGGAACTCTGGTAGCTTAGAGTGGGATGTAGGAAGGGGTGGATAAACTACTATTCGGAGAAATTTAGCAACCCACATATTCATAATTGTCACATAGCCCCAATACCATCCACTTACATATATTAGCCCCTAAAATTCTGGGAGTATCCTCCCTGTCTCCTCAAATTATGTGAAAAAAAAACGAAATGTATAATTACTAGGTCTTGGGTACCATCCGGTGAGATTTGAACATTTCTTATATTTTGAATCAACTTATTTTTGAGTGCTTATGCCGAGTCAGATGGACCCTGATGACCACGATCGGAACACCGAAAGGTACTTATCTTATGCGCTTTGTAACACAGCGTATTATAATCCTTCCTTGGTTATTTTACTGAGCCTCTTTCGACTCATTTTTATTGTTGTTTCTTAAATTATCCTCAAGTTTTTTATTTAGGTCGAATCCGAGTTTTTTGTCCCGATTTCTCTGCAGCTCTGAAATCAACAATTTTGCCTCGCATCTTCAGTCATATTTACCCACCGATAATTGCCAAATTCAGATCTTACTGCCGTAATTATGGAGTGATTTTCGTGAGAATGACGATAAATGAGGTGACAGTATAAGCACCCCCTAGTTTGTTGCAACGAGATCCGGGTATTGATCGGATGTCGCCCGAGCACCACGAAGAATCGAAATCTGAAACCACCAATGCTAGTATAAAACCTAGCAGTGAGTGAGGCACTCACTATGGCCAGAGAATACCTTTCATTCATTAATTATACGGTTCATATTGAGGCTCTCTTTCTCAAAATCTGTTATACAAGATGAAGAATCTTTTGAGACACACTGTGGGATTTGCTTCTGCTTGTTCAGCTTACGCTTCATCTTTCCATGTTTTCGACAATACAGCCTACTTGAACACCTCAATTGGCTATGGGACAACCAACATCAACTGGATTCCAGCATACGTGTGCAATCCTCTTACCGAGGGAGGTGTTCTACCCTCAGCCGATGCATGGAAGGAGATTGTCCTTGAATGGAACGTCTATCCGAGCTATCCACTGGTGATAGATTGCGAAGACCTCTATTTCAACGACGATTCAAAAGCAGATCTTTACCTGGAGATAATGTCCACCCTACAAACCTGGGCAGCAGATGTGATCCCTTCAGGTCAGGTCATCGGCTGGTATGGGCTATCTGGCAATACAGTTTCTGGGCTGTATGATCACTACCGGAGCCTGATCGCAAACTACAGTAGCCACGCATTTTTCCCATCAGCATACACCTATAGTAGCAGCCTGACCACATGGCACACTTCGTTGACAACTGTCCTCAAAACAATCAACACGATCAATGACTCTTTGCCGGTTTGGCCATACACATGGCCTCAGTATCATGGCAACTACTCTTTCATCCCCTCCGATCTCTGGGAGGATGAGTTAGAGATTTTGGCGGATAACGCCGATGTGAATGGCTTCGTTATCTGGGGCGGCAAGAATCATGCGGTGTGCAACGATAATTGCCAAGATATTGCTGGAACGGAGCCTTGGTTGAATGTCACTCGCACTTATTTGAAGACTTTGTACGGCATTTACAGCGGTGGCGCAGCCGTTGCAGGATCTCAATTATTCAGTGGAGTATAGACTTGCACTGAGTTTCATCTGCGCTGAGTTTGATGATGAATTTAAGTAGCCCAGGGAGAAGACCAAGGAGGTCCAGCGCTCCTTCCCAGCACAGTATTCTTACAGATAGATGCCTATCTTCAATATTCTTTAAGACATCAAGATTGAGGTAACCTCAAAGGTTGCCTTTCCAGGGTAAAAAAAAAGGGGGGTAGGGGGGTATGAGATGTCGTAGAAACTTGTTTATTGTTCAAATACTGCCATTCATCTCCTTAGCACGGGCTGTGATAGAACTAGATTGCCCGGGCAGCCAAAAGTTCCACAACAGCATCGGAGACACTCTGTATGACAATAATTTCCTTAAAGTCAACAATATGAGCCGAAGAAAATTCCTCATAGATCAATTCCCGAAATTCAGAGAGGCCCATCAGTGCTCCGGAAAGTATCAACAGGCTGCTGATTGGAGGGCAGGTTTTTATCAAGGGCTGAATGAGCTGAGCTAGCGAGCTGGCGGCAGAATGAAGAATTTCAAGAGCTTGAGTATCGGGATTTTTGTCGCGAAAAGCAAGCCTGGTCACGATCTTCGCGAGATCGCCGATGTCGCGCTTTGGGTTCTTTCCAGAATAAAGGAGGCGAGACAACACTTCATTTTTGGTGCACCCAAAGTATGCAAGGATTTCCCTCTCCATTTCGCTCAAGTGGATTTCATCAACAGACTCACTAATCTCAATGCTTCTCAATAGAGCCTGTAAAGCCAGTTTGCCAATATGAAATGAACTTCCATCATCTCCAATAAGATGACCCCACCCGCCTGTCCGACGAACTTCGACAACATGGCCATTGGTGTCTTTTTGGAAAGCTGTTGCCACAGACCCAGTTCCTGATATAAGACTGATACACGTTCGAGTGGAAGTATACCCTTCAATGCATGCGCTTAGGAGGGCGCTGTCACTTGTCAACCGAAGTGAGCCCTTCTCCGCAGAGACGCCAAACAATTTCTCAAGATGGCTGGTGAGTACTTCCAATTTATCCGCATGGTGTAAGCCTGCAATTCCAGCCCAAACTTTGCTGAATCGAGGGGTCATGCCAGGACGCAAATATTCGTTATGCGGTAAATGCCTAATAGCTTCCATCGTGGCTTTTTTGATCTGGCTTACAAGCTCTTCTATAGACGCAATATTGAAGTTGCAGGCTCCACCATAGCCACGAGAGACGATCCCAAACCTCGAGGCAATTGACACTGCGCATTTGGTGCCTCCACCATCGATGGACAAAAAATACTCGGGGCTCCTGTCTTCTCCTATAAGTGAGGCAGTGTCGAGATTGATATGACTCAAATCCAGGTGATCTGCAACAAAGGCACCAAAATCACCGTTGATTTTTTGAAGTCGTGAATTCGCTTCATGAGGTGAAAGGTTTGTAAGGGCCACGGCACAGGCCAATTTCAACTTTCCATCGCATCTGCGAATGAGATCATTCGCTGCATGATCGTTCTGCATCTGTTGAAATGTTTTCAACAGTTCGGATGGCAGAGTGAGTCCTTTTTTCGAGTAGATTCCCAAAATATCGTCGCAGACTTGGCGCAGAATTCTCCGAGCTCGATCTTCAAGCTTCTGGTTCCCAACTCGAAGGTCAATCATAAGGCCTCTGTATGTCTTCCCAAGCTTTATCATTGAACAAGTACTGATCATGTTCAGAATTTGTTTAGCCGCACTCCCGGCCTTTAAGCGAGTACTTCCTGAGACGAATTCCGGGCCCAACAAGGCGACGATTGAATAATTGATGCTCAGGCCACCCATCAAGGATGGCGACGTGTTTGTAATGCTTGCTGTCAGTGCTCCAGTTCGGACGGCGACTTTGAGTGCTCCAAGGACAAACGGTGTCCGACCCGAGGCTGAAATCCCCAGCACGGTATCCTTGGTAGTGATATTCAAAGCTTCGAGTTGAGCAGCTCCATCTTGTTCGGCATCCTCAGCTCCTTCTTGTGCTTTGGTAGCCGTTCCCTCTCCCCCAGCGACGAGAGCGATAACTTGCCCCTCCCTAGTGGAAAAAGTAACGGGTAGCTCGGCACAGTCCATCAACGCTACTCGACCGCTGTTGCCAGCTCCCACGTAGATCAGCCTCCCCCCCGCGTGCAATCGAGGGACTAAAATATCAACGAATGATACGATTGTCGGTACACAGGACGCGACTGAGGCGGAGACTCGTGACTCTTCATGATTGAAGGCTATGCAGAGGCCAAAAGTATCAAGAGAATCGATTGAGTGTGCCTGGGCACTGCGCTCCTCGGTTTGTAGGTGGTCCAGCTGTACGCCATCGGACGGCGTCATGGCGCAAGTGAAATGTGGCTTTAATCGAAAACTTCCCGCTGCACAACCGAGCTTTTAAAAGGAGTTCCTATGCAAGAGAATCAATGGCACGGCTCAAATGAGATCCTGCACCTCGGTCATTTCCGTGATTGCGGGCGGATCTCGCGCAGCGAGATCCGGTTGTTCAGATTGTGAGCGCAGCACGCCATACGCAGTACGAAAAACCCGCCGCGCAATCTCCTATGGGTGTCTATATATACTTGAGTGCTACATCAAGCTTGGGAGGCCCAGTCATACGACATCTAATTTAATTTACTTTCCTATTTCCTCATGGCAGCCAAATTGGCAGAAGACATCGTTTCTTCGCACGATGATCCTGAGGCCCCTTCCCCATCATCGCGCAAACGAAGTCTCAACCAGATTTATCGTGAGCCATGGTTCCAGATCTGCCTAGTCTCGTTCATTTCGTTTTGCAATCCTGGCATGTATAATGCCCTATCCGGAATGGGAGGCTCTGGCCAAGTCGACAGCACAATCTCCGCGAACGCCACTGTCGCAACTCATGCATGCACAGCTGGAGCTGCACTGGTTTTGGCCGGGTCTCTTTACAGGTATCTGGGGCCGCGTCTATCACTTCTCATCGGCGGGTGGACCTATGCCCTCTATGCAGGATCTTTGTTGAATTCCGACCGGACCACAGGGGGCGGCCCTTTTGTGATTGCAGCCGGTGCACTTCTTGGTCTAGGGGCGGCCTTCTTCTGGGTTGCTCAAGGAACCATTATGATAACATATACGAATGATAATACACGTGGCAAGGCCATCGGGGTTTTTTGGGTTGTGTTTAACCTCGGTGCGACAGTTGGCTCGCTGGCTAGTTTTGGCATCAACTACAACTCCAAATCTGGCACAGTGACAGACTCAACATACGTGGCATACATTATTATCATGCTCTTTGGATGGCTCTTATCAGTGTTCGTGTGCTCGACAGAAAGTCTCTCGGACAACTATCACGGTAATCGCATCAGTCAAGAATCGAAAACCTTCAACTGGACGAACCTAAAGAGCACTCTAATCGAAACACTCCGAATAGTTTTTAACTGGAAGAATTTGTGCCTTTATCCTATGTTTTTCACTGCAAACGCGTTCTATTCCTATCAACAGAACGCCGTCAATGGCGAGACATTCAACCTGCGCACGCGCGCCCTCAATGGTGCCCTCTACTGGATTGCACAAATGGCAGGCGGGCTTCTAATGGGCTTTTTGTTGGATCTTCAGATCTTCAATAGCCGTACGCGCGCCAAAATTGGCTGGACTGTATTGTTTGTTACCGGGATGGCGATCTGGGGTGGGGGATACCGATTTCAACTATGGGACGACGTACGTTTACAACAGGGTCTGAAACAAGATATCGATTACAAGACAGGGAGTGAATATCTCGGGCCCATGTTCCTTTATTTCTTTTTTGGTGCCTATGATTCATTCTGGCAAGCGTTTTGCTACTGGATCATGGGGGCACGTTCCCGCAACCCTGTTGTGAACGCTGTCGTTGTTGGTGCATATTCAGCGTTGAAGCCAGCAGGTGGTGCGATGGCCTGGAGAATCAACGCTGAGGGTTTTAGTGCCATGACACAGTTTGCTATGAACTGGGGTCTAACGGCTGGTAGCCTGTTAGTAGCTATTCCGACGGTATTGACCATCGAAAGAGGAGATTCTGTCGGAATCCAGACCAATGCTACATAGGGTGAATCTGTTCCTTCTTATACTCAACACAGGACGTAAACCCTAAGTTCAATCGTATGCCTGTCATTGCCACAAACAATGATTATGCAACAGATTATCTTACCCCTTTTACTGCGCCAGATCTATTATATTTACTTTACCGATTTATCTCTGTCCCTTTCGATTCAAAGCATGTGGTTTAAGCACGTGCTATCTATAAATATGCGTGAGCCATTAAGTAAAAACAGACTAGACAATAGAAAATTGAATCACTTAAATTCAGTTAGGTGTTATTTAGATTTTAAATTCTTTCTATCTTATTCTTCCTTTCGTCTAAAATAATGATAGCACGAATACCATACCAGAGGTAATTGATTCTCTTTTTGGACAATGTACGTCTCAAGGGGAGATATCAGCGCGACTCAGATAGTATTTATCTCGCCAAGACAAAGTGGCATCGCCTGAGCTGGTGGCGCGAGGCTGTCGGATTGTTTTATATGCAACCAATCAACGATATCAAAAGCTCTGTTTTTGTATTACCCCTGATTCTGCCAATTTATAGGGGGATTCTAGATTACATAAGTAATATAAATGAAGGATAATTGTATCTCCGATCCACCGCGGTATTCGTATTGACAGAGGCTTGTGGCCTATGGCATCAAGAAAAAAAAAGACTTCACGACGCATCCTCCGATACGTATTCAATTTGCTATACTAACAAAGGCCTCCAAAGGCAAAATCTGTTCAATTATTCGCACATAAATTAACCTGAGCCCGAATAGTCGGAGATTTGAGAATATCCTCCATTGTGAGATCAAAGCCAACTTGCTGATATGCCACTACGAAATGGGCTGCAGCTATGAGAGCCCCCCAATAGGCAAAGAATGGTATGTCCATCTCGTCACTCTGGCCGATAACGGTCTCCCAGACAGATCGCACCGTCTTCAATGTTTTCTCAGCTTTCTTGTCGGTTGATGGGACAAAATCCACGACCGCTTCGGACCCGTTAAGGGGCGCATTGTTGCAACTGTATGGCAGAATGTAGCCGTCGATCGGGCCTTCCCTCAAGCTGCCCAGAGATGAGGTCACGTCAGTGGTGAAAAGGCGGATGATCCCGCAGAAGCGGTGCAGCGCTTTGTCCACAAGTACAGGAGTTATGTGATCCTCATCGAAGGTAATCTGGACTTGGAAGTTGGGGTCCAACTCCGACGTAACGTGAAGAGGATGGCTCTGGATGTTCAGATCTGAACTTGGATTCAGGTTCCCATGAATCCCAGTTGATTTGAACGTCTTGTCTTCGACGTAATTTGTTGCTGGTAATGGAATGTGATTGATCACAGAGCCAAAGCGGGACCATCTCGGCCAAGATGTACACTCCTTCACGATCGATCCCGCAAACTCAAATGGCATGCTGGCAAGCTGCCGCTCTTGAACACTTTCAAGAAGATCAAGGACTGTCCACGAGGAGTCGAGCTTCACACGTAGTGGGACCGTCGACGCGCAGACAATATCCAGAGATTCGATCCCCGACACAGCCAGGCCGCGACCGCTCACAAGCTCGCCGAAAACGACATCATCTTGTCCACAAAGCTCAGTCAAGAGAAAACCCCATGCAGCCTTGACTACTGTTGCGGAAGTGATACCATAAGCTTTCAGGGAATGAATGTGGAACTTTGACGATAAAGTGTACTGTCTGCCATGTCGAAAGGGGAGGCCCAGATTTGGCAACTATCTGACTCGCAGTGCTTCCTTCAAGATACTGGCGCCAATAGCTCAAGGCTTTGGGGAGTAATTTGTCCCGATAGGTGATATAAGGTGAAATGTCAACTGGTTGTTTAAGAGTGTTGGTGTTGAAATATGCCTGCTCTAGGTCGGAGACCAAGGAAGCCAGTGTGGGTGCGTCATACAAGCAATGGGGAAGGCGCATCACAAAAGATTCACAGTTATGCGGATAGTCCCTTCGAACGAGCTTGAACCAGACCATAGGTTGCCCAAGGCAGAATTTTAGTTTTCGGTCATCTTCGATCAATGTAGCAAGTTCAGGCTGATCAACCCTGTCTGTTAGGTCCACGAAACTTGATCTCAGGATGACTTGGTACAACTGGCGCTTGTGAGAAACAAAGACACTGCGCAAAAGTGGATGGCAATTGACGAGTTCCACGCAGGACAAGGCTAGGCGAGTCCAGTCGACTGGTTTAGGGATGTCAAATGTGTGGTACGTCAGGTCACCGCGGAAGCTGAGTAACATCTGCTCTAATGCAGAAACTTGGTAGTCAGAAGCTAGCATTGCTCTCTCAACGTTTGGCGGCTTGACAGATGCCTGATTGAAAATGCTATCGTACAAGCCGTCAGATACGGCTGTCCCCTGAGTGGTTAGCTTGCCTTCAGAAGGAGGGTTAGGGACACTCTGTTCTTCGATCTTGCCTGCCAGGTTTGTTGGCTTGGATGATGTGTCTGCAAGATTTGCAAGCTCCGAGAGCGACTTGCTAATGAGAACATCGTGGACTGATAGCGTCACACCCTCAGCCCGACACTTCGACACAACCTGCATCGCAGTGATAGAATCTCCTCCAAGGCGCAGAAAGGATGCTGCAGCGCTGATTTGGTCCAAAGGAAGCTTTAGTATTGAGCTCCAAATACCCTGCAGAAATATCTCCATCGAAGCTTCAGGTGCCTGGAAATGGCTATCGACAATGAGATCTGATGCTTGTTGAAAATCGTCCTCGCTGAGATTCTCCACAAATGACCGAGCCTTGTTGCGGTCCAACTTGCCGCTCACATTTGTGGGTAGGTCTCCCACAACGATCCAGAAAGTTGGAATCATCCACCTAGCCAGTGACTCTGAAAGGCGATCGCGAATGGTTGCAAGCTGAGCGGAGACTGCAACACGATGAGACGGATCGATCATTCGCAGCAACCCCGATTCATCTCCTTCAAAGTCTCGAAGAGAGAGAACAGCAACGCATCGTCCTTGGCAGAGACCAGTCTTGGGCAGTACTGCCAGACAAGTCCGGATCAGTGAGATCTCCATCATTTTGTGATCCACTTCCGTGAGTTCTAATCGCTGGCCGTGGAGTTTGATCTGTGCATCCCTTCGACCGATATAAACCAGAGTCCCGTCGCTATTACATCGAACGAGATCACCAGTCCGGTATAGTCGCCTCCCTGGGGGTGACGCGGTAGGCAGCCACGGAGGATCAATGACAAAGGATGCTTCTGTCTTTTCAGGATCATTCAAATAACCACGAGCCAAAACGGGACCTTCGACAAACAATTCTCCGATGCAGCCAATTGGGGCCAATCGGGAATCGTTGTGTTGATCAACAACCCAAGTACACACACCACCGCCTAGCCCAATATTAGATGGCTGTTGTGTGTTCGCACGAACAACGTGGTGGGTAACCCAATTTGAGGTTTCTGACTGACTATACATGTTGACGAGCATGACTTGATCGCCCCAGCGACGAGCGGTCTCAGTTGTCACCGGCTCTCCACCAACAACCATGCTTTTCAGATTAGGTACATCTTCAGGCCTGAACAGACTTGCTACTGTTGGAGTGATATCAACATGGTTGACGCCGAGGTTGTTCATTGCCTGGGGCAGATTGCTCATGCGATCTTCTTCGGACGGGATGCAGCAACATGCACCGGACATCAAAGCTGTGAAGATGTCGGTAATATGAACATCAAAGGCAAATGAGGAGTATTGAAGGCAACGCGAGCCAGTTCCGATGTTGACTGCTGCAGCATAGGCACGTGAACTGGTGCAGACGGCCTGGTGTTCGAGCTCGATTCCTTTCGGGCTCCCAGTCGACCCGGAAGTGAAGACAATGAATGCACGATTGTGTGGCGCTACATTCTTGAACTGTCTGAGACCTCTATGGCCGAGAATTTCGAAAAGATCTTCATTGACGGAGATCATTTGATCGACACAATCAACAACCTTAGAGGGTGGCGTTTTTCCGGCGAGCATGATCCTGGCATCTACTGCTTTCACCATGTCACGGAGACGATCAGGTGGGTGAGACACATCAAAAGACAGACATGTCCCTCCAGCTTTCAGGACAGCTAGCATGGAGACAATTGCCCATTTGGACTTTTCGAAGTGTAAAGGCACTATCGTCTCTACTTTGATGCCCAAAGTAAGGAGATGGTCTGCCAGTCTGTTTGATAGGAAGTCCAGCTCGGCGTAAGTTAAATCTCCATCCCAGGATGCAATGGCTGGAGCTTTGGGGTTGAGTAACACTTTTTCATTGAAAGCTTGATGCACAGCCTCTTGAACTGGATCCGGAGGAACTTGGTTCCAGGTGTTTAGCTCATGGATATCGTGGGTAGTGATGGCCATGATATCATCGAGAATGACATCGGAACTTTCAATGCTGATCTTTCGGAGAGTCTCGCTGAACATGTTGATGATACGTCCGACTTGGAGCTTGTCTATGACATTATTGTCGAACAAAACGCTTAGTACGGCCCCATCGTCCTGCAAACCAACCTCGACGTTCAGGGCGTAAGGTTGATAGGCATCGCGCATTTCGTTCATGCGACGACATCCAAGAGCTTCCAGGCCACTCGCTGTGTTTAGATGTTGGACCAACAAGGCTGTCTGAAATGAGCACGCCGTCTGTGTCCCAGCTGTCAAGTTTTTGATGTGGTACATTCCAGCTTGTTCATAGGGGATTGTCATAGCTGATTGATTCTGCACTTGCTGAACGAAGGTACCCAGCTTAGTATCCTTGAAAACTTGCATGCGGAAGGGGACAGTAGTCACTGTCGGACCCATCATATCCACGATTCCCGGGATTGGTGCAGCCCTACCAAATACGGTCGACCCAAAGGTGATGTCCTTCGAATCGGCATACGCTGCAACTGTCAAGGACCATGCAGCTTGCACAAGAGTGGAAGCCGTGATAGGTGAGCCTGCGCTTCTTTTAAAATCAATGTTGCGCTCAAAAGTATCATTGGGAGTGGGCTGGTAGTTTGCTGCTGGCAGAGCTGGAAACACAATCGCGCTAGCATTGTCCAACTGCTCTGTCCAGAAATGATTCATCCGCTCACGATCCACCTCTTGGACATACTTGACAAAGCAGTTGAACGATGTTCCAGTCAGTACTGGATTTTCATCGAAGTTCTGTTTCACGCGGTCGAAGATCAACCCTAGTGCCCAGCCGTCGAAAAGTGCATGGTGCATGGTCAGGACCAAATGTGGTTTCCGACCAGGAGTCATGGAGATCGCATATCGAAAAAGCGGTTCTCCCCAGAGCATGGGTTTTTTCAAGTCCTGTTCCAGATATGAGTGCAGATCAGAGACGTCCTGGCAAGATGGCGATTCCGAGACAACGACCTGCAGAACGCGCAAAGAGTCTGTCATGAAAAACCTCGTCCTCAACACTGGAAATTGCTGAATGGTAGATGACCAAGCTCTGCAAAATTTACCAATGTCTAGATTAGAAGGCAATTCAAAGATATCTTGCTTCATGAAGGCTCCTTTCTGCTTGCTTGAGAGAGCAAACAAACCCTCTTGCATCGGGGTGGTAGGGTAGATGTCCTCGATCATGTCCGAACTAATGCCACATATGGCCACTGCTGCTTTCATAGCTTCGTCGGCCAATTCAATCGAGCCAAGGAGGCTAAGCGGTGGGATTTCTGGACTGATGTGCTCATTGGCGTTGTCAAACTCTGTTTCATCGTAGCTTGTTCCCCTCTTTCGTCCACAAAAGACATACTCGCCGTTGCCGAGATGCCTCACAAGATCACCAGTGGTAAAGAAGCGCTGCTCGCAGCCTTCACGACTTGGAATAGCCCAGTTAGGGTTGACAAGAAATTCTGTTGATGTCTCTGCTGTGCTTTCGATATAACCAAGGGCCAATGTCGGTCCACCGATCACTAACTCGCCCACTGCACCGATAGGGGCCAATTTTTGAACGTTCCCTTGCTCAACCACCCAAAAAGATGCGAGGAAGGGGTTTCCGATATTAAAGAGGTCAAAAAGATATGGCGATGGGGCTTTGGATGCTGAGACGTGGACACAAGTCTCTGCAGTCCCATAGGTTCTGATTAATTCTGTTTCCAGGCCCCATTTCTCCACGTCCTCTTGCATGAATCCCTCACCCGCAAGTGTAACAGTACGGAGCTGCCAGAGATCCATGGGCTCCAAGTTCCTGGCTTCGGTGGGCGTGAAGCATGCATGAGTGACTCTTTGCTCGTTGATCATCTCAGTGACGAGTTCGAGGCTTTCTTCCTCAGGAACTATGACCACACATGCGACGTAGAAAAATGCCCCAAAAACCTCGGTGATTCCTGCGGATGTACTGTATAGGTTTGAATGCAGTACTCTTGAATCGACGTCGTATCCAGTTGCCTGACTCTGCGCCAGAATTCCCGTATATAAGCCAGTGTGCCCTTGATTCACACCCTTGGGTGATCCAGTCACTCCACCAGTATACTGTATGAATGCGACATCGTTGCTACTCTGCAAAGGGAGTTTTGATGTTTGCTCAGATTCTTCGAGAGAATGCAGTAGTTCCACATCAACAATCACGACTTCTCCGTTAAAGTCGGTGTATCTATCAGCTTGGGCCCGTGAAGTGCAGAGGAGCTGAGGGTTGACCTCCTCTACAACTTTCTTGAAACCACTTTCTGGATCAACGGGGACACATGTGAGACCGGCTTTCAGAATGGCAAGGATTGCAATGATTCCGGCACATGATTTGTCAAAGCATAACAGAACTGTCTGAGAAGCTGAGTAACGGGTGTGCAAAAAAGCAAGATGCTCGCCCAAGTTGGTGGAGGCATGATCTAGTTCAGCGTATGTCCACTCCCCCTCCCAGCTCGAGATAGCCGGAACGTTTGGGTTATCCAACGCTTTTTGAGTGAAGGCTTCGTGAAGTTTTTGGTGAAGAACTGGTGGCACGTTCTCGTTCCATTGAGATATTTGCAGATGGTCCTGCTCGCTGAGCATTTCGATATTGGACAGTGGCTGGCTCGGATGCCTAACGAACGATTGGAGGATTGTCTTGAAAGTGTGCGACACGTGCCGAGCCAGCTCGATAGGCACGCGGGAAGGGGAATGGTTGAGATCAAGTATTATCTCCGCTTCTCGGATGCGGACTATGGCTGAGAGGGCATTCTTCAGATCCTGTTAGAGTTGTGTCTGACCAATTCGCAATTTCACTCGCTTACCTGCTTGAAAAGTGGCCCAGATGCCTCGGTGATGCTCGGGCCGTCTTCATATAAGACTGACAGAGCTGTGTTGCAAACGTCTGTCTCCAGCTCGTTGGATGGCAGAGGAAAATTGTGTCTCCTTTGAGATTCCTGTGCCAACTCTATGAGCTTTGCCGATGTCTGGATATGTGAAAGGTCACATGCAAATATATGTGGGCTTTCGGTAGGAGACATGTAGCCAAAACAGATTCTTCCCGTTCCAGTGTATGCGTGAAGGATAAGCGACCAGGTTGCTTTCATCGCCGCGACTGCAAAGCTGTTGTCATCCCAAGTAGTGAAGGGAAGCTCGTTTTTCAGAACTAACAATTGGGTCGAACATGATGATATTTCTGACGGATCCTCTGCCACTAAGACTGGCCAATTGCAACTCCAACAATTTTCGATGGACGGCGTACTTCGAACTATGGGGCTCAACATGTCTCCATGAAGACTTTTTGAATCGCTAGTCTCAACTAATTCGTCCGCCTCTTTCACCTCGCGGATTTTTGATGTCTTGTCGATAAATAAAGTGGGCGTTCGTGATGATGTTGGAATTAAAGGCATTGTGGCCTAGTGTGCACTTGAGGCTACCAGGATTGATTCCTTATTAAATTGAACTTCGAGAAGTAGTATCAATTACAGCCATCTCCTTTTGTCAATATACATGTCTGAGAAATTGCTTATCGCCATCAAAACGATTGCGTCGGTCGGTTGGTGTATGGGCATTCGGGTCAGATATATCGCTGTCCGATGCGATACCAACCCCGAGCCCGAACTTTTCGGCCATCAGCACCGAAACCGATCTCGGCTCAATACCCCGTAAAGCGATTCTGAGGGATAGATAAATAGTCATACGCATAGAAGATATCGACTCCTTATTCTCAACGGTCATGGAAGTTATCTTACGCCAGAATTCGATCAACTCTGTATAGATCACGATATTATACCGATCTGCATATCACCGCGTTCCTCGCATCTTTTACAGCCCCTTAATATCGAATGTTTCGCGGTTTTTAGTTATCTGCGTCTGTAATCTAAAGTCTTACGCTGTTAAATCCCTTCCCCGGGACGTCTTTCAATTTAGAGAAGAGTGTAATTAGACACAGTGAGCAGCATGCACCTTCAACGTTAGCTCTATCCGGCTGGGAGACAGCTGCGCTGGACTGTGGGCAGTGCTACGAGCGTAGTTGGAGGCCAGGAGGAGGGGGGTGGGGTAATGACCGTAAGGTAATGTAAAGTGGAAGAGCTCACTACACTGTCTAGTAACATGAAACTGCAAAAGTTTGCATTGTTCTACATAGGGCACGTGTCGGGGTGCAGTGGCCTGTAGTCAGCATAAGCAACAAGAAAGATCGCTGAAGCCTTGTCGTATTCGATTTTGGCCTTTAGAGGCTTGGGTAAGATCGCCTACCTCCATACATCTTCATGCTCTTCTTCAGACTAATGAGACAAATATCTGAGCATATTCCGGACAAAATGTTGAATCTGAACCCCAAACCTGGGGGTGGAACAACTATCCCTGATTCCCGCCAATCCACCACATGGTTCGTAGGAATCCCACGGAGGCTTCGCTCTTGGAATACCACGAGGCTGACGGCATGGACCATGCCATTGAGGTAGCACATGGATAAAGTATGGGGCTGTGAGTTTTCAGCCAGCGTATGCAGGGCCTAATGATGACAATGCATCGATCTCCCAATTGAGCGCGTGTTACATGTGAATGTGAAAGAGGCCCAAGCACCAATCGGACGCCCAACGGCCCTTCCGAGCCGAACCAAGCTAACCAAGCCCCGCAATGGAGACACTAACCAATCATTTCCATGAATCGACCCTTTCTTCACCCTCCGCTGAGGAGCCCCCCACGATGTTCTCGGACCTCGACCTTTATTCAGTATTGCAGCAGGTAGGGAACGGCTGGTGATATGACAGCGCGGTATGTGTCACTAACTGACCGTCGGAATGCGGTCCCCAGGACAGAGCGCGGGGATTTCCGTAGTGTCCCGGTTCACCGGGACGCGCCCATCCCTTTACTCGTGGGAATAAGATAAGAATGCTGGTGAAACAAGGAGGCCAGACAGTAAACCAGGATCCCAACTAGCTGGTGCTATTTTAGAGTCCCATCCACAGCGGCCCGATCTAGCCATGATCGTCGTAAACTGCATTGTCGACATTGCTTGTTGTGATTCTCTAATTGAAGAATGATTCTTCTTAGGCCCCCCAAATCGCCCCTTGCTACCTCGTGAACAACCAACTCACGTGTCTGAAGAGGTGGCGAATGTAGTTCAACGCGAAAAGACAGCAACTCGACAATGTACGGTCTGGGTAGTGTGATCGCCCTTGATTATTGGTAAAGATCGGAATCACGCTTAGGCTTTGGGAGCTGGAATTCTATATCTCCCATCTGCATAGGCAATTTACCAAGAAGACAACATAGAGAAATGCATAGTAATTAGCGTCATTAGTCGCTTCCAGATGTATAAGGTCGTCCCTGGTGTAAATGCAGCTTCCAGTCGAGAAATAGGCACCCATACGGCTCCAACATGTTGCGATTTGTATATTTACAAAGTTCCAAACTACGTGGATGGTTACATTCACCCATGCAGCCAAGTCTTTTCCATGCAATAAGAGTCCGTCCCGCTGATTCTGCTCGTTACAGAATAGGCACGCGCCGCCAAGCCAAGCCAATACGAATCAGCCCATCGAGCTAACGAAAAATTTGAGCTTGACTCTTGTGGGGCCAGTTGCGAGACCCCACGAGCCTGCTTAGGAAAAGAAGGCAAATTACCAGGATCATCGGTAAGGGTGTGCCTGGCATCTTACCTGGGCCCTTCAGGGCTTACTCTGGGCCCTTGCTGATTTAAAGCTTACAGCAAACTGGTTGATGGACAGTCTACTTCTTACTTATTGATACTACAGAACCGGTCCTAGTTTGACAAGCGCATCGAGAGCAATGGACATGAACAATCATCGACAGAGTGCCTGTGATCGATGCCGGGGTCAAAAGCTCCGGTGCGTGGGACTTGCAAACCCTGTCCTCGACCGACACAGCAAATACATCCGAAACCAGACCCCCTGCGATCGTTGCAGAAAGGCCCAAGTCGAATGCTATAGCACCCGACCGATTTCTAGGAAGAGAGTTGCCTCCAATTCCCTCTCCTCAGTCTCAGCCAGCGGCTGCAACCCCTCCAAGTATCCTAGGCCTTACCCCACGCTTCACTCACCACAATCGCCACTCACCCATCTCGACGTTCCAACATGGAGCGAAAATGGTGATCTCGATATACCACCCATTGCTCCATACACAAGCCTTTCTCAACTCGATCGTCTGCGTTCAGACGTGGTGCCAGCCCCCAGAAGTAATGTCTCCTCAGACGTTCCATTTGACTTATCCATTGAGGGCTTTTTGTCAGAAGAGCCCAATCTATCCGAGGAATCACCAATGGGTTCCGATGGAACGGCATACTCTGTCCTCTTGGAGAAAAGTTCAGCCCCGAGTACGGACTCGGACTGTCTAAAAAAGTTGGCGGAACTTAATGGCACATTATTGCACAACCGAGCGAATCGACATGAAGCGGGGCGAAGTAATCGAAGCCAATGCCAGCCTGCTTGCACACGAAGTGGCTCATCTGTATCACTGTCCATTGGCCAGACCTTGCGACATTGCCAGCACTTTCTGGGCATACTGCAGAACATTCAAAGGCATGTGACCTCACAAACCACGGACGACTCATGGCGGACCGGCGGGTCAGATTACGGACTTGATTTCCCGCTCTCGGGGTTTAGTTCAGACCTTGCCTACCGTAATAGTTATTCCTCTCAAACATTGGATCCCCCTTTGCTGTTTTCTATCCTTGCATGCTACGCATACATCATGGAAGAATATGAGCACTTGTTCTCCTCGATCCTGGAATCAGTGACCCAAGCCATGCCTAAAGTCCCTGCAACCTTAGTTGGCACCAGTCTGGATGGCTTCAAATTGGATGGAAACAATACATTGCAACTGGAGTTTCTTCTTTATGTCAGCTCAAATCTTCTGGGGAAGATTGAGACCATTTTAATCGGATCCTCAGAGGGGATGACAGGAGCTTCGAAAAACGCAGGTCTTTTGAGCGGCAAAATGGCAGGGTACTTAGAGTCGCTGTATGATCACAGCGATTACGGCAGAGAGGAAGAAACTGGGAAAATGGAGGTGAGAGCCAGGGTCCTCATACGCCAGATTCAAACAGCATTGAAGACCTTGGAATCATGATACCCACATCTTACCCACCAGTGGACGTTTTACGGGTCCGCTTTAAAAAAATAGTACACGCACATAGAGGGAAATATCCTAACGAAACTTTGAATTGAAAACCAAGACTCCATACTTCTAATCAGACTCTCAGAGCTTGCTTGTAGAGATACGCGGGAATCGCCAAGCTTCGCGGAGCGCAGTCAAATTGGCATCATGATCAGACTCAGATGGTACATCCCGACCCCTTAGAACGATACCTGCGACTTTGTCTCCGATAACCGGTAGGAACTTGAAAGCATGATCGGAGCCTCCGGATGCGACGAAAAGTGTTCCTTGAGACGAAGGGTGGTAATCGACAATGAAGTCAGTCGCAGGGGTATCGGTGTACCAGCATCGACGAAGCTTCGTGAATGGGCGACGAGCGATACTCTCCTGAGATTCTCTTCCTATACTATCATTGGAAGGTTCAAATAGCTCTTTCAAGAAAGCTCTGTAGTCTGCCAAAGTTTGTTGTTCCCGCTGATCAAGGTCCTCGGCAATATCAACATCGCCTCCCCTGCCAAATTTTGATTCACTCCATTGTTCACGAGCCGTAAGGCGGGTCGTTCGAGGCCCGACAGTCACCCCTGCGCACTGGCGAACATCGACAAGCCCGCTATGCGAGAACTTTCCCAGCTTCAAAAACCCCTCGCGAGTCGGGGCGATCGCAAAAACGCAGCGATCCGCATTAACGATGATAGGAAAATCCAATTCTTTGAAATGAATACATTCCTCTGGAGAGAGTTGAATGTAGGCTACTAGCTCACTGTACACATCGCATAGCTTGTCCATTCCAAGAATGCGAGGGGTATGGCTGCCTGCAGCGACGATAGTAAGGTCGGCAAACAGTTCGCGTTCATCATCGAATCGAACGCCTTGAACTACGTCGCTTTGCTCGTTGTCGGCATAAATGAGGGACTGAACATATGCGGTGTGAAAATTAACACGGCCAGTCTGTAGAACCATTTGCCGAAGCCATGCTATGCTGGCGCTGCTGTCAGCCCATCCAGCATCTTGCGAAATATAACCGCGAAGATCCTTTTCAGCGGCTCGGGCAGAGGTAGTAGATAGTCCTAGCTCTGAGCGAATCTCACGTAGCGAGTCGAGGACTCGAAGGCCGTCCTTACCACGTGAAGAAAGTTGACAACTGAGATCGTACGCGTTCTTCACATAGTTGACAGTCTCACCAGCTCGTTGTGGACCTTTCAAAGAGCTACCCTGTGCAGAAAGCAGAAGCCGTCGCTCTGTGTAGCGGCCCTTCGCGCCCCACACACCCCGCCACTGTGTATGAGCTTCCTTTGCGAGAACTGCGTAAGGACCGTGGGGGTATTCACTGCGGACGATGCGGGATGTGTCGTGGTTTGCGGCGCCAGGGTTGCTGACGGAAGTGCCCGTTGATACGACGGGCGGCTCAAACTCCCATGAGTCAACCAATGTGATTGATGTCTGAGAGAATGTTTTGTCTCTAGCCATAGCATAGGCTGTTGACACTGAGAAAGCCCAAGTGATCAGCTCGTTGCCTCGTACAGTTACTTTTTCTGGTTACTCACGCCCAAAGACCCCAGATCCCACAATGATGATAGATCGAGGGCACGCCATGTCGCGAGAAAAAAAAGAAAACTAATGGGCGAATGTCTTTTTTTTGGAAAAGAAAGTCTCGTGTCTTTTGGAGGTATTAGTCGGTAGACCGACTGATACTGGTAGGTCAGTGGGTTCTTCTTCACGTTTGTCTCGTCATCTTGGTTCCCCCAGATCTGTATGATGACTTCGGAGTCGGTATCGGGACATGGGGGCCGAACATTGCGGACACCGGGCCTTTGCATATCTTACATTCGGCATTCGGGGGCTTGTGCTTCCGCCTACAGCCTCTGTGGAAATAGGGCGCATTATCCCAGGAATAATATTCTATAGTCCTTGTCTAGTTGGAGGCTCTTCGAATCACTGCTAGATCTTCAGTGCCGATCTTATACCAAGTACTCTCAATACCACACTCATCAGACTTTATCCAATTCTCTTTCCATCAGACTATGGCTCCTACTGCTTCTGTTGCTGTGCAGGCCCAAGCTCCGTGGCCCGGGTCTGATTTCCATCGACCTACACTTGAACTATTGCCTCTAGCCACACAAAGTCAGCTTCATGATATCCGCCGACAGACAAACGAGGAAGGCCTAGTCTCTCAAATTGCTGCTGGTCTCCGATCTGAGGAAAAGGAGTTGCCGTCTCTACTGCTTTGGAACGGACATGGCTTGCAGCTTTTTGATGCTATCCTTGACTCTGGAAAGTACTATCCTGCCGTCAGAGAGCCAGAGTTGCTGTCCACCTGTATGCCGAAGATAGCACATAGCATATCCTCTGGAGAAAGGGTCATTGAGCTTGGTGCTGGGTACGTTTTATTTTTTTGGGCCTCGTAATGACCGCCGGAAGCTTATTGACAACAAATACCACGGCAGAAATATGCGCAAAACGGCGCTTCTTCTTCGGACCCTGGAAATGCAACACAAACATGTGGATTATTTTGCATTGGACGTTAGCCGCTCCTCACTCCGGTCCAGCATCCGTGAGCTGGTAGGGCTATTTCCCTGGAACCCGAAGACCAAGATCCATGGTCTACTGGGGACGTACGAGGACTGTATTTCCTGGCTACACAGTCAGAATGACCAGAAGAGCCCAGTGACACTATTATGGCTCGGTAACAGCATTGCCAACTTTACACCCAGCGAGGCATCGAACCTCATTGAGCGCTTTTTCCGCGCCGGTCAAGCATCCACAGTGCCTGTCCAGATGATTGCCGGTATCGACGGCTGTCAAAGACAAGATGAGATTGTCGAGTCCTATGAAAATGAAAAGTCACGCAATTTCATCCTGAACGGACTGGATTTCGCAAACAACCTGCTGGGCACAAAGACATTTTTGACCCAAGACTGGGACTTTTGTGGTCAATGGAATGTGAAGGAGTGGATGCATGAAAGCTTCTACGTTGCTCGACGCGACCTTTGCCTCAATATTGAGGAAGAACAATTCCGCATCAGATCCGGGGAGCGAGTGCGTGCCATTCGAAGTGGGAAATGGCCACTTTTCAAGGTGGCAGATATCTGTGCCGCAGCAAACACTTCGATCGCCGATACTTGGAGTAATCAAGAAGGCTCATATGGTACGTTAGACTTCTTTTCTATACAGCAGCTCTCATCTCACTGCAAGCTATCTTCTGGCTGAAATTAACCACACACATGTAGGGGTCTACCTAATGAAAAGCTCACTACATTGACCGCGAGCCGGTGTTGGGTCAATAAGAGGGATGGAAGGAAATTAACAGATCATTTCTTTTTCTTTGGATTGGGGAATGTTAGAGAGGGACAACAAGCGCAGGGTATGGAGAGACTGTATCTATCCGGGGAACTATCACTGCCCATTTCTCTACTCAATTTACAGTATTGCTATGTACGACGTCTTCCCAGTCATTTTCACCTAGCGTATGATCTATTCCGACTTTAATGCCTTATAATCGTGGGAATAATCGTGGGAACATCTTTCCAAAATTCATCTTTACCTTCAATTCTGACGCCGGGTAGATCAGAACCGTATTGGGCTTTCATGGCATCTTTATTTGTGCAGCTTGTTTCAGGTAAGAACGAAACCCCCAATTGAGATAGTAGATAGTCGCCATCATGAAATTGAAATCGTGTGTATTATTCAGTTAAAGAAACGGAATATCAACCAGACTTTCAGAAACACATTGCTAAAACTTGCTCGATAACTAACATTCTATTTATTTCTCGAGAGAAACCTCTCCACACGGTCAAAGTCTGGCTGAAAAACTGACCTTCTCGGGGATTCCCAAAGAAAGACCCTCAAAAAAGGTCGAGATCTGGCTCGTCTGCTCCATCCGACAAATGAGGCTTGCATAACCATCCGGGCGCATGAGAACCACACATCCGTCATCTCGATCAATCCCACAGCGCTGATAAGCCTGCCCATGGCCATCGTGATAACTCTCGTCATCGGCGTAGACTCTCCAGTAGTCCCAGCCATCAGCATCATTCCATGGATGGAAGACATCGGGTAAGTCCATCAATTCAATCTCAGCCCGCTTACTGGAATGAACAATTATTGTTTCAATACCCGGGTTCACGCGCAGGAAGTCTGTCAACCAGTGCCCAAACTCCAGCAATCTATGATACACAGGCTGTATCGCGATGTCTCCTGCGAAAACCAAAAGACGGAATTGGCCATTCATGGTCATCCGGTGATAAAGAGTTGTCGGCACACCGTCTGCCTGGTTGACCATCTGGAAGTCAGGTAGTCGCATTCCGGGCGCGAATGCCTTTGCTGTATTATCAGTCTTCTCTTCCATGGGAGGAGACTGAACAATCAACGAAGGTGCATATCGGATCCCAATGCCAGTGGTGAACCTCATAGCTTTTTGGTAGGCATTCAAGAATTCATCAAACTGCAAGTTTGGATTGGCGAATAATTCAAGGTATTCACGATCAAAGTTAATTAACTGCTGGGCGATGGGCCTTCTTTCCTGTTCGTAGGATGCAAGGAGAGATTTTGAACATTTTTGTTCGAGATGGAAGCGCAGTTTCCAACCAATATTATAGGCTTGAGGGGCCGGTCAGCGCGGTCAATCATACACTCCAAGAGAATACCTACCATCTTGAATGCTAGTGTTCATCCCCTGGCCCGCTTTCGGAGAATGTGTGTCTAGCGACAAGCAGGACTCATTAGCCGCATTTATTGAAATGTCTTACTCCTGTTCAAAGACTTACGGACTGCATCACCGGCAAGGAAGACACGATCATTCCTGGAAAAGTTGTCTGCGACGCGCTGACCGACCTGATATGCTGACCACCACGCCACCTCACCCACTTCAAAAGTATATGGATGGAAGATGGAGCGTGCAGCATTCACCACGTGGTCAACGGTTAAGGTCTTTTGGGACAACGCGGTTGGAACGTCAAGGCCTGTTCCATCCATCGCTATGTAAAATCGGACCAGCTTCCTCTCGCGAGGAACTGCCATGATCGTGCCTTGGGCCGAATGAACGACACACACCTTGCGGATATCGGGAAAGTTTGTCTTTGGCACGGCGTCCATCACACCTGGTCATTTTGTTAGCTATGATCTTGAAAGCCCTATACGTGACTTACCCCATGTTGAATCTGTGAGATCACCCCTTAAAGGGATTTTTAGGTGCTTTCTGGTCCAACTACGAGCCCCATCGCAGGCAATCACGTATCGGGCCTGGATGAGTTGTGTCTGCGAGGTCTCTTGTCCTGAATCTTTCATCATTACAGTAATGGGATATGCAAGGGGATTCTCGGCCTGTCGGTGATTAATCTGCAAGTCGACAGGCTGCGTCTGCCAGGAAATTTCGACATTCCCGTGTCGCTCAAGGTTTGCGACCAGATGGTGCTCGATTCGACCTGAATACACGTCAATTCCTTCATTGAGACCCTCTTAACGTCTTTTCTACCTTGGTCCAAAGTCATCTCCCTAGGTTTCCCCAGTTCTGGAACTCGGTCTGCAATAGTCATAGACCGCTCGACTCCTCCTTGTCCATCAGGTTCCCAGAGAACAACTTCTTCGACACGGTGAGACTCATTACGGATTGTATCACCGATCCCGAATGTATCGAGGACTTCGAGGGAAATGCTTTTCAGTCCATCTGCTTTACCAGTCTCCACAGTTCCGGACTTTTTGTCAATCACTCGCACTCGTAATCTATTACTGCCATTGAAGCAATTGGCTGCTGTCAGTCTAAGAAAACATTAGTATTCCGTGGAAAACCCCCTCTCCATGGGATCATATCTTTCCACCTACCCTGCCGGGCCTGCACCAATAATCAGAACATCGACTTGGTCGACTGTGTTCGACATGACGCTTTGTCTCTGAGATAGACTGGGGTGATTGAGTTATTGGGTTTATTCCTCGTTCAATGTACACTTCAGTGACTGTAACTGAGCCTTTTTGGATTCGATTGAAGCCCCACCATGCGCGCTGGCCTGTCTGAGATGAGTACATCGATCACCGAAAGACTCGGCGCCCCGACACATTTAGCCCCGAAGGCGGACCGAACCCATTCGGAGCCGCGAACACCAGCATCAGGCCCCACCCCTTGATACACATGAAGCAGTGGGTGATTACGTCTATAACATATCGGTCAGTTTGCATGGTAGTTGTGATTATTGTACCTTTTCATTGACCCCACCTGTCGTTCTCGCCATAATGACTGCTGAAAATGTGGAAATCACTGGGAAGGGAGCGACCACCCAAGAACTAAAAAAGACGGATTATGATCAGATTTGGGAATGGAACAAAACTGTCCCTGCTGCTATCCGCACCCCGGTCCAGGACTTCGTCCACATCAATGTCGAAACCCATCCCGATAGCCCGGCTGTGTGTTCCTGGGACGGCAATCTAACCTACGCCGAGCTAGATGATCTTTCTACGCGACTAGCAAACAGGTTGGAAGATCGAGGAGTTGGCCCTGAAGTCATCGTCCCGTTATGCTTTGAAAAATCAGCCTGGACAATCGTGGCTATGCTCGCCACTATCAAAGCCGGAGGTGCATTTGTTCTTCTCGACGCGAAACAACCCGAATCTCGTCTTCGAGATATTGTCTCCCTCACAAAAGCCAGCTTCATTATTTCCTCGCTCGCACAGCAGGCATTAGCATCCAAACTTTTGCCCAACGTCATACCAGTTTCCCATGACATCCTCCTTACGATGCCAATCACCGTTAACCCTACTCTTAAGATCGACCCGGAGTCTACCCTCTTCATCGTTTTCACTTCCGGAAGTACGGGGCTCCCGAAAGGCGTCATGAGCTCTCACCAAAGCTTCGTATCAGGAGTTCACTATCGAAGATCAGTTTTGGAGGTGCCATGTCCACGTGTCTTCGACTTTGCTTCATATAGCTTTGACGTGAGCACAGATATCATTCTATCGACACTAATGATCGGTGGATGTATCTGTGTCCCAAGCGAGTCGGAGCGACAAAATGATGTTGCTGGAGCCATCAACCGCCTTGAAGTCAACTCGGCAGATCTTACTCCCTCTGTGGCACGCTTGATTGACCCCGACGCCGTGCCCGGGCTCAAAGTTCTCAAGCTTGGCGGCGAGCTTAGCAGTGTCTCCGACGTCGCGCGATGGGCGCCAAAACTCAAACTGGTCAATGTATACGGGCCCTCTGAGTGTTTGCTTATCGCCATCAATGTTTTGACCGAGGGATGTGACCCACGCACTATTGGAAGAGGCCACGGCGCTGTCACTTGGATCGTTGACCCGGATGATCACAATACACTTATGCCGGTTGGAGCAACAGGAGAACTTGTTGTCGAGGGCCCTATCGTGACAAAGGGATATCTTCATGACCCCGACAGGACAGCAAAGGTCTTCATCGACGCCCCGGAATGGCTACAAGAGGGTCAGGACAGGGATAGACCATCTGGACTTCTATACAAAACTGGCGACCTCGTCCACTACAACCCAGGCGGTACTCTCAACTTTGTCGGTCGCAAGGACACCCAGGTAAAAGTTCGCGGACAAAGGGTTGAGCTCAGTGAAGTCGAGCACCATATCCAACAACAGCTCCTTTCACGAACAGGGAAACGCGTTTACCCTATCGTTGACCTGATCACGGCAGGAGGAACCCAGGGCCGTCCAACTCTAGTCGGATTCTTCGCTTTGAGTCAAGTCGAAGCCGTGGAGCCCGAGGATGCGCAGGATTTACAACGAGCATTGTGGGATTTGACCACGGGTCTCAACAAGTCTCTTCTCAAGACCCTACCGCAATATATGATCCCATCGGTATACATTCCCCTCTGGGAGTTTCCACTTAACACGTCCGGCAAAACCGACCGACGAAAATTGAAAGAAACAGGCTCGTCGTATTCACGTCAGGAACTAGCAGCGCTGCGAGCGCCGCCATCATCCGTGGCAAATACAACTGCGAGAAACAAACTGCGATCACTTCCGCGCACCGCCATGGAACAGAGGATACAAAGAATGTGGTCCACCGTCTTGAATCTTGAACAGTCTGAAATTGCCAGAGAAGACCATTTCTTCCAATTAGGCGGAGACTCGCTCAATGCCATTCAGCTTACAACTTTGGCGAACAGTAGGCAGCTCGGTCTCACTGTTGAGGCTATATTCCGCAACCCGGTCTTGAGTTGCATGGCCATTGTGACCAAGCCGCTGTTGGAGCACCAAATGGCTGGAATGAATATTGAACACAGGAATGGGCTCGCAAGCCACGTCGAGGTTAAGACTGAGATTGCGAATAAAGCAGGGTGATTTATTCCTTCTCATGAATTGGTATTTGTTCTTCAATCGTAGGAGATTTTCTCTCTTCCAATGGAATTACTTCAATTTACGTACAACATTCCCGTAGGTCGGTGGAAACATAGTCTTGCTAGTAGACTCAAATCAACTGAGAAGATAAATAGGCGAGTTGAAGATAATCTCATTGGGTGTAGAACATGATGTCAAGGTTGTGCGTGGATTGGCGGTCTTACTGAGCTCTGCTGAGGCTAAGAGTCCCGGTCTGAATGTGCTACGCTACAAGTGCGATGTGGTAGACGTACGCCGAGTCATCAAAAATAACATTCTATTTCAAATCATCAAAGTCAAAGTCAAACTGAGTCCCGTATTATTTCTTTACTTCCTTGCACAGTACGCGTTTTGATCCTTTTCCCTACCAAACCGCCTTGCAGACCGATCATCGAATCTTCCTTTCGCAAAGCAGGAAGTCTGCTTTATTCGGCATCTTCCTTGACTTTGGCCTTGTCTAGACGCCGGAAAAGAACATATAGTAAGACACCTGCGCCACCCAGAAGCCCAGTCAGAATAGCATACATCGTAACTAGGTGGGGGTCGCGAGTGAGTGGAGTGAAGGCCAGAGCAAGACAGGCTCCAATGCCACCCATACCGAGCCAGATGGCCTGAACCAAGGTCTTCATGTTCTTCGGAGCCTTGTTATAGGCATACTCAGTTCCCGTGGTAAAGCAGAAGACCTCCGCCAACGACCCACCAAAGTAGATGGGAATCTGCAGAAAGACTGAGACTTGATTTGGGATCGTACGGTCCTTCGCCGCGGCACATGCGAGGGGGTTGTCGTAGCATGGGCCGGACTGGTAAATGAGTTTCTGAACTCCAGTGGTGTAGGCCATGGCGAATGCCAGAACGAGGAATCCGACTGTCATGCGTGCGATCGGTCCAAATGAAACTTTTCGCTTTGTGAGGAAAGGATAGAGCCCCTTCTGAATGATGGGCGCAACGATGATTCCGGAAATAGCCCCCGCGACCTTCATCATGTCGTTCGGAATACCATAGGTAACCATCTGCCCAGCCTGAGAGATCAAGTTGTTGAAGGTTTGGTTATAGCAGAGCCAGTGGATGGGGAAGAGGAGCCTGGGATCATGTTAGCTGTGACTTCAGAGTGGAGCGTTGACCAACTTACAAAACTCGGCTGGTCAGCAGACTCAATTTGATGTCCTCGATGAATGAGTCTGTCCAGGGAACCTGTCGACTGTGTTGCTGAAGCTGGGCGTCCGGCTTTGCGGCATCCATTTTGAAGCCGCCTGCGATTCCGAGACGCAGTGCTGTGCATACCTGCGGCATTATGTTGGTGGTGGGCACAACCCGAACTGTGGCATCCATGGGTTAGCAAACAATTCTCGTAGATAAGCTTTTGCCTACTCACTGAAGTAGTGGCGTCCGAAAAGCACCGGAAGCAGGGCTAGCCACATGGCACAGCATGGAACCAAGTACGCGACCCAGAAGCCAACATATCGTTCTAACAACGGTGTAGAATCAGCCAGGAAACCAACGATATTGATTGTCCTGTTGTTCTTTAGCAAAGGCCCCAGTAGAAACTGCGAAGGGAAAGACTCACCAGTAATAAACGTTATAAATATAGGTAATAGTCAATTCCCGGTCAGAGACAACTTTTTGCCCCTTCTTCATCCTAATCCGAAACTCCTCGTCATCGTATTGGTCGGCTGTCTAGGATCAGTATGATGACCACGACTTGCGGCACTAACGAAACAACTCACCGATGAAAGGTACCACAGTAGCATTGAATGCACCGGATCCAATAGACATGAGGATACAAGCAGCGATTACCCCGCCTAAGGCAGCCCCTTCGCGGATGGCGACAGGCAGGGACGTTCCGAAGAGAATGGTGGCGCCGACGGCCTCGATACTATGACAATGTCAGCCTTTCAAAGTCAAATGAGCAGATCACAGGGAATGAAAGGATTTTATACATAGCAGCGTAAATCATGGTTTTATGGCGACCCAGCCAGCTATCAGCAATCACGGCAGCAGGTACGGGGGTAATATACGACGCAATGAACAAGACATTGACGATGTTCGAAGCCGTAGCCTGGCCTAGTCCCAGAGCTCCGGGAACTTCTCCCCCGGGCGCATTTTGCAGGTAGTTCTCTGTGAAACTCGTCAGCAAGGAGACGTGATTTGTCAGGTATAATAGCACGCACGTAGCGGAGCAGTCGCTCCATACCAGACAAAGCGTTCCAGGATACCCGCTATACAGGCTAACCAGACGCGACTTGGAACGTTGTCAACGACGTGGAGCAGATCACGCACTTCGTCTTCGGTGGCCATGCGACCATCGTCGTCGACGTCCGAGGAAGCGGGGATACTGTGAGTAGATTGGAAAGGCGCATGATCTGACTTAGAATCAAGAGTTGTATCCTGTTCTGTATTCGGGAAAGAAAGAGAAGCCTCGTTATCAGCATTGCTTTTTTTTTCATCAACTGCCAACACCAACCGTGACTGTAGATGAGGCTCTGCAGTGGTGATTGCAGAGCCGTGCACATCGGGCAAAGGGCCCGACATTTTGAATTTCGCTTGTTCGGCTGACAGGGAAATTTCGAATGGACGTAGGTTCAGAGACAAGTCAGAGACCGTACTTGTGAGGGGATGGGAGAAGGACAGTTAAGAGTGCATTCGGAGGTGGAAAGTCGGTGGAGTCGGGGTCAACCCTTTATTCATTCGGGCACGCCGAATCCGGAGCTCCGAAGGGGTCCGGCGGTGACAGGGAAGCAGGTGCAACCCTGTAAGTAGACCCTGCGTTCGTCCGTACAAAAGTACAAAAATTCGGTCTCGCCCCTAGTGGGCGAAAGAAAAAGAATGCGTCTGTTGCTTACAGTACATAGTAGTGGGCTGTATTATTCACTCACGAATTCAATCCACCTGACACCGCGATGACCCACCTCGAAAATGAATTACAAGTGGTCACACAGAATGCCACCTAACCTAGCTCCTTCAGAGCACTAGCCTTATACATGGCACTACCCACAGTGGAGAACTAGTTATCTGTATCGCAGATAGCACAGGCTGCTGGCAGCAAGTCTCCTCGGTTCAGACGTCTCCATACTGACGAATGTCTCAATAGAAATGCAATTTACTGAACGTATTCTTCCCTACCCCTCAGACATGGCAACAAAACACAACTGCTTTCACCATTCAAAGCTCCATCTGGGGTCCACCGACCCTCAACAAAACCACTTGAATAGGGAAGCTTTCCAGAGTGAACATGACAGTACTATTTCAAGGCTCGTTGTACATGTCCAGAATCACTTAATTACAGCCAGCATGAAAGATACTTGCGATCTCTGAGAAGGGCACGAGATGTTGGGAACTTTAAACACCAAGTAGGCGCATCAACTTAGCCCCTAGATTACATAGTCCCAGTGTTTCCGCCACTAACTGAGATAAACTGTGCAGTGATCCACCGGCTCTTTTCTAATACTAGCAGAAGCGTAGCATCAGCCAGATCCTGCAGCAAGTTTTGCTTGTATCATAGTTTGTGCTGTTTGTGTTGACGGCCAAGGACTAATACTTCGCTACGCGCTGCAATTATTAATCCCCCCACGCCAAGCAAGCTTTGTTTGCATTAATTTGTGCTGTTTGTGTTGATGACCAAGGGCCAATCAACGTCCCGAGGTCCAAGCGGGTTGGCTGCATAGTCCGTGGTTTGTGTCGACAACTAAAGCCTAACAGACGCCAATGAAAATCACAAGAGAATTGACTATCCAGATTACCAAGCGTTCGGTCTTCTCTGGTGCCGAACTGAATAATTCATGTCCTGATATTCCCGCCATTGGAGTATACCGGTACTTTTTAAGCCGACCAACCCTCGATTCTTGTAGTCTCTGTATCGAACTCTCTTTCTCGCAAACAATCAATCATTCATTTACTCGCCATGTCTCTCAAACCCCTCAATCTCTGGACCCTCCAGGGCCACGCCGGCTCGCCCAACCCCTGGAAGGTCCTCATGATCCTGGAAGAGCTCAAGGTTCCCTACGAGCCCAAATTGGTCGATCTCAGCGACCTAAAGAAGAAACCCTATGAGTCTATCAATCCTAATGGTCGTGTTCCCGCTCTCTAGGATCCGAACACCGGCATCACCATCTGGGAATCCGGCGCCATCCTCGAGTACCTGGGGGACACATACGACAAGCAACACACCATCAGCTTCACCGCCGGCTCGAAGGAGTACTACGAAAGCAAGCAGTGGCTCCACTACCAGGTGTCTGGCCAGGGATCGTACTTCGGGCAGGCCGCCTGGTTTACGGTCTACCACCCCGAGAAGGTGCCCAGTGCGGTCGAGCGCCATGTTAACGACATCCGTCGGGTTTCGGGCGTGCTCAATCGATCGCTGCAGAACAAGGAGTACCTCGTTGGCGGCAGGTATAGCTATGTCGATGCTGTTTTTGTGCCATGGTTTGAGGTGGCTGCGCTTTTCTGGTCGAAAGAAATGGTTCTCGAGAATGAATTCCCGCGTGTTAATTCCTGGTTGAACCGTATGAAGGCTCGCCCGGCTATTGCCAAGACTATTGATGATAAGGCGAAGGCCACGGCTGCGGAAGGGAAATAATGCAATGTGATGGCAGATAAAATCCCTAGGTAGAAGGCGAATTTTTTCTGATTGAATCCAAATACATATATCTTCTATCTTTAGATCTACCCATATCTTAAGCTAAGGTCGTAGCAGTGGGGCACAGAAAGAATGGAAGAGTGCAAATTGGTGAAGCTGGTTTTGCACTTCTCTGTATGGAGAGTGTTGTGCACTACATTCCATCTGCAATGCTAAGCCCATTCAATCCTGCTCTGAGCTGCTGGGTCCTATGATGGTCTGGACTGAGAGCCTTTTCGTAGACTTCCAGTGCTCGCTAGTGGATCCCCTCTGTCTCCTTTAGCTTCCCTTGATCTTTGTAGAGATTCTCTAAACTATGGAATGCTCCCTATATTAAAATATTATCATTTGACCAATACCCATGACATATATAATTAGCATACGGGATAAGCCGTTGTTGAAGCTTAGAATGGTCTCTATCACTAAGATCAGGAACATTATATCCAATAGGTACTAGTACTAGCTCATTGAGCTAGATCGAATTCACATTCTTATCAGTGCTAGTAACATGAAGGCACTAGACCTGTACCACTAGACGTATCGTATAGCTTCCCCCTTGTCGCTTAACTTCAAGATGAGAGAACTCGATAAGAATCCTCACACTAAATTTGAATACGAGCCCACTTGAAGAAGCCCTTTCGAACCACACTGGCACATCTGAGCTAGAACAGCCACTTCGGACTAATTCATACCAGATATCTCGATTCTCAAAGTGAGCAAGTAGCAATAGCAGCTCTACTGCGTTTAGGTGCCGCTTCTGGATCAAAAATAGATTTCAATATTGCTGATCTTTAAAATATAAGATATGAAAATTACGCCGATTATGCTGGATGAACTTCTGAAAGGAAAGCCGACTTTATATCAAGACGAGATGTGTCTTTTTCTCTGGGACGAGTTTGGAAAGCGTATCATGGTTCAAAGTACTAGCTGGCCATAATGAATCTTCCTTTCGGTCGTACCATTTGGTCTTTGTGGATGAGTCAGGTTGTGACAAAAGGGCTATGTTCAGGCGTATAGGGTGATACTATCTCGGTATAACCCCGGTGTAAATTTCCAAGTTCCACCCAGATAAACGCTATCAGATACTACCTACGTATGTTTAAGATAGAATCGTCTTAAGGCGCATATTTTAAGGTTCTACCGACGCTAATATCTTCGAGGATTTTATTGGACAGCTTCTTCAATACTGTAACAGATAGCTAAAACCAGAATCCGTTCTCATCATAGATAACGCATCTTTCCATCGTACCAGGAAGATCCGGCAGATATGCTTAGGTCGCGGCGTTAAGCTGATATATCTTCCCCCTTATTCACCTGATTTGAATCCGATCGAGGAGGTTTTCTCCGAGCTTAAGCAGTACATCAAACGAAAGTGGAATGAGTATAAAACCAACCCAAGCTAGGTTTTTGATATTTTTCTCGAGTGGTGTGTTAATGTGGTTAGTTCAAGGGTATTAATGTCTTTCACAAAATGCTGAGCAATACCCCACTTCGCACCACGCTTCGCGAAGTAATTGGGGTCTTTGTCCTCATCAATTTGGGTTAGATCTAATCTATCATCCAGTGTAACATCGCACGCCTTTCTGAGTTTAGCTTTTAATCCCTCGTCTCGCAAACGCGACTGCTACCAGGTACTGTAATCTTTCACGGCAATATCCAGAAGGCCTGAGATACAGAGGTCAGGAAAGGCGACTGACGAAGCGGCAGCATTCTGTGAAAATGGCATTATAAACACGCTGCTCCAGATATGGTATATTTTCATCGATCCCCTTGTCTCCTAGAACAGAAACTGTATATTACATGACGCGGGTGGGACCTTGTCCTTTGTAAATTACAGGAAATTGCTATACATACGATATCACTTTACCCTCTTTTCTCCCCTAAGCAACAGCCCTTCTTCCCCTGTAATGACTCTTGCGCGACACCCTACGCTAGGCTTGCAAATATAGCCCCGCGACTTGTCCCCTCAAACCTGCATATAATCCGTGATATGATAGAGAGCCAGTCACTAACCACTACTCAAATGGCTGAAGAGGCTGAGTGCGGCAAGGTCACGATCATCAATATTCGCAGAAATCTGCGGCAATTTGGCACTTCCAACTCGCATAGGTCGGATGCGCCCTGCGACAACCTGTCAGAAAAACCGGGCCTGTGCCGAGATGAGATGACAAACCGCGATAGAAGTGAGACGCCTTCATGGAGCGATGAAGAGAGGCCACTTGCAGATAGCGGACTATCCATGTAGAATAGGAGTGCTAAAAACACGCTTGGCTGCTGGTCTGCTAATGCCTTCTGTTCATACGAATCGTAACTATAGGGCCCGTCGTGTTCTAGCCATCCACCAGAGACTAGCTATTGAGGATCGTTTCCTTCTTAAGCGTTGACCGTAAACTGGGCCTAGCTCGTAGTGAAGTCCGTCATGGGTTCGGCGGCCGCGACCTGAAAAGGGACTATCTAAACAATATCGCCTGGCGTAACGTGATCCGGCAGTCTAATGGGTAAAGCTCGGTTCAAGCACCCGGGAACCAGAATAGTAGTTATCAAACGGAATCCGATCGAAGATTAAAAACTCTTCCATGCGGAGACGTTTTCCCATTGCAGAAGGGCAATACGCGTCTCTAGCTCATCTTTGACGAAAGCGCAATAAAAGGCCGTACAATCTGGAATAGATCGAATATAATCCACGGATGCACCCCATACACGGTTAGCAGTCTGACCCTCTTGGGTGGATGTTGGTTCCCGCTCGGAGACTCAGTTTACACACGCTGAAGATTGGGTGAGAAGGCAGCTCAGCCTCGATAAATCTAGGAGTCTCCACAGACATATAGAACCAACGGAGGCTGCAGTAACTTTAGTGAGATGCGTATAGAGCAGTATAATTAGAGAAAAGAACCAACCTGAGATTGCTGCGGCATTA